CCTATTAACCTAGCGTTCTTAATTCTCTCGTACCGCGAGATTAGTGCCTCTCGGTCCTATAGTACTTCCGCGGACTCGACGATAGCGGTTCGAAGGCTCTATCGCAATTTAGCGAGTAGGTGTCGTATACGTTACAGTTCCGTATACTACTTAGGGAACTCCTTCTCGATATTCTTAAGGCGTACGGCGAATATGCCTACCTACTCGTTTAGCCCCTAGATAGCATCCTCGTACTTATATATAAGTGTAAGTTACTAGTTAACGGGGTCCTAGACGGTATTTATAATAAAATCCTTAAACTCCTTCTAGGTCTTTATATAACGCGCGTCCTCCCCGAACTCTCTTATAGCCTTCTTTTTAGCTTCTCCCCGAACGTAGGTTAGGCTATAGACGATCTTATCCTTATCGGTCTAGAAGTAGGCCTTATTATTATCGAATGCGAGGCCTAGGCGGTTTAAGAATAGGATAGCGTTATCTATCTTCTTTCCGTTAAAAGGTAGAATATCGGGTTATTTCCGAGTTCTGCTCGGTATAGATGCCGCGACCTATATTACCTTAGACGGTACGTACGTAAGGACCGAACGGGGCGTCTCGTTACCTAAGGGGCTTAGTTTAAGAGAGTATAGTACGGGTACGGTCCTTATACGATCTGCGTACGAGGCCCCTATTTCGTTAAGCTAGCTACCTACGTTAGAGGTAGGTTACGCTAGCGTATTACTAGCGTTCCGTATGCGCTACGTACGTAAGGTAATACCCTTATTCTCGGCGCGTAAGCGGAGAAGTTCGGCCCTAGCTTCTTCGTTCGCGATTAAGCGCTCGATGTCTTCGAGACTCGGCTAGTCTACTTAAGGAGTCGCCGGTTATTATTCCGTAACTAGCGTCTATACGTCTTACCCGTCTTACCCTACGGATAGGGTAGGCGTATCGTTTCTAGTAGTCGCTACCTCGGATGGGTTTTTAGGCTCTATAGGCTACTACCTTAGGTAGATCGATTAGAATTATAAGAGTATAAAGGTATATAGCAACGTATAAAGTCCCGCTAGTAATATAGTTACTAATAGTAAAGACTAATCGATGCCCCGAGTATCGGTGTCTTTAAAAGTAAAGATATACTTATATGTGCTAAGCCTCGCTTAGAGGCTTAGGCTTCGTCGTAGAGGCTACCCTAGCCTCTCCGGTAACAGATGCTTTTATAGGAGTAGTCTAGTTTACGAAGCTTAATCTTGTATCTAGATTTTAGCAGTTGCTAATAGACCCTAAGTCTATTATAAAAACTGCCTTTAACACTATCTACGGCAAATATAAGTTTCTTGTTATGCCCTTCGGGCTTTATAACGCCCCTGCAACCTTTTAAATACTTATAAATAGAGTGTTACGGAAGTTCTTATAGAAAACTTGCGTTATCTACCTCGATAATATCCTTATCTTCTTAAGGATAAAGGAAGAACATATATAACACTTGCAAGAGATCTTTAAAGCTCTATAATAAGAGAAACTCTTTACTTCTACTAAGAAGTGTGTTATCAGTGTATAAGAGGTCGAGTTCTATAGTTATCTTATTACTCCTAATTATACCTAACCCTTATAGGACAAGCTTAATATTATTAACACCTAGCCTACGCCATTAAATGCGTAATAAGTACGACAATTTCTCGGCCTTATAAGTTACTACTGCCGCTATATAAAAGGCTTTACGAAACTTATAGCTCCTCTATTAGATCTCCTAAAAGAGGAGGATATAGCTTTACGAGCAAAGAAACGCCGACCTATCTCCTAGAATGCGTAGTATACTGTTTCCTTTAAGACTTTAAAGGACGCACTTATAATAGGACCTATACTTGTTATACCGGATAAGGACAAACCCTATACGGTTAAAACAGATGCTTCCGAATGGGCTATTAGATTAGTTCTCTATTAAGAAGGCTAGGATAGTAAGTTACATCCTGTTGCATTCGGTAGACGTAAGTTAAAAAACGCCGAACTAAACTATCTAGTCTATAAGAAGGAAGGTCTTACAATTAAGGAAGCCTTACGCTAATAGGAACACTACATTTAGAACGGCTTTACGACGGTTATCTTAACTAATTATAAGAGTCTAAAGTACCTCTAGACTATAAAGACTCCTAGTAAAAGAGTTGTAAGATGGTTTAAAGAGTTCTTAGAGTTTAATATTAATATTTGATATAGGAAAGGATCTAAGGCTATTATCCCCGATGCCCTTTCTAGGCGGCCTAATTTTATAGGCAATATACCCGCAAATGTAGTAGAACGCATTAATGTAATGCGGTTTAAACGTAATGAAGACGAGGTCTTTATTAAAGCAATAATTACATTTAAGTAGACTAGAAATCTGCCTAAAGATTAACACTTGCAACAGCTGTTATAAGAGAAGTTAGATAACTTCTAAGTCTCTAAAGACGATAGTATACCTACTCTAAAGTATCGGCTACCTTATAATAAGGGTTTCGCACCCTATTTAGAGCTAGCACTACGCCTAGACTTCTTAGAGAAGATGCATAACTACTATAGCTATTTCGGATCTCCTAGCCTACTAGGGCACGTAGAATCTAGAGCATAGTAACTATCTATAATTCGAGACATTCAGTACTTTAGCAAACACTATCCTGTTTATTAGATTACCTAGAAGAAGAGTAGCAAGGAGAATAAGACTACATTCTACTAGGTGAATATAGAGTTATAGCCATTCGAACGCTAGGCTTTAGACGTTATTAGCCTATTGCCCCCTTCTCTATCTAGAAAGTAGTACATTATTACTGCAATCGACTACGTAATAAACTAGCCTATTATAAAAGCTATATACTCTACCGACGACGAGGAAATAGCTAATTTTATGTACGAGGAAATCTATAGTACCTATAGTGCTCCTAGGGAGATTCTTTTAGATAATAGTACGAATTTCGTTTCGAGAGTAGTATAATACCTTTATAATAAGCTCCGAACCCTTTACTAGTTATCTACGCCCTATTACCCTCGTATAAATAGTAAGAATAAGAACCTAAACGGTATTATTAGTAGCCTTCTTACGAAGATGTACGTTAGAAAGGAGCTCTCTCTATAGGAATCCTTCCTCCCTAAAGCAGTGTTTTATGTAAGAAGTAGATAACACTTAGGCACTAGTTTTAGTCTATTCTATCTTGTCTACGGCTAGAACCCTCGCATCGTAGAGGATAAGAATTAAGCTAGACCGCTTAATATCGCTATTATAGATTATAAGAAGCGTTAAACCGTTATATAGAACGCCCGACACCTTACAAATAAGAAGCTCTTAAAGAAGGCAATATAGGCTAAGCTCGTTAACTCTTAGAAGTTAGAAGAGCATAAAGGGCCAGCCTTTAAACAGAACGAGTAGGTACTATTATAGAACCCGAAACTAACTAAACTCGTTCCTAAGTAGACTAGGCCTTATTAAATTCTAAAGGTACACTAGCTTAGCACGTATGCACTTAAGACTCCTAAGGGAAGAGTATTACGACACCTAATGCATAGGAATAGGCTTATAAAAGCCTATTGCAACAATGCCTAATCTTTCTAGAATAAGCCTAATCTGGCTATTAAGAGATTAGAGGTAAAGCCTACTAGTCCTAAAGTGCTAGATGCACTTAATAGCGAAGAACATAAGGTCCCTAATGTTAAGACGTAGTTAACTCTTTTAGAAGCCGAATAGAAGTTGCTATAGAACTTTGCTCTAGGCCTAAATTATCGTATAGGTGCATGAAGGTTCCTAGTAGGGGAAAGAGAAAAGAAAGACATAGATAGTCTAATCTCTCATTATGTTAAACTTAGACGCCGCCGTAAGGATAATAGACTATTAAAATAGAAGACTATTAGCCCTAAGGACGCTTAAAAGGCTTTAGTAGTAAGGAAAGCTCTTATAATAGTAGAGCTTCGGCGCGAATAGCACGATAAAGAAGTGCTATACGATAAGATCGATAATAGTAAGGCACTCGTAAAAGAGCTAGCTAACCGTCGAGGTTAGTAGCTAGTTATAGGACAAGATAAGTCTATAACCCTAGTTGCAATAGAGTCTCTAGCTTCGTAATAAGACTCTATAACAACTAAGACTGCTATAATAGACTCTACCGATTACTCTTAATTACCTAAGACTTAAAAGAGTAGTTATTCCTTACGAACGAAAAGAACTCCTATAAGGAAGTTTAGACAATAGTTTAGAATAAGAGGAGTAAGATTGTTAGCTACTTTCTGCTATAATCTAAGTCTACAAGAAGGTAGTTGCCTTCTAAATAAAGAAAAGAAAAGGATAAGCAACATTCTACTATCTAAATAAAAACAAAAGAGACCCCTAAAACCTAAGTTGTAACTCTATAACTACTTCTTTTCCTTTCCCTTATCCCTCTCGATGCTACTATAACGAGTGTAACGTCTATCGATTGCCTACTCGGTTCTATATAATAGGTATAATAAACCTAGAGCACGAGCAGAGATACGAGTAGCTCCGGTGTTAGACACACTATAAGGAGAGATAACTAGAATGTTAGTTATAAGTAAGGACTAAGTTAATCCTAGCTAGCCCTAGGTAAGTGCATTACTTAGCTCTAGGCGACGACTACGAGTAATACCGGGATTAATAAGATGTTAGAAGGAGAGTTTAGTGTTTCCTTCTCTCTAGGTAGCTATAATGTAAGAGTTTTCTATCTAGGTAATCTCACTTCTAATAAACTCTTACTATTTAGAACGTAGGAGTAGTTATAAGTGTTAGATTCTACTAGTTGTAAACACTCCGCTAGTAACGGGACGACCTCTAGAGCTACTTATAATAGTAGGAAGAGGGCTACTTATAATAGTAGGAAGAGGGCTACTTATAATAGTAGGAGGAGGACTACTCTCTAGAATAGTGCTAGGAGGACCTTAACGACAAGGTTAAGGAGAGAGACTAAGGTTATAGAGGTTATTAGGAGGACTTTCGTAACGAGAGGATCCTATAATAGGCGAAAGGGGAGTTATAGAACAAGTAGAATCTGCAACAGTGCTAGCACGAGCACGTCTAGAAACTAGAATAACTACCTAGACTTCTACATTACGCTTAGGCTAAGTTATAGCCCTAGAACGAGTAACTAGGCGAGTTCCGCTAACTAGACCTATAACTAGAGCTTTAGTAGGACCTAAAGCTTCACTACTATAGAAAGAGCAGTCCTTATATCTATTAGGACCTACGTAGTTAGTATAAGCACTAGAAAAGAGAGAATCCTAGTTAGTTATAACTATAACGTAGTCTACAAAGTTTCCTTTACCGCGCTAGCACTAGTCGTAGGCGTAAGAACCTCTATAGATAGTTCTTCTTCTACTTATGTAGCCGATAAGAGAAGTTAGGCCGTATATAGTGTTAGTCTTGCTACGTCTATCTCCCTTTTTAAAGGTAGGATAATAGGTAGGTACTAGGAAGTTGTAGTTATTACGATCTAGAAAGGCTTAGGCTCCTACGCCTAAGTTGTACTATTCTCTAGATTCGGCAAGAGCTATAGCTAATTCGTAGGCTTAAAGAGCAAAGGCTAGGTCTAGTTTCTAAGATTTGGCACCTACAACTAAGGTTAGCACGCTATAATAAGCTCTAAAAGATCTTTACTTACGTAGTTCTATAATCTACTTACTAGAATAGTAACTACGAGGCCCTTTTCTATTATTAGGCTTATAAGGAGGCTTACTACTATTACCGCTGCGCTTGCTAGTTCTAGTAAGAGAACTAGGAGTAGGAAGGACCGAAGTTATAGTAAAGAAAAGCTATAATAAGTTAAGTTATAGAAGGAAGAAGGTTAAAGAAGGCGTAATAAGTTATGTTATAAGGGAAGGAGTAAAGATATTATTAAAGTTAATATTGTAGAAGCTATATAGATCTAAGAGGTTTAGAAGTTTTTGTAATGTTAATGTTAAAGAGAGAAAGAGAGTATAGGAGCTATAGAAGATATAGTATCTTAGACTATAGTCTTATAAAGGTATAAAAGGTGTTACAGCTTATAAAAGAAGTTGCAATAGGCTACTATAGTACATAAGGTGTTGTTATAACTAACTTTTTATACTACGCTTTTATATATAGTCGATATGTAGCCTACACATGGCATGTAAAGCTATAACTAACAGTTATAGACTAACATATAAAGTTATAGGCCTTGCAACTAATTCATGTAATAGAGATTTCATTTGTTAATTCATTTGTTATTATATATAGCTATTTTCGAGAGCAGTTAGAGTAGGTGCTTTAACTCTAGGTAGGGGAGGATGTTATTGCGTTATTGGAGTGGCTCTAAATAAGCAGCTCTTAGCGCATAAGTTATATAACTAAGGCTCTCGTACGTAGCACAAAAATTAAGTTCTTTTTAGCAATTACACAGATTAGCTTCGAACTCGAATCGCGATCATCTTTGCACATCTCTTAACATGCCTTCATGTATCAAATAACTTGACAGCATCAAACACAGAGCATCGCTTCGTCTAGAGTACTAATACCGGCGCATATGTGTGCTTGCCACGCAGATGCAAAAGCCGCGCAGTACCCACCCAGCCGGAGCGCCCGATAAGGTATCGTTCGATCTGGCGGCAAACTGTTTCTCTGTAACGCAAGCCCACGCTCTCTCAAAAATCATATTACCATCAAGTCAAACAATCCATATCGGGCGCTTTGGCTGAGTGGTTATAGCGATAGACTAGAAATCTATTTCCTTCGGGAGCAAGAGTTCGAATCTCTTAGGCGTCGGTTTCTTCTTTTGATGTTTTGAGCATCGCGTGATCTATTCTTTTGCTTGCTCTATGCATAGGAAGAAGACTGAATAAGATCTGTCGATGTTCTGATGGTGTTCTAAGGCCCTAAAACCGCACAGTTTTGAACTTTGTGAAATCCTCAAGACCTGTAGGTAAGCCGAACATGACGTGACCTGCAGTACGAGTACCAATGACAATCAAACATAAGGACTTGGACATAGCGAGACTACATGTACTCGATGGAGGTTGAGTTCATCATAGCGACTGAGCACATCTCTAATTTTTGCAGGCATCTGGATGCCTGAACTTTTCTCCACTGCCACGAACATGTCTCTTATTGGTATATCGTGGCCTACCTTGATATTTTCCTGGTTCCTTTGTTGACCTTGCTCACTCGTTCCTTTGAGGTTGTTTCTCAAAGGTCGGCCTTTGTAGATGACTGCTGAACGGACTTGCTGGACCCTCATAATCACAAGTTGGCGTTCGTGATGCATAGATCTCCAGGAGGTTAATTAGTATGGAGCGGCGATGAAAGTCCCAGTGACAGGATGCACATCAAAATTAGGATGGGAGGAATGAAGGACAAGAATTTGGTAACTGTGGCATCAGAAGCAACGCACATGGCGCAAAGCAAATAATAGACACATTCACAATTCGGAAGTGAAAGGTTGCCCAAGCTACTGTACTGCATACCGAAAGGCACATGAACCTGCATTCAGCATTCCATTTAGGCCTGTATGAGACCAACAGACTCCGAGTCATAATACATGGTCTACAGCCAAGCTTGCCAGAGGTTGGGAACGTACATTCATAGGGATGGCGGGATTGTATCGAGATCAATCCTAGCTCATCCCGGGCATAACAGAAGACGAAAGATGACCGGATTGCCACACGCAGCACCGGAAGCAGCGTGACGAGAAGGAAATGCGATTGACAAGTAGATTTTTGCTTTTATTGCAGTCGGGGATTGTTGATTGGCGACGTTTACTCGACGTCAGCCTTGCCCTCGAAGTTCTCGCCCTCGACAAGGTCGGGGATGTCATCATCGTCCTGCTCCTTGTTCTCACCCTCAACGCCCTTCTGCATGCTCTGGTAGCTCTCAGCGAGCTTGCGGAGGGAAGCGAGCGAGTCGGGGCCAAGCTGGTTGAGGATGCCGGGGACGAGCTCGGTCAGCTCCTTGTCCTCACCGTTGCCGTAGATGGCGAAGGTGTTGGAGGGGATGGCGGCGTGAACTGTAGTGGGCACGTGTCAATAGATGGGTGGGCGCGACGAGGGGCTTGTTCTTTGGCGACTCACCCTTGGGGGCGGCGAAGTGGATGACGTTGCCGTCCGACTTGAACATGTTGACCTCCTCAATGGCGGGAATGGGCTGGACGTTCATCTTCTTGAGAGCGGCCTGGAGCTTCTTGTCGTCACCACCACCGGATCTGTTGACCTTCTTGACCTTTCTTCTGGGAGTACCCTTTCCGCTATTTTTCACAATCCATCAGTTTCGGCGCGCGCTTTTGAGGATTCGGCGAGGATTCGAGGCTTACCCTGCGGCATGGGTTAGCGGGGCACATAATTCACATGTATCGAGAGATCATACCGATGCGCACGGCATTTTGAAGACGTTGGAGCTTTGCTTGGTCCATGGTTGCGATGGAGGGAGATCTGTCGGACGGGCGACTTGTCAGGATTGAGCAGGAGCGAGAGACGGCGGCAAAGACTCACGTGAGGGGTGATAGAGGGTGGGTGGAGTGAATATCAGCAATTGGCCTTGTTGCTGTCGTTGTCTGCTCTCAATCGCTGCTCTGCTTCAAACGTGGCCCGTGCGCGCCTTGAAGGTATTCTCGCGTGTGGGCGTCCTCGGCTAACGCTGGCAGCAATTGATACGTCAGTCGACACTGCATCTCTACGAGGAAACACTGCCTGCAAACACTGCTTCACGCAGACCCTCCAGCTACTCGAATACTGACATATCTCGAAGCCAACTATGCTTATCTCGTACAGAGCTCCTTGCTGCCGTTCCTCACCAGTGCTCCCAAGTCCATCTACCCGAAGCAGAGGCGCACACTCACCCAAGCAATTTCAACTCTGTCAGGGTCATCCCCTCAACAGCAGACTTGTCTTTGTCGAGCTCTCGTACGTGGTCAATATCAGCTTTAGGTATAGTCACCAGTGTCGAAACCATGCCATATATTTATGTCTATTAGACATACAGAGATTTGGCTGTTCTTGCGAGTTGTGGCCACGAAACATGTTGCGAGCGTGATTTACTTGTACATTGGCGATGGCTTTCAAACGCATCAACGCATGTGGAAGGGCATTTGCATAGTCCATTCCAACTTGTTTGTCAGACCCCGGCTCGCAGATGAACCAGTCTTTCCACAAAGCCAGAACATACGGAGAAGATGATGCATCCGTCAAGTCCGGATGCGACAAGCGTTAGAAAAGTCAGGATGAGTGCCTTCGAAAGCCCATATCACAAAAGACCTAATCACAAGATAATCTGGATGTTGTATGACGAGACTCGGATACTGTCATAGTGAACCATCATCTACTTGCATGATGATGCTGCTTAAGGACTTCCCGCGCCTCTTCAAAAGCGCATTACATAGTTAAGAACACTACCAGGTGCTCAATGCACTCGACCTCTCCTAAAAGAATCGAGTCTGGCGGCCACCATGGTGTTTACTGCCGAAGACGCTATCTTTAGACACCGTTCTAACCACATACATTGCTGACGACGTGCCCGTTTAGCCTTTACTCACAACGTCCTGAATACGAATGTCACCACATCGCGATGCGTCGCGTCTCTTGCAAGGAGGCCAGAACATTGACAATACTGAGCGCGAAGGTCGAGAGACCGGATTTCGGTTCAGGACAAGCATTTCAAGGTGCACACGTCGTACAAGAGACTCTTTCCTGCTCGTAGCGTTTCCGCTGGTAACCTCATGTCGGATCCTTTCCGATCTTTCGAGCTCATGATTGATGATAATGGTAGATGAACTTGGCAGCGCGTCATGATGCGGCTTCTGTTCGAGAAACGATACGAGCATCTTGCATAGTCCGGCTAGACGAATCTGCAAGGGTTGGTGCTTATCGCGGACCATCATCGTGATTGAAAATGATGCTGTAGTCCATGCAGGAAGCGCAGATGACTCTTCCTATGATGTCTGACCTGTGTCGTAAAAACAAAGCCATGAAGGTTTGGAAAATGACAGTGGCTGGTGTGGTACAGGTGTGGCTGATCATGTCATGACATCAATGTTAATCTCCGCTAGCACCTGTCAAAGGAGTTGTAGATCTTCCAAGTTTCCAACCTTCGTCCCTGATCTTGTGTCGTCTTCCAAAGCGACTGATGTCGACGGCCGCTTGTTGTTGCACATTAGGAGCCGCATTGGGTGTAGAGCCGCAGAAGCTGCATGGTGCGGCGAGCGCATGAGGTAAGGGTCAAACCGGAACCTTGTAGATTATTCCCGAATATAGAGCAGACTTGAAATTGGTGTATGGCATCCATGGCATCGGATGCCTTGGTTGCTGGGCGGCTAGAGAAAATTTCCTGCTTTTCGAGATTAGGAAAGAAAAAATGGTGTGTGATATCATGCGTCTTCGATCCGTCACATCAATGGTGAAGATATAAGTGCTCCTGCTGTTTCGCGGTTTCACAACACCCATCACCAACCTTCTCCCACATTCCTCGCGTCCTTCGCAAAACAATAAACACCACCACAAACCCAACTTCCTTTGCCCATTCGGTGCACATTTCTCCAGACAAACACACATACAAAACACACACTCGAACATAACAACACAATGGGTGCCGTTGTATCTTGCGTAAGTCTTATATAACCCTTTGCAGATTCCATCTATCACAGTAACTAATCCGGATGCCAGATCACCTCGGTGTTCCGCGCCATCGGCTCGGCCTTGATGGCTGTCGTCAACGCCATCGGTGCCGCCCTCAAGGCCATCATCAACGGAATCGTCGCTGTCTTCGACATCATCATCTCCTGCCTCACTTGCGGCAGAGGTGGAGGCCGACGCCGCAAGACAACAAGTGCGGTCTAGTGAGCGGGAGCGAGTACGAAAGGAGTCTGAGGGCTTATGGAGCACCTTCCATGACATCGAAGACATCGACGACATACCACGACGCCGACTGCCCATCGATCCAATACAGACGGTCTCGAAGCTCACACGCCACCTTCACCACGGCTCAGCGGCATAGCTCGCTCCCGCAGTTCTTGATTCATACATCCTGTTTCGGCATTCACGACCAGTCATGGATACACCACAAGAGAGACACGAATCACACCAGTTACGACCATGAGGGGACGCATTGATACCCATTAGTTCAGCGAGTTGAAAGTTTTATACCCTAATGACAATAATTCGAGTTCAAGTTACTACAACTTCTCCATCTCCCTCGAACCTTGAAACGCCTGTGCACACGTCCTTCCAGTCCAGCAGTCCAAAGACGGTATGTGCAGTCATCTCCATCAAGCGTCACACTTTGCGTACGAGCCTCACATCTGGCTTGTCCTCAGCTCGAGGTAGGACACTGACAGACACCTGGCGTGTCTAGCGAATTCGTTAGCACGGCTCTCCTCAGCCAACTGTTTCAAGCCCAGTGCACTGAGATGCTCGACGGCACCGTCGTGATACTGTCCACTGCTAGTGAACTTCTTGCACAAGCTACTTCCATGTCAGCTACTAATCTTCTCAATAACATCCTATCAACAAAGGAAACTCACAAATCATTGGATAGACAGCCGTCCAAGTAGAAGACGCAACCCGGACCGAAAATCTTGCAGATGTGGTCCAGATTCTTGCCCACTTTGTACTGTTGAGAAGCATCGCATCCACGGAGTAGCGAATTCAGCTCGTCCTTCATGCGGTCCGACAACCTGTTCCCCGAGAAGCGTGCAAAGCGAGATCTGGCTATGTCATACAGTGCCAGTGCGGTGAAGAGTTCACGCAATCGCTGCACGCTTTGCTGCTGGGCGCGACGGGTAGCAGGCATCAAGTTATCGTGAATGACAGCATCATCGTACGAGTTGACGAAAGATGCAGAACCCAGGTTGAGGATGCTCTGGAAGTGATCTGGGATGTTGAGTGCTTCGATACGGCGAAAGACCTTCCAGGGGTTGTTCGACACTGATGGTAGCTGGCTGGGAGGAGAGGATTCAGGTGAGGTTACAGAACCGACGAAACGGCTCAGGAGCTCACGCAGTACTTGTTCCTGGCCCGGAGTAAGTGCGTATGCGTCCAATGCGGCTTGCAGCTCAGAGGGTGTCAAGCTAGCCATCTGGTCGAGAGTGGTGGAAAGGGCAGATAGAGTGGTAGTCATGGTTGTTTAGGAGAGCGATGTTGAAGTATGGAGCTCTTTGGTCTGCAGAGTGTACCATTATATACGCAGTATATCTTGACGACGTTTTCGTATACAGAATCGTCTTTCAGGTCTTATTTACCTATCTGAATCATGTCTCGAGTCGAGAAGAACCCAAGAGCATGCTATCTCAACCCCGTATTCTCCCCTGTGAATCAAGTCAGATTTGTGACAATGTGTCTCGAGATAGTACTTCCAGGGAGTGAGACAGTAGTGTATGACACTGTGAACAAGCACAAGACTGGAAGCCATGAAGCACTGAGTTGGAGTGCAGAGGGAAGGAAGGAAGACAACGCCAAGCCACTTTAAACACGGCGACGCGTTTCGGAAGGTGAAACGCGTCACCCTTCGCGGTTGATGGCTGCTCTTCAATTTACTGCAAGGTAATCTAAGCAACATGATGGCCAGTGATTATATCGAATATCTGTCGGCCAATGTGCTGAATGATGGGCAGACAGTGAGTACGGCAGGCATACCATATCTGAACCGATTTTGATGATTGCGCAGGTCAGCTACCGTACGCTGAGTCGAGCACTCCGAGTGCATAGTAATCTCGCCAAACAGATGCTCTACGACTTCCATCACAGCCAGAACACAAAGAAGCCGACTACGCTGCATGCCACATATCTGATCACCGGAAGAAAAACAATCTCGTTGGAACAAGCAGAAGACAAGGCCGTAGAGAGCCAACATGGCCCGGACAAGACCATGCGAAGTAGTCCTGCGCCTAGTAGCCCCACCCACAACCACGACCAGCCAGAGATCCGAGAATACCAAGCAACATCGATACTCTTGGTAGATCAGGACCATCTCGATGGTCAGTCTCGCTCTTCCGCACAAGTCTGAATTTCTTGCTAAACCACCTCGTCACGCAGCTGCAAAGTCAACCTTCGACCAAGTGCTGTCGATACACGTCTACAGTATTCAACCTGGCAAGCTCAACGTATTTCCAACTCCAGCCCTGCATGTCCATTTCACTGCTAACGCCAAGCAGGATCTGCATGTCTTGACAGAATGCAATCGTGCCATCATGGCCACGGCCGTCAACGAGGACCTGCTGGAGACGTCCAAGCAGTATGGCATCATCCAAAATTCTCAGGTCAAGGTAAGACTCCACTGGGCGCTCATCACAGAGCCAACCGTTGACATTCTGCCCGTAGCGCCGCCCCATGCGTGCTCAAAAGCAACCGCCTCCTCCCAACGCAGCACCTGCGAACCCGGCCAAGTCCATGTTCGCCTCCAGTCGACCTTCAGCCAAAGGAACTTCGAAGAGTTCCACATCAGCCAGGTCCACCCCTGACTCGTCGCAAGCTTCAACACAAGCCTCGTCAAAACCTGCCGCTACCAAGACAGCACCTCTGAAACGCGAAGGTTCGAGCCTGTTCAAAGCATTTGCCAAAGCCAGACCAAAAGCCGACAGTCAAGCGACTGAATCTTCTGCCGAAGCTTCTCCTGCGTTGGAGCCGGCTGTGAAAGAAGATGGTCAGTATTGGTATATCCATACTCTGGTAGAAACAGAAGCGCTGATAACCAGAGCAGAGCCTATGCACGACCTATCTGATGAGGAAGCCGACGACGAGGATGCTGCTATGCTTGACGAGGGCGCAATCACAGAGACGGGAGGCAAATCTAAGAAAGAGAGAGAGGAAGCACTGCGCCGCATGATGGATATGGAAGGTGGGAAAACGATTTAATCTAGCAATTGCTCTTCCAAATGCTGACAATCATCTAGACGAACCGATGACGGACGCACCCGCCAAAACACCCGCAGCAGTCACTCCAGAGCCCGCAGCAGATGAATCTGATGCCAAATCCGAGCCGCAGAAGAAGGAAGAACCCGAAGAGAAGGTCATCGTGGCTGGTGGCCGCAGACGAGGCAGAAGGAGAGTAATGAAGAAGAAGACGGTCCAAGACGAAGAAGGTTATCTCGGTATGTTTGCCTCTACAACATCTCTCCAATTCAAAACTGACATCATTGGCAGTGACACGAGAAGAACCCGGCTGGGAGTCCTTCTCGGAGGAGGAACCCGAGCCCAAGAAGGTCAAGGTGGCCGTTGCACCCCCTGCTGCGAAGAATAAGAAGGCTGCCCCCAAGGGTCAAGGAAACATCATGTCTTTCTTCTCCAAGAAATGACTCGAGTGCAACCAGACAGTGCATCTGATGAGGTACATCAACATGCCCGTAGCCCGCGTTTCATCATACCTTTATGCATACAGAGCATCTCGGTTCGTTGCATAGATCATCACAGTCCTCATCCCGTTCTTCTCCTGACTTGCTTGACATGTTATCGAGCTCCACCCGAGACTACGCGGGCGTGAACCCTGTCACCTGTGATAAGACCCAAAGACAACACGAGGTAAGACAGGAGAAAACGGTAGGCTGACATTGATCGCATTTTGATTATCTACTTTTGAACTCCAGCCACAATATCCCATACTCGTTACAAGCAAGCCTCTCGATCAGTCTCGCTCTGTGCCATGTAGCAAATGTTGTGCTCTGATTCATATCTCGTTTAATAAAACATCCCGTTCATTACTTATGACAGCCGAAAGAAAACAAAAGAAAGAAGAAAAGACGGAACAAAACGAGACAAGCAGCAATGGTTGGTGAAAAAAGTAGATGCAGTACCGGCGAAGGCGGGATCAAAAAGTGTGTGCATGCGGTGTGTGATACAGCCTTGTTGACGACATGATTACAAGGCAAAGGAAATGCTGAGAATGACCGGTAAGCCCCGGACGGCGAGTAGCAAAAACATGGTGAGCGTGTTGAAGAGATGCTGTGTATGTTTGTCGTTCCAAAGTATGCTGCGAGATAAGAAAAGGTGCCAAGTTGTGCTGTGAAACCTGCAATCCTTAAGGGCAAGGGCGCTTTCCTTGGCTCATCAGTCGTCAATCGTAGATCATTCAGAGAATCTGATCCTCTGATGGTGTCGAGTCGACAGCACCCTGATCGCCACGAGCGATGGCGGGCGAAGAGCTGACCATCGACTTGGGGTCGGCGATGTCGCTGCGAGTGGGAGGCTGGTTCTCCGAGTTGGCGCCACCATTGGCCTGAGCAGTGGGGTATTGGACGTTGTTGCCATAAGTCAGGGCGGCAAGCGGTGCGCGGCCAGGAATGCCGCGGAGAGCAGACTGGGACCAGCGCTGGTTCTGAACAGGAACACTGTATCACACATGTCAGCTGGGAACCTCAACATAGTTTGAAGATGGACTGACCTGGTCGTCATGTACGTCTCGAACTCGTTGTTGGAGACGTAGGAGCCACGACTGGAAGAGTAGCCCGCCTTGTGGGCCTGGGTGGCGTACTCGTACTCAGCAGAGCGGAACTGGCGAGCGGCGGCGGTCTGCTGCTTGAGCTGCTTCTGCTCCTGGGTGTCGGCAAAGCGAATCTGAATGGTGTACTCTTCGCCTCCGACGTTGACTTTGTAGTTGTTGAATTTCTTGATGACTTCCTCGCAGACCGTTCTGGATTCGAAACTGAGAACCTTTGTCAGATGGCATTCAGATGGAACAAGAAGTGCAGATGCAAGACTCACCGAGCAAAGCCGACTCCGCGACAGGTGCCGTTCTTATCCCTGAGGATTCGAGCCGAGCAGACCTTGTGAGGAGTGAAGACAGATGCAAGTTCGTGCTCATTCAGAGACTTGGGCAGATTGGAAACGTAGAGGTTGGTGTTACCCTCATCAGCGAACGTCTTGAGCTTGGAGTAGAAAGATTCCTGGAAGAGCAGTCAGCAGGCAAGTCTTGGATGATGATCGGTTGGATGAGAAAACGTACTCTGGCAAAGCTAACTTCGTAGCCAAGGTAGTGGAAGCCGCGGATACAGTTCTCGGCGTCTTCGTAGTTGTGGTACTTCACGAAGCCAAAGCTGCGAGGTCAATGTCAGCATGTCGTCGAGCACTATCGACACGAGTCAGACTCACCCTTTGCAAAGACCGGTTGAGTGATCGATGATCGACTTGGAGCTGCGAATGTCGCCGAAGCGCTTGCCCCAGCCTTCAAGCATCTCATCGGTCGTCTCGGGATGCAGACCACGAATGTAGACGTTGGTCTCGCCGCGAATGTTTTCAAGAGCTCTGTCGAGAGGCTTCAACGGAGAGCTGGGAGCAGGAATGGCCTGAGGGATGGGTGGCTCCTTGTTGACGAGCATGTGCAGGCTTGGAGAGATGCTGCGGTTCTCGGCCATCTTGGACAAGGGCATACCATAAGGAGCGAGGACCTGAGTGGGCGAAGGCGAGCTCTGTGTGTACATGCCACTGGGGGAGCGGTTGACGATGGCAACGCCAGGCACCTGATGGAAGGTGTGATAGCCGGCGTATGAAGGAGTACCAGGAGCGTCGTTCTCGTTGGACGAGACTGAATCACGACGAGGAGTGATGAGGGTAGGAACCTCGCCAGTAGTATGACTGGGTGTCCAAGCCTGGGACATGGGACTGTTGTCATGCTGCTGATGATGATAGCCGTGAGGGATGTACTGAGCAGCCATGGGAGTGTACAGGCCTGGGTTGTGCTGATGAACCTGGGTGGGGTAGGCATGGCCTCCCGGGAACATGAGTTGATTGGTGGCACCCCAGAGAGCGGCGGGCATGGGAAGACCGTTGAACTGATGACCGGCGGCAGCCATGGTGGCGGCCTTGGATTGAGCCGAGTAGGCGGCATCTTGGAAGTTCATGCCCTGAAGACCATGAGTCAGAGCCGCCATGTTGGCAGCCGTGTGGCCTCGCTGCGAACCGTAGCCGGCGTGGTAGTTGCTGTTGTTGTTACGAGCCAAGGGCTGACCGTAACCAGGACCACGCTGGCCCATGGCCTGGTTGTCGCGGTTGTGATTGTAGTTGTTGCCACGCTGACCCTGAGTGTCGGCCATGCTTGACATGCTTCGCTGGATCTCTAGTCAGCGCTATCCTCGAGCGGGATGAAGAAAGGCAATCACCTGAGTGGACCGTACAGAGACTGATGAACGAGATGAAAGGGTACCGCTTGCCGAGGGGGTTGATAACAAGGTGTAATGCGTTGTATCTATCGGACAAGGAGGTTGATGAGCACAGAAGCTATGCTATCAATGTTGCGCCACTCGGGACAGAATGCAAGAGATGAAGAAGATGGGTGATGTCAATTCAAGAAGAGTTGAGAGGAAGAGAGTAAGGAAGGTTGATGGAAGATTGAGAGGTTAAGAGAGAAGAATCGAAGTGCGCTTTGCTCGGAGAGGGTGCGAAGTCTCTGACTCGCTCTTTCTTTGGCTTGTGTATATGTATGGGTGTCTTTGAGGAAGGCGCCTCTGGGAATTTGCATGTGCTTTGGCGGGGCGATGTGAGAGATAGAAGGAGCATGTGCTTCGTTACGTACTAGTAAAATGAGAGGTATGTGCAAGAGCGGGCGGATTTGGATTAGCAGGCGCAACCACCACTACTCATTGATAGAGAGATATCGAATTGACGCTCGACGGAAGACAAGAAGGAAAGAGACCCAGATGAGAAATGTATGCCAGAATCGAAGATAGCAATGCAAAATGCGCGCATGCGGTTCAAGTCATTGACATCAAAAGAAAACTCGGATGCAGGTACAGCGGGAAGGCTCGCTCTCTTTTTAACTGATGTCTGGATGGCGAGGATGAGCATCGGGGTCGAGCTGTGTTTTGGATATGCAAGCCGAACCGAATGGGTGGATGCTGCTGCGAACCACCTCGAAATCTTCCGGCTACACAACTGCACCGACCACGCTGCACCGCACTCCTGAGTTTTACTGCTTGAAGGGCTTTTGTTTTTGAAAGTGTCTCGAAGCCTCTGAATAGATCAGAAGAATCACGGACTTGTTTTCCGCTCACAAGGTGTCATGTCCTTGTCACTTACCACGACATTTCCCATCATCTCTTGTGACTATGCTAAGAGTCTTTCTCTTATTTGTGCGTAAACAGCATTCTTCCGTACCGAAGCTGGAAGTGCGACGGACAGGCACATAGTTGTCATGCAGCAGTCCTAAACCAAGTCCATACCAGCCAATGTGCTGCTCGCATGTCAACGACCCATTGAGCAACGGTTGACAGACACGCCGAGGCAAGGGGGAATCAGTTATGCTGGACTCAGCATTTTGCGTCTGTTTGTCATTCGGCATCATTTCGTGTGCAGCTGATACGATGGACAGTTTACGACAAGAGCCGTGCAGAAATCTGTACAAAACCGCAGGCTAAAGCAACTGAGCAGATGATTTGAAGCCGTGGTGTCACGAACTCAGGTCGCACCAAGAGGGGCACCGTTTGTCTCGAATTCAAAGCGGGATCCACTGCCGGAAGCCCGCTGTTGCATGACAAGTCTTGTAAGAGGCACGTAATATTCTGACGAACAGCATGGTTGGAATGGAGATGCAATCTGGAGTTCTCACAGAGCACCGCAGCAGCAGAAGACGTCAGGAGGTCCTTGCACCGGCTGCTTCCCGTTGGGTTCTTGATCGACCTGGATCTGAGCGGAAAGACCACGAGCAAATCGAGCATCTCCTCTCTGTCGCAGCCACCGTAACCTGAGATGCGACAGGGCAACCGGGTTAGCGGGAGAGTCTGCATCTCGGGGAATTGCGTCTGCATAGCCGCCACCTGTCACGACCTGTTTCGCAACAGATACATCACAATTATTTCTGTTGAGGATGAAATTATGACACAGGTATATTTTATCAACTTATTCAAACCGACCATCGCTCGACCATGCAGACATGACGCGTTGAAAAAATCCAAGAAGGTAGAATGGACACGTCCAAAATTCTCATGACCAGACATCTTCTTGGTAGGCATTGCTGTTGCGCATAGCCTTGACAATGTCCTCCGCTTTGGACTCTGGAATCCCTCTTTGTTCGGAGATGATTTGCGACAGGGCAGTATTTACCTCACGAGCCATGTTCGCTGCATCACCACATACATAGAAGTAAGCCTTTTGCTGCAGAAGTCTGTCGATTTCGGCGGCGCGCTGCTTGAGAAGATGCTGCACATAGACCTTTTGAGCACCATCACGGGAGAAGGCAGTCAACATCTCGAAGCTGTCGCCCATATCGTTCTTGTACGCCTGTGTAACGGTCAGTTGACTTTGTGCTTTTCAGATAAGATTTTTGCTTTACGTACCTCCCATTCATCTGCGTAGATAAAGTCCTCTGCCTTCTTTCTGCAACCAAAGAAAAGCATGGTTTTACCGATTGCCTCTCCATCACGTGCTTGCTTGGCACGTTCTTGAACGAACCCACGGAAAGGAGCGACTCCAGTACCCGGGCCAACCATGATGATGGGCTTCGAAGGATCCGAAGGGAGCTTGAAGTTGGAGTGGCGAACGTGCACCGGCACGTGAATACCGTCGTACTTGTTTCTAGGACCAGTGATTGCGTAGTTCAATCCATGAGGGTCAGGAGAAGGGTCACCGTGCTGCTTCTGCTTAAGAGCCAGCAGGTAGTTAGTAGTGACACCCTTGAGCACATGAGAGGCTCCTGGAGTTTCCACAGATTCGACAACGGCGGTGATTGAGATCTTGTTCTTTTGCACCAAGGAAGAGGATGAGATAGAGTAGTAGCGGGGTTGAATTTTGTGAAGGCCCTCGATGAAGATGGTGAAAGGAACCTTGTTCCACTTCTGACCTTGAGACAAGAATTCGAGAAGTTGAGCCAAGTTGTAATTGCGAGCGGCAACCTGCTCATGGAAATAATCCTTGTCGCTTCCCATCTTGGTCATTTCGGCTTTGATGCTGTCGTTAGGCGAGAAGGGGGCGAGAGCCGAAACGAACTGTCTCGAGATGGGGGCGCAAATTTCCATGTGGTAGCGAACAACGGCATCGTACGTGGTGGGCGACGGGAAAGGGATCTTGGCCGTGGCATCCAAACCCTTGACAGAGATGACCATGTGGCGCTTCTCATCAAGACCAAGGATGTCCATGAAACGGTCAACCTCCTTGCCGGCGTTGGTAGGCCAAACAGCAATGTGGTCGCCAGTGGTGTAGGACAAGTTTGAGCCGCTAATGTCGATTTCCATATGTAGACAGTTTCTGTCCTTGACAGTGAAGAGTTCCTTTGATTCAACGATAGGCGCAATGTAAGGGTTGTGGGCATTGAATGGACCCTTTTGCTTGCCTTCAAGATGGTTCTTGTTGGGCTCTCCCAGATAGACATCATCCGACTCGGCATCCATTTCAGGCTTCTCACTGACTTCAAGCACAGGCTCGTAGACGGCTTCGCGCTCCTGCAAGCCCATGGAATCGGCCAGATCCTTCCACATGGGTTCTTTCCAGGCCAAGAAATCTTCTTCCATGGTGCCGGCACCATCATCACCCTCACCAGCTGCACCGATTCTGTTGGCACCGAGTCTGTCAAGGAACTTGGTGACGTTGCGGACCATTGAGTTGTAGTGTTCGTAGGTATTGTTGCCGAGACCGAAGGCGACGTACTTTAGATTAGCCAGAGGCTTCTCGGAAATACCACCTCCCTGGTTGAAAGAGACGTCTTCGCTGCTGATGAACTCGTAGAATTCGACAGCGTTGTCGGTAGGCTCGCCCTCACCGTATGTGGCCAGGACAAACATGGCGACCTTGTCTTCGGGGAAAGAATCGAGGTTCTCAAAGTCGTACTCCTCGAGATCAGCCGTCATGGTCTTGAGACCGAAACGAGAAGAACCCTCTTTTGCCAGACGCGAGGCATAATCCTCAGCGGTGCCAGTCTGCGAGCCGTAGAAGATGACACAGTTCTTGGCCGACTCGTCCATCTTTTCAATAATGTCCCGAGTCTTGCCAGCCTTCGCGGCGGCACCGTTTGCGAGAGAGCCGGCATAGGGGTCTTTGGCGACGGCCCAGTAAGTACCCTTGGTGAAGTAGGCGACGGTGCCCAGGAGCAGGGCGGCCAGAACAACAATGTCGAGAGTATCGAGTTGCGCCATCTTGTCGACAAGTGGCCGGGAACGGAGTTGTACAAGGAGAGAAAGAGGGAGAGAGAGGCGAAGGCTTAGGAGACGAATAGTTAGGTGTCCACTGAGAGCTTGTGCGGGGCGGGCTTATCGAAACAAGCGCTCAACAGATGGAACAAGCGCGGCGAACGAAGGGCGACAGCAACCACCGAGAGAAAACACAATTGCAATGTAGGAAGGGACAAGAGGCAGAATGTCAGATTTCAGGAATGACTGTATCTAGGGGATCGGTGTACAATAGCCGTCTAAGGGGTTCGGAATATTATTATTGGTGGCATGATTCTTCTCAGCAGCCTTTCACATGTCCGCATCATGCAGAGTTGGGTGTGAATCGCCGGCGGAATCTTGCCGCCTTCGGCTCCACGATCTGCCGGCTCCGGCAACTTTTCTATGCGGACAACATTTTCAGTGTTTACGGCAGTTGGATGATTGCTGTGACTGATGAATGAGTGGAAAGAGCAAGACCAGTGGACGAGCCTCCAACAGACAAGACCTCGGCAAAGGCACTGCGCAAGGCACGGCGATCAGGAACGGACAGACATGCTTTCCTAATGGCCATGTGTGTTCATCTACTCGGCACAGACTCTATCGGCTTCGAGCAGGCGGTCCGATGGCATGAGGGCCTCGTGGCCTGCAGCAAGACAGGCGCGTTGGACAAGCGATGGGAGATTCAGGGCGGACGTAGTCGAGCGAGTGGTGCATGTCAGTCAGGTATCGATGCAGCGTTGGATAGTAGTGCAGTGTCAAGTAGATGGGCCATGTCCAGGCTGGTGGCACGAGTACTCGTGCTGTCCCCGTAGTCCAAGGTCCTAGGTCTGTAGAGGCGTGCAACCCCACACTTTGTGCATCCAAGGACAGGCTTGAGGCTTGGGCCTTGAGGCAAGAAGATACGAGTGCGCTCGACAGCCAACTGAAGCCTCAGTCTCTCCGTCTCTCGACAAAGCAGTAGCCGTCTGCCCCCCGTCGCGCTCCGTCTCCTCCGACCGACTGCCTGCGCAAGAGCGGCACAAGGCTCGCCGATGGCGCTGCAGCTAGACGCGCAATGAATACTCCCCAAAATGCCTCGCCCTCGCTGAACGACCCGGGCGAGAGCTTGGAAGCCTCGCAGACTTCGGCCTCTGGAATCGTAACCGCTTCGGCATCCGCTGCCTCATCCACCACCCGAGGGAGGGCCCCCAGTGCCGCTTCACGCGCCCCGTCCTCGCGCGCACACACACCCGCCGCCCAGAGCGAGTCCGTCGAGCGCAAGAATTCCGTGTCGTATGGTCACCACCGCCAGACATCCATTGTCCACGGCTATCAACACTCTCGCAACCCAAGCCATGTCTCTTCCACCGGCGCCAGTCCCATTAGTCCCGGAATTATCCTGGCCCAAGGAGCAAAAGATGTACCCATCCTGCGCCAAAGCCCCTCGTCCTCGACCTTGAATGCGCCTGCAGACCAGGTTCCTCTACGTCGTCTTGAACGCATGCATAGTGGTAGAATCAAGCGTGAGCATGAAACTCATCTGCATCATCACCATCATCACAACCACCGCCATCACCGCTCGCGTTCGCGCCAACATCACCAACAAGAGCCCACTACTGTTGGGGAATACGCTCTTCACCATTTGTTGAATGAGTTCATCAGCGAAGCCAACGAGAAGATCAATCGCTGTGTCTCGGAGCTTGATGATGCCTTGATCAGAGTCGAAGCCATATGTGGCCCTGGTGCCGACCACGCCTTTGACCAGCTGATCAAGGCTCTTGGTCACATTGTGCGCCCTCGCCCGAAGCCTCTGATAGATGCTCTGATGATATGGCGCAAGTCCAAGAGCGATGAGATGAGCCCTATCCATGCCCAGTTGCAAGCCGCCCGCGCTCAGGCTGCCAATAACTCTGCTACCATTCGTCGTGCCGACATCTCACAGATCAGTACGAACAGCAGTTCTGCCTCGCTCCCTTCACATACGGATCCAGCTGCTATTGCGACACTCGAGCAGAATCTTCGCCAGGGCGAACGTCGTTCGGCAATCTCGGTATATATCCTTTGCCGTGTGCTCATGCAAGTCATATCTCAATGCACGTTGGCCGCCTTGACGAACGATATTGCAGAGAGGCTCGAGGACGTCATATATGGCCAATTGCGCAACTTTGATTCTGAGGCTCTAGCATATTCGGCTCTCAAACAGTCACAGTGGAACATGTTTGGCCAGCTTTTGGGGATCATGGGAAATTTGCGCTTTGACAAAGTCGCCGATCGATATGTTTCGGATCTGGAAACTGCACAGAGACGTTTATCAGTCAAAGGTAATGCCGACAGGGACCTTGAAAATCGCACAGCTCTCCTCGTACACAGTATGCGATGGCTCAAAATTCAAACTAAGCCCGAACCCGCGTGGGATAAGTCCTGTGATCTGCTTAATCTCCTGGCCGGCTTCTTTGCAGGTGTACATGGGAAGCCGGTAAAATATGCATATTGCCAACTTTTCGAGGATTTGTTGCTGCCGGTTGCAAGTAAGGCTACCACCGAACTTAATTCGCCCAAATGGAGGCAAATTTTGGACATCCTCAAAGTCAGACTAAATCAGCTGCTCGCGAAGCCCAAGCACTGGGCTCAAGCTTTCCCTATACTTGCTGTAACTATTTGCGTATCACCCAACGATGTCTTTCAGCAGCAGTGGCTTTCGACTGCCCTTCACCAGTTACAGCCAAAACTGAAAGAACGTACCACACGTGGTCATGCCCTGAAAGCATTGTGTCGTCTTGTTTGGGTATATCTATACAGAGCTCCCGAGACCCAGCTCACGACGTTCAAGAAACTCGAAGACATAATTCGAATGGTTTTCATGACGGGCAAGAAGTCGCTACTGTCTACAGAGCCGTCTATCGCCGATCCCCTCATACAACTCATTCGTATCATTGGGTTCAAGCATCAAGATCTCTGCTTCAGATCCATCATTTTCCCCTTGATGAATGCAGATGTCATAATAACCGGTCGAGACCGACGGATCGAGAATCTCGATCCTGAAAAAATGGTCATCGCAATTCGCGCCTTTCTTGCCATCATGACTGATTTAGAAAAGGGTGAACAACCGCCGTTCCCCGTCAGCTTTGAGTGCGACGCACTCACAGATCCGTTCTCAAGATCGCCCAACTCTCACAGACGCTCCTTGTCTCAGAGTCAGCCTCCTGTCAACGGTGCCAAAGTTGAACGATTGTCCAAGCCTGTCATGACAGCAGGATTCGGCGACGTTGCAAAAGAGTCGTATGTCAAGTTTTGCAAAATTCTAGGCGAGATTACCATCATCTGCGACGAAACGTTTGGTGGGCAAAAGGTCCTGGACGAGAAGTTCTCTGCTCAAGCTATACCCAAAACACCCATGGCAGATGCTTTCAGTTTCAGTCGAAGGGATGAACTCTTCAACTCACCCGAGGTTCGCCAAAACTTCTATGATCTCCTCCATGTTGCAGTTCAAGCCCTCCCTCGGTGCTTGTCTCCCCAGATTCCTCTGAAAAACCTCATCAACCTGTTGTGCACCGGAACTGCTCACGTGCAGAACCATATCGCTTCATCAAGCGCACAATCTCTCAAGTCAATCGCCCGCCAGTCTCACGCCCAGCTGGTAACAATTGGCTTTGCGCGTTTCATATTCAATTTTGACGACCGGTACGCCACTGTCTCTGCCGGCAGTCTTCTTGGCCATGGTCATATAGAAAGCACCTTGCGTCTCTACGTTGAGCTGTTAGAGATATGGATCGAAGAACTGAAGTCACAGCCACAAATGGCAACACCCGATCTTCATGACGATGACTTTTCTCGTGGAATGCCCTCGGATCTCAATCGCTCAAGAGTTTTTGCCCACGTGGATGAGATCGAGTCGCACGGCCTCTTTTTCCTGTGCTCGCCCTCGCGCCATGTGCGAGCGTACGCCGTCAGGGTCCTCAGTCTCATCACAAAATTTGATACTGCACTTGGCCAGCCCTCTACACGAATCATCAGCGTCCTTGAGGGTAGCTCACAGCAAGTCATCGATGTCAACGACGAGAAGCTCTCTTTGGCCGAGCGCAGCCGTTTGCAGAAAGGCCTTAGAGCGAGCAATATGAACAACACCCTCGTTGAGCTTTGTAGTAGCGACACAGTCCATGATCTGACATTGTGGTCCAAGGCTTTTCCCAACTTGATCCGTCTGAGCTCGCAAATCTGTCCTCAAGCTGTACTTCTGACACGAGACATTGTCTGTGCACGTCTCTCACATGCCCACAGAATCATCGGCACACTGGCCGAGGGTCCTCGAATCAACACATACGCAGCTTTGGAAACTGCCTTCTCCCATCGCATGGTAGGGAGAACAGCTTTTAGTCCTCCCGAAGTCACTATAGAGCAATGGAAGCTTCATCTGATCTTTGCATGCACGACTCTCACGAACAGCGGTGGCTCGCAACAGGCCCCTGTCCCAAGCCAAAGCTCTCAGCACTCACGCAAAGGCTCCAAAGCCTCTACCATTGGCCAAGAGAAGATCGGATCCGCTTGCGAGTTGTTCACAAAAGTTGTCCCATTCTTGTCTGCTATACATCCTGGTGTACGAGAGGCAGCTGTTCACGGGCTGGGAGCCATCAACACCAATCTCTTTAGGCCATTGCTAGAAGCCCTTCAGCCGTCAGTGGCTACTTGCAGCGAGGATGCCAAGCAATGGCTGACAGCCCATCAACGATCAGTAAGCAGTCCCCGACGAAGCAGGCGAAGTGATACACTGCGTACCGAGCTCACCCATCTTTATCAACTGACGTCTCACTGCCTGTTTGAGACTGAGATCTACAATGACGAGTGGATACTGCAAAATCTCGTCAGTTTCACAAAAGATCTACGGATCTTCCTCAATGATGAAGATGTCCAAAATCAATGGGACTTTCAGAAACTGCGTACCTACTACTGTGGTCTCGTCGAAGTGCTGTATGAAGGCATCCACAAAACGAAGGATCCAGTCAGATGGATGCCATTCCACGCAAGAAAGGCAGCCTTCTCTATGATGGAAGACTGGTGCGGCTTTTCTCCAAATCAGACGCAGATACGACAGAAAGAAAATCACATGAGAAAGTCTATTCTCGACCAGGAACAAGATTCTCGCAATCGTGGAAACGTTACAGCCAAGTTGGAGATCGAAAAAAAGGACTTGCGGACTTCAGCTCTTAGCGCCATGGCAGCACTCTGTGCAGGTCCGGTCATGGTCTCTACCGATGGTCAAATCACTATGCAGTTTGATGTTCGCCGCATGCTCAAATGGATTGATGCCATCTTCGATTCAGCCAGCGACCGAACGCATGCGACAGGTCGTCGAGCTCTGAAAAACCTTCTGCTTTGCAACAAGGAACACGGTTTCCTTTTGTCTCATTCGATCGAAGAATGCTATCACGCCAAAAATCCCAAGGCACTCTTCAGTTACTTCTCCGTGGCCACCCAGGTCCTGACGGATGGCGCTGACGATAAGATACCCTTTTGGAAGATCCTGAGTGCCGCCTTGTATACTCTTGGCAATGAGAACAGTGAAATCCGCATGAAATCCGCGCGGTTGTTAAGGACACTTGAGGAGCGTTTGGGCAAGAACTCAAAGCTGCAAGATCTAGACATCAGTATCTCAGATAAGACAACCGCGGTCTACAAGCTGGCACAATTCGACATCTCTCGCAGACTAGCCAAACAACATGCAGACATGGCGTTCCATGTATTCTCAGAGTTTACCAGATACTTTGGAGGTCTTGTACCCGACCACCAACGTAACATGGTCGCAGCTATGTTGCCGTGGATTCAGACCATCGAACTTCAGTTGCTCCCAAGCGGTGGGCCTACTGCTAGCTCTTACATGTTGATGGTCAATCTTTTTGAGATCACAGCAAGAAGCAGCAGTGTCTTGCACAACGAGATTCAAGCTCTGTGGCAAGCTCTCGCCACAGGTCCTTACGGTGGTAATGTGCAGGTCGTTTTGGACTTCATCATCGCGATATGTTTGGATCGACGAGAACAGAATTTTGTTGATTACGCCAAGCAGATTGTGGTGTTCCTCTCTACCACAGCAGCTGGCCTCAAGGTTGTTGAGTTCCTCTTGCTGCAAATTACTCCCAAATCTATGATTGCCGAGAAACGACCACCTCCACCAATTCCTCAAGATATGACAGGTTTACCATACATTGCAGATCTAGCTCAGGTACTACCGATTGGTAACCGCCAGTCTGGCCTGTCTCTTGGTCAATTGGCATTGATGCTTCTTGTCGATCTCGTGGTTTCCCCAGTACAGCTCCCCAAGAACAAGATACCCCTTCTCCTACAAGTAGTGGTTGTCCAATGGGACCATTATACGCCGCTAGTCCAAGATCAAGCACGAGAGATGCTTGTGCATATGATCCACGAGATTGTCATCTCAAAGATTGGACCAGCTCATACCGGGCCTGACAAGCAAAGCATAGAAGATCTGATTGAGTCGATAAGACAACATGATCCCAAGGTTGTTTGGTCCTACGAGGAAACCGACAATACTGGTCCTGGGAGTGCCTCCAACGGTGTTCCCGAACCAATGATCTTCGTTATTGAGGAGGTGGTTCGCGTGCTGAGCTTCTCGTATGATGATCCGTCGGTTGGCGACGATATACGCAGAGATTGGGCGCGAATGAGTCTGGTCTGGGCTACGACATGTGCGGTTCGTCATGTAGCATGTCGCTCGTTCCAGATCTTCCGCTGTATCATCGATTCACTTGACAGACAGATGATGGCAGACATGCTGGCTCGTCTGACGAACACCATTGCTGACGATGAAAACGATTGTTTGACCTTCTCTCAAGAGATCCTCATCACGTTGAGGACCATCATCAGCGCCCTTGAGCCCGAGGACCTTATCCAATATCCACAGCTGTTCTGGACCACGAGTGCCTGCTTGGATACTATCTTCGAACAAGAGTTTCAAGCGAGTCTTTCCATGCTTGATCGACTTTTGGACAAACTGGATCTGAGTGACCCTGCAGTCATCAAGCTCTTCAACGAGAACAAACCCGCAAAGTGGGATGGGGAATTTGAGGGTCTCCAGCCACTGGTATACAAGGGCTTGAGATCCAACGTCTGTCTGGATCGATCGTTGGAGATGTTGGAGAGAATGATCAAGCTGCCGTCGAGCAGTCTGATTGGCGGCGACACCCGCTTACTGTTTACACTTCTTGCGAACCTTCCTCGATATTTACATCGTTTTGAGGATGACAGCAGCGATCAGACTTGCTTCGAATCTGCAGATTCTCTTGCAGCGGTTGCTGAAGCCCAGCAACTACCTGATCTGGCGTATGCGCTCGATGGATATGCCAACCAACGATACCGCAATTCCAATGACTTCCTGACACAAGTTGTGTCTGCGGCCAGAGCTGCCTTCTTCCCAGCCATGGAGTACCAGAGTTTGGTTTTTCTCATTGGCCTACTGAACAATCAAACCCCGTGGTTTAGAGTCACAGTAATGCAACTGTTGTGTGTTCTCATCCCACAAATTGATATGAGACGACCCGAGATAGTATCACAAGGGCCAGATCTGATATCCCCTCTCTTGCGACTTCTGCAAACCAGCTATTGCCAGCAAGCTCTCGATGTACTCGACAACATCATGTCCGTTACAGGCACGCCTCTTGACAACAAGCACTTGCGCATGAGCATGGCCGGGTCTCATTCAACACGCGCAACGCGTAAAGAGTACGACAGTACCAAGAGTCTCTACGGTATTCCCGAAGAATCTGGATGGTCAACACCAATGCCGGCCATCCAAGCTGAGCGGGCACGCAAGAACGTCATGGCCGTCTATTACACCTGCCTTGACACGACTATGGCAGACGGCACAGAGATCACCAGCACACCTGATGTAGCATTCACCGAGGACCAGTATGGATCCTACTTCGATCGTTCAGTATCAGCATCAGATTCGATACGCGCTGACGGCAGTATGAGCGAACTTGTATTGAAGCTCGACAGCTTGGACGACTTTTTTGACGATCGTAAAGCCACCACGACCAGAGAAAAGTCCCGCGGCTCAATCGAAGACCGCGAGAACGTCTACGAGCAGCAGACATTGCCAATTTTGCATAAATCACTCAAACGCAATGCCTCTGTCACATCCTTCCAGAATGGGTTTTCAGATGCGAGGTTCCGCGAGCCTCTCGTCATGAACCCTGGCGCCTTCGCATCGAACCCGGCAATAATAGCAACGAGGCCAGCGCTGCACGCGAGATCAGTGACCTCACCGATGGCAGCAATGAACCATATGCCCCGAGTGATCACAGATCTGCAGTCTGGCGAAGACACCGGTGACGAGCCCTTCTCGGATGATGATCTCTCGATATCTCGCATGGCAACCTCGGACGACTCACTTTCAATCCACAGCAGCAATTCGCGCAACCCATCCGCAGCTGGACTTCGAGCTGGCTTCAGATCTGGAATGAGAAGGCTCACTGGAGGGACGACAGATCGCAGAGACGTGAAGGGATTGGTTCGGCTGAGCCCTAAGGTACCACGAGTGCCGACAGTATGGTTGAGTAACCCAAAGAGTTCGGAGCTTTGAGGTCAGGAATGCGGGTTTTGTCAACTACACACATGAGAAAGCGGGCCGAGATGATAATTCAGACGTATAAGTATATAGCAATCACGGTTGCGGCGGTCAATGGTTACAATAAGAACTTAATTTGCACGACCTCTGCCTTTAAATTGACATCGTTGTTACGAGAACCCAGCGAGAAACGGATAAGTCGAACCTCTTGTCCTCAGCCTACGAGCCGTCCCGTTTAGGTTAGCGCGGGGTGAACGTCAGGTGCCATGGTTGGCCGTTGCTTTATTCGCCTCACAGCTCCTTTCTTACGATGCTGAAAACAAAATTCCACCTGTGTTGCCAGAAGTCTCCAGGCCCTTTGGCCCCATGTCATCTTGTACAGAGTCATTGCGCGAGTAGTCACATCGCCGACGCGATCTCGCGAAGCACTTGGAACAACGCAGAAGTGTGGGGGTTGGTAGAAAAACACATGGGTTGAATAAATTACAGAAAGGCCTTCTCAGGTATTGCTTGACAAACACGTGGTACATCTAATGGAATTGATAGAGGGAGTCTTGTTCCGTTCTCGAGACTTGTACGTTCGTAATGCCAGCAAGGCTGATAAATTGTGTCGATTGGAATCTACACACCATCGCGAGCAGGTCAACCTTCTGCTAGACCACTGCGCTGTGAGCATTGGCCCGATTGTCAAAGGTTTCAAGGCCCTTCCTGAGCCCCACAATCATCTCGTTGAAGTCAGCAGTCGACTTGGCTGTCTGTAACGACGTCTCACAACACGAATCTCTGCGAGTACGTTCATATCGGGCGGTCGCTGCATTGATCTTGAGTTGATCCGCTCCAGAATCTGCCTGCATGCTGACGAAGACTCTTGGGGAATCTCCTCTGCTGCCGTGTAACTCAAACGAATCATATCAATTTAGTTCATATTTTTTGAAGTCATCTTCAACCCGCAGATCCGTCCCCTGATAGCAAAGTGTCAGTTGTGGCAGCTTGGCTCCCCAGACCGCTCTTGTCAGTGTCGAGCCTGCGATATAGCAATCGCGTTCGAGTACGAGTAGCTCAACGGAGTCGAGATGTAGAGTGTCCACTACGGAGTTTCTTTCGTCAAACCAGACCGTCTGATCTCTGAGGCTTATGACCTTAATTTGAGACTGCAGGTCGGCAGAAAGGTCTTCGAGGAACTCCAGAGACTCGTCACATCCTCGATTTAGTCCGACCTTGTGATATAATGTGGATCTGTATATATGGTGCGCTTGGTGGTAGGCCAGCGATATCTTGGTGTTGATTCATTGGCGAACTGGCTTGAATAGGTCTGCGTGCAGCTCAATCCCGGGCAGCCACTCTGCCTGCTTATCGGCATCGTCATATGGCTCATCTTCTTCGTCACCAAAAGCGCCTTGATATAAGGTGCCAGTCGAAGGTATATTCAGCGCTGACTCCAGGATCATCTTGCTTTACCCCAAACCTAAGCCACGTCAGGGCAGGTGATAGCTTGAGTTGAACAATGTCGATTACATCGGAGATCTCTTTACTGAGTACCCTTGGCCAGGTTGGCAGAACATGGAAACCGAAAAAAAAAACATTCAGATCGCAAACATGCGGTCACAATTCGAGGCATGAAGTTGGTTGACCATCGCGTCGTGTTCTTGGCATTTGCATGCATCGCTTACCAAATATTCGAACAACACATCAAACATAGTTGGTACTCACTACCAAAAACAAACATCCGATGGCTACAGAAGCAGATGATGACTTGCAGTTGATCCGCGCTTCGGGAGGTCTCTTAGCCGATCTTCAGACCGCGCTCTCCAATTTGCTTTGGAAACGAGGAAACCAAGGCCATGTTCACCATCTCGTCCGCTCGCGCGATCTTGACCATGTGATCCAGTTGGTACATACCCATTAATTCGTCTCAGCTTGCAAATACATGGCTGATGGGATTACAGATCGAGCCTTTCCAAGGCGAACCTCAGCTGCTCGATGCTCACCTGAGAAGCTTGCTGCCTCCGATTGTCGAAGCATACCTAGCTTTCCTTCAAGTCTCAGAAGCCAAGTCTCCTTCCCCCCAGTCAGTCGCTCTCGATGTGGCGGCCAGTAAGCTGTTGTACACCTTCTGTAAGGTCAGGGGAGAAAAGATCATCATCGGCTTCCTTAACAACGAACCCAGACATCTTGAACTCATCCTGAACAATCTCGAGAATTTCAAAGCACTCAGTACCGACTTGAATTCTACATGGGAGAAGTCGTATGTCTTACTGTTGTGGCTGACCCATTTGATGCTTGTGCCGTTCGATCTGAGCTCGATCTCAGGTGCATCTCAGTCTTCTGAAGAGCATAAGCACATGGTTCTGGATGACAAGGTTCCATCCATCGCACGACGCGTCATAGCACTGAGTATTCACTATCTTTCCGCTGCTACCCGAGAACAAGACGCTGCAGCGAAGATGCTTGTCCGCTTGGTTACCAGACCTGATATGCAACGCCTTCACCTGCCAACTGCAGTCGGCTCATGGGCACTAACAAAGCTTCTGAATCCCTCGGATTCCCCAAATTCCAGTCTTCACACTTTCTTGGGTCCGCTCCGATTCTTAGTAGGCATGACAGTGTCAGTGGACACTGACGAAGTTGCAAGTCTTATACCTGCCATTTACTCTGCTGGTCAGAGGCTCATGGACGATGCCATGCTCGCATTTCTAAGCTCTTCTGCCGTCACCAAGAAACTGGTCGTGAAGCTCCTCCGAAACATTGCTCTACTGAGCCTGAAGGCCTCTTTCGACAGGCTTGTCAACTTCTTCGAGACATATGGCGTTTTGGAAGAGACTATCGAATATTGCCTACAGTCGCTCGACGACCGTGACACACCAGTCAGATTTGCCGCGAGCAAAGCTCTTAGTATGATCATTCTTCATCTTGACCCTGAGATGGGCCATGAAGTCGTACAGGCAGTCTTGGAAAGCTTCAAAGAGGATATGCCACAATCTACCTCAGAACCAGATTTCGGAGCTGCAAATGCTCTGAGGTGGCACGGATTGACGTTGACCCTCGCACATGCGTTGTTCAGGAGGTCTGCTTCAACACAGCAGTTACCGGAGATTCTTAACGCGTTACTACTAGCGCTCAGTTTCGAGCAGAGATCTGCTGTCGGCGTAAGTACTGGAAGCAATGTCCGTGACGCTGCATGTTTCGGTATCTGGTCTTTGTCTCGACGATACACTACCAAAGAACTATTATCAGTTGACACATCATTGATTGGATTCGACTTCAATCGGGTCGACAGGTCAATAATCCAGGTGGTGGCCATCCAGCTGTTGCTCTCTGCTTGCTTGGACCCAACTGGCAATATTAGAAGAGGATCTTCGGCAGCCCTTCAAGAGTTGATCGGTAGACATCCCGATCAGGTCAGTAATGGTATCGCTCTCGTGCAAGTTGTGGACTATCACGCCGTAGGACTACGTCAACGCGCGATGGTGGACGTGGCCCAGCACGCTGCGGACCTTGACTCTACGTACCGAGAAGCACTACTAAATGCGCTCGGTAACTGGCGAGGGCTTGGTTCTACTGATATTGTCTCTCGTGAGGCCGCAGCAGAATCTTCGGGTCTTCTGTGTGCGCCGCAAACACCACAGCAAGTCAAGGCTACTCTCGAGCATTTGCAGAAGTGTATCTTCTCTTTCCCGAGCTCCGATCTCGAACAATGCCACGGGTCACTGCTTGCGCTATCGCAAATAGTCGATACAAAGGTCCGCCAAAGCATTGGAGATGATCAATCAAGCTTGGATGACAGAAACCTGTCGTATCTGATCTCCTTGTGGGACTTGTTCAGTCAAGACACAAGCCTCTACAAGAATCAAACCTCTCGAGCATTACGTGCAGAATTACCATTCTCAGTAGCGAGGCTCGTAGCGTCTCTTGGCGAGCTTTCTTTGTTATTGAGAACAGCACATCTGGAAGTTAGATTGCACAGATTGACGTTGAGCCAAATCGTGTCTGGTTTGATCTCTTCCTCAGAAGCCTCTGTCTTGGTGGTCCTCCCACGATTGGTAAGAGTGCTTTCGAGGCTACACACCCTGGGTCATACCGACAGCCCAATCCTTTTATTCTCGGATTGCTTTGGAAAGGTTGCACACGATTATTCAGGGATGACTTTACACGGCTCAGGTCGCGTTATCGCTTTAGGCGCCGCATTCCCGTGGTTAGAAAGCGTCTACAAGCTCGACAAACTGACGGCTTGCAACCTTCTTGCGGACATGGTCAAGGATGCTCCCTTGACTGAATGGCGCACCGTAGGTCTACAAGCTATGGAGTTGATCATTCAGACAAGTGCTATAGAAGCCGATATCTTCCAGTGCTTGATTTCTGCGCTTGAAGCCGGCCTCAACGACTACACCATCACTGAGAGAGGCGACGTTGGATCTCTGGTCCGCTCCAGGGCTATTCAATGCGTTCAAAAGATATGGGCATCAGACCAATTACACCTTGAATCGACCTCCCGATATTTGCTAGAAGGAAACATCATCCGCCTTGCCTTTGAGAAGATGGACCGAGTTCGATTCCAAGCTGCAAGATGCCTCCAAGGAGACCTCGAGGCGTCGAAAAGGTTAGTCGTCTGCTCTTGAGTACCTTGATGGCTGACTGACAATATGATAGTGCTTCTGATGTGGACGTGACAAGTTACAAATACTTTTCATCCCTGTTCTCAGCACTGAATAACAACCCGCCAGCATGGAAACGCGATGCAATCTTGAAGGGAAGTGTATCCTGTGCTGGAGTGGGCGCCGAAGGTTTGCTACGAGCCTCTCGCATGGCTTTGGTGGACACGATACAACAGGGCAGCATCGACATGAGGATCGACTGCATTACTACTCTATCTGGCTTCCTGAAAGATTCAATGTTGAGAGAAGCTGAGACTCAACCTCTTTTGGAGCTTGTTGCATACCTACTCGATGCTCTACCCTCTATCGTCCCTTTGGACAGTCCTTTCAAGTAAGTATCATCCTACAGGTTTGGAGCCACATAAACTGATTCGATTCAGCTGGCGCGTTTTGTTGTCCTTGGTGCAGAAGTCACATTTCAAGTCCAACAATATCCCCCGGATACTCGCAGCCGTGGACGTGTATCAGGCATTGGTAGAAAAACCAACAACTCGCGCTGATACATTGAAGAAGCTTGCTAGCATGTTGAACACGAATCCATACCCAACGGTAAGAGAGTCGTATTCTGCAGATTTATCCCATTTACTAATCAGTTCAGGTCCGAACTGCGGTTGCCGATTGCTTGTTTCTTTCAGTAGGCGACCAAGCCTTGAAAGGAGTCGACTGGAGTAAGCCAGCCCAGAGATACAATCTGCCGGTCGATGTGCGGTAATGTTCCGCGATACGGAATTCGGCCGCTCTGCTATAAACGCTTCTTCTTTCCGCACTGCAGTGACACTCAAAGCGGACATGTGGGGTCTCCGCGAGGTCACAAGGTTCTTGCGGGGTATGTATTATAGTCTTCCTACATCAATAGGGTACTGCCTGTCTGAAGCCTTCTGCATTCTACTCGTATACCCTTTGCGGCTCTGAAGTCTCATCATGCTTTCTCTCTTGATCTCGGCCCTCCAGACTCAAGCCAATGAGCATCCATTTCGCTCTATCATCGTTGTCCTTCTACTGCTACCTCTGACTTACTTCTTGACCAACGAGTTTGTGCGAAGGAAGGCAAGATTGTCAGGCTTCGACGGGCCACCAGGAAAGCCGGTTGTCGGCAACATCCCTGATATCAAGTACAACGCCGCAGAGAAGGTACGGTTTGTATCTCACTATGATGTATCGTACATCAACTGATTGGGTCACAGTATCGAGAATGGTCAAAGATCTACGGCGACGTGTATCAAATCCAACTCGGGAACATACCAGTACTTGTAGTATGCAGTGCAGAGGCTGCTCGCGGCCTTTTTGGACAGTTCTCACAAGCCCTGAGCTCGAGACCGGTCTTCTACACTTTTCACAAAGTACGCGATGACCAAGATATGATTTACGCTTTGTCAAGCTAACCATAGGCTAGGTACTTTCGAACACTGCAGGAACAACTATTGGAACCTCGCCATTCAGCGAGAGTCTCAAACGTCGTCGTAAGGGTGCCGCATCTGCATTGAACAAGCCTTCAGTTGCCAGCTATATCAATCACCTGGATGTCGAGACTCTAGCGTTTGTCAAAGAAGGTCTCGAATACGGAGCTGCTGGTGACGAGTCGGTGGACCCAATGCCTATGATCCAGCGTTTGAGTCTGAGTCTGGCTCTGACATTGAATTGGGGTACCCGGATGGGAAGTAGAAATGACCCTCTATTCCATGAGATCACCGAGGTTGAAGAGGAGATCTCCAAGGTTGGTCGACCCCGCAACCAATGCAACACAATTCCGCTGACTATGAGCTAGTTCCGAAGCACTACCGGAAACCTGCAAGATTATATACCATTCCTCCGTCTGAACCCATTCAGTGTCGGATCCAAACGAGCAAGAGAGATGAGACAACGCCGAGATGTATATCTGACCAAACTGAACAAAGACCTTGACGATCGCATGGAGAAAGGTACACACAAACCGTGTATTCAGGCCAAGATTATTCAGGACAAGGAAGCCAAGCTCAACAAAGAGGAGCTCACAAGCATTAGCTTGACCATGCTCAGCGGAGGACTAGACACAGTCACGACGTTGGTTGCATGGAGCATTGCGCTCCTCGGACAAAGGCCAGACATACAAGAGAAGGCGGTACGAGAGATACGGAAAATGTACAGCGAAGAGGAGATTCTCTGCGACCCGGAAGACGAGATGAAGTGTGAATACGTGATGGCTCTGGTCAAGGAGTGCCTGAGGTATGTCCAGGCAGGGCGGATCGTGGTACAAGATGCTAACGTGTTCCAGATACTACACAGTTCTACGTCTAGCTCTTCCACGCGCTACGGTCAAGGACATCACGTACCAAGGCAAACTGATCCCAGCAGGAACCACGATATACTTGAATGCGTGGGCATGCAACATGGACCCCAAAGTGTGGAAACAGCCGGACGAGTTCATGCCCGAAAGATGGCTCGAGCAGCCAGATGCTCCATTGTTCACGTATGGAGTTGGCTATCGAATGTGTGCGGGAAGCTTGCTGGCGAACCGAGAACTATATCTCGTTTTTATGAGGATGTTAAGTTGCTTCGAGATTGAGAAGGGGACAGAGATAGAAACGCATCCAGTCAAGGGGAGTTCTGATGCGACAAGTCTGGTCACGTTGCCGCATCGTTACGAGGTCAGATTCAGGCCAAGAAACGTAGCAAAGTTGAGAGAGCATGTGCAAGCGAGGGAGAAGGAGCTGGGCGAATGCTGACGGAACGGAGTAACGGCGATTGTGTATATGTATCATCTGAGAGAGACCAAGACAAGACGGTGTTACAGCAATACAAACGTGAAGGCTTTTGATCAGTTCTCAGAGAAGGGGACCAAGGGGTTCAAGGATGCAAGACGTGACGGCCTCGTGCACAGACCACACCTAAAGCTTATCGTTATCGCGAGTCAAGGAGGACAAAGATGATGATTGACAAGACACTGGCAAGAGCAAGGGAAGCAGAGAGACAAGGATGATTTATCGGCTTGCGAGTGACGCCAGGTAGCTCACGACACGCTAGAATGACGACAGGGCCGCGCATGTTCGCCAGCCACGACTATCACGACAAACGCGACGATGACCTTCGCAAGCGACCCTCACAGGCGTGGTGGTCATGGGCCACCATTATGCGCCTGCGCCGTCGCCGCCTGGCAATGGGCGTGCTAGGAGCTTTTCTGGTCTGGCTGTTCATCCACAACATTCCTACCGACCTGGGCAGCGTGGACCAGCGCATGGGCCGTCCTCTACGGCCCGGTCACCGTGTCGGAGGTGTCGAGTTTGGCTACATACCACCCGCCCGTCCTGCGCAACCGAACAGCCATCCGAACCCTGCCTCCAACAAAGAGCCTACTGGGCCTCCGCCCAAGTCTCAAGCCGCCGGCCCGCATGAAGACCACTATTATGCCGGGCCCGTCAGATTCTACAAGTTGGCAAAGACTATCCAGTCCATTGCGCGCACCATGGGTCACCGAAAAGACAATAGGAATGTCTTGTTCGCCGCCTCGAACCTCAAGAGTGCCGCCAACCTGCTGCCCATGGCCTGCGAGATGGCTCGCATAGACAAGAACTTTGTGCATTTCACCCTTGTTGGTCGGGAGGCCATTCCTCTAGAGGAGGTGCTTGAAATAAATGCTGTCGATGGCGACTCTTGTGACATATTCTTCCACGATGCCCGATGCGACTACTCCGAGTACAGCACAGATGCTCGTGCAGAAGCCTCCGTAGTCGGTGCTCTGGGCCACATCAACACGTACATGCATCCACAAGCCATCATCATTGACGATTCTTCGGTCGAGGATGCCTTCTTTATCAGAGGTCTGCGCTCAAAGCTTGCCAATCTAGCTACTCCACTTATCGAGATTCCCAAGGGAAACTATGAGGACTTCTTGTGGATGACACGCCTCGACAGCGGCGGCTTGGCCTCGTGGCACAAGCCTAGCGTAAACATTCTCATCCATGCCCAGCCCCATTCATCTGGCTCACTCCTACGTCTTTTGCATTCCATCAAGACTGCCGACTACTCTGGTCTCTCCCACCCGGAAATCACCATTGACCTTCCTCCGGATGTTGAGTCTTTTGCACGCGATTACCTTAGAGACTTCGAGTGGCCTCCGCACCAGGACCCGACTGGCCCACGCCAACGCAATGTCAAAGTGCACCATCGCATCTCTACTGCAAAGACTACCACCGAGAACAATGCACTCCGATTTCTCGAATCCTTCTATCCTGTTGACCCTGACCATTCTCACGTCTTGCTGCTCTCTACCCAGGCTGAGCTCTCGCCTCTGTACTATCAATATCTGATGTACCATGTACTGCAACATCGCTACGCAGCATATGGCTCGGACGACGGAGACAACCTCTTCGGCATCGTGCTCGCCGCCCCTGATACCTACCTCAATGGTACAAGTCCCTTCCGCACCTTGAGCCTTTCTGACACCGAAAGAAAGTCCAAGGACTCGGAGGATCTGGCCGCACCCTTCCTGTGGCAAGCGCCTAACTCTGATGCCGCTCTTATCTTCGGTGATATCTGGGCCGAAGTGCACGATTATCTGAAGAACCGCCTTCGTGCTGCCCATGACGCGTCGTCCGTACACCAACCACCTACTAAGCGTGCCAAGCTTGTTTCTGAAACACAACCTGGATGGCTCGAATACATGCTGGAGTTGATGAGAGCCAGAGGTTGGAGAAACCATTATCCTGCTCAACTGGACGCAGGCGCATGGGCGACCGTACACCGAGACTTGTTCCAGAAGCCGGAAGAATATATGAGCACACCTCAAAAGATCGACGAACTCAAGGAAACAAAAGAGGAAGACAAGGCTGGTGAAGAGGAACCATTCCTCCGCGCAGAATCAGCCGCAGCACAGATTCGTCGCCAGGAAGAATATCTCGGACAGAAGGAACGTGATATGCTCCAGCACTCTCAGCCGTTACATGTCCTGTTGCCATACGAGACCGACCTCACCGAAATCGGTCATCTTCCAGCTCTAGAGTATAGCGGACAAAAGATAGAGCGCGAAGAATTTGGGAAGCTGGCAACAGAGTTCAGGCCACTGCTGAGAGCACAAGTCGGTGGTTGCAATGCCGCAGAAGCTTCTAACGATCGCAAGTATGATCTAGGCAAGACTGATGACCTCTTCTGCTTCATCGGGCAACCAGACTTGGAAGAAGTGGATGCAAGCGAAAAGACTGCCAAAGCCATTCTCGGCGACCATATCTCTGAGCCCGCATCTTATGCCGTAACAGATGTCAAGGAGTCCAAACCTGTCGCTGAGGAGGAGAAGCCAATAGGAGAGCAAACTCTGGACTCTGCGGCGAAACAGAAGCTGGCGCACATGAAGGCAGAGAAACCTGTCATCAAGCAGGTCAACCAGGAAGACACAGAGACAGAGACCGAGAAGGCACAGGTGCCTCCAGTAGATGGCCCCTCTCGTAAACATGGAGGGGGTACATTGAAGGCGGTGGTGGAAGATCTGGGGCCTCCGAAAGTGAAGAGCGGCGGCGCCTGATGATTGAAACGCCACAGCGTTGGAGTTCAGGCGCTGATCATGAGTGCTTTATCTGTATGATTGTAACAAATATCTGAATGTCGTTCTGCGAACCAAGACATGTTCTCCAACGATCTCCTTCTCACATTTCCTTGGTAGTTGCGTGCAAATTCATTCCCAAGTAAGAAAGTAATCCGCAAGGAAGACCGCGCTGATCCCGAGCTTCCTCACTCATCAATGTGGGTCTGTGTTGAGGTACCATTATTCGAAAGACAAGCTCATTTACAGTGAAGTTTTACCGATCCATGGCTTCCAATGGACAATTCTACCTGTCTCAAAACAAAAACGCTGTGCCTTGCGATGGTCTCTTTCTGGGGGACGGTGCTGATGGGGATAAGGTGTCTATGATCAGGAATGATCATACATGAATAAAAAAAATTGAACAATTGCCCCTGGTATATCCTTATCCACTATAAAACGCCCGTCATTCGTGCCAGTATCCTAGACAGCCCTCCATGAACCATCAAACGCCAGCCGGAAAACAAAAGCTCATGACGAATCAGACATGGTACCCTCAAGCATCGTGGATTCCCATCTCCTCAACGTCGCAGTTGGGGTGCACAACGTAGATGATCCTCTCACTCTGCTCCAAGCCCTCGCCAGCCTCATCTGCGAGGCCCTCGCCGCGAATGCGCATGAGAATGTTGTCCTAGCGAAGAAGTCAGTGACATGATCAAACAATAAACATGAGTTGGCTCCAAACTTACTCTGACCATCCTCTTTAGAACCTTTCTGATTAGATCTGCCATCTGAACCATTGCTTCTGGGCTCTCCAACTCATCTTCCTTCTGCTCACAATACCAGGTAACAAGGTCGTTTTCCTCAACACCATCCTCATCTGTCTCTTGATCAGAGTAGATTCTGCTGACAAGGATATTGATCAGGACACGGTATTCGTCCTGTGTCAGTCTGATTTTTTGCGGTTGTGGCGTTGGCTCCTCATCGTCACCCATGGTAGCGTCCTCCTCGGCCTCAGCCATCACTTGCTCTAGAAGGTCTGCTGAGTTCTCGTCATCGATGTCAATGTCGTCCTTCTCAACACTGATGATACTCTGTCTCAACAGCTTGAAAGCCTCGTTGACAAACTCTGGAGAGATTTCATCGACACAGTTTGCCTTTGCAATGGCTTCACTCAGACGGATCATACTCTCGAGCTGTCTGACGGTGATTCTGTAGGAGTTTCTGCCGACGCCTCCTTGCGAATCATCGGCACGAAGTTCCTTGTATCTTTCGACAAGAGTAGTCTTGGCTTCTTCCGTAAAGACGGGTTGGAAGAGACGGGCGAAACGAATGTAGCGTTGCAGTGTCTCGGTGCTGAATTCGGGCTCAACAGCATCGTCACGCAGGCGGTGGACATTGACAATATGTTGCGCCAGCTTCTTGTCGACAGCCTCGTTGCACTCGTCAAGGACGACGAAGAAAAGATCGAAACGAGACATGATGGGAGCGCTCATGTTGATGTTGGCTCTGAGTGTAGTCTTGCGGTTATAGCGACCACCAACAGGGTTAGCAGCGGCGAGGATGGAAGTACGAGCGTTCAGAGTGGCCTGGATTCCAGCCTTTGCGATCGAGATAGTCTGCTGTTCCATGGCTTCGTGAATAGCAACCTGGTCGGCGATGTCCATCTTGTCGAATTCGTCGATGGCGCAAATGCCGTTATCAGCAAGCATCAGAGCACCGGCTTCAATGGTGAACTCTCCGGTCTCCTCGTCCTTGACAACAGCAGCAGTCAAACCGGCGGCAGATGAAGCCTTGCCGGAAGTGTAGACAGCGCGAGGAAGGAATGAGCAGATGTACTTCAAGAATTGCGACTTGCTGGTACTAGGGTCGCCAACAATGCAGATGTTGATATCGCCACGAAGAGCCATTCCCTCGGCGGTAGATTTACTCACACCACCCATGAGCTGCAAGAGCAAACCCTTCTTGACGACAGTATGGCCGTAGATCATAGGAGCAAGAGAATCTACCAGGCGCATGAAAATGTTGGGAGCGTGGACCATGGCTTTGAGCTCGTTGATCTCGTTGGAGCTGAGCGAGGCCAGGTACTCGGTCTGAGCGTCAGCACCGATGTTGTCCATCTCCGAGTTCTTTGCTTGGTTGAGCGAGCTCATGATGTTTGTAGCCTGGCCTCTGAGCTGTTGAGTAGAGGCTTGGCCAGCTGTAGTGGCGTCAGGAGTGACCATGTTGGCCAAGAAGGCCAAACGGTATGTAAGCTCGCGCACACCCAGAGCTTTCAGACCGCCGACTCCACTGCCGCCGGCCTCGGCACCTCGGGGGGCAGAGCTTGTGTCGCGAGTGGCTTGAGGACGTTGGCCGGGGACTCTGAACTGGCTGACATCAGGAACGACGATCAGAGTGCCTGTAAAGATGCACTTTTCACCAGCCTTTGCGCGATCGACCATTTCGCCGCGAAGAATGACATCCATGGTTCGAGGCATACTGCCGGTAGGGATCTCTGAGCTGTTCTCCTGGATACGGACTTTCTGCCAATCGACAAAGGTGCTCTGACGGATGTCCAAGCGCCATGCTTGACGGTTACCGCAAGTCAAATTGGGGCATTGGGTGGGTTCCGAGTAACGGAAGATTTGTTCGACATTGGGGACCAGAGTGTTGCAGACTTCGCAGACGAAAGTGGCCAGCGAAAGCTCGGGACGAACTTCGGATGTGCGGGTAACGGTGCCTGAAATGGACAAGAGGGAGCCAATCTGGCTGGTGCGCAATTGGCGAACGCGTGAGACGAGGGGAAGGTTGTAGAAAGCAAGGGTAAAGACCCTGTCGGTTTGTTGGTTCGTTGTCATGGCTTGTTGAGCTACAGAGCCTTCTGTCGTGTCGACTGAAGCATCTGATGTGTTGGGCATCGAAGTGCCGGGCTGACGATGTTGGCGAAAGTAGCGTGGAGCGTGGGTGGCGATTTGGTTGTGGAGAGCGCGGATCAGGTATGGGTGATAGCGGTAGAACTGTTCCTGTATAGCATTGGCAAGGACGTTTCTTTCATCCAGCAGATGCTTGTAGTCGATGTACAGGGTGGACAGATTGTAGCGGGCCAGACCTTTGATCTGCTCGACATAGTACCTGTCGGTGGAGGGGACGCTGGAGGCTGGCAGCCCGGACGGCGCGGCGGGCTTTTCGGTGAAGGTGCTGAGGAAGTCTTCGAATTCCAATGAGATTGCTTCGCCAGTGCCATCAGTGACCTGCTGTACTTCGGGTCGTGGACCGGCTGTCGATGGGCCTCGTCTGCTGCCTCGTACGCCGACGACCTCGTCTTCTCCAAAGGTAAAGGGTGCATCGCTGTTCAGCCCAGGGGTTCTTCCTGGCGTGCTCACTGACGGCGGGCCTCTTGGGCGCGGAGTCGGCCCGCCAGTAGATTGATCCATCGGTGTGCGTGTTTCATGGTCGTTGTTGTCTGAGCGGATGACGGCGTCAAGCAAAGACGACATGTTGAGCGTGTAATGTGCAATGTCGTGTTGTGCGTGCTAAACAAATCATGCGAATGTTGTTTTCGGCCAAGCCATTCGACGCGGGGCAGAGAGCGCGTGCGGCAAATCAATCAAGGCTCAATTAGGTTAGTCGAAGCGTGGGCGGCTCGGCGGCTGGAGAGAGATTGTCGTCGTGTCCGAGCGTCGAGGCTTTCAGGGTCGCCCAATTGTTCATGGTCCGATTATTGTTTTCTCCTTGTTCGCTGTTCCGCTTGCTCGTCCACACTCCTTGTCGCCAGAATGAGCACTACCACTACCACCACTGTCGCCCAATCGGCCCCCATCACCGCTGAGAACATTCTTCGCCTGTTTCCCCAAATAAACACCTCCCTGGCCAATGCCGCTTCTGCCACCCAGGACAATGACCTCGAGGGTTATGATGAGGAGCAGATTCGCCTCATGGACGAGGTCTGCATTGTCCTCGACGAGAACGACTTGCCCATTGGCAGTGCCAGCAAGAAAGTTTGTATGTACAATTCTGTTCTGCCCTTCTGCACCTGAGGCTCAGTAGCTGACTCTGTCTTCGAGGCCACTTGATGGAGAACATTGAGAAGGGTCTGTTGCACCGCGCCTTTTCCGTCTTCCTTTTCGACAACAAGAACCGTCTCCTGCTGCAGCAAAGAGCCTCGGAGAAGATCACTTTCCCCGATATGTGGACCAACACCTGCTGCTCGCATCCTCTTGGTGTCCCCGGCGAGACTGGCTCTACCCTCGAGACTGCCATCATGGGCGTCAAGCGTGCTGCTCAACGCAAGCTCGACCAGGAGCTTGGAATCAAAGCACACCAGGTCCCTCTGGACAAGTTCCATTTCCTCACCCGCATCCACTATGTCGCTCCCAGTGACGGCAAGTGGGGCGAGCATGAGAGTGAGTTTAATGCTCAGATGATGTCTTTTGCAATACAAACTAACATTTCCCCCCAGTCGACTACATTCTCTTCATCAAGGCCGACGTTGACCTTGCCGAAAACCCCAACGAAGTCCAGGCCACCAAATACGTGACCGAAGACGATCTCAAGACCATGTTCAAGGATGACTCTCTCCTATTCACACCATGGTTCAAGCTCATTTGCCAAAGCATGCTCTTCGAGTGGTGGGGCAGCCTCGACCAGGGCCTCGACAAGTACAAGGGCGAGACTGCCATCAGACGCATGCTTTGATCTTCTGCTTCGGATTCGCAATCCTTGCATAAATTCCCCCTAACCTTTTTTAATATACATGCGACGGCCCAGGGCATTGGGATGGCATTGGAAAAGTCATAGCGTTTGAAAGAGATACCCTATTATTATTATGCACAAGCACTTTTACAGCAGATGATGCCCAGCTTCCGATTTTGACAGGCTCAGGTTTGGAAGGCACGAGGGACAGATTATCCAGGCAGATCATGAGGCGTCTGCTCAGAACAGAAGTCACGACCCTGCCTGCTTGAACCTCCCAAAACGTAGCCCAAATTGCTTCTCGCTCGGATGATGCATCATCACAGAAGCATCTCAGCATCATGTCTGTGCCTTCTGTCAGGAAGAAGCGTTTGGCGACTTACTCCAAGAAGACACTACGGATTGATCCTCGTTCGACCTTCGCTTCACCAACTTCGCATGATCGCCAGACTCAGAGAAGACGAGTCACATTGACATCGCCCGCCCGTGAAGCCAATCTTCCCACAAGCCCCAGTTCGCTTTCTCTGTCGCCCGAGAGCAGCCATGGCGACGAAGAGCACCAAGCTCCAGAAAAAGTCAGCCCATCGAAGACAAGAAAACGCGGCAGAAAACTTGCAAAGCCTCTTCAGGCGCACGAACACACGAGCACCCAATCATCCAGCCGTGCAAACAGTCCAGTGAGCTCTTCCGAGAGCGACTCTATTTCCGACGCCTCTTCTATCCCTGTCATCGTTGCGCAGAGGCAAAAAAGACCTCGACTCCTCACTACGCTCAGGAAATCATTGAACTTGCAAGCTAAGAAATCACGAATCATCCAACAACGACCTACAACCGCCTTATCTGCAGCAACGCTCAAGGAGGTCCATAGAGGTGCTGACGGCTTCGACGAGATTCACCTTGTGCCGATGACGCCAGTGCAGCGGAAATCAAAGAAGCGTTCAAGTCGTCTCATTGCTTCACGCTCCATGCTAGAAGTCCGCAAGGGCCCACATCCACCTGTCCATTTTGACCATCCTGAGTGGAGTATGGTCCCATACCAAATTGCTCAAGATGACAAGCAGGCGGAGGTGTTTGAGACGATCGAATCTGTCGAGGGCGTCGCAAAGATTGAGGCCGCTGCCGCTATCTCTACAGTCAGTGCTCATGCCGAAGGTGAAAAAGTCGAGAGTGCACTCAAATCACCCAAATCGCCCAACAAGCCATCCATAAAAGATATCAGTCTCTACGCTCAGCTCTCGTCGGTATCAGCGCCCATCGTACGCAGAGGATCAAACGACGAGGACAGCGAAAACGATCTCGATCACGGACTCACGGCGGAAGAAGAAGACGACGCCTTCGAAGAGGAAGCGGATCGCGCAGACCAGGAAGAAGCACGGGATCGTACAGTCCGCTAGCAGCGTGGCGATTTAGCAGCATCCAGACAGTCTGAGCAGGAATCGACACATGGGACAAGTGGTACGAAGTTGGCTTCGATTGAACGGGAATCAGTACGCCGAGGCGCATCGCCTACCAAGTCATGGATCTCGGAGACGGTTGTTTAACAGCTCAAACATGTGCTACTAGCTTTAATGAGATATATGATAATGTTAGAGAATGCTTCTTCGTGCTATGCTTGCTCTTGTTGATTGTCTTCGTCTATGATTAGATTGATAAGATGGATTAGATGCGACAAGGCAACCCCGCAAAAGGCGGCAACAAAAGTTGAAACTGGGGAATTTTTCTTGGTCGTCGGACGGGCTTCACCTTGGTGGCATGGATCTACTCGACACAGGTTGAAGGAGAGCAAGCAAACAACGATGGGATCCAGCGCAAAAAAGAAGAGAGAAAAGAAGCAAGACTTCCAAAAGACCAAGCTCAAAGTCGGCAAGACAAAGGCCAAAGCCGCAAACTTTACCGACACCAGTTTCAAGGCCAAGTCGATTGTCCTCAACCAGCAGTCGCTGACTGCGGCCGCGCCTTCCATCGACCAGCAATTCACACACCAGCTGTCGCTCTGCAGCTCAAAGACCGACTCGCAACGTCGCGATGCCATCAACTACCTCACCAACACAGTCGCCGAGCGACCGAACAACCTGCCCCTACCCGTGGCCACCATCCTCCCCAAGATTCAACCTCTGATCCTCGACGCCTCCAACTCGGTGCGCGCCGCACTAACGAAACTGCTACGCGCATTACCTCCCGCTCACATCGCTACCCATGTCGACCACATTCTCCTCTACGTGCGCGCAGGAATGACCCATCTCGCTGCCGAAATCCGCACCTCCTCCCTCGATGTCCTAGAATGGCTGCTCCAAACTGCTGGTCAAGAACTCGTCTCCTGCGCAGGCGGCTGGCTAAAAACCTTACAATGCTTCTTGACATTACTGGGCTGGCAATCAAGCAAACAAGAACAAGCAGCCGGAAACTGGTCATCTGAGCGCGCTGTAAGCTTTGGGAAACCGGGCTCTGCGGCCTCGAAATTGTTGATCAAGCAATTGAATGTTTTGACCATGTTTCTGAGGGCTGGTTTCACGGATGCGACTAGTGCTGAGGATGCTGGACCGGCGAATGCTTCTTGTTTCCCGCTGTGCAGTACGGAGCATCAAGTTCTCTATGCACGCTCGAACCCCTTCCGCGGTCTCAATCTTTTTGGAGCACCCAAGGATGCAGAAAACGCCATGTACGACGATGCCGAGGCGAGGAAGAGATCGTTCGACGATGTCGCTGTCCGTGCTGTTGCTCGTGGCATTCAAGCCGCAAAGCAGGAAGGAGGTGAAATCGGCAGGGCTGCTTCTGGATTGGAGAAGGCTCTCGTCGACGGTATGGGCGAGTTCCACAGAGATGTGGAGTAGATGACAGGGATGCTTCTTCGATCATCTACAAGTTCACCAGGCAAATCTACCAAAAGCCTTGTTTGTGTGACACTCTCTCCTGGAGTATATACACACAGGATTATGAGCACTCCGCAGCCTCATGCTTGTCCCTCAATCAACTTGCGCCAGAAACTTATATTCTCCATGAACGAGGAATCACTGGCCATGGCCCTCGAGCCAAGGAGGACATGTTATCAGGGGGCTACAGGAGCTGTGTCTGTAGCACAAGATCCAAGATAGTCGTGGGGCATATGGGTCGGAATGAACTTTCTTTTCAGTTGCTAGCTAGCGAACGGCAAGTGACTATCGAGCAAAGTTGTTCGACCCTCTTATCTGCATTTCTTCAAGTTCCTGCCTCTGATATCTCTTTTGACAAATGTGCTATTCATGCCATGCTTCTGGAACGTTGGTACGGTTGCAATAATCCCATGTCTCAAGCTGTACTGCTGCCCTCGTCTCCGCCGTCAGTGTCTTCACGACAGTCACAGCCATACTTGGCTCGGAACTCGTAGGGAGCAACACCTTCGAGCACCTCCACTGCCAGAATAGCTGCCTTGATGTTGGAATATCTGCCAGACTTGGCTCGCCAGACGCCGATAGGTTCATGATCATGGATCATAACCCCCGACCAGAAGAGTGGTTGCATGCCGTCGACAGTCTCCTCACTATTGAACAAGTTGTATTCATGGCAACCAAAGTGTTTCTGCATCACGTTGTGAAGTCGAGTCTGATGTCACCCGTCAGCGGCTGAAAGGATCATGTGGATCTTCTTGATCACTTACCACAGGGTGATTGTTTGCGTAGTCGTCGTAGATCTCCATGTCTGTGAAAAATGGTTTCATGTGCTCGTCAAAGAAGCGCTGTACGACGGTGTAGTCGAAGTCGGCATCAATGAACATGGCACCGACGTATGCTTCAACTATGTCAGGTAGACACTAGATCATGTTAGGACATGGCCACAGAAGAAGTGGTCACGGTTCTCACCTTGGGTCCTTCCTTCACCGTAGTCCAGTAGTCCATTGCTCCATGAGATGCTGCTTCCGCATCTGTGATGTCAGTGACATAGTTTGCGATTTGTTGACGCAAAGAATCGTGGTTGAAAAGAAGATGCTTCCAGAATCCAAGACGGACACAGACTGCTCCAAGAAACTGATTGGACACCATCGCCATCTTGTGCTCGGTCAGCCACTGAGGATCCTTATCAGGATGATTGTAGAAAAGATGGGTGATGCTTGTCATATCAAGAAGCGAGTCGCCCAAGAACTCAAGTCGCTGGTAAGACGGTATACCGGCAGACCAAATGTTGGGGTAGGAGGGATGATGAAAAGCAGCCTGGAGCAAACGCGGATATCTGAAGTGGTATGCGTGCTCCTTTTCTACTCTTCTAGCGAGTTCAAGGTTCGCAGCTCTGGCATCGGCTACCTGGTATGCTGGCTTCTCATATGTGCGAGAATAGTCTTTCCATTCCATCATGGTATGGTCAGGGCTGTCCACAAACTTGGTGACAGCCTTGACAGCATCACGCCAGTGTTCTGGCCGCCATTTTCCAGGCTTATCATGAGTGAGAAATGCGGCACCCATGAGTGCTTCGCACACGTCTGCAATTGTCTTGTCACCGAGTGCATGCTTCATAGATTCAGAGCCGTTCTTGTTGGCGCCTTTGCCTTGCAAGAGCTTTAAGTTACTGGGATACCACGTGCGTCTACGTGCTGTTAGCTCAAGGGTCGCCTAGAGACAGATCTTGATTGTACAAACTTACCGAGAGAATGAGCTGCTGCGAATGTTCTCGTAAAGCCTGAGCTTCTGCGCAGTGTTGAAGAGGTTTTGGTTGCAAAGAAGCAGCATGCGTTTCACGTGGAAATCGAATTCATTGTCGTTGGGGTTTTGTGTGAACGTGGAAATCGAGGTGGCCATTTTCAAGAAACAGTCCCCCAAGAACTCGAGACGTTCGTAGTTCTTTCCCATACCACGCTGAAAGTTGATGCGTTCATGGTTCCGATGCTCTTCGGTATTGTCAGAATCCTTGGTGATAGCTTCTAGAGCTAGAGGTAAATCCACGGTCAGATCAAGTTCTTCACACGTCTCCATTGCGATGAGGTAGTCATCAATGCGGTGAATGATGGCAGGGAAAACGTAACAGGTCGCTACCACGGGAGTTGGTAACTACTAGTCATTAGCTTTATTCATCGAATCCTTGCCTGTGTACATGCAGAAGAGATGGGGAGTGGGTACATACAGAAGAGATGATGAGTGGCTCAGGACATATGAAGCTTCGAGTCTTTGATCTTTCTTGCTCTTCCTTGTTAGTAGGTTCTGCGAGCATGTTACGTCTGTGTAGTATCTTTTCGCCTTCCAGGACAGGTTGATTGGGATTCCAGCAAGTCTTCTTCTCCTTGTGTGTCTTTTGCCACAGACTGACGGTGTAGTCGATAATGTCAGTCTGTCTCTTCGAAGCAATACATCCTTCAGGAACGGGATCCGAGGGTTTGTACTCTGGTGCAACTCTCGAAGAATAGAAGCGTCGACCACCGTCCCACTGATCAACATAGAACTTGTCTACCAAAAACGAACCAGGCATCCCTGGTGACCATTGGAAGCCCTTGTCGTTCTCATAGACGTAGTCTACAGTTGCCCAGTCGATGAGTTGGAAAGGATCAGCTTTGGCATCAGGGAACTGATTTGACTGCCCAGATGGTATCAGCCAGTAAGGCGTGTTCATCACATCAAATTCATACGTCTTGTTGAAAAGATCTTTGAAGATACGTAGTGTGAACAAGGTGAATTTGGCTAGTTCGACTTCGGTGACTTGACATGCCGTAGCGAACGATGTCAATTTCACATCTGTCCTGCGAGCGTCGTTCAGAAACAAGGGGAACTCGGGGAAGTTGGGCATCGGCTTTCTGGTGACAAGGAATAGAGGCTGGTGAGGACGCTCTAGTCCCTGCGGCATGTTCAAGTGAGTGAGATACACTGTGGTTGGGACCGAGTTGCGTCCATCGTCCCAGATGTGAGGCTTGATACGCAGATCGTACATGTCGGATTGCTTGGAACTCAGAGCTAAAGCTGCGTTGCGCATCGACGGCAATTTCTTGGTGTAAATTGGGACGAGATTAGGGTCAAGGTGTTTTGACATCACAAGCTCTTTGCAAGCCTTGAAAGCTGCTGAGCGCTTCGCAAGAGATTTCTTTGTCATGGGGTCGCCAATTGATGAGCGCACAGGTGAAGGGTCAGGAATGATGACTTCACAGACAAAGCGCCCACCTTGATTTGTAGTGATGTAGGTAGGCTGTAAAGCTTCCTCGCCTTCCTTGGGGAGACTGTCGACGAAGTGTGATAAGATCTGAAGGGCTGAGCCGAAAGTGATCTTTGCGCCAGTGCTTGGAACCACATGTGTAGGATAGAGACTGACCATGTCTTGAGTAAAAGTCATGTCGTGATCACCTTCAAGTTGGCGATCGGCCGGAAGAGCTTCGCAGAATGAGCGCATGACGTGCTCCGCTCCCCGATTCTCGGACAGTATGGTGTCGTGGTCCCAGTTGTTGACCTCTCTCATATGCAAAAACTTGGAGTTCTTGTGTCGGGCACGTCCACGCGATTGGACGTATTGAATCATTGTTTTACAGATGTCGAATCTGACGACCAAATTGCAGTCCGGAATGTCTAAACCTTCTTCGGCAACCGAAGTTGCGAATAGGCAATTCAGCTCTCCTTTGCGAAACTTGATGAGTGTGACGACTTGGTTGCGGAAAGTAGACTGAACATCGTCGAGACGGCCATTTCCAGCCCCAATCAGTAAACCGGCACTGAGATGAGTGCTGCCGATGGTATCAAAGACTTTGTGTAACAAGTAGGCAGTGCTTCTTTGCTCTACAAAGACAATGCAGCGATAGTCTGACGGGCGTTCGTAGTGATGTCCGAGATAATTATAAAGTTGTTGGACTTTGTTGCTGAGATCCGAGAGATCAGCTCGAGGTCTTCCGAATTCATGATTGGTAACCATATCCATGGCTTTTCGAATCTGTTCTACTTCGAGATCGGCCTCGTCTGTAGAGCCATTCATACGTGCAGCTTTCTCAACGCGAGACTCTAATTTTTTTGATCGTTCCTCAGCTAGGGCGAAACCCCAGTAACGATCGGCACACCATTCTCCGAGATGTGAACGGATCTTCACGGCACGTTCAAATATGTCGTCGAGGAATCTGACACTACCAAAGTGGTTCTTCAAATCTTGATAGAGTTGACTTGGTGCGGGAATGGCTGGTGAGGTTGTGTACGACAGTATCTTCTCATCCGGCTTCGTGACTGCGTTCTGTAGCAGGGCGAGGTCGCGTGCAGTAGCAATCTTGCTGTTGAGGATGTTCTCGAGATCCCTGCGCGGTCAATTGGTATATGTACAATGACCTACACAAAAGGACTTACCTGGCAGCTTGGCGCACATCGACTCTTGCATCAACAGGCGAGGCTGTCATACCAAAGATTCTAGGACGAGCGCCCTCATCAACATCGGTCAAGTAGAAGTCCTTGATGATCTGAGCATACGCATGGCCCTTTTTGGCATGATGGGCCTCGTCGAAGACCAGTAGGTTGATCTGGCGCATGGAGATGAACGAGCAGCTTAGACAGCTCTTGAGGACATCTGGAGTGCAGACGATGACATGGGTTTTGGCGAAGCGTTCTTCCCATACCTGCTTGCTCCACTTATCAGTCATCATTGCACCGCACAATCTATCAACATCATAGTCGAGATTGCGCTCTAGAACCGCGAATTGTTGAAAGACAAGCGGGACCGAAGGCACCAAGAAGAAGGATATACGATGCGGCTTTCCTTCCAGACGGGCTTGGAGCTCCTGCTCGATGGTATGGCGAAGAAGTAGAACAGCAATCAATGTCTTGCCTGAGCCAGTATCCAGGACGGCGATGGTATTTTGATGAATTGCGCGCTGATAGAGATCGAGCTGGTATTCTCTGGGGGTGGTGATGATTTGGGTGGTCTCCTGACTAGCAAGCAGCTCACGGATAGACAACTCCTCATCTGCAGTTGCACGATTGACCTCCTGAGCGACTTTGCGGATATCCTTGATAGCTGCGCTCTGTAACCATGACTGGAAACGAAGTTTGCGGGTTCGACGTTTCTCGGTGGAAGAGAGGGCAATGGGGGTTGTGTCGACGTCAGCTTCGCCATCGCTTTCGCTGTCGGGGTGATGGTTGTGCGACTTTTCCAAAGGTGGTGAGGCTGCCATGCTCAGATGGCTGCGTCAAGGGTTGTGTGTAAGAAAAGCTGGGGCTGTGGGTGACAGACAGAAATGGAAGGAGGAAAAGACGAGAAGAGGCGAAAGGTGGGTGGCACGATGTGTGAAAGGTGAGGGACAGGCAACAGCAGACGGAAGGGACGACACTCTTTGTTGAAAGAAGTGATCGGATAATTGCAGCAATGAACCTGTCAGATGCAGGGAGCCACCGACACTACCTGAGGTGAAGAAATGGGTTGATCTACGCGGCAAAGCAAACACATTGCCACATCTACAATAACTCTCTCGATGGCGATTTACGAAGGGATACTCACGATCCAAGGCAGAGTAGAGTGTAGCTGAGATTATGGAGGGAGGTGATAGAGAGTGGCGGGAGGTTGATGGAGGTGGGCGAAAAGGTGGCTGGCCGAGTTGGGCGTTTCATGGAGCTCGGATGATGTCAAAAGTTCCACCAAAATGGAAAGCTCGACATTCTACATTCTACACAAGCAGAACAACGACATGTCAGAAGAACCGCAAACACTCAAAGGAGCATGGCAGTCGGCCGAGAACAAGCGCAGGCAAATCGAGACTTCTTGGGAGACAAATACACCGGCCCACCAAGCGCTGGTAAATGCCGCCATCAGCAGCTACGAGCAGTGCCTACGCATCCAAGACCAAATCGCCCTCTTCAGTCCCAACGAGTCTCTGGAAGACATTGCCACGAATGACTTGCATCATCTGCTCTCTCAATACCGTCTCGCCGACCTAGTCCAGCGCCTGTCCTCTCAAGACCGCAAGGCCGTTTTGCGCCGCGCCCAAGACTCGTACGAGAAGTTCCTACGACAGCTGGATCTGTACGACATGCTCACCTCATCCGATCTGAAACTGCTCGAGCAATACCGTGACTCCCCGACTACCTTCTCCACTGCCTCGACGTCAGATCCCGCCGCCCGTCGCGAAACAAAGATCCTCCGATTCAAGCAAGAGAAGGACCTGAAGCAAAAGCTACAACATCTGCAACAAAATCCTGCTGCCCTGCAAAATGACGACGACATGTATCGCAGCCTACAGTTGACACAAATTGAATTCTGTGTCCACCAGACTTATCAATCTCTGGAGTCAATAGCCCAAGAGCTTCACATCCTCTCACGCGCTCCTCCGCCACCACCACCTGGTCAAGAATCGTTGCCTTTTGACGCTAGAGAGCGTTACAAGAACAACGACGGCTACTCGGAGAAGCTGGACGGCCCCATGTCTGCTGGTCTCTCAGGCCCTATGCTAAGCAAAGACGGCAAACCCTTGCGCCCATTTACACTTCTCAACACCCGCCAGACATTAAAAGACGGCGTCTTCCGTCCGGACCACAGTCTCCCCACCATGACCATCGACGAGTACTTGGACGAAGAGAAGCGCCGTGGTGGTATGATCGAAGGAGGCGGTGCACAGTCTGGTATTAAGCCAGAGGTGGACGAGGATGACTTGGACAAGGCCGACGAAGAAACCATGAAGGCCAGAGCTTGGGACGAATACGTCGAACACAATCCCAAGGGCTCTGGTAACACTTTGAACAGAGGCTGAGAAGGTTTCGTCTCCTGGTCCGGCTTTCGGATCATCTGGAACACTGTCTAGGTAAGGCCATTCGAGTGGGCTCTCCGGGCTCCTGGACCGAGCAACATCTGAGTGGAGGGAACAATCCATGCACCCATCTGCTAGCAGAAGTCAAGTATATATTCTCTGTTCAAGTTGGCTATCGTCTTTGCGACGTAGTCGGTCAAACAACAAGAAGTATACAACTCAAGTGTCTCATCTAACCTCGGTTTCATTACATGCTCCCGGGACGTGTATGACCTCGTTTTCTTCTTCGCTTGAGGCAGCTTTTATGATAGACTGCCGATCACATCAAGTTATGGTCAAGTTCATGTTCACGTTGAGCTCAAAAAGCCTTGCTCCGATTGAGGACCATTTGATGATCTGATTGAATTTGTAGCTTTTCTTGTACGGAACAGCCATCTTTTCAGGAAATGCCTGCGACATCTAGTCTTTGTATCTGTAAAGCTGAAACATCTGAAAGACATTCGAACCACAACTGAACGACCCATGTGATGCATTGCTTGAGACCTCTTCTACCACTCAGCAGCAGCAGCAGCAGGAGCAGCTCCCCATTCCTCACCAGTGGAAGTGGCGGCAGTAGTAGAGTCGGCGGCGTTCATCCAGTCACCCTCAACGGCAGCAGGCTCAGAGGTGGTTGCAGCAGCGCCGCTGTTCATCCAGTCATCGGATCCGGAAGGGCCAGCGGTGCCGTCATCGCCAAAGCCAGCATCCTCCTGGACGACATAGTCGGCAGGGTCTGTCTTGCAGCGACGGACAGTGTGGCCAGCTGAAAGGTGTTAGCAATTGAGGTTCCAGTGACGCGCACAGTCAGACTTACAAAGACCGCACTGGTTACAGATGACCTTGCTCCAGTTCTTGGCTGCGCGACAGTCACGAGAGAAGTGACCAAGCTGATCGCAGTTGTTGCATGTGACGTTAACGGCCGACCTGGGCTCGGGGCACTCGCGAGACATGTGGCCCTGTGTGTTGCAGTTACGGCAGGTGACAACAGTAGGATTAGGGCAGTCGCTCTTGTTGTGGCTAGCAATCGGTCAGTAGAGGTTTTCGTAGCAGTGAGACGCATGGCGTTCATACCCAGTCTGGCCGCAGTTGAAGCAGGCGCCTGTCATCTTCTTGGGAGCGGTGCACTCCTTAGACATGTGACCAACTGAAGGAGAGTTAGTAGACATATCAGTGAAGAAATCGAAGATACTTACGTTCACCGCAGTTGTGGCAAGCGTTGGGGTCAATGTTCTCGTTGTTCTCGACGGGATAGCCATTGCGAAGGGCTTCAGCAGCTTCGACGACGGCCTTGATCTTGGCCAATGCAAGTCTGTGTCCCTTGCTGCGGTCATGGGCAGCTCTGTCCTTGGATGCGAAGGTCTTCTCGCAGGGTTCGCAGCTGTAGTTGGCCGGCTGGATGTTCTTGCGGCCAGGGTAGGGATGGGACGAGAAGATGTCGGCCATGGTGTTGATGAGAAAGAAGTTGGTTGATGAACAAGAAGTAAAGTGGATGAAGAAGGGCAGGAGGAAGGTCTGCGCTGATAAGTAAGGGAAGCGGAGCGACTGGTGAAATCCAAACTTGGTGAAGCGGGTTGTGGTGAGAGCAAACGCGGTGCGCAAACAAACGAATGAAGCAGTCAAGTGAATCTCCCGCTTGATCGGGCAGGCGCGTATGGTTTGGTCACTCCCTTCCTATCTTGTGCCTTCACCTCCAACCCTGCAATGATTCTGGAGTTCTAAATCAGATTTACACTTGCCTTTGACCAAAGATCCTTATTGTATGCCGTAAGACATCATGAACCATGAAGATCGTGGTCAACAGGCCTCTCGAACCGGTAACATCGAGATGCTGTGGCGTTTCACAACAAGGTCAATGATACCTATCGTTGACTCGGGTCGTTGTCTTGGTGTTTACCTCCATTCATCAGCTTCACTCGGAACCGTAAGTTTCTTTTCCTTCGGTACCTCACTGGTGTGGTTCAGGCCCATATCGTCCTCGTCACTGCCTCTACAGCAAGTGCTAGCTCGACTTCTAGCTGTAACACACGAAGATGCCAGATCCCAGCGGTAAGCTCAGAACCATACAGCAGAGTAAAAGTACCAGCAGTCGCAATGAACATGGTTCGTTCTGCCGACGCCTGTCAACCCTGTACAGCGGTCATTCATCAAGAGATCGAGCATCGGTCTAAGAACTTGTTTACTGCAGGCGCTCGTACATGGCGTCCTGTAGACCACTCTCATAGTGAAGAAACCATACCTTGGCTGCTGACTGGCTTGGAGAAAACGAAGCCTGGTGTAACCCACAGCCACGTCCAGTGGTCTGGCCTGAGATGGCTTTGATATACATCGGTCGCGGGACTGTTTCCTACTGGACCATATCTCCTCGCCTGATGACTGTCGAATCGAGACTCAGTATTGAGTCCGATGGATGTCTGTACATGGCATGCTATGGGCTGACCTCGTCGAAGCTGACGTCGGAACTGCTTGCCCGACTAGGAAACCTAATAGCACGAGCGTCGACCTCCACACTCCAACGGTGTGCTTATCGCGCTAAAAGCTTTCCCGTCACGTAATTTAGAGTTCCTCGACCAGGTCGCGGGCAGGACGGCAAAGGGTCCCTTCAATGCTCATCTATCTAGGCGAGGGCCTGCTCGATATGCCCTGATAATCTCGTCTCAGCCTGTCTTTTTTCTGCTCGAATACATCTTGTTCTTTTCAGTATCATCAAATCTACCAACCTACTTTCCTGATCTGGAGCACACAACGGCCAAGCGACCGGCTCAACAACGCCATGAGTAGACCTGCAACCCTCAGCACTTCCTTGCGATCGGCCAATGGCTTCCTTTCCTCCTCTCCCCTGGCCCAGGAGTCAATCTTGAGGGACTTGGCGGATGCTGAAGGAGAGGAAGAGGAAGAATGCCACAGGACCAACAATACTGCTGATGGAGATCAAGACTTCGGGCTCGGCCATGAGCAACACTACTCAATGGCTGGCTCCTACCGGAGAACCTCCTACGTCGCATCCGGTCCACGACCACTCTTCCCCTCCGCACAAGCGCCCGAGTCTAGAAGAGCGAACGGACAAGACCGCGAAGCTGCCCTCGCGGAAGAACGAAGCCTGTTGCGGGACAATCATTTGATCCATCCCAAGCACCCTCGAACCACAAGTACCTTGTCGAAGAAGCCCAGCGGACTATTGAAAAAGTCGTTTGTGACTGGATTTGTACCACGGAAGGGCGGCGCTGACGAAGAGTCGGCTGTCGAAGATGGAGGGCCGAACGAGAACACTTCTCTTCTTGGAAACCCTGCCGAACCATATGGAGGCATAGATACTCCAGAGAACATCGACAAAAGATGGGAAGAAGCAGTTGCATCGGGAAAGATCAAGACGACTTGGCAGAGAGAAGCAATTGTTCTGGCGAGATATTCTCGATCTCTGATCTTGACCTTCCTCCTTCAATATTCCTTGACTGTTACCTCGGTCTTTACCGTGGGTCACATTGGCAAGCTTGAGCTAGGGGCCGTCTCCCTTGCCAGTATGACTGCTACTATCACCGGATACTCTGTATATCAAGGATTGGCTACTAGTCTTGACACTCTTTGTGCACAGGCATACGGCTCTGGCAACAAAACTCTTGTCGGACTGCAGCTTCAACGTATGGTTTACTTCTTGTGGGTTATCACGATTCCAATTGCAATCATTTGGGCCGCTGGACCGAGTATTATCGGCGCGATCGTGCCTGAGAAAGCGACTGCCGAGCTAGCAGGACAATATCTCCGAGTCCTAATTATTGGTGCTCCAGGGTATGCTGCATTTGAAGCTGGGAAAAGATTCGTGCAAGCACAGGGAATGTTCTCGGCAACCCTTATCGTGCTTCTGATTTGCGCACCTCTCAATGTGTTCTTGCACTGGCTTTTTGTCTGGGTACGTCTGAGCCCATGCGATCCCTTGATCACTACTAACAATCACAATAGAGATTGGGATTTGGTTTTATCGGGGCCCCAATTGCTGTGGTGATCATAGAAAACCTCATGCCGCTCTCCCTGTTCCTCTACGTCCGTTTCTTTGGCGGTATGGAGTGTTGGGGTGGTTTTAGTAAACTTGCTCTCCGGAACTGGATGCCCATGATCCGCCTTGCCCTCCCTGGTCTGGTCATGATCCTCGCCGAGTATCTGGCCTTTGAGATCTTGACACTCTCGGCGAGTTGGATCTCACCAACACACCTTGCAACGCAAAGTGTCCTCAGCACAATTTCCACCATTACCTATCAGATCCCCTTTCCCATCAGTATCGCAGCGAGCACCCGTATTGCCAACCTGATTGGTGCCACGCTTTCGGATGCTGCCAAGGTCAATGCGAAGGTCTCGTTGTATGCAGCATTGTTTGTTGGTATCTTCAACATGATCTTGCTGAGCTCCACTCGCGAGTACATCCCCAGACTATTTACCAACGATGCCGATGTTATTGAGCTCACTGCGAAGACACTTCCTTTGAACGCTGCGTTTCAGCTCTTCGACTCTCTTGCAGCTCTGTGTAACGGTATTTTGCGTGGTTTGGGTCGACAAGAGATTGGTGGTTATGTAAATTTGTTCGCGTACTACGTGGTAAGTCAATATCACGACCTCGACTTGAACCATGTATTGACAAGTGCAGATTGCTATGCCGATCTCATTCGGAACCGGTTTCGGCCTTCACTGGGACCTCTATGGACTTTGGGCTGTAAGTGTTTTTCTACTGTGTGCTTGTAGACTGTTACTGACGGAATTCTTAGGGGCCTGCACTTGCACTCGGAATCGTAGCTGCTGTCGAAGGCTGGTTCATATACCAGACTAGCTGGGAGAAGGCTGTCGAAGAAGCACAAGAGAGAAATGCGATGAGTTAAGAAATCGCTTGTAACTGTGTTTCTGCATTGTACATGTTGGGCAGACTGGCGTGTACTACATAGATGTTCTAAGCAGGTCTCTCACGGGACAAATGCGATTGAGCTTTTCAAGGCTATGTTTCGATCTTGAATCACTCTGTGCATTTCAGCGGGAGCAGATTGTCCTCATGAGCATTTCACGTGCACGGTCTGCATTCGCGGCGAAGAGTGAAAGTGTTTGGCCGACGCGGGGTCGCTGGGTTGCCCCACTGTCTGGATAGCGGACGTGACGGCATCTCCGTGTCCTCGACAGCATCTCTCATGCATAGTCGAGTTTGTGTGTCGCATGCCGAAGCATCGTAATGCCAGAGACCCTGCTTGGAATCCGCAGCGATGACCAGGGCCGCACCGAAACAATAGCTCCTGGCCAGGAGGAGCATCTGCCCGCCCTCTGCGCAAAGGTGCATGCCCGAGTCACTGCCTTTCTGGCCGCCCAGGCATCCACCGATCGCCTACGAGGCGTCCAGGAGCAGACTCGCTTGAGTCTCAAGGTCCTCGATGAAGCACTCGAGCGATACAGGTTGGTCGTGGATCTGAATGGCTGCATTGAGTCGGGCTGATAAGCATCCACAGTCTGGCCGAACTGTCCCTTTCCTACAATGGAGGCAAGGACTGCTTGGTCCTGTTGATCCTCTATCTCGCCGCGCTACACGCCCACTCGGTCAAGACGTCAACGCAGCTGCCAAACACCCTAGAGTCTGTCTATATCGTGTCGCCTCATCCATTCCCTGAAGTCGAGGACTTTGTACAGCTATCCATCGACACATACCATCTGGACTTGGCACGCTATGCCAGATCTATGCGACAGGCCTTTGAAGACTATCTCCACGACAAGAGCCATGTCAAGGCCATCTTTGTGGGCACGCGGAGGACAGACCCCCATGGAGCTACTCTGAAATACTTCGATCCTACAGATAGAGGGTGGCCTGCTTTTATGAGGATACATCCTGTAATAGACTGGCATTACGCCGAAGTCTGGACTGTAAGACCTTCACATCTGTTGATGCGCCAGAAAGACCCGACTGACCATTTATAGTTCATACGACACCTAGACATACCTTATTGCTCGCTCTACGACAAGGGTTATACATCTCTGGGAGGAACTACAGATACATATCCCAACCCTGTGCTCAAAACGGCAGGCGACAAGAACTCAGATGCAGATACAACATATCGACCTGCTTACGAGTTGGTCCAGGATGAGGAGGAGAGATTGGGCAGAGACAAATGATACAACGACAAATCAAACCATGTATATTCTTCCAAGCGGACAGCGCCGACAAGCACAATTTCCCTGCCGGTGGCCCCCAGAATCGTCGGCAGTTGATTCTCAAAGTGCCATTATGTTGCAAAATAGTGGCGGTGGCAAGAACGGACTTTTACCATTTCACATCAGTTCATAAGAAATTGAACTGAGTGGTGACGACCATGACTTGTCGTGAGGCAAAGCTAGACGAATCCAAACACAACACTCGGGCTCTGTCGCAACAGTCGATGTTGTCGGGGTTTGGGTGAGGCAGAAGGGCAAAGACAGGCTCGGGCTTCGCTCGCGAACAACCGACAAACAAAAAGACGGGCGGAGATCTATCGAGATGGCTTGGCAACGCCGTGGGGATATCTACTGGCCAATCAAGGTAGCTCAAATGTCACAGCGGCCGGTGTCGCAGATGTCGCCATTCCTGAAGAGAGGAAAAAAGTCACCCGGCGGCCGCTACTCGTACGGGCAAGAGGCGACTGCTGGGGACTCGGTCTGAGATGAGCAATTGAACGGCAATTCTGGTCACGCCGCCATCAACGCCTTCCTCCCCCGGCTATTTTTCCAATCGCCCCCACTACCTGTTTCCCTTCCATTGTTCTCCTTTCTATCTCTTTTGAACTCTCATTCTTGTATAGAACCTCTTGTTGGGTTCGGTATTCAGGTCATCTTTGCGGCAATGGCTTCCATCTTGACTGCTGGAGAGGCTGGTAAGCAGGCTTCCGAGTGCTGACCATCCGCGAACATTCACTGACCACGACCAGTCGCACGCATCGCATACCTGGCCAGCGACGTTGTCGTCTCTGTCCAGCCTTCTCTTGCAACCGACTCCGAGTTCTCCAACTTCTTCACAACCTATCAGCAGAACAAGGCTTCAGGACTCAAGTCTACATCCCCGGTGGTACGTTCTTTACCCCTCTAAACAGCTGCTTCGTGCGACTGACTGTTTTGGCTTCAGATTGTTCCTGTAAAGCACAATGCAGACCCCCTTCTCTCGGCTTTCCAGCCCCTTCGTTCGGGCAAGCTTGTCTCGGTAACGACCTCATCCTCGATCCTGGTCCGCTCCGTCCCCCACCTCTACAAGCTCGCACAATATCCTGTCGTCTTGCACGTCGCCCTTCAACCAGCTGGCTACCCTGACTACTCAGACATCACCTCGATCAGACAGTCTGGATTCACCTTCCTCCAATCTGAGTCATTGCAAGAGGCACAGGATCTTGCTGTGACAGCACACGCTCTGGCCATCAAGTCTGGCAAGGGTGTCATCCACTTCTTCGACTCTGCCAATATCTCCAACGACAACCCCATCACACAGGAAGACAGAGAGCTTGTAAAAAAGATTTTGAACATCGAGCAACACCCCGCAGCTGCATCGACAGAGTCTAGTCTCTATGCAGATGAGGGCAGGGTTGCCACCCGCACTACCGCTGTTTCTACTGGCGTCAACGGTTCAGTCACACCCGAGCGTACAGGAGCATCAAATGAAAAGTCTGTCTCTGCGCCGATCAGCGATCGTGAGTCATCTAGTAGCTCCAGCTCTGACGGTCGCAATGGCAGCAGTGATGGTGCATCAGTCGTGTCTTCCAACGCCACTTCTGTGGAGTCTGTTTCCAGCCGCCCCATCACTTCCGAGGATATTGATAACTTCGCCACCCAGATCTGGTCTGAACTGTTCGAGTCGACTGGGAGACAGTACAAGGCTTTCGAATACTCTGGACCCGTGGATGCTGAATCGGCCGTTCTCTTGTTCGGATCCGACACCGCCCTCTTTGCTCAAGAAGTTGACAAGGCCACCTCCTCCGATGAGTTCTATGGTGCTGGTATTGTCACTGCCCGTCTTTACAGACCCTGGTTGGGCTCAAAGCTCCTTCAGACTCTGCCCAAGAGTTTGAAGAGAATCGCCGTCCTTGAGCAGATCCGTCGCAAGACTACTCGCTGGGGTCCCCTCCTCCTCGATCTTCTTGTCACCATCAAGGCATCAGGTAACGGTGGCCCTCTGATTGTTGGTCACCAACTTGGATACATCGAGCCTTCCACTATTCGTCAGGCACTCAAGGGTATCTTCCAAAACCTGTCTTCACCTTCACCTATCCAGAACCTCGAAATTGGTAACCACGAGGGTCCCAAGGAGAACGAGAAGGATTTTGAATTGGAGCAACCCAAGGTTGAGAATGCATACATGAAGATTCTTGACCAGCTGTTCGGCGAGCGTCTCTACGTTGCCAACAGAATCGGTGCCGACAATGCAGGTGTCTCGAGCGAGATTAGTGCAAACCCTGAGTACGGTTTCGGTTCCCTTGTCGCTCGTACCGAGCACAGAGACCGTTTCATTTCTGAGGTGCAGACTGCTGCCAAGTCTGGTGACTTTGCCACCGAGGCTCCTAAGCAGCAGCTTTCACAGTGGTTGCTCGAGGCTCAACAGGCCTCAAAGGCAAACAGCCTTGCACCCGAGGTCATCTCCGGTCTTGACAGCGACAAGTCTGCTCTGGCTACCGAGCTTCTTTCCAACAAGGGACTTTTCTACAAGGAGTCGCAATGGCTTATTGGTTCGGACGCATGGTCTTACGACTTGGGCAACTCTGGTGTCCACCACGTCCTTGCATCTGACAAGAACGTCAACATGCTTATCATTGACTCGCAGCCTTATTCAGAGAGAGCTGCCGCCGATGCCGCCAGAAGAAAGAAGGACATTGGTTTGTACGCCATGAACTTTGGCAACGCTTACGTAGCCTCCGTTGCTGTTTACAGCTCTTACACCCAAGTCTTGCAGTCAATGCTCGAGGCTGAGCAGTTCAACGGACCTTCGGTTGTCGTCGCATACCTTCCTTACAGCAAGGAAACCGACTCGCCGCTGTCTGTCCTGCAAGAGACCAAGAAGGCTGTTGATATCGGTTACTGGCCTCTTTACAGATGGAACCCTCGCGCAGAGGAGAACGGCGAGGAGAACTTCCAGCTTGATTCTGAGCGCATCAGACAAGAGCTCAAGGAGTTCCTCAAGAGAGACAATTACCTGACTCAGCTCATGAAGAGACACCCTCAATTCAGCGCGAACCTTTCCCAATCTTACGGATCGGAGGTTCGCCAGGTTCAGAAGCGCAAGGCCAAGGACTCTTACAGCAAGCTCCTTGAGGGCTTGCAGGGCGCTCCTCTGACTATCCTGTTTGCTTCAGACAATGGTAACTCGGAGAACCTTGCTAAGCGTTTGGGTAACCGCGGCAAAGCCAGAGGTCTTAAGACCATGGTCATGGCTATGGATGATTACCCTCTGGAGGACCTCTCAACTGAAGAGAATGTCGTCATGATCAGCAGTGTTGCTGGTCAGGGTGAGTTCCCCCAAAACGGCAGAAACTTCTGGGAGGGCGTCAAGAACTCCACCGATCTTGACCTTGCCAGCGTGAACTTCTCCGTCTTTGGTCTTGGTGATAGCCACTATTGGCCTAGAAAGGAGGACAAGATTTACTACAACAAGCCTGCAAAGGATCTATACGCCAGAGTGGTCACACTTGGTGGCAAGTCTCTTGTCGACTGTGGCCTTGGTGATGACCAGGACCCTGACGGTTATCAGACTGCTTACAACGAATGGGAGCCCAAGCTCTGGGACTCACTGGGTGTTGGTAACGTTGAGGGCCTTCCCGATGAGCCCCCACCAATCACCAACGAAGACATCAAGATTGCATCCAACTTCCTCCGCGGTACCATTGTCGAGGGTCTCCAGGATCAATCCACCGCTGCCATCTCTGCTGCCGACCAGCAGCTTACCAAGTTCCACGGTACATACATGCAGGACGATCGTGACATCAGAGATGAGCGCAAGGCTCAAGGTCTTGAGCCCGCATACTCTTTCATGATTCGTTGTCGCCTGCCTGGTGGTGTCGCTACTGCCGACCAATGGGTCCAGATGGATGCTATCGCCTCGACATTGGGTAACGAGACCATGAAGCTGACCACTCGTCAAACCTTCCAGTTCCACGGTGTGGTCAAGACCAAGCTGAAGCCTGCAATGCAGGCCATCAACAAGGCTCTCATGACCACCATTGCCGCTTGCGGTGATGTCAACCGTAACGTCATGTGCAGCAGTTTGCCTGAGCACTCTGAGTACCACGCAGAAGTTCACGCCAGCTCCAAGTTGATCAGCGACCACTTGTTGCCTGCTACTACCGCGTACCACGAAATCTGGCTCAAGGATGAGAACGACGTCAAGACCCAGGTTGCCGGTGACGCTGTCCAGGACCACGAGCCCATGTATGGTCCCACCTACCTGCCTCGCAAGTTCAAGATTACTATCGCCATTCCTCCTCACAACGACACTGATGTCTACGCTCACGATGTTGGTCTTATCGCTATCAAGGGTGAGGACGGCCACCTTGCTGGATTCAACTTGCTTGCTGGCGGTGGTATGGGTACCACTCACAACAACAAGAAGACCTACCCTCGCACTGGTAGCATGCTTGGTTACGTTTCCAAGGATAAGGTCCACATTGCTTGCGAAAAGGTCATGCTTGTCCAGCGCGACAATGGTGATCGTAAGAACCGCAAGCACGCCCGTCTGAAGTACACCATGGACGACATGGGTGTCGACGTCTTCAAGTCAGAGGTTGAGAAGTACTGGGGTGACAAGTTTGAGGAGCCTCGTGCCTTCCACTTCAAGAGCAACATCGACACTTTTGGCTGGCAGAAGGATGAGAACGGCAACAACCACTTCACCATGTTCATTGAGAATGGACGTATCGAGGATACTGCTGACTTCCCCATGAAGAGTGGCCTGCTCGAAATCGCCAAGGCTCACAAGGGTGAGTTCCGCCTCACCGGTAACCAACATCTCATCTTGTCCAACGTCACCGACGAGGAGTTGCCCAAGATGAAGGAGATGTTGGCCAAGTACAAGCTGGACAACACAAACTTCAGCGGACTCCGCCTTAGCAGCAGCGCATGTGTGGCCTTTCCCACTTGCGGCCTTGCCATGGCTGAATCCGAGCGCTACCTGCCCGAGCTCATTGGCAAGCTTGAGGGTGTGCTCGAGGAGAACGGTCTTCGTCAGGACAGCATCGTGATGCGCATGACTGGATGCCCCAACGGATGTGCTCGTCCTTGGCTCGCCGAGGTCGCCTTCGTTGGTAAGGCCTACGGCGCGTACAACATGTACCTTGGTGGCGGTTACCACGGCCAGCGCTTGAACAAGCTCTTCCGCAGCTCTATCATGGAAGAGGAGATTCTCAGCATCATGAAGCCGCTGCTCAAGCGTTACGCAGCTGAGAGAAACGACGGCGAGCAATTTGGAGACTTCTGTATCCGTATTGGCATGATCAAGCCCACCACTGAGGGCAAGTACTTCCACCAAGACACGGCCGAAGTGGAATCCGATGAGGAGTAGAGATATACCCCGTAATTTCTTGTCAAGTTCTTTCACCAGCATGTAGATTGGCGTTTTGGGTAGCGGCACTGGGTGGGCATTTGGTTTCAACAAAATTTGTACATGAACTGCCATGAGAATGAAATAGTATTCGATTGATTGAAAATGTAAAAGTATTATTCAACATAGAATGCAATATCTCGAGCGCCGATGACTTCCAATTGCCCTGTTGAATAGGAGGGCTGAAGGAGAGCAAGAGGTGGGAAAAGCGGCTAGACACGGGACAGAGGCGGAGACCAAGACGGGCGCGACCGAGGCGAGCGAGCGGAGAATGACGACGCTCGTGATGGTATTACACGATGTCAGGGCTTATCTCTGTTGGACAAAGACATTGGAATAGCAGATATCGGTATCGCACGAGTTGTGGTTTCTTTGTCGGGCTTTTGACAGACGCATCAGGAAGAGGATTCATCTCGGCATGCCGGGCGCAGTCGGACACAAAGAAGGATTCTTTCATGCACTTGACTTTTGAGCGGCTTGAGCGAATGAAGTGTTGCGACCAAAACATGCCGTGAGCGGGCACCTCATACTCGACCAGTCCTCGTCGCAGAACCTGACGCACAAACAACCCGAGGCGCTTTGCGGCGCAATCATGTCTTCAGTGTAAATGTGTCTGCCCTTTGCGTGTGGCTTCTCATGAGCTGACGATTGCGAATAGATCATTGAACGACGTCGTTGGCGCGCTGAACGCAACCTTTGCGCATCCCGATGCACCACAAGCGCTCCCCGACGAACTGTCGCGCATTCTCTCGGGCTATTTCACCAAACCGAGAAAAGAAGGAGACGGACTACACGACGAACTACGCTCCGTCTTCCGCCATCATGTCGAAGCGTATCCGAACAAGCTGCCTGCATTCGTGGCTGTCTTGAAGACTCTACGTCCTGCCATAACCGGCGACGACCACATTGCTCTTTGGTTTCGGAATGTCCTCGTACCGTTCGTCGACCAGCCGGCTCCCAGCCGATCCGCCATGTCGGACGCCCAGGATTTTGTTGTCGACTCGCTCTGCTACGATCCTGACAGCCCAGATGCTCGCGACAAGGCCCGTACCGCTGTTCATCTCAGCTCAGTCCTCCTCGATGCATTTGTCGCCCGTACAAGCTCTCGCCCCGAGAGCCCGTCTTTCCAAGCCCAGGACCACGCCGCTCGCCAACTACAGTTCATGCTGATCGCCTTTGCTCGTAAAACTCCACGTGATTTCTTTGTTGCCGTCGATGACTTCCTTCTAAAGCCAGAGACACGTCTGCAGGCTCTTGATCTGCTCGCTGCCTTTCTGGAACAGCAGCACGCCCATCTGCACTTGGTCTTGGACACAACTGTCGTCGAGCATCTCCTCAAATGTCTCATGAACGACACAGCCACAGTTGTCGTCTCGGCTGCTCTGAGGTGTCTCATCATGCTTCTTCCACACATACCCGTCACCGTGTCTTCTCAGCTTCCCAGGCTGTTCTTGGTCTATAGTCGTTGCCTCTGTTGGGAAAAGTTTAGCGCTTCTAGTACGAAAGCTCAACGAGACCTTGTAACAGATGATCGCGTTCGTCGCGATTCCGACTCCGATGCTGACACTGATCATGACGACCAACTCGACCCTACCTGGCAAATTCTGCGTGCCTTGCCCGATATGCCCGAGTCTTCCGCGCCCGAACTTTTGCATTACTTCACTTACCTATACGGCCTGTATCCTCTCAATTTCATGACTTATGTCAGGAAACCAAGAAAGTATCTCAAAAACATTGACTTTCCCGGCGCAGATGAATTCGACCTTGACCAAGCTGTTATCAGAAGTCGCACCGAGCAGTTCCAGCGAGTCCACTTCTTGCACCCGGCCTTTTTCACTACCACCATCGAAGAAGAGCTGGGCGAGAATCGATGGCTAAAAGCAGAGCCCTCGGAAGTCATTGCAGAATGTCATGGCTTATACGCTGGCGAGCATCCTATATTCGAGAGTCCTGTCCCTCCTCCATCAACCAAACTGCCCGCAGTCCCCAACTTCTTGACGTCCGCCTCGGAACCAACGCATCTGGACAGTCCTACCTTGCCTCATCACTTTGTCGAAAACTTCCCGGATCCTGTCACTGAGCCAACAACCTCCAAGGACCTCTCATACCTGCAACGAGAATTGACACTATTGCGCAATGAATTGACATTCGAGCGCTACCTCAAACAACAGCACGTCGCTGCTATTGGTCAGCTCAAACGCAACCACATAAAGGCGGTTACTGTCGAGGCCGAAACAGCCACGTTGATCAATGCGAATCGTGCTCTGCAAAAGAAATTGAGCGATTCCAACAAGTTCAATGAAAAGATGCAAAAGGAAACACAGGCTCGCAGAACCCACACAAAGCAAAGTGAAGAACAGCTTATGGCAAAGATTCGTGGTCTAAAGTCGGAGCTCGCAGATCAAGAGACGCTACAGCTTCGTCTCACCCAGGCTTCCAAAGATTGCGATCAACTCCGTCAATTGCTTGTGGAAAGTGAAGCTCGAGAATCCAGCAAACAAGAGGAACTCGAAACGGTCGAATCCCGTCTGAAGAATCTAGAAATGACCGACGAGCAGAGTTCAGAGCTCCAAAAGGAGATCCGAGGCTATCGTGACCAAGTATTGGCGCTCGAATCAATCCGAGCAGAATACGAACTGGCTAAACAGGAGCTTGAAAGCACCAAATTCATATTGCAGCGTCGTGAGCAAGAACTCGAGAGGCTCAAAACTGCACATGAAGCCAAAATGCAAGAATATGATCTACGTCTCAAGGATGCTTCAGAAGGGTTGACGGCTGCAGAGCAACCGAATCTTGCAGTCACTGCACATCTTCACGAGCAACTCTCCGAGAGCCGTATACGACTTGCGCAGACCAAAGCCGCTTACAGTCAACTTTTGGAAGAGTTCACGAATTTACGTGAGTCCAGGGGAGCTGCTGATGGAGGCTATCCCATTCCTAGCCGCTCTGTCGACCCTGGCTATATGAACCAGGAAGGCAGTGTCAGGAGCTACAGTCCAGCTGGCTCGCGTCGTGCTTTCTACACCGACCGTGGCGCAGAGAATTTTGAACTGTTTGCCCCACACATGGAGTTTGGAAGAACTGCTTCGCCCGTCTCATCTTTGAACCAAAGCTACCCACCCGCACGTCCGTTGCGACCCGAAGCGTATTCACAGCGAGGCATTAACTCGAATCCAATGTCTCGAACTCAGGGTGCTTACTACGACGAACATGCGCTGCATCCAGCGGCCGCATATGGCGCGGCACGATCGACTTTCGGATCCGACCATAGCTCGCCACCCCCATCATCACTAGGACAAGAAGGCAATAGAAGTGTCTTCAGCTTCAACTCCGAGGCGTCAGCTGACCCCAGTAGAGAAGGCAGTAGGTCCAAGCCTGAGATCCGTGTTTACGGACGTGGTAAGTATTCAGTATCTCCTTCGTGATACTGATCAACGTGCTGATGTGTGTAATAGGTGGTGCGCAAAATAACAAAAAGAAGGACAAGATCGAGAAGTCGGAAAAACCCGTAAAGAGCAACGGCATCCGAGGGCTGAGAGGGCTGATGTAAAGAGCCATTTGTAGATCTAGGTCTTAAGAATCGTACTCATGAGATGTGTTATATGACTCCATGTCACTTCCCTTCAAGATTCAACGTCGATTCTTGAATTGTTGATTGTAACCTACTTTTGTACCTACTGAGTGGCACGAATGGTTTAGTCCCGATCAATTACACAATGATCCTTTGCCTTCTTTACGAGGCTACAAGAACCTGGACGCCATGCTGTGGCGATACCATATTCGGTCTCAATCACTTGAGTATTCAATAGATCCGCTGCAACTGTGATGACGGTGCTTTTAATGTACACAGAAGGAGGAATGCAGCACCGATGGTTGGATCAATGAAGCTCTCGGTATGTGACAGGGTCATCCCAGCATCCGTGTTTACTTGGGAAAGTTGGCATGAACGAGCCTCGAGCATAATAATGGGGTTTCCAGAGAAGCAATGGAATTGTCCAGAGAGAGGAACGATCAAGCATGATTGCCGACAGGCACGCGCTGCAACAGGCGGTCTCGATTGCATATTGTGACCAAGTGTTGCTTCTTTCCTACTGACACAAACAAATGAGTGGTTCAAAAAGCAGGCAATTGAAAAGACTTGAATATTCAGGCTCGATAAGAAAAAAACCAACAATGATGACAGTACAGAGTGATGAGACAAAACAAGACCTTAAGGGGAGAAGAACTAAAAAATGAGAACAATCCACTATCTGGTCGCCCTCAGTATGATCTTGACTGGCGACTTCTTCGTCCTGATACCAGCCAATTCGGTCGGCGAAAGAACATCTGTAGAAGGCAACATACCCAGTCTGTCAAGTGTGACGATCTTCGCACTTTCATAGGGGTAATAGGTATCATCACGTGGCACACCCTCCTGAGTCGAGGGCGCCCCTGCCTCCTTCTGGGCAGCTCTATCCTCAAGAGGACAGGCCAACAAGCCCTCTCGCTTGAGAAGTTTGTGGTATACTCTCCAGACCTTACGCAGGGCTTTGACTTCTGTTGGCCAGGGAACGGGAACTTGTTGAGTTTCGTGTACAGTGACGCTTGTGAAACACATCTCGATGGTTTTTGGACTGATGGGGCTGAAGGGGCTTGTGGGTTCAGCTTCAATGATGTTGTTATCTTTTAGCCATTTGTCGAAGCGTTCGAGTATGGCTTCGGCCCCGAGATTTTCGACTTCGTGACCAGTGTAGCGGAGTATGTAGCGAATGGTTTCGATGTCGAGTCGTTTGGTGCCCGAGTTGGGGTGCTGTTCAATATCCCTGCGCATGCTGATATATTTGTTCATGCCGCTTTGATTCAAGAAAGGAACGCTGCGGGTAAAGTGGCGATCGCCAGCGATGGTGTCTGATCCTTGTTCAACGAAATCAGTACAGCGCATGAATGCTTGAATAGTGGCAGAGTCCATGAAACCGGACATGGAGAGGTTGATCATATCGATGAGATCCAGTATCCTGACTTTGGACATGGAAGTACCGAGTTCGGCGCTGGGCGTCATACCCAAGGCCAGACACCAGGCATTCATGATGGTGAAGTAGCCACATTCCCAACCTCCTGGTTGAATCGGTACTGCATGATGAGTGACTTCGGTCAATCCGGGCTGGTTTTCCAAAGCACCGTACCATAGTGAGTAGCGTAGGGTCAGCCTGATGGCACTATCATAGTGGTTTGTAATGCCAGAACTGTTGTAACAGTGGATCTCGGGTCCAGTCTCGGTCATTCTGGCATGGACGAGGACCCAGTGGCTGCCATTAGATCTGTTGTCCGAGTTGAATGGTAGCAAAAATTCGGCTCTAGGGCCGATTACAGAGTTGTCGTAACCTTGGGGTCTGATAGCATGCCTTGCCTGCTGGTAACTAGCCTCGTCGATTTGAGCAAAGGGGACGTCATTCTCCAACTCGATCGCTGTAGTGACCGAGGCGATGGCTCGGTACACGACGCTGTCCATAAGCCACTCTTGATAGTCGGCACCAGGGTACTTGGGGGCTTGGTCATCGAGCTCGACCTTAGCTCGATCTCGAAGGGTCTTCCATTCCTGCAAGCGCCATTGGAAGTATTCGCAAGCCTCAATATCCTCTGGCTGGCGCTCAGGTTGGAATCTCAGCTTGATCCCACTATCATCAGCTTCGCTTTTGCTGCTTCCGCTCTTACTCGAGGAAGAACCAGCAGATTCTCCAGACGCTTTCTTCCGTTCCTGCTCTTTCGCGAAAGCTGCAGCCATGCGACTGGTGGTTTCGTGGGTTTCCCTGCTTGAAGGCGTGTAGTCGACACCATCGCGACTCAAGCACAGAAAGACGCAACGTTGATCGTACTCCAGGATCGAAAAAGACGGGAAAGGCCCAGCGACATAATCGCGAGAGCTCGGGAAACTCTGTCCATTGATGTTCAGAACCGTACCCTTTTGCACGAATGCAAACCAATGGAAAGTAAGCTCGCTGGTCACTCGACGAAATCTGATAGTTCTGGTTTCGCCATTGCCTTGGGATCTGATGAAAGTGTCAGCTGGATCACCAATTGAATTGCAGGGGGGATACTTACATCATCAGTGTTTCGCCCGATTTCACGATAAAAGACTGCAAAGGGTCCAACCAAAGGATCTGCTGGTCATTGCATGAACCTTGGAGATTCTCACGAAGTGCAGGTCTGTCTTCAGTAGTGCTATATGTTTCATATGTCGTTTGAATAACTGGTCCAAACTGTCTGAGAGTTTTGACGAGATCTTTGCCTGGCTGGAAGTTGTTGCCGAAAGGTGATGGGAGCAGGGATTCCACTGGTGTATAGACTTCCTGATCGAAATCAGGAGCGCTCCATCGAGTTGGCTTCGGAACTTCCGTCAGACGACTCTTCTTCGCTTGAGGAGCTTCGTTGGACATGCTTTGGTCTTCTAACTTTCTCTTGAGATTTGGGGTCATTATTGTGGGTAGATTTGTCGATGTTGTTCGCCGTCAGGACAGCAGCACGCACAACTTAACAAGATATCAATGCCTCTCTACATGAAAGACCTTTATCGAGTGCCGCTTTCGGTTACTTCGCCGGATCCGTCAGCATGTACGAACACAAAGGAACTGCGAAACAAGGAGAGTGTTCGGACCGGATTGTCCTACTTGACGGTCAATGCGTAGCAGATCGGTCTGTAAGGGTCATAAAATCTGGTCTTGGGACTGATTGACAAGAATGAAAAATGGTACAAAGAAGGCAAAGCTGGGGTATCTAGAATAACAACAACAACACAGGGAATGGATTAATCGACGCTCACCGCTAAAAATTTCCCACCGTGAAGCACAAATATCAGAAATGTGCCATGCCTCAGAGCTCGCCCTAAGTACTGCTCCCAACATCCGCAGATTCTGGATTACCATGCATTCTAATACGATAGATGCATGTCCAGTCTTGTCCCCAATTGTTCATGACTCTGATAACGGCGAAGTCGACAAAGCCAATCGTTCCATACACATCTTCGAGATCAAAATTCTGGACGTGGTTGAGAGCATGGATATCGTACTCGGCTTTACCAATGCAGGCGAGTCCAGCCTCGGGCGCTTCTCCACAGCTTAGATGCGAGTTATGAGTGTGGGCAGCAGCACTAAATTGAGGTCTGACCCATATTTCAAACTCTTTAGGGGCTGCTCCGATATCGAGAGTCCCTGTAATAGGCATGTGCTCGATAGTTATGCTGGTCGGCTTCATGGCGCGGGGCATGATTACACCAATCTGGGCCTTTCCCTTCTTGTCCGACGCGGCAGCACACCAACAGTCCGATGGTTCTTCCCATGGTGTCAGAGCATGGAATGGCGAAGGATGCCCACGTCCCTGATAGTCGTGTAGGTTTCTATTCACCCATTGCCAGATACCTCCTAGTTGCCGAGGATGAGTTGGAGAAGTGTATTTGGGATGAACAGTAGCGCCCAAGGTATGCGAGAAGAAGTTGACGCTACGGAGTCGGAGCTCTGTGTTCCGAGCTATGTTTGCGAGCGCCAAGCTATGTAGTTGTGTGGTGCCCTTGCTATCAGGAATTTGCTTGATGATGTCAGATACAGTCCTTCGCGCAGTGATCTCTGTCGACTTTAAAACCGATGCCTCGAATGCACGCAGTTGTGTAGAAAATTCTCCCTGGAGCATTGCGTGGTTCTCGTTGACTGCAGCAGCTAGGTCGTCTTTGGTTATGATTTGTTGATGTTGAAGCGTCTTCTCGACAATGCTTCGAGCATGTTGCTCCAGCTTCTTCTCATTGACGTCAAGAAACCTCTCCCAGATGTTTCCGTATTCACGTTGATCTAGTTTTGCGTCCAGTGCTCGCCAGAAGTCAGGCGGAAATTCCAGTTGACCAGTTTGAGCGTTCTTACGGACCATGATCTGGTCAGGAAGTATCGACTGGAGGCGCTTGAGCGCGTCAGAATCGATATCCCGTACTTGATGTCTCACGCCTTGCATATCAAGCTCTAGAGTCTGCACACGTTTTGATAGGCCATCGTGCCCAAAGGTGCGTCTTTGAAGGTAAGAGAGCGGGCTAATGGCGTACTCGCCTGCTTTGTAGCACACTTCTGTACCCTTTTCCAGTAGCCCAAGCCATCTACTTGGACCGAATAGGAACAGTAGTAGCAGTGCTGTCAGCAGGGCAAGAGCCGTTCGCCTAATCTGTGGTGATAATCGCTCCCAAGAAATATCCAGGTCTTGCCATCGACGATGCAGTGTCTCAAGAAGGACGGATACGTCCCAGGGTTGGGCTGCATGTCTTTCCTCGTTTGTGGGCAGAGGTCGTAATTCTGCAACTTTTCGAGATCTAATCGAAGGCGGCATCGATGTACCGTATGAGAATTGTGTCTCTAGGTCGGTGAAGCTACCAGCGCCTATGGACGGCTCCCGGTAGAACGAGGGACTGCCAGTGGGCACAAAACCACTGTGTCGGTAGTCGTCCCCAACATCATCGTTGTCGGTGCTGTCATTGGCGTTGTATTGTAGATAAGAAGGGGTCGTCAGCCTTCGTGTGGTGGATTTGACACTGATAGCAGCGACAGACGACTTGGACGTGGTTGGCCGGGTGGCGGCAGGCGCCTTGCGTATGACTGGGCGTGGCGGAGGCAAAATGTCAGGCTCAATCATATCTTCATCGCCAGTAGTGCCAACATCGTCAGCAGTGCCAACATTACGGCTGACTGCAGCACCTCTATCGACGCGAAACCGAGCGGCAAATCCACCAGCAGTGCCAGCAGGGTCTTCGAGCTGCGTCGATAACTCTACCTTACCAGCTGCACCATACGCGTGCGATGTTCCTGTAGGGACCGCAGGAAGAGCTTTTGGTGTCTTTGCGCCTCTTGGTTTGCGACTTCCAGCAACTGATGGCGCTGGGGTTGCGCTCAGCCGGGTTGAGCCGCGTGTCCGCCGAGCTGGTGTTTCTGACATTGTGAAGATCGCAGATTGATAGCTGGCAATTCTGATGTTGACAAGGTTAGTTGTTGTTCATCTCGAGATCATCCAGGTAATATCCATTGAGCAATAGTGATTGTTGTTATTGTTATTGAAAGAGTTGACGGCAAATCAAGATCGGGAGTGCCCGCGGAACAATAGTAGGTATTCACTTACTGAGTGTATCAAAGTGACGGTTTGACAGTGGAGGTGGTTTTGGGACGCGAGTTGTCGCATCAACGCGACTCGAAAATTTGATATCACTACGACTGCAGGTGGACTGTTGCTAACAAACAATCCGACATTCGAAGAAGTACAGCCAAGCAAGACATCAATGCAACTCCAGTCGTGCGTATAGACGAAGTTCTCCGTTTGCGGTCAGCATTCCTGCCTGTCGTTCCTGCTACAAAACAACGCGTTCGGATAGAAGTGGTCCAAGCGTCGGCATAACTCTGGCTTGCATTACTTGCATTAATCGTTCATAGATGGACCTAAAGGCAAGCATGTGGAGAAGTAGTTACAGCCCTGTCAGTGGCATAGAGCCTGGAAAAGGAGGTTCTTGTAAAAAGGAGGCAGCGAACTCAAGTTTAGCTCGTAGAAAGTGCACCGTAGATGCAACAGCAACAACGGCTTCTCTGTGTGTTGGCTGTGCAGGAATAGGGTCGCAGGAACGATAAGCAGCCACAAGCGATGGATGGATGCACATCATTGCATGATCCGCGGGATGCTCAAACGTACTAATCTCCAGCACACGTCAACTGAAAGACAGCAGCAGAATGGTCATGTCGAAATGCAGCACAGTAGACGAAGAACAACAACGGATAAAAGGAAAATCTACATGGAATACGAGCAAAAGCTGAGATGTTCCGGGTGGGCCTGCGGATAATAAAGAGTCGAAGCAAGAAGATGTTGAAATTGGCATGAAATTTGGGGAGCGCCTCTGTCATCAGTTTTCCCCATCAAGGGGCAGGACGTCTCCACACTGTGCCAGGGTACGACAGACACAAGGTGTGATCCCCGATGCTGTCGTCGCGTCGGCTGAATAGCAGTTAAAGACTACAAGTCGCCCCTCTCCCCTCTCCCCAACATCTGGCCGAGACTTTTCTGTTTCAAACACCTGCTGCTCTTGTCTCGCTTGTCGCATACCACCACACAACAATGCCCGTCGGATCAGTTCTTGTTACCGGGTAAGTGACGCAGCGCGCCAGATTGCCCCGCCATGCGCTGATTGATGCGACAGTGGCACCGGATACATCGGAGGCTTCACCGCCCTCGCCCTGCTCGAGGCCGACTACAAGGTCGTCATTGTCGACAACCTGTACAACTCGTCCGAGGAAGTCATCAACCGCATCGAGACCATCTGCGGCAAGCGACCCGCCTTCTACAACGTCGACATCACCGATGAGAAGGCGCTCGAGAAGGTCTTCACCGAGCACCCGGACATTGACAATGTCATCCACTTCGCAGCTCTGAAGGCTGTCGGCGAGTCTGGCGAGATCCCCCTCGAGTACTGGCGCGTCAATGTCGGCGGCTCCATCGCCCTCCTGCAAGCCATGACCCGTCACAATGTCACAAACATTGTCTTCTCATCGTCAGCTACCGTCTACGGTGATGCAACCCGTTTCGAGGGCATGATTCCCATCCCCGAGCACTGCCCTCTGGGCCCTACAAACCCCTACGGCGACACCAAGTATGCCATTGAGAAGCTGATTGGCACCCACGTCGAGGCACAGCGCAACAACGCTGCGAAGAAGGGCGAATCCGGTGCCAAGTGGAACGGTGCTCTCTTGCGCTACTTCAACCCCGCCGGCTCCCACCCTAGTGGAATCATGGGCGAGGATCCTCAAGGCATCCCTTTCAACCTGTTGCCCTTGTTGGCCCAGGTCGCTGTTGGAAAGCGTGAGAAGCTTCTCGTCTTTGGTGATGGTGAGTGGCTATGCACACGCATGCTAGAGAATCTCCGAACTGACTGGTGCACAGACTACGACTCAAGAGACGGCACTGCCATCCGCGACTACATCCATGTCATTGACCTCGCACAGGGCCATCTCAAGGCACTCAACTACCTCCGCGAACACCAGCCCGGCGTTCGCGCATGGAACCTCGGCACTGGCAGAGGCTCGACCGTTTTCGAGATGGTCAAGGCCTTCTCGCACGCCGTTGGACGCGACCTGCCATACCAGGTCGTCGACCGCAGAGCCGGTGACGTTCTGAACCTGACTGCCAACCCTGCCAGAGCCAACGAGGAACTCAAGTGGGAGACCAAGCTTTCACTCGAAGATGCATGCCGCGACCTGTGGAGATGGACTGAGAACAACCCCCAGGGCTACAGACAACAACCGCCGAAAGAGTTTGTGGAGAAGGCCATCGCTGCTCGCAAGTAAGCGTGCAAGGTTGGAGGACGACGGTAATGGCTTGAAGACATTCTTTTTTTCGCACGCATAGATTTTGATGTTACGGACGCTTTTTCCAGAGGCTGGACTATCAGCCACGTGAAGGCCAGCAGGAATTCTGGATCACACACACATTATACCCAAAAGTACAAGCAAGTATGCAAAACTAATATAATCCGTTTTTGGAAGTTTAATGAGTTTTTACGCCAAAACGTCACGCTACGTCATTGAAGTGACGCGCCGTTGTTCAGTCAATGAATGGGATGTCGACCATCAAGAAACACACAACACGACTTTGTGTTCGTCTATAATCGCACATAAAACACTGCGCCATCTTACATCAAACTAGCGCACTTTGAACCTATCACCACCCACAATATAATTCCAAAATCAACATGGCACCAAAGAGAAGCACGTCGTCGACTTCGGCGGCGCAGCGTAATCAACCAACTCTCTCGTTCGGTAAGCAGGGATCAGCCCGCGTCACCAAGACGGCCCTTGCCCAGCGCGATTCGAAGACGACCAAGAAAGACAACGCCCTGCTCGAAGTTGTGTCAAATCATGCCATCAACCAAGCCACTACCGCCGATGCTGCCATTGAAGAACAAGCCGACGCCGAGCTCGAGGAGATCAAGGCTGTGAAGACCGAGGAAGCCTCCAGCGGCAAGGACGAAATCGAGACAAGAGCCAGACGCATCACAGATGTGCAGATCAAAAAGTACTGGCGCAGCAAGGAAGCCGACAGAATAGCCCCGCGCGTACATCAACAAGGGCTTGACGTGGCCGAGAAGATTCTCCGAGAGTTCGACATGAGTGGACAATACGGTGTAAGTTTAGATGTAGTGCTGGTCGTCAGAAGTGGTCACTAACTATGTCTTAGCCCTGCATCGGCATCGCCAGAGTCAAGCGGTGGAGGAGAGCAAGCACGCTGGGCCTCAACCCTCCTCTCGAAGTGCTCGCCGTCTTGCTCAAGGAGGGAGACAAGAACAAGACCAGAATGCAGCGTGCTCACGTCGATGAGTTGATGAGCTCCAGATTTATCGAGACTTGAAGACGACATGATTCCACGACGACAACAAGGGAGGTTTGCTTGGACGGGCGATTAGCATGCATGGAATGGAGTTTTACGGCGCGAAAGATTGCTTTTACAAGATAGCTGGCCGGCTGCGGCTTTGATGGCAGTCGGAATCATGACCTAAGATGAGGCATTGCTTAGCATAGTAATAATGAGACAAAGATATCCCACGACAAACGACATGTAGCTGAGATGTACAAGTGTGCAAAGATGGCTAGGTGATTGCAGTCATGGTCGCATTGGGTATCGAGCCGAGTGGAGAGGTGGAGCATGCACGCAGCTCAATTGTGACGAATTGGTAAAACCACATTCGAAATACCCAACATCGACATGGCGGCATTGAAAAACGCAGAGGCTCTGATTCCTCGATTCAAGTTCGAGAAGCTGTTGAATCAAGGTATCAAGACTCGAGTAGAAGAAAGAAAAGAGGACAAGTCATAACGCGACAAGAAATAGACCAAGCCGGACGCCGCATCGTCTTGCAGGGCACCATCGACTCTGAGCCCGCCCTCCTCCTCGCCGAACGCGCCGCCTTCGATTCCGATGAATCACACCTGTCAACCTTGAGCAACTCGCTTTCACACATCCAGAACCTCGGCGACAATGACATCTACCGCTGGTACATGGCCCACAGCGGTGTTGGCGAAGGGCAACCCGCCGACTTGAAGATCAACCTCATCTACCCCTGCACCGAGCAGCATCTCAAGAAATACAGAGCACAAGCTGTCCGCCATGTCACAGAGACTCCCCATGTCTATCGCGACCACGTCAGGCCATACATGAAGACCAAGCGCGACCAAGGCCGACTGAACTGGGTCTTCAACATCCTCGACGGACGCACCGAGCAAGAAGACGTTCTGTTCCGCTCGCCGCATTCCACCACGACAGAGGATGAGAGATACCTATTGTTGCCGGATCTGAACTGGGATCGCAAGACGTTGGGAAGCCTACACTTGCTCGCCCTCGTCGAGCGTAGAGACATTTGGAGTCTACGCGACCTCAAGAAGAAGCATGTCGCCTGGCTGAAGCGTATCGTTGCAGACATCGCCAGCACTGTTTCTCGTCTCTACAGCATAGACGCTGATATGTTGAAGTGCTATGTGCATTGTGAGTACCCATGTCGTTGCCACATCTTCCTGCTTCCTGTGCCAACAAGCTTCCAGATCAACCTACCTACTACCATTTCCACATCCACATTGTCCACGTGTCGCTCGAAGCTGGTGCCACACAGGCTGTAGGCAAAGCTCTGTCGCTCGACAACATCATCTCGCAGCTTGCAACCATGGCTGGCGACCAAGAAGCCGGCATGGACAACGTAGACCTGTCCTTCACACTAGGCGAGGCCAGCGAGCTATGGACAGACGTATTCTTGCCTTTGAAGGAGAAGCGCTTACAATAGATTGATATATCCTTGACTTTGATTTATGATTTTTTGATTCAGATTATGCTTGACTTTCTAGATTCGCTCTTCTACTTCTCCCCTTTTCAGAGAGCCTGTGTCCCTCCCTTTCTCTTTCCAACCATGATCTCATGAAAAACTCCCCAACCCTCCCCAAAATGTCTTATGTGTGCTAGAAAGAAGATGCGCAAATCGCTGTGCAAGGCAAAAGAAAGGAAATTGAGAAAGTAATCAATGGCCGAGAAGAAGAGCCAGCTTCTTTTCACCACCTCGCTCGTTGTTGTCCAGTCGGTCATTAGGGTAGTGTAGAATCACTCCTTGGTAGGACTGGGCGTCATATCGAATGCAGAGTTCTCTCTTGTCGGACTCACGCATTCACTCAGTCTTCGCTCGAACCACTCGTTTGCAGGATTGATGGACGAGTTCCTCGTCGACATCCTGCTCTGACGATCCGCTCTCTCAAGAGCCAATCTTTCTGCCGCTTGCTCAGCAGCCCTATTGGCTCTATCCGAAGTTCCGGAAAACGTCTTTTTATGCATGGGAACCATGGGTTTGGCACTGCTCGAAGAAGCAAGTCTGTTTGCTCCGCTGAGACGGTTTGCTTTCGTGTCGGCTTGAGCAGCCACTGCTGATGCCTCTTGCTCTTCTCTTTCCAGCGAAGGCAAGCGCTTGGGTGCGGGAGTGTTCCAGCGTCTTCGCTTTCTCGTTGTAAAAGACCAAAATTTGAAGCTGCCGAGAAAAGTGCCATCGGCGCCTGGAACGTGTTGCCAGGGCTTCTCTCGCCATCCGAAAACTACACAATCTACTGTTCCGGCGATTGTCACGCAGAAGGTTGAAAGGAGTGCTAGGATGGGGATGGGGTTTGCTGCGTAGTGGTCCGAGTAGTTGAAGCTGTGGTAGACAAAGGGGATTGTCCAGACCATGAGGTAGGTGATTGGGTAAATGAAGAGAAGGCGTAGTTGGCGTTGAATGGCTCGGCGTCGCTTTTTGAGAGGTGTGTCTGCTGAGGCAATGTCTGCTTTGTCTCCACTTATCATTTGGTGGCCTTCTTCGATGGGCGCAAGGTTGACTGATTGAGCACCTGCTGCAGCAGTCATGTCTGCCGAAGTCCTCCATGATGCGACGGTTGATACAGATTGCCTTTGCACCTTGGCTTCTGGAGGCACCTGAAGGAGCTCGTGGTGAGTAGTTCCATCGGTGAGGATAACGACGTGACTGCTTCGTCTGGACTGATTTGCTGAATGCACCTTGAAGCCCTCGGCGGAAGAGTTCAAAGAGGTCGGCCAAGTGGACTGGCTACCTTGGCTGGAGCTGCTCGTAGGAGCCTGGCTACTTGCAGTTTTGCTCTCGGTAAGATTAGAGAGATCTTGCAGTTCCCCAGCGTTGGGACCTCTCTTCTTCGCCACTCGCAGGTCTTGTGTTCCTTCTCCAGGCATGGTTCCCAGACTTTCTCCATATCCATTGGTTCCGGTGCTCGAGTCCTTGTCGTCTTCGCGAGCAAAAATCTTGAAGCCTTGGCCGACATGCAAGTAGATGCGGAAGGCGACGAACATGATGTAGAGCCAGATGAGATATCTAGGGATCCATTGCAATGCAAGTCGGTACCAGTAAGGACGGATAGGCAAAGTACAGAAGGGTCCTTGTGCAATGTATCCTTCGCGTCCTTGAATAAAAGCGAGGACGGCGCATAGGAAAGGGAATACAAACCATCCTCCCATTACGGTGTGTCGGAACCGATACAAGCCGTCGTGGCCAAACATTCTACTACCTGTGCTAAAAATTTGAAGGTACATGTGGAACGACATGATGAAGATTGCATAGTCTGTTGACGGCATCAGTACAGCAATCAATGGTAACAAGATGGACACATACCGCAAGCCATAGTTGAGGCCTGTAACAAGAAACCAAACCCTTGACAGAAAGACGAATGTGTGTCGATTGAGCCGCGGTGAAGAGAAACACCCGAAAAGCTTATGTACCATAACGATTTAAAGAAGTCGGCCACGACGAGATACAGGATCAGACTGTGTGTGTTGTTTAGTCAAGTCGTCTCACGAAGTTCCATGAGAAAGCCTGCGACTCACTTTCTGCGAAAGTTGCGTCGCATCATGAAAAACCAGTAAATAGTTATCAGTGTACCAATGACACTGAAACTAGAAGATATTGTCGCAACAATTCGAATCGCTCGACTCCATTCGTGCGATATGACTTTCGACGGGTCCTCGAGGTGACCGCCGAGACCCATGTTTGCTACACTTCGCTGCGATTTGACGAAGGACAGTTCACCACGTGGGGCATGAGAGAAATGCTGTATAAGAGATGGAGCAAGGGAGAAAAGGGCGTGCCCGCTCGAAGAGAGTGATTGTCTGAGTTGACTGAAGTCATCTCCAATGGCCGTTGCCAAGTCCATTTATGTTTCCTAGATGGTTCTGCCGATCAAGACTGTTTTGACAAAACCGTAAGTTGGTGCTGTCGAATGCTCCCGCTCCAACCGTAACGGCATCAACGTTCAATAAAATTATGACCGAAAAAGTACACATAGGCGACCAGATTTCTGTTCTAGATGTGCTTACTGACTGGTGTCTCCTGACTCGAATCAATATGCAAAGACAGGGCGTTGGTGACACGAGCAAGAAAGCAAAAACAAGATACAGATCAAGCACCTCGAGGGCTTGATAGAGAAACGGGTATGTTGTATGCAACACAGGTCAACGTATCCATGTGGTTATTGTTCGACCCTCACACAAGCCCGTTTGCAGACGGCACAAAGGGTCAAGAAAGGAGAAAAGGAGAGGTGAAGAAGATTTGCTGAAAGCAACCTCAGGGGAGCTAAAGATTTCAGTTCATACCATTATTCGGGGAAGTTTTAGACGGTTATCGGCACTTGCACTGATATCCTTCGTGGACGTTTTGCCGCATGCCTCATATCGAATTGCGGGCTCTACGGTGGTGCAGAGGAATGCACTCTTTTGGTGGTGTCGTTGTTTGGATTCAGACTTCGCGTGCCAAACCGTTCATCGTGCCGGCCGCATCCCTAGCTTACATACCTCATGAATCGTAAAGAAGAGGGCCTGGACCCACAAACACGTGGTGACCGTTTTCGTGGACTAAGCAACTCTCTGAGGCTCCTTTGTCCTTATGGCCGGTATTCTCGGCAATGCTTCAGTCGAGTGATTGCGAGAGGGCAATGAGACTGAAACGCAAATCGCCACCTCCGGCCTCAGTCTCTCGTTGAAGGAAACTGCGGACGCCCATGTTGAGAGCATTATCGCTCAGGACGTCTTCGTCTGGGGACAAGGGGCCTCTATTGAGAGGACCCTTGCGACGGCCATCCATCTCCCAGAGGTGATTGGTAGACGACTTGACGAAGCAGACATAGTGCAAATCAACGTTGTCCTCTGCTGAAGGAGCAGCAGTGTCTCCACCAGTGGCTGCGGCCTGATGTGCGTTTTCAAGAGCTTGAGATTCGTACAGCAGGTCAGCACGCTGGGCAGGCTTGAGGACGATGGCATCCTCAAGAAGCTTTGCCAGATCCGAGGCGGGAGTGATGAAGTCGCGAGCGGGACCATTGCTCACAGCATGGAGAACGCCAATCAAGCCGCAGGCGTTGCCGATAGTCTGTTTGTACCACACGACCTCCTCATTAGGGCCAGAGCCTTCGTACTCTGCCTTGTCGTGGTCTTCACTGTGACGGAATGATTCGTATGTGTCGCTGACAGGAAAGACTAGGAGGAGTGCACATGCCGGGCGAGGGACAAAGGCAAGCAGTTCGGGCTCGTCGATGCTAAAGACGTCGTGGAAGGCGAGCTGTGATGAGAGACCGAGTTTGTGCAGCAGCGAGCTCATTACCTCGGGGTTGTTCTCTGCCAAACATTAGTCATGATGCGCAAGATTGGTGACGTGAATCGGGTGCGCTTCTCTCCTCACCTAACGGAACGAACGACTTGCTTGCCGAGGAAGCAGGCGCGGTCGGTCCATGAGGATCCGCCTTCTCTTGCTGTGTTGATGCCATTTGAACTGATGCGACTGCTGTTGTTCTCGTTGACTTGCAGGGCTCGGGTAGTTGGCTGTGTGAAGGAGGATAGACGAGCTTCACATTCGGGGTGCGGGAGCCTTGAGCATTGCGTCACATGATTGAGTGCCTTGCCATCACGGTTGCAAACTTGCAGACTTGCAGTCTACGCGCCCGACTCAAGCCGCATAACAAATCTCAAGAAACATCCAGTCATAGCAACCGACTTCTTTGTGTGTTTACCATCAATTAAGATAATTAGTACATCACTTCCGGACGCTGCGCTAATTCCTTGCAAAAACTCACTAAGCGCCTGCGCTCTCCTATCTTTGAATAGAATTTACAGGAATACCAAAAGTTGCGGAAATATCGACATTTTGTCCCCAAACGCCTCCTAATGCTACGCTAACATTTTCAAGAAAAAGTTTTCTCTCCTCATCGCTTGCTCGAAAAGAAGTGTCGTTTCTTCTTCTCGGGATCCTTTTGAAGCTTTGATGAACTCGGCGCTGGTGTTGCTGTCGCTGTCCCGTTTGCCTGCTTTGAGTTGAGGCTCATGTTGTTCATGGCCTGAGTGGGCGGCTGAGCTGGCACGGCAGGTTTCAGAGGAGCCTGTACGGGCCGGGGTGCTGGTGGTGGTGGCTCGTCGCGCTCGAACAAGTGAGCAGGGGCCTGTTTAGGTGGTTGTTCGGCAGGTATACCTAGCTTGCGTTTGTCCGTACTGAGATCACCCACCTGTCGGAGGAAGAAAGCTGGTGTGAGCATATGGCTGGTGAGCAGGAACACCTCCTTATTACTCTGGCGCGTCATGTCATAGCAAACACGGCTCTCCGAGTATGTCGCACCACCTGCCATGAACACAATGACTCTTTGCCGGGGCTCTGTGGTTGACGATTTTGCTTTTGCCCAAGTTGGCTTGGCAGATCGTAAAGAAGTAGGCGCAGGGCCAATGTCGTTCTCACCAAGATCAATCGGTGGCTTAATGTAGGGGAACACGGTGGCATCAACCGTGTTGGTTGCATGGTTTGCCAACAACCGTTGGAGAGCTGTTTCGAAGCGACTCAGAGCATACTCTTCTTGAACCAAGGTCGGCGGTGGCTTCTGAGGGAATAGTGGAATAGGTGGAGGGCGGGAATCCTTCAGATTTCTTGATGTCCGAACTCCCAAAAGGCCAAAGTTGTGCAACATCTCGGCATGTTGAGGAGGCAGCTGAGCATGAAGCAAGAGTTTGATGAGATCTGCAGGAAGTAGACCATCCTTATAAATTAGATAGAGCGCAATCAAGCGAAGTCTGTCCGGCATAACAATAGCATCGTCGTCCAGAGTTCTTACGACCTGATCCGTTACGTGTTTCGGTTTTCGGTAATCCTCGTCAAGACCGGTAGCCAGAATCTGATAATCGAGTCAGTTGAAGATTCTGGCAAGAATAGTCTGTACATACCTGCTCCACTGAAGCCATGTCTGGGAGTTTGTGGCGCTGGAAAAGATCCATACATTCTTGGGCCATACCAAGGTGCAAAGAGTAAGCTCCCTTCATCTCTTCAAATTGCGGGAGACCAGCCAGCATGTCCTTGATAGTATTAAGACCATTCATACCACTAGGATCGCTCTCTTTGGTGAAGTGAGGATTTTCATCGATAAATTTCTGAAAGTCACCCATGAGCTTTTCGATGGTATCCTTCATGTGGAGATGGCGATTCTCGACCCAGATACGGTCCTTTTCCGAAATCTCGTAATCCTTTTCTTCCTGTTTAGGCGTTCCTTGATTGACAATGGTCTTGTAAGTGATTTTGTCTCCTTCGCGGATGGGGAGCAGATCGTGAGCCATTGCCTGGTAGGTGAACTCGTGGAGTAAAGGAGCAAAGACGTCCATGGATCTGTCAGTGATGTAAAGAGTGGCGCGAGGACGATTGCTTGGTGGAGGGAAGTCTTTGTGGAAGTTGGCATATAGATTGAGCTCTTCCTGGACAAAACGAGCCAGATGAGAGCAGAGTACACTAGCCTCATGGGTAGGAGTGCGTGGGCGGTAGTATCTGATGTCGGGAAATTCGCCTAGAGCTACACAGACACCGACAATCTTCTGGGCGAGATCCTCCATGTGCTGGCGGATGAGGTTGTTACAGGCGGGGTGGAATAGAATAGGAAAACTCCATGGGTCTCTGAAAGTGACAAGGTGGGACTCGCGAGGGAAGAAGTCGACGTTGAGTACGCGAAAGATTGTGATTTGGTCGCGGGCGACAGCAGATTTGTCCAAACGCTCTTTCATGTGTGGCGGGAGTAACGAGGTCCAGATCAGGTTTGTCTTTCTATAGCGTCGCCTTTCCAGATCGGCCATGACACAGTCGACAATGTGTGTTTGAGGAGAGATTAGGTAGATGGCGTCGACATCGGGGTTCTTTGGACGACGGTCCTCAATCTTCTCGATGTCTACGGGCAGCATGTGTCAGGGGGAGCGGCGGGTGGTGGAGAGTGTCAGGGGAGGGCATACTGGTAATGCTCTCATTCAGGATGTCGTCGGCATGGAGGACATTGTCGAGCAGTTTCTTGCTTGTGTCGTCGAGTACCAAGACTTTCCACTGTTTGGACTGGTTAGACGGAGGGGAGGATTGGCGACATGTTCAGTGGTTGCATGGACGTACTTGGCCCTGGGTGGTGGAGCGGATCACATTTAGAATGACTATCGGGTCATGGTCAGACTAAAGAGACGTGTCGGCAGATGAGGGAACTCACTGTCGCGCTGGGCGTCTATGATGGAGACGCCCATGCTGGAAAGAAGCGTCTTTGTAGGGAATTGGGCAAGAAGCGATGGTGACTTGGGTTGGTTGCTGGTTGCTGGTTGATGCTTGACAGCGGGAGATGCGGAGATGAGAGTCGCCAAGCCGCTCTCGACCGTGTGCATGTGCCATGCTGCATCTTGCATGTCATTTGTGCTTGTGCCACTGCGACTCCGAATCTTCACCTTTGCTGCCATCTCGCCATTTCTTTTGTCGCATCAGTGTGCCAGCGAGAGGTAATGCTCGCAGCCACTCGTCAAGCAGGCAGACTGGTCTCCTGTCCCTCCAATTCTCTACGCCTTCGCCGCGAACTCCAGTCTCGCAACTTCTCCACCACCCGCCACGCCCGACGAGACGCTTCATTCAGCAAGAAAAACTCCCACTCGGATGCCAAACGTCCCCTTATACGCAGGGAGCTCTCCCGTCCCAAGCAAAAGTTCTCCGACGTCCTGAGAGAAAATCTCGAATCTCTGCGTTCCGAGCTAAAAACTACTCCCATCGGTCAGAAACTGGACAGCGAAGGCTCCTTTAGAGAGACATGGAAACTCTTCACAAACAACATATTCAATCCTGGCGACAAGGACTCTACCCAACCTGTGGTTGCTGCCAGGAGAAAGGACCATCAAGCTCTCCGCGACTCCTGGTTTGAAAGAGGTGCCAACGGCTTGATTGATCGCATCAAATATGCCTTTTACAATCATGTTACAAGCGCGCGTTTCACCCCCTCCGACATCCGTAACCAAAAGGCCCTTGCTGATTTGCGCTACCCTACCGAATGGTATCCCGCTACCCGCACCGTCCACCGAACCATCCATCTCCACGTCGGTCCGACCAATTCTGGCAAGACTTACCATGCTTTACAACGCTTAGAACAGGCCAAGACTGGTGTCTACGCCGGCCCTCTACGTCTGCTTGCTCACGAGGTTTACACAAGGCTCAATGCAAAGGGCAAGGAGTGCATGCTTGTCACCGGAGAGGAAAAACGTGCCCCTAATGACTCCCTGACCAGCGACCTGACAAGTTGTACCGTTGAGATGATGCCTCTCAACAAGGACGTCGATGTTGCCGTCATCGATGAAATCCAAATGATAGGAAATGCTGAGCGAGGTTGGGCTTGGACCCAAGCTGTCCTTGGTGTCAAGGCCCGCGAGGTTCACTTGTGTGGTGAGACTCGTACCGTCCCTTTGATCCGTGAACTGTGCGCCTCGATTGGTGAGAAGCTTGTCGTTCACGAATATGAGCGTCTGAGTCCTTTGCAAATGGCCGACAAGAGTTTGCAAGGCAACCTCAAGAAGCTGCGCAAAGGTGACTGCATCGTCAGTTTCAGTGTCATGGGTATTCACGCTCTTCGAAAACAAATCGAGCAGACTACTGGAAGAAAGGTTGCTACCGTATATGGCAGTTTACCTCCCGAGACCAGAGCCCAGCAAGCACGCTTGTTCAACGACCCTGACAACGATTACGACTTCCTAGTTGCTAGTGATGCCATTGGTATGGGTCTCAATCTGAGTATCAAACGTGTCATTTTCGAGTCTTCGTCCAAATTCGATGGTTTCCGTCAAAGAACTCTGGCTGTCCCGGACATCAAGCAAATCGCTGGACGTGCCGGTCGTTACAAGAGTGCCTATCAGGCAAACAAGGCCGCCGAGGAGGCAGCCGCTCAGAGTCTTGCGGAGGCCAAAGGAGAGTCGGAACCTGGAAAGGAGCACATCACTGAGGCTCCTGCCGTGATTTTACAATCCATGGAAGCCTCTGCTGAAGCTTCATCAGTGATTGCGGCACCCGCAGAAACCATCGAGTCGCAGCCAAACGTGGAGTCATCATCACAGGCTGCTGACGCCGGAAAGGAGCCTTCGAAACCCGAGGATTCGACATTGGGACTTGTTACTACGCTTGAAGACTTCGACTTCCCTGTCATTGCCAAAGCGATGAAGGAAGAACCTGAACCGATCCGCTCCGCGGGGCTCTTCCCTCCTGCACCTATCCTTGAACGTTTTGCCTCATATTTCCCTCCAGGGACACCTTTTTCATACATCCTTATGCGACTGCATGAGCTTTCTCAGATGCACTCAAGATTTCATCTTTGTGGCTTGAGAGATCAGCTCTGGATTGCAGACCTGATCGAACCAATTCAAGGTTTGACTACAACGGACCGAAACATTCTCTGCGCATGTCCCGCATCCAAGAGCGACAAGGAACTAATCAGTAGACTTATGCCAGCATTCGCGCGTTGCATCGAACAGCAAAGTGGCGGTGCTCTTTATGATATTGCAGAGATGCCCCTCGAAGTGTTGGAGCTGGACATGTCGCCGAGCAGAGATTATCTTCGCCAACTGGAGCAGTTACACAAGGCTATCGTCGCATATTTGTGGCTCAGCTACAGATTCGCAGGAATCTTCTCTACGCGGCCACTGGCTTTCCATGTCAAGGGCCTCGTAGAAGAAAGGATCGAGACAGTTCTCCATCAGTTCTCCTTTACTGAGAACCAGAGGAGGAAGATCAAGGCGGCCCGAGAGAAATCGCTGATGGAAGACTTCCGAAGAGAGCTCATGTTGGAGGATGAGAAGGAAGAGTCCAAAACATCTGCATTTCTTGCTCAGCAAACCAGCGTCACGGCCGGAGGTGACGAGTTTGCCGGCGAGACGGATCTAGAAATCATGGACCCGGCCGAGAGACTTGCGAGCGAGGATGTCGCTACCATGCAAGAGCAGACAATGGGCTCGGATGTGGCCGAAGACGTGCCACCAAAAGCAGGTTCTGATGAACAAACATCTCCAACAGGTTCGACAGACGTCCCAGAGATTGACGTTATCCGCTCGAATACATCGGAAGTAGATGAGGTCAACCTGGCCCACGACATTGCAACGACTGATAGGTCGAAGCGTGAAGAATAGGATTGTTGTGTATAACACCCAAAGGCACAAGATTTAAGCCATGTGGCGATTTGTTGGATAAAAGAAGAGTAGCACCATAGACATCATGTATTATAGTAATGAATAACGTCCCTCATCACAGATTGACACGGTCGATTGAAGTCTTGAGTAATGTCAAGCGCGTGTGACGCTGACTGCCGAGGCGCGGAGTTTTGGCGACGTGATGCTTCGAGGAACAATGCGATTGATCAACAAACATTGAGATATCACAGGGGTACCAACTCGAATCGAGTAGTCGCCAGCTTCTCCAAAACCGAACAGAATGAGCTTGTGACCCCAATCTCGCAGCTCACAATCCCCTCCTGTATTGTCTTGCACACCTGACCTCCCTCGGCGCATACTCGACGACCATGTTCTCCCCCGTGGCGGTTCTTGGCTTTGCGGCCATCTGCCTGGCCGTAGGAGAGAAGGCGCCTGCAAAGGATGCCCAGCGACCACTCAAAAGCCCTCAGGAAAGGGCAAAGATACTTGCAGCATGCCCGGCATACGAGCATTATGCGAGGTTCTCGCAGTATGTCTTCTCCCAATCGGCGCATACTGTTGCTTACCGCGTGCTAGTCCACCTTTCTCCGAAGGCCCCATGTCACTCCCCTTCCAGCGCCCAGCAACTCTCTGCCGCACCTTTGAATCAGACCTGGTAGAACAGATCATCGACGACATGAACGAGAAGATGACGGACAAGGACTTGGCTAGGATCTTCGAGAATGCCTTCCCAAACACACTAGACACGACAGTACGATGGCACGTCGACGGTACCGAAAAGTCGACCTACAAGAGCAGCCATGGCGCATGGCAGGGTCCACAGAGTTTCATCGTGACTGGCGACATCAACGCAGAATGGCTCAGAGACTCGACCAACCAACTAGCCCAATACCAAAAGCTGGCCAAGAAGGACAAGGCTATCCAGATGCTGATACTGGGTGCTATCAACACCCAAGCCGAGTACGTTATCGAGTCGCCATACTGCAACGCCTTTCAACCACCGCCGCCCAGCCGCCTCGCTGCATCAAACAATGGTCAGGAGGATGTCGTCCATCCAGCATATGAGCCGTCAAACGTCTTCGAGTGCAAGTACGAGTTGGACTCTGTTGCCCACTTCCTCTCTTTGTCCAACCAATTCTACAATCACACCGGATCTACCGCTTTCTTGACCCCAAGATGGTATGCAGCTTTGGACACTTTGCTTGCGCTGCTGGATGAGCAGGCCAAATCCACCTTCGATCCCAAGACTGGTGCTTTTCAGCACAACGAGTACACTTTCCGACGCCGTACAGACGCAGGCACCGAGACCCTCAGCTTGTCTGGCAACGGTAACCCGTTAAATCATGGTACTGGACTTGTGAGAAGTGCTTTCCGTCCTAGCGACGATGCCACTATCCTCGGCTTTTTCATTCCAGCCAATGCTATGATGGCTGTTGAGCTGAAGCGGGCTTCGGCCGTCCTGGCCAAGGCTGGCAAACTCAAGCTCGCCGAGAATCTGAAGGCGCGCGGAGCTGCCATCGAGGAAGGCGTGTGGGAGCATGGTGTCGTTTCGCACAAGAAATATGGCTCTGTGTTTGCTTTTGAGGTTGATGGCTATGGTTCTTCTATCATAATGGACGATGCTAACCTGCCATCGCTGCTCGCCCTGCCACTGCTTGGTTTTGTCTCAAGAGACGACAAGACCTATCAAAACACCCGTCGTATGATACTCGAGAAGAATGGCAATCCATACTATCTTTCTGGCAAAGCCTTCAAAGGCATTGGTGGACCTCACATAGGTCTGCAGAACGCTTGGCCTATGAGTTTGCTGGTGCAGGCAATGACCTCGGATGATGATGAAGAGATTGAGGATGCTCTTTCTGCCGTCAAACGCGTCAGTCATCTGGGTCTAATACACGAGAGCATACATGTCGACCGTGGAAGGGATTATACTCGTAAGCAATCTGACTCGCAACGACTTCCGAAACCCACTAACCATTTTCTCAGGCAGTTGGTTTGCTTGGGCCAACTCGGTCTTTGCTCAAACGATCCTCGACGTGGCAGAGAGGAAACCACACCTTTTGTTTGGGTCGGGAGTGAAACCCTATATCATCGACTAGATAAGCATTATGATTCATACAATGAAACGTCTTTCAATAATAATTTGGTACTGAGTGATGTTCGTATATTGACATGAAAGGAGCTGGCGGCGGTACGTTTCCGCTCCCCCGAGTGACCGCACGGAGTCAGGGACAGAACACCAAACAACTACACTTTACAACTCGACGTTATACGAAAGACCTTTGCCATTGATACTACCCAAAAATACATCCCAAATCCTGGTCTTCTCATATCTCAAGACCGACCGCGTTGCATTGGACGACGTTGCCGGACACAATAATGGTATCGCAGGGGCTACCCCTCAATCACCAGCCGAACTACCATGCAGAGCGAAAAGACGATATACAGTTGGACGATCTGCAATCCGGACACTCTCCAAATTTCCAAAATGTACCAGACAATGAGAAGGAGGAAGAATATGACGACAACGATGAAGACGACAAATCCAGTGTGCAGGATTGGGAACTATTCACACCTGACGAAGAGAAATCCCTACTCAGGAAGTTGGACACCCGTTTGGTTCTGTTCTTGGCCCTTCTATACATGCTGTCGTTTTTGGATCGATCAAGTACGTTCCTACATTAAAGAGACCATCTTCAAATCTGATTGCTAACTTGGTAGACATCGGCAATGCTAGAGTTGCAGGCATGTCGAAAAGTCTGAGACTTAGCCCAACCCAGTTTGAATGGCTGCTTACTGGATTTTACATTTCTTACATCTGTTTCGAATGGATGACTTTGTTGTAAGTCTATATCCCTCGAATTGCACTTTCTCCCAAACCGACCAGTTTTGCCTCTCTGTCCTGGGCTGTCAGGGTCACCCCACGAACCACACCAAAAGGTGATCGTTAGTTGAGATCCACGACTTTGTGATATTCACAAATTGATTACGACTCGGGACTAATGATCAGGGTTTAGGTACAAAGTCTTCCCACCACACGCATATATCTCGATATGCGTCCTAGCCTGGGGTTGCCTTGCCTCCTTACAAAGTGTAAGCCCGGGATTTGGAACACTCTTGATCTTGAGAATATTGCTCGGAGTCTCTGAAGCCGCATTTGGCCCAGGAGTGCCCTTCTATTTGTCTTTCTTCTACAAAAGAAACGAGCTCGCTTTCCGTACTGGACTGTTCATTTCAGCAGCACCCCTAGCCAGCAGTTTTGCGAGCACTTTGGCCTTTGCCATTGTCAAACTCGGTAACCATACCGTGATTGACAGTTGGCGGTTATTGTTCATCATTGAAGGGTTTCCAAGTATACTGGTAGCTGTATGGGCTTGGTATATCATTCCAGACTCGCCTTCGACTTCTCCATGGCTCTCGACCAGAGAACGGGAAATAGCGACACTGCGTTTGCGGAAACAAGAGAGCACTTCTCAAACTCAAGTTTCGGGAATTGGTCGAAAGAAAAGATTTGACTGGTCTGCAGTACGCAGAACTCTATGCGATCCGAAGAGCTACATGACTGCGGGCTGCTTCTTCTCACTCAATGTTGCTTTCTCCTCAATGCCGGTTTTTGCTCCAATAATCATTCAGAAGTAAGCAAACTAGGAGTCATACCTGATGTTTAGCTGACCGAGTCGTAGCATGGGTTACTCGGCCGTCCAAGCACAAGGCTTAGCTGCACCACCACACCTATTCGCCTTTGTTGTTGTCCTTGTCACCTCAATCGTCTCTGACCGGTCGCAGTCTCGTTCGATACCAATCATCATACATGCACTGTTGGCGATGGTTGGTTACATGTTGCTCGCTCTTGCACCCAAGATGCATCTGTCAACCACAGCGCAGTACTTGTGTACGTTTCCCATCACTGCGGGCTTCTTCAGTGCCGTAACGACTGTCATTGTCTGGACCGTCAACAACCAACAAAGCGAGGAGGGACGTGGCAGCAACGTCGCACTTCTGAACATTATTGGTCAGCTTGGTCCTCTTGTCGGGACACGACTTTACCCAGACTCTGATGCTCCGAGTTATACGAGAGGACATGCTATATGTGCTGGGTTCATGGCGTTGGTGGCTTTGTTGGCTACAGTTCTGAGGGTTGTTCTCACCAGGGCAAACGCTGCCTCACGTGCAGCCCGAGTTATAACGCAAGATGGTGCTCATAGACCACTTGTTGCTAGTTCTGCTTCTACAGCGGGCGATTTCGAGTACATTCTGTAGTGTCTGCGAACCAAATGACGTCGGTCACCACAAGTCGTCCATTTTGGTGTGTGAGGTTTCAACTGCCGTTCGGCGCCTGTAGACAAAGTCTAAAAAAGAGACACGGGTGATCGACGAGTGATCCCGGGAGCCAACAAGTGAGGATCGAGCCAGATGCGTTACCGAGAAGCAACAAGATCAGAGAGTCGACCGCCTCATCGTTTTGCAATGCAGACCAATTTTCTCGTCACAAACCCCAAGCCATCACAGTACCATAGCTCTGGGACAGTCAAGGTACGAATATCTCGGCGCGTGAAGTTCGCTAGGAAAGCAGTATTGGATCCAGAGACATTTTTGTCTAGATTTAGCAGTTGTGTGTGTTTGAGTCAGATCCATGTCCGAGACATTGCCCTGCCACCCGGCCTTGTATGTGCTCATAGACCCACGAGTCCAGTACATATTATGTATTGACTGCACTATTGGAGGCGGTGTGTGTTTATTAGACATGACCTTGTGATATCAGGTTGTTGTTAGAGTGCGAGATGCATGCTCGTCTCTGCAGGAGCAGACTTGTGAGGAACAGTCGCTGCTACCAGGCAGGATCGCACACCGTTTTTGGATAGTCGTTTGCATCCATCATGCATGACATCTGCACACTTGTGAGGTCGGACCCGAGCCAACAGCGGGGCCCACAGATTTATCGCCGAGGCAGGATGGCAGATGATGGGGGACCATCCGATCCGGTGCATCAATGTCCTCGACACTAGCTGACGGCGTTCCATATCCACGGCGTCACGAGTTGTTCTGAGTCGACCTCGACCATCCTCCGATTGGAGTGTTGACCTGACCACCGCTGCCTTGTCAATGGTGAGGGACTGGGGATGACCTAGCTTGAGATGAAAGTCGATAATCAATCTTGTATAATATGACGTTCCTTCGTGTCGTCCCTGTATCCAGGGCATCTGAACAAGATTTAATCATTTCTCTTTATTGGGCCATCTCTTGAAGCCCTGTAAGTCGAGAGATGGGAAAGCCGGATCGTTTTGCTGAATGTGACGTCGGAGTGGGTGTTCAAGAGCATCCGTGACACGCGTTTTTCGACAATTAATTTATCTGAGCGGATGTGATTGGCAAGTGGCTTTTTTCAATCTGTTGTTTTGTTATGCGTGATGTGACCTGTACTGCTGAACACTCGCTGTAGAAGGGGCTCGAAATGAAGCTCATTCAACAAGTGTCATGAGTCGAAAGGGTTTGAGGCTGAAGGTGGTCCTTCTCAAGGCTGTTTGAAGACGCTGTCGTGGACGAAACCGGTACCTGCCTGTAGTGTCATGGTCCATAGATGCTGGAAAGTCGCAGCTTGTTGTACAGAGACACTGACTCATAAATGGCGCACTCTATTATCCTTCTGGTGGTGCTCGGACCTATCCGTTGCTTAAGCGATTGTGCATGCTCCGAGTACGAGAATTGAAGGAGAGTCCACGCTCATGTCTTGTATTCCCGCCCCAGCCGTCATCACAGGCAGTCGCAAGCGGCCCTGAACAGCCACAGATTCAAGTGGGACGGAGAAATTCAACTTCTCATCGATATGGAAACAGCTGATTGAAGTTGTGATTGTTTTTGCGGAGCCAGTTACGCGTGTGCTCATGTTTTGGCTGAGGCGGCGGTGTGAATTATTGTGGATGCCCTCCTCACCTTCCGAGTCCCTTGAAGCACAAAAGAAAATTAAGCAAATGGTAACCCTGGGGTTATAAGCAAGGATCAACCCGAAACACCTGTAATCTCAATCAGTTCTCACCCTGAACTGACATCTACGTGTAGCAAGTCGCCATAATGAACGCAAGCAGCGAGTTGTGGTTGAGACATTTGACAGAAAACGGTCCTTCGTGCGGAAATGGTGGGAGAAGTTTGTGAAACAGGCTTCTTCAGAGGTGTGTCGAGCATGTGAGAATGCCTGCTCAAAAGCATGATGTTGGATGGTATCCTCCTACCTCCTCATAATGGTACTCCAAGTAGAGAGAACATAACCGACATTTGATCGTCGTCATATCAAAGCCGTCAACCAGAGTTGTTGTGTTCCTCCTGCTAAAAATCGCCTTGATCGCCTTTTCCACCACGCGACTTGTCGATCAAGACGTTGATGACGACTGCTGGGGGAAGATCCTGGTACCTGCAACAAATTGCATGGCCGGCGCATTGCGGCAGGATAACGTACCTACGCGATGTCCAGCAGATAAACGTGGCTAGGTCACACGAGATGTCGTTCGCGACACTCGAAAAGAGTTGTTCTTCTTGCTGACCATCATTTCGGCAGTGGATGCGCGATCGCATCGAACACAGGGCAACCGTTGTGTGTGTGTGTGTGCTCGCGCGCGTTAAACTCCACAAGCCATCATCTTAACGTTAATTATGAAACTGACACCTGGAAGCGGAGAGGGGGTCGGTCGATCACAGGAAACGCCAGAAGACATGGATCGCTGCCGATCGCCCACGAGCCAAACACTCCGAGAACTACACTCGTGCCTTTTGCCGTGAGAACAGAGGCGTGCCTTGGTCCACAGCACATGCCAATAAAGATCTATATGCAAGAGATTTTAACAAGCCCATGTTCAATTCACCAAACCAACATACTCTAGAGCACTGCCCTGATGAGGCGCGCAACAATAATCTGCGGTTCGGAACCTACAAGGGCCAAAATGTCAGGCCTCTGATTGGATCTTGGAGCCCGAGAACTTGGACGTCTTTTGCTTGTCCTCTCGAGTCTCTCTTTCTTGCTCGTAAGCGAGGCGGCAGAAGCCAAACTCCCTGCAAGTTCGTTTGTCCCGCCGGTTTGACGCCTGGCGCAACAGACTAGCTAGTCGGGGGCGCTGTCCGTGTGTGCGTCCTTGGACACTTTGTCTCTTGAAACCTACCAAAGAATGCTTCTACCACCACGAAGAGCTGACCGTGCATATCATTAAACTACAGCCATGCCGAAGGGATCCTCTGTTGATGGGCTTCGGCTATCGCCCATCACTGATACGTCTAAAACGCCACAGGTTCTCATCCGCAATAATGTGAAACCTTTGGAGCAAAAAGAGGCCCCGGCTACGTAAGCTTCGGACTCGCAGCAGTAGGTGACAAGTGGAGGATGCACGCATCAGGCTTGCAACCCCTCGTGCGTGTGCTTTCATCATCGTCTTGCCCAAAATCTATCTCATGCACGCCGCTTTTTGGAGGCTTTGCTGATCTCCATCGCATCGCCCGGGCAGATCGCACTTGGACCTTTTTTTCTGCTCACACACCCTGCAGAGTCGGTAGAGTCCCTGCGCTCTCTTAAACCTGTCGAGGCAGAATAGATTAAAACTAACCGCAGGGATCAACCTGCAAGTCTGCCCGCCTAAAACCACTGACCAGCACGCACGAGATTTGCGTTGCCTCTGTGCTTCCGCCCGGATCTTGCCTTGCCCTGTCACTGTTGCCCGCTCCCCAGAAACAGACCATAGCTCTCTTGTTCATCTTCTGTGCGCTAACCTTGCTGCTCCTTAGCCCCATACGCAGCGGGCAGCATCATTTCTTACCCTGTCAGTGCATCTCCTTGGGCGATATTCGTGTTTTGACGTCTTTGGGCCAACTTACCATCCTTCTTCTTTTCCTTTACATCCTCCTCAACCACCTGGCATCCTTTGTGTGTATACATCAACCCATCTCCTGGTCGGGATTCTCTTCAAATCGTAAAGCTTCATTGCTCGATCTGTCCTGCCGTCATTGCCGAGCATCGCGGACTATTCTTCACCATCAACCATTCAAGACCTCGACTGGCGCGGAACCATCTTGTCTATATATATAAACACAACCTCTTGAGAAATCATGGAAGTCGCAGCATATGCACCCTACCGCCAACACACGTTCCAACCAGATTTCAGTCCGCACTACAGTCAATACCACGAGTCTCGAACATCTCATCCGGCCTCTGTACACCCCGTCATGGCAGGCCAGTATCAAGACGTCAGACGTGCAGGGCAACGTCAGGCGCCGCAACAGCACTCTGCTGCACCCACCGTAGCAGCATCGCAGGACGATATGAACAAGCCATCCCTCCCGTCAATCTCAAACCTTTTGGGCATAGCAGATGGTGATAGAACCTCAAATCAAGAGACTGGTAAGTTGAATCAGCAAATCTCGAGGACAAATTGCTAACCCTCAGGCCAGGCAGTCCTTCTCAGCAACAAGCTTACTACTCGTCAGCCCCGACAGAGTTTAGTCAAGGCTACGTAACCGTGGCAGATCCTGTGTCCACAGCTAGAGGCCCACTTCCTCCATCGCCGCCGCCCATGCGCTCAGACTCGGTAGTGGAAACCGCTCATAGCCCTACGTCAATGGCTGGCCAAAACTACTTGTTCGGATCATCGCTGAACAACGTGGAGCCTCATCACCAGAGGACAATGCCCGTCAAGCGCCACTCTGTGCCCATGCCCAGTGGTGGCATGTACACGACATCACCCTACGCTATGGCTGCCTACAATTCATCGCCTAGTGCGATGTCTACCAGTTCTTACTACTCGGCTGATGGTGTCTATGGTATGAACGGAGTCTACCAACAGAGACCACTGCCTTCAAACTTCCCTCCAGTCATGTCGGGGCCGGTGATTACAGCATCGAGCATTCCGGCGCCGAATATGTGGGAGCACCATCATTACATTGCTCCTTCTAGCCAAGCGACATACCCTCAATCACAGGATCGTTATGTCTGTCAGACTTGCAACAAGGCATTCTCTCGCCCAAGCAGTCTCAAGATCCACAACTACAGCCATACTGGAGAAAAGCCGTTCAAGTGTACGCAGCCGGGCTGCGGAAAGGCGTTTAGCGTTCGAAGCAACATGAAGCGACACGAGAGAGGCTGCCATGCAGGATCATCCAGTATCATGGCTTAAAAGTCTCGAATCAGGATGGGAGTTTTTTTATGTTCTTCTTTTCTACAAACCTGTTGTTCTCTTCTTTGTTTCTCTGAGGCTCTTTTGATACCACGGCCGTACTTAAGGAAATGGTTAGCGGCGCTTACATGGATTTGGAGTTACAAATACATTTGGGATGGTGTATAGGGCAACGCAAGACGTTGAGGGATCGAGACAGCAAGCCTGTACATCAATAAGGATTTCCGCCCTAGTGGTGAAGCACTGGATGTTAGATAGCTAAGGTAGTGGAGCCTACCGGCACAAATAACTGTATCAAACAAAATGTATGCATCAAACAAGACGCTGGAAAGCGAAAGTCGTCGATTGCGACGCCTGGACGTGACGCGCCGAGTTTTGGATTTTTGACTCGAGACGCGACGTCAGAAAAGTCGCGACCCCGAACAAGATTATTCGGCGCACAACAACAACAACAACAACAACACAATATGGCGCCAAAAGTAGAGACAGGAGGGCAGACGTGTCAGAAGCGCAAAGGAAACTCGACTGATGCAGGAGGCTCGCGCAACAAACGGCAAAAGACGCAACGCGATGCTCGTACTCTAGCGGTTCAGACAAGCTCCAAGGCTTTCAAGAATGGCGAACTCGATGTAGGAGCGTTTGTCAAGGCTCGTGAATATGAGATCCGAGCCTTGGAAGAAGGTATGGCGCGGGCCAGAAAAGGCTTGACACAAAGAGCCTTCCAACAAGTGCCCAAGGATCTGAGACGCAGGACGGCCAGTCACAATGCTAAGAGAGTGCCCAAGAGACTGCGCCGTCAGGCTGTAAGAGAGGTTGGTCCAAGACACGATGAGCTCCATGTGTTGCCATGTTGACGCGAAATAGATGACCGAGGACAATACACCCACCGTAACATCTCGCCGTCGAAAGCCCAGCGGCCATATGCGCCTTCGCATGGACACCGTCAGTCGTCTGCGCAAGCTACATTTCAAGACCAAGTCATCCGATATGGATGGCATCGTTTCCAGAGCTCCTCGGGCCAAGAAGAATAAACTCGCATCTCCTCCTGTGCCCAAGGCAAAGTATCGCAAACGCCAGCTCCTAAAGACATGGCTGCCCACACACATGTTCCACGCAAAACGAGCCCACATGACTCCACCTGCTCAACCTCTATGGCGATTTGCCCTGCCCTTGACATCAACTGTCAAAAGCTACCGTCCAACTCATCGTGCGAGCAAAGATCGTGGAGCTGTAGCTTGGGATACGAGCTACATGTCTTGCATCAGCATACACGGTAACCAGCAGAGTATAGAGTCTCTTCTTCGCGCACTTGGTCTTGGCTCCAACGATGCCGCGTGGTCTTCAAGAGGCCAGAAGTGGAGGTCGGGTTCTCGTATCTGGCAAGGTTGGCTCTATGAGCGTGACATGTATCCGAATCGGCCCATCGCTCCTGCCACAGTCATCTGGCGGGCAGAGCCAATCCCGGCCCCAAAACCATCGCGTCAAGTCTTGCTTCGTGTACACCCATCAGCCTTTTCTCAACTTTGGGATCAACTCACCCAATTAGCCAAGGTCCAGAAGCCTCAACTGACTGTCGAAGATTTGCGATTCGAGATTGGAAGCATTGAAGTCGTCGGTCCTGCCTCAACCGAAGCACTAACGAGTGCTCTCTGGCCTGTAAAGTCTGGCGAGGAAGGATCTGTCGAAAAGAGTTGGCCATTATTGTCAGGCATACAAGATCCATCCACTTTGCCTTTCAATGCTCTTGTCGCTTTTGACATATCCGACCCCAGATTGCATCACCCCCCAAGAACTGCACCTTTTGCTGTTGGAACCGAAGAGTCTCAGCTGCTCGATTTGCTAACGCAATGGCCTTTTGATGTTGCACCTCTAAAACCGGGCATATTTGATCGCAAAAAGCGCCAGGCATCCTGCCGTGCGCTTCAGAGTCAAAAAGGCATCAACCGTCGCAAGACTGCCGCCACGCCAGGATCCTATCCCGAGCCATTGTCCCAAGACCCTCGGATACCAATCATGGCGTACCCTTCTCCCATCCAACCTAATTCGAGGCAAGGAAGCAAAGAGCGCGCTCTGTGTTCATGGACCATTATCTTACCATGGAAAGCAGTTCCGGCCGTTTGGCAGAGTCTTATGTACTACCCCATCTCGACTGGCGGACAAGTGAGAATGGGGGGGTTAGAAGAGCAACGCCAGATTGCCTTTGAGACGGGTGCCCCTTGGTTCCCTGGCGACTTCCCAGGTACGCAGGCAGGTGATGAGTGGGAGGTTTGGGAAGGCGCCAAGAGAAAGGCGCAATGGGAAGCGAAGCCCAAAGGCAAAAGAGTTGAGTGGGACAGCCTTGTACTGGCTCCTGGTGAAAAGGGCGAGCATGGCGAGGGATGGGCTTGTGATTGGGCCCTCGTCCTAGAAGCTGCTGCGGGCAAAGGAACTGGTGATGCTGTATCAAAGGTTCATCACATCGCTCCCAGTCTTGCCAAGAGCCTAGTCTTAGGACAGACGACGTCCACAGATGTCCTGGCCAACGCGATCTCTACTGTTCGCATCTCTCTCCTTGGACGCGGAACGCCAGATCCTTGTGCGAGAATCTATCGATTGCCGACAGTACATGGTTTGGAAAAGAACTCTTTGCGCGATCAGTGGCTAGCCCTTGACCCCGCCAGAGTGGATTCTCGTGCTCAGAAGAAGAAGCGTCAACGAAGCCTGCCCTTGGGCATCCTCAAAGGCTCTTGTTCGACCGATGCGCAACAACAACTGGCTGCAGATTTGTTAAACCCTCCTCGATCTGACGAGCACGACTGTTGTCCACCGCTTCCCGGTAGAGATGACCTAATTGGCTTCGTCACGAAGGGCGAGTTCAGTCTGACAAAAGGTGGAGGCGTTGCCATTGGCAGCGTCTTTGTTCAGAAGCTCACGAATCACACTGATGGCACATCACACATGTGCATTGTCAGGAATGCTGGAGAAACGATTGGCCGGTTAGGAAAGTTGGACTTTGTTTAGTACGGAATTCAGAGATTGTACATGTAGGACTTGATCGGTTCTATTATTTATTGAAAATACCTAACTCTATCCGAGCCTGCTCTACATTTATTCAGCAGACGCGATGACTAGCGAGTCATGTCGACTCTTTCCGTACTCGAGACATGTGTCTGTCTTGATTCGGTAAACTTGGCCAATGCCTCGCGTGCGTCCTGTTGTATGCTAGGCTTTCTCACTGGGCCGAACAGCCTTTGCTGAGCGGCATTCGACGGAATCCTGACGGAAGTCTTCTGGGCACGTGTAGGAGTTCGAGGGAGACTGCTTGAGTTGACCGCCACATCATCGTCGGGCACGTCGGTCTCAGCCTCGCTGTCCTCTGCCGCCGCCAACACTTGTTCAAGTATGTGCGTCTGACGTCTGGGCGAAGAAAGTGGTTGAGTAGGATCAAAGGGTTGGAACTGGGGACCGCGCAATGGTGGAGCTGTTTGCGGTACCTGAAGATGGCGTGTTGACTGCAATGTTTGAGGAGTTTGGTAAGGAATTGGAGTAATCGAAATAGCCCGCTTTCGTCTAGGAGTACGGGGTGACACTGAGCCCCTTTCACTCATGAGATCAGAAGCATGCAGTAAAGCGGCAAAGGGTGGTTGATTGCGCTGACGAGCAGACCAAGGAGTTGATTGAGCGGAATGGCTCTTATGCGGTGAATCGAGAAATCCAGCGGCATGACGATAACGATTGAGATGAGAACGGTTCTCGCGAAGGCGCTCGCGATAGAGAGAAATGCGGTCGTTTAGCGTTGCAATCTCGCTCTCTTGCTGCACGACCATTCGCTTGTGTTGTGATACGAGTTGCTCAAGTTGAGCGTTTTGAGATTTGAGACTATGCGTCTCCTTGATTAACGAATCCCAGATATCGGCATGAACATGACGAATGTTTTGATCGGGTTTCTGAGGTGCAGAAACAATGCGTGCCTCTACAGCCTCGACGGTATTGAGGAGGTCTGTCTCGCGCTGAGCCATGGCCATTTCGACTTGGATGCGCTCCATTGCTTCGGTACTCTCAATTGCAAGCATACGATATTGCAGTTTATGATGCGCAGCATCTGTTCGAGCTTCTTGCAATAGAGCCGTCAGACTAGCTATGATGGCGCGGAGCTCATCAGGTTGTGCTCGTTGAACATAGTCATCTGAGAGCACAATCGGTTCAAGAGCAGGCGAAGAGGATGACGACGGTGTGGGCGCGGCAACACGGTCCATAGCCCCAGACAATAAAGGCGAAGGAGTGGAAGAGGCGCTCAGGTTCTGCCTTGCAAATTGAGCGGGAGAAGAGGGGTGACGAGCTGAACTCGGCGTGGGTGGTTCTGTCGCATTCATGGTTGGTCGTGTAATTGTTATTCGAACCAAGATGCAAAGCACAAGAATAGGTGAAGCGGGCGATGTTCTTGTGTGGATATTAGATGCTGTGTTGTGCAATGCAGAAGAACAAGAAATGTGAAAACCGGCGCGCGTGGCAGTCTTTGTGTGTGTACTCGGTGGACGCGCTTCCAGCCACCGAAGCGCGCTACCCGTGTCGTGCCCGTGTCAAAATCCAATCATCCTTCCCTTTTTGAGCAGCGACGTTCAGGGTCTTCGGTTGACGGCGTTGGCCCGACGCCCAAAGGGGGCCGTTAGGTGCACCTCCAACTTCATTATCCAGGGGTTATGATGCCAAACAAAGTGCCGAGACGGATTGAACACATGTAGACATGAACTCTTTCTCCCCCAAATCGTCTCTATCCTAGGTGATTACCTCTTCCCGGCTCCCCATATACGCCTTGGGTACAGCGAGCCATAATGGATAACTCAACCTCCGCCACTCCCTTGAGGTCGTCAGGCATCCCGAAGTTTTCTTCAATCGCAAGACCATCAGCTTCGAGGCTGCCTGCTCCTAATGCCGAACAAAAACCTGCACTTCCCTCTCCTACAAAATCAGCTGCTCTGGCGAGACCATCTCCTGCCAAGAAGGCTCTCCCAAGGCCGCCTTCTTCTGGAATTGGCTTTAGATCGAGCATTTCTGGTCCTTCATCAGGAATAATCCCACCTAGGACTTCGTCGCACCGTCCTACTCATTCCATCTCGGACAGATCCATTGCTGCTGCTAGAAAACCTGCTTCTCGCCCTGTGTCATACATCGCACAGTCTCGAAGGCCTGCTTCTAGCGTCATCACCACCGCTCAGCAAGAGGACCTAAACGATCAACTCGGATCTCTTGATGGTTTCCGTAGTGCTTCGCGTGCCGCCTCGAGGCAAGGCGATTACGACGAGAGCCAGCCTTTTGATTATGACGATGAGCCATCTACTCCAAATATGAAGCGGGCGTCTCGAATTTCTTTGTCTGATCGAACCGTAGAGAGCCTCTCACGTCTTCCTGAAACTCCAGGAACTGACAGGCGAAGGTCAAGCTTCTTTGCACCGCAAAGTCCCATGGGTCCTCCGTCACGTCCAGCTTCTGCTATGAGCACTGGTGACGCCAGAGAAGGATCGCAACCCAAACCTATCGGGAGGACTGCTTCTCCGTCTAAACGGTCTTCCGCTATTGTTCCTCCGTCAAGCAAGATGCCAAACAAGTACTCGACTCCAAGAGCCCCGTCCTCCATTGGCCTAGCATCATCCAGACTCGGGCGTCCGGCCTCTGTGGCAGGCAAATCTGCTCTTACCACTGCTACGCCCAAGTCAACCGCACCAAAGCCGCTCCAGCGGACGAGTAGTCTTCGCCAGCCAGGGGCGGGCACTGCCGCCACTCCTAGACCTAGACCGACGACCAGCAATTCGACTCCAGCAATCAAGACTAGGCCCACCCCTGCGACAGCTTTGAAGGTCGCTCCTCCAAAAGAATCGCAAAATGCTTCTGAGAAAGCGCCCAGTTCTTCCGCAGCGCTTAGAGATCAGATTGCGAAGGCTAAAGCCGCAAAACGAACACCTGCAGTTTCCAAGGGACAGTCTTCGGTAAATCAATTCGACGATTCTAGATTCGATCCTTTCGCAGACCCTTTCAACACGAAGCCTCAAGACGGCAACGGTTTGTTGCGTAAGAGGATCGATGCGGCACGTAGCGATGGTCGTCTCAATCTTGCAGGCTTGAGCCTCAAACAGATACCAGACGATGTTTTGACTATGTACGATCAGCGTGAAGACAGTAACATGAACTGGAGCCAAATGACGGATCTAGTTCGATTCGTAGCAGCGGACAACGAGCTTGATACGATATCTGATGACATTTTCCCAGATATCGCTACCGAGGTGGCGATGGATGATGAGAAAGAAGTGAAGGGTCTGCAATTCCGCAGTGTAGAAATGATTGATTTCCACGGAAACAACCTCCAAACAGTTCCCTCTGGTCTGCGCTGGATGGAGAGACTGACAGTATTGAACTTGGTAAGCTCTGCGATCTGATCCTACGCGCGCGGTTGCTCACAATTTGCAGTCTCACAACAAGTTGGGCAATTCCATTTTCGATACAATTGGCCAACTCGAAGCACTGAAGGAACTCAAACTCGGCAACAACAATCTATCTGGATACCTCCCACCGTCAATAGGTCGCTTGCAAAACTTGAGAACTTTAGAGCTACAATCAAATAAGCTTCTCAGTCTTCCGGATGGTTTACGCGAACTTGCCAACCTTCAAATTCTCAATGTTGCTGGGAACCAACTTACTGGTCTGCCAATGGACGTCCTGGAAACTCTGCCCATTGTTGATCTCAATGCATGCAACAATGCCATGGTCGGTGCGTTGTTCCCTTTCAGTGTCTCCGGGCTTTCCAAGCTCGAGTATCTGGATGTTGCGAACAACTCCTTAGCCTCACTTGCCTTTTCAGAAAATCTGTCGCTACCAGCTATCAAAACGATCAACATTGCGAGTAACAGGATAGTCGCACTTCCAGATATGTCTGGCTGGAAAGAATTGGTATCTCTAGCTGCTGCAGACAACAAGGTGTCTATGCTACCTCAGGGATTCACAAGTCTCAAATATCTCAAACAGGCCGATTTGACTGGAAACGAAATCACCAAATTGCATGACAACATTGGGCTCATGGACTCTCTCGATGTGCTAAAAATCGCTGCCAACCCTCTCCGAGAACGTAAACTCCTGAACATGTCGACTGAAGAGCTCAAACGTAGTTTGGCTCAACGGCTAAAAACTCCGGGTCAAGGTGATAGAGGAGATGAGTTTGAAGACGAGGGCATCGATATACAATCGCCTCATGATTCGGGGTCGCAGTGGGGAGTTGTTGCGGGAACTCTCGACCTTCGCGACAAAAGCCTCGTGGATGACGATGCCGATGTGCTCCGGTCAATTTTCAGTTCAGAAGACGTCCGTGAGCTCAAGCTGGCTCGCAACAATTTTGTCACAGTTCCCTTCGAGATTTCTTTGGCGCAGAATCTCAAGATCTTGGACTTGTCAAATTGCTCGCTGGGAGACAATTATCTGAGTGAAGTTGTGACTTTACAAGCTCTTCAGGAGCTTTTCTTGGGAAGTAACAAGATCTCAAATTGGGAGCCACTGTTGAGTCTGCTACACGCCCCACGCCTGTCATATCTCGATGTGTCCAACAACAGGCTGATCGGCTCCGTGCCTATGGTCAGAGACTCATTCCCAAGTCTGAAGGTCTTGCATGCTGGCAACAACAGAATTGATGCTGTGTCTGCTGAGGCGCTATCAGGTTTGCAGTCTGTCGACCTTGCTGACAACAACATCGGTTACATACCTCCGGAGATCGGATTATTGTGGGATCAGGGGCTGAAAGGACTGAGCATAGGCGGCAATGTTTTCCGTGTGCCAGGTCACCGGATTCTTGAGAAGGGCACGGAAGCTACAATGATATGGCTCAGAGATAAAATCCCACAGGACGACGAAACCTTTTGAGGGTAACAAGAGTTGTAGGATTTGATTGAAAGAGATGACATTGTCTGCTGGCAGAGGGTCATGTGATAGCTTTACTTTTGGCGGGATGAAGACATCATCTCGACTTGTCGACACTTTTCGTATCATTCGAATATTCTTACCGCGGCATGCTTCAGCCATATTTCAATTGTGTCAGAATAAGTGAAGCACTTCAACATGCGCAGAGCAAAGGAGTGAAAGGCTGAAAAGAGTCGAGACGTTGGCTGGCCCGTGCGCGCTTGGCGCACTACGGGCTAAGCGACAAATCGAAGTTTTGCACGGCTGGAATTCGTTCTTTTCTCCCTTGACGACGACGACGACCTTCGACAACAGGATCATTTATCGCCCACCGACACAATGGTTAGTTGAGATACCCGTCGCGGTCTGTGATGGAATTGGAATACGCTTGCTTCGCTGTCTTTGGTCGCCCTCCGCTACACCACGCCCATTTTTCGCAATGTCGACTCAGTCTGCAAACTTCGAGTGGAAAATGGCACGGTGCCTACGAACGATTCACAACTCACGCTATCGCCCTGATGGCCTCCCAAGACAGCGACAAGCCAGAAATCAATCCATCGTCCCGACAAAGGAAGAGATGAGAAGACAGATAGACTAACATACAACCAGGCCATCAAGCACAACCAGCAGATCCCGCACAACCATTTCCGCAAGGATTGGCAGCGCCGCGTGCGCGTGCACTTCGACCAGGTAATTCCCCTCTCTTCATGAGAGCAGAGGCGCCTGCGGTCAGCGACAGTGTTCCTGACAAAGATCAATCCTAGGCCGGCAAGAAGAAGGCTCGCCGCAACGCTCGCGCTGCTAAGGCCGCTACCGTCGCTCCCCGCCCCGTCGACAAGCTCCGCCCCATTGTCCGCTGCCCTACCCTCAAGTACAACCGCCGCGTCCGCGCCGGCCGTGGTTTCAGCTTGGCTGAGCTCAAGGTGTGTATCTTGCTGCCTCGCTGCATCGAACCGTGATTGACTAGTCCCAAGGCTGCTGGTATCCCCCGCAAGCTCGCACCCACCATCGGTATCTCCGTCGACCCCCGCCGCCAGAACCTCTCCGAGGAGTCTCTTGCCGCCAACGTCGAGCGCCTGAAGGCTTACCGCAGCCGCGTTATCCTCTTCCCCCGCAACAGCAAGGCCCCCAAGAAGGGTGACGCCTCTGCCGACGAGGTCAAGGCTGCCAAGGAGGACTTTGTCAAGCAGGCCAACGTTACCTTCCCCATCGAGAACAAGGCCAAGATTGTCGAGGGCAAGCTCTCCGACTACCCCGGCGAGGAGAACGCCTACCGCAAGCTCCGTGACGTCCGCAGCGAGGCCCGCCTCGCCGGTGTCCGTGAGAAGCGTGCCAAGACCAAGGCTGAGGAGGCTGCCAACGCTAAGAAATAGAGGACATGATCTGATCTCTACTACCGTGAAGGTCGGCGTTGATGGATTTGCTATGACGGCTGCTTTGTGTCAGGAATCCAGGGCGAAAAATGGGCATTACCTTTTGATAGAACTTCTTCTGTCAGCAGGAAGAGAACCAAAAAAGTCTTTAGTTGCCCCTCATGATACCACTTTTTATGCATTTTGTTGTTTTCCTTGTTCATGTGTTTGTGTTTTGTCATGTCCCAATCTTGATCATGTACACTTTTTGACACTTCATTCTATTGAATTGTTTTATATAAGTCATGATGCTAAATGTGAAATCATTCTTCTTGCAATATGCACAGTGATGATCAAGTCACATCAATACTCTTTGAACAAAAAAAGAAAAAAACAGACTGCGCGACATGAAGCGATACCGACACGACAATGCACAAATACCTGGCAAGAAAATGGGTCGAGTCGCAACATGTTGACGGCATTGCAAGCACTTGTACTGACCGAGGTGACAGATGCGACAGCAGCCAAACGTCTTGTATTGAAAATGCGCACAAGTGTCGAATGGGCAGTGTCGCCGTGCAATGCATTGGCAGTCTCCAAAACTCTCATTGTTGCCATGACAAGAACCAGGCAGCGACTTGTCTTGCAATAGCGCCATCCCATATTGACCCCGACACCGTGGTTTCGCGTTGGTATTGTATTGGGCATCTGGCCTCTTGTCATTTTTCTTCCCTTGAAGCTTCTGCAAATCGCGTCGTCAAAAGGGGCGGTGGCTGACCGAATGGTTCATGGTGCATGGTAGACGAGGATTCATGGTGATGAATGATGCGCGATGGTCCAAGGTGCTCGGCGGAGATGGGATACGCGTGGTGTCGCAAAGTGGTGGGCTCGTCTTTGCATTCTAGGCGGGTGCTCGGAGTCGCGTCGCAATGACTTGGGCCTAGCGAGTCGAGGGAAATGAACAAGTCAATGCATAGAGCTCATTGTCGTCAAAATGTGGTATTGTTGACAGATTCGCTTCATCACGCTGGTTTGTTGACATTGTCAAACATCAACAAATTGGCAGCCGCGAATGAAGCATCGTTCAGGGCTGCTCCCTGTCACACTCTCAGTGGAGGGCTACACTGATGTTAAAAACATTGTGCATTTCTACCGTCCAAACGGCCCTAGGCGTGGCCGTGAGATGGCTAGACGTGACAGATTTTAGCACACGGGGAGGTCGCTACTCCATGTTTTGTGTCCGAATTTACCCCGCACTCTACATTCCGCCTTCCTCGAGTCTTGCCTTGCTGATTCCATCTTCCTCTCCTCGACAACAACAACAACAATGTCATCTGCTGATTCCATCTTCCTCTCCTCGACAACAACAACAACAATGTCATCTGCTTCGTTACGCAATGTCACTTGTCGCGCTGTGAGTCGCGTGCCTGTCACTGCAATTACCATCAATCCTAATATCCTATCTACAGCCAGCCAGCCAACGAGGATCCAGAGGACTCCGATGCAGAAGTCAGACAACCACAACGACGTAGAGTTTCGGATCCCGAAGAGGATGACTTTGCTGGTGGAGAAGCCAGCATCATCCAAGGCGATGGCAACTTTGATGCCATGGTCAAGAACATGGTCCGCCTAGCTCTCGCATGCGAATACTCCAGGACACCGATAAGACGTGCCGATATCACTGCCAAAATTCTGGGAACACTGCCGAGCACTAAGTCCCCAATCTTGTGTCATTGCCGGAACATCACTAACATGACAACAGACGCTACTCTGAGAATTCGAGGCTGCCAAAGCCTCCTCCTCCTCCGCCGCTCAACATGGAGGGGATCAAGAAGGTCTTGGCTGTGTGTCCACACGACGATCCTAGAGAATGCCGCCGATGATGCCTACAAAGCCTCCACCTCCCCCGCCGCCCAACATGGAGGGGATCAAGAAGGATTGGCGCCCCGCCCTCGGGACAGCCCGTACTTGCCACCATTCTCGCCGATATGAATGCCAAGAGGTGCTTCGCCACGGATGCCCTTCGTTGATACGGATGGACAACTGAAACACACCAATGGCATGTTCAGAGGCTGGATCAAAGAGATACCAGAGCTGGCAGCGCACGTCTTACTGATACAGGGTGCATACTAATTCTTTCCCAATAGATCACCCATCTGTCACATTGGTAATTCTCTTCATCAAATCTGCGAGATTGCAACCGTCACCATCAGGTACAATGTCAATACAGACACCATCAAGGACCGCGGATGTCAAGTAACCTACAACTCCGACGGTGCATTTTCACAGGCCGAGACATATGCCGTCCCTCCCATGTCATTTTGGGTCTTTATTGCAACAAACAATATGTCAAAAATCCACCCTGCCGAACGAGCTCAATATTCTCTCCGAGAAGTTTGGCTACGTGAGCAAGAAATGATTGGTCAAGTCATACTTTCTTGGGCAGTCCAGAGACCCGACATGAAGTGGAGATTTGATCTCGACAGTAAAATTCACCTCGACAATTACTTGGCAGTGATTATGCCATTTTCCGTAATCACACATGATTTTCCTTTTTTCTCAACCACACGACTTGTAATGACTACTTGATTCTTCTTTGCCATAGTCTTGTACTGCTCTTGCCCCATGTGATACGACTGATTTTGTAATTTTCAATTCGCTTTATTGTCCAAAACAACAACCCTTTAATTTTCGATTCATTCAACATCATGCGCCCGGGTAAAGCGACTCTTTTGAACAACATGCACTCTTACGATTTGCTCGATTCGAAAATATGCTGTTACAAAATCTTTTGGACAAAAAATCGACATTTTGAAAAGAGGTCAGAGTCTTGTTTAATCGACATGGCTCTAGTATTTCGTGGATTTCCTTGAGATTGCTCTATTCAGAATGTGGGATTTGTGACTTTTCTTGTCTTCAACCTCGTCGGCGCCAAAGTGTCGTTTTTGAAAAGGACCTATTTGCTCATACAATTGACATGGCTCTAGTATTTCGTGGATTTCCTTGCGATTGCTCTATTCAGAATGTGAAATTTGGGACTTTTCTTATCTTCAACCTCGTCGGCGCCAAAATGTCATTTTTGAATACATGTTCAATCGTCTCCCAAGTAGCATGGCTCTAGTATTTGGTGAATTTCTTTGCGATTGCTCTATTCAGAATGTGGGATTTGTAAAATGTGGGATTTATAACTTTCCATCACAAACCTCGCTATATCACATCAACTATCGACTGTCGGCGTCAAAAAGTCTCTAGTAATCTATCGAGCCAAGTAGCGAGATAGCTATACGGAAAAAGAGGGTCCCTTGCCAAGATCTTGTACAAAGCTCGCTCATCCACACGTCGACATCGATCAATCCACAAACCACAATGTTCCTTTTGCGTCGAGCAAGTCCAAGACTTGTATCAAGACCAGTTGTTAGAGCCATGTCATCGTCTTCACAGTCAAGTTCTGCTGTGCGTTTCGAATATTCTGCGGGCGAGGATGAAGAACAACTTGGCCGCAATGCGACTGCTCTCACCACGCAAGGCGGAGGCAAATGGAAGGTTACAAACGACAACAGAGGGCTTGAGAGAACCTTTCGATTCAAGACCTTCAAAGCTACCTGGGTATGTGAATTATACCCTGCCATTCCCATCCCTCGATAAGAGCGACATGGCGTGGTTTCCAGCACCTTCTGTCACCCTGTCTATTCGCCGTCTTGAATGCCCAGCCCAGGCCACTAACTTGGTTGTCAGGAATTCATGAACACGGTAGCGGCAGAGTGCAAAGTGCAAAAGCACCATCCAGAATGGACCAATGTCTTTGACAAAACTCATATTCGCTGGACCACACATAAGCCCCTTGGCTTGTCCTCCAAGGATGTCACAATGGCTAGGTTCTGTGATGAAGCAGGAACTCGGCATGGAGAGCTGCCTAATGTGCCAGAAGACGATGGCTGTGGATGTGGTGACTTTCAGCCTTGATTGTTCTTGGTCTTGATAGAGGAGATATTATTACAAGTACAGCAGTTCCTCGACCCATTCATTCTAGATGAGATTTCATGATTTGCTTCTTTCAAGAAATGTTCCCATATCTGACATAACGTTTGAGCTGTCAAGCAGGCAAATGGTCCTTGTAATGTGCAGAAACAAAAAAGACGCCAAATGCTCGCAAACGAAAACACAGTATTATTATATCTCAAAAGTGAATTCGGCATTTAAAAAAAAACAGACCAATTCGAAATGCTGCTTTGAAAAGAAAAAAAAAAGGAACAATCGAGTTGATATCAAAAATACACCAGCCAGCTTCCTAGTCAGACCCTTAAAAAACTCCGGTATGGCTTTTCTCTTCTCTATGCGCGCAAGAGCTTGGCAGCGTAGTCGACGATCAGATCCTCGGTGGGGAAAGACATCTCCTCGAGCTTCTGGGCATAAGGGGTGGGGACCTCAGCACCAGTAACTCTGACAGGGGGTGCCTGCAGGTAGTCCCAGGCGTACTCGGCGGTGAGGGCAATGAGCTCAGCGCCAACACCGAAGCTGGGGAAACCAGACTCAACAGCCATCATGTGACCGGTCTTCTTTACGGATTTGACGATAGACTCAACATCCAGGGGCTTGATAGAGCGGAGGTTGATGACCTCGGCCTCAATGCCGTATTTTTGCTTGAGCTTCTCAGCGGCAACCAGCGATTGGCCGACGCAGCGGGAGAGGGTGACAATGGTAAGGTCCTTTCCGGGGCGCTCAATCTTGGCCTTGCCGAACTGTAAATGTGTAAGAGTAAAATAACCACATCAGATGAGAGAGAAAAGTGACTTACGGGAATAACAAAGTCATCCTTCTGGGCCTCCTCGCTCATGGGGAAGGAGAGACCGTAGAGAAGCCTGGGTAGAGAAAATCAGTATCTATGCAGCTCTTGCATAATAGCGCATAAAACTCACTCGTTCTCGAGGACAACAACGGGGTTGGGGTCTCTGATGGCGGCCTTCATGAGACCCTTGGCGTCCTCGGCGCTGTAGGGTGAAACGACCTTGAGACCGGGGATAGAGCCGTACCAGGCCGAGTAATCTTGCGAGTGCTGGGCGGCGACACCGGCAGCGAAACCGTTGGGTCCACGGAAGGTGATGTTGCAAGGCTGGATACCACCAGACATGTAGTGAGTCTTGGCGGCAGAGTTGATGATCTGGTCGATGGCCTGCATGGCGAAGTTGAAGGTCATGAACTCGCACTGGGTGGGGGGTCAGTAGGGAGCTTGGTCGATGTCGAGGTCGAGGTACGGGAAGTGCTTACGACGGGGTGGAGACCAGCGAGGGCGGCACCGACAGTGAGACCGGTGAAACCAGACTCGGTGATGGGAGAGTCGATGACTCTCTTCTCACCGAAGCGGTCGAGCAGGCCCTTGGTGACCTTGTATCTGCAAGCAGCGTGTTAGCTGCGCTCGACAGAAGAAATGCCGAGCTCTTCAAGACTCACGCTCCGTTGTATTGGGCAACCTCCTCACCCAGGACAAAGACCTTGTCGTTTCTCTCCATCTCCTCGGCCATGGCCTCGTTCAGAGCCTCTCTGACGGTCATCTCCTTGACGCCGCCCTGGGTAGCATAGTGTCTCGAGACTGCGACGGGGCGGAAACGGAGAGCAGGGCGGGCAATTGACGCCGACACCAGGCGCGAGGTAGGGCGGAACATTCTGGAGGCGACCATGGCGAATACTCTTCTTTGCGAGCGAAGAAAGAGCGAGGGCGAGGGGGTATAGAGGTCGGGTGAGAGAGAGTGCTTTGCTGGTCCTCCCAATGTTGAGAGAAGTCGGATCCCGAATTCTTGGAGCCTTTTCGGAGTCAATAACAGCCGCTGAGAACTTTCTTATCCGACGCAAGCCAAGCACTCGCTCGTTGCCATGCACCTTTTGCTCGACTCCGACTGCAGACATACAGATACTCAGTGAAGCATAAAACACGTTGATGATACCATCAGCTTTCACTATGCAGGTTTCCGCGCAACACAACATCTGTCACGCTCATATTCAGAGAAACTCCGATCGCTCATATCTTGGATTCAATCAAACGCTTCATAACAAGCCCCTGTGCGTTTGCTATCATCATCCACGGCCCGAATCTTGGCAAGGTCGCGACATGCTCCGACCCGATGCTTATAATGTCCGTCCGATGTTGGGCATTGTACATGTTGATGATGCATGATCCGCCGGCTCGTCTACTGGCCCTGTAGAGAATTTGGACAAATTTCACTGCTCCATGTCAGGATGCTAGTCTCTATGCTTCTGTTGAGCGTAGCAGCCCTCACCTCGGGTTGTGTTGCAGAAGTCGAAACTCGAATGTCGGCTGGGCACTCGAGCCGACCCAAGCTCTTGTTTATTCTTCATGCCTCTTTAATATAATTGTATGTGAATACAGCGTGCGGTTTCTGTACAATCTGGCTTCACGTGAAAGCTCTCTTCGCCATTCTTCATGCACCACCATGTCGTTACAAATGTTTCGCGTGGAGATCACCACGTAACCCTGAACGCGAGAAAGGGGGCCAGTCGGAAGCTAAACGCTCTCTGTTGCCGATTCTCCTCCGTGAGACGTTGATAGCTACCTAGATACATTCATCAGTTTGGTCAATTCACCCAACCTCTCGCCCTGGAAGAGATTTAATATCACTTTTGCGGCTCTCTCAGACGTCGGCCCTCGCTCGTAGGCCTCACGCTTATTGTGCATGCTTCCCGTACATGCATCACCGGTCCAGCGAGCAACAATGAACAGACATGGCTACTCCAATTCAGGCGCATATCCGCTGGGCGGGCGCTCCCAATTTTCAATCGAGCCTCACAAGTACGCCCTGCCCATGGTCCATTTCTGCCACTGCACTAACAAGTCTCTCCGTCTAGGTTCGCTCCACGTTCACAGCCCGCCATGCGACGACGCCGTCAACTCATGCTGCGACTAGCCTTGATTGGCTCCTTTCTCTTGGCCGCTATTTTCTTCTTCTTCCCCTCGACACGCCAGGCTATTCTGCCTGCTCTATCTCTTGGTCTGTTTTCCGGAAGCCAGCAGCTCCAGCTTGAGACTGTCAGATACTACGATCTTGCCAACGTCCAGGGCACCGCCAGAGGTTGGGAACGCGAAGAGCGCATCCTTCTCTGCGCCCCTCTCAGAGATGCCTCTCCTCATTTGCCCATGTTCTTCTCCCATTTGCGCAACTTGACCTACCCGCATCACCTCATCGACCTGGCCTTCCTCGTTGGTGATTCCAAGGACAACACTCTTACCCTCCTTTCCGATCTGTTGGCCCAACTGCAGGCCAGCGAGAAAGATGGCATGCCCTTTGGTGAGGTCTCGGTCATCGAGAAGGACTTTGGACAAAAGGTCAATCAGGACGTCGAGAGTAGACACGGTTTCGCTGCTCAAGCTAGCAGAAGAAAGAGCATGGCCCAAGCACGCAACTGGCTGTTGAGCGCAGCTCTACGACCCACACACAGCTGGGTCTATTGGAGGGATGTCGATGTTGAGACTGCTCCATTTACCATTCTCGAAGATCTGATGAGACACAACAAGGATGTCATTGTTCCTAGTAAGATCTCGATATCACCATGTAAAGGCTGGGTTACTAACATGCACGAAAGATGTCTGGAGACCTCTGCCCGATTGGCTTGGTGGTGAACAACCTTATGATTTAAACTCCTGGCAAGAGTCCGAAACTGCCCTTGCCCTTGCTGACACGCTCGACGAAGATGCTGTCATTGTCGAAGGTTATGCCGAGTACGCAACGTGGCGTCCTCACTTGGCCTACCTGCGTGATCCTTACGGCGACCCGGACATGGAGATGGAGATTGACGGTGTTGGTGGTGTCAGTATCTTGGCAAAGGCAAAGGTCTTCCGCTCAGGCGTTCACTTCCCTGCCTTCAGTTTCGAAAAGCATGCAGAGACCGAAGGTTTCGGCAAGGTATGTCATAAGAAACAAAAACACACGGAAGAATATCTAACTGAAGTTTCAGATGGCCAAGCGTATGCAATACTCGGTGGTCGGTCTTCCTCATTACACCATTTGGCATCTCTACGAGCCCAGCTTGGACGACATCCGTCACATGGAAGAAATGGAAAAGGAGAGAAAGGCACGCGAAGAAGAGGAACTCAAAAACAAGGAGCGAATGGACAAGATCCAGTCTCAGTTTGACGATACCGCTAGCGAGTGGGAGAAGGACAAGTCGGAAATTGTCGATGCACAAAAAGCGGCAGATGCTGCAAAGGACATTGTTGCAGAGGCTACAGATGGTGCGGGAGCTGTCAAAGATGCGGCCAAGGGTGTGGCTGGAGATGTCAAAGACACTGCCAAAGGGTAAGTACGGACAATATGATTGATCAAGTCATGTCACTGACAGAGTAAACAGTGCAGCAGATAAAGCCGAGAAGGCAGCCGAAGCAGTCGTGAAAGGAGAAGGCGCGGCGGCAGCGGCAGCCGGGCAAAAGAAGGAGGCCATCATCTAAGGAATATCGGGAGTTGTGCATGGGTATAAATGAACAGGGAGGTTAAATATGTTGGTATATGTATTTGCAAAAAGCGAATTAGAGGAACTTGATGATGAAGGATTCTTCTTTGATGCAGATGTGCGAGCACCCGTATCTCAATGATCTCAATGATCTCAATGATCTCAATGATCTCAATGATCTCAATGATCTCAATGATCTCAATGATATCAATAGTCTCAATAATCTCAATAATCTCAATGATGCGGCGAGCTTCGGGGAAGAGCTGGCGCGGAGTCCGGGGCACAGTATGAAGCTTTGACCGCATGAATGGACAAGTACGTCGACGGCGTGTAGATGGAGTATAACACGTAAATGTACACTTTACGAACTCTACGAGCACAATGAGCAATGGCATCGGTGCAGGCGAAGGCGACAGTAGTAGCGCCAGCATGACGCCCGTGGCCGACTACTCGACACAGACGCGACCGGTCAGCGTAGCCATCGACCCCGTGGCCCTGATCATTACAGAATGTATCACCGTCACGTCGGCCATGCGCAAGCATGCGCGCTGGGCCCAGTCTTCTGTATCGGCAATCCTCGGCGGCGGTGCTGCTAGACGACCTCCTTCGGCGCTTGGTTCCCTTGGTGTTGGCGACGACGCCGATGGTGGACAACTGGCTACACGATGGGGCCTTCGCGGCAAGAAGGGGAAGAGCATTCAAGACAACCCACTGCTGTCTGCATTCGCTCGGCTGCGGAGTCAACTTAAGGGATGCAGAGGTATGGCGTACATGGCCTCCCGACTCGTCCAGCAACTGATCGCTTCACACTACAGACATCCGTACCGTTGACACGCCTTCAATCCTGCAGCCCTTCTTGCAAGTCATCCGTTCCTCGTCTACTACCGCCCCCATCACTTCTTTGGCCTTGATTGCAATCACCAAGATGCTTTCCTACAATGTCATCAGCCCGGGCATGCCCAACTTTCCCTACGCCATGATGCTTCTATCCTCGAGTGTGACAAATTGTCGTTTCGAAGGTGACAATACCGCCTCGGACGATGTCGTCTTTCTTCGTATCCTCAAGCTCATGGAAATCATCATCACCGGGCCTTCGGGCGAAGTTCTCGGCGATCAAAGTGTTTGTGGCATGATGGAATGCGGTATCTCTATATGCTGCGCACTGCGCATGAGCGAGGTCCTGAGACGTTCGGCCGAAATCACAATGGTCACCATGTGCCAGACCATCTTTCAGAGACTGACCCACCTCGAATCTCTTCCCGAAGACGACAATCAAAACGACCAAGACAAGTTCAAAATCGAGTCCAGCACCACTCAGATAGGTTCGACACCCGCCCAGGATACTCCTCCTTCTGGAAGCCTAGACGTGCCTCGATCCACTGGTGGTGAAAGACCCTCTGCTGAATTCAATGCTAGCCAGGTTGACTTGACCAAAGCAACCGAAACCACCGACATTCCCGATATCAAGCCATACGGGTTACCTTCGATTAGAGAACTCTTCCGCACGCTAGCCGAACTTCTCGATCCCCACGACAGGCAGTACACCGATACCATGCGTGTCATGGCTTTGCGCATCGTAAATGTGGCTCTGGAGGTTGCTGGCCCTTCAATAGCCTACCATCCATCACTAGCCTCTTTGGCCAAAGACACTCTATGTCGCAACCTTTTCCAGCTCGTGCGCTCCGAAAACATTGCCCTCCTCCACGAATCACTACGGGTCGCTGGTACTTTACTTGCAACTTGTCGCAGTGTACTAAGGCTCCAGCAAGAGCTTTATTTGTCCTATATTGTTGCTTGCTTGCATCCTCGAGTTCCTATTCCTGATGAACCAACAATCAACCCTGCCCTTTACGAGGGAGTCCCTCAAGCTCCGAGACTTGTCAAACCAGCTGCATCAGCTACCCAAAGCGGTCGATCTACCCCAGTACCAGTCAAAGACAGGCAGAAGCTCGGCTTGGAAGGCGGTTCTCGGAAGCCCGACGCAAGAGAAGCTATGGTAGAAAGTGTAGGGGCTCTTGTCAGGATCCCAAGCTTCATGGCTGAGCTATTTGTCAATTACGATTGTGAAATCGACCGAAGCGATTTGTGCTTGGACATGGTTGGCCTCCTCTCGCGTAACGCGTTCCCAGACTCTGCTACCTGGAGTACTACCAATGTACCGCCGCTCTGCTTGGATTCTTTGCTTGGTTATGTGCAGTTTATCGCCGATAGACTCGACGATGAGCCTGTGACTGAGGGCCTGCCTCGTTTGGAAGCACTACGTGAGCAGAGAATCAAAAAGCAGATTATCATTCGTGGAGCTACCAAGTTTAACGAAAGCCCCAAGGGTGGACTCGCCTTTTTGGCATCTCAAGGCATCATCGAGAATATAGACGATCCAATGTCTATCACACGCTTCCTCAAAGGAACATCCAGGATTGACAAGAAGGTCTTGGGAGAATTCATATCAAAAAGGTCAAACGAGGCCATCCTTGATGCCTTCCTCGACCTTTTCGATTTCACCGGGCAGCGAGTTGATGAGGCCTTGCGTCAAATCCTCAACTCCTTCCGATTGCCAGGTGAATCACAACTCATCGAGAGAATCGTTACAGTCTTTGCAGAAAAGTATTGCGACAAGACTAACCCCGAGGGCATTGCGGATAAGGATGCTGTCTACGTCTTGACATATGCAATCATCATGCTGAACACGGACCAGCACAATCCAAACATGAAGCAGGCACGAATGGCAGTCACCGACTTTGGGCGCAACCTGCGCGGTGTCAATGGGGGTAAGGATTTTGAACCGGAATATCTGCAAGGCATTTATGATTCTATCAAGACTCGAGAGATCATATTGCCAGAGGAGCACGACAATAAGCACGCTTTCGAGCATGCTTGGAAAGAGCTCCTCATCAAGACTCAAACTGCTCAAGATCTGGTCTTGTGTGATACCAACATTTATGATGCAGACATGTTTGCTGCTACATGGAGGCCTGTCGTTGCAACCCTCAACTACGTCTTCATGTCTGCTACTGACGACACAGTGTTCCAGAGGGTTATTTCTGGCTTTGATCAATGTGCCCAAATCGCGGCCAAGCATGGGCTCCATGACTGTCTTGATCACATCATAGCCTCTCTTGCACAAATCAGCACCCTAGCCACTGAAGCACCACCCAGTACTGCACTCAACACTGAAGTGCAGGCGAATGGCAAGAGCATCATGGTGAGTAAATTCGCCGTCGAATTTGGCCGCGAAAACAAGGCACAGCTTGCCACACTCGTACTCTTCCGCATTATCAACGGTCATGAAGCCGCAATTCGAAATGGCTGGACTCATGTAAGTTTAATAATAACCACATTGCTTCACCGTGCTGATGATGAAAACAGATTATCCGCATTATCCTCAACCTCTTCATCAATTCTCTCATTCCTACTACCCTGTCTTCCTTGACATCAAAGCTGGACCTTCCACCGATTCCACTCCAGAGCCCGGCACAGGTCATTGAGCGAAATGACAAGTCTACCGACATTGGTCTATTCTCTGCCTTTACATCATATGTATCGAGCGTCATGAATGACGAACCACCAGAGCCAAATGACCAAGAAATCGAGGCGACTCTGTGCACTGTAGACTGCATTAGTGCTTGCCGGTTGGACGAAGTCATCTCTAACATTGGGTATGTACAATACCTGTCTAACAGCAACTCTTCTCGAGCTAATATACGCTCTTTAGCAACATGCCCAGTGACCCTCTCAGAGCTTTCACTCAATCACTTCTCTCATACATGCCCCCAGATGATGTTGAGAGCTCGCCCAAGGTCATTGTCGTGAAACCTCCAGTTGCTGCTCCGACACCAATACGGCCCAACGGTCAAAAGCCGCAGCCCACAATCCCGGACTACGATCCCGCCCTTGTTTGCGTCCTTGAGCTTGCCACTGTTTTGGCAATGCGCGATCAGGATTCTGCGTCATTGTTTGGCAAAGATGTTGCTCAGTGTCTGAAGTCTGTTATCCATGATGCAGACGGCCTACACCCAGTAACACTTGGCCGAGCATCCTACTACCTATTGAACCTTCTCAAAGCTAGTGAAGTGAGTACTGTCCAGTGTTGTGGCGCACGTTTCCTTAACACAAAAAAACAGGACCACGATTATGTTCGCGCGCCAGTCGTGCTGCATACAATTTCGTCTTTCAACCAGGACCTTCTTCGACGATGTGGCCCAACGATACTCAAGGGAATCTCTGAATGCATCAAAGGACCTGCAAGTCTTCGAAAAGAAATGGCAACATCTCCAGACTTTTGGTCGGTGCTTCATGCTCTCCAGCCAGTCTCAGAAGCTGCTCCATTGGCCTTCCACATTACCGAGGACATTGCGACGGGATCACCTCAAGCAATCACGGCCGATAATTATGAGTCGGCCATTGGTTTACTAAACACATTCGCCACGGCGGGCAGTGCAGGTATCGTCCGCGAACAGCGGAGGGATCCCGCTGCACGACGTGGCAAACCCACAGCACCCGAGAAGCGACCAGCGCCCAATGAGGCTACCCTTCGTGGTGTCAGGGCGATGGCCATCGTGTCTCAGATGACTGGTCGGGTTCCTGCCTTCATTGAGCAATCTCATCTGGAACCCAATGAAGCTTGGCAAGCGTACTGGCTCCCTATTTTCAGATGCTTTATAACGCAGTGTGTGAGTCCTTCTAGAGAAATCCGACAGCAAGCATTCGCATCCTTGCAACGATGCTTGTTGTCCAACGATCTCGCATCGCCGGACCACAAGGAGTGGACGAACATCTTCAGCCAAGTACTGTTCCCCTTGGTCCAGCAGCTGCTAAAGCCAGAGGTTTATCAGACAGATCCTGCTGGTATGGGTGAGATGCGGGTACAAACAGCACAGCTTCTCTGTAAGATTTTCTTGCATTACCTTGTGATGCTTAGCGAGTGGGAAGGTATGCACGATCTATGGATGGAAATCTTGAACATTATGGACCGCTTAATGAACAGCGGCCAAGGTGACACATTGGTAAGTTCCGTGACATCAACCCTGCACGTTCCCCGGGCTGACATTACTCTTTCTAGGCCGAAGCGGTACCAGAATCTCTCAAGAATATACTACTCGTCATGTCCAGCGGCGGCTATTTAAAGGGTCCAAGTGAGGGCGGTGAACGGTCAGAGCAGCAGAAACAGCTATGGACAGAGACGTCGAGCAGACTGCATAGGTTCCTGCCAGACTTGATGCCCGAGCTTTTCCCAGAGCATGAGATAAGGCAAGAGAAGGAGAAGGAAGGAGCACATAAGGATCGAGAAGTGGGTGTTGCCGTACCCGCTATAGAGGAAGAGACTACTGAGGCTGCGTAGAGGAAACACGTAACATGCGATTGTTTGGAGGACTGTAATACACATGTCTCATGAGCACCCTCCACGTCCTTGATTTTGCTCTTCGTCCTCATTGCACTCCCATCCATTACTGACAAGGCGTTTCATGCGGCAGTTGAGTCGTTGAGCTGAATCACGGCAAAATTGGTGACGGGGTGGATTGCAGCTATTGAATTGAGACCACACACATCACCACATGCTCCGGACCCATAGATCCCGCGTTAATCACCCCTATACTCACTACATTAAGTACTCTCACCTCATTCAATGTGTCTTTGTCGAATGTTATTGTCGGACTTGTACTGGACCTTTTCTCGTGTACAATGTAGCCATTAAGGCTATCATGCACCATGTTAAACTTGATAGAAGCATAATCATAATGTGGAATGCCTCGACATAGGGGTGACCCTGGTCTTGACACACAGAAGTCCAGGGAGGTCACGAAAACAGAAAATGAGGGACGAAGCATTTGCTGTTGCTGAGATGTGCATATCGAGCTCGCGTACAAGTTGCACGAAGCAGCGAAGCATAAGACGAGCACAGGTTTGCACATCGTTACTCGAGACTACCGAGGTGTTTTGGAGCAAGATGATGAAGGGGCATGCAGCCATGCACGCGATATGTCAAGATCGCTTCTTATATTCCTTCAGCTCCTTCTGAAACTGGTCTTTCAGTCTCAAGTACGTCTCGTCTTGTTTGATGTCCTCCAATATGTCCTTGAATATGCGGCTGGACTCTTCCTTTTCCGCCTTATCCGAGTGATGCTCGCTAGTTGGCAGGACGTCGTGATCCTTGTCGTACTTTCTCCCGCCCTTGTGATTTGCGTATCGCTTCGCTCGTGTAAATCCCATCTGGATGAACTTGCGCGTCATGTCCATGCCTACAAAGTCCTCCTCTTCTCCAAAGTGGTCGAATTCGGATCGCAGTAGAGCGGACGACTGGCGTGCAATGTCTGGTGTTCGGAAGCGCCATAGAGGAAGAAGGTAGGACTTGTAAGGCTCGAATGTCAAGACGCCCATCTCTCCACGTCCTATTCGGTATTCCATTCGTTGAGCGTGTGTCGTCTGAGGCCTTGAGCCAGTTGGGGGTTCCAGCTTGGTTGTTGCTACAGGAGCTCGACGAGGCATTGTCAATTAGTAGATGGGATCGCTAGTGATGGTGTAGAGCCCTCGGATGGGATCGATGACGACTTGGTGTAGATGCACACGATTGGGAGCACAACCGTTGAGTGCGCGTCAAGAGGACTATGAAAAACCAAAAACACCACTTGGCGGCTTCATTTGCAACGCAGGAACAAAAGTAAAGGCAGTATCTGTTCGCCTCGCTAGGAATGGAAGTGACTTGCCGTGTTCGACTAGAGGAACAAAAAGAATATCATGATTGAGGTCGTACTGGGGCTCGAACCCACTGAGAGGTGTTAGAAGATTGCTTGACTGACTGGGCTGAAGGTCGAAACTTACGGACTCGAGAATTTTTGAGTTGTCAAAATCTCGCGTGCTAACCGCTACACTATACAACCGAGTTGATGAGCAGCTCTCCGCTGTATAGGTATATATTCATGATTGATTGGCAACCCTGGGTGCTAGATCGCTGCATCAATGTACGCGGTCATGATGATAGCAGTATGAGAACACAAGACCAGCACCGACTTTATTCATCGTCTGCACAGGCAAATCGTCCGTCCTTTCTCTCATGCTTCTTATTTTGCATTGCCTGCAACATTCCCCCGTCACCTATCTTATCCCATGCGATGCTAGTCTCAACAAAATGGCGTTCTAAAAGCGTCCTCACACATCCTGCGGGGCCAGGAGCAAAGCTCCGAGTCCGATCGAGTGCGATCTCAGTAACGCGCCGTAAGCTTTTTCATCTTTGGTGGGGCTACAAAGCTTCCAGATGCGTTTATCACGACAATAGTTGATCGCACAGGACATGACTTGTCCACGACAGACGAGAAGGCGACAAGAGATGAGCTGCTGCCTCCACCACCGTCAAACACAGATATTGTCCAAGAATCTCGGTGCCTGCAGCCTGCTCACTCGTCGAGCTCTGCTGCGATGCAGACACGTTCCAGCTCTTGCGCTAAAGGCGTTCTGCGACGTCATTGACATGCTCTAAAAGGTAAAGTCATAACATAGCCAGGCGGATTCCACCTCGCGACCGGTAGCCAGCGGTCTTTGAATCGCTCCGGTGTCCGACTCAAATATGAGGTAGGTCGCTGCACTGCTCTTCTCTCCAAATCTTCGTACCAAGGTCATTCTACATTGTTACTTGTTAGCACCTAACTTGCGCCAATTATGGTCAATTCAACACAGACTTCTGGCCCTTTGCAGGCATTGAGCGGTTATGTGGCTTCCTACGGCTGGGGCCCTCTTCTGTCCGTTTCGCGGAGCACTGTTCTTTCGCTCTTGTCGCGTATTGAAGCCGGTCACCTAAGAGTAGCAGACGTGGATGGCAAGGTTACAACCTATGGAGAGAAACTAGCCGTCAATGGCACTACTGAGAAGAGCATGCATTCGCTGCCCAATGTAGAGTTGACTGTGCACAAAGATGTCTTTTGGGTGCGCATGTTGCTCTTTGCAGATATGGTATACATCAAGACACCGCTCCTATCGAGTTTCTTGCGCTGATGGAAGAGTAGGGTTTCGCAGAGAGCTACATGCTCGGAGAAGTGTCTTGCTCTGACCTGACCGAGTTCTTCCGGGTTCGAATGCAGACTTTCAATGCTTGAAACATGCTCTAACACTTGACAGCTCTTCATTGTCAATCGCAACTACCTCTCGAACGGGTCTACCCTCACGTCGAACCTTTCAGCGAAGCTCTCTTATTTGCTTCGCAAGACGAACACCCTTACGACCGCTCGCCTCAACATCGCCGCGCATTACGACATCTCCAATGACATGTTCGCCGCATTCCTTTCTCCCGACATGACTTATTCCTGCCCCATCTGGCTGCCCAAGTCGGACCCTCGTTCCAAAAAAGAAACATTAGAGCAAGCTCAAATGCGCAAGCTGAGACGCTTCATTGACAACGCAAAGATCAAGCAAGAAGATCATGTCTTGGAAATTGGCACCGGCTGGGGCAGCTTCGCGATTTTGGCCGTACGAGAGACCGGCTGTCGCGTCACTAGCTTGACCTTATCTACAGAGCAGAAAGATTTGGCAGAGAAGAGAATTGCAGAGGCTGGCTTCACTGACCGCATTGAAGTTCTCCTTTGCGACTATCGCGCGCTGCCAACTCCGAGAGACGGGAAGTTATATGACAAAGTGGTCAGCATTGAAATGCTGGAAGCCGTGGGCAAGGAGTATCTGAACACATATTTCCAGTGCGTGGACAAACTTCTGAAACCCGAAGGTGGTGTCGCTGTCTTCCAATGCATTACGATGCCCGAAAGCGTAAGCAAAACCGCTCACCTGTGTGACACATTTGAACTTCCACTGACTCTGTTCAAGCGCTACGAGGCATATAGCAATTCTGACGATTTCATCCGCCGATACATATTCCCTGGTGGTCACCTTCCTACCGTTACTCAACTACTGGATTCTGTTAGAGCTGGTTCTTCTTGCAGACTTATCCCAGAATCCGTCGAGAACATTGGTCCTCATTATGCAAAGACCCTACGATTGTGGCGCGAAGAGTTTATGCAAAACTTTGACGAAAAGATCAAGCCCTCGTTATTGGAAGAGCACGAAGGCATGACCGAAAAAGACGTCGACCTCTTCCGCAGAAAGTGGGAGTATTACTTTGCTTACTGCGAGGCCGGCTTCGTCACCAAGACTCTAGGAGATGTTATCTTCACCATTGGAAGAGAAGGCGCAGTGGAGATGATGGAAGATGTGCCTCTTTAGTTGTATGCGGGAAACGAGCAAAACGATTCTTGACATATAACTGATAATGTATAGTATTGGGAAAGAAGAGCCGAGGTCGTGTAAAACAGGAGATACCCCGATTGTGCCACATAGATTCAAGCCAATCAATGTTTGTATGCTCGAACTGACAACCGTGGCAACGTTCCTACTGAGTTCCAACCTGTTTGCAGAGAAACAACCCAATTGTGATCGCAGAGAAACAAACCGTCCCAATATGTGCTGCACTGTAGAACAAGGATAAGATCGCTATCATCCGGAGCTAGCAGCCGAGGGGCGTCAGAAGCGCAAAACCACACGCGCATGCAAATTTGTGCAACTTCTTCTTCAATCCAAACGATCGCAATTGGAAACGCCATTCAGCAAAGATTTGGAGATGGAGTCTTCTCCAGTGAAGATCAGCCTGCCACCAAGGCTTCCACGAATCCGTAAAGACGACTCTTTCAATGAATTGATTCAGAAGCTTGCCAAGTCAGTCGTTGTTCCAACGAAGTCGACCACGCTTACTCACAGCCGCCCAGATATTTTACCGATCTTGTAGAGAGACCCATCACGTTCGAGGAGTTTCGTACTACGCAAGACCATCTTTTGACCCCATTGGCTCGTCATCTTTTGCACGATGTACACCATCCTGCGCTGGTTGCAGCATTGCTGTAAGGTAAACACGCGTATGGAATAATTCCCGGCTGACATAGTGCTTCGATAGCGTTCTCAAGGGCCACTTCGTCACACTTGAAGCGGAGGAAGACCAAGGAATCTTTGCCGCTAGAGGGTTTGCTTGTGAAGCAGTTGCGACAAGATTTATCATTGGCCTGGCCGACAGGGAGATTATCGACTCGCTCCTTTACGAGCTACAAATTCCTGATGTATCAGATACCGAGACCCGAGCAGTAGACGAAAGTCAACAAGAGTTGCTCTCGCCAGTTACTGAGCAGTCACCTCTTCTAGCACGCTCAAGTTTGCGTTCTCGTGGGAGCTATAGGAGCAGACTCACCATTCCAGAGACTTATGACGGCGCCGAAGACTCTTCTACCGCAACCGATTCCGAACTGGCCGAACAATTTGATGGCCTGAACGCCTTGGAAATTGCAGCTGTGTCCGGAGCAAAGAAGTTCCTTTGTCAGAAGCAAGTCCAAAGAATCATCAACGCCATCTGGACTGGAGATATCATGTTCTGGGCCAAACTTAGCGCTGACACGCAAAAGAAGGCCCAGATCTACCAGCGCAAGTCAATGGATCCGTTCTGTCGACTCCGCGTCCCCATCTATCTCAAGGCCTTTGAGGTTCTGTTCTTCGTAGCGTTCCTGGCGTTCTATTACGCCGTTCTCATGCAGCGTTCGTTCTATTCGGTGACCACAGCCGAGATCTTTTTGTACATTTGGATCGCCTCTTTTGCCCACAATGGTGCGTTCCTGACGGTCACCTTCATCCCAAAAAAACGTACTGACATATTTGCAGAAATTGGAGAGTTCTGGGATGCAGGTACTACAACCTTCTACCTTGCAGATTTCTGGTCTCTCTGGGACCTGTTCGTGATAGGTATTGGAGTTGCATTCTTCATTACAAGTAAGTTTTATGCTTCTCCTTCTCTTCCAAGATACATACACCGTGGGTCAGATCTGTTCACAACTAACATTTCATCAGGAATGATTGGTCTCCACCAAGGAAACGACAGGATCATCGATACTTCTTTCGATATTCTAGCTCTCGAGGCATTGTTTCTAATTCCCAGAATTTGCTCACCTCTGCTATCTCTCAACCCGTACTTCGGTACACTGCTCCCATGTCTTACTGCTATGACGAAGGTATGTTCAAGGACGTCTGATGGTGCCAAAACAACCTCTAACTATTTACAAGGACTTTCTCAAATTTCTTTCGCTTGTGGCGATATTGTACTGTGGTTTCCTGTCAACTTTTTGTCTTCTTGGGCGAGGCCAGTTTACAAGTCGTCAAATGGCGCTGATCTTGACCAAAGTCTTCTTCGGTTCGTCATATCTGGGTTTCGACATCAGTGATAAAATTTCTCCCTACCTTGGTCTCCCACTCATGCTGGTTTTCATCACGTAAGTTTTATGCACTCGCTTACAACAACAGTCATCATGTCCATTCGCAAAGACTCTTTGCTAACAACCAACTCTAGCTTGACACAAATCCTTCTAATCACATCCCTCATCTCGATCCTTTCTAACAGTCTGTCTAACGTTCTCTCGCACGCCAGAGAAGAGTACCTGTATGTCTACTCTGTTTTCGTGCTCGAGGCGTCGACATCAAACAGGCTCACGTACTTTGTTCCTCCGTTGAATTTGTTTTCGCTGGCCCTCAGACCTCTGAGATTGTTCTTGTCTTCCGAGCAGTTGCGGTACAGTCGTATTGTTGTTCTCAAGATGACGCATCTGCCACACGTACTTTTGATCAAATTGTACGAGAATCTGCAAGCCGTCCGCAAAAAGAACACCACATTCGGCCTTGGATCTCCCCGAGGTATTGAAAAACCACCTGGTTGGAGACGATCTGTACTGAACAAGAGGCTCTCGACACGATACCCGCTATTGGCGCCGAATTCGAGACCGGACAATCCAGCCGTGGACCAATCGCAGGTTTCGCCGAGCACACAACCTTCGGCCCCTGCAGCTGCCATCGGCGACATAAAGGCCGTGCTCGATCAGCTCACTGTGCAGATTGAGCAGCTCAAGGCTGTTGTCGAAGACCAAGAGCGTCAGCTGCAGGCAAGCAATGATTGAGCCACTGCACAGTACCCGCGCGGTACCAGAGTTGCGACATAGCTAAAAGGAGCGCTTTGAGAGGGCAGTATGGACCTGGGCGTCAACATGACTTGCGTGATTGACTCGAACTGAATTCAGAAAGCACAATGTGTTGAAATAATGGGGCTCAGAGCACGGATTAGGGGGAACTGCCGATCCAACCATGGGACCGAGCCTGGGTTTGAGACGCGGGTTAGATAGTGGGTGGTTGATTGGCTCGAACCAGACCGTCGGGTCGATGGAGACGCTACTCGGTAGCCGCCATCCGCAGCCGAGAATCGAGAAATGCAAGTATTGACGGCAGTGCAAAAAGCATGAACGAAAATGATGACAATTTGAGCTATCAACGCTATCAACGCAGATTGACGGAGATCCAGGCGTCCCTAGAGAGAAATGTCAGGTGCATGTTTTGAATGCTCAGAGCTTGGCAGAAACCATGCCCTCGGGTCCATTGCCTCGAGGTGTTGGTCTCGATGCGGGATTTGAACAAAAGATCTTCTCACATTTAGATGTAGGTTGCGCCTACTTCTTCAAGTCCATAACCGCTTCTATCCTTTAGGTTTCACTGCACCGCCCCTGCCGTCAAAAAATAGTATGTGAAGACTTCTCGAAGCGCTCAATTGGTGTTTTGATAGTCGACATCACATATCTAATCACACCGTACAGGATATGTAACTAGTTCATCGCCCTCACAACTTTCACCATGCAACATCATTATCACTGGAGTATGGTTGAACCTAGCATCGGTCACGGTTCTGATCCCTATTACCATCCTGGATATCCATTAGAGGACCACCGTGTATTCGAGTCTGGGCATTGGCGAAGCCCTGTCGAAACTGGTAAACACCACTGGACAGAATTACCCCAACCAGTACACGCTGGACCTGCATACCCGGAATTTCCTAGTCCATTGGCTTCTAGTTCTGGGTTGCACAGCTTTGGTCCGCCGATCTTGAAGCAAGAGCAAGACACAACATCAGACTGCAAATGGTCACCTACCCTAACGAACTCGAGCCTGATATCAAACACCTCATCACTCCCGATATTACCCTCAATGCCATTGGCGGATTGCACTGCACATGTGACTGGAGTCGAGAGTCCTGTGTTCTGGCCAGCATGCAACCAGTTTTACCACGTGCCTGATCACGCCAGCAATCAACTGTCACCCTTCTGGCACGACACCCGGGTAAAGACCGATGAGAGCATGTCCATGTCATGCTCTAACAGTAGGCCAGCGTCTTCCGAAGAGCACCGCAGGCGGCCCCAGCATCCAGAGGCCGAAGTGCAGGCATTGCTAGACAGACCTAAAAGAGTGAAGACAACAGCAGAGAATGCAAGATTTTACTGCAATGAATGCGACAAGGGATTCCAGCGTGTCTATAACCTGCGTAGCCACATGCTCAAGCATGAAGCTTCTCGGGAGAAGATTCAATGCAGCCAGGCTGGTTGCAACAAGAGTTTCGACAGGAAAACCGATCTTGGTCGCCACAACCGCAGCGTACATTTGCATCAACGAGATCACAAATGTGTTCTTTGTGGCAACTTGTTTGCACGCAAAGACACACTGGTCAGGTAAGTCTCGCTTAAGAAAATATCATTTCTTCACAGCCTGCTGACCAGATTTGGCAATACAGACACATCGAGGGCAGCTGCTCGAAACGAACAGGAGTGGACCGCAAGCGACCCAAGGATTCGTCGACACCAACAATGGTCGACGTGAACGCCGACGAGTGCTGATACCAATGACTCGCGCGGTTGAGTCTTGAGCAGAGCATTCTTTCTGGACAGTTTAGGGACATGGCAATTCGTTCAACCACGTCTAGCACACTAGCTGCAGGTGCCTAAGCGCGGACGTATGCACAGGTGATGAGAGCGCCAACGAATGCCGATCCTGACTCGCGTGTATATTGTGTTGATAATTGGGTGTGGATGTCTCTTTGATGAAATTGATACTGGCAAACCAATCAGCATGTCACTCCCAACTTCGTAAGCGGAGACGTTGCGTGGAGATAGGCAAGTCGGCTTTGTTGAGCTGAGTGAGGTAGAAAAAGGGGAGGCGTGTAATTCAGGCACTGCCGGGCAGATCTGCAAGTAAAAGTCGATATTCCCGGTTGTTTTTTGTCTGAATTGCGTAAGATGATCAGGTCTTGGACACCAAAAATTATAGACTGAGGAATGAATCAAGGTGTCAGGAAAGAGTGACACTCTTCGGAAGTTTCATGATATGCACGGGACCATTGGGTGTAAACCCTGGAGCCGAGAGGACAGGGTCCAAACGTTGAGTGCTCGGCACCAGAGGGATTGACTTTCTGAACAGGCGGGGGTGATTTCTCACCGGATCAAAGTTTATTACTCTATTCAAACCACAGACCATAATCTACTATCGTGCACACTGCACATAGACGTGGAGCAGACAAGCCTACGGAACAGTTCCGCTTCAGTCTTCATGCTGTGAGTGGGGGCTTGCGACGAGGTTGGTGGATCCATCGCGCCGTTTCTCATTCAAAACCTGGATTCAGCTATGCAGGCTGATGAGACGCTGCACATGGATAGAGTAATCAAGGCGCAAAAGTGAGACCTGCATCTGTTTTCTTAGACCAAGACAGCCATCTGTTCATCTGTCCATCTCTCCACTCAGCTCTAGCACAGACAACTGTTCCAGCACAGAGAAGTGGATACTGTCGACTATCGACTGCCGGCGTCAAGTCTCTGGTGATCCATCGAGCCAAGTAGCGAGACTAGGCTGCTACACAGATCGGGAAGGCAGCAATCGCATGATCGTGCATTACAGCTTCCCACAAGCCGCGCCAGGTCGGGCACTACTCGACGGTTTCCCAATATCGAAGTTGCATAATCTGTAGCTCAATAGCGCAATTGCTTGATAGTTCTGTGATTAGGATCGCGTATTCGGCACATGACATAAGCCTTTGATGCGCAGTCCGGTCGTAAACTTATTGCATCTCTCACTTCGGTTATGCTATAGCTGAAGGTTGGATCTTGACTAGATAGACCGCATAAGCGAGGTTCGGACCAGACATGTGATGGTCATGCGTATGCATATGCCTGATTAGACAAGAGGTTTGATACAAGTACATTTGGATTGTGCTACAGAAGAGGTATTGATGATTTTCAGAAAGATAGTCGTGGGTATTTAAAAGCAATCAGAAAAGTAGAATGAGCCAGGATCCATACTTGGATTGGGTTTAGCAGCCCAGGTCTCACAGGAAGTCACCGCTGCCGAAGTTGTTGAAAGGGTTTGGCGGACCACCAAAGCCCGAGGGACCTCCGGGACCAACGGGATCGTACCTGCTGCCTGGGGGTACTTGAGGATCATAGCCGTTTCCGCGACCTCTCGGATCGTGGAAGTCAGGTAGGGTTGGGTGCATACCGCCGCCGCCAAATCCGGGGTTGGAGCCACCGAATGGGTCTCGAGGGCCGAGGCCTTGAGGATATAGATCTCTGTCCCCGATATTACCAAAGCCAGGACGGCCGCCGCCCATGGGCCGAAGAGGTCTGTTCAGATCGTAAGGGTCTTCGAAACCGGGTGGAGGGAAGTCTCCGTATGGGTGTGGACGCGGCGGTTGTGCAAGAGGGTCGTGGAAGGGCTGGGGGCGAGCAGGAGGTTGATAATCGTCGCGAAGAGGGTCGTGGTGGGGAAGGTCGGGCTCTCTACCGGGCTGGCGAGGAGCGGCGGTTTCGCTAGAGGGTTGGCGAGTAGACTGAGAGGCAGATTCTTGATAGCCTTCTTTCTGGAGGGAGGGTATGAGTTTCTGCACAATGTTGATGCGCATGAGGGAGCCGTAGTCTGAAAGACGTCCGTTGGATATGAAGAGGTTGAAGAGGCCTCTAGCGTTGGGTTCGGACAAGGTGAAGGGAAGTGAGGCTTCAGAAGTGTAGTCGGCAACCTTGACATCCAGTGTTGCAGTCTTGTCATCTCCTAGACCCATGGCCATTACGACAGCTTTTGAGCCCATGCGGTTGATCTTGAGCAGGTACTCCATGGATGACTGGGTGTGGGCGTATCGGAAAGCGTAGTTGGGAGCGTTTGCGTTCCACGCGGTGGGCAGACGAGGGGGGTGGTCTACAGTGATACGGTCGTCGTCGCCGAGGCCAACCAGGCGGAAGCCGACGGCCAGCATGGAAGCATGGCTTGCTAGAGCTACGGCATCGAAAGAAGTCTTGATGTGCGGTGCACCATCTTCAGGCAGCGTCGAAGCCATGACGCTGGCCAGCGAGTCTGCCGAGAGGACGTTGCCTACTAGCGTCATGTTGGTGAGTCTTTTGACAGCTATCGGTGATGTTTGGGACGTCTGGAGAAGAGGATGAGAGTGGTGGTAGCAAGCTGATGATGTGACGGGTTTACTACTCGTGGGTGATGGTCATGCAGAATAATAAATCGTGGAGGGACCCAAGTCGATGACGATGATCGACAGCGGGACCAGCCGCTGCACTAGGCCGCGCAACATGGTTGGCTAGATGTAATCCCTCAAAGCAAAAGGCATCTTGACCGTGGGTCACACTTTCTCTATTCTCTGTCAAGGGTGCAGCATAGTGTTGGGCTGCCATCTACTTGTTTCGTGGAACGTGATGTTCAAGACTGCATCGAAAGCATAGGTTCCGGATGGTTCAAAGGTCATGTAAACAACCCCGCATGTTCGTTGTGTCTATTCGCAGGCAGTCGGGCTCTGGGTCCGCCAAGTCGGAGGACATGAAGATGATCAGCCCGTGCTCACAGGCAGAGGAGCAGACTCTCTTGATGCCTTGTCTTTGGCCCAACTTGTGTCGACGTGCACTCTCTCGGCGCCTTGTCTTTGGTCCAACTTGTGTCGACGTGCACTCTCTCGGCTCAGCTGGTCATGGTCTCATTTTAATGGCTGTTTGAGACGAAGACACGAGCCAGCCCGGAATGTCCGCTAACTCGTCCTTGGTGCCGTCGTCGTCGGACCTGCTGCTCCTCGTGCCCCGCCTGGCGCGCAACATGGTCCATCTGGCGCAACGCTTCCTGCCCGATCAGAACATGTCAGCTATGGCGCCTGACGCTACGCCATCGCAACTGCTCAACATGACGGCCTCGCTCGTTCAGCAGCCTGTCACCTCGGCTGCCGCCCCTGCCGCTGCCGCTACCGCTTCGACCCAAGCCTCCTCGACTGGCTTCATGTCCTATCTTACTTTGCCCTGGGCAGACGGAATCAAGGGCTTCGGCGGCATGTTCGCCTACATCGGTTCTCGCTGGGCCCTGGCTACCTTTGCCATCGTGCGACCCACTCTCACCCATCTCATCTCCATGCGCTAAATCACTTGTTCCAGTCCATCTTTCTCAACCGCACCCATTTCTACGCTTCGTCTCGCCAGAACTTGAACCCCCGCTGGCATACCCGCCTACTGCTATACTCCGGTCCCGTCTTGCTTCTCTCGTACCACGTTTTGTGCATTCTCCAGACTCTCAAGTGCCAAACCTCTCCCGACTATCCCCTGTTGCGATATGGAGACCCCAACAAGAACCTGGCAATCAATTTTGGCGGAGATGGTGGCTTTGTGCACCACTTCAGCTCCAGTCTTTTGTTCTGGAAGTCCGATGCCGAATGCTGCCGCGCAATGAACATGTCTCTGCAGGACGACAAGTTCCTCGATGTCATGGGTTCCTTCTCGTTACTTTGGCCTCTGTTCCTGACTCTCTGCTTCAGTCAGTTTATCGAAACGCTAAACTGTGCTCTCCAGGGAAGACAACCTTTACCCGAGACCGGAATGACCACCTTTGAGCATTCTCTGGCCTTTGCCGAGTCGGAAGCCATGCTCACCAATGCTCTCGGCCTTAGTATATTTGGCCCAGCCGACTCGACCTCTCGCTCGAACGCCGACGTCTCTGATGCCTCGGATATTTCCTCTGTATTGTTGACCAAGTCTATGGTTCTGCAGCGTCTCAATGTTCCCTCAGAAGTCTTGCTCATCGCCCTCATTTCGTGTCTGAGCCATATAAGCAGTGCCGTGCTTGCCATCACCGGCCGGAGACACCAGCTTCGCCTTGTCAATACGGCTATATGGGCTATGTGCTACATGACCGCCTTTTGTTGGAGCCTTGTCAATGCGCTTTCTAGCCCTCTTGGCCCGCATGATCTTGGTATTATCCGCTTTCCTACCGTGTGTATCATTGGTTTTATCCCTCATATGCTTATCATCCTGGGCATCATGGTTTGTTCACTCATCTATGGCGTGGCCTTGTTGCTAAACGCCCTGTCACTTCCGCCCCATGCGCCGCCAAATCCTTCCATCAAGGAGCGCTTCTCTATAGCTTTCAACAACATGCAAGCCAATGTCCAGTTCTCATCTGTTTCCTCAATGAGGCTGAGTTGGACCGAGGACTTTTACACGGTTCTGCTCAAGATAGGTTTCAATGTCCTCACGGCCGCAAGTGAGTCTGTGTTCCTAAATGAAGGAAGCAAGATCCAGATCCATGCCATGACTTGGCTCGAGGAAGAGCGGATCCAGGAGTTCACGTCCATGTTGGAGGACCGTCGCCGAGCAAGTCTTATACCATCCGAGTTGCTTGATGAACGCATCGCGAAAGGCTTGAGCTTTACGGACCACAAAACCATGCCTTCAAGATCAGGGTTTGCGACGGAGCGAAGGTCTAAATCGTCTGCGGATACTGCTAGTAGGGGAACTATCAACAACGACAATGGACTTGGAATCGCAGAACGCCGGGGTCGATGGCAGCTCAGTTTTGAGTTTATGAAAGGATTGCTCTTGCTACTTGTCAGCATCAACGGTCGTCTTGCCTTGTCATGTCTGTCGATGCTGGGCATTGAGAGAGTACCGAACTGGCTCACAAGAGCCGCTGACTACAGGCGGTCACCTGCTTCTGCATCGACAAAGCAACGAAACGGCCAACAAGCATCAACACCAGACTTTTGGCTTGTCTCAGAGCGAGGCGTGCTGTCGTTGCCAGAAGATGGCAATGTTGACGTTGAAGACGAGATGCGTAGAAGACTACGGGCTCAAGGTCTTCCTGGTGCCGGTATTGCAGAAGATGCTGTCGACGACGATCTTTATCAATGGTGGAAGCGTGGAGGGTGGTGGGGAGATCTTGACAACAGCGGAAGCTACGAAGCTCGAGAGCAGGACGATGACACGACTAGCATGATATCCATGTCGACAAACGCCCCAAGCGAAGCGGACTCGGAAGAGGACAGTGGCAGAAGAACACCCACCCAAGAAGACTACATTCGTAGTCGAGAGCAGAGCCCTTCCGGTCTAAAAGTAGCCGACCTGGCACGACTGCTGGATCCAAAGACAACAGCGGACAGAGAGGAAGCTCAGATGCTCGCCCGCCACCTCCAGAGCGAGCAACCCATGACCCGCTCACAATACCGCCGACGTATGAATCGTGACAAAGCGAGAGTGTTGGACACTCCATACCTCGAGTCGGCATTCAAAGAAGGTACCGATGGCGCCATGAGCACAGCCGCAGAAGCAGAAACACTAGAGAAATTCCTCCTCGAGCGACGACTGACTAAACGTCAGCAAGAGCCGGAGGGAGGTGCCGGATCGTGGGACTCTGGCGCAGAAGGCATGGGGTCCAGTGGGCCTCAGTGCGTCGTCTGCCAGAGCAGTCCTCGTGTAATTGTTGCATGGCCCTGTGGCTGTCTCTGTGTTTGCGATGAATGCAGAGTTGGCGTTGCTACTCGAAACTTCACAAAATGCATGTGCTGCAGGACGAAAGTGGTGGCATTTTCCAGGCTGTTTGTTCCGTAGATGTGACTTCTGTCTTTTCCGAGCGTACATAGCGAGCAATCTCTCATTACCACCCTTGTTTCGAGCCGAAGGTATCTTCCACTGCTTCAAGTATTTTCCCAATCTTGGGCATCACGTGCGATGCTCGGGGTGTGTAATATTGACACCAGGCTCTGGTGTAGCCTGTGTCGAGCAGACTGACAATGCTGCTCACACCGAACACGGGCGAAGAGTGGAGCATAGACAGGCGCTGTCCTGAAAACATGGCGGGCGATAATCACGACCCTCAGCAAGGACACCAGCCATATTGGGCTAGCTCCACGCGTGACCTCTCGCAAAGCGCGCAACTTCTCGCACGTCAGAGTGATCAAAACGAGAAGCATGAGAGACCAAGAACGAACGAAGAGTCATCTTGAGAATAATGTCGATGTCTACTACTTCTACCGCTCCATCTACTGCGCTCTTCCTTTGCCCTTCTTCGTACGAATTGATAGAGCAGGGAACTCCTCACGAGTGTCTGCCTCTGCTTCTAGTCTACTTTGCTCTTCTGCAAGACTTAACTGTAAAGCGAATTCCAAATCCGACATTTCTCTGTTGTTGCTGCCTTCTGCTGCTTCTTGCTCTTCGAAAGCCTGGTAATCCTCGTACGCTTCGAACTCTGCTTCTTCTTGCTCTTGAAGGCGTTTGGCTTCGTCTTCTGCAAGACTGAGGCGAATTGCTTCTGCGATTTCAGGATCCATTTCTGCGTCGTCGACGGGCGTGGGCTGGTCGCTTCTGTCGTTGGTGGTCGGAAAGCTTGGTTCCTTTGCTCGGTCCTTTGCGAGTGCTTCTTCGCTGAGCATTTGAGCGTAGGCCAAGATTTCATCTTCACTGGCATCACTACCCAGCAATTCTGTTCCAAACCTGCCTGCGAGGTGCTCGGCTTGCTTGGCCTGTTGAACACTTTCTCGTTCCAGTTCGAACTGTTCATTGGCGATGAAGCCTTTGATGTTGCCTCGACCGACATTGGCAAATCGGTCATTAGCAACATTGGTGCCTCGATCGGCACGTCTGAGTCGTCGCTTGTGTGATTTGTACTGGTCTGCTGCAGACGAGCTGAAGCTCCAATAGCGTAGATATGTTCCGACTGAGACCATGCCTCTCAGTACCGTCGGGTCGGGATCAAGACAGATCGCTCCAGCTGCAAACAGGTTGATCCCTACGCCTTGGGGAGACGCCTGTGCTTGCACCAGTCTGCGTCTTGCCTTGAGAGCATGGCGTGAGTGCAGTGTCTTCACAGGAGCAGCGCTGGAAGCCAGGACGTCCCAAGCTTGGACAAGTCCGTCATTGCCACCTGATACAAGGTATAGAGAGGATAGGGCGATACAGGATATCTGTGGCGAGTCCGTGTGTATGATTCGTACTGGCTCCAGCGTGTTGACTGCATCTGTTGAGCTTGGGAGCGATGCTCTTGCGTCCCAGACCAAGACGGTGCCCATCAGAGTGCCGACAGCAATGAGTCTGGCTCGCTGTCCGGGGACGTCCGAAGAAGAAGATGGACTGCCGGACTTGGATAAAGGTGTCATGCTCGGAGATGACACTGTTGACTGGCCTGAAAAATTCAGAAGCGGATCTTCCGAGGCTGTGAGGGTTGCAAAGGTCGAGCCATCCATAGCGTGAGCTGTAATCTGTACCGATTTCAAACCACCAAAAGAAAGGGCAGACACCCTCCACTCCTCCGTCGAGCGAAGAGTCGTCCTGTTCGATTCTTGATGTTGCACGCTGGCTAGTGACAGACCGTATGCGAGATCAGGGGTTGTAGAAGACAGAGGAGGCGATGATCCACCGAAGATAGACGACTTGGGTTCAGGGGGCGTCGTGGTAGATATGGACTGCGGCTTTTTCGTCTCAGCGTCGACCTTGTGCTCTGTGTCAGCGATTTTGAGTCGCGCGAAACGTTTGGCCGAGGCGATGGAGTCGTCGTCCAGACCACATTCAAAGACGAAAACAGCTTCTCCAGCTTGGTTTTCGTCGTCTCCTGCAAAGTCGACCTCCAAAACCCTACGCATATCCCATCCTAAACAACTTCTCTGGAAATCCTTGGGTTTGCGATTGATATAGTCTTCGATCTCCCTTGTCTCTCCTTTGATCTGCTCCTCACTCAGATACATGCCATCCCAAGAGGATCGAGGAGAATAGCTGCCATCTACATGAGAATTACTGTAAGGATTGGGCCGGGCGGAGCGCCTGCTGGGTTCCGCCAGATTCCAGTACACGGATCGTCCGGTTGACCAAGCAAGGCGCTCTTTAGATTCGTCGTCCAGTCTTACAGCTTTGTCGCTAGTGCTTCGCTTGGGTAACTTTGTCAAGTAGAAGATTTCACCCAACGCGTTAAGCACGACTGCCCATATCCTGTTCTCGCCCTGACGTTTCACTGAATAATGCTCGTCTATCGCAATGGCAATGATAGGTACTCCTGGACTTAACACCCAGCGCGCCGTGATCTCGCCTCGACTAAAGCGTTGGTCGCGAGTTCCAAGGGGCCCCAAGCTGTATGAAGTAAGAACACCGAGAGAAGAACCAGAAATCAGTCCTATCAAGCCGTCGGTGAGGGAAGGTATGGTTGAAGACTTGGCGATCCAAACGCTACAAATGGCCTCCTGAACAGGCAACAATTGTGGAATCCCCAAAGCTGGCTCAGAGACGCCGCTAGAGGGCGTCAAAAAGTGGCCGCGCATCTCCTCAGAGAAACGATAGTAGACAAAGCCGCCGGGTGAGCCTTCCCCATGGACCATTCCATATGGCTGACTGACGTCCATGGAGTTAGGTACTCCGACGACGTTTCCAGGCCCGAGGCCGTATAGGGCATCACCAGGGAAGCGGTCAGAGAACTGGAGAAAGGTGTTTGGATCGCCCAGTCCCCATGAATCGACCTTCTCGGTGGTGGGATCACTGCTTCCGGCCGTGCCTACATCGTCGGCGCCGTGGACAAAGCGGGGAGGTCGCTTGTTGAGAGCGGTTCCCCCAAAGGTTGCATGCAGGTGGTTTATAGTGGTGAACATCTGAGAGTTGTACTCGACGATGGGCAAAGCCACTGGGGGTTGGCCGAGACGGGCTTGGGCAGGAGAGACGGTCGGCTGAACCGGCTTACCACGAGCAAGAGATCGCAGCAGACGAGTGCGTAGGATGTATTCGCTTCGCCACGATGCAAGAGCAGTGACACGGGTAAAAGCACGACGCTCAACGCGGAAATCGTCGAGCTGCTCGTCTTCATCGTCGTAGTCGCTGGGATTGAGGGAATCTGGACCGCGAAAGAAACGTGAAAAGGCAGTCCTCCAGGCATGAGGAGTGGTGACGAGATCGTGGAAACGGCGCGAGACGAGCGAAACAGCGTACAGGTCCTGGGGAGAGAGGTGGGCAAGTGCATGTGTCAAGATTTCGTTAGGCAAGTCGGCAATAGGGGAAAGCTTGTCGCCCGGCTTTCTTGCTTTCTTGACCACTGCGAAAGCAGGACCTTCTGTCTTTTTTCTAGATGGCGAGGCAGCCGAGGCGTTTTCATACTCGGTGATGCGATTGCGCGACGCTGAAAAGGCACTGCGCGAAGGACTCAGTCGTCCAGGCGTAGAAGGAAATTGTCCATGATCAAGCAGACTGACGCCTCCACCGTAATAGGCTGCACTCGCGCCTTGTTGCTCTCCATGGTGGTTGTCGGACGTGGATTCGGCGGGGCTGCTGGATTCGACGTATGGCTGTGGGACAGAGGTGGGAGACTGTGCGTGCATAAAACTGTCGGAGGAGTGATTCGAGGAAGGGTATGACCGAGCCAGCGATAGCGGTTCAGTCAGTCGGATTTGGAAAAGGGGCCTGGAGAAGGTTTCGTCGTGTTTGGTCAAATCTGGTCGCGGTCCAAGTCCGTGATGGTGATGATGGTGAGGGGCAAATCCACCTTCGGCCATTCCAAGCTCCGCCTTCCCCCTTCGTCATCACCCATCACGTGGAGTAGCAACAGTTCATCTTCACCAAGAAAGTCAAGTCTTGAAGCGATATGAGGCAAGTAAGGGTGGCACATTCGAGGCCCTTTCGCGTTTGGCTATTTCGCTGTTGGCTATTTCGCTGTTGGCTTTCCCCCTAATTCTCATTCCGACCTTCACCTCAACCAGCTGTCAATTGTACAAAAGAGAAAAGCGGCGCCCATGTTGGTATATTTGAACAAATGAAACAGAATAGGAAATGAGCAGTAGAAGTATGCATGCAAGTATCTGTTTTGCCCTATGGGGACTTTCATAGATCATCGTCGACGTCGATGGCGTCTGGGTTGGCTGCCATTTGCTGCGGCGCAGCAGCTGCACCTCTGTTACCTCCTTCCGGCCCACTGCTTGCTGCAACGAATCCAGTTGGTGCCCGTGCCTGGCGCTCCAGCGCTGCCATGGCGTCTGTCTTTTGGGTATTGTCGTCTTCATTGTCATCGTCTGCGACTGGCGGTTGTTGACTGCGAGCGATAGCTTGAGAGGCAATGAAGCTGACGTCGGTACTAGTAGATGGTTAGCTTATTTGTGGACCTGTGAGTTGATGAGGTTGATACGTACTTGTATTGTGCTTGGACGCTGCGCTTGATCCGAAGCATATCCTTGAAAGTGTCCTCGTTTCCATGCTGCACTTCGAAGCTTTCCCATCTCTGCCAGAATCCAGGCTCCCTTCTTGGATCGCAGAACTGACTGGCATGTCCGTAAATTGCTCTGGCACGATCGATCTCGCCCAGTCGTCTTTCCATCTCGGCAAATTTGAGACACATGTCTTTTGCTTCGCTGTCCGGTAATGCGGCAATCGCCCGTTCGTATATAGAACGTGTTGAAGTAAGACCAAAGTTCGAGGCTGATTTTGTGATGTAAAAGTTGAACATCTCCAAGCGATCTTCATCCGAGACAGCTCGTGTTGCTCGCTCGTAGATGCGCATCGCGTGACGAGCCAAGCCGCGTTCTTCTTCTAATTGACCGTACATAAGATATAGCACTTTGGCGAACTTCGGGGGGCAGCCTTCGACTGCTTGTTCGAAAAGGTCTCGCAACCTCTCAATACTGATCTTCCGGTCGACTGCTTTTTGAAGGTAAAGATTCCAAAGTTCGAAAGCCACAGGGTATGAGAAAAGATCCAGACCCCTTTCGTATACCTTGAATGACTCCTCAAAGTATTTATTCTCCTCGAGTAGATTGGCATAGTTGACTACTGTCTGAGGAGTGGCGATACGTAGCTCAAAGATACGCTCGTACACCTTGCGTGTCTCGTCCAAGGTGCTGACAGACTCGACAAGGTCAACGTAGAATGACCACAGCTTCCAGCTCTTGTGGACTCGCTGTTGAGGACTGAGAGTCTCGTCAAAGTAATCAACCGTGCTCCTTTTAGGTGCTTGGGTGGCCTTGGCCATTATATCGACGGCGCGGTCGAAGTTGTCGTTACGCAGTTCCATCTCGGCCCATTCGACCCACATCTCAGCGAGTTCGTTGACAGACTTGAAAGGTACCTTGACGGCCTTTTCCATGATGATCCTGGCATTACGTAGATCGCTGCGCTCCTCGTAGAACTTGGCGTAGTTCGTCCAAAGAGTGTGATACCTTCCGATGGCTTTCTTGGGGTGAATTGCAGCAATGGCGTTGGTATATGTGTTGACGACCTCACGTTTGTTGTCGCCCCAGAGCGCAACCCTCTTCTCCCATTCGTTAACACTGTTGGGGTTTTGTCGTAGCAGAACATCGTTCAGGAGGAAGGGCCGACGGTCCATAAGCTGTTCGAAGCGCATCATGCGGATATCAAGTTCAAGATCGGCATTTTCATCAGGCGTGCTCTTCTCGGAGCGAGCCTGAGCCTCGTCCATTTTGATTCCAATCAAGGCTTCCTCGGCTTCGGCGTAAGTATCAAAGACGATGGAGAAGTCACGCACAGTCATGACTGTGGTAATACCTTCCTCGAAAACGTCCCTTGCGCGCTCGTAGTCACCCTTGTTGATCCAGTATCTGGCTAGGCCAACCCACAAGATACCTCTCTGATCCGGGAAGCGTAGTATACCGCTGCGGACTATACGATCTACATGGATACCAGTGTCTTCGCCGGTTCGGACCTGACGGGCGTGGTCGATGATAAGCTCCAGCATTTCGGTCCAGAACTGGAAAGGGCCCTTGGCTTCCTTGCTGCGAAAGCGGGGGTTGTTGAGAATGTCCATGTATCTGACAACAGCGTCGGTGTATTGTTTTTGATCAATGAGGATGTCGATGAAGTCTTCGGCGTGCTCCGGATGGATCTGCATGTAGCGGCGCCAGACCTTGATGGCAGTTTCTCCAGAGGCAGATGTAGCAAAAGGACGGTATAAAGCCCATATCCGGTTGTGCTGAGTGATGGGAAGGGCTCGTAGTGCGCGGTCGAAGGTGCGGCGGGTCTGAGTGATCCTGGGTTGTTTGCAGAGGAAGGTAAGGTACATCTCCCAGATACGAGGCATCTTGTTGAGCAGAACGAGGGCCCTTTCGAACAAGGCATTGACCTTCTGGTATTCGGTGGCATGGCGGGCGGGATTGCGAGAGCGCAGATGGGTCACGCGTAGGTCGAGGTACAACTTCCATAGCTTGTAGCTGCGTGGGAGCGAGTTGCAGGCGCGTTCCAGCACAAAGGCCTGGTCGAGCAGCGAGCCGGTCTGGCGTTTGAAGTTTGCATAGTCGAGCCAGGCGCGGATGTTGGCCGGGTTGCGCAGGATGTCCTGCTCGTAGATGACATCGTTGTCGGTGACGAGGTACAGATGCGAAGCTGCCGACATGTCGAGGAGCACACACACGACGCAGCAGGCCTACTAGCGACGGCGGTAGAGGCGACAGAGAAGGGGATGCGACCGAGGCGTGGCCGGGTTTGGCGAGGCAGACAGCAGCTGCTGCTCAAGTCGGCTGCTTCAACTTTCTGTAACTGCCCAAACTCGCGCGCGCCTTGGCGCTCGCCGGAGCAACAACGAACGTCATGCGGCTAGCGGGCATACCACCCAGCTGCTCTCCTGCTGCCGTCTTGAGATAACAGCCACGCGCATTTCTCTCATTCACCACACAAGCGGCCGACAAAATGTCTGCTGCAGGAGTACGTCCCTGGACTGTCTACATCTATACTGTCACTGACAGACCATCCACAGAGAGAGGCCGTATTCCCAACCCGGCAGTCGCTGGGTTTAATGAAGGGCAAACTGAAGGGTGCTCAAACCGGCCACGACTTGCTGAAGCGCAAGAGCGAGGCTCTGACCAAACGTTTCCGAGAAATCACCCGCCGTATCGACGATGCAAAACGCAAGATGGGCAGAGTCATGCAGATTGCTGCCTTCTCTCTGGCCGAAGTCAGCTATGCCATTGGAGGCGCTGGAATTGGCTACCAGATTCAGGAGTCCGTCCGCTCAGCTAAATTCCGTGTTCGTACCCGCCAGGAGAACGTCAGCGGTGTCTTCCTTCCTCAATTCGAGAGTTTCCAGACCGAGGGCAACAACGACTTTGGCCTGACTGGTCTGGGCAAGGGAGGCCAACAAGTCCAACGTTGTAGGGAGACTTATGTTAGAGCTGTCGAGACTCTAGTAGAGCTTGCCAGTCTGCAAACTGCTTTCGTCATCCTCGACGATGTCATCAAGGTTGTCAACCGAAGAGTAAACGCCATGTATGCCTACCCTTTCCACCTGTACTACCGAGCCCTCAACTGACCTCTCGCAGCGAGCACGTCATCATCCCCCGCACAGAAAACACCATCAAGTACATCAACTCAGAGCTGGACGAGCTGGACAGAGAAGAGTTCTTCAGACTGAAGAAGGTATCAGGCAAGAAGGAAAGAGATGCCCAAGCAGAGGAGGCCGAACGTCAAAAGGCGAAGAAGGCCGCCGAAGAGAAGGGCGCCGACCCATCAGCCGACGATGGACCCCAAGACATTCTGGGAGGAGGAGAGGATAATGAGGATGTCATTTTCTGATTCATTTGCTTTTGCTACTTTGAGATATCCTTTGCTGCTGCTGTAATTACCAAGCCATTGTACATGTCTAGAAGAACCAGGCCTTTATTGACGCTGGAACGTGACTCTGATGGTGTTGTCGCCTAGTGACATGCCGGCCGTGGCCTCTTTGGCACTAATGGCTCCGTCTTCTGCTTCGTACTCGACGAAAGCAATACCTTTACGGCCAGGTACAGTACGGACCTCTTTGAAGCCGGGGAAGCGCGAAAAGATGGCTGTAAGCGCATCGACTCCGTAATCCTCGGGTACCTGTCTGATGAACAGAATCTTGTTTGGCGGCAGGTATTCATCGGGCACGACTCCCGCACCGGCGCCGGATGTGCCCTTGAGGCCAGCACCACGTGCTGTCTTGGGTGCGCGTTGAGCAGCTGCTTCGGGTTCTGGTGCACCTTGTGCTGGTCGCTTGAGGTTCTTGGCTGCTTCGGCTGCTTCGAGGGCTTGTTTGCGTTCTGTTCCTGATTGTCAGCGCTCCGACGACGCGTGTTGTTCAATATGATGGCAAACCCACCCTTCTCGGCCTTGCGATGACGCTTGTGTTGTTCGAACTCCTCGGATGTTCCTTCTCTTTGCACAGTTGCATCGCTCCTTGTTTTTGCAAAATCCAGCGACATGGATTGGCCGTACAACTCGAATCCGTTGACTTCGTCGATGGCATTCTCAGCAGACTGGACGCTGTCAAAGACGATGAAAGCCTGTCCTTTGCGCTTCAAGCTGGACTTGGCAACAATGTCGACAATGGTTCCATATTCTTCGAAGATCTCGCGCAACGACTCGATCAGCTGGGGGATCTTGATGCGCTCCGACAGGTTCCTGGCCTTGATGACGCTACAGTTAGTTCGGCCATCTTACGAACAGATGCTTTGGGCTGTGACTTCAGCACATACGTAGACACTGCTCTCAAGTTAGTTACGCTCTTACGCTTGTTCGTACGAAGTGCAATGTACGAACGTTGCGTTTGGCGCGGTTCCTTCGTCGATTGTCGCCATTCTGAATGTTGCGCAATCGAAGAATGTATGATTTGGTACCTTGGTTTGGAGCGTAGCGCGCAGCGATCAAGTTGATGGATGCGCCGGGGAAGCAGGCCGGATATCCGAGATATAACCGGGCTGCCAGGTCTAGCCGGATTGGGAACATATCAATGACTACATCATCGAATCTCACTTGGAACGATTTGTTGTTTCAATCCTTTGCGAATATACCCAGGCCTGCTCTTCAACAGACTTCATTACGAGTCTTGTCTCGGCAACACAATGAGTCCGTCTGCCTGGCAAAGGGCCAAGATCACCCTCCAGATCAGTCACGATTATAGCGTTCCTCCTGCAGGCATAAAATGGAGAAGCAACACCTTGTTCATTGTCTCGACGGTCGCTATTGGTCTCTTTACTGACCTGTTTCTCTATGGATTGGTCGTACCCATACTTCCGTACATGCTGCAGGATCGAGTCGGCCTGCCAAAGGACCAAATCCAATCGCACGTAGACGCATTGCTTGCTGCCTATGCCGGAGCGTCAGTCATCTTCTCTCCAATTGCAGGAGTCCTAGCAGACAAGACTTCCACTAGACAGGGCCCTTTTCTGCTTGGTCTTGTAGCTTTATTACTTGCCACAGTACTGCTCTTCGTCGGCTCAAATATTCCTACGTTGGTCGTTGCCAGGATATTACAAGGATGCTCCGCCGCAGTGGTATGGACCATCGGTCTGGCACTTTGCATTGAAACCGTCGGCAAAGAGAATCTCGGTAAGACCATTGGGTCCATCTTCAGTTTCATCTCCGTTGGAAATTTGTTGGCTCCCTTATTGGGTGGTGTGCTCTACAACAAGACCGGATACCCAGGCGTATTCGGTATAGGATTCGGCATCTTGGCCATCGACTTTTTTATGCGTTTACTGGTCATTGAAAAGAAGGTAGCCCGTCGCTATCATCTCGTCAATTCCGAGGGCAACGCCAATGATGAGACACCTGCTCCAGAAGACAACGAGGCAGCCAATGGCGAAGAGGAGCCTTTGCTGGGCAACAAAGCAGAGAGCAACGAATTCCAAATATCTGCAGACCAGCCAGCCATCGCTCGCAAGATCCAGATTCTGCCATGTCTCAAGAACCCACGTCTTGTCGCCGCTCTACTGGTAGCCTTTGTCCAAGCAGCGTTGCTCGGCTCCTTCGACGCTACTATCCCCACTGTCGGTCAGGAGCTTTTCCACTTTGACTCTTTGAAGGCCGGCATACTGTTCCTTCCTCTTGGCGCTTTCGACTTTGTGGCCGGCCCTCTGTTCGGGTGGGCAGTCGACAGATATGGTACCAAGTTGGCCGCAGTGGGTGGCTATACATTCTTGGTTCCCTGTCTTGTTTTACTTCGGCTACCCCATGCTGGCGGAACACCTCAGGTTATACTTTACGCTGCGCTTCTTGGACTGTGTGGAGTGGGGCTTGCTGCAATTGGAGCTCCTTCGATCGTGGAAGCAGGTGAAATCGTAGAAAAATACTACGAGGCTAATCCCGAGTTCTTCGGACGCGATGGCCCCCCTTACTCACAGCTCTACGGCATGACTTCAATGGTATTTTCTTCCGGACTGGCGGTTGGACCCGAACTCGCTGGCGAGCTGAAGCAAGTCATTGGATACGGGAACATGAACATTGTTCTTGCAGTCATTTGTGGACTTACTGCAGTCTTGTCGTTCTTTTTCATTGGAGGAAAGCCAAAGGTGCTCCAGAATAGATAGAATTAGGAGGAACAAATTACTTTATTCGGGACCGAGGCAACGCATAGTTGTAGAATGTTTAGCAAATACATGGTAAAATATCACAAGAAAGAAAGTGTTGTTTGATAGTCGAATTAGAGACGCCAAGGGATTATTTCAGTGGCTGAAGGCTGGAGTGCAAGGGGCTTGGCGCAATTCAAACCAACACAGGGCTTCGGGCCTCCTATGCTGCGTGGGGTGAAAGAGACTCACATCATCGACATAGCATCTATCGCATCTCCTGCTCCGCTGTCTTTGCACATCGATTGACTAACAAACACTCCCGCTCCGCCCCTTGCCCTAGGCCTTGGTCAGCTCTCTGTCGCCCCCAAGCACACGTCACGCACACGTCCACGCCCTCAGACTCGCATCTGCGCTCATCGGGCCCGCACTCCCTCCCGGCCTTGCATTGACGAAAGGTCCCACGCCATTGTCGCGACCACCCGTCCCCAATCCACCTGCACAATGGACACCAACATGGAAGATGTTGGCGCAAAGCCCGATATTCCCATGTCGGCGGCACCCATCGACCCGCCCTCGATCCCCACCCTCGATGGCTGGATTGAGAGCTTGATGGCCTGCAAGCAGCTGTCCGAGGCCGATGTCCAGAGACTGTGTGAGAAGGCAAGAGAGGTTCTTCAAGACGAATCCAACGTCCAGCCTGTCGTATGTCCATCGCCCGTCTGCCGCTACTCAGGCCTCCATCGAAGCTGACACTACTGCTGCATAGAAATGCCCCGTCACCGTCTGCGGAGACATTCACGGCCAGTTCCACGATCTGATGGAGCTGTTCAAGATTGGCGGCCCCAATCCCGACACCAACTACCTCTTCATGGGTGCGTCCTTGCTCTTTCCTCTTGCATCTGTCGTGGCCTTTGCTTTTTGCTGACACGTGCGCACACAGGTGACTATGTTGACCGCGGTTATTTCTCCGTTGAGACTGTGACATTGCTCGTCGCCCTGAAGATTCGCTACCCACAACGCATCACCATCCTTCGCGGTAACCACGAGTCCCGTCAGATCACCCAAGTCTATGGCTTCTACGACGAGTGCCTGCGCAAGTACGGCAACGCAAATGTCTGGAAGTACTTCACCGATCTCTTCGACTACCTCCCCCTTACCGCCTTGATCGACAACCAAATCTTCTGTCTTCACGGTGGTCTGTCACCGAGCATCGACACACTGGATAACATTCGTGCGCTCGACAGAATCCAAGAGGTGCCCCACGAGGGTCCCATGTGCGATCTGTTGTGGAGTGACCCCGACGACAGATGCGGTTGGGGAATAAGTCCCAGAGGTGCCGGCTACACCTTCGGCCAGGACATCAGCGAGGCTTTCAACCATAACAATGGCCTTACTCTGGTTGCCCGAGCCCATCAGCTGGTCATGGAAGGCTACAACTGGAGTCAAGACAGAAACGTTGTTACGATATTCTCCGCACCTAATTACTGCTACCGCTGCGGCAACCAAGCCGCAATCATGGAGATTGACGAGCACCTGAAATACACCTTGTGCGTATTTTCGCCATCTATTTCTCTTCTTCGAGCCTTGCTGACCAGTCTTTTTAGCCTCCAATTCGACCCATGCCCACGTGCCGGCGAACCAATGGTGTCTCGTCGTACTCCTGACTACTTCCTCTAGATGACGACGGGTGCCTCTTTGACTGATAGATTGTACACTTATGCTTTCTGGCAGCTCCTAGTAAAGAAACACGGTCCATGGATTGACTGTCGTTTTTTTATTGCATTGGGGGGTATCTTAAAGCATGCCATGAAGAAAAACGAAAACGATCAAAACATAATCCCGCTTCCATCCTTTTTCGTAATTCATTCTCTTCTTTTTTCGAAACATAACGCTGCACCTCTACCAGTTCCAGGTCCTGCTTGCAGCTGTGAATACTGGCGGTTTCCATTGCAGCTTTTCTGCGTCAATCTGGTGTTTGCCTTTGACCTTCTCCTTTTCCTTTTGTCGTTCGCGTTGTTTGAGGATGGCTTCTGTGAGGACAATGACATGATGATTTTTCTGTCAAGTCAGCCAGGTGATTTCAACGTTGGAAACTCGGGAGTACTCACAGAGTAGCGCAGCATGTTTAGGTTTTGCAACGTGTGCAGAACATCGTTGGTTGTCATCGCTGTCTGCGCACCAATGTCTTCTACGCTCATCTCACCTTTGCTCTCCATCAAGAACTCCACAATGATCTCTTGCCAGAACGCACGATAACCCAACAGTCCAAGGTCACTGAGCGGCTTCTCCGGACTGCCCAGCTTGCCTTCACGTTTGCTGAGCTCATAACTGAAGGCGATGAGTAGTCGACCATATCCCTTGCGTTGGTATTGCGGTAGAGTCAAAATACAGGCAACGTTGTAGCCTTCTGCACTTTCTTTCTCCTTGGAAAAATATCCGACTAAATGATGGCCGTGCTGGTCGCGCGTCGTCATGCAGTAGAAGAGGAAAGGGTCCACATCGTAGTAGAGAGTCTTGTGATCCAGGAAGAGCTTGCTCAAAAGACAGAGGTTTCTGCACCAGGTTCTTTGTCTGCGTCCGTCGATCTCGAAAAAGCTGACCATTTCGTCGCGGTAGATTTCGTTGCCAGGAGGGTGCAGTAATGTACACTTCGTTCTGTGACGCTTGAACTGTCTCTCGTTGCCGAAATAAAGCAGACACATCTCACAGATGTATACCAACTCGCAATCGGAATACTCGACTGGGTACGGTGAGAAGTACCAAGGTTCAATCTCGTGAGCTCCCATCTGTATCTTTTCCAGGTTCCGCACCCTGCTAATTTCGGTCTGGTTCTGGGTCATGGAGCCGCTAGTACGTAGCTTCTCAATCTCTTCTTCGCGCGAATACAGGTGATCCGGAATGGCCTTTGCGGCTGCCGCGGCATTCTGCACGTCAATAAGATCTACTGTATCATCGTCGACTTCTCCGTCTGGCTGAGGTGTTCCATCGATGGCTTCGGTAGCCACAACGGCAACGGAAGGAGAACGGTGGTCTTTGCCGGCTAGTGACGGTCTTCGAGTCCCGGCCTTTGACGATTGAGATGCCTCTGTTGGCGTCGCGGAAAGCTCCCTCACGCTCGATGCTCGTGATCGCTTGGGCGCCTTGTTTGCTTTTGATGTCTCTGCTTTGGCTGTTGTCTTGCTCGTCGTCTTCTTTTGCTTCGTATCCGGTTTCTCGGGCAGAGGCCATTCCACTTCTCGTGATAGATCGATACGCTCTGCTGCGACCCATTCTGGTTAAGTGGTCAGTGAGCCGTATCAAGAATGTGATTTCCAGACGACCATACCATCCAGACGCTTGTTGAAATCCTGATAATGGACACTTTTCTTGTCAGCTTGACATGTAGGTGAGAGGACAGATCATACTCACTAGAATGTTGGTTTGCCTCTGCGTGTTTGTATAGAGAGAATCTCGGCCTTGCGCTTCTCATCATCCTGGGACCAAACCACGTTAGCACTTCTGCTTTTGAATGTTTCCTTTCTGGCATCGGACAAAATTCAGTGATAGAATTTTTTTGCTTGATGCTGGACAAAACAAAATGTTGTTCCTTACCTTGTCGACCCATGCTCTGACTCCAACCCTGTCCAAGTCAGTAAAGACCATGTCAAGGCTTGGCAATTCATAACATACCTGAGAGTTGTGAGAGTGGCGTATCCTTTCTCGACCTTCTGCTCTTCACCGTTGTTGTTGTGACCTCCCATGATAGTCTACGTGATGCGCCTGTCGTACGAGTATTTTTCGCGTGCAATCGCGATTATCTTCCTTACTGCTCGGGTTCGTCGTCAAGTCGTGTTATGCCCCCCACAGATTGCGCCCGGAGAACAAACTTTGCAAACTGCTTATCCACGTGATCGACAGCCGCGCTTTCCATAACCTGTCTTGCTGGAGGTTGCTTCTTTCACACCAGAAAGTGAAGTGCGTCTATCAGAAGTTTGCCATTGACTAACAGTGTTTTCCAGTATTTAACTTGTATCAGGAAACCTTCTACTGATAGAGCTTTCTTGCCAAACTCAAGCAACCGCGCCTCTCGTTAGCCGTTCATCAACGCTTCATGAGCTCGACTTCAAGTACTCACTCTGCACAATTACAGACACAATTTTCGAGAGCGGTTTGAACATCACATCTGCCACTACATGCTGTTATGATACCTTCGGTGTCACGTTTCGTCAAGGCCATATTTTCACTGGCATTCAGGTAAGCAGTTTCGGAAACATGCTCTGCTCGCCATCACTTTGCCATGGACAAGAGCATGCTACTGTGACCGCAACCTCGTTGGATCAAGTAATTCAATGGTCCTTCCTTTTGTTGAACGGCTGTCAATAGTGCTTGTATCAGCATTCGTTCAAACTTTCCCACTCTTAGCAACCCTGCTACCAAGGACTGTCGTTGGCATCAACAGGCCCACCAGCTGCAAGTAGCTCAAGAGAAGGCCGATCCTCTTTTCTGACAGGTCTTGGTTATGCGCAAGAATCATATGCTAACCAGTCAGAAGCTCAGTAATTCGCTCCACACCCCACTCCACAAAACCCTAATGTATTCACACAGCTACAGTCTCATACAGGTCGAATTACTTGCCCACTTGCTTCCAAGACTAGTTTGCTATCTGTCTACGGTCTCTTTATAACAGGAAGCAAGAGCAGGGAGCACATGGTCGTTTGCACATCTCGTCTTCTGGGACTGTGGCAATGTCCGACGGTGTGCCCATCTTGAGTTGTCTGATGGCCAGTGAAAAGAGGTGGAGGCATTTGATTTAGCGTCGACGGGGAGTAAGGTCTATTGGTCCTTGGAAACAATGATTGGCTTGGTCTTCTATTTCCACCCCAAGTAACCCCACCGAACTTGCAAGTTGGGAATCATAAAATCACTCATCGCAAAGACATGCTGTCAAGGTACTTAATGCTGTTTCCACTCCCACTCTCTGCTCTTTCCTTAACTCTACCAATCGTTTCGTAAGGCCTCTTGACGTCGCCATCATGAGAGCTGTTCTTTCGTTTACCATTGCAGCAGCATTGGCTAATTATGTCAATGCTTGGGCATTGATGCCTCGCCAGACTTCAGGCGCGAGCTCTACTCCGCCCTCGACTGCAATCACCAATGTTACATGTAACGGCAAATCTGCTTATAACTATGCTGCGATGACATCGGTCCCGGCCAATGCATCCTGCACCACGCAGACCTTCTACATCAACACCAAATCCAACTGTACCACCAAATCGTTCTTAATCGACACACGCACATCGAGCTCTTGCAACTGCTCAACCTCTTCTGCACCTCAGAACACCACCTCCTGCACTGTCATCCCGCTAACGACTTCGTCTTCGTCGACTCCATGCTCAACCACGTCTTCGTCGTCGACTCCTTGCTCTACGACTTCGTCGACATCTTCAAGCCCCTGCCCTGTCTTTATGAACTCGACATCTTCGTCAACAACATTGTCAACTCCCTGTTCGTCGACTTCTTCATCTTCTTCAACTCCCTGTTCGACAAGTTCTTCATCTTTGTCCACTCCTTGTTCAACGAGTCCCTTGACTTCATCTACACCATGTTCCACGACCTCCTCATCTCTGTCAACTCCTTGCTCGACTTCTCAATCTTCGCCCATCCTAACTTGGACGACTTTGACAGCAGTCACCAGTTCCACGGTCGTGGTAGGCTGTCCAAGCACTCTGTCCTCTGCCACTTGTGGCAAGAGCGACCAGACTACTGCTACATATTCGTTCAGCACCGTAGTGGCTACACGAGTACAGATAGTGACTATCTCGTGTGCTTCTTGCAGTGGTGGCAGCACCAGTACCTGGTACCCCGTTACATCTACTAGCTCTGGCCCATGTTCTAGTCCCTCTGCAACAATCCCTGCATCATCAACAAGCACTGTTGTTCTTCCTTCTACATCACCGGCCAGCCCCGTATCGACTGCCCAGAAGAGCATACCATCAGGCGGCGTTTCTTCCCCGACACTGCTTACGTCCACTGTCGCTATCACGACTACTATTCAGATCTCGAAGCCCTCGCAGACTAGTATTAGAACGGTGACTTTCACAACGGAAGTCGTGACAACCGCCAGTACACCGTGCGACTCTAACAAGCAGAGTATGACCAGCGTTCAATCAGCGATGACACCTTCTCGCAACATGAACATTCCCTCTGTCAGTACGGTGACCTTGGCTTCGCCTTCTGTCAGCACAGCAAGTGTGGCTACACCCTCTGTCGGCACAGCAAGCTTGGCCTCTCCCTCTATTCCAACAGTCACCATCCCAGTCATCGCGACTGTCGTGACTTGTCCGTATAGCTGCAAGACAGTTCCATCGCAATCTGTGCCTACTGCTTCTTCTCCAGCATCTCCAATGGGCCCGACCTCGCCCATGTCCTCGGCGACAGCTCCTCCAGCTCCCAAAGATTCATCCTCGTCAGCACCTCCTAGCAGTCCACCCTCATCCGCACCCCCTAACGGTCCATCTTCGCCTACTACGATGCCAGCTTCAACTCCAATGTCCTCTCCGGTCTCTCCCAACTCTAACGTTCCAAGCTCTCCTGCCTCGAAGATGCCTTCTTTGTCTGCAGCAACATCATCTGGCCCACCATCGTCGCCTAGCCAACCTCAGAGCAGCTCTCCACCTCAGTCTAGCTCTCCTCCTCAGAGCAGCTCTCCACCTCAGTCTAGCTCTCCTCCTCAGAGCAGTTCTCCACCCCAGTCTAGCTCTCCTCCTCAGAGCAGTTCTCCACCCCAGTCTAGCTCTCCTCCTCAGAGCAGTTCTCCCCCTCAAAGCAGTTCTCCACCCCAGAGCAGTTCTCCACCCCAGAGCAGTTCTCCACCCCAGAGCAGTTCTCCTCCTCAGTCTAGCTCTCCACCTCAATCCAGCTCGCCTCCCCAATCTAGCTCGCCCTCTCAGTCCAGCTCGCCTCCCCAGAGCGGGACTGCCACAAGTAAGATCACAAACCAATGTACCGAGAAGACTCCACTGACAAACTATCCAGAGCCAAGCACACCTCCAGCCACCAACACAAGCATGTCTTCTGGAGCCGCTTACAATGCCAAGGCTTCCATGTTGGCCGTAGCAGCTCCCATCGCCATCGCCGTTGCTATGATGCTACTCTAAGCCCAGACATATCCATCTGAGTATTGCGTACTGGTTCATACATGAACTTTTCACATTCCTTCTGTACAATGACTATACTTTCCTTTGTACTTGGTCTCGTGTTTCATTTGTTAAATTAATGTGTATGTAACATGGAAATTTGTTTTTGCCCGGAGGAAAAGTGAAACAGTATCTAGCCCGTGTAATTTAGTCATGGTAATCAAGCTTCATGTTTTACAACAAGATTTGCTCCCTCAATCAGCTCTGTAAATCTTACATGGCCTTTGCAGAGGATGATGTCTTGAAGCTCCGGAGCACGAAACCCGAAGAAGACTGTATATGCACGGGGGATTTATCGGTATAATGATAGTAACGTTCGGTTTTTATCCTGAATGCTGAAACAATGTATTCTATAGATGATTCTGCACTGACAACAAAGAACCCAACGGACAAAAGACAATCGATATTGCCAAAATTTATTAAGAGTACAACACATGTGAGAAGATGACAAAAGAACTGATTTACAAAGCAAGGACAGCCGCACCGAGGGCAAGGGCAGCCGCACCAGAAAGACGATGAGCTGCACCGCTCTCTGTGGCAGTCGAAGAAGCTCCGGAGGCGGTGCCAGAACCTGTGCGAGAGCTAGAACCAGAGCCAGATCTGCTCGAGGTTCTGCTTGCAGCAGTGCCGACAGGATAGTTGGCCTCGCTGGTGATGGTAATTGCCATGTTGCTCATGGAAGAACCGTCAACACCGTAGACGGCAGCGGCGACTGCGGTTGCAGTGACCGAAACCAAAGCTCCGGTAGGTGCGTCAGAGATACCAGATGATATCAAAGCATCGACACCACTGGGGCGGGAAGGAATGTCGAACTCATCGCTGAAGTCGTCTGCCTCGATCAAGTCAGAGGAGCAGCGAGGTGCGGTAATAGCAGTGGCAGTGTCGTTGCTTGCTTCGAGAAGTGTAACGTTGATGCGGCTGTATTGTTCCTGGAGGGCATTGAAGTCCGAACGCAGCTGAGCAGATCCATTGGAGTAGATATCGACAAGGCCATAGTTGTTTTCCTCTTGTGACCATTCATAGACCAGACCTCCAGACATGACGGTCATTTGAGGGCTGTACAGCGCTTCGACCTCATCAAAAACACGGGGGCTGGGATCATTGCAGCCGTACTCGGAGAAGAACACGGGGATGGAGGCGTTGGAGAACATATCGACAAGGACGTCGTACTCGGCAGTCTCAAAGCTGGACTCTGAACCGCACCTGAAACGGGTTGTCAGTATGGAAGTTGACAAAATAGAATGTTCCGGAAAACTGACCAGGAGTACGAGTTCAATCCGAAGAAGTCGGAGGCACTGGAATCCCCATTGTCGCACGACAAATAGTGGTAGGTGTCTTCTGTGAACTCTCTGACATCGGCCGCGGAATATCCAACAGGAATAGGTCTGTCTGCATGGGCAGCAATGTAATCCTTCATGTCACGCTGTACAGCTCTCATGTAGGGAGGGTTCTCGTCGGCAGTCTCCAAGTCGTTGATGATCTCGTTGCCACCAAAGAAGCCCAGAAGGTTGGGGTAGCCCTTGAATGCCTCAATCACCGTGAAGACGTGGTTCATATAGTCACGAGTATATGTGCTCGCAGGGTTGCTGCGGTCGATGTGCTGTCCATACAAGGGGGTGTTTACATCGAGAATGACATATATTCCAACACCGTTGAATATTGACATACACTCATCGTGGTTGAGGGTCTGGAAACAAGTCAGTAGAATTCATGGAGTTTCATCGTTCACAACATACCGGGTCGACGTTGTAGCTTCGAATTGTGTTGACACCCAGACTTTGCATCAGAGCTGCATCACGAGTGCAAGCCTCAGCGTCACTGAGGACATCTTGATCGTTGTTTGCCGAGATAGCGCCTTGTCCACCAGGCTGATAATCGACACCAACAACGACAAATCTGTTGCCATTGGCTGAATTGACAAAGTCCTGTCCGCGTACTTCGACAGGATCTACGGCAGCACTCAAGCCAGCCAAAAAGGCAAGGCCAGCGATTGAGTAACGCATGTTGAAGAGTCCTTTTGGATATGAAGGTGAGATAATAGAAAAGCAGAAAAAGATGATAAAGCTGAACGAATGACACTGCCTGCTTTGAACGAGAGATTTCTACCCATGACACCTGCGAGGGATGCCGCTGGATTTATGCGACTGCTCTCAGCCTACATTCTCAACCTCCCGCGGCAACCCCTACTCGGCGCCTTGGGTGTTGTTGTTCGCACTTCCTTGGCCGCTGGGCAAAAGCCGTATACTTGGCACAACCGTTTCGACCAAGAACCCGCCTCTCGATAACATCTTCATCATAGCCGCAAAGTGGCGACAGTATTGACTTGAGGCAATGAACCTTGTGGTTGAGCTCATAAAAGTTATCGATGCTCTGGCATTGTTGCTACACCAGCACTCAAGAAGCCTCGCCATAGACCGTGGTTACCGCTGCCAAGAACTTCAACAAGCAACCATTTCATCGGGGCAGGGATGGACAAGAAAGAAAGAGATCCGTAGTTGGATCGCATGCAGATTAGAATTCACATCCGACCCCACAGTTTCCGAAACATGTCTGCTGCGCCTCATGTCTGCATGTCTTGGGAAGTCGTGTATTCGTCGTCCTTTCTTGGGGCCAAGGACTCGTGTACATATGGAACATGCGTGATAATTTTGAAGTAAACAAAGCCACTGACGATCAAGCCAAATTATGACACCGGCATGCTCAAGACTTCCGAAACGTATAATCTAAATTCAGGGCTTCAACAGAAGCTTGCCGGTAGTCTTGCGGCCTTCAATATCCTGCTTCTTGTCAGTACTGCCTACGCCAAGATGCCGCGAGGTTCCGGTCTGAAGGAGCTTGACTTACGTTATGCGCAGTAGCGACATCTTTGAGGTCGTACACCTTGTGGATACGGACATCCATCTTGTCCTTGACAATGAAGTCAAAGAGCTCATTGGTATACTGTTCGAACTCATCCCTGGTCGCGATGTAATTGAACAACGTTGGGCGGAGAACCTTGGCATTCTTGGCCCCGAGTCGTCTGCGGGCTGTGTAAGCGCAGTCCGAATATCATCAACGACAGATGTAATAGGACGACTTACGAGATTGCGAACGGCGGCACAGCACCACTGGCGTTGCCAAAGCTGGCCATGGTTCCTTTGCGAGCCAGACAGTCCAGACTGAGGTCGAATGTCGACTTACCAACACCGTCAAAGACTGCTGCAACGCCCTGTTTGTTGGTGACCTCGTCGACCTTTGCCTTGACATCCTCGTGGCTGTAGTTTATGAGCACTTGGGCACCGGCCTTTTTGGCCAGATCCAGCTTCTCTTGTGTGCTCGCTGTTGCAATCGTCTTCGCGCCAACTGCGGCAAGTAGCTGACACAACCACAGACCAACACCTCCAGCTGCGGCATGAACTAGGATCCAATCCCCCTTTTGCACATTGTATGCCTCTCGGATGAGAGTCAGAGCTGTGAGGCCCTGAAGAAGTGCCGCGGATGCCACGGTAGGCTCGATGCTAGACGGAATCTTGATGGCTTTGGCTGCGGGAGCGGCAGTGTATTCGGCGTAGGTTGCTTCGGACAAATAGACAACGCGGTCGCCAGTCTTGAGGCCATGTGGTGTATCGGGGCCGGTCGCGACGATGGTACCTTCTGCTTCTCTGCCGAGCATGTACGGGTAACTGGGTGCAGGGTACAATCCACTGCGGAAGTAACTGTCACGTTCTGTAAGTATGCGATGATTATCGTCACTTGGGATATGCGTACGTGTCAATGTAGTTGATACCGACATAGTCGTTCTTGACCAAGACCTGTCCGTCTTTCGGCTCTGGCACAGCCAAGTCTGCCTTGTACTGAAGGACCTCGACACCACCTGTTTTCTCGATGATGACACCCTTCATGGTCTTTGGAAGTGATTGAGAAGCCATGCTGCGAACAAGTTGACCAGATAATCCCGTGAGTCTACGCGAAGCTAAAGCAGGTACTGAGGAAACACTGTGTCGTAGAAACATGGACATTTGAAAGTGATGAGACCATCCTTCCTACACGTCAACCCATTTGTAATGCGCCATGGCGGCTATAGTCATGCCCCGCAATTGAGGGGAGCTGTCGGCGGAATTCACCCGCTCACGTCATCTCTTCCACAACATTCGACATCCAAGCCCCGACGTTGTTACAAGTAATAGTTTTGCTTCGCCAATTTGTGCGATTATACGATTTTATGGCAGTCAAAGAGGCTTCATTGCTATGAAACTGCTATGAAACTATGGATTGATCTCCCTCTCCATGGCAAGCTAAGCATCGTTACTGTTTCCCCGGTCTTGCATTCGCTCGTTGAACCAGATGTCGCTCAAGCGTCCTCGATCTGTGAGCCAGTCATCTCGCTGGAGCCGTCAGAGCCCTCCAGATTGACCTGGTCGTTCGTCTGCTGTGCTTCCTCCTCGTTCTTGAGGGCCTTTTGCTTACGATAGAGCTCATTGGGGAGCCATTCAAAGAACGAAGGACTGATCGCACGAACGCTATCCAACCATTTGATGCCAATGTCTAGCTCGCGCACTTCACCCTCAATCTTCATACCTACTGAGCAGTACTGGAGGATGTCATCCTCGATCCAAAGAACCATGCTGTGCTCGGTTTGTTGTCTCTTGATTGCCTCCTCAGAGTGGCTGAACGTGGGTGCCAACGGATAAGTCCAGCGGCGACAATGAAGCTTGCCGAGTGCAGCCAAAAAGGGCTTCTTCTCCCGAGCAGTAGCGTACAGTGCACGTGTTGCCTCATCGGCCATTTCGACCTTGGTTACCTCCAGGCTAATCTGTTCCTTGTAGACAGTTTCGAACTTTTCAACATCAGCGACTCTCTCGTACTGCTCCTGAGAACCATAGGCAGAGAGGGCAAACTTGACAGTGTCTCGGCAATGCTGAAGAGTGCGGTCGATTTTGCCAACATCTTCCCAGCCCTGGTCGTCGGAATACACCCCCGCAACAGTACCACCGTGGGTGGCTGAGACGGCTGTATTGAACGAGCCTGGGAGCCTTTCACTGACGACGATCACGTTGAAGAGCTCCACGTCTGCGAGGTCGCAAATCTTGCGTGCAGCATGGATTTGATCCGTGAACTCTGGGCAGACATTGTGGTGCAGCAGATAGTTGTAGAAGTTGCGTACGATATTGGTCGCTCTTGAGATGTCTGCGTGTCCGGTGCTGCTCTCGAGTTCGGTCATGATGTGACAAGAGCTGAAATAAGTTAGCTATAGGTCCAATACATAGGTTGGCAATTTCTTACAAGAAACCCTTTGCGACGCCCACGAAGTCGACCTCCCATCTGTCGGAGCTTAGAACATCCTCGCAGACGAAATGTATGGCGGTCAAAGCGGCGATTTCCGCAGCGTCTTTTTCGGCCAGGTCTTTGTTGTCGCTACCGCCGAACATCTTGGGTCCGGACTCGATGCCGCCATAGTTCATGAACTTGTTGAAGACCTGAGCAGTATGTTGGTGGAACTTGCGACGAGCGCGGTAGCGTTGGATTGCCGTCTCAATACGCCTGTGATATGGTCAGTATAGAAAGATACTCGAGATGGCTCATGAGACGTACGTTTCGAACGAAATGTTACTGAAGAACTTTTAGCGGTTTGTTATGGATCGGGTGTCTATGGGCCTTACCTGTCATAAAGAGACTGCTCTTCCTCAAATGCAGCAGGGGTGACGGGCGCGTCTGCGAAGAACTCCTCAAAACCTGTAGGTTTCATCTGGATGCCAGGTTAATCATCATGTCTACAACGTGCGTATGTGGACCACTCACCATTCCCTTGGTCATCCAGGGCTGGTTGGCAGGAGGCACATTGCCCTTTTTCTTTTGATCTTCTTCCATGGCCACCTTGATCTCCTCAGGGGACACAATCGGCTTGATGGTGAGCGGCTGTCTACGCTTGATGAACTTGTCGTCAACAACTTCAAGCAGTGTACTCTTTCTCAAAGACTCCACGACGGATCTGTAGGGCTTGTATTGACGCATCTTGGGGAATCCGCAAATGCTCTTGATAGAGACTGGCTTGTTCTCATGGCCACCAGTCTTGTCGAGAAGGTATTTGTCCGAGGGAAGGTTCTCATCCGAGAGGTAGTACTCAACCTGTCAAGAGTGAGCTGTCAATTCAACAACTCGGATGGTCTGGGGAGACTGACCTGCTTGACAATCTCGTCGGTTTTGGGATGCTCTTGATACTGCGGTGCTTGCCACTCGCTTATGGCTTGGATATCGGAGCCGATTTCAGAGACCTTAGCAGTAGATGCATTCTCGACATCGCCGACGACTGTTGTGTCAGCTGCCGTGGGTGTCGTATCGGTGGGCGCCATGTTGAACCTCTTAATCCGAGAAAAGGCCAGTGGAAGTTGAATAAGGTGGGTGGAGTGGGATGAGGTTAGTAGAGCAGAGTGAGATCAAATTAATAGAAAGGTGAACTTTCCAAGCTTTGAAGAAGAGCAAACGACTGAAAGATGAAGCGCCAAAGATGATTGATCAGAAGTGAAGCAATGGTCGGATGATGCACGGGTCGGGAAGATGCAGGCTGGAGTTTGACGTGTCACAAGAATCACTAACGAGCATTTTTGTGGAAAGGGGGAATCGACAGGTGAAATGGATAGCGCTCCTTCCATTCGATGTTCTTGCCATAGAACAAGACCTTTTGGATGTAGACATGACATTGTCGGAGGACCAAAAGAGGAAAGCAGAGTACATTCTCCTTCATTCAAACCATGATCCATCAATACATCCGCATGGCTGTCACACAATGTAAGCCCTTAATTATACCAATCTCAAGCTAGATGGTGTTCCGATAAGAGTCGCGAGCGGGCAGGTAGTGAGATTCGTGAACAGAGGTTGACATGGAACAAGAAAGTGGCTGTTGCATCCCCACAGTGTGGCTGATGCTGACTGTTGATCCCCCGCAGAGCGCCAGCCCAAACAATATTCCGAGCTCGCGACTTTCACAAGTCTCGCGACAACAAGTAAATAATGGCGCAACACGGATTGGACTGGGGCTCTCTCGTGGCCTTTGACAACGTCGCGGCTGGCCAGTAAGCACAAATCTTGATTTTCGACTTTCACCGAACCTTAAAGACTGACCAGCAATAGCGACGGTGTCATGTCAGATGCATCCGGCAGCCTAATCATCAAGCCTTGCGTCGCTGCCGAGGTGGACTTCTACGAGGTCTGCAATGCTGAGCATCCGGACTTCGCTCAATTGATGCCGACGTTTATGGGCAGTCTTCAACGTGGCCAGTCCAAGGAGCTCCAAGGTCATCTCACTGCTGCTTCTGGACCTGGAGGCAGTGGAGCAATCGTTCTGCCTGCAGCTCTGGATAAAGAGAAGGAAGAGAACAGTATAAACTCGGCCGAAGCAAAGAACCCGTTACGAGGAAAGAGACTGGAGACAGAAGTTGCTATCGTGCTGGAGAATGTGCTGGCCGGATTCAAGAAGCCCAACTTTGTTGATGTCAAGCTGGGCTCACGACTATGGGCAGATGATGCACCACTCGCGAAACGTGCCAAGCTGGACGAAGTCGCATCCCAGACTACTAGTGGATCGCTCGGCTTCAGGATAGCAGGCATGAAGATCTGGCAGCCTGAGGGCTCGGGAGAGTACAAGGTCTTCGACAAATTCTATGGTCGTCAACTTACTTCGGAGAACGTCAAGGACGCATTTTCCGCCTTGGTCGGCCTCGATCAGAAGACAGAGGCTCCGGGTGTGGTCAAGGAGGTTATCACCAACCTTGAAGAGGCCGTTGGCTCAATAGAGCACATCATCGCCAGCCAGGAGAGCAGAATGTATTCAGCAAGCTTACTGTTTGTCTACGAAGGAGACCCACACGCGCGAAAAGAAGCTATAGATGCAGCCGTTGCCCAGACGGCACAAGATCATGCTGACGCTTCTGTTGACAAGGCGCAAGCTAAAACAGGGCAAGGCGACGAGGAAGACGACGAGGAGGATGAAGACGACGAACATACTGGACCGAAGTTGTTTGACATCAAGATGATCGACTTTGCGCATGCGAGCTGGACGCCTGGACAAGGACCGGATGAGAACATGCTGGCTGGCATACGCAGTGTTCGCAAGGTATTGAAAGACTTGACGAAGGAAGTTGGTAGCATTTAAGCGAGGCGTCCAGCATTTTGAGCCACCATGATTATGTTTCGAGATACCCAATAGATACTTGCTCTCCCGAATTGATTACTTGCTGTACCATCTGCCCATCTTATGCCCAGATTGTGAGATTTTTCTTGACATTTTTGAACAAGTGAAGTTGGAGCTTGAGTGCTGCAAATTCCAGTCTCCCACCCTCGCAACCCCACCGCTCAAGACAACAGCAATACCGAGACGACGACGAGACAGAACCAAGCATAGTGACCTTTCGCGCAATGTCGCTGTTACCCGGTCTATCGCTATCAGCGCCGTCGACCACGACACCACAACCAGACGCCGCGGCGCATGCCCCTCCACGCACCGAAGAGCTGCCTCCGCGCTCAGAATTGCGCTTCGAAGTCGCCTTCGCGAAATCATATCGGATACGCCTAGTACGAGGGACAGCCGAATTGTTCGGCAGCGAGCTAGCGCCCAGTACGACATACACTTTCAGCGGAACAAAAGGCGCAGTCTTCACATGGCACGGATGTACATTGGAGCTTCAAGGCGAGGTTGAGAGCGAGTATGTCGGATCAGAGACTGAGGCCATGGTCGAATGGCTCAACGTCCACGGTATGCTGGAAACAGCGCGCGACGATGCTGGAATTGGAAGAGAAAGCAATGGCGGTCCCCGTGTCCTGATCGTAGGTCCCGACGACAGCGGCAAGACAAGTCTACTCAAGTGCTTGACAGCATGGAGCTTGAAGATGGGAAGGACACCAACAGTCGTCAACATGGATCCGCGCGAGGGCCTACTCAGTATCCCTGGCAGTCTGACTGCAGTCACAATGGGCAGCATGCTGGATGTCGAGGACGGCTGGGGTAGTAGCCCGGTTTCTGGTCCTACTGGAGTACCAGTCAAGACGCCGCTGGTCTATCATCTCCCCTTTGTTTCCCCCGAGGACAACACGCGCATGTTCAAGCCGTTAATTACACGCGCCGCACTTGCCGTCACCAGCAGACTGGAGGAAGACGAAGAAGCAAAGCAGAGTGGCATCATCATCGACACGCCTGGAAGCATCAATCAACCAAAGGGCAATTACGAGCTCCTCATGCACATCATCTCGGAATTCAGCATCAATGTGGTTCTCACCCTAAACTCTGAAAGACTATACAACGACATGTTGCGCAAGTTCGCCAATCCCAAGAGCTCCGATGAAGTGGTCCACGTCTTTCGCATATTAAAGTCAGGCGGCGCTGTGGCCAGGGATGAGGGACTCATGCGTCAGGCACGCCAGCAACAGATCAAAGACTACTTCTTTGGCGACAGTAGAACATCGCTGAATCCGCATGGTCAGTGGTGGGACTTTGGCGATTTGACCATCTACAAGGCCGTGGATGCTAGCGCATCACAATCACAATTGTCATTCATGCCAGGTATGGACTACGACGACGACTCAACATCGGGTCAAGGCTCTGCGACGGTGCTGGAAAAGGCGACGCCGAGCCAAGGAATGGTCAACGCGATCATGTCGGTCAAGTTCTGCTCGGGAAGCTCGTCTCTTGATAACATACGCGACAGCTGTGTCATGGGATTTGTCTATGTGGCCGAGGTGGACGACGCCAGGAAGAAGGTGCGATTCCTGGCTCCCCATCCTAGCCGCTGGGGCGATCGAGCATTGGTTTGGGGTAACTGGCCTGAAGGAGTTGGTGATTTGGTTGCATAAAATGGGTACAGGTTTCACATGAGCGTGGCGTTGGGGGCATGACAAGACCGAGGTTACCTTGGGAAGCAGCTATTGCTATGACGCATCTCTCTGTAGTGTCGAGACGTAGCGTTGGCCAGAGGGCTTCAATTCAAATGATGGAAAAGGACTAAGATTTGCGAGATTTCGAGACCCAAGACGTGAGGTATATGTACAGAACGGGGTGGTGGTACAGGCATGAAGAGGAGGGTGAGAAAAGGGCATTGTCGTGGAGAGAAAGGATGTATAAGTTTTAGGCGGACAAGAAGAAGGGAGATTACTCGACGGGCTCGGACTCGGGAGCAGCCTGTTCGGAGACGTTTATGCTGCTGTCGACGGCGATCATCTCGGCAAGGATGTCGAGGATGGGCTGTGGCGTGTCAGTACAGAGGATAGGTGGATGGATGTTGGGGACTGAGCATACCTTGGGGACAGTCTTGTCGTAGATGTTGATGAGCTCTCTAGGCTGGGGGTAGACCTTGAGGGCCTTGTAGAAGCACAAAGCGGCGTCGACGGGGTCGGAACCGTCCTGGCACATCTGCTCACCACGAGCGACCTCGGTCATGAAGTACTCCTCGGTCTTCTCGGGGTCGGAAGGGAAACCCTCATTGTTGGCGTCGTCGACGACCTGGCGAAGCTTTTCCTTCTGGCCCTTCTCGGCGGCAACAGCCTCGTCTTTGGCGGCCTTGGAGACCTGCTTCTGCTGGCGCTTGAGCGAGCGACGGAAGGCGGGGTCAGATCGTCTCTTGTAGTCGAAGTAGACGGCGTATGCGAGGGCGGCGGTGGTGACGGTGCCGAGAGTCGCGAGGACAATGGTGGACGTCTGGACGCCGGACGAAGCTTGTGTTGAGGGCATTGTGGAGTGTGTGATGTTGTGCAGAGCGGGGCGTGGGGGCAGTAGCGACGTGTAATGGGCGAGGGCGGATGGCGCAAGCTGGAAGTCGGAGGGTGGAGGTTGTTCTTAGCAGTTGCGCGTCGGAGGTGACGATGGCGATGGGCGATGGACTTTTCTCAAGCCTGTCTGCAACACTTGCAAGTCGAATGTGGAGAAGTTGAGAAGCGTGGACCGGCCCGTCATCCGAGCAATGGCAGTCGCAGTCGCAGTCGCGTCTCCCCGAAGCCACGAGCTGCTCGACCGACTTCCTTGTATCTAGAAAGACGCGAACATGTCGGAAAAGGCAAAGGGAATCGTGTCCCTGCGCAAGAAGAAGACGACCAAACGTCCTCAAATCAGTGCGCCTCGCCAGATCGCTACAAATCAGCAGGACGAGTCGACAGCAGCAGCATCAGCAGCAGCAGCAGCATCACTGCACCCCCCGCCGCAGCACGCCCAGCACGCCCACCAGTCGCGCTCCGACACAGCTCCTCGCAACAACAGCCAAACCAGCCAGACCAGCCTCGCCGTTCCACGTCCTAGACCGTCGCTGGGGGGCCCTGATAGTACCACCGACCTGGTCAAACGCCGTTATTCCACCCGCTTCGCCAATTATCCTCAAGATGCCGAACGAGCTCCTTCTGTTCCGAACATCCCTGCCCACCTCGCACAATCGCGTCCGAACCGCTCGCCTGACCGCCGCGGAGAACGCATCAGGGTTGATGTGAATGCCCTGCGCGATCCCCATCTCCAGCCCGACCAGTACGTAAGTCTTCTTTTGCAGGATGCTTCCGAAGCAGACATCCACGCCTACCAGCAAGATCTACGCAAACTCAAGAATCGCACATCTACCGATCTACAGCACAATGTCTACCAAAACCGCACTCAATTCATCCACATCTCAAACGAGGCCGACAAGCTCAAGTCTGAGATGCACACTCTGAGAGCCCTCATGTCAGAGCTTACAGCTGTCTTGTCACATGCCACCTCTGCTGGCTCGAACCAGGAGCAACAGGCTGCCCAACAGGATCGTAAGCGTCAGAATCGTAGCAGTGTCGCCAATCTAGAAGCCTTGTGGTCTACCCATTTGCAGGCCATGTGGAAACGTGTCGAGGGCTCTCAAAAGTTCTTGCCCGCTGTGCCAGGCCGCCATATTGTATATGAGTCTGGTCGCTGGCTAGAGTTGAATGCTGCCACTTGGAAACCTCGTCGTCGTGTCCACGTCATCCTCCTCAACGACCATCTGCTCCTAGCTAGTGAAAAGAAGCGTTTTGATCCTCCTGGAATAAACTCAAGCCCTCAAAACAAACGCGCTTCGGTCTATCAACAAGCCCAAACACAGACGCAACTCGTCGCCGAGCGCTGTTGGCCATTGCAGGACATACAAATGACTGATATTTCGACACGTGCTACCGACGATCGACACAACATAACTACTGCTCTTAGCCTTCGCATTGGAAATGAATCCTGGACCTTGGCTTCTTCTAGTGCTTCTGACTCTGGCCAGGAGGTCAACACATTACTTGTCCATTTCCGCAAAGCCGTCGAGGATCTTCGCAAGACCATGGTCGCAGACCAGGACCACAGGGGACGTGCCATGGATGAGCTTGCATTCCTCACTGGCCACTCTCGCTTCTACAAGAAAGCTGCCAACCAACACACAGATAATGCCGCACTCAACTCTTCCTCGACCCTCATCGATGTGGATGGCAAACAGCAGACTCTGAGATGGGTCGAGAATCAAGTTGATGCACTAGACCTTGACATAGCCTTGCAACACTTCGACGATGCCGTCACTTTGAATGAAAAGTTGCGCAAACTTGCCCGTAACATAAAAGGCAATAATATTGCTCAGGACATAATTCTCTCCAAACTAGATCAACGTGCTGCCAAATTGGCCAACATTCTAGCCAGGCGGCTCAAGGACACAAATTCTGGTGCTGCTGCCACCAAAGAAAATGTCAATTGGCTTATGAGACTGGGCTTCGAGGAGACGGCTCGCTCGGCCTATCTTGAATCACGCAAAGAGGTTCTACGGAAACGAGCAAGGTTCGTAGCGTGCTCTCAATAGAATTCCAGACACTAACACGTTTGACAGACAGATACCATTCACTGGTTCCTTGCCGCCGCACCTGACCGCGCTATCTTATGTCACCTTCACAATTATTCTACACACTTTCCGCACCTTCTCGTCCTCCTTTCCTCCAACATCATCATCAGCGGTCGTCAAATGGGCCAAAGAACGAATCGATGAGTTCAATGAGAGCTTGGACCGTCAGCTCAGTAGCGTTGAGAGGGGGAGTCCTTTGTGGAACGATTGTATTGATGTTGTTCGAGAGCAAGCCGCCGTGCTAAGTGAGGCCGGTGTAGACTTCTCGGGCCTCATTGCGCAAGGCCTGACACAGCAAACATAGTAGTTCAGTGTCTTCCACAAGTTTTCAGGATACAATCAGGCCGGCCTGTCTGAACCCTGTTCCTCGTACTCGCAGTAATATGTGCTGCCATTCAATCAGTCAGTGCTCTCAAGAGATCATCACGAACCAGTTGTCATACAGAAATACATAGTATGACCACATCTTGTCAAAGTAAGAGATTGGGCTCGGACTTTCTCGTTTGTAACTCCATGTGCATTCCGGAAAACCTCGTCTTCCTTCTTAATGTTTGTCAATGACAAAGGTGTGATTCTCAAAACGCCAGTGTCGCATCCGAGATCTGGAGCACTCTTGTTCAAGGACTAGTCGATCCTGGTCAAGACTCATTCAGCTTGGCGGCTACCGGTTGGCATTAGTGTTCTAGAAGCTACATGCACACGTTCGATCGCTGCCCCTTGTTCATGTAACAAGGCATGATCGGTTTTGCTGATTCTTTTGTAGTTTGATATAGTGGGCCATCACCTACTTAAGGAGGATGAAGCATCTCTACAACAGGAACATCTCACACACTCTCTCAACACACCATACCCGTACATATCTCATCAGTCATCAGTCACCAACAAAATGCCTGCAAAGATCGACACAGAACTAAACTTGCGATTCTTGTACATCTGCTTCAAGCATTCAAACTTTAGCACAGTGAGCTCTTTTCAAATTCGCCAGGAATTTCCGCCTGACTAACAATGCTCCAGGTCGACTTTCATGAGGTCGCTTCCTACTTCCAGATCAAAGCTCCAGCCGCTCGCATGCGCTTGATGCGTCTTCGTCAAGCCTTGGAAGCAGAGTCTAGTCGAGAAGGCTTCAAGGAAAGAGACCGAAAGCGTCGTCTCAATCCGTTCAAGGCCAAGGAAAAGACGTACGCACTTCATGATGGCGAAGACGACGACGATGAGAGTCTTGACGACATGCCGTTGATGCAACGCCTTCATGCGCGCATGATGCGTATCAAGCGTGAAGAAGGTCTCATGATCAAGGACGAAGATGGCACTTTGGTCAAGGGTGAAGACGACGCGATGATCAAGAACGAAGATGATGGATTCTGGAGCAAGAAGGAAGAAGACCTGGATGAGCAGGATGACAAGAGACTGGTCAAGAAAGAAGGACTTGGCTCTCCATTCTTGAAGAGTGAGATCGATCCGATTGACATGGAGGATGTTGTCAAGTCCGAGACTCATGGCTTGACCTACGCTCCTTCTCCGGTTCAGCAAAACGCACGAGCACCCTATCCCAGCCTGGGCCATGCAGGGATCACACCCAAGCCCGAGCACATGTATTCTCTTGCTATCCAACATCCAGCACCATATTCTGGTCTAGTCAAGATGGGGATTGACACGAAGCGCAATGACTACGGCTATGGCAACCAACATTCACAGGCCGCTCTTGCCAACCCCAGCCACTTCAACTTCCGCGTCTATGAGCAACCAAACAACCTCGACCCCTTCGCTCAAACCCAAAGCAACTTGTCAAAGCCAGAGGACACCAACAATGCCGCTCCCTTCCTCGGCTACAACTCACTGCCCCATCCTGACACCTATAACCCCTTCACACACATCAAGCCTGAAACCCCCCACGGAAGTGCCCACATCACCCCTCCCTCTGAGCACAACTCGCCTTTTCGTCTGGACATGTTCAACACCGCTCTACCCAACTCTCAGACTCCTGTTGGCGAACAAGTCAGATCTAGGTTGAGCTTTGTCGATTCTGTCACCAGTTCGCCTCGTATCAAGGATGATGTTTCCGAGACTGCTTCTGAGCAGGGTTATCCGTCACCTGCCGTTCATCAGTCTCGTCAGGATCAGTTCAGATAGGACAGTGCTAGTGTTAGTTGGTTGGAGCGTACGATGAGAAAGCGGCATTTGTGATTTCGATAGCAGCAGTTGTTGTTCTGAAAAGGAACGACTTGACGTGGGATGTTTCTTTTGTCATCGTCCAAGAGACCAAGTTCATACAAGTAGACCAAAATTGAAACATTCTGTCTACACCTTCTTGACCCTGTTTACTGTCTAAACTCAGGATCCACCTTGCTCTGCTTGAACAGACTCTTTCCCTTCAACCACTGGCGATATGCCTTGTATCTCTTCTTTCCTCCATCTTCCTCCCACACAGTCAATGGATCTTCTCTGACCGTCAAAAAGTCGGTGAACTCGGCCAAATCTTCATAACTGGGCTCAAGCACTCCCGTACTGCCTTCGTCGCCAGAATCGACCCCGGCTCTGCCACTATTGACATAATCCACAAAGTCAAGATTGAGGTTTGTCTCTGGTGGTAGCTCTGATGATACAACGAGTGGGATTTTGAAGGGGTGCGAGATGTATCGTTCATACTCTGTCGTTTCTTCTGCCGTCACAGAAGGGTTGAGAGAGTGGTCGTATATACGATTCAAGGTCATCTGGGTAATGGCTGCTTTATCCGCAATCTTGACGGACTTTTGGTTTTCAGGGTCTACTGATGTACGCTCGGTTGTTGTGTCGCGAAGGATGCTTTCTGGTATTGTTGTTGCCGCGGAACTTTTGCTTGGCTGCTGATGACCTGCTTCATTATCGCTTTGGGGGTCCACGATGGTTACACCTTTACGCGGAGGCTTCTTCTCTGGCGAGTCGGGAGAGTTTCTGTTCAGATCGATGCGAGGTGTGAATGGGCTGAAGTCGTATTTCGTGTCTTTGCTCGGTCTCTCGGGTAGGAATCTGTGGTTGGTGTTCATTCTGTACGAGTACACTTTGACGAATGACGATACTGCAAGAGGCCTGTAATACTCTAGCCAGTAGTCGTCATATTCCGCCAGGTTTTGATCTGTCTTTTGAGTTTTTCCACGCTCAGCTGTAGGCGGTAGCGTTCGTCGCTCTAGATGCTCGGGTGTAAACCAATTTATGTAGCTCTTGCGGGCACGATCCAGCCATTTCTTGGGGTCCGTGTGGTGAAGATAGTAATCCGTAGAGAGGTCCCAGAGCATGGGTTGGCCTTGTGCCCAAATGTAATTTCCAAGAAATAGGTTGTATGCCTCCTGTCGCTGAGAATCGAGAAATGAGTTGTGGTAGTATCGCTTGAAGCTTTCTACCATGTCTCTCGACTGGGTATGCCAGTGGTTTATCTTTCTATATGTGGCCATCGTGTTGACCAAATGAGATCCACCATATTGTATGGCTATTGTGTCTCCATGGTCGTGAAACATGTGCGTAAAGACATTGACTGCGTCCGAGTCGTACTCCATGTCAGCAGTAGGTATCACGCCTAGCGCTCGTAGTTGGTGCCCGAGAGCGCGCTTGCCAATGACGAATTGGGCCGCATTCGTACGATCCAGGCAATCAATGCAGTTCGTTCGAGCGATACCATTCTGGACTTGCGGTAGTCCATCTTCTACATCTCCGTTGTGGAAGAATCCTGTCTTTTGCATAATCTCTTCGGCAATGATCTCGAGTGTTCCGATGACGTCTCCACCCCTGGTCTTTGCAGCTCTGCTCATGTCAAAAGCCTTGTATTGTATCTTCTTGTCCTCTGGCAAGAATTGATTGAGGTAATTCAAGGCATTTTGGAATTCGGTGAGTAGCTTGGACTCTCTCGCCGTCCGCTCGCGGGACTTGATCAGGTTCAATACATAGATTGGACAACCATAACGTTTGAAGAGGTCATCAAAGTGCATCGCCGCGGGCTGGTAGAACGGATCTGTCACATTGAGATCGATGTCTGGCTTTGGAGACACACCACTATTGTCTTGAGACCAGTAAAGAGGAATGCTGCCTCGATGATGAACGTAGGAAGTGTAGTTGGGATTTGTAAACATCTTGGGCCCAGGAGCATGAAATGAAGTCGTGAGCATCTCCGAGACTATCTGTTCAGTCTCTACATCGTTGGCCACATAGCCAAGGTCGTTCGCTCCACGCTTGAGGAAACGTGCGCCAGCGAAGAAGCGTGAACGTCTGCCAATGATAGTGATGTAAATGCTGCGTCCGAAAACATCAAGAGATGATTGATCGATGAATCCGTGAATGATAGGTAGACACCAGTCGAAAGCATTCTTCAAATGCTTCACCGCTGGGCTCAGAAGATGATGGTTCCAGACAAACATGTCATTGTAGTCATGACCGGGCTGTTGTATTCCTCGATTGAGTGCATTTCGTTGTCGGGTAATGTTGTACTGCAATGTGCGGGTGATGTCGTAGGAGTAACTAAAGTAGAAGGAGCGAGTAAGGTCGAGGTTATTAAGAATACTCAGGAAGCGGCCTTCTTCGGCATTGCGTTCGCGAGCAAAGCGTGAACCGGCGCCGGTAGTCAGAGGAACCAGCTCGGTGCCTTCGACTCCATAGATGTAGTGGCCACCAATCATTGCAACCTGTTGCCGCTTGGTGATGAGCAAGACGTAGTAACAGTCTGTGAACTTGATAAAGCCCAGTATGCCCCAGAAGCTGCACTTGACTCGCAAACCACCAGTTGCTTTATTGCCCTCATCAATTGTTGTCAGCAGCTGAGTGACCTCCTTTTTGCTGTACACAATATCGTCTTCAAAGACAGATAGTTGGCCCGGAGGTGCAGTACGATCAATCTTCAACAGCTTATAGTACTTGTCCGTAATGTCTGAGCCAGTGATCCAATATCGAGCGTTGGTCTCGTAAAGCGTGAGTTTGTGCATCCTGTGGAAAGTGATTTGTTGCTGACTTGGTTTCTTTGTGCCTTTTTTGAGTCCGCCGTTGACGCTCTTGGGGGCAGATTCGACATCAGATAGAATAGGCTCCGCATCCTGCGCCAATGACTCCTGCTGTGCTTCCGCTTCGTCGAAGATCGGAATAGATGAGAAGTCGGACTTCATCTGATCAGTGTCGTCCTTGTGGGCATGATCCACCGCAGTGATGCCCGACATGTCCAAGCGATCATGTACTCCTGAGGGTTGGGTCTGGCATGTTTCGTTGTCATGCGCTGGCCCATCAATATACGAGCCTTTTGCAGATGCATTTGATTCTGCATCCGACGCATCAAATGCTTCATATGTAGTGGCGTCGTCCATTATTCTTCAAGGGCCTGCCGGTCAGCTAGATATATGTTCGGATTACTGCCGCTGGTGCGTTGTTTGTGACGATACAACAGTGCAAATGAGTCGAATTATTACAGCAGCATCGATTGGTTCTTCAGTAGGCACGCGTCCTTGGTTATGTGCGAAATCTAAAAAGTGTCGTTTATGGTCAAATAAATGTGCCCTTGGTCACGTCTCGCGCTCCCACGCCTCCGCCAGATTAGCCCGTGTGTTCCCAACGTCTCGTGTCCTGTTCCCAACACAATCTGCTCACTGTTGCAACCTGCTCGATGGCGGCTACTCTATGCTCCAGACAAGGGGGCTTCTATACATGCTCTGAAATGAACCGTGGAAAGAATCACAGGATCTGATAACCAAAATCACAAAAGCTGGCTATCTACTCGAAGTTGTCGCCCCGGTTCGGCACACCTCATTGCAGACGCTGCGAGATAAATCACACTATTGACAATTGCTCCCCCACCAGATATATGGGCCTCCGATCGATACGGCTGCTTATGTATCTGTCTCAAAACAATTCGAGAAAGCATTTCTGAGGCATTTCAAGTTGGCTGAAGTGGGCAATCGTGGTTATATTAGGCATGGGAGCTCAGAGCAGGGTGATGGACTCAGCAAGCCACAAAGTTAGCGGCGAATGGGCAAGTCTCGACCGGGTGATCTCAGGAGGTCCCCTTGAGAAAGGTGGAACTTTACGCGTACGAGACCCTTCTCCACACGGTGAGCGAGGCGGAGCACGTCTCTTAAAAGTCGAAAGGTGCTTCCGTATCTGCTGTTTCTTGAGCCATCGTCCACTCTTTTTTGGTGTTTTAGTCATGGCCGCCAGTACAATCGCTACCACAACGACGCTCGCGGGCGAGCAGTCGGCTACGCTCCGCGCCAACATGAAGAGCTCCAGCAACCCGGCACCGGAAAAGCACGAGGACCAGGATGACCAATTCTTCTGGTCATACACCGAGGAGCCTCACCGTTCCCGTCGTATGGCTATCATCAAGGCCCACCCCGAGGTGCTCAAGCTGTGCGGACCCGAGCCATTGACGATTCCTCTCGTTCTTGCCGTAGTAGCCCTTCAATGCACCTGCGCCTACCTCCTCAGCAACACTCCTTTCTGGTCATGGCGCTTCTGGCTCACAGCATACGTGATTGGTGCTACTGCCAATCAGAACCTCTTCCTGGCTATCCACGAAATCTCGCACAATCTCGCCTTCAAATCCGGCCTAGCCAACCGCCTTCTCGCCATTGTCGCCAACTTGCCCATTGGCATCCCGTACTCGGCTTCTTTCAGGGTATGCAACTTTCGAACGCTTCTCTACGTGACAAGTCACTGACCACCTGCTAGCCTTACCACCTTACCCACCACAAGTCGCTCGGCGTCGATGGCCTCGACACTGATCTCCCCACCGCTCTCGAGGCCTTCTTCCTTGACTCGATCGCTGGCAAGGCCTTTTTCTGCACATTCCAGATCTTGTTCTACGCTCTGCGACCTATGATGGTCTACCAGATCCCTCTGACCAAGATCCACGCCCTCAACATTGCTGTCCAGCTCTTGTTCGACTATGTTCTGATTCAAGCGTGGGGAGGAAAAGCAGTAGGATACTTCATCTTGAGCAGTTTCCTTGCAGGATCCCTGCACCCGGTAGCCGGCCATTTCATCGCCGAGCACTACGTTTTCGATCGTGCTTCTCTTGAGAACAAGCAGTCGCGCGACCCCAAGAACCGTATCCCGGTTCCCGAGACTTTCTCTTACTACGGACCCCTCAACCTCTTGACCTACAATGTTGGCCTGCACAATGAGCACCACGACTTCCCCGCCATCCCCTGGACCAGACTTTGGAAGGTCAACGAGATTGCCAAGGAGTTTTACCAGGACTTGCCCTACCACCGCAGCTGGGTTGGTGTCATCTGGCAATTCATCTTGGACAAGGAAGTTGGTCTGTGGTGCAGAGTCAAGCGCAAGGAAGGAGGCAGAAAAGTTGGTGCTTGGAAGGAAGAAGAGATTCAGAACTGATGCAGTCCTGGTCTTGACGTATGAAATCACCTAGACAATAGACACGACGTGCAAATGACGAATTTCAAAAGATTGATGCTTGTTTAAAATGGCATCCAACGCCTCAGTCGTATGATTATGTACATGGTTATACTCCGAATTGCCTCAATTGATACATGCAAAAAAACCGCTCCTCAACGCCAGAAATTGTTGGGGGAATCTCGAATGTAGATATCATAAACGATACAAGGGCCGCGTGGTGGTGGGCCAAGCAGCTGGGTTGCAGTCTGCTGGCCAGTCTATGTCGTTGTTGGTATTGTCGGTATGCTTGATGTTGTCCTCGCTCCTACAAGCCACCAAAGCCCTCACTTGTGGCTGCCACCAGCTCCAGTCACACGAAGGACGAAGTTGACAATAACAGCAGCCAACAGAGCAATGGCCAGGACCGTGGGACCGAAGCGGTCGTCGAAGCCGCTCTGACCTCTCATGCGAATGCTCTTTGCTCTCCAGTGGAAGGTGACCAGGGCGTAAATCATAGTAGCCATGGCGACCAGAGTAAAGAGACCAGCAGAGATCTGACCGACCTTGTCACCAAAGTTAAGGAGACCGACGGCAAGACCGCCCAGGATGACGGTGAAGTTCAGCCAGCTGAGAAAAGTACGCTCGTTGGCGAAGAAGACCTTGGGCTCAACGCGAGTGGGCAGGGCGATGCGCTTGCCTGTGAAGAAAATCGAGTCAGCATTCGGTGTCGTTGGTTGCGGAAAGCTTCTTTGAGGGGCAGTTGATACCAGGTGCTGTTTGGAGAAGCGGTTGCGAAGACATGGCGGCGATGTGAGGTGTGCGGTCGGATTGGCCAGACGAAAGTCGCAGATGGTGCAGAAGACGACAGGCAATGGGTTGTGGAACTCTCAGAAGGACTTGGGAAGAAAAAAGGTGCAATCAATTGATACAGCAGAAATGCGAGACCGCAGCGCGAGCATGACGCTGGCGTGCCCGAAATGCAGCGTGTGATTGGTCGGTCAGAATCCTTTTATGTAGGCTCGATTTTTTTGCTCGATATTAATTCCCAGCAGTCCATTTTTCCTCCCTGTTATGACTTGAGGATGACTTGAGCCAAAGTTCCTCCTAGCTACATTGCTTGTGGTTTCTACAAACATATTCTCTGCTGACTGTGAGACTGTATTGAGTTGCAAAGGTGATGGCTTGACCCCGGACGTTCGGGTTGGCTGTTTGAAGATAGGCAGAAACTACAATGAGAAGGACTTGATTGGTTAGTTATCTGTCAGATCATGACAAGACACTATTACAGAGAAGACATGCACACGGTCGAAACCAAAGGCGGCGGGAATTTGGTCAAGGTTAGATGTTCGCATGGCTGCTGGCTTGTTCAGACACATGGTCAAGAGTCAAGACGATCCCCACGGTTCACTGAAAGCTCGGACGCCCATGTGCGGCAGCAATGATCCGCCGCGATAATAACTTGAGGGTCATCACACAACTGTAAACAAAGCGAGTAACCCAACTCAGCTCATTGTCGCGTACCACCTCTCTCACACCAAAAGTCTCACTTTGCTTTGCGCAATTCCATCAAACCTTTGAGCTACTTTCATCCTTCCACAACCACAATCGCAACCACCATGTCAACCTGCGTATGCCCTGGCCATCCCGCACGAGACGTTTCCTATCTGACTTTGTCCTGTAGCCAGTTTCCGAGACCCGCCTCAGCCAGATCGCTGCCGACGTATGCACCTCGATTCGTGAGACCCGAAGCCTTGCCATACTAATCCCCTGTACAGGCTTGCGACAATGCCTTCAGCAGCGCCACCTCATACAACCACGCCCAGACCGAGCAATGGAACTCCGACATCATTGTATGCCTTGCGTCCCCATTTCTTGTTACACATAACCTCTGACAACCCTTGCAGAAAGGCATCTTGACCGCTCTCATCTCCGAGTCCAAGGGCGAGGTCCAGTACAAGTTCGCCGTAAACTCCACAATCATCCAGCACCTGACAGACCCTCGTCCCGCCGGCTCTGATGCCTCTCCGACCCCAACCACTGGCACTGGCACTGTCGGTCGCCGCGGAATGCACTCCGCTACTGGTGCCTACTGGAACACCGAGAAGGACGGTATCTGGAACTACAAGTACGAGGGCGGCGAGGCCAAGGGCATGGATGTCGTCGTCTGTGTCATGTGGGTTGCAAACTGAGCCATTGGCCCACTTGGGCACCTACTTGAAACTTTCGATCCAGATACACCAACATCGACACTCTCTCCCAACCCTCAGCTGTACATGGTATCAAGGGACACGAACATACGAATCGCAACGTTAGCCTCCCGCGTGGCAGCTACTACGGTACATAGATGCACAAAGCATTATGGGGAATATACTCGTCTCGCCCTGCACGTCAGGAGGTCGATGTGCACATCTTGAGGTTGTGCCATGGTTAATACCAGAGAAATTAGGGGCAGCATCTAAAACCATTCAATCCATGAATATGCGTACTCATCAGGCCATCTTTGCACCGCGGTCGTCGTTCTCATATATCGTATTATCCATCACAGCCCTACCGACACCCTCAGTGCACAAGTGCTGGACCTCGGCCCAGTCTTGCTTCTTGGCCGCTGTCCTGACCTTTGTGCTACTCACACCGACGCCTTCTTCGGCATGAACAACCTCGATTTGCGAAGCCCATTCACGTCTGCCTCCATCGGCCTCCATGTCACCCCTCGCCAATTGGTCCACAAACTCCTGCTGTGATTTGACCGTACCATACTCATCAGAAGGTCGCAGCGTAACGCGTAGTTGGTGTCCTTCATCAAAGTATGGATTGAGCGCAGAAAGAGGCGGGCTAAAGTTGGGATAGTACTTTGCAGCAAAGAAGCGTGTGATGGTGTCGAAGCCCAGCAGATGGACGTGTTTGGGTGAGTCTGGATAATGCTCAATGCCCTCTTTTGAGATGGCCGAGCTCTTGTCAGTGTAGTAAGGAGCGGTAGTCAAGCCAATGTCGACGGTCGGTAGCACATAATCTCCATGGCTGGCTGAGCTTTGGAGATCCTTCAAAAGATCCTCGGCAAAGATGGTCATGAGAGCCAGACGCTGAGGAAAGGACGCGGCAGAGGGAGCCTTGTCCGCATTATGGGTAGAAAAAAGAAGCAGCAGTCTGAATGGAGACTGATGTTGCTTGGTAGAAGAAGAGTGTAGTGCCGACTTGGCAAGAGCCAGATGGGCCTTCGACGGCGGATTGAAGGAAGAATCGAGGATGAACAGAGTCTTTGGAGACGGTGGACTTGAAGCAGATGGATTGATGCTTCGGACAATGCGAAACTTGGACTCAGATGATTGGAAAGACTTGAGAGCAGACTCAAGGTGCGGCAAGATGGTGCGCATAGAACTTGTTGTTGTGCTCATGTTGGCTGTACCAATCCTCGCCCCGATCTTGAAAGTATTCAAATACGCGCAGCAATGCAAATCGTCCTTGAAACTTGACAGTCTGTTCACTTCCCGAACCGAGTTGTCTCTCAGAAGTTGAAGTTCGTTTCATGAAAGTGAGTTCGGTGATGGCAGAACGGATAGTGAGTGTGCACCGTGCACGGACGAGCGTCCAATCCCGAACAAGGCATTTGAACATCGGCCAAGCTCGTCGTCGCCAATTCACCATCGCCTTTGAACCATCACATCCAATTCACACACAACATGGTCGCCGAGCTCAAGAAGTTGGCCGCTTCGGCTGCCGGCAAGCACGCCGCATACAAGAAATACACCGTGCAACCCACCGGCATCTGGAAACGCATCGGAGATTTCTTTGCTGTCGACCCCAAGCGCTCCTCCGGTATTCCTCTCAACCCTCAGTACCGCCTGCCCTCTCCTGGTGCCGTGGATCCCAAGCTCTACGACGACCCGACCACAGTCCCTGCCGCCGATCTTGCCGAGAACCCTTACTGGAAGCGCGACGTCCGCAGATCATACCCCAAGCTCAGCGTCGTCAAGCAGCCCGATGTTGTCGCTCTCCTGACCGTCGGAAGTGCACAAAATCCCAAGGAACATGTTTTGCAGATTGGCGATGCCGGTGCCAAGCAGTTGGTCTCAGTCAAGGAGGAGGGTCAGAAGGGTCTTTCGGCTTTCTTCCAGAAGGAGAACAAGGCTGGTGTCAGCGTACTGGGCCCCAATGGACTGCCTCCTTTCCCTACCTCAAGATACCCCTCGTCTACTCCCAAGCGCTACGAAATGCTCAAGGAGCAAGCTTACAGCGCAAAGTACGCCCTCCAACGCCCATTGACACGTGCCACAGTTTCGCTGACTTTGCCTACAGCTACCCTTGCAGGGTGTTCGAGTAGATTCAACGAACATGTACATTTCCTTTTCCTTAGACGTTCCAAATTCGACATGGCTTGACCTATAGCTTTTCCTGATTGATTGGTTGACATATGATGAGGAACGTCAAATTCTGGTCGTGATGTAGTACTATGCGTGGCGATGTGTGCGGTAAAATGCACTTTCCAACTTTTGGTCGAATCCGCCTCGAAAAAGGCAGGGACGACTGCCTCAAACGCCATTCGCGTGAATCTTACTCCTCTCATGAAAGTCTCGCCGAACTAAGCTCATCAAGACCATTGTAAGAATATCATGGCGGCCAAATCTGATCCTACGAAACCACTCCAGCCACTCGACCTGGTCTTCAGCTGCAACGTCTGCCATGACTCAATCCGTGATATTTGCAGCCCTCTACAGGACGAGAAAGGACTCGATGGTACTCAAAAACCGGTCGCGAAGCTTTGGATGACCGAATGCGCCCACCTCATATGTGCAAAACACCTCGCAGGTGGAGGTAAGCGAAGACTGCCTTTCTTTTGGTCAAACTCTTATGCTGTTCAGCTCCTCCATTTCATCCCGCCGGGCAAGCACCACGCGCTGTATGTCCGGTTTGTGTTGGCCGGCAAAACAACCATGCACTCAAGCAGATGTATGCCATCAGTGGCTTTACCAAAGGCGAATACGATCCCGACATCCCTCACCACTTCTTCCAGTGTCCACCCGTCGCTCTTGATACAAAAGATGGTGGAATGGATGCTCTCCGGGTATCATGTTGTTCTTCCAGACAAGCTTGACCACGGCTAACACCTATTGTATTGCTCCAGTTTCAATTTCTTGGTCTAGTCACGTATGGGATTGCTATCGCTACCAAGTTTCGTAGCCTGCAGACGGCACACTCTCGTCTCAAGGATCAAACCGAGACGTTGAAGCTAGAAAAGACTGAGGCCGAAACAGAAGTTCATGCCTTGACGGAGCGTATTACGTTGATGGAAGAAGCAGAAAGAAAGTACAAGGAAAAGCAACCTGAGATCAAGCATTATCTCCAACAGTTCACTTTGGTAAAGAAGTAAGGATCTGATGCCACCATCATACGCAGAATCATCTAACAGCTTGAACTAGAGAGCTGGATCGCCGTAATGAAGACTTGGCTGCGCTTGGTTACCCACCACCACCAATCGATTACACTTACCCCCCTTCGCGTCTATACGAAGACGACACATCAAACGAAGAACTAAGTGGTTATATGGATAGGACGGCCCTTGATCCAATAAATGTTGAAGAGAACATTCCCAGTGTCTCAAGCATCACTTTGAGAGGCGATCCATCCCGAAACTGTACGCTTGTAAAATGAACAATCGAGGAGGAACACTGACTGATCCAGCCAAAGATACCGACGACGATTCACAAAGAGACGGAACTAAGCGACAGAGACTGTCACAGTATCATTACAAGCCGCAGAAGCCACAAAGTCCACACAAAGATCAGGCATTCCAAAGTCGGCCCGGAATAAGACCCCCTCCTCCGTCTAAGAGCAATCATTTTCAACCGCCTCCCGCCTTACGTCAGAGCGAGAATTGTCAAGATATTGCGGGAGAAAGAGGTGAAACACGTACAAGTCCTCTTGTGACGAACGTACAGCGTGAGGATTGGGATACATGGGGCCGCGATGAGGTCAATGTCCATCCTGGATGGTCCAACAGGACACCTTACATGAGTGGCGCTCTCCCAGACGACACTGGGTTCAGACCGTCTAGTCTACCGAAGAGAAAGATCCAGCCAGTTGACAACATCGAGGACATCTCGAGGTTTGACCATGTTGGCGGATATAATAATACCAGAACTTTCCGTGACACACAAGGGCAACATGGGATATATCATGCGGAGACCCAGTACTACTTGCCTACAAGAGGTCCGGGGAGAGACTCTCGTCAAAACCAAGCCTTCAGCCAGCCTCCGGGAAACGTTCCGTCAAGGACTCACCAATTACCTTACCGTGGTACAGAGACTCGGAGAGAGCCAATACCAGCCAGTCGACAACCAAATCGACCTCATACCCCTTCTCCACAACGATTGAATACTCTTCGACAATCAGACGGTGCCTCAGTTACTAGCCCCTTCTTTCGGGCTGATCAAACTCAGTCATCTAGATACTGTCCCTCCTCCACTCCCATGGCTGCGCCAACCGCCTATCGAACCGTTCCTGAGTTCAGGATGGCACCACCTCGAAGGCCTGTTCAGATCTCCAGGCCACAGCCTCAGACAATGAACGGCCTATCGTTCGTGCAAAACCCACATTTGGGAAGTCATAACTTTGAAATGGCATTCAATCACGAACATGGTGCACCTCGCGATCCTCATGGCTTCTTCGTGAGACCAGGTACCCACCAAAGTCCAGCTCCTAGGTATGATACGGCGCGTTCTCGACAACCTAGCCGACCTCAGCCGCTACCATCTTCGACTCCATCTCTGGCATCGAGTTTTGCTTTAGCTCATCCAAGAAGACCAAGACACGACAGCGCACTTGCCAACATGCGAGGCATCAAGGGTGGGTCGACATCTTCAAGGGGTACAGCGACGGAACTGTTCGGCTCAAGGCCGAGCATGTTTTCTAGTTCTCGACGTAGCATCAGGCGTTGAGCCTCCACCTCTCACAAGAGATTGCTTTGCTGTTATCAATACAATTCTGGTATTAACAATTTCCATGTGCTGTTGTGCAGTTTGATAGCTGTATCACCGCGTGTCGCTGTAAGAATGGAGGATGGATGTGGGAAGAGGGTGGTGTAGATTTAGCCGGTCAAAGGAGATCCGGTTAAATGGAGAGCTTCAACCCCACCATGCGCCACCATTGATCCCCCACCAACGTGACGAGAAACAACACGCTTCTTACTCGGATAACAAAGCAAAGTACACAACAATCTATTCGCACCCCTTGCCCAATCAAAAAGTATCTCAAGTCATATTAAAATCAATCATGTCTCGTCCCGGAGTAGCTCGTACCGCATCGACCAACCTTGGTAGTGGAAATGGTTATAGAGTGCTTGATGGCAAGGTTGCCGTCGTCACTGGTGCATCCAGAGGTATGTTGGTCAAAAACCCCAATCGAGACACTACTGAGCAAGAATGCACAGGTATTGGCGCAGCAACATGCGAGAACCTCGCATCCAAGGGCTGTTCCCTCATCATGAACTACACCTCCGACTCGTCCGAGTCCATCACCGTCGAGCTGGCCGAACGTCTTTCAAAAGAGCATGGAATCAAGGCGTTGCCCGTACAAGCAGACATGGGCACCGAGAACGGCCCCGCCCATCTCATCGCCACAGCCTTGAACCACTTCGCACACCCCAAGACTCGCAAGCTACAGATCGACATCATCATCAACAACGCTGGTGTCGCGTCCAACCGTGCTATCGAGAAGTGTGATGTTGAGGACTTTGACTTTGTATACCGTGTCAATGTCAGAGGCCCACTGTTCTTGATGAAGGCTGCTATTCCATACTTGCCTACTGACCGCAGTGGTCGCATCGTCAATGTTAGCAGTGTTAGTGCTAGCTGTGGTTTCAGCGAGCAGAGTGTTTATGGTGGATCAAAGGCTGCTGTCGAGGCCATGACCCGTACCTGGGCTCGCGAGTTGGCTGAGAGATGCACTGTGAACGCTATCAACCCCGGTCCCGTTTTGACTGGTAAGTGTCAATCATCGTAAAACTACGGACACTGCTGACAATATACTTCAAGACATGTGGAGTGGAGTCTCGAAGGAGTTTCAAGAAGGCATTGCGCCATGGCTAAAGAACACACCTTTGGCAGCCGTTCGTCCTGGCGTCGACAGTGAGGATCTGGTCAAGGGTGCCGAAGTGGCAGGAGGTCGTCCCGTAAGCAAAACTCAATTGTTCCCTGACACTGGATATCGGTACTAATTCCATATACTAGGCCTACGAATCAGAGACTGCTGGAGTCATCGCAATGCTCTGCACTCCTGATGCCGCATACACGACTGGCAGTGTGATCTCATGCAACGGAGGCTTCAAATTTAGCGTATAGACATGATGGGAATACAACATGGAATATATCTAAAAACTCACAAAACACGCTGTTTCGTAGATCATCAGCTGTTCCGCTTCTGTTCTCTACGTACGACATTGCTCGAGCGTTTCTGAACTCTGAGTCGGTTGCAAAGGCTGCACGTAAAGGGACGTTACGTCTTCCAAAGTCAAGGGATCAAGTCAGTATCGATATAAAAGCGGTGAAGTGCCCGTTGATTCATACAAGGTTTCCATGCTGCTTCAATAAACACGATGTCAAGGCGATGCTCTACTAAAACCTCTTTTGACTCAGTGTTAGCACCCAAGCACTAGAGTGCAAACAATAACAATGCAACTCAATCCCTCCGCCTGCGGACCATAATCCAGTATCATTGGCGCATATTAGAAACCGTTCAAGCATTTTCTCCTTCTGTGGCCAACACTTCAGACGTGCCCAATAACTTTTCCAGCTCCAGAGTCTGCGTCGCCTTTACGGTCTCCAAGAGATCTCTGGTGCTCCTGCGAACACTCTTTCCAGAGTCTACAGACATCATGCTGACACTGCGCCAATGCCCCTTACGATCATCAACCACCGTAACCGAGGGGAAGTGACGAGTGACTGGGCCTGAGTACATGCGTGGTTTGATTGTTGGAATGGTTAAAAACCCAGTGTTGGGAATTTCCGAGTCCACTTGGGATGGTCCAGCCGTAGTCAGACCACCCGATACATGTATCGAGTCATCCGTGACACCGCTTCGTTCAACTTCAGTGTTGTCCAAAGATGCCGGAAGTTGTACACAAGCCTGGTACATGCGAGATAGTCTCCTTGCACTCAGTGCTCTGTCGGGCTCTGAAGGTCTGCTTTCGACAACTCCATCCACCATGCCAGGTGAGATAGTCTTCTCAACCGACGACGTTGATGAGGCAGACCCAGATCCTTCTTGACCGCTGTGCACAGACTCGGACTTATCGTTTTGGTCGTTGATAAGCGAAGCAGGTCCGATCGAATGCTCATTCATACACGGGGTTGAATTGTGGTGATGATGACCAAGAATGTCAAGTCCTTCCTCCTTGATGTGATGACCCTCGTCTTTGATATGGTTCACGGCACGAACCAGCTGATCTTTGGCTCCCAGATGTTGGGGAACATCTAGACGCAGAGGTAGCAATGGAGGTAGAACCTCAAGCTCTGGATGCTCCAACCTGCCACTTGTTGCTATGGACGACCTGCGGTTGCGGGCTGCTGACGATGTGAGGAGGTTAGAATAGTAGCGAAATACGGTGCCAAACGTCATCGAACGGGACTTCACAATCCAGTTTCTCCTTTTGGAATTGGCCCCATGTGGCCAGCTCTCGGGCGAACTTGTGATGTCTTCCAGAGAGGCAGTTTGGTGCACATTGCGTGAATCCTCGAGTGCAAAGTCTCGAGTGACAATGCCGTCATGGCGGTCGGCTGCGCTACAGCGACGTTCTCGAGTATGCGAGGGGTACCGACTCCAAGAACGGGGCGGTGTCATTGTGTGAAGATATGCTCGAGTTCCTTTGGTGGTAACCGTATTCATAGTCCAGATGGTGCTTCGCTTCCTTTTGCGAAACATAGAAGGATCGCCTGCAGCAGCGGGACTTTGAGAGGGTCCAAGATCATGCATACTCTGACTTCTACGGGCCGCTGGGGGTCCTTCGGCATCCAGTGGATCCAGATCATCAGCTGCAGCTGCAAGCCTTGCATCACTGCACGATGGAAAGCCAAAGGGGCTTGTGAAGACAGGAGCACGAGACGAAGAAGGCGTGACCTCAAGCTTCTGATTACTCGGGCGGAGGAAGGCTGCTTTCTCGAGCTGGTGCTGTTGCAGGGCCTTTTCCATCAACGCTTCTTCTGTGCCCTTTCGACCTGGGCTTAGAAGGGGACTAGCACGATGCAGGGTAATTTCAAGTTCATTTCCTTGATCTTCAGTTTCTGGTTCAGGGGTCTTGGGTCCACCCGTTGTCGATTTGCGGCGGCGGTTGTCTCCAGCGACAGAGAGACTCCTCTCATAGTTCACCATAGATTGTCGAGACTGCAGAGATGCACCAACAACCAGAGAACCGGTCGAGAGCGGACTGGGAGGCATCAAATCTCCCTTGCCAGTGAAGCTGATAGCACGCTGACCGTTGTGCGGCTTGGATGAAGATTGCGGCACAGCCAGTAGGTCCTGAGTATCGCCAGTGCCGTCATACATTGCGTTGAGAGATGATTGGGTCTTGTCACTCAGCAATGGCGTGCTCGTGCTTCGAAGTTTGGACCGTGTGAGTTTTGGGAATAGAATGCGTAGGACCGATCGACGCTTCTTAGTTTTCTTGACTGTGGAGCAGTCTCTCAAATCTTCTCTGAATCTGCTGAGCTTTCCGAGACTTCCAGAACTATCACTCTTTGGGAGCGAGCACGTCGTGCTATAGACAGATCGATCAATATGCACCGAACCAGTCAATGATGGAGACAGCCGTACATCAGAATGAGATGCTGGATCGCTTGCTAGTATGCTGATGCCAGTTGATGCCGACACAACTCTTTCCGCTGGGACAGGAGGGATGGCCTTGCGCATGTTCCTGAACTCGGGCCCGTCTGCAGCCACCGAATCACCGCGGATGGTCTCTTCGGAGAAGTCAGATGGTTGCTCCACTGGCGACATGAGCGATGCCTCCTGAGCTGTACTTGTCCTGCGGCTGTATATAGAGGACGACTCGTCCTCGAGAACCTGCTCCCAAGTAGGGGCTCCAACTGAACCAAAGCCAAAACTGGATATACTTCTACAACGCGACGGTGTCAACGAAGCGAGCATAATGCTGTTGAGACTCGCGTGTTTGTTGCGGTTTTCCGGATCACTGGCAGTGGAAGCGTCTGATACCTGCGATTTGGTACGCAAATGCTGTGAAATCTGCATATCATGCAAGTGTAGGGAAGTGGCCGATTCTTTCTGAACTACTTTATGCTTGCCACTGGTTCTTGACTTGGTCATCAATAATTGCGAATGACTCGGCATGAACGAGGGGAGCTGAGAAATCGGTGGGGCAGGACGCACAGAACTGGATGCCCATATCTCATTTGTATCCATGAATGTTGAACCTGGCAGATGAACAGTGAGTGCATTTGCAAAGTCTTGACGGGTGTCGGAAGACGACTGTGAACGCCTTTGATGTGATGCAGCGTCTGATGAGCCAGAGGTAGGAGGCACACTGAGAGAGCGACATTGTTCATCTAAAGTCAATGGACGTGGTTCGATTGGTTCAATCGTCTCGACATGATGCCCTGGTTTGCTGGCAATCATACCATGATCATCTTTGAGAGAAGCGAGGCGAGACTCGGTCAAGCACAACGATTGAGCATCATCATCGTAGCCACCAGCGAGATCTGCAAAGCCATGCTCTGTCTTCTTTCGAGCGAAGGGTCTAATCGACTTCTTGGTTGTCTCTTTATCGGGGTTGTTCGTTGCAAGACTCTTGCGACTAAACTGCCTACGCAGCTTGTTGGTGAAGCTGGGAGAGTGAATGATACTTTCGTCGACGTCAGGCTTGCGATGTCGTAGTTTGAGAGCGTCAGGATGATCCTCCGGCAGAGAAGTAGCAACGAATATTCGCTGAAGTTCAAGGTCGTCTGCTGGATAGATTGGGCGGTTTTCATCTGTGAGACCGTCTGTGGTGGTTGGGGTATGCTTGCTGTGACCAAAGTGCGTTTTGATATTGGCCAGCGATTTGAAATGTCTGACGGGTCGTGAGGGCATATCATCCGGTGATTCGGACCGAAGAGGTGCAGTACAGCAAAGCTTTGCTGCCGCCATGCTGAGATGTGGATTCGCTGTAAGGGGCAATCTGGAATGAAAAATGTGGAGTTTAAGAGCAATGTGACGAGGGAATACTTGCACATGAACTGGAGCAAGTATGTGTGCAAAGACTTGCGGCAGGCGGTATGGGATGCCAGCTTCCTACCTTGAATCGACTTCATGGTGCTCGATCTTGGATAGAGAAGGAGCATTGCACCTCCCCATGCGCTAGAATTTGTCACATCCATCTCCAATGGCAGCGGTGCGCAGTGAAGTTACCCATTGTATCGAGCAATAGCAAGCCATCCAGAAAGAACGACTGTTGACGGTTCTCTCTTTGGACTACGAGTAACTCTATGATTCCGATAGTCATCGTGCATGTCTACAGCTGTACGAGTGACAGACTTCAGCATATGGGAAGATGAATCATGCCCCGTCCAATAATTATGCGTCGCAGGCAACTGGCGCTTTGTGTCGGGTTGAGAATTCTCCAGCCTCCGCAATCGGCCCAAGAACGAAGCTCGTGCCAACAAGGGCAAGCGGGTATGATTCACCGAGTACACAATTTGTGGAGAGAGGTCCAGATTGCGAGAAGCGCCAGGAAACATGTGAGTAATTATGTTGCGTGTCCGGGCCGGGCATATCGAAGAGCAATGACATGCTGGCAAGACACGTCGCCTAGAAGGACAAGAACAGGACGTGTTACGAGAGATGATGAAAATGCACGAGTAATCGTGTTGGTGAAAGAGAGCTTTGGTGGCAGGTTAGCGCGTTCTGGGTCGAGATCTACATACGTAGGGTGGGATTGATGGAGTCATTGGAATTCAGCCAACGCCAGAGGTCAACAATATCAAGCTGCCAAAGTGCAACGAAGGAGGCCGACCAAAGCAAGAGCACCGAGACAAGCACAAAGAGGTGGACACGAGAAAGGGCATGCGGGCGCGAGTAATCACAGCCCTTTTGAAGTTTGATCCAAGGGCCAATTCCAACAATGGCGTGATGGCGCACCGCGGGGTCTTTCAACGTTTCCAGTGAGCGCGCAGCTCCGCAGTCGAAGGGGGCCCGAGCGCCATAGCGAAAATCTGTCGACTACTTAAACTCGCCAGCACTGCATTCCATTGTTGCCTCCATCCGCATCTCCCCTATCCTCTTTTCTGTTCATTTTCTTTTCACACATCAGCAGCCATGGTTCAATCTTCGATCTTGGGTTTCCCCCGCATGGGACGTCTGAGAGACTTGAAGAAGGCCAATGAGGCATACTGGGCCGGCAAGCTCTCGAGAGATGACTTGCTCGCCGAGGGCAAGAGACTTCGTGGCGAGCACTGGAAGATCCAGAAGGACGCCGGTGTCGATGTTATTCCCAGCAACGACTTCGCTTTCTACGACCACGTCCTCGACCACATCCAGATGTTCAACGTAAGTTTCTCCACGTCTCCCTGGCTTCATACCCCAGAATTCTGACCCCAAAGATAGGCCATTCCCGAGAGATACTCAAAGCACGGCCTTGACCCCCTTGACGAGTACTTCGCCATGGGTCGTGGTCACCAGAAGGACGGCATTGACGTTCCCTCGCTCGAGATGGTCAAGTGGTTCGACTCAAACTACCACTACGTCAAGCCCACCCTCCAGGACAACCAGACCTTCAAGCTCGCATCCAACCCCAAGCCCGTCCGCGACTTCCTCGAGGCCAAGGAGGCCGGTATCACCACCCGCCCTGTCCTCCTCGGTCCCGTCTCTTTCCTTGCTCTCGGTAAGGCCGACCGTGGCCAGTCCGTCGAGCCCATCACTCTCCTCGAGAAGCTCCTTCCCGTCTACGAGCAGCTTCTGCAGGAGCTGAAGAAGGCTGGTGCCGAGACCGTCCAGATTGACGAGCCCGTCCTTGTCTTCGACTTGCCCGCCAAGGTCAAGGAGGCCTTCAAGCCTGCCTACGAGAAGCTCTCCGCTGCTCAGGGCCCTCAGATCGTCCTTGCCACCTACTTCGGTGACATTGTCCACAACTTCGACGTCGTTGACGCCGCTTTCAAGAACCTCTACGCTCTCCACGTCGACCTTGTCCGTCACCCCGAGCAGCTCCAGCAGGTCGTTGACCACCTCGGTCCCAAGCAGATCCTGTCTGCTGGTGTCGTCGACGGTCGTAACATCTGGAAGACCAACTTCAAGAAGGCCATCGAGGTCGTCGAGACTGCCGTTCAGAAGCTCGGCAAGGACAGAGTCATCGTTGCCTCATCCAGCTCCCTCCTCCACACTCCCCACACTCTCGCCAGCGAGAAGACCCTCCCCGAGGAGGTCAAGGACTGGTTCTCGTTCGCCTCCGAGAAGGCCGTCGAGGTTGCCATCATCGCCAAGGCCGTCACTGAGGGCCCTGCTGCAGTTCGTGAGCAGCTCGAGGCCAACGCCAAGTCCATGCAGGCTCGCGCTTCATCTGCTCGCACCAACGACGCCAAGGTCAAGGAGAGACAGTCCAAGATCACCAAGGAGATGCACAACCGCCAGTCTACCTTCGACACCCGTTACGCCCAGCAGAAGGAGCACCTTAGCCTTCCCATCTTCCCCACCACCACCATCGGTTCCTTCCCCCAGACCAAGGAGATCCGTCTGCAGCGTAACAAGCTTGTCAAGAACGAGATCACCGCCGAGGAGTACGAGAAGTTCATCGAGAAGGAGATCCAGGATGTTGTCAAGATCCAGGATGAGCTGAACCTTGACGTCTACGTCCACGGTGAGCCCGAGCGTAACGACATGGTCCAGTACTTTGGTGAGCGCCTCGACGGCTATGTCTTCACCACCCACGCCTGGGTCCAGTCCTACGGCTCTCGCTGCGTCCGTCCTCCGATCATCGTCGGTGACATCTCTCGTCCCGCCCCCATGACTGTCAAGGAGAGCAAGTACGCCGCCAGCATCAGCAAGAAGCCCATGAAGGGTATGCTTACTGGTCCCATCACCTGTCTCCGTTGGTCCTTCCCTCGTGACGATGTTCACCAGTCTGTCCAGGCTCAGCAGCTTGCTCTTGCTCTTCGTGACGAGGTTGTTGACCTCGAGGCCGCTGGTATCTACGTCATTCAGGTCGACGAGCCCGCTCTTCGTGAGGGTCTCCCTCTCCGTTCCGGCAAGGAGCGTGAGAACTACCTCGACTGGGCTGTTGACAGCTTCAAGCTGTCCACTGCTGGTGTCAAGGACTCTACTCAGATTCACTCTCACTTCTGTTACTCTGAGTTCCAGGACTTCTTCCACGCTATCGCCGCTCTTGACGCCGATGTTCTCTCCATCGAGAACAGCAAGAGTGATGCCAAGCTCCTCAAGGTCTTCATCGATGAGGACTACCCCAGACACATTGGTCCCGGTGTCTACGACATCCACTCTCCCAGAGTTCCTAGCGAGCAGGAGATCAAGGACCGCATCGAGGAGATGCTCCAGTACCTCAAGCCTGAGCAGCTTTGGATCAACCCTGACTGTGGTCTCAAGACCCGCCAGTGGAAGGAGACCAAGGAGGCTTTGACCAACATGGTCAACGCCGCCATTGCTTACCGCGAGAAGCACACTTAAACAACAACAACACCAACAACATGCATCCATTTGAGATGACAGTACCTTTGGCATGACAGCACTCAACAGCTGCATCAAAACATTCATTCAACAAACGTGATACCCCATTTATTCAACTATAATGATTGCATGACGGAAGACGGAGTTCAACAAAAGGCTATGGAATCGGGTCAAAAGTTATGGACCATCACGATCTCAACGATCGAATCTCATGAAATGGCGTCCTCTTTTTGGGAGTTGCTTAGATAGACATCTGCAACAAATTCTTATGACATTTATCTTGTCAGAACACACACTTTCTGCTCTCTTCTGTCTCGATTGTGATTGTGTCGCGAGTGTCCAAGTGCTTTGCATCGTGCCGAACTCCTCACAACAGGGGTCATATGGATTATCAATCATGAGCAATGTTCGCCAACTCGTTGTGAAGTGCATGACAGAGAGCAGATCAAGATACGGGATCTAGTCGAGAGCCCTGAACCGCGCTGACATTCCGCCGCGTCGTGAAATCGAGAGACTAAACCTAATATTTGTACAGTTGATGGCGATCACACGCAATGGTTCATAATTAAATTGAAAGACTAGGCTTCTGGGACAAGACTTGACGACCGAATAAAATATGCATAGCATGCTCTCACCTTACAGCCAGTCCGCCCAGCTCCAAGTCGACTTCTCGCCTGGCAACCTGCATGCATCAATCTCTTTTTGAGTAACGTTGTGCCATGTCTCCAATGGAATCCAACCGATATAGGCACGATCCCCAAAACCGCCAATCCAATAAACATCATCGACGACAAGTCTGACCCAGCGGCTGGTGTGAATTCGATTGCCTGGTAGCCATGCAACCGCATCAGGATGATTTTTGACGAAGCAGGTGGCAAGACCAGCCTTTGAAGCATCAGAGTCGTCAATGTCTTCAAGGTGACCAACAAGAGAAAACCGAGGTAGACTGGCAGCGCTATGCCAATGACCATCTTGAGGGTGCCAGCGTAGACTCAAAGTAATGTTGCTGCCAGCTGCCACGTTTTTGAATGATGTAGCAATATCTATGGCAAGAATGGTAGGGTTGCCACTCTTTGGCTCACAGTCGGCATAGTAGTCCATCAAGCCGATTGGAACGCCTCCCAGTCCATGAGGTCGTTGTTCTGTGGAGTGAATGTCATGGTGATTTGCCGAGGCGTCAGAAGGGAAAACAGTCGACAAAGTGCCAATGTTTTCCAGACGAAGAACACGGCGTGCTTGGACAGCAGACTCGTGCACAGAAGGGATGCTGAAGCCCGAAGTCGACTCTGATGAGGGGTTGGAGAAGATGTGCTGGCTACCGGGAAGAAGTGAAGCCAGAGATAAGCCAACGAGTCCAAAGCCGGTAAGAGCCACGTCTGTTAGGTGCATCTCGATTATGTTGAATTGTTGAAAGATTGATTATGGAAACAAAGGATGGCTCGGGTGTTCAAAGATCATATCTTGATCAGATGGACGGGGGATGATGGGATGACTTTCCGCCAAGGCGCTAGATGCTAAGCGAAAAGCGCTGCCGCCGGTCTAACACAGATTCACTCATTTTTGCGTGCACTCTCCTCGAAGGACGACCGACGACAACTTGCGCCATCGTGAGTATGCCCATTTTTCACCGCAGCCCAATTCTACGACTCTCGAATCTATCACCGTCCTTTTCGCTGTCAATTTTCACCCAATTTTGAACGAGCGACGACGACTAACCTTTGTTCGCCACCCACAGGCCGCCTACATCAACCTTTCAGTCATCCAACAATCCCCATAAATCGACAACATGGGTAAGGTCCACGGATCCCTCGCACGTGCCGGTAAGGTCAAGTCGCAGACTCCCAAGGTACGATCAATCCACCGCCATCCGCCAGGCCTTGCGGCAACCGCCACCCCGCCGCAAAATCCAGTCTGGTTTATCGCGACAGCCTGCTAATACATATGCGCTTTCAGGTTGAGCCTCAGGAGAAGAAGAAGACCCCCAAGGGCCGCGCAAAGAAGAGAATCACGTACACCCGCCGTTTCGTGAACGTCACCATGACCGGTGGCAAGAGAAAGGTGCGCACACATCTCACCTTGCTCTTACAGCAGCCAACAAGTGCTGACACGCAAGCAGATGAACCCCAACCCTACCTCGTAAACGAATTCCGGATCTGGAGTTTGAGAAATGGGGCAAAGACGGGCACATGGATAGCACACAGTCTGGCGACACCCTCGATTCATCACTGGGCAGCCAGACCGTTTCCTAGCCCTGGCAACTACGATGATGATTCAAAACCCTGGCGGACATGCATGGCTAATCAGCTGCTGTTCGTAAGTCGGAACAAATGTCGCCGCAGAGACTGGTGTACATCTGGCGTCTTTGGTAGCTTTTTTGCAACAACGGTTACTTCTTCTGAACATTCTCCGCGCAACTTATCCCGTGATGAATGTGTCTTTCTGCTAGTAACATGGCGGAAATGTTTTGACTTGCTCTGTATGGAAGGAGATGATGCAGGTCCAGCCATAGTGATATCCATATTGCCACAACATGATCACTACAGCCATCTGTCTTTTTGCAGTGCAAGCGTGTACGGGCTTTGTAATCGAGCAGGTATTGACGGCTTATCGCGAGCCACTGACTTAATTGACATGATTGATACTCGCACTGAAGCTCCGCAAGCACAGTAAACTGCCGAGGCGGTACGTCACCCTTGACCTTTCCCCGGTTTATGCGTTGCGCAACTGCAACTTCACCAAACACCGAACACCATTCATCTCACCTCTCTAATTGCATATACACCAAACCGTTACCAACATGTTCGGTGCACTCAAAGGTCTCTTCAAGGAAGTAGGTCTTGCCAACTCTCAAATAGCGCGTACCCGGTTCGCCCACTGACTGACACGATCAAGGCTGGTGTCAAGGACGTGATCACCTTGTTCCACTCGCCTAGCTCCCCTGCCTCGATCCGCGTCCACACCTTGCTCAAGCAGACTGCTGCTGCCGCTCAGACAACCGCCACTCAAGATCAAGCTTCGTCTCACCCGCAGCAGTCCAAGATTGAGAGAACAAACTTCGAGCTCGGTACGCGACAGCCTTGCGACGCCCGACCGCTTCAATCGCTCACTTCGCTTTGCAGACGTACAGGAAGGCGCCCCGACTAGCGACCAACTCACAAACATCTTCGAATACCTCGGCCAAGACAAGATTGGAAATGTCATCGAAGGTGCCTCGAGCCCTACCGAAGCCCTGAGAAAGCTCAAGGAAAGTGGAAGCGCCTTTCAGAGACCGCTTGTTGTGGACTGGGCCAATGGACGTGCCGGTACGAATTTCTCATCTTTTGAATGTCTGTCACTTCTTAGTTCATCACTGACGTCCTCACAGTCACTGGCGACAATGAGTCCGAGATCTTGAAGCTGCTCAACTCTTCCCCCAAAGCCTAATCACACTGCACTGGTAATATTATCCTACCATACTCCTGCTCAGGATAGTGCTCATGAGTCTCATGTAATGGGAAGATGCTGTCATTGGGTCCATAATCAGGATGTTCACGTACGAAGGGAAGGCACGTCATCATATTCGGCATTAGGGAACATTACGTGGTTTCGAAGCGGTGAAGACTATGAAGGTCAGAGCTCGCAAGACAGCAGGGTAGCTGCAGACATTCGGGAGCGAAGTGAAGAAGCAAACGGTGCATGTTGAGGTTAAACCAAGTCCGATATGGGTTGCATGGGCATACAGGCTCTCAATCTTCCGTAAGTAAAAACAACGAGCTCGCCAGTTGTGTTCTCTTTCAACTCAAACCCATCAAAGAATATCAAAAGAAGTGAACGGCAGTGTCTTTCGAAATCCGAGACAGTGAGGAAGCGTCTGCCAGACCAAACGTGTCGTTTGTCGACTGTCGTGTCTTTGATTCGCACCTTCTTCACTGTTCCAGCAACTTTCACGCCAGCTCAAGGTCTTCACCACACTCACTACCTTCCAACTCACTTTTAAATTTCTCCGTCCCTCCGACCTCAGTCATCTCTTCTGCACGACACATCCATAACAGCATTGCGCGCAATACCTTTTCTTCTGCCCAGCCGCCATCTAATTGTCACTCTCGAGCTCGACGACAGCAGGCGCCATGGAGCATTCAGATGAAATGTCTGAACAACAACCTGTCGCCGACACATTGCCTCTCGAACGACCAGTCGTTGTGCGCAGTGACCCGTTCAAAGACATTAGGCCTTTCATTGAACACTTGTGGATAACTCGTACCAACATGTGCCGCAACCTCTATCCTGACGAATTCCCGCGCGGCACCAAGGAGAAACACGCTACCAAGGAACAAGAGGACGAATTCATACTCCGCCATTTCTCTGCCGATGATCTTCACGAGCAGGGCGGTCGGTTTTTGAAGCAGGTCCTCTACTCTATCGCCAAGTACAATGAGGATAATGTTCTGAGCCGCGCTGCAGCTTGGGCAGAGCAGTACGAGTCATTCTACGCCAACCCTGGCATGAGCGTATCGCAAATCAGAAACGTCCTTGATGAACATCAGGGTGCCTACTTTCCCGACTCGTTCCTCAGCCGCGCCGTTTTGGTCATCAACTACGCCCTCAAGCATTTGCGCGACATCCAGGACAAGGAATCCACTAATGGCACTGCCACTGAGCGTGTTTCCCCTCCGCATGCTGCTATTCGGCCGAGATCAGGCCCTGTAGAAGTACCGCAACATGAGCAGGCATTCTTTGATGGTAAGTCTATCCTCGTTTTCGACATGAAATGAACATTGTTGCTCACTTCTATCAGCTGCACGTCAAGCTTCATTCGTTCCCGGTCATCTTGCATCGAATACGCTGCCACCTTCTGTGCAGAACCATCAACAAAACTACATGGCTGGCCCGCCTCAAAGCGAACATATTCGACACGGTCCTTCGCTTCTCCATGGCCAATCTCGTGGCAATCGCGGTACCCCACGCCAATCTCAAAGACAGGAGAACCGTGGTCGTCATCGTCGTTCGTCTGGAAGCATGCATTCTCCTCAACTGCCCATGGGTCCAATGGTACCCTTGCAGCAGATGATGCCCATCAACACCGCCACCGGTTTTCCCGATTTCGATCCTAGTGTTTCTGGCTTTGTGGATGCTCCTCCTGGCTATTCACCGGCTTCATATCAGATGCCACTCGACGATCGTTTCGCACCACTCAACATGCACGCCAACGCAGACTACTACCCTCCAATCTCATATGTGCGTGCGCCTAAGCCTCGTATGCTTCTTTCAAATGGTTACGCTGGGGACCTCGATACGCATTTCCAGCACCAGATTCCTGGATCTTTTAATCAGCATGACTCCCGATCTAGCTTTCAGGCTCCCAACAGTCCTAGGATAGTTGATCCGCACTCTTTCTCTCGCTTCCCCGACGAAAGATACTCTCACCAGCGTCCCCATGTGTCTTACGGCTCGAGAGGTGGTCACCGCTCTTCCTTCAACTCTGGCAGAATACGTCGCTCATCAGTTCGTTCAGGGGACGGCTGGCAGGGTCAGAGAGAAAGCAGACCCTTTGAAGGTCCTCAGAGGAGGGCCCATTCCGACCGTGCCTACTTGGCTCAAGAACGCAGGTATGAGATGAGAGAGAACCGATCCCAGTCAGATATAAGCGGTGAACATGGCTACCCGCCCCAGAGGAACCAGAGACAGCCGCAGGCCTTCTCTTCGGTACCGGATACCGATCCTGACTGGAGCTGCGGCCCTGACTTCATTGGCCAACGCCGAGTGGATATCAACACGCTTGTCATGACGAATCTTCAGCCGGGATTTTCTGTGAGTGCTCTTGAAAAGTATATCACAAGCGTGGTGAATCACAAGCGGGTGGCTGTAAGACATAACAACCCTCCTACGTCGATTGCGTTTGTCAGGTAAGCCACTTGACCCTTTTCCCTGTGCTATTTTGTCACTTCTACCCATCTCCCGCGAGCACAATGAGAATCATCCGGCCTACATGAATGCACAGTTTTTGCCAAGTTGCTTGTGGAAGGCGTAATATTTGGTGCTTCTCTGCGGGCGAATGCACGAAATTCAAGAACACTGTGCATTTCTACAGCTACGCGCATGACAACTCTTAGCACAGGGGAATGCCGTATCGTACCCCGTTCACGCTAACATGTTCAGATTTCCCACCCACGCCGATGCCAACGACGCGCTTGGAATCAGAAGCATGACCTTTGATGGCGTTCCCGTCACCCTCAGAGTTCCTTTCAAGTTCTGGAAGGCGACCGACAATAAATACTTTCCACCTGCTCAAGCGAGACAGTACATAGAGTCTGGCGATTGGTACCGTTCGAGAATCGGGAACCATGGATTCTCTGTAAGTGAAAACTATCAGCTGCAGGAATCCGGCATGTCAGAGCATTCTACAGCCAATTCGGAGGCCGCAAATCAACCTCCGACCTCTCAGTTCGTTTCTACCAACGAGAGATGCGATCCAAACCTGAGTGCCCCGGTCTTCGAGGAAAGCGCTACCAGCGACGTCGACGATACGGGTGCTCCATTTGGCGGCTACAGTGGACCTGTGCTGCCTTCGTTGTCAGAAGCCAGCACGCCTCGAAAATACTCTGCAGTGGCACAAAACATCCTGGATGCAGGTGTTGACGATGAGCAAGCCTCTCAGACCGGTCCCCTGTCTGTATCAGATGTCACATCGACCGGAGCGACACCAGTCGTCGAAGATGTCTCAGTCGAGTCAGCAAGCCCTTCTACACAACGTGCATCGTCACCTCTGAATGCTGCCATGATCGAAAAATGTCAGGTCAACAAGGAGTCACCATCTGAAGACTACTCATCTGTCTCAGACTCTAACAAGCGAGGAGATAGCTCGCCAAAGGAGGACGCCGACGACAGCTTTCAGACCGCTGCCGAAACGCCTGAGCCATCAACCAGAATCATCACACCTCGATCTACGCCTGCCGAGGCTGAAAAGTCTGGGTTTGAAGAGACCTGTTATGCAACACCTACTCTCAAGTTGCCGGCGGAGAAGGCAATCTCTACAACACACTCTTCTGCCAGCATCACAGAGAGCGACGACAATGCCAGCATCTCGACTGCTAGCCAATCCTTGGCATCGTCCTTGCAAGCATCGGACAAGACTGCCACCTTGCGGTCAGGTCCGAAGCAGACTGAATCTTTGAGTCCTTTTGCACGGCAGGCACAAGCTAAGAAGAAGGATCGCAGATCAAAATCTGTCAAGTCAAAGAATAAGACCAAGACTGATCTGGAGCAAGAAGAACCGGCAAAGGCTGGCGCTACCATCTCTGCAAGTCTTGCAGAGTATGACGAGAAGGATGGGTCGCAACCTCTCAAGTCGGAGCAGAAATCCGAGACCGAGCCAGAGCAGTCTAAGCAAGTCAAGGTCGAGATTCCAACTCACGCCGGTCCCACGGGAGATGATACGAAGCATTTGAAGAATGATGTATCAGAGCCAGCCGACCCAGAGAAGGAGACTAATGTTGGCCCGATAAATCTGGAGAAAGCCGAGACCGATTTCTCAAAGATCAAGACTGTATTGCAGGGATCGAAGAAGGCTGAGATCAACACGCCGTCCGACACCATTATCAGGGACAAGCGTGCAGTGCACAGCGAGAATACTGACCCACGCAAACCGAAGGTTACAGTGGATGAAGAGAAGCATGGGGCGCCCAACGCCCTGCAGACTCGCGAAATCGTTTCGAAGGGTGATCAGAAGACCATCTCGACCTTGTCTTCAGTGACCGCACTTCTTACTGGTGCCCTTAGTAGCATGAGCTCGAGCAAGTCCAAGGCTGAGGAGCTTACTGCACAAACTTCCACCACAACTCAGTCGGATGATGGAGGATCAACAGCTGTCACACAGCCTGGAGTCATAACTTCAACGACAACCAAGAAGCCCAAGAAGAACAAGAGAAAGAAGAAGTCCAAGAATACCGCACCAGTCCGCGAAGAAGACGTCTCTTCGACAGAAACTCTGGCACATGAAACACCTGCTGGATCGCCCATTTCTTCGAAGGCGTCTGCTCAGCCCCACTATCCCACCGGAGGCGCCTTGTGTGAGCGTACAAACATGCTGGACAACACCTTGTCGAGCCTGGGCATCACAGAGGGATCTGTTGTCGAACTAGGTCCGAACAGCGTAGGCTACCGTGCCACTAATGCCGGCAGCACAAGAGAGAATCTCAACCTCAGAGGCGTCGAAGGTGAAGTAGAAAAGTCCAGACGTAAGATGCAGGAGATGGCGGAGAAGGAAGCACTGCTGAAGATGAGAAAGGGTTGATCGGAATGGTCAGTTCGGCCAGTGCGGAGGTGTCATGCTGCCAAGTTCTTCGAAAGGCTCTCCAAGAGCCCAGTATGAGGTTTCCTTTTCTTCACTGTTATTATTGTTGCTCCGAATACGCTCGCTAAGATGCTCGGTGGTTTGAAGGGGCAAAAACTACTAACCCTCTACTATTCCAGAATGTTACCACTCGTTTGTCTCAGTTCTATCTCCAGCAGGGGATATGGTAGTCACAGTATCAGTGTTGTGTTTCGAGGGTTGGAAGAATCCATGACAGGCCTAGACAGTGGACCTAAGTACGGTCTTCGATGAGGATCTTGAAAGCTTGCAATGGTCGATAACTTTTGTGTTTCATTGAGAATGGTCATTATATGTCTAGTAGTCATCACCTCTGCTCACAACTTCCTTGACGTTGGGTCTCAACAGAATGGTCTGTAATGCTTGGTTAGCGAAAGCTTTTGTATTCTGAGAGTTGATATGTCACTTACGTGCTCATACTGTGCAGTGTACGAGCCCTTGATATCGACCAAGGGAGGGTAGTCTTGCACGATACCGGCTTGGACGAGATTGTTGAGCTGTAAAATTGGTCAGTGTTTTCCTTGAGATGTCGAAATCATAGGATTACTCACTCCGAGCAAGTACTTGTCATGACCAAGACGGTCAAGATATCTCCTGCAGAAAGGCAGAGTGCCAAAGTTCTTCTCGATGCTCTTAAGCAGCGTCTTTGCGCTCGTGGTTCTCAATGGCACTCTAGGCGCATCTGCGACCTTTGCGTAATGACTGCACTCCATATCTTCTCTCACGTAACCCTTGCCGGTAGAGCCGAAAGTCTCGATAGCGAAAGTCTCACCCTCCTCCATCTTTGTCTGATCGCCTCCCTTGACGATGGGTACACTCTTTGTACCGTGGATGGACCATTGTCTAATGTCGTGGCCGTTGAGGTTGCGAATACACTTGATGGGGAAGGTTTCACCGCCAATCTCGCACTCGTAAGATTCCATGGCTTCCTGGATGGCGGCGCCAATGTCGGACATGCGGACATCGATACCTGCTTCTTTGATACCAGTGTTTGTTGCGTCCTTGACGGCGGCCAGCAGATTATCGTAGGTGGGGTCGAAGGACATGGTGAAAGCGCTGTCGACGATGCGACCGTTGATGTGGGCACCGAAATCGACCTTCATGACATCTCCCTGTTGGAGGATCGCCTTGTTGCCGGCGTTGGGCGTGTAGTGGGCGGCGCAGTGGTTTATGCTGAGACCGGTGGGGAAACCCATTCCTCCTCTGATGTTGTCGCCCTCTTCGAGACCTTGATGGCCGGTCAAGTGACGCACACCATTCTCAATACCCTCGGCGATCTCGGTCAGGGTCTGTCCGGGCTTGATGTTTTTCTGGGCCCATTGGCGAACTTGTCTGTGGACTTCGGCGGCCTGGCGGTACTCGGTGAGGTAGTCGTTGCTCATGCGATCAAGGTGTCTCTTCTCCTCGCTAGTGGTACGGTAGTTGTTGTCGTCGATGTACTCGCAGATTTCTCCTTCGGGGTATGCGCCATTGGGGAAGAGCTGCGAAATGGGGACTCGTGGTGGGTTGGTCTGGCCCTTTGCTGTTCCGCTGGCGGCCTTCTTCTTCTTTCTGGGCTTTCTCTTCTTCTTTTTCTTTGCAGCACCTTCTTCTCCTCCCTCATTGGCACCTTCGGCATCGTCGCCTTCGTCATCCGAGTCTTCAGCTTGACCCTCTGCGCGCTTCTCTGCTTCGGCAGCAGCTCCTTGGGGAATGTTGCCCTTGGATTCCTCCACTGAAGGCTGGTTAGTACTTGGGGGTGTCTAGAGTCAGGTAAGAATTGTTGATATGGGGATAGCTGTACATTTGAGGGCGTCCGCGCCGTTGGTGGTATCCTCGACGGCAGACATGTTGGATGGTAACACAAAGATCAACGACTCGAGGGTCCGAAAAGTTGAAGACCTCTCGGGTGGAGCGACGCTAAGGCCAAGCTTCGAGGCAGATTGAGATCAGATTAGACAAGAGCCGTTGTCCGTAGACGTCATCAAGGTGCCGAAACAAAAGCCATTCCGCTCCTTCTCTGCATACCAGACATCTGCCACTTTCTGATCAACGGAATGAGGCATGATCCTCCGCCCAATTCAATTTCGTCCCGTAAAGGGACGCCCTGTGCCGCAACTCTTCTTTAGGAATCCTCTGTTCCAGCGCTCCTTTTACGCCTCGCCAACTCGCTTTGATGACGGAATTCCTAACCACTATGCAACTCTGGGCATAGACACGACTGCCTCTGCTGGAGACATCAAGAAGTAAGTACACTATGTCTTGGCTATCCGCATTGAATCGAGAAGCTGGGAGAATAAAGAGGCGTCCAACTCCATTATTGAACACTCCAAGACCATCACGCTAACAATCAACAATAGACAATTCTTCAAGATGAGCAAGCAACACCACCCAGACCGCAATCCAGACGACCCAAAAGCCGCCGACCGCTTCGTGAAAATCTCCGAAGCCTACCACGTCCTAGGCAGCGCCGAAAAACGCGCCCGCTACGACCGTGATTTCCTCCGCGCAAACCACCCCCCATCATCCAATCCCCAAGGCTCCTACAGTAGTACTGGTCCAGCAGGAGGTCGTCCAGCTACTGGTCTCAGCCGTCGCCGAACTCAGTTCAAAGGGCCGCCCCCTTCATTCTACAGAAGTGGTGGATATGGCAGTTTCAGCCAGAAGCGTTCGGATGCTGCGAGTACAGGATCGCATCAGTACGAGGCTGCTGGTGCCAGTACGGATAGCAGCAGTGCGCAGGACGCACCTGGTACTGGTCCTTCTGGCTTCCAAGCTGGTTTCAACAATGATGTGCCGCATTTCGATCGCGAGGGCCATTTCCGGACTCATGATAATGTCATGAAGAACAGGCATAGATCAAGACGGCGAACGGGAGGTGTCAGTACCGACGACATTTTGAACAACACCAGCATGTTGTTCAACTTCGTCCTACTCAGTGGTGTCTTGACAGTCATCTTTGGTGTTAGCGGCATGCTCTTTAGAAAGACGGATGAGAAGAAGAAACTATAACGTTACGACGCTTAGAAAGGAATCGAATACACAACCAGCATATGGCGGGCTCTTGTCTTCAAGGAGAAAGGGCTTGTGTACAATTTTATACTGGGCTTTATTACAACTGGAGTAGAATTTTTGGATAAAAAAAGGTGTGCATAGCGGATGTCGCATGATGCGCTTCTCTTTCTATTTCTCCTCAAAAATACATGACACATGTCTACATGGGCGATTTTTCGTTTAACCCTCGAAGACGAAGCTGGTGCCGATCTTGTGGCCAGCCTCGTTGAGCTTGTTGGTGTCGAGCGAAAGACCAACACCGAAGGTGGTGCCAGCGTTGAGCTTGGTGTTGTAGGCAAGAGCAGCGATACCGCGGTCGTTGATCTTGGCCTGTAGAGTGGATCTTTGTCAGTAGGTCTCCATGAGAAAGAAGAGTCAGGGGTAAATCTCACCTTGGCGAAGGAAAGGGGGTCGAGCTTGTACTTGGAGGCAACCTCAAGACCGACGCTCTTACCACCCTGGAGGTCGTAGGTGGCCTTAGCACCAGCCTCGACGTTGGAGTTGACCTTCTGGTAGTACGAAGCGGCAAGAACGCTCAGGTTCTGCATGGCAATGAGGGAGGCGGTGAAGGTAGGGGCCTGGTAGCCGAGACCAGCGCTGTAGCGGGTGATGGCGGCCTTGGAGACGTCGTAGCCAGCCTCAGCACCGGCAACGAAACCCTCGTGGCCGACGGTAGCGTCAATGAGGGCGTTGATGTTGCCAGCAGCGCTGTGGTCGAGGAAAGCGCGGGCGTGGAGGTTGGGCTGCTTGAAGGTCAAGTTGAGCTTCTGGGCGGCCTTGCTGGGAGCGTTGGGGTTGAAGAGGTTCTGGAACTCGGCCTTGACGGGCTGCGACATGAGGCTGGCGAACTCGACCTTGGTGTCGAGGAGGGCGGCGGTGGTCCAGCCCTGGGTGACGGTGATACCTGATTTAGAGCGGTAAGTAAGATAGACGTGATGTTGCGATGAGTCGTTGGGGGCAGAGCTGGTCTTCTTCTGGGCAACAGGCACGCTGACAATCATCAGGTACAGCGACTGGCGCGCAGAAACAGGCAGCGGGAAGAATAAGCGGCTCATTTGCAAGAAGTGCGTACCCTGGGGCTTGAGAGTGTATTTGCCCTCAAGCTGTATGACTTGTTAGTAGGCGCAATGAACACGAGCGGTATAGAGCAACGCACAGAGGCAGTGGTGGCACCGTCGAAGGCCTGCTTGCCCTTGACGGTGACGTTGGCGCCATTGGGAGCCTTGAGCTTGACCTCAAGGTTGGCTGTGTCGCGCTTGTTAGTCGTGCTTTTCTCACGTTGCGCCGATGCGATCCAACATGCCGGCCTGAGTGTGGTAGAAGTCCTTGTTGATCAGCTGCACACATGTCTGTTAGCCTGTGTTTCTCTGGCACTCGGATCAATGGCACAACTCACGTCGTTGGCGGCCTTGCTGAGGTCACCGTAGGCGGGGAGAGGCATGACAGGGATGACTCTCTGGGCGCCGATGCGGCCATCGAGGGGCTTGCTGATGTCGGAGAAATCGGGAGCGGCCATTGTGTAGATGTGGGATGAGGAGGGGTGTGTAGAGGTATAGACCAGAATGTATCTTGGATGCCGAACAGAGGAGAGATTGTTCTGTTTGGTCCGAGCTCCCCCGTTCTCTCCGATTCCGTCCACGTGTGAGCCTTATCCAGCGCAACATGTTTCCTTACGAACCGCCAACTCAATCCTCCACAAACATTGGAAGGTTGATCATCCCTAACAGCAATCACTTTGTGCCTCTAACTTATTTCTCCTGGTCTGCTGCATTCCCGACCCTCGAATAGATATGCTGTCAAACTAGACATTGCACCTTCCGCCAACCCGGTTTCAAGAAGCCTGCACTTGTTACATGGCCAATCATTTGACTAAGATCTCATGGCCGCCCACGGTAAAGACGAAACAGGACGCTTCACGAGCACTCGGAGAGTCGCACGAAGAGTTGCGTGTGATTGCGCAAGCATCACCCTGACCAAGATATATGATCACCATTGGTGTCCAAACCTGACGCACATACAGCCTTCAGGATCACGAGAAGAGAGAATTAGCAGAAGGCAAGGAAATTAGATTGAGAAAAGGAAACGACACTATTGAAAGTAGTGAATGCTACAGTTAGAAATGCCAGGATATTGGCCGGGATCCTTTTGTCCCGCATGCGTGATTCTTCCAATTGACCTGATCAATGGTCTGCCCTCCATCTGCGAGTCTCACCCTCGGTATCACGACTAGGGTGGAGAGCCGAATCAGGCCTTGCAATCGACGTGCCGTACTGTGCCTCGAAGTCGTAAGGTGCTGAGATGTTGACAGGCAGCGGAGGCCCGACGCTGTCCTTCTTGCGACCAAAGAACTTTTTCTTGCTGCACCATGTAGCGCGAGAATAAAGTGATGGCGAGACAGGCATTCTTTGTTGCTGAGGCTCGGGTGATGGACTGTGATACGAGGGCAGAACATACTCCTCTTTTGTGCTGACGCTGGTACGGAACTGCTTCAACGAACCGTCAGAAGTAGTGCGAGATGACACTGACTTGGCAGTGCTGGCCGAAGTATTGCTGCGGTGGATAATAGCCGCCTCTGCTGCAGCGTCAGCTCCTCGGGCCCGCACTTGACGTGCTGTAATGCCCTGGCTTCTGTCTCGGAATACAAAGGTCTGCTTCAAGTCAGTAATTAATCTCACGTTAGCGTCCAGGGTCAACTTACTGCAACGAGATTGAGGAATCCGAGGATAAAGATGAGGATGCCAGCCATGATGACGACACGCCAGAATGCCATGCCTAGGTGTTCCTGGCTGTTGCTTGGCTTGTTCAGGCATGCGAGGACATGGATACCGAGAATGATCATGATTGAAGCAAGGCCGACGAAACCGTGTTCCAGACTGAGCATCGGCCAATTGCGTGAAAAGTAGCCACTGAAGATACCGACTTCTGAGATGATCAGGAATATGGCCACAGATGCTACCACAACGTGGATGACGGCATCGAAGAAGAAGAACTGTTTCTGGTCAGCGAATCCCATACAGTACGATGATTTTTTCTTACGCTTGAATCAGTGGTTGTCTTGATGAGCATGAGGACGCTTGCAGCAATGACGGCAAGCAATCCAGTAATGTTCATGCCTTTCAACACGTTGAGAATGACATAGCCCGAGCCAGCCAGTGACTTGGAGGAAAGTGCCATTTTTTCGGTGGTTATGGTACTGTGAGTTTTGGGAAAGGGTAGATAAATAGATCTTTTGCACGTTAGACAGGAGCATCATGAAACAGGTTTTCAACACTTACAACTTGGTAGGCCAAAGTCTAAGAAACATTCGTGTACTTGGTGAAGTGGTGCGATCTGGCCAGCAGATACTTGATGGATTGAGCTATTGCAAGAAAGAGTCGTCAGGTGAATAGCAAGGAAGGAAAATGGTCAAGGAGAGACAGAATCGAAGGAGCTTGAATCAATTAAAGAAGGGGAAGAGACAATGCAACGCAATAGAGACAAAGAGACAATGCAACAATAGGAAATATGAATGAGGAAGCACGACAATGGAAGAATCGAGGCTGAAGGGGAAGGCTCTGCTTTTCTTGCCTTCCCTTGAGCGCCGTCAAAGCTCATGACTCCCTCGGTGCAGGTGAAACATGTTCTCAGACGCTGTTTGTACGACTTTTACAACAACCGTAAAACACTCTGTGGCAGCTTCCTCTTAATCCAGATGTCAGGGAACAAACCATTGGTCGAGATTGTTTTTGGTGTAAGCGCCGCGTTGGCGCTTGAAGGTAGGTGAAGTTTCATAAACGGCGCCTGGCAACATGCCATTCTCGTGGTCGTCGCGAGGACCTCAAGCTAAGGTAGCTGGCCATAAAAACCTTTGATAGTGAGTCTGTCAAGTCGCAGTCATCCTCAATCTCCACGTGAACATGTGTACAATGAAGCCTTTGTTCCGCGAGTCTTGCACACTTCACGCCAACGACAATGATGATTGTCAACTATCATACTGAGTGTGATTGACTCTGCACCATCTTTGTCCATCGATCAATTTCATTGTGAAAGCCACCAGAAGTATCTGCCGATGCCATTCTTTGGGACATCAGCAAAATGGTGGTGCATACCGACTGACCGCAAGCGTACCGCTTACTTGGTGCAGAAGAGCCCGCCGAGCACGACTGTCTGCAGCAACGCTCGGAGTTTTGTTGCTCTCTTCTGGAAAAAGATTTGCGCAGCCAGTTAGATGAACAATCACCAAAAAGTCGTGGGCTTAGATAAATCGAATGGAACGAAGTAGTCGAGTGGTGTTGTTCTAGAAGCTTGTGATCGTTCGGTGTCCATGGGGTTCGGGCATGCAGCGGCGAGCCGCGCGATAGTAAAGTGTCTTGGCGATGTCTGGAAGCGTGCTAAAGTGGTAAAAAGGGTCTAATTTGCCAGACACTTTCTTTCTGCCGGAGTTACCTATCCAACGCTTTTTCCTTGACCAGCGCTGTCTTTCTCCCTTTCCTTGCTCTGCAACATTTATCCCAGAAGCACCACACATAATCAGTCAAAATGGCTCGCGGTAACCAAAAGGAGAGAGCTCGTGAAAAGACCTTGAAGGCTGCTGGCAACGTCGTAAGTTTTTCTCAACAGTGATCAACAATTTTTGAGGGGTGACCGCTTTGCTGACTCTTTGCCTTGTCTAGAAAAACAAGAACAACGTATGATTACGCCGCCCAACTCATAAATACAACATTCCCTAACGATGTGACAGATGTCCGGTGCTGAGCAGGCCAAGGCCAAGGACGATGCAGCCGCCATTATGCGTGCAAAGCAGGCCGCAGGTTCGTTTCCGTGGTGGTGTTTCTATCTTATGGATCTGACATGTTACAGCCGACGCCAAGAGAGCCGCTGAGGGCAAGAAGTAAACTAAATCTTCTTCTCTTTGCGTATCAACACCCCCTGGCGTAATCAAGGCTGCCGGCGAGCAGAAGTCAACTATTTATGGGCCATCGCGACAACATCCGTTTGCCGAGCGTTAAGCGATGGAATTGGTCTTTCCGGCGAGGTCTAATCGTCTCAGTACTAGAGGATATTAGAAAAACACGTTTCTTTTCCGGTTCATTTGATCTCACTTCCTTCCAGAATTGCACATCATCAAAGATTCTTCGAAACGAGACTTGGGAAGACGACTTTCGAGATTGAGTTCTATCAGATAACAGCATTGGGCAAACAGTCGTCTGGCCCCTATTCATGGCTAGGCTCCTGAAAACCCAATCTGGTGCAGGGTAGACAGAGCGAAGCAGGTCAAAGTGCTTCGTTCACTGCCAACAGTCGTCCCGAATGGCTCTCGGGCGTCGTGGTGGGTAGGCACCTTCGCGCTGGGAAGATATGCGTATGCTGCTGCCTGGACCGGTGCTTCAACTGTGCCAATTGCGTTATCGCTAACGAGCATTCTGTGCTATCGGATAGTGTATGTGGTATCGACCAGGCCTGAACTCTCTCTGGAACGGCACGTCCAGTCCTGCCGACAGTGGACTATTGATGAAGAAGTAGAGACTCAGATTGAGTCAATCAGGAAGCTGAGTGACTTTGAGCTGCCTGGGCCTGAGCCTGTTGCTTCCCTTCGTAGAGGCCAGTGTAGTATCCTGCAAAGTACCAGGATGTCATAAGTGCTTTCAAACCTTCATCTTGGACTATCTTTGTCAGTTCTGCATCAGCATGTTGACTATTTTTCTAGACTTACCAGAGTCGAGAAGAACTTGTGGCGGAGGGGGCTGTTGAGTAACAGAGGCTGACGATTCTGCTTGTGCTTCGATATGTAGAGGTGCTGAATCTGCAGTAGATTCCTGGACAGGCATCTTGTGTTCTTCGACGGATTCCCAGCGTGGCAGACCAGTGGTTTCGTCGATTAATTCGTTCTCCAGATTAGTGGCAGATCTACTCGCGTTTATTAGCTTCTGATCAGGAAGGGACAAGGCGGTATTTCTGACTGTGCCTCTTCTTCCTTCTCAACAGCATCTAGAACATCCTCGACTCTCTCACCCCGTGCAGACATGCTATGGTATTTCTAAACAGATAGTAAGCACGTGATGCTCATCAAGCGTATGTGAATAGTGACCTTGTATTCCTCCAGCGCTTCGTTCCATGATTGAACTAGAGCAGAGTCGTCCCAAATCTCACTCTCGGCGGGCTGATGTTTCGTCATGACTGTTGAGAGGTTATACGGCGAGCGGACTGTTGTCGGAGGTGGTTGGAGAAGAGCAAGCGGCTGATCGGGGGAGATGTCTGGCGCCCCGGATTTCTCGAAACTTTTTGGCGGCAGGCTCGTTCGTTCGCTCGACTTTTTTGTTACTCTTTTCTACCACAATTTTTATTACACAAAATACTCCAAAATGTCCAAGGTTGATAGCAAGAGCAACAAGCGCAAGGGTACTTGATTGAATTTGTGACAATTCCGCTGGTCTGACACTAATACAATTCATCAGGCGCATCCGAGCCCAGCGTAACAACCAAGAAGGTCAAGACAACCATCGTCGAGAAGCCTGCACCCAAGTCGGCCCTCAAGAAGACAGAGACCGCAAAGCCTAAGAAGGAAGTCGAATCTACCGCCGCATCAACCAGACCCTCAAGATCAACAAGAAAGCGCGCCGAAGACTTTTTGGAGCCGGAAGAGAAGCCTGTAAAGAAGACTACCGTCAAGGTCGCCCCTGGAAAGGTTGAGAAGGTCACCGTCACCGAGTCCGTCAAGCCCGCCGCAGAGAGTGCTTCGTCAAAGGTCTCAAAGGCAAAGGCCAAGGCCGCCCCCAAGGCTGTCGTTGAAGAGGAGGAGATTGCACTTGCCAACGAGTCAGACAGTGAGGCTGAGGCTGAGGAGGATGACCAGACCGCTGCCCTGCTTGCCGGTTTCGAGAGCAGCGATGACGAGAACGACCCTCAAGACGACGGCATTGCCCTGGAGAAGCTCCCCGCCGTGCCCAACATGAAGGAGGTTCGCAAGCAGCTAAAGGACGCTCAGCAAGATGACGAGAATACACCTGGTGTTGTCTACATTGGGTACGTTGCACTTTTGTCAAGCACTGTCTGTTCATGGCTAACTAACCATCTAGACGTCTGCCGCACGGTTTCTTCGAGGCGCAAATGCGCGAGTACTTTAGCCAGTTCGGCGACATTACCCACCTCAGAATGGCACGCAACAAACTTACTGGCCGCTCCAAGCATTACGCTTTCATTGAATTTGCATCAGGCGCAGTCGCCGAGATTGTGGCAAAGACTATGGACAAGTACTTGCTGTTCGGACATCTTCTGCAGGTCAGACGTATTCCCGCCGAGCAGGTTCACGAGAAGCTATGGAAGGGTGAAGGTGGTAGGTTCAAGGTTATGCCCCGCAACAAGATCGAGGGTGGTATGTTGAAGAGAGGCACCACAAGAGAAGGCTGGGAGAAGAGAATCGAAAGAGAGAACGAGGCCAGAAGCAAGAAGGCTGCACAACTCAAGGAGTTGGGCTACGAGTTTGAGATGCCCGCCCTGCGCGACGTCAAGGAGGTGGCTACCAAGGAGATCCGCGAGGCCGAGGCTGCACCTCTGATTACCAGCGCCGACGTGACTGCCGTCTTGAACAAGGAGGAAGAACAACCAGAAAAGAAGGAGACCAAGAAGACGACGCCCGTCGAGAAGGCAGGCGCCAAGCGTGTCAAGGGCAAGGCAGACGGCAAGAAGACATCAAAGAAGGCAAAGGTTTCGGCATAGGTCATTTGGGTAAACTAGGCGTTCTTTTCATGGTCAGATACCACGTCTGCAGTTGTTTTGTATGAACCTTGTCAAAAGTTGGACAGTCGCACTCCCACTTGCGAACGAAAACGTGTCCCTGATAAGGATCGTGAGATTTTGAAAAGTTATCTCCTTGCGAGCTATGCTACTACCATGTGCCATTTCATATCGACAGCCCTCGAAGCCAGCTTTTCCCGAACGCCTTTCGCTAAACCCCTTGTCAAATAGTCTTGCGGTTGTGGTAGTCGAGTTTATTTCACGACCAGGGCAGCACTAGGTACAAGACCAGCCTCTTTCAGTGTCTGGCCAAAGTCCGAACTATCGTACACCTTCTTGGGGAAGTTCTGGACAAACTCGGAGACTTGAACACCAGGCTCCTCGCTAAGGGCTTGGGCGACCTCGAAGAGCGTTGTGTCGACAGGGAAGGTTTTCTGGACAGTACCAGCGGATGTCTGGAGTCGTAGTCTTGCCTCGGTGTAGTTACCGGCAGTCTTTGGCAGGGTGGGCTTTGCCGCAGGTGTAGGGTCGGCAACAGCAGCAGACTGTCCAGCACGAGCAGCCTTCTCTCTTTCAGCTTTGAGGCGGCGCTCCTCCTTGTCTGCAGCGATCTTTGCTTGGATACGCTTCTTAGCCTCGACATCGGCCTGCTTCTCGCGTCTCTTGGCCTCAACCTCCTTGATCTGTTCCTTCTTGGCCAAGTCCTCCTTGATGTCTTGTTGCTCCTTTGTGGCCTTACGGCGGATCTGGTCGTTGCGCTCCTTGTCCTTCTTGTCTTGTTCGGATTGACCAGCGCGTTTGGCAGCAAGCTTTTCGCGCAGCTCTTGGAGTCTGGCAGCCTTCTCCTCCTCGGTCAAAGGAGCGATCTCCTCGGTTGACTCTTCGAAGTTCTGGTGCTCACTTAAAATTGTCAGCATGAGTGGAGAGGCGGGAACAGTCAGTGGGCATACGTCTTGTTGGCGTGAAACTCTGCTTGGGCAGTTGATCTGAACTTCTTGCCGCAATCCTTGCAGAGTAGACTTCTGGCTTGCTCGCCAGGCTGTAGTGACAGCGGTGACTCCTCCTCGCCTTCGTCTTCCTTGAGTTCTTCGATGGATTTGTCGGCATTGTTACCGAGCCAGTCGATGGCAGCTCCCACTGGCATGATGTCAGTATATGCGACGGTCCTGTTTTGAGATGAATAATCATACAGTTGCCTGCCTTCTTCATGGCGAGGGTAGCCTTTTCGCGGTCGAAGCCCATGTCGACGAGGTTGTCGATGTCTGACATATTGATTGTTGTATGTGTGTTGTGGTTGTTGGTTGCTATTGGAAAGAGAAGATGGGATACAGAGTTCCAAGAGCGAGAGATGAATAGCCGTGTGTGAGTGGACAATAGTGAAAGGCAGCATCCCGCACTGAAGCACTCACACTGAAGCCGAGAAGCTCCAACTCTCGGAAGCAGCAAGTGCGTCACTGCAACGCACGGACTTAATCCAGACTCCAGGAAATGCGACAGCCGTGTCGTCGGACGCGCTGGAACGTCGCTTCCGTCATTAATCCCAAACCCTTCCATTCCGCTTCCTACGTGTCGCCGTATATCTCCTGCGAATTCAGTCTCATCTTCTGCCAGCTCCGTCTTTGCCAGTCTCCTCTCCGACTGCAGCTCTCTCGCCTTCCATCTTCACCCTCTATTCTACGCGCCAACCTCATACACCATGTCTGTCGAGCTGGACCCCGTCGAGCTCGGATTCAAGCGTGCGTGTCCATGTCTCATGCATCCCTCGATACTCTCTAACAAGTCTCCACAACAGGCCCGTTCACCCACGAGGTCGCTCAGGTCCTGCGTCTGTACAACAAGAACTCAGACCCTGTCGCTTTCAAGGTACCGCCTCATGACATGTCGACTCCACACTCTTGTGCTAACCTCTACTCCCTCAGGTCAAGACTACTGCCCCCAAACAGTCCGCTTCACCCGACCACTTACATTCTTCTTCGACTAACCGTTGTACAGATACTGTGTCAGACCAAACTCGGGTCGCATTGAGCCTGGTCAAGATGTCGAGGTTCAGGGTACGTTGTGCACGTGGGCGCTGCTTGGAAAAACAGACAACTGACCAGCTCTCAGTCTTGTTGCAAGCCATGAGAGAGGACCCTCCTCTTGACGCAAAGTGCAGAGACAAGTTCCTCGTCCAATCTGTTGCCATCTCGGCTGACAAGGAATACCCCAATGTCTCGCAAATCGTGCGCTCCATCCTTGCCTTTATATACCAAAGCAATACTGACAAAACTAGTGGTCTCACATTGAGCAAACAGCAAAGTCTTCTATCCAAGAGAAGAAGATCCGCGTTGTCTTCCTGCCCCCAGAGGGCGTCGCCGATACTGGTGTTGGCGGTCACATGGACGACTCGATCGCTACCTTCAACTCCGTCTCCCCTCAACCTCAAACACCCCAACGAGGCTCCGACGCACCAGTCGTGGGTGCCATCTCTCGCCCGGAAGAACGTCCCATTGACAACAAGCACCTCGGAGATGCCGTCGACTCGGCCAGAAACCCAGCAACTGACAGATCTACCTACTCCGATTCCACGACTACTCAGAGCTTCATCAACTCCATCCCCACTTCGGCCGACGATGTGAAGGCCAAACTTGCCGAAGCACAAGCCACTATCGCACGAATGAGCCAAGAAAGAGATGATCAAGGACTGCGCCAGAGAAAGACTGATGCCGTCAACCAGGATTCCAAGGAGAGAATCTCTGCTGGAACAACCGGCTTGGGTGTGCAAAAGGCACCTACTGGTGGTGTTCCCGTCCAGGTCGTTGCTGGACTTTGCCTTTTGTGTTTCTTGATCGCCTACTTCTTCTTCTAGAGGCAATAAGACTATGGCCATGTCAAGAACACGCATGGTCTGTGTCCGTGAACGATAGATGGTTGCGTCGCGTTCCCGGATGACCACACGGGTTCTGGAACAGTGCGCGCATGGAGGCTGGAGGTGGGCCTTACTCTGTCCCTTGGGACATCATTAATGCTTGTGACCGAATGACGATTTTTCTTTGGAGGACAGCGCAAAATGGAAAGCCTGTGTTTTCTCTCTGTGACAATTCATCTGACCAATTATCTTGCAAAGTTCCACTATCTGTCCGTGTCAAACTCAGGTGTCTTGCGAGCAGAAGCACGGCAAGAGATTGGTTGTCGTGGCTAAAAGACTCGATTGGGGCAGGTCTGGTATGAGTCGAAGTTTGGAGTAGCGATGACATGTGAAGTTTGCATGTTTGATGTTTGCATGTGACATGACGGAGGGTTCAAGGCGACCCTGTCTTACGGTAGTGCTGATCCTTATCGCTGATCAGTGTTAGGATGGAAAGCGCATCTTCCCCGATGACTGCGGTCACGCGAAGAGTGGTTATACGCGGCCTATCTATCTATTAGTGAAGACAATTACCGTCTGGACACTGATTTTACATAACTAGAACGAATTGGCAGGGGAGATCTGGGGAGCGGCGGTATCGGCGGACGGTTGCCGTGTTAGCGTCGCGCGGGAAATGTGGCACTCGATTTTATCGAAGCCCGCCCAGAATTGGTGAGTCAAAGGTTGACAGGGTGCGCCAGTAGTTGCTTATTACTTCGGTGGTTCTTTTGGCCTCTGTCATTCTGCCTCCTTCATCCCTCTTCCACATACCAATCCGTTGCCCAAGATGTGTGGTATTTTTGCTTGCCACAGGTATGTCTCAATATCTCGACAGACAGCTCGGATCGCGTGCCCCTCAATTCAGATGCTGACCATTCGATAGCCATCCCGATGTGCAAAAGTTCAAGCCCACTGCCCTGCGCATGGGAAAGCAGATCCGCCACCGTGGTCCCGATTGGAGCGGCAACCACACTGCTAACAACACTATCTTGGTCCACGAGCGTTTGAGCATCGTTGGTGTTGGTGCGTAAAGAGCCTGGGAAACATGCCACATGGTTGACCATCTGCTAAGACCTGTCTCCTAGATTCGGGTGCTCAGCCTCTGCTCAACGAGGATGGCAGCATTGCCCTTGCCGTCAACGGTGAGATCTACAACCACAAGGTCCTGCGCAAGCACCTCAGCAAGCCTTACGACTTCAAGACCCACTCTGACTGCGAAGTCATCATTCCTCTGGTATGCAACTCCCAGCTCAGAAGCTACTGCATCTCAATTGACAATCGCATAGTACATGGAGCACGGTATCGACACTCCCAAGTTCCTTGATGGCATGTTCTCGTGGGTCCTCCACGACAAGAAGCAGGACAGAGTCATTGCTGCCAGAGATCCCATCGGTGTCACCACCTTCTACATGGGTCGCTCCAGCACTACCCCCGGCGCCGTCTTCTTCGCTTCCGAGCTCAAGTGTCTTCACCCCGTTTGCGACAACATCATCGCTTTCCCTCCTGGCCACGTCTACGACTCCAAGACCGACAAGATCACCCAGTACTTCACTCCCAAGTGGCTGGTCGAGCCCTCCAACATTCCCACTACCCCCGTCGATCTCAAGACTTTGAGAACAAAGTTCGAGAGAGCTGTTAGAAAGCGTCTGATGGCTGAGGTTCCCTACGGTGTTCTCCTTTCTGGTGGTCTGGACTCCAGTTTGGTCGCTTCCATCGCACAGAGAGAGACTTTGAGACTGCAGGCCGCACACAATGCACAACAAGAGCAGAACGGCTTTGCTGACGGCGAGGAGGAGCTGGCTGGTATTGACGAGGACTACAAGCTCAACACTGTCCCCGTCCTCTCTCAGCTCAACTCCTTCTCCATTGGTCTGCCCGGCGCTCCCGACAGCAAGGCTGCCCTTGAGGTCGCCAAGTTCTTGGGCACCAAGCACCACAACCTTACTTTCACCATCCAAGAGGGTCTTGACGCTCTTTCGGATGTCATCTTCCATCTCGAGACCTACGACGTTACCACCATTCGTGCTTCCACCCCCATGTTCCTTCTCAGCAGAAAGATCAAGGCTATGGGTATCAAGATGGTTCTCAGTGGTGAGGGCAGTGACGAGATCTTCGGTGGCTACCTCTACTTCCACAACGCACCCGACAAGAAGGCCTTCCATGAGGAGACTGTCCGCAGAGTGCGCAACCTCCATTTGGCAGACTGCCTGAGAGCCAACAAGTCGACTTCGGCTTGGGGTCTCGAGGCCAGAGTGCCCTTCCTGGACAAGGAGTTCCTCGAGTACTCGATGAACATTGATCCCGAATCCAAGTTGATCGACAAGGACCACATTGAAAAGTACATCATCCGCAAGGCATTCGACACATCCGACGAGCCCGGCGAGAAGCCCTACCTGCCCGACAACATCCTCTGGAGACAAAAGGAGCAGTTCAGTGACGGTGTTGGTTACGGCTGGATCGACGGTCTCAAGGACACCGCCGAGCTGCACGTCAGCGACGAGGACATGAAGAACCCCAAGGCCGAGTGGGGCGACGACATTCCCGACACCAAGGAGGCATACTGGTACAGATGCATGTTCGACGAGCACTTCCCTCCGTACTGTGCCTCGACCGTCATGAGATGGACACCGACATGGTCCAAGCAGACCGACCCCAGTGGCCGCGCCATTGCCGCTCACGCCCAAAAGTACGATCACGCTGCTTAAGAGCTTCGCGAAGCATAGATACCATTTCACAGGGAGATTTTTCATGATGATTTCGATTGACATTTTGAAGGCGTTTGAAATATGCGACAGGCACAAAAACCGGATATTTGTATGCTCGTAGACGAATTATAGACCTCAGTTATGTACGAGTCAAGACCTACTTTTTTGTTTCTCACAATTGCATCTTAATTGAATGGATGTGTCTGCTTGGTACAGAGATGATTGATCGTATTTCGTGATTGGCATGCTTGCTTGTGCTGCTCGTGTAGCAGTACTCCCTGTTTCCCTTTCCTTGTTGAACTCCTCGCTAAATCCGCAGAATCCCAAAACCATCGTGCAACGCGCCATTGCGCCGCCTGAATATCATTCAGGTCACCAACCACTTCACCCTCCTAAGGCAATCCGTCTAAGCCTCGGTCTTTCTCTTCTTCCTCTTCCTCCCACCCTCCTCTCCCTCTTCTTCAACCCCCAACTCCTTGACGGCACCCTTCTTGCCCTGCACCAACCCCTCACCCGTACCAATATCAAACGCCTTTCTGTTATCCTTTAGAATCTTCTCGGCAAAGAAGATTTCCGTAACTCTGCCCAACTTCTTTGCATCTCTTCTCAACACCCATTTGAAATCGTCGACTTTGATCTTTTGACGACGCGAGTAGGATGCGCAGATTGCGGCGCTGTGGCAGGTTTCGATGATGAAGTCTGTGATTATTTCGTCCAGGGTTGTGAGGGTCGCGGGGAGGGGTTGGGTATCGCCAAAGGCTTCGAGAAGACCGGCGACTGTGAGGGTGGTTGTTAGTACAATGGATGAGAAGATCGAGAGTGAGGAAGGAGAGGTCGTACGTTCTGGGTTGGAGAACTGTTGGCCCTTTTGGCGGAGGCGCATACGCGGTTCGGCCATTGTGTTTGAGTGATGTGGGTTGTGATCGTTGTAGAAGAGTGGGCGATTTGTAATGCAGTGCTGCGCTCAGTAGTCCAGACTGAATGCGCACTGTGAGTGTGTAGAGGGAGAGTAAGGCTTGGTGATCGGTGGTGTTAATGGTATAGCAGAAGTCGATGTTGCAGGGTCCGAGGAGGTGATCGAGGGTTTGCCAACACTTCGATGAGAGTGAAGGTCCTACGCGACAGCAGTAAATAGACGCCGAGGTGTGTCTGAGGAAGTCGTCGAGATTGATGACTGACGTCTGCCTGGAAGGTGTAAAGCAGCGGATTCGGATGTTGCCGAGGCTACTTCTGTTCATACAGCTTGCAACCTCCTGGAGTAGTTTGATAAATACCAACACCAGATAAAACTTCACTATCGGAATATATCAAGATGGTAACATATCAAAAACATCATCACCTCACATATTCGTACTAACACGTTGATAGTCTGCCCTCTTCAACTTCCAGTCCCTGCTGCTGGTCATCCTCCTCTTCATCTGCACATGCTCTTATACACACGGTGTCTTTCCCGCAATCATGGATAAGCACAAGGATGGGTATGCCAAAGCACCAAACTCAATCTCCTGCATTTCAACTAATCTTTGGGCAAAGCTTCACATCTGTCTTCTGGAGAGCGGCCCGTATTGGCGAACGTTTGAGTCCATACATCAGCGTCTGCTGCGTCGTCATGGCCGTACGTTTTATCTTGGACATCCTTCTGAACTGGCTTGCTAATTCCTCGCAGGGCAGAATCTTCATCGGACAATAAATTTGGCATCTTTCGAGGCGTGGAGTTTTGGTGTTGTCGCCGCAAAAGGCAGACGGAGTGGGGAATACCAGCGGTCTTATGAATTCATGATTTTGCTCCTCTTTCTTTCTTTGTTGTGCCTATAGATCGTCTTTGGAGGCTCACTATAAGGTCTTGCTGGTCTCCCGTGGAGATTGAATGAAGCCTACCAGGTATATATCAGCTGAAGGAGTTAGTCTGTCAGACTCTATGCTCAAGGTAAGTCATAGCATCCTATGTCCGGTGTAGGGGCACACAGAAGACCTACCAGAGCCGAGCTCTCAGGTTCGTGGTGTTTTACTGAATAGCCATAAGGGTCACAATGATTTGGTCTTCATATGATTGTTCTAAGAGATGGCAAGGATGTACCGCTCTCAGTAGCCTCAGAAGGGAGAGAGGATTCGCTACCGGACCTCTGAAGAGCGATCGAGTGAGGTCCAAAACAGCTCAAGATAATCAACCATGCATGGCGCCTCTCTCGGATCCAGAGTGAGTACGGATCGATGCTGTAAAAAGACAAGGAGGTTCCACAAACGGCCAGAGTATCCAGTAAGAGCTTCTGAGAACTGTAGTTGCATCTACATTCTTCTTCATCAAAATCGTTAGACTTCGATGAAGTGCCCTTCACGATCCTACCTACTCGTCCCTGGTTCGCTCTTTCCTCAACAACCACAGATCTTATGCGAAACTTTCCTCACTTCGTCGATCTATTAGCTACCAACCCGCGCAATCACTCCACAACTGGATCACTTCGCGCTCCTGTTACTCGACGACGGCTTTAGCTTCGTATAGAACCAGAGTCACAGGCACGGGACAAGCACAAAGCCACGATGTCATTCAGGTAAGCCCATACACCTTGTCGATCAGGAAATAGCCTTCAGTGAATTGACTATTTTGATATACAGAGACTCCATCTCCGGTCCCGTTGCCAGAATCGTTGTCGGGTCTCAAGCCGAAGAATTCCTGATCCCAAAGAAGATTCTCTGCGCCTCTTCCACCTATTTCAAAGCAGCTCTGACTGGTCAATTCATGGAAGGAAACACCCAAAAGATTGTGCTGGATGACACAGATGCTGAAGTCTTTAGGACCTTCGTTGCGTGGCTCTATCAGGGACATCTCAAAAGCAGCGAAATCGGCAAAGTGTTTACCAAAATGGATGATTTCGAGGACCATGTCACTTCGATGCTGCTGTTCGCTGACATGCGCGGTGTTCCCGATTTGCTGAACGACGCTACCACTCTACTCTTGGACTACCTCGAAAAGACAGGTTTGGCTCGCTCGCTCACGATTCAGCGTGTCTACATGCTGCCTGATGACTTCTGGCGAAGTATGCTCGTGTGGTTGCTCTTTACCGAAGAGATTCACTTCGGCTCTCGAATCAAGTCCGATGACATACACCAACTACCAAAGGCATTCATCGTTAAGGTGCTGCAGGAAACATTCGGGATCGAACAACAGGATATCAGGATGCATGCCTCGCGCTTTTCCCAGTCATTCTTCTGCTCCAGTTTTCACAAACACGGAAAAGGCGAGAATTGCTCTCCGAGAGCTCTCAATTATTACGATGGACCCGTTACCGTTCTTCTGCCCTCGGCGATCGTGGAGAACCCTTCCAAGAAACGCAAGACAGCACAAAGATGAACAAAATCCATCGAAGAATCGGCGGCGTCTCCCAGGCATAGCATAATGCGAAGGTTGTTATTGGCAAGAGCAAAGAAGACAGACGAAATGAGAAACATGAGATGCGGAACGAGACTCCAAACAGCACATACAGGACTTTCTGCCTGAGCATGGCATATATAGCTTAACCTTTGCTCACTCTCCATCATCATATCACATCAAGAACAATGATTTGGACATTACACGCAGCACTTTTGCATCTTTCAAAATCTTTTCAAGAAAAAAAGTTGTTTATGCTACTTGCCGAGTCTCGGTAGCAGTAATTGCATTCTTGACAACATGCATATCTGATCCCATTGCCCTTGGTTCTTTCCCAAGGGCCCAAATCTTCGCAGACGAATACTCGTCGTCTATTCCTCGGCGTACCTGTGGCTGTATCCGTGGTGGCTGTCTCCTTGCCTTGATGCTCTGATGAGACGTACGCGGAGCTGACGCTGATCATGAGGGTGACGAATGTGGTGTATAGAGCCCATCCGTCCAGGATGAGTATCTCTTGTAGTGGTAGCCTTGGTCCGCGATACGCAGACCAGGTTGGCGATTGATTCCGGTTCTTTGTGGGAGTACAGAATCGCATCAATTCTTGTCCTCCATTTGTATTTTGACACTATCGCTTCGAGTGAAATCATGAGACGATCAATGCCTCAAGCTGGGCCTTCTGCACCGGGTTGGTCTTGCCTGCAATCTCAACGAGAAGAGTGGCCTCAGCCTCGTCGCCAGCCTTGACTTGTCTCTTGACGACTTGCTTGACGCGGTCAAAGCTAGCCTGGCTCAACACACGGACGTATTGTGTAACAGCACTTTTGAGAACCATCTCGATATCCTCGTCGAGCTCATACTTGAAGTAAGGTAACAAAAGCGCAACAGCCTTCTCGGCCAAGTCGGCATTGTGCTTGGGAGACTCGCCCATGCCCTTTTTGAGTGCAGAGAGGGCTCTGGCGAGCTTGAGAGGGAACTCGGCGGACTCGATGGCTTCCTCGGTGTCAGTGTCGCGGAGTTCGAGTTTGGCGAGGCAGATGTGCATGCTGATTTTGCTGGCGACTGAGTCCTGGTTTGAGAGGTAGTCGATGATGTGCTGTAGCAGCTTTGTTGTGCAGGGGACGTCTGCGAAGGCTGCAAAGACGTCGAAGAATTGCTCGGCTAGGGAAGGGTCGTTGAAGTCGCGCATTGAGGTCTCGAAGATGATGCGAGGAATGTCTCCGTTCAGGGCGGGCGAGGCGGCCAGCTTCTTGAGGGCCTCCTCGTCGACTGCCTGTTTCGGTTCGGGTGCTCCCTCGGGCTTGATCTCGTCGGCTGTGACGTCTGGCAAAGCCATCATGTCGGCATCGGCATCCAGTGTCGAGTCGATCTTCTTCTCGGTCCTCTCAATATCCAGGCCCAGAATCTTTCGTCGCGCGGCGATCTTTGCAACGTAGAGCATCTCCAGCTTTGCGTACTCCAACCACAGCTTCCTCTCCTTCTTACAGAATCTCAGTCCCCTCTGCATATAACTGCGCGCGGTTGGCATATCGGCCTGCTGCTCGAAATAGTACTTGGCCGCCCATGTCCAGATATCCCACTTGATGGGGTGCATTCTCAAGCATTGTGTCAAAGCCTTTGCCAACTTCTTGTTTGCCGCCTCTTTACGACAGTACTCGAGATACTGCATCCACAAGCCCATGTCACCCTGGAACCTCCTAACACCTCTCTCCAAGACGAAAAAGATCTTCTTCTGCCCGGCGAAAGCGGTGGCCTTGACACCCATGCGCCTCGAGCGCTTCTTCCTCAACGAGTCCAGGTTCATTTCGTATAGCGCATAGCGAGCGTAGTCGGCAGGCGTGGCGGCACCGGGTGTGTTGAGCAAATGTTCGAATTCAGAGCGCTTGCGGGCTATGGATGTGATTTCTTCGCGCGAGAAGATCTTCTTGCGTTCGTATTCCTGGAGCTCGGGTACCGATTGCTCCATATAGAAGCGAGCTTTGTCACTCGCGGCGGCCATGTTGACGGTGGTTTGTGTATTCGGAAAATGTGCGTCTATTCGAGTCTATGGCGATCATCAACTGATGGAAGAAATGATTATTTTGTGGTTCACCGCTTTCGTTCTGCCATTGGCCTCGGAGTTTTGCTGCCCGAGGCCCGACAACTTGGTCAGCCATCTCACCCTGTCAAGAACGTCGCTGCAATGATTTCCATCACAAGTTGCGTTGAAATGAGCCGAAAGCAGTCACAAATGTCTTGAAACGGGCAACATGAGTTCCTTAACTTACCTTGGTTGTAGAGGCCAAGCGCCGGACTTGTTACCTACACACGCACTCTCTTTCGAATTCTCCTTGTCCACATTGCGTTGGCATGAACACCAACACTCGAATCACTGCAGCACTGCAACAACATCATTGGCACATCGTTGCAATCATTGTCCCCGACCTGTATTCATTAGACCAAGCCTCGATGCCACAATGATTGTTCGACAAAAACAAGAAGTCACCCCTCGGGTGGGAATGCCGTTCCGCACGTGTCGACCAAGACCTAACCACTCACGACGTTGATAATCACCTCAATCTTTATACTTTGACTGAAGATACAATGGCCAGCTGGACTCTAACGTGAAGATCTTCCGTAGCATGCCCCAGGGATGATTGATCACCAGGTACTAGTTGGAGCATAACCACTTAGCGGTTTGGTAGCCAGTTCGACGAGGCAATGACTGGTGAAAGCGAGAAAGTATAAGCTAATATTCCACCTGGACCGCACCCAAGTCCAGCATCCTTAGGTAAGAGTAGTGAAGAGTATGATTCGATGCAGTCATATAAAGACCAGCTTCTCCGGACGACCCCATCGTGCCCCCATCTTGTCCCATCCACAATCTCAACATGTCTTCTGGAAAAGTTTCGCCCAACATGTCGGTTGAGAAGATCAACCCAAGACACTTTGAGGAGATTTCTCTGGAAGAGAATGGCTTCAACAAGGATCGCATCGACCTCAACAACAATACTACTGCCAAGATACAAAACCCTCTGGCTGGTATCCCGAGAGAACAACTCATGCATGATGTCGACGCCTTCGCTGTGAAGCATCACTTGGCCGACATCAGCGGGCTCCTGAAGCGTGGCGCTCTAGTCGCTCAGGACCCTATAAATTTCGAGGACGTCGACGGCCTACAAGAAGATGAGCGCGAATCCCTACATGATGAGATCGAACATAAGTGGCGACAGCCCAAGGCGATGTATTTCACGGTCATCCTTTGTTCAATCGGTGCAGCTGTACAGGGATGGGATCAAACGGGCAGCAATGGAGCCAACCTCTCTTTCCCTCTGGAGTTCGGTATCGCACATAACGAGTGGTTGATTGGACTGGTCAATGCCGGACCTTATATCGCATCTGCCTTCTTCGGTTGCTGGCTCTCGGATCCCCTTAACAATCACCTCGGCCGACGAGGCACCATCTTCTTCTCTGCCGTATTCTGTACTCTCCCTGTAATCGGTTCTGCCTTCACTCAGACCTGGCAGCAGATGTTTGTATGCAGACTACTTCTTGGAATCGGTATGGGTTCCAAAGCCTCGACCATCCCAATCTATTGTGCCGAGAATGTACCTGCTTCCATCCGTGGAGGTCTCGTCATGACATGGCAGCTCTGGACCGCTTTCGGTATTCTTCTAGGATTCTGCGCAAACCTTGCCATGTATAACGTCGGTAAACTTGCATGGCGCCTTCAGATCGGCAGCGCTTTCATACCTGCAATACCTCTGCTGATTGGCGTATACTTTTGTCCAGAGTCTCCTAGATGGTACATTAAAAAGGGTAGGTACCAGAAAGCATACCAATCACTCCTTCGTCTTCGCAACAACCCTATCCAGGCTGCTCGTGATCTTTACTATATCGACGCAGTACTGGCTGCAGAATCAGCGATCGTGGGCGAGTCCAACTATATCACCAGATTTATCGAGCTGTTCACAATTCCCAGAGTCCGCCGAGCAACTCTCGCTTCTTTCACCGTCATGCTAGCTCAGCAGATGTGCGGAATCAACATCATCGCCTTCTACTCTTCGTCGGTCTTTGTCAAAGCCGGTTCCAGCACATTGACTGCTCTGCTTGCCAGTTTTGGGTTCGGACTTGTCAACTTTGTCTTCGCATTCCCCGCAGTGTGGACAATCGACACGTTCGGCAGAAGAGCTCTGCTACTGTTCACCTTCCCTCAGATGGCATGGACTTTACTCGCTGCCGGTCTCTGTTTCCAGATCCCAGCGGACAGCAAGGCTCATCTTGGCTTGATCTCCTTGTTCATCTTCCTCTTCGCTGCCTTTTACTCGCCGGGCGAGGGTCCAGTCCCTTTCACATACTCTGCTGAAGTGTTCCCACTCTCGCATCGTGAAGTTGGTATGGCATGGGCAGTTTCGACTTGCCTGTTCTGGGCCGCTGTCTTGTCCTTGACCTGGCCACGTATGGAAGCTGTCATGGGTTCGACCGGAGCTTTCTGTTTCTACACAGGCCTCAATTTGTTGGCGTTCTGCCTGATTTTCCTCTTCGTGCCGGAAACAAAACAACGCACGTTAGAAGAGCTGGATCAAGTCTTCGCGGTCCCCACGCGCACTCACGCCAAGTATCAGCTTACGAAGGCTCTGCCTTACTTCTTCAAGCGCTACGTCTTCAGAAACAAGGCCGCCAAACTGGAGCCTTTGTACAAATTCGACCGCGATACGCCTAGGATCAAGCGCTCGAGCGGTGTAGTCGAGAAGACAAGTTAGAGTGGTTGCTCGAGTCGGACAATTTTGACACCAAGTGTAGTGCTCGAGGCAAACACTTTGCGAACTCATGATTGTCAGGTTTTGCTGGCGACCTCCACGGAGTAGGTAGATATCCAAAGTAGATATTTTCGAACAATGCACAGCTTTTGTCCTCTGCGTCGAGTTATGCAGCACAAGTCGAAGTGGTGAGAAGAGAGTCTCATACAGAGTACGCTAACCCCGCTGGTTCTCAACCATGTTGACCGTTCGCAATGACGCGATGGTCAGAGCGTCGAGTTTTGTTCTTATCGACGACCAAAACCGGACGACAGGTGCCCTTGTAGACTTGTAGAAATACGGCTTTGTGCACAATACTTCTGTCGATGCTGCCACGATGGGCTTGGTGGTCTTCGAAGCTGGTGAATTGATGTTTGCTTGAACACGCAGGGTTCTTCCTTCCTCTGCCGAACTCGTTGCTCCGCAGCAGCGGGTCACAGCTTCCCTTGCCCCACCAATTTCCCGAGAATGCCACTTTGACCACGTCGTTCTGTTTAATTCTTTTAGCCGACTATTTCTAAACACATTCCTCTCTGACATTCTTCTCTCACTCATGACCAGAAGTCAGTAAACGCGAGCATGAGTTCAAGCAGTTTGGTCGCCAATGAAGGCGGTATCCGCGAGAGAATTCCTCAACCGGAAGAGCCGCCGAAAGCAACATCAACCAATGATGCACAAAACACTGTCAAATCGCTCAACGAAAAAGAAGTCGACAAGGACGAGAGCAAGAAGAGAACATATGGCAGAACACCAGAGGGTAAAGGTATGTGACCTTTTCTGACGCATGATTGGTGTGTACAAGGAAGAGTGAGCATGGTATGGCTGATACACGAGGACGACAGTATTCGTGGTGCCGCAGACACATGACATGGTCTCACAACTCCTCTCCCCGACTCAACCGAAGAATGTGTCCGACGTGGTTATCCTGGCTGTGCTTGCATGCCATGTCGCCCTGCTCTACTTCCTTCCAGATTCAGTTCGTGTCCCCATCCTTGCCATCGTCTTCCTCTTCTGGCGTGCCGCCTACAACGCCGGAATTGGCTGGCTACTCAACATACAGTCCAACCATAAGCGCCTCACCACATGGGCTCGCAAGTACAATGTCTTTACAGACCCGACCTCCGGCAAGAACCCTCGTCCTTGGCTCTACAACCAACTGAAACGTGAAATGGAAACCAAAATCGCCAAGGATTACAAGTTCGAGGAAGCTCCTCTCGAGTACAACACATGGTTGGTTTTCAGAAGAGTTGTTGATCTGATTCTAATGTCTGACTTTGTCGCCTATTGCTGCTTTGCTATCGCTTGCGGCGGCCGTCCTGATGGTGAGAATGTTGCAATGACTATTGCACGCTGGGCTTGTGGCTTGGCCCTCGTCGCTTTCAACCTCTGGGTCAAGCTCGATGCTCATAGAGTCGTTAAAGACTACGCCTGGTATTGGGGTGACTTCTTCTACCTCATCGATCAAGAACTCACCTTCGACGGCGTCTTCGAGATGGCTCCTCACCCCATGTACTCTGTCGGTTATGTCGGATTTTACGGCATCTCGTTGATGGCCGCCAGCTACAAGGTGCTCTTCATTTCCATCATCGCGCATGCCGCTCAGTTTGCATTTTTGACCATTGTTGAAAACCCGCACATCGAGAAAACATACAATCCGCCCATGCCAAAGAAAAGAAGAGAATCCGAGAGCGACAGAGAAACCCCCAAAAGCACCACACCCGATTCTGGCCACATCAATGGATACCCTCCCATAGCGACAACCGAAAAACCCTCTACCGTCCACAACATCCTCGGTCTTCACAACATGGATCTTCACCGTATCACAGATATATCTGTCTTGCTCATGCAATCTTACCTGTTTAGTGTCGCCTTTCTGACTCCTTCGACTGCTCTATGGCAGATCGTCTTTGTCGCCAATGCGGTTGCTTGGCGCCTGTGGTACTCACTAGGCATTGGCTATATCCTAGATCGTCAGTCCAATAAGAAGAAATGGGCTCGCCACTTCGTCAAGTACGGCGAGAGTACCGAAGAAGCTTGGAGACAGTGGAAAGGTCTCTACCATCTCAGTATGAGCATGTGCACCGCAAGTTTCCTCTGTGCAGCCTTGAAGATGTACAACCTACCCCCTGACTGGACTTATGGTCTTGCTTTGCTTCGCCATGTACTCGGTACGGCTTTGATCGCTCTGCAGATCTGGACAAGCATCAGCGTCTACGAGTCCCTCGGCGAGTTTGGCTGGTTCTTTGGTGATTTCTTCTTCGACCACGCGTCCAAACTCACATACGGCGGCATTTACCGATTCCTCAATAACCCCGAGCGAGTTCTTGGACTGGCTGGTCTTTGGGGTGTGGCCTTGATTACTTGGAGCAAAACAATCTTTTTCCTCGCTCTGCTGAGCCATCTCCTCACCTTGGTGTTCATCCAATTCGTCGAGCGCCCGCACATGGAGAAGCTTTACGGTCAGTCCTTGCGTCAAGATTCTGGGCTTTCCAAGAGTCTCAAGCGTTCTCTCCCTTCGCCTCTCAAGCAATGGCAAGGCAGCGTCGACAGAGTACTCGAAGACTCTATGGACTTCCTTGAAGAATTCATCGACTCGGCAAGACCCAAGCTTGCAGCCGGCATGGACACATTCGTCAGAGACACACGCACGCTCTTCAAAAACTACCCAGCACGCATCAGCATAACACGCCTTGCGCCTGACCTCGCTGGCTACGATCCCAAGGACTACTCTATCGAGATTGAAGGCACACCATCTTCTGGCACCTCTGAGTTCGAACGCTATAGTGGGCGTGAAGGAGAGATTGGCCAGGTCCCTCAGCAGCGCGTCGACGAGTACAAGACTTTGACATTTGAGTACGGCGCCCCTATCAAGGTCCGTTGGCAAGCACCGGTAAACCACCGCCAAAACGACTGGATCGGACTGTATATGGTAGCAGACAACTCTTCGCGTGATGTGACCCGCATTGGTTCTCAAGGCCGCTGGACCGCCACTACGAAGGGCGTCTACGATTCTCTAACCGCCGAAACCGGTATCCTCGTCTCTTCGCACCACGTCACAAAGGATGGCAAGCAATATGCTACTGGTGAAATGGAGTTCTCTGGTGATAAGCTGTGGTGGACCCACGGCGTCTTTGAGTTCCGCTATCACCACGACGGCAAACACAATGTCATGGCCACCTCCCTACCTTTCGAGATTCGCATCGGAAGATTTGATGAAGACGACGTCCAGTTTGATAATATTGCTCTGGCACGTTCGGCCGTTGAGCAGGCCCTACTCCCTGTGGTTCAGAACTGTTTCGATCGCGACTCGGAGGTCGCACCGCGTACTGCTGATGATGTATTTGGCGATGGACTGGAAAGAGAAGGCAGATATGCCAGACGTGTCGTCTTTGCCATTCACCAGATGTAAGCTTGACTCTTGACTATCGGACGGACTATTGTTGACATGCGACACAGGTTCGGTATCGAATTCGCACCAGAAGTCGTCTTGGCAGATGGCAGTATACAGAACCTAGCTTGGAGAATTTGCAACGCTAAGAAAGTGCTTGTAAGTTATCGTCCTCGACGTTCACTAAGTTACTGGTGATAAGACTAACTTTGTGACAGGCACCTTACAGCATGACACCTAGCCGTGGCCGCTCGACTCCCGCGGAGTTCAAGGCTTGATTCATAAAATCAGTTAAGAGGAAGATCACACATGTACAATGTACATAATTCAGGACAAGTAGAAATACGCTCGTTGGACAAGGTCAAAGAAAACACCGCAGTAATGGTAAATTGGAGTTTGGGAAGGAGCGAAAAAAAAAAAGAAAGGTCACGGACACGATACGGCAAAATTGGTGCTCTGGCTTGTGTGTTCAGAATCACCATTTACATATGTTAGGTTGCAAATCAGAGAATATCACGTCTTGGATATTTGCTACTTCCATGTCCTGGACTGCTCATCCTTCCTCATACAATACACCACTTGATTGTTTCTCCCCCTCTTGAATGTCGTCGCTGCTTTCTTTCATCGATGAGCATGTCCGTTTGTTGCTGCGTACTTCTTGAGCAATATAAATCACGATTTTCACCAGCTTCAGCGGAACGGCAGACGCATAAACATCGCTCTTTAATTCTGTCTGCCTTGTGATAGAATGTAAGACAGCAATGTTATCTACGTACAAGTACACGTTGGAAGAACAGGCCTCTGATAATTTCCCCCTTTTCTCATCCTCATCTCTATCATTTCAATCATTCATGTACTGGCGCCATTCTTTGCCGCTCTGAACATTATAGAATAATCCCCGCAGGTAATCCATCCCATATCTAATGAGTTCTACGCTTCTTTGCCTTCGAGGGTCGTTTGTTGGACATGGTTGCTTCGGTCTTGATCTCATCGTCAGGGGTTGGATCAGGCTGCATCTTGCCGATGTTGCCTTGGGTCAGACGGATGACGTCGTCATCGTCCTCAGTAAGATCCATGAACTCCATTCGACGCTTGCCCAGTCTGGCGACATCCAGAGGAGTGGCCTGGCCGGATGACTCGAGAGTGATGCCATCAGTCATGGACTCGTCGCGGCTAGGTGGCATCGGAGCTTCAGCACCACCGCGAGTGTTATCGATATAGTTGGCCTGTTGAGACTGAATTAGCTCGGTGTACTCTCTGCTGTACTGCTCAGTCATGCTAGTAATGAGCGCTCCGAATTCAGGATCTTGCTCTGATTCTTTACACTCGGTACAATGGACGTAGTAAGCGTTGCGCTTGATCGGGTAGCCCAAAACTTCGTATTCTGGCAGTGTATCGCCTAGCAGATCAGCGTCAGGGTCAAGGCAGTCTTCGCAAAAGCCCTTATGGCACCAACGACAGCGGTAGATCAAACCGCCGGCATTGGCTGTGCTTTTGCCACAATCATGACAGTCGTGTTGAGAACAGTGGAAGTTCATCTTGGACTTGGCCTTGGCTTGATACTGCTTGCTGAGGCACTTCAAGTGGTATGAACGAGGACAAGCTGAGCAGAGATAGATTTCGCCACCATCGAAACAGCTTTGGCAGATTTCTTGATGAGGAACAGGCGCTGCTTTTTCGCGCTTGGGTTCCGCCAGTCGGGGGTCCTTGCCTGCGAATGTTGGAACGGCTTCCCAGGCTTTGCAGTTCATGCTCTCCTTGTTGATAGCGTACCCGTCGACCATCACGGTAGTGTTCTTGTCTGCCCTACGGTCTGCACGAGACAGAACGGGGCCGTCGGCGGTCTTCTTGTTGATCTCCTTCTGATACCTGACACCGTCGAGCACAGCACTCTCGACTCGCTCCATCTTTGCTAACCACTCTTTTTCTGTAGCCTCTTCGGATTCACCGTTGACGTGAGGATCGATTGGTTTATCTTTACACTTCTCGATGATCGTCTCGAGGTCCCAGGTGACCATTTCATTCACATCGATCTCCGGGTGACTCAAGGTCGTTGCACCACGACGAATCAAGCTCTTCAACTGCGAGAACCCAAGCTCAGGACCATTGTCCATCGAACTTTCGTCTTGTTCAGCGCCGTTTGATCTTGACAACTCGTCGGGACCGTGTAAGTCTCTCATGGATTCGGTGATTTTTGCAGATAAATACATCTTCTTTCTGATTCGGCCCATCATCTGCTCTTCCACGGTGCCAGAACTTAATAGCTTGTACACGGTGACAGGCTTCGTCTGTCCAATACGGTGGGAGCGTGCCTCTGCCTGGAGTGTGACCTGCGGATTCCAGTCTTCGTCCAAGAAGATAACGTCGCTCGCAGCAGTAAGGTTGAGGCCCAGACCACCGGCGCGAGTAGAGATAAGCATGACCTTCTCCGCCGAAGATGGATCATTGAACAGTCTGATTTGCAAGTTGCGCAGCGCTCTCTGCGTACCACCATCGAGTCTCACATGGCGGAATGGTGCTCCGTGTCCATTGCTGCCTTTTGTTAGGAGGAGATCTTCAGTGTAGTTAAGAGCTGAAGTGAAGCCCGAGAAAATAAGTATCTTCTTTTTCTGCTTTATGACGAGCTCGTCGATTAGCTTACTCAATACTATGAACTTGCCAGAAGCGTGCATGATGTGGTCTCCAAGGTTGTACGGCTCTGGCTCAGCGCCTTTGATCATGTATGGGGTAATGCAGGCTTTACGCAATTGCATGACGATGTTCATGAGCTTCTTATAAGCAGAGGTGTCTTTTTCTCCACTTGCTTCGTTCGAGATAGCCTGCTCGATGAGAGCACGGCTTTGGTTGTTGAAGTCGTTGTCGACGGCATTCTTGATATGATCGAGTTGAGCATCTTCTGCGACATCCTGGATAAGCGCGTCGTGTTCTTTCTGCTGTACATTGCCGAAGATATCATCAAGCAATGTGCCGCCGGCTTTTGTAAGCAATCTTGTATACCAAAAGCGTTGGACTGGAGTTAGAGGAATGTAGAGCAGGACCTCGCTCTTGGTAGGCAGCCCCAAATCGACGCCAGCACTGCTTTTCATTCTGCGAATCATGACAAGCTCAAGCAGATGTCGTGCATAATCCATAAATTTCGAATCGACCTGACCACGACCGATGTTGAATGCTTCCTTGAATAGATCCGCGGTCTTCTCGGTGAAAACACTTGGATACAGCCAATGTAGCAAGGCCCACATCTCGTGAAGATCATTCTGCAAAGGAGTTCCAGTAAGCAGCAGACGATGCTCGGCTTGCAGGCCTTGCAAAGCAAGCGCGATGTTTGTCTTGTCGTTCTTGATCTTGTGTCCTTCATCGAGGATGCAATAACGCCATGGAAAGGCGCGTTTCAACCAGGCACTCTCTGACACAAACGTTTCGTAGGTGGTGACCATAATGTCAAAGACTGTTCCAGAGTCTTCGTTGGTAGGAGCAGAGATCTCACCCATCTTCGATTTGTTGCGACCAGTCGCGTTTCCGTATCTGTCGGTAGCTCCAGATGCCATCAACTTCACCTCATCGCGCTCAGAGTTCGTGCCATGGAAGCGGAGAACCTTGAGTCCTGGGGTCCATTTCCGGGCTTCATCACACCATGATCTCAGAACGCTGAGGGGGCATACGACAAGGTATGGTCGAGCAATACCGACCGGGCTGGGGTGAGTCTCTTCAAGGTGCTGAATCAGCGACAGGGTCTGTAGCGTCTTTCCGAGGCCCATCTCATCTCCAAGAATGCAAGGCATTGCGTTTTCATACATGTTGGCCAAGAAAGAGAGACCGGTGAGCTGATACGGCTTCATGGTTGCAACAACGCCAGCCGGCTGCTTGCTGATGGGGGTGAATGGCACGTATTCCTGATGCGTGCCCTCGGCTAGTAGCTTCGAGATGTAGTTGCTGGAAGGCAGCAAGGGCAAGAAGTAGTCTTTGTGGTGAACGAGGAAGGCATCGCGCTTTGCTCTTGTCGTTGTTGCGATGTCATCACGCACTCGGTTTCGCACAGTGTCGGTTTTGACAACGCGCGGAGCCTTGGCTCTGGCCTTGGGTGATGCGACTTCGTCAGTGATCATGTCGGAATCCATAACACGGTTGTCGGCGATCTGTTGTCTCTTGGATTTGCGCCTGGGCGTGGTCGATTTAGGGGTCCTTGAGTTGTATTCAACTTTGGTCCGGGCAGCTCGAGGGGGCAAAGATCTGGTTGGCGTGATTGCGTTAAGCTTGATTGGACTCTTGACATCGATGTTAGATAACATGTCTCCATCATCGTCGTCGAGAATGTGGACGACTGCGGTGTCTTCATTTTCAGACTTGGTGTTGCTAGAAGACTCTGTTTGCGGCAGATCTTCTGCTCTCATATGATTCACAGGAGAGGTTTGACTCGTGGGTTGAGCAGGACTCATAGGTACCGGCAAGGGTCTTTGTCTTGGTTTGAACATCGACAGCAGTCCAGAAGCGGACAATCGCTGCCTCTTGGGTGCTGGTGACTGGTCCGCCATGGTTTGAGAAGGCGGAATAGGATCGAGTTGTTATGAAAGCAAAGAGATGAGAGCAAGGCTCTGCGGTCACTTGGTTAATTGAAGCCAGCTGTATGATGTTGCCGGATGGTTCTTGATGAATGTGATGAGTCAAAGTAAAGAAGGTTAGAGTATGGCAAGCGTCAAAACAACTTTAGTGATGCTGGCAACCTTATAATCATGGTCAATCACTTATGCTTTCTTAATTCACTGCAAGGAAGGTACACAAGAAGGTGGTCAAAGTCGCGTTCACTTTCCAAAGCGGAAGACGCGATTCGTTGACGCGGGAGTTTCTATCAAACGCATGGGGTTTCCTACCCGACGCACGCGAACTCTGACTCCTCTCCTGCGCAGTATGATAGCCAATGTTACTATCGTCAAAATACACAATGTTCTTAGGAATTTCAAGGGGGTGCATGATCCTCGCTCGATCTCCGAGATGTTATCGCCCTTCGACAGCGTCAAAACCCGATCATAACTGCTGCCGGGAGATGCTTACGCTGAATAAACAAACTACAAGCGCTTGATATCAACTTCCCTCACTTTCCAAACGACGCGATTCGTGAAACCGCGCCCAGCCAATGAGTGAATTGCCGATGGCTGACATTTCCAGATGCACTCGAGTCGCCGCCCTTGAAAGTGTCTCAACGTAATATTTCCTAGAATAACCATTAGACCCCCCTACCTATGCGCAGTGCTTTTATCAAGTCGCTGTCCTCAATTCGCAGCATCCCGCGTACTGTCAACGGTACCCGCACATTTGCAACAACAAGCACAAGATCATTTACCAACAATATGGAGAAACCATTCGAGCAGATGGAGGAGCAGATCCCTAAGGTCTCTGAGCCTACGAGTGCTGCCGCGCCCAAGCAGGAAGAGCAGGACTTGCCGAAATTGTCGCCGCAGGAGTTCAGGATATACAACAGAATGGCAGAGCACATGGATATGTTTGTATGTGGTCTATCTATCGACTTTCTGTTCTACCGGGCATGAACTAATGCTTTGAAGCACGAGAACTTCCGTAGGACGTGGAACCTCTTGTACGGCGCATGCGAGAGCAAGAAGCGACCAAGCGGTATGAGCATCCGTCAATTCATCGGTGTTGGCGACGATTTTTGCCATCATCTCACTATACACCACACTATCGAGGAGCGCCACATCTTCCCAATCCTTGCTCGTAAGATGCCGGCCTTCAAGAAAGAGCTCGAGTTGCTCACTCAGCACAAACAAATCCACAATGGACTCGACAAGTTTGAAGAGTACCTGGGCCAGTGTCGAAGCGGAGAGAAAGAGCTGCGCATGGAAGAGATGAAGGCCATCCTAGACACGTTCGGTAAGGTCCTTTGGCAACATCTTGACGACGAGGTGCATGAGTTGAGGGCCGAGAACATGCGCAAATACTGGACGCCAGCTGAGATGGCGAGGATACCCATTTAGAGGGGCATCATTCTGGATTATACCCATAGACTTCTTTCATTGCTCAAGACGGCTTGCCTTGCTTTCTTGCGGCAGCGAACTTTTCGTGCCATTTTCGTTTTCCGGCAGTGGCTTTCGCAGCTGGTTTGGTGGCGCCGGTGGTGGTTTCTTCTGCGACTGCGACCATCTCGGGTGCAAATTCGATGCGCTTGCCGCCTGTCGATAGCTTGTATGAACCCTGCTCAGAAGTTAGTGATGTCTCTTGCAATGTCCGGGCAAACCTGCCTTGAGTATATCAAGGGTAGTCTGAGCTCTCCACGCTTCGGGAAGAGCGTCCTTCCAGGCATCCAAGAAAGCCGACTTCTCCATAGTAGACTGTTCTGCATGGCTCTGATGGCGGCTCTCCAGCAAATTGTGACCCACAAACTTGACTGTAGCTTGTTGCTGGAGATTTAACGACTCTTGACCGTGCTCGGAAAGCTTCAGGAGAATAGCGTCAACTAGACTCCTCGGCCATTCATCTTCTCCGTCAAGCATCCTGTCGATCGACTCTTTCTGTATAGGAGCAGCCAGGTTGACGGCATGAGCGTATGCAATTTCCAGTAACCATTTCCACACTTTTACAAGGGCAGCAGCGGTAGGACGGAAGCTCTGACCGGCGTGCTCAAAGGCGACGAGATGCTTCCATACATCCTGGCACTCGCCATGACTCATGGGGGTTTGCGCAAAGACATGATGTTTTGATCGTGGGTCCGACGAGCGTATGTCTGCGTCCTGGGGTTCGGCGAAGGAGATCAAGAGGGAACGAAGAGTGGATGCGGCATGACGGGTGGGTGCAGGCAGGCATTCAAGAGCGGAGCCGCATTGAGAGATGGCAGTGGTACCAGAGGCATCGAGCGAAGGAGTGGTGATATAGACGGTGTTGGAGGTGTGGACCTGGCGGATGAGATAGGTCTTGTCTTGGGTGGTGAGGAAGGCTTCAGGGTCTGTCGCGTCTTTGGCTTTGAAGCTGAGGGAAGGCGCGTCGGATGTGCTGAGGTAGTCGAGTAGGTCTGGAGGGAGCTCGAGCAGGCGACATGGTTGCAGGTCAGCGGCGATGGAGAAGGGAACACCGGCGCTTGACTGGGTCGACATGGTGCAGGCTTCAGTGGGGGACTAGTTTCGAGAGCATCATCCTTGATCGCAGCTTCCGGGCGACTCCTCTGCCCCGCAAACAAACAATCGACGGCGCCAAACTTGGACCAGGGAACGAGCTTCGAATAGCTTGTCGGCAGAGCGGGCCGAGAGATCAATATCAGAGAGCCGACCCCGACGGTTGCAACAACAAACGGTGTGACCAGTCAATTGCTGAACCCAGCCCTACTAGTATACAACAAACTCCTGCGACCCTTCTCCCTCGCGTCGCCGTCTTGTTGTTTTTTGTTTCCTGTCGCTGTCCGCACCCGCGCCCATCTCGCTCGCTCTCCCCCTCCGCCGGTTCGAAGGCTGGTCCTCGTCCGCTTTGTTTACTTTTTCCACCACCGGCCATGAGCTTATACCGCGACTCCCTACCAAGTGTCTGAGATCCTCCCAATGGTCGTTGTTACTCCGGCCATAGCCGCCCTTACCGGCGAGCTAACTCTCTTCCACACCACCGACCCACTTCTCTCCAATTCGCCCATCCTCGTCTTTTACGGTCCTGCCCCCTCCATCTCTGCTGCCACCTCGCGCATCCAGATCCACGTCTTTACTCCTGCCGGCTTCGAATCCTATCCCCGCGTCAGCATCTCGCCCAATGCTCCCTACTACGCTGCCGTCAATTCTCTCCCGCGAGAAGAACAGGGCGATGAGGTCTGCCGTGGACTAGCTTTCGGGCTGTCAAAGTACTTTGCAGAAGTCCCTAGACCCTCGAGAGATGCCTGGGTCGCCCAAGCATGCCCCTCTAAGAAGGCCGCTTCTGCCTTTGCGCTCTTCAGCGACGCCCACGTTGCTATTCTGGCCACACGCATGAACAAGGTCGATAACCTTGACGAGATTATCAACGACATACAACGCTCTCTCAGTGAGCAAACTGTATCATGGCTAGATCTGGATGTTGTCTTGCCTCCTGGTTCCATCGAGCCCGTCAAGCTGGAAGATGAAGAGCCCGAGCAAGAGAACGTTGACGAAGAAGAGCTGTGTGCACGCCGATATGGAGACTATGCTCCGTTCATCAAGTTGTTGGGCGAGCCTGCCTTTCTGCCCACCTCCAAGCTGCGCAGAGCTCCATCCAAGCCCACTGCCATTGGCCGTAGTCAGGCCTTTCTCAGAGATCAGCGAGAGGTCACGAGGAAGGAGATGAGCGAGCTTGTCGACACCGAGTCCAACTACATCAATAAGTTGACTTTGCTCGTTACCGACATTGCTTCCGACTTGCGCCAAATCGTCCACAACGATGCTATTCCCGTCTCGAATCCCATGGAGCGCACGATTAATGATCTGTTTCCTCCCTTTCTCGACAAGATGCTGGAGCTCAACTCTGCCTTTCTCGAAGCCATTCGCCAAGTTCTGGATGATACTGAGGATTCAACCATTGTGGATCTAACAGACACGACCGAAGAGACATCTCAAGATGAACCTATAGAAGACACCATCGGCCTTACAGAATTCGCTAAATGTTTGATTGAATGGTTCCCAAAATTCGCAGAGTGCTACCCTTCATACATGCAAGCGCATTCAAGGTTCCCACGTCTAATGAGAAGGTTGGCGCGTATCGGGGATGCAAGCATATTGGACAAGATCCAGTCATTTGGAGAGAAGCGTCTAAATTCTCTACTGATTGAGCCAGTTCAGCGTCTGCCTCGCTATACCTTATACATTGACAGTATCGCAAAGCAACTTCCTGTGGCGCATCCGGCACTAAAACTACTGCTCAAAGCTCGAGACATAGTTTCGGAAATTTGCTCGCAAGATGCACCTGGCGCTCAAGAAACAAATATATGGGAACGCTTGCAACGAATCGTCAAGTCTTGGCCGGAAGAAATTGAGTCAGTGGGTCGATTGATCACAATCGTGGATGTTGTTGAGATGTTTCCGCCCTTCGAGGATGGTCACAGTCGTGGAAGTTCAGGAGTGCTCCTTTTATTTACTGACTGCACTATCTTCGTCGAGAAGCGATCTCAGATGGCCATGTCCGCGCGTGCGTTATTATCAGAACTCGGAAAGCCATTACTCGAGGACCGCCGTGATTCGACTCGCCCAATCACTCCGCCATCTCTACACTTTGTAGACTCTTTCAGTTTGAAAGACACAACCGTGACAGAGTACCTTGACAATCGCGCGATTACCATCATGCCACTTTCTCCTGGCCCGGATCCTGGTATTGCTTCTGAACAACGTGTTTACTTGCTCGAAGGACCGTACTCTGGAAAGGCCTCGAAGTTCCAAGAAGAGTGGACAAAGGCTCAGGTCGAAGGTCGCTTCACTGAAGAGGAGCGAGAGAGTGGCAAGTGGGAGGTTCGCAGCGCCCAGATTGCTGGTGGAGAGCTCAATCTCTTCAACGCCATTTTCGAAGGTTGCCAACGACATCACCAGGAGAACCCATCCGAATCGGCACGTGTCCGCATAATTATCGATCCCAGCAAGCATGAACATCGCGCCGTTGTTGGCGAAAATGAGCTAGAGGCCAACGTGTCGCTGGAGAAGACAGAGAAAGGACAATGGCGCATTTCAATCGAGAGCGCCTACTCGATGGCAACACGCGACAAAGTCGATGAAGGGGAGTTTCTCTCCATTCTCATAAGGCGGCTCAGTGGTCTGTTGACGTCTCGCTTTTCGACCAAGAATTCTGCCATCACTTCCTCGTTTGTCCTCCGCAATCAACAAGTCTTGGATGACTTGCATTTGGAGTTTGAAAAGAAAGAGGCTGAAGTATCAGTCGCACCGGAGCCGACTTCGAGCCAGGAACACCATCGTCCGAAATCCCCTGTTAAGATGATCTCGAACTTCCTCTCCCAGTCTACACATGGCCGTCAGACTCCAACTCCTAGGAAACTCCCTCAACCTAATGCTTTCTCAGATGCACCGTTACTTCTTCCAGGCAGTAGAGACGGAAGCCGGCCGTCTTCGCGCGACCAGCCGTTGCAGCTATCTGTGACACCTGAGAGAAACAACATCGTGCAGAGTCCCACCAAAAGACTCGAAGATGCTCTCAATACCTACCTTCTAGCGCTCCTGGCTCGCAAAGGCAATATTGTTGGCAAAGTCGTGCAAGGAAGATCGCGTGCCAACGAGCTCTCTGTCAACGAACTTTACAACTCATTGCTTGAAGATCCAAACATGATGGTGGTAGCAGCCCAATCATCCATTGATGTTCTTTTTGCCGCTTTTGAGAAGTTCCTCAACGTCGCTTGGAAGGAAGGTGTTGGTGCGGTGATGACAGCAACCCAGTTCCAGACCATTCAGACCAAGGCCGAAAGCTTGTTCCCCGTCGATTTCGAACGGTACTTCAAGGACAGCTTCCATAACATGTCGCCTCCCAATCAACGAGCATTGAGAGGGATTGTAAAACTACTAGCCGAACTATTGGATGGTACCGGTAATGACGGCGATCGTGGTATTTTGACGGCAGCATTTGTCGAGATATTGGTGCATGATGGTAATCCATACGATTTCGTGTCACTGCTCGATAGATTCGTGGAGGATATCGAGTCGTTGTTTGGTGAAGTGGTGCAGCCTAGGGAGACACGTCCTACGTTAGGAGGACACGGTCGCTCACGTTCTACAAACACTGCTTCTTTGACCTCCAACACTTCGTCCTTCCGAAAGAAGTTCGGATTCGGTTCCAGTACTAGTAGACCGGAACAGGACTACAAAGTTTCGGTGTGGCGAACTTTGAGTAAGAGCACAAGACTTCCTGATCAGCCCTCGAGCTTGTCTAGAGGAACAATGCAGCGTGCGAAGACTACGGACGGCCACGGTGGTCTACCCGTCAGACCTTTCTCACAGGAGGGCCCAAGCAGGCAACCATCGCCACAACCTCCGGAGCGACCAATGTCGCATGACTCCATGTGGCACAACAACGGCCCTTCGCTTGGAAGTATCGGAGAGACACTTAGTCCGCCTAACCCTGCACCTCACCGAAAGAAGCGGCGTAGCTCGCTGTCCGACCTCAAATCTCTAGAGCTTACTCTGAACGAATCGCCATTCATCTCGCCGTCAGCAATGCGCTCCTTCGAGGATTCACCAAAGGAACCAGTAGAGAGAACCAAGTCACCTTCACCCACACTCACCAGAGCTACTGGCATTCCCATGCTTGGATCAACTCTTGGATCGCCTATTAGCGATCGACCCCGTTCACGATTACCATCCGCTTTCCGCAAGGAAAACTCGCCATTAAATCAACACCAACCTAGCCCGTCACCTTCCTCAACTAGACCTAGGAGTCTGAGCAAGCAACCTGAAGAGTTTGATGCTAGCCCTGGTCCTCTTGTGCGACGTGGCAGCAAGCAAGTCGGTGATGTATCAAATAGCCCCTACTCGATCGGTAGACGAGGTTCGAAGCACATCGATGAAGCCCTTTATCCGCTGGCTCGACGAGGCTCGAAACAGGTTGAAGATGGACACAATGTTCTCGCACGTCGTGGTTCTAAACAAGTCGATGATGGCAGCATCAGCAACTATCCAACACTTCGACGCAGTTCAAATATACCATTGCTATCGTCCAAAGTCGACCGGCCAAAGACACCGTCTACTCCAACAACAGCAAGAGCAGGACTGTCAGAACGCCCTACAGCAGGCAACGCGATGCGCATTAAGACAGGTCAAGCAGGCACGCCAGGTAAAGTGACGATAAAATCACCACCACCCAGCGGCACGCCTACCAGAAAATTGCGCATGCAATCACCCCAGAAGTTACGCGAACGTCTCCAAGACGAGCACCGTGCCCTAGATACCGCACATTCAACCCTTCAAGACGAGCTCGGCCGCATAGGCGAAGAGATAACCATGAATCGTCACAACAGCGTCCTCCGCAACCACGATTCTCCTGCTCAATCCCAAGCACCCAGCCACGACATCCGCACCCGCCTCTCAGCACTCGAAATCTCTCTACCGACATCTGTGGATGCCGTAGCTGCACGCGTAGCCAAAATCCACGCCGACGCACTTTCTTCCCTCGCCGTGTCCGAATCCAAAGCCAAAAAATTGGATGAGCTGTACCGTGAAGCCAATGCTGAGAATGAAGCTCTGTATGCACGATTCAATGACGAATTGGCCAGAGTGCTCAAGGCTGTGAGAAGCGGACAAGGTGTTGATGAGTTGAAGAACAAAGTCCGCGAGTCGCAGGACGAGGCTGGAAGGTTGAGGAGGGAGAATGCGAGATTGAAGCGTGAGGTTCTTGGGTTGAGGAGTCAGTTGAAAGATTGAGGAATGTAAAATTTTACTTCACGCTTTAATCTCAATCTAGGTCACGAACGAATCGGATGACGGATGATCGGTGGATCTGGTATTGGAAGGATCTGATGGGAGGCTACGGAGAAGGCAAGGATCAGGTACGGGAACAGAAAGGGGTCAGGATGAGGAAGGAAAGATGGATGGGTGGAGAGGAAAGGACGACTGAAAGACCTCTCTTTGGATCAAGAAAGAACGTGGTCACAGAGCGCGTTCACAACTGCCCTACCTACCAAGGGTGTTGTGTTGTTACCATTGCAGTGTATTAGCGGTGGCGTCTCTTCTTCAGGTCGTGTTTTTGTTTTGCTTTACAGCACTCCAGCATATTGTATCTTTGATTGTTCTGAAAAAGCGTGGTACATATTTGACCAATACATGTTGACTTTTGTCATCAGAACTCCCGATATCTCTTTGGCCTCTTGGGATTGAATGCTTCATCTGCTTCGTGCGCGGTGGTTTCACAACCATCGTCGTCACCCTCCCCGGAACAGCAATCCCACCTGAAGCAATCAGGATGGTTCTCCTTATTCTCGGCTGTATCTATCGGGCCATCCTCTACTGAATCATGATCTTGCCATGCTCGCTCATCTGGCTCTAGTTCCCCTGAATTTGAAGCACATCAGCAACGACGAGCGCCGGTCAAATCGGGTTCTGAGAGCACTTACCACTATGATGTACGCAACTGTTCTCTGCATTCTCCGTGACGTCGAACTCGCTCTTACATAATCTACACATTTCGAGCCTCGGTCTCTTGTTCATTCCCACCGTGCCTTCATCGACGCCCGAGTCAATTGGTTGTACTGTTAAAACCTCCTTCTCGAATATCGCCCTCGCTTGAGGCGACGAGTTCAGTGTTTTATAAACCACCGTCCGTAATCGACTGAATGTGAGTTTGTCAACCGCTGTCCGCAACTCTGGCTCTATCTTCGGTCGTGGGGGTTGATGTGGTATTGGTGACAATGTAGTAATGTGAGGTGATTGTATAGTGAGAGTACGGCCTTTTGCTGCTTTTCGAGCTTTCCGGGTGGCAGCTTCACGTTCTGGTACTATTGCTTTGATGGCTGCTTTGAAGGCTTCATCGAGTGAGGTTTGGGCGGGTGGCTGTTTTGGGGTGGCCTTTCTTGGTGGTGAACTGCTTGATGGCTGGTGTGATGATTTTCGTCCTGATGCGAAGCACGATGGTTTTCGTTTTGACGTGGAGGGCGATGGAGGTCGAGTGACTGGTGATTCGGTTTTCGTGTACGGATTGTCTCGCCTAGACTTTGGTACTGGCTCTGGAGGTGTTGGTTCTGTTGATAGTACCGTGTCTAGCCACGGGTTTGATCTTCCAGTGGCTATGTGTTGGCTTCCTGTTGAAGGCGATCGAAACGCATGCTGTGCTGCAGCCATCATCTCTCAACACCTTCGCCTTGACTCACGACTTTGGAGGGATTGTACGAGTAGGGGCAAGCCATCATATACAGCAAGTAATAAACAATCAAGTGACCAAACGTGTTCCATGACTTGAAACCAGTTGCGTGATGTCAGTATCCTATTGATCAGCGTACTCAGCTTGCTGCGTCCAGCATCTCCTTGGAGCGGTTGTCTCCTTAAACTCGAGTCTTGTAGACAGATCTAATGCATGCGTGGTGTGTCGGTCCGCAATGACGGGTAAGAGTGATCATTGCAGCAGCCTTTTGAGGTAGGATCGACACTGTACTCTGCCGTGTCAAGGGATGATGAGCAGATTTGCATCCGGCACAGATGGGGAAGTCGCAACTCTTGGATGATCAAACGCGACATTGGTTAGTTGGTGCTCTTTCCGAAAAGAACCAGCTTCGCTTAAACGCTTCGTCGGTGTGGAATAAGTTGTGGTTGTGGTTGTCATCGCGTCGACGTTCGGCTTTTGCCATTCAAGGTTTCGGCTTCACACAATCAAAATCATCACAGCTTCGAGCATACTTTTGCTCAATCTCTCCAGTCTCATTTCATACGCATCCCAAGGGCCAAAATGAATTTCGAGCTTTGCTCACAAGAGCAAAAGAGAAACCGACGCCTAAGAGATTCGAACTCTTGCTCCCGAAGGAAATAGATTTCTAGTCTATCGCTATAACCACTCAGCCAAAGCGCCGAACTGTTGTGAGTCAACTGATTGTAAATTATCATGTTTTCATGAAATCTAGTCTTCGAGATGCAGTCAACAATCCGATGGTGAGGTAGCAAACGGTTAGTAACATGTTGGCTCGCAGTCAGTCGACTTACAACAGTTCGGCGCTTTGGCTGAGTGGGCGCTGCGCGGCTTTGGGTACAGGAAAGAGTACGATAGAGGACAGAATGGGTTGCTTGGGCAGACGAGAAAAGAGTGGTCTGAACATGTTGGCCATGAGTTTGAAAATCGATAATGTGGTATGTCGGAAGCAGAGGTGCTGCGCTGCCTTCTGTGTGTGCGACACAGACTTGTCCGGAAATCGTGGCCTGCAGCGCCTACTTCGTGGTCCTGCTGAACATGTTGAATGTGGATGTAGGACGTGGGAGGATTGATGCCAGCTCTCTGAGCTAAGTGGGTGTCTGCCAGTGTGCGAAGCCTCGACTGATGACGTGTATGACTGTTGCTGGTATGACCTTGTCGGAACTTTCGACTATTCTCTAGTTCTTCAACGACCTGCTTGGTCGGGATATTCTCGCCTTAAGACTGTATGAGAGTAGAGACCGAAGCAGATGGGCCAGTTTGGAATCCTCGAACATGCTGCTGCCGGCGTGGCTTGCTGTTGGCCTATCTTGAGCCTATCGAACCCAAAATTCGACAAACAGAGAAGCAAGCATCATGTGAATAACGAACAACAATCATTGACCACAAGCAAAGAGAGTAACACACAAGACCAGGACGCACGCCGCTAATCGCGAGTTCCTCCCAAACCGACCAACATGCCGCTTCTGTCGATTGAACCGCCGTTGCTCAACAGCGCCAATCCGTGGTGCAGCACACGAGAGGACCTCGAAGCCCTCTACCTATGCCCCAACACGGGTGCTGTGACGACAAGGACGAGTCTACTTCACGGCTTCCCACACGATGACTCGATACACCAACATGCCTTCTTCTCTACGCAATCGCAAACCTCGACGACAGCACCCGATTACACCATCAGTGGGAAAGAGTACCCAGCCAGTCTCAACACATTAGGCTATTCGCCCACTCCGCTAGACACCTATCTCACCTGGATCGAGCAAATAGTCACTGCATCGCCGAATGAAAAACCCAAGCCTTTCGTCGTATCAGTTACGGGCTCGCCGCAACATGTCGCAGAATGCTACACCCGAGTCGCTGCCCTTGCTGCCCGTTTACACATACCGCTCGCAGTGGAGGTCAACCTCAGCTGTCCGAACATCGCAAACAAGCCACCACCAGCATATTCCCGTGACGCGCTGAAAGAGTATTTGGATGCATTGAAGGACATACCACGCACAGTGCCACTAGGCCTGAAGACACCCCCGTATACCTACGCCGGTCAATTCAAGACGCTGATAGATACGTTGCGTGGGGCTGAGACGCAAATCGACTTTCTTACTGCCACGAACACACTGGGATCTTGCCTTGTGCTTGGAAACGAGGGAGCTCGTCAGTATCAACCATTGCTTCCATCAGCAGCAGGTACGGGTATTGGTGGACTTGCAGGCGAGCCTTTGCACCCACTTGCTCTCGGAAATGTCGCGACACTGCGCCAAATGCTTAATGAACATGCAGGACTGCATGACATCGACATCATTGGTGTCGGCGGCGTTAGCGATGCGGCTGGTTTCGCACGCATGCGAGCAGTAGGTGCAAAGGTCGTGGCTGTAGGCACAGCTCTAGGCAGAGAAGGGCTACCAGTATTCGCCAAGATACTGCAAGGCCCAAAGACCTCCAAGTTGTGAACATGGGTAAACGACAGTATGCAATTTCGCTAATGATAATAATATGCCCAATCCTTTTGATCCTCTATGCAATGTACGCCATCAGGTTATGTAATAATTCACAGGTAGCTTAGGTGAAGACATCGGTCGCGAATCTGACGTTGCGGATGCCCTCGAACCACTCCTCAGCTTCCTTCTCAGTCTTGTCCTTGCCAAGATCCTTCGCCTTTTCCATGTAAATCTTCTGGCAAACTTGCTGTACACTGCGCTCAAGGCCACGGCTACCACAGACGTAAACTCTGCTGCCGGCATCCCAAAGCTCGAGAGCTTCCTTACGGTGCTCCCACAAGGCGTCCTGTGCATACTTTGATCCTCCGCTGGCGTCTGATTTTCTGCTGTAAGCACGAAGAATCTTGACGGCACCTGTAGCTTCCCACTTGTCAAAGTCCTCACGGTAGAGCTCATCCTCGTCGGGGCTTCTGCAGCCGATAACGAGAAGAGCAGGTGCGAGCTTGCGCCCAGCTTCGACCTGAGCGGCTCTTTCCTGTACGAAACCACGGAAGGGTGCGAGGCCCGTGCCGGCGCAGATCATGATGACGGGTGTGTTTTCGTAGTCGGTGGGCAGATGGAAAGCCTGGTTTGAGGGGCGCACGGCGACGTGCAACTTGTCTCCCGTGGCGAGCTTGGAGAGGTAGTTACTAGCTACACCGACATACTCGCCCATACCGCTCATGTGTGACTGGTGTAATACAGCGTAGGTGAGAGTAACGCGGTGAGGGCTGACAAGGCTTGATGAGGAGATTGAGTAAGATCTGGTGCGCATGGGAGGCAGACTGCTTATGAAAGCACCCAGAGGTAGTTGTACCGAAGGGAAGCGGTTGAGTAGGTCTAATAGCGAAACTCTCTTTTCGCTAATTTCCGTGCTGAAGGCATCACCAGAAAGTCGAACGAGCTCCTTCTTGGTCTCGTCATCTGTGCAGGCATCCAAAAGCAGCGTTACATTTCTCTTGGTTGCGGGCTGGCCAAGCTCAACATAGGCACCAAACAAGTCGTTGGCAGAGATCGGAACATTGGTAGGCAAAATCGTGCCTACGGCAGCCTTGATGGTCAAGACACTGTCCCAGGCGAGGTTGAACCTGCGCATGACACGCTGCACGCTCTCGGCTGGGTTGACAGGTAGTACATGCAGGTAGTCTCCGCTGCTGTAGGTTGCCGAAGCCGGTAGCTCGACTTCTATGTGTCTTTTCTCCGAGGCACCAGGCTTGGAAAGAAGCTTTGCATCAACAACTCTAGCCTCGTATACGTCGGCACGGAGGTGGGAGGATCGAACACTCGAGACCTCAACTGTGAGGCTTTGAGTGGCAGCTGAGTCGGTCGCACCACCATCGCCTCCGTACTTCTTCGACATTGCAGGCCAGAAGACTTCATCTTCCCACTTCTCGAACTCGCTGAACATGTCACCGTTCGCTGCATTGGCTGAGCCTCTCTCGCAGATGCGATCTCCGCCACGCGCAAGAAGAATGTTGTCGATCGCTGTTGGGATCTTGTGGAAGGTGTTCTTCCAGTCGCTGTGGCCAGCTCCAAAGACGGCATACTGGACCTTTGCAGACGAATTTCCTTCAAGTGATTCGAGCCAGTGATAGAAATGAGCAGCATTGTCTGCCGGTTCACCTTCGTATGAGCATGTGACTATTGCAATTGGCTGGTCTGTTGGTAGGTTATCCTTAGCAGAGTCAAGGGTATCGATTTTGGTGACCTTGAAACCATGAGATGGAGCATCAGCTGCAAGTCCTTGAGCAAAGGCTTGGCAGGTACCGGTATTAGATCCGTATAGAATTGTCAGGGGTCGCCCCTTACTATCACCAGCACCAGCGCTCTCTCTGGCCGCCTCACCATGCGGTCTAGATTGCTGCGTTGCGACAGGTGCTCCATTCGAAGAGAGAATTTGCTCGAGTTGAGTGGGGGTTCTGCCGTGACGAAGTTGAGCGTGCATGTAAAGGTGGTTGGGCTTAATGGTCAAGGTCGATTTGATCTGCAGGTCATACTTTGCGTCGTCCAGAGTGAAGTCAAAGTATTGAAGCAGCATCGCAACCACCAGTTGAGCCTCTTGCCATGCGAAGGGACGGCCGATACAGGCGCGAGAGCCATTGCCGAAGGGCTTCCAAGCATTGGGGGGAAGTTTGTTGAAGTTTTCGTCGAGCATTCTCTCAGGCTTGAACTCGTTGGCATCTTCTCCGTAGACAGCCGGGTCACGGTGAATCTTTGGTAGGAGTGCAATGATGGGCTCTCCCTTGAATACGGTGTATTCTCCACCAATAGTGTCGACTTCGTTGTTGGGCTGAATTGAGAAGGCGGGAGCAGTAGGCTGTAGTCGTAATGTCTCACGCAGGACTGCGTTGATGTAGGGAAGCTTGCTCAGGTGCTCAACTTTGATGCTTGCGTCTCCGATCACTTGGTCGACCTCTTCTTGAGCTTTTTTGTAGGCGGATGGATTTTTCAGCAGGTAATAGAAAAGGAAGGATAGAAGACCAGACGTAGTTTCATGGCCCGCTATGAGACTGGTGACTAGGTTGTCGATGATGCTGTCGTCGCTTAGAGAGTCACCATTTCTCGGGTCCTTGCCGTGGATCATAGCATGAAGTAGGTCCTTTCGTTGCCCAGGATGTTTTTTGCGGTTTTGCACCAGCTCGAGACTCAACTCTCGCATGTACTTGATGTCTTTCCAGTACTGATATTCTTCCTTACGGTAAAGGGCAGCCAAGAAGCCAGGTCTTCTGATACGTGCACCTGACTCTGACAAAACGTTTACCATGGCATCCACGAAAGGGTGCATTTGCTCTGCGTAGAATGAATTGAATCGATAGTCCATGGAGCAAAGGGCGAGGGTGTCCAAGGTCAGTCGTGTAAAGTCGTCTGTGACGTGAATTTTGTAATCATTTCCGTGGCGGGCCCATTTCATGACCAGTTGCGATGCTATGTCCTTCATGTCGTCGAACATGGATCGAATGTTAAGCGGTCCAAAAGCGGGGACCAGGACACGATGAGCAACCTCCCAATTGTGTTCGCCATTGTGCTGTGATGCCATCAGATCTGAATGTGTCACATCAAAACCATGGACATACTGCTGTGAAAAGGCCATCTCCAGTAAGATTTCTGACTTCTCCCAGAGCGGCAGTGACGACCTTGCCGAATCTCTTCTCGTCGCAGATTTCATTCATCAACTCAACCGAAGAGACGATTACTCGACGCTTTCCAAGTATTGAGAGGCTGTAAATAGAGCCTGAATGTTATCAGTTCTGCTGTCATTACTTGAAGCTTCGAGCATAGGTAATCACCATATTTGTCCGCAATGTCCATCAACGACTTGATAGGAACCTCAGGATCGATGTCGTTGACATTTCCAAGAAAAGGCCAGCCAGCTGGACCAGGAATAGGTGTAGACATTTTGATAGGTAGTGATGGAACAAATTGGTCCCAGTACCTGCCTGACGTCTCTTATATCAGTATTAATTCCTTCTGACATCTGTTAACCAGGCGTCGGAGCTCTCAAGCTTGGCTGCCGACACGGCCTATGGTCAGCCGACGCGCGAGCTTCCGTGTGATCCAAGCTTACCTCGGCTTTGCCAAATCACACGTACTTTGCGCTTCTTCGGGCAATCCTTGCGAGAACAACAGTCAGACAATCGAGAAACCAAATAGGTCTCGCAAGGCCTACCTTTCTTACTCCATCTCTCAGGGGGCGATGCATTCTTGGTGTCGTTGCAAGAGGCGAAATTAGAGGTCCGCTTCGCCGATTGATATGCAACAAAATACGAGAGACGATCGTGCATTTCCCTTCCTCTCCCTTGTCATGCGTGTAGCTGTAGAAACACACGATTCTCAAGAAGTCATCGGCGGCCTCCACTGAGATCGTACATTTCTACAGGCCGAATGACTCTAGACCTGAGTTGCGGGTGATGGCCGAATGCGACAGATCTCAACGCACGAGTGGTCAATTGTTTCGGAAGTTATCATTAGATCATGCGTACTTGAGTACATTAACGCCTGCCCCCTCTTCAGGCAGACTCATCCATGCAGCTAGCTATATATTATTCATGCTGACATAGGTATCATCACCGGACCACTCGTCTCAGCTTGACCCACAAGGGCGACTTGTCCCAAAAAGAGAAGACTTTTTGGTTGGTCCATTTACTGCTTTCTGGCATCAACTCCAGGTCGAAATTCCAGAAAACTTCCGTCAATAACAGACGACATTCGTGATATGCAAGATTGCGGCCGATACAATTGCGAGGTCCCGTTGAGAAAGGCTGAAATGCGGCATGGTTGTCGTTCTCGAAGCGTGAATCCTGCTCCAACCATCTTTCTGGTATGAAACTCTCTGCATCATAGAAGTTGGCCTCGGAGTGATATGTCGCCCATTGGCTCACAGAGACAGTGATGTCTTCGGGAATATATTCTCCACAAATTCTGGCACCACCTTTTGGAGTCTGTCGTGGCAATCCAGTCGGCACTGGGGGGTACAGTCTCATGCCTTCCTCGATACAAGCTGACAAGTATGGTAGCTGTTGCAACGCCTCGATCGTGATATCTTTGTCGGTTATAAAAGCAGAACGCAGCTCCCGAGTAAGCCTCTCGGTCGTGGCTGGGTTTCGGAGGAGATGGTATGTCAATCCGCTACAATTTTTGTCAGCAAAGTACTAGACCTTTTTCTACTAGAGCACGTACCTTAGCAATGTCGCCGTCGTCTCGGTCCCTGCTATCATAAACATTGCGGAGTTGCTATGCATCTCACTTAATGACATGCCTCCCTCTTGCCCAGCTTTTTTCAAAACAAAACTCCACAAGTCCGGCTTGGAAGGCGTTGTTTCCAGACGGCGGTCCACTCGATCAGCCGAATATTTGAAGTGGCTGACCTGCTTCTTGCGGATTGCATTGGTCAGGAATATGTTTAGCAGAGTCGTCATGCCAGGTATTAGCCTGACTGCACGAAGTCTTGTCATCGACTTGATTGACGCAAAGATGGTGGCAACCCATGGCGAGTACTCGGAACCCTCAAGCATGTGTAGAGACTCGGCCTAGAGGCACGGTTAGCATGTCTCTCACAAGAGAGTACAATATGGACACGAACAAAGGTGAGCTCTCCCATGATGTCAAACGTGGTGAAGTTGTAGTATGCAACCAGATCGATAGGAGCGTCAGTAAAGCTTAATGCATCCAACTTGTCTACAAGCAAGCTTGCCCATCTTTTGAAGAGAGGCTCTTCTTCTTTCAGCGCCTTGTCAGAAAATGCGTGTGATAGGACTCGTCGTTGTCGGGAATGACTGGCATCGTCTGAGCTTAGGATCGAGGTAGTTCCGTTAACAGGAATGGCATAAAGACGACGGTCTTTTGCAAAGCTCCTCTTGCCGGACAACCGGTGGCCGTAAATCTCCTTCCAAGCGTTTTTACCTGACAAGCCATTTGCATATGTATCTGCGTCGATATAGCTTATCTCTGTTGGCGAAACACGCACGACTGGACCGTACTGCGTGTGAAGGCGATGTTTTGCTTGAGTATCTTGTCCTCTCCACAACATGCACACAAGTGGTAGATTGCTTGCGGCCCATAGTTTTGGTCCTGGGAATTTGGACAGGGGTCCGAACCAGACATCGTATATCGTCGTCGCAACTTGGTAGGCGAGATACTAGATGTTGTCAGCATGCATGCAGCATGAGTTGTAGAGGTGGCTCGGTACCGAGAAGATAGTAAAGGTGAGCATTCTCCAGACGAGGTCCGGCGTATGTAAGGAGAGTCGTTCGACGTCCATAGCTCGACACGTACGTAGCGGAGTAACGGATTGAGGGAGTGCAGAGGATCTACATCGCGGATCTATCTGGGAGCGAGGACAGTCTAAATATGCTACGCCAATATCTTGAGAGAGTTCGAGCAAACATCATGCCCTGTGAGGCTTGTTCCCATCCGCGATTGCGTCTCTTCTTGCCAATCAAAACCTATCTCCTGCCCTCCCAGGACAGTGGAACGTTGAAAGAGTCATGAACGAACTACTGCAGGTTTCACGGCGTGTTCTCAAGACGCTTGTCGAAGTGAGGATGGTGCTAACGATAACCAGGGCAAATGTGCGGAGTTTGCTAAGCGTAACGAACATTGATGTGCCAAGCAAGGAATAGTCTTTTGATCTTCACAAACAAAGACGACGATCCGCAACTCGACTCGAATTTCCGACCGAGCAACATCCCTTAAAAGATATCAGACTCAGACGCTTACGTTGAGTGGACCCATTTGACACCAAGTTACGTGACTCGATTGCATATCCTCCATAAGTTTGCGACATCTTCGCGCAAAGAGCGGCTCGAAGAGTGGTTCTCCTGTAGGAGTAGTTGAAGTATTGGACAGGCCTTTATGGCGATACGTGCGTATGAATTTACTCTCGCAGACTTAAGGCTCAGCCATTCCGGAATTCCAAGGCGCCAAGATTATCTTCTCAGTCTCGGCCTACTCAAATCTGAATGATTTGGCTGATGGTTTTACGAAAACCGATTTTATGTACTCGAGCGGCTTTTGATCAGCACGCAGGCCACGCTTCAACTGACAGAAACGTTCGAATTTTACGAGGAGCAGCGACTCAACGCTCATCGGAAGTCTGCCACGCCCAAGTCTTGGGCAACTTTGTTTTTAAACAAGGAACGGGCCTTGGACATCCGGGCAACGCTCACACGCTTGAGGCTACATCCATGAATCGTGGCAGTCTCCATCTTTATCGCAGAGAACGCCGCGCATTCTGCGCGAAGAGGAGGTGGTCCTTCACTCCGATTGCACATCCTGCAAACGACCAATTTTGGTTAAGACAACTGTGCCAACGTATGCTTCGATAGAAACATCACTTTGATCATGGCGAAGGAGCGAGTGGAAGAGAAAGTGTGTACTCGCAGAAACGCTGCAACGCAAGAACAATCCGGGGGGTTGGTCTGCCGAAGCCGTCACCTATCTGGACCGTGCCTGCTCCACGCGCTTCTGATTGTACTCATGGATTCGGCCGTAATTCACAGATCTTCAAGATATCCTACCGATATGAGGCTGCATGCATACAGCAACTCAACGGCCCATAGTCCGTAGTCAAATTCAGCATGGCCGAGGTTCATCGTCTATAGTTGTCTGGCGAATATTGCGCACGTCTTCCAGCCATCTTCGACGGCCATAAGTAAAGAAGAGGATACATGTAGGACAATCAAAGGACTTGTCTGATTTCAAGTTATTATCGTAAGGGACAAGACATCACTAGCAAAACGGCAAGGAGCCTTGAGGAGCTGCCTTCCGGCTCTTAAGACTTATGATATCCTGACATGCACCCGAGGTACCAAACATGGCTCGAAGGTCGGAAACGACCTCTTCAGGCTGCTCATAGGCTAAGAAATGCCCACCACATCTCTTCTCGCTTTCGAAAACGACTGGTCCGAGAGTTCTTCCCCAGGTTCGGGGCACAATGGTGAGCTCCTGTGGAGAGGATCGTCAGCCTCGTGTATGGAGCATGGACCCGGTAGATAGAGCCGGGAACCCAATCGGCCGGGCGAGTATAGAATAGGCTAAGCCCAGTGAGCCTTCGGAAGAAGGTCACACAAAGGAGAAATACGAAGTAGACAGAGCCATCAAGATATATTCAATCACGCTTGGAGAGTCAAGACTGGGAATGAAAGACGTACCTTTGGTGCATAGCACAGTCCAAGCTTAACTCCACCAATCCAATGCTGAACACGGTCGCGAGTTGCTTCAGCCGAAGTATGTGTGGCTTCGTAATAAATCCTCAGAGAAGCCGCAGGACCAGCTTGCGAGAACCAGTAGATCGATATCCAGGTTAAAATCTCGTCGTCTGACCATGGATAGCGATCAGTCCAGTCATGGAGTTTTTCGTATATCCAAGAAAGCAGTGCAACAGGACTGTCAGTGAGTCCATAACCAACGGTTTGAGGTTTGGTGCCTATCGCGAAGCTACAGTCAGTCCTTGTCTTCCGGATGGCAGCTCGAATAAACTAGACATGATGCCAGTGCTAGACAGAGTCGTTTTCACTTACTCTGAATTGTCCTGTAGCCGCTTCCCTCATTGGCGAACCAGTCACTTCTTTCCCGACCCTTTTGTTCATCTTCAGTGTAAGGGGTCACCGCATGCTGAAGTGCCAGCAAAGGGCTCTCTGACCACTCTGGAGGGAACGCTCGAACCATGTTAATGTGAGAAGCCAAGCAAGACTCTGGGTAAAGTAGACCAATACTGCGAGTGATGTACATGCCCCAGTCTGACGAATCACAGCGTTAGTTTTGAATGGTAGCCGGATGATGACAATCTCATGTCTTACCTCCACCTTGTGTCACTGTACCAAGGCCCGATTAGCATGATCTCAAACCCGCCAGAGAACAAGATCTTCTTACCATATCTCTTGTATCCAAGAAGCTGCATCAAGCGGTGGCATGCTTCAGCGTATTGACCAAGACCAAACCCTTTCTTCTTGATTCCTAGTCGGGACTGAGCAAGGTCACAATGCATAAGACCCGTATCAATTGCTTACCTGCACTCCAAGCATAGTTTGGTAGAGAGGGCGCGACAACATGGAATTTGACACCATTGGCATCTCCTGCCAATGATGATAGCATCTTGGTCACCTCGATATAGCTGCCAGGCTGCCATCACGGTATCAGTCATGAAGAGATAAAGAGCGACCATCCATAAACCTACCCAGCCATGAACGAAGAGCAACGGAACAGCATCTTGTGCGGGACTTGGCTGATGCAAAAAGTGCAATTCGGTTTCACCAAAGCCATCGATGGTCACATTTGCCTTGAAGTTAGGAAGCTCGTTCAATTTGGCCTCTGCCTTTCTCCAGTCAAATGTGTTCCGCCAGTACGACGTCAGCCTCTTGACATCAGCCAGAGGGCTTCCATAAGCCCACTCCGCGTCTTCAAGCTGCGACGATGAGTATAGGTCTGAAGACTATAGCCACGTAATGCTTACCTCGTCCGGGAAGGTAGCGAGATCAAGTCTCTTCCGGAGGTCTTCGAGACGGGATTCAGGAACAGCAATTTGATAAGGAATAGGGGCCATGGTGTCACGATGAATATGTAGGACAGCAACCGCAGTTGGAGTCCGTATGTACTCACAAGCCTCAACGTTGTCGCACGTCGTCACCTGCCGAGCGGGGGATGAGTTCGAGGGAGGATAAGCTTACCGATTTGAGCCGCCTTTCTGCGCCTCACCCGTCACCTCTTTCATCACTCCCATCGCCTCTCCTGAACAACACGCGCTTGGCTCGTAGAGTCATAGGGGCCTGCCGTGGCCTGTTTCGAGATGCAACTGCTTCCCGACATGAATCAATGCCTTGCGATGTAGAGCCTCAATAATGCATTCGGCCCATATGGAAAAGGTGTCAATGTTCATCGATCGAAAGCGTCATTCTAGCTGGATGTACCGAAGTTTAACCTCATGCTTGGACATCGTCACCGGTTTGCCGGAACATTTGTCAGATCATCTCCAAAGATTTACATGAGTTGACATGGGATTTGCCCCGAAACGGGCAAGGCACAAATCGATCAGCGTCGATCAGCATCAAATTCCAGCGTGCGAGCGTCAATCCCGTTCATGATGAAGCATTCCTTTATGACAGCCCTGTCGTCTGCTCCTTGGAACGGCACGTCTTCACGCAACTGTGCCATACACACAAAGTCAGTGTCGTCCGTGGCAGGACAACCCAGTGACGTCTTTCTTCATGGGGAACCGAATAAGCGGCTCAGTGATAGACGGCTCTTGAACCCATCTTTGCCGCTCTCGGCGACTCTCTTCAGCTGGTATGACGATCCGAACCACAGCACGGTGTCAGGATCATCAGGGAATCGAGAAATTGCGTAGGTGCACAGCAAAAGAGTGCTGATTGCGAACCATAGGAACTCACAATGATAGGTACATAAAGATAGCCATGTTTCCTCGTGGTGGTCTTTGCATCGCTTTTACTATTGCTACCATTTCCTGCCCCTCTTGGTCTACGGTTAGACCACTCTCTCAAGATGCAGGCCATTTCAATTGCTCTCGCTCTTCTTTCGCTTACTGGTTCTGCTCTTGCCGTCCCAGCACCTGTTGAACCTGTACCTTCACCTACAGTCACCGCAGCCCCTTCTCTCGACGACCGTGATCTGATCGGCGACCTTACAGGAGCTGTCAACGGTGTTTTGGGCGACGCTGTAGGAGATATCAACAGCGCTCTCTCCAAAGTGGGAGCTGGCCAACTTGCTGGAAACCAAGCATGGAGCACCATCTCATCGGCTTTGGCACAAGTCACAGCGACCAAGACTCAGACCAACGCTGCATCGGCTATTTCTCAGCTCTCGAGCATTCACGCCGCAAAGCCTTCGGCCAACCTGTTCGAGTTTGTTGCTGCAATCGCTGCTGAGGGTCTGACTGCAAACTCAGTCACAGATCTTCTGGGCTTCGTCGATGGCTTGGCCTCTGGACAGAACAGTATGAGCAACGTCAACATTCAGAAGCCCAAGGACACAATCTATCCTAAAAAGGGCAACGACCCCAAGTACAGTGTTACCGAGTCTTCGCTTCGTTCTGCCATCTATATTCCTCCTGCCTTCAAGATGGGAGCTGTTCAGCCTGTAATTCTCATGCCCGGAACAGGTGCAACCGGCTACTTCACATATATCGGCAACTACATCAAGCTCTTGACTGGCTCAAGCTACGCCGATCCTGTCTGGCTCAACATTCCTGGATACCTCTTGAACGATGCCCAGGTTAACGCAGAGTATGCTGCTTACGCCATCAACTACATTGCCAGCATCACTGGCAAGCCGGTGTCCATCATCGGCTGGTCCCAAGGCAACATCGACCTCCAGTGGGCTTTCAAGTACTTTACTTCGACCGTGAAGAACACCAGAAATCACATTGCCATCAGTCCCGACTATGCTGGCACCGTCAACGCAAACTTGATCTGTCCCGATGGTCTTCCCTGTGACCCGTCCGTCCTGCAGCAGCAGTACAAGGGTACCAGCAACTTTATCGACAAGATGAGACTCAACAACGGCGACTCTGCATACGTGCCTACCACAACTGTCTACAGTGGACTCTTCGACGAGATCGTCGAGCCTCAACAAGGCACTGGTGCTTCGGCTTTCCTCAACGACGCCCGCAAGGTGGGTGTGACCAATAACTACCTTCAGGGTATCTGCCCCGGTCTTGCTGGCGGTTCCTTCTACACCCACGAAGGTGTTCTTTACAACCCTATCGCCTTCGGACTCGTCAAGGACGCCCTTGTTAATGGCGGTGCCGGAAAGACTTCTCGCATCGACGTCAACAGGCTGTGCAACCAGTACCTTGCCGACGGTCTCAACGTTGGCGACCTACTCATCACTGAGAATTCCATCGTAGTCGCGGCGCTAGCTCTCGTCCTCTACACACCCAAGGTCACCGTGGAGCCAGCCATCAAGGCCTACGCCACTTACTAAATCAACCAACCCTATTAACGACACCTATCTTTTGTAAATATATTTGGTCGCGAAAACTTGTACATATGTCATGACCGATAAAACCGCGCTGTAGAGCAGCTTGCGATGATGAAAGCTAATGACTCTCCTTTCTGTCTGTATATATCTCGCTATCTACCTATCATTTCTCCTTTCTCTTGATGAGCCAGACCCTTGGTGTGTGTATGTATATGTGTTTGTTGCAAATTACGAAAGCGGATTCTCTTTGAAGTGCCGTAAAGCTAATCGCCTTTCCCATGTGGTCATGATCAAAAGCTATGCTATGTAATCATGCTGTGCTGCAATCGTGGTTCGTCTCAACATTCGGGGTGTTCGTGATGTCGTCAAGCTTATTATGTACTCGTGGGTATCGTGTTTAGAGAGGCAGCAACTCCAGAAGCCCAATGATGAGGCGGGCAACGAGGGGCTACACGAAGGGGTGAGTACAAGAGTCATCAGAACAGGCAGGATGGAAGGTTGAGACGTACAGTGTGGATGTTTCTCACAGCGCTGCTTCCCAAGGTAGCGGCAGTACTGCTTCCAACGAGGACGAAGCCGCCATCTGTAGTAGCACCCGATGCGACAGTAGTAGTTACAGGAGATGTAGCGGTGGTGCTGTGTCCACTTGCAATGATGAGACCACCCCCAGAGATTGCGGTTGTCTGAGAAGAGGATGGCGATGCAGTCAGAGGCTGAGAAGCGGGCGTGGTGGTTGTGACAGCAGAGCCTCCAGAAACAATCACACCGCCAGTGATGATGGACGAGATGGAGCCAGTACAGGCAGCGCCGCTCGGGCAGCAAGCGACATGGCCAGCCTGATCAGGAGCACAGATGGCTGAGTTGGCGCAGCAAAGACCTGGGGCCCCGATGTTCGCACAGTTCTTGTAGCCAGTTGGACACGACGTTGGGTCAACAGCCCGTTTGGCGACTTCGTGGAGTGTTTCGTTAGAGGCCGTCTGCTGCGACCAGTCGAGCACGGACAGAAACGGCGAGAAGAGTGATGCGTTGGTCAACGACACCAAGACCAGTAAGACGGTAACCAGTGACCAAACGTGAGATTGAGGCGACATGATGAACAACGACTTCTTCAAAGATAGTCTCTCCTGGTCCAAGTAGTATGTCTTTTGTCCAAGGTGCATAGAACTGATCAACCTCGGGCGGTCAAGTCTGTTTTGTTCTCGGCTGTTGGCAGGTCGATGCTCTGAACATGGCCCATGCGCTACACAGCTCAATCTTTCCATGAGCTTGGTATCACCTTGCACAGCACTTTCGGCAGACAAGTGTATTTTACAAAAAACTGTCGAGAGACAAGACTATAGAAACTCAGGTGGAAGCTGTGCGAAGACGCTTTTCATGAGTATAGCACTGTGATGATCGTTGACTCGTCGGTTGACACTGTGAAAGCGAAAATCAGCTACAAAAGGCAGGTACCCAGACTGATGGCTCTTTCTAAATGACTGCAAGTATCAAAATCGGAAAAAAACGAGATAAACCTTTGGTGCAATCCTCTGTTGAACATTCCCAACAAGCATACATCAGCAAAGCGAGCATCAGCTATTGAATCCATCATGTTGTATCTCATATCGTTGTTCTTCACATACTTTCAGATTGTTTACTCGCAGACCGCCTGCCAATTCTTCAGCTCTACGGGCAACGACTACACAGCATGGTCGGAGAGCCACATAGCCACATGGTGCAAGGACCATGACCCTTCCTCTACATCTCAATGCGCCAGTGAGTCCGCACCGCTAGATGAACCGGAATACCATTGACACGGAGAAGCTGTTGTGTGGCCACCCTACGTTCCGTATCCCCGTCGCGTTGAATTCCATCGCAACCTATAGGAGTGGTTCCTGCAAGTCAATCCGAATATCGGCACAAGAAAGGACTGTATCGCCCGCTCATCCGCGCTCCATATCGACTCCACAACCCACAAGAACCGTCTTTCAGAAGCCGTCACCTGCGATCTATACAACTTCCACCCCCAGCGAAGGAACGAGTGCGTATGCTTCCCCATCTATAGAGACAATGTCACCCAGATCTCTACCGTCGTCCACGACATGTACAAAGTCTTCGAGACCACTTCAGTTTTCTACCCCCCGGTCCAAGTCGTCGAAAGCTGTCTACTTGCAGCTGCAACACAAGGCCCGCCTACTGTTTGCAACTCCCACAAGTCAAAATGTCCGAAATCCGTGCAAGTCGTCAGTAGGGAACCCAGAGTCCTTGGAGGCTTTCCATATTGCCCAACGCCTGGTCGGCAAGCACGACAGCATTTACCGGCCCGTACCCTTGCTGAATCGTGGAAGTATGCCATAACTTCGACATCAACATCAATCAAAAGCTCGCCCACCAAGGACTGGTCCTCCTTGCCGACTGATGCGACTTGTGAAAGAAACGAGACAAGAGCAGAGAAGAAGCAATGCAGACAAGACATGTGCATGTGGGGGTTCCTTCGGGCCTGGATGTCTCCCGAGGTCAAGGCGGTCACTGCCCTTGACTCCAATGGTGTGTTCCTGTTCGCCACCGAGAGAACAGATTACGCCACCATGACTGGACCTCATTGGGGAACTGTTGCCAATCCTGCTTCCACCACGACGCCCTGGCCGACGACGACGTCCAAGGGCAAGAAGACAAAGACCAAGTCGACCTACGACACTTCGATGCTGAAGAGCGTCGAATCACATCTCAAGGAGATAGGTATGACCGAATTGGTGTCTTCCAAGCCAACTTCTAGACCAAAACTGGTCTGTCACGACGAATTCAGCTGTCGAGAATGGTGCAGCCTGAAAGAGGGCAAAAGTTTCTCACGAATGATGTGGCTGCTTGTGGGCGGTCTCGCGGTCACTGCAGTAGCGGGCTTGGGTATGGCCTTGAAACTATGGGGTAAACACATCGGTCTGCGCTGGCGTAAGTCTCGTGCTGAGCGCCGCAGGAAAGCAGAGAAAGACATTCAGGAATCAGAATCCGTCACAACTGATCCTGGACCTGTGCAGGGTCTGGAACTCGTACGAATCTCTCCAGCTGGCAACAGAGGTAGAGGAAGGGTGCGATTCCAGGGTGATGGAGCTGACAGCACCTTTGACATGTCTGATGGCTCAAACAATGGTCTCAGGAGAGTGAGCGACCATGAATCCCACCTCAGTTTGATGTCGACATAGAGTCTACGAAGGTGATTGATGAGCATTCATAGGAGTCGAAAGACTTGGGTCGGTATATCACATTTTCCGCTCAGAACACAACAAATTCATAAGGCCAAATATCAGCTCAAGTGACTTTGCTCGTTTGTCTCTAATGATTGCTGTGATATGTTCGAGTAGGGGGGGCGCAAAAGAACATCAGATCAGATTAGATGCCATGCAACCCGCCTTGGCAGCAACTTTGTTGCATCGACAAGCTCCACGTCATTGTCCCAATCTTGCACCACTTTGCGTCGCGAACAAGTAGCAAGGACAAAGTAGCTGTTCCAGCGCCATACATCGCCCGTCATGATGTCTCTCTTGCTAGCGGTCTTTTTGCTGAACCTCGCCATCCACCTCATCAACACTCTTGGAGCAGCGACTCTCAACGAGCTGGTTCGAACATGACAGGCCATTTTTGAGTCTACAAGTGCTGATGAATTACAGCTCTGGGTCCTCTACAACAAGCTCCCTACACCAACGGCAAAAGATGCGCAAAACTCGGCACGACTGAAGAAGGAGGTGGTCCGCCTGAAGCGTGAGATGAACGCTGTCAGTGCACAAGACGAGTTTGCCAGATGGGCCAAACTGCGTAGAACGCACGACAAAGCTGTCGCCGAGTACGAGAAGAGCAGTATGTGGAACCCGGACTACGCGTTGATGTGTAAAAATGGCATTCTGATAGATGCGACACAGCAACCTCGGTTCAAGACACCAAAGCCAAGTTCGACAAGACGGCCAATGTTCTTCGCTGGTTGGGTACAAACGGTATGCGCTACCTGCTACAGTTCTGGTTCTCGCGTCAAGCACTTTTCTGGCTGCCGCAGGGCTGGGTTCCTGGCTACGTCGAATGGCTTCTCGCATTCCCCAGAGCACCCAAGGGCAGTATCAGCATTCAGCTTTGGGGCATCGCGTGCGCCAGCGTTATTTCCCTATCGAGCGAAGCAATCGTTGCTACCTATGTGCTGGCTACAAAACGCCCCGACATGAAGGCTGGCAAGCAAGAGCAGGAGCCCCAGGCATTTAAGAACGATGGAGCAACAACCACGTCGGCAGATGGCGAGAAGGAATTGTAAATTCAGGCAGAGAGCACACATAAGCCGTAGTGATACCCAAGAGGATTTTTGTACATGATATGTCTCTCAACATTTTGACGCAAGATCTTCAAAGCAGAGCTCAGAAACTGCAACACGAGTGAGATGATCTTGGCAGATCGTTGGGCTCAATCTAGGCGTCGATTTTGAACTCGTGACCTTGGGAAAGGTAGTGGTCGCCGAGTCTTCGAATCCGCCAGGTACATCTATGTTTTCGTCTATGTGAAGAGTTTTGCAAGATGATATGTGTCTTGTGTACGGACAGAACATGTGTGAAGCAGCGCATATCGGCGTCAATGTCTTCAGACATGGTCAATCGTGGACGCAAGTCATGCTGTCATTGCAAAAGAAAGAAGAGGAATTTCTTGTTTGAGGAAAGGTCGGAAGCGTTCACGAGGAGACGAGAAAAGAAAGTCTCGAAGCTGGCGACGGCTTAGTAAGAGATTTCGGCGGCTTACAGAGCAAGAAGAGCATCATTAATTGGCAATTAACGCGCTAGCCACGCGCGACGCCAAACACGACTTTTGCAACAACACGCGCGTGCTGTTTAAGAAGTTGCTGTCTCCCTCGTCCTTCTTGCTCCCCTCCCATATCTGCATCTACACGGTCTTGACGACTGCTTCTGTTTCTGCTTCTTCTTTGATACCCCTCCTGCTTCCACTACATCTTTAGTACTTCTCATCGAGACCCTTGCATCTCGTCCACCCCTCATTGCCCCTCGAGACTCGCTGTCTCCCCCCTCTCATATCCTCATCTCTTACCACCACATAAACGCGTCACAATGTTCGTGTACAAGCGCGGTAAGTCTCATCACATGGCCATCATCTCATCGAGGATGCTAATTCAGACACAGATGGACGCAAGGAGCGTGTCCAGTTCGACAAGATCACAGCCCGTGTCTCGAGGTTGTGTTACGGCCTTGACCCCGACCACGTCGATGCTGCCGCCATTACCATGAAGGTCATTGCTGGTGTCTACCAAGGTGTCAACACCATTCAATTGGATGATTTGGTAAGTTATCTCGACGTTTCCGTTAAAATCTCTTCTCCGTACTGACCTTCCATCTCCACAGGCTGCCGAGACTGCCGCATACATGACCACCACCCACCCCGACTACGCCGTGCTCGCCGCACGTATCGCCGTGTCGAACCTCCACAAGCAGACCAAGAAGCAATTCTCTGCCGTCATCTCGGATTTGTACCACTACATCAACCCCAAGACCAGAAAGGCCGCCCCTATGATCTCCGAGGAGACATACAAGACCGTCATGGACCACGCAGAAGAGCTCAACTCGGCCATTGTCTACGACAGAGATTTCAACTACCAGTACTTCGGTTTCAAGACGTTGGAGCGTTCATACCTCCTCAGACTCGAGGGCAAGGTTGCCGAGAGACCCCAGCAGATGATCATGCGTGTTGCTGTCGGCATCCACGGCGAGGACATTGAGGCTGCCATCGAAACATACAACTTGATGTCGCTCAAGTACTTCACCCACGCCTCGCCTACTCTGTTCAGCGCCGGCACTCCCCAGCCTCAGCTCGCTTCATGCTTCCTGATCGACATGAAGGATGATTCGATTGACGGTATCTACGACACCCTCAAGACCTGCGCCATGATCTCGAAGAACGCTGGTGGTATTGGTCTCAACGCTCACTGCATTCGTGCCACTGGCTCTTACATCGCTGGTACCAACGGTACCTCGAACGGTCTTGTTCCCATGCTCCGTGTCTTCAACAACACTGCCAGATATGTTGACCAGGGTGGCAACAAGCGTCCCGGTGCCTTCGCCATCTACCTCGAGCCTTGGCACGCTGATGTCTTCGCTTTCCTCGACCTCCGCAAGAACCACGGTAAGGAGGAGGTTCGTGCTCGCGACCTCTTCTACGCCCTCTGGATCCCCGATCTCTTCATGAAGCGTGTGGAGCAAAACTCCACCTGGACTCTGATGTGCCCCAGCGAGTGCCCCGGCCTTGCCGATGTCTACGGTGATGAGTTCGAGGCCTTGTACGAGAAGTACGAGCGCGAGGGTCGTGGTCGCGACACCATCCGCGCTCAGAAGCTCTGGTACGCCATCCTCGAGGCTCAAACCGAGACTGGTAACCCTTTCATGCTCTACAAGGATGCTTGCAACCGCAAGAGCAACCAGAAGAACCTTGGTGTCATTCGCAGCTCCAACTTGTGCACCGAGATTATCGAGTACACCGCTCCCGATGAGGTCGCCGTCTGCAACTTGGCTTCTCTTGCCCTTCCCACCTTCGTCGACATGAACGAGGAGAAGTTCGATTTCAAGAAGCTCCACGAGGTTGTTCAGGTCGTCACCAAGAACTTGAACAAGATCATCGAGATCAACCACTACCCTGTCCCTGAGGCTCGCAAGAGTAACTTCCGTCACCGTCCCATCGGTCTCGGTGTTAGTGGTCTTGCCGATGCCTTCCTTGCCCTCCGCATGCCTTTCGACTCACCCGAGGCTAGACAGCTCAACATCCAGATCTTCGAGACCATCTACCACGCTGCTTTGACTGCATCTTGCGACTTGGCTGAGAAGCTCGGCCCTTACGAGACCTACCCTGGCTCCCCCGTGTCCAAGGGCGAGCTCCAGTACGATATGTGGGGCGTCACTCCCTCCGATCTCTGGGACTGGGAGGCTCTGAAGGAGAAGATCGCCAAGGATGGTGTTCGCAACTCGCTACTCGTTGCCCCCATGCCCACTGCCAGTACCTCGCAGATCATGGGCTTCAACGAATGCTTCGAGCCCTACACCTCCAACATCTACTCTCGTCGTGTCCTTGCTGGTGAATTCCAGGTTGTCAACCCCTGGTTGCTCAAGGATCTTGTCGACCGTGGTTTGTGGTCTGACAACATGAAGAACCGCATCATCGCCGACAGTGGTTCCATTCAGCGCATTCCTAACATTCCCGATGACCTGAAGGCTCTCTACAAGACCGTCTGGGAACTCAGTCAACGTCACATCGTCCAGATGGCCGCTGACCGTGGTGCCTTCATTGACCAGTCTCAATCCCTCAACATCCACATGCAGGCTCCCACCATGGGCAAGATTACCAGCATGCACTTCACTGGCTGGAAGCTTGGTCTGAAGACTGGCATGTACTACCTTCGTACCACGGCTGCCGCCGCTCCTATCCAGTTCACTGTCGATCAGGAGAAGCTCAAGGTCGTCGACACCAACGTCGCCCGCAACCCAGCTAAGAAGCGCGGAATTGCCGGCACCGGTTCTCCTGCCACCCAATCTCCCACTCCTCAGCCCATGTACCAATCGAAGCAGCTTCAAAACTCCGAGGTCGCTAACGGTGTCCCCACCCCTTCGACCACTCCCCCTCTGGAGGCTGAGGCCGCTCAAACTCCCAAGAAGGAGTTGCCTATGAGAGCACCCCCATTCACTGCTGACCTCCCTGAAGGAAGCAGTCCTAAATTGGTTGCCGCCGACAGCACTATCGGTACTCCTGACGAGGAGGTTCAGAGAACCGTCAAGCAGGATGAAGATGCTGCCGACGACAGCAAAGACCGCGAAGGTGACATCTACGCCGACGCTGTCCTTGCTTGCAGCATCGAAAACCCCGAGGCCTGCATTATGTGCAGTGGTTAGAGTGTATCTCTTGATGGGAAATTTGATTATGTATTATGAGGGTAGGAAGCGATTGTATTCTGGCGCGGGTATAGGGGACTGGTTGGAAATTGGCGTACAGGTTGAACGTCGTTTTTACAGCATTCGAGTGTAATGATAGATAGCTATTTAGAATCACAACCGATTTGATCATTCAAACTTGTGTCCACAGTGTTTCATGTAACTGGTGAGATTCATGTAACTGGTGAGAGCTCTGGTCTACCGTTCTCGCAGTCACATTAACGACCCAGTTGTGGCTCAAGGACTGGTCACAACGCTCTTCATCCATCGCATTATACAATTGGTTATCAGATCAAGCAACGTAAAAGAGTTATGTAGCTCAATGCATGATGGTGTGTAATGTGGTTCAAGGTACAGAGTGTGAGTTCTGGAGTCACATCGTTTGGACAGAATATTTGGATTGAAGAAGCTCTACTTTTGCGAAATGAGCGAACCGCAACTGACGTGGACCGACTAAACTTATCTGATAGGGGAACTGAAACTAATACCCATCCTGGTGATTCTGTACTGCCATGAACACACCCGAGTTCTTGGTGTAAGCACTCGAGTATCGTAGGAGAGATCTGGTCGTGAACATCAGGGTGTTCCTCCGGACAAGCCTCGGATGAGAACAGCAACTGCAACCGAGCCGAGACAGCACCCAAAAGTGGATTGGTGTGGGCGCGTAATGTCACAACCTCACAGGTCGAACATGCAGCGCAGTCAGCGATTCACAATGCACAGCATGCTTTTTTCACGTCTCATTGGCGGCGTCTCCATGTGCTGCCCAGACTCTAGAGTGTCCACGAGTCCGCTCGCGCGACGCAAGCACAATGCTAATCAGATTCACAGTGTTTGTCGGGACGACCTGGAGCCTGCTGACAGTGTAGGGTCAAGGAAATTGACATGAAATTGACTGCTCCTTGCGAGATGTCCCAGACTAGGACTGCAGAAATATCGTCTCTTACCCAGCGCCACCGAACATCGCGTTTAAAGATATGCCACCCATCGCTCAAGCGGCTGCTTGCACATGCAGGACCCAGCCAGATAATTCCCGGCTATTCGCTCGCCAGTGGGTTCGGCAACGATCTTGTCCGAGTCCAGCCAATATCGCTTTGATGGGGTGTGGCACACAGAGCCTCCCGAGTCGCATGTAACCACACTATCCAAGACCCAGTCTGAGAAGGCTTTCCCCTCAAATGTGATAACCCCACTTGCATTCAGGAAGCACGGCTTGGGTTCCTGATATGGCAGTTGAGAGGTAATGATCTAGTGGACCCTTGCAGTGCTGGCTGTTATCGTTTAAGGTTACTCTCTTCCGCCTCATCGCCATCTTGTCTTATTCTCTGTGTCGACTACAGTAACTATTGGTGACTCTAGAGTCTCACATCATCATTCATTTTCAGATTCTACGATACACGGCTTGCGTATGCTACAACAACTACGCAATCTGACTGTTGCGCAATTGTTTGCATCTTACCAACTGGAAAGTAGAATTTCAAACTCCAGAGAACCGACTCGACACCATCTGTCCATTCCCATGACTGCGACGGTTCATCGCTATCTCTGACGCGACATCCAAAGTCTATACGTCTCTATATAGCGACTCAAAAGACGAAGAGGCGTCTATCGCCGAGCCTCTAACTTTGCTAATAATGCCGAACGTTATCCAAAGTATTTCAGCTCACCTTCAGAGGGCAATCACAACTGTTCAAAGCAGCGCTTCCTCAGAACTCGATAAGCGGATAAACATACCTACAAATAGCACAAGCCCACCCGGTCTCATCGAAGCGAACACACGAGACCCGTGGTCAAAATCTGGGAAATACGCTTTGGGATGGGTTTACTTCTGCGTAATATTAATGGTATTTGCATGCCTCCTGCATCTATACCACATCTGGACGGATAAGATACGTACGGCACTTTACAAAGAAGACGCTGCAGTATCAGCGATGATCGAGTCCCCTGCGACAGACTACGAATTGTCAGTGCTCAGCACAGATAGATCGACGAACAAATTCTTCCCCCGTGAGGGACCATTACCGGAAGGGCCCAAGATGCAGTCATCTTTGTCGTCTATGTGGCTGGTCAACAATGCGATAGCCTTCTTTCGATTTCTATTCTACCGGCCAATTCCAGTAATCAGATTGAGGAAAGGCTGGCGACCGATCATTTTTCCATCCATCGGAGCAGTTCTTCTTGTCTCGGTCGCCTTGGTATTTGTCGTGCTATACTGCTTTATTCCACAACCTCTGTATTGGCAAAGCATTCAATATGGCTCTCCGCCACTGGCTATTCGAGCTGGTATGATCGCGGTTGCCATGATGCCTTGGATTGTTGGACTTAGCATGAAGGCAAACCTCATCTCTTTCCTGACAGGAATCGGGCACGAACGACTTAACGTGTTGCATCGATGGCTCGCATATCTATGCCTACTTTTGAGTCTGATTCACACCATTCCTTTCTACGTTACACCAATCTGGTCTGAAGGGGGCCTGGGTGTTTTCCAATCGGCCTTCGGTAATTCCGGGATCTACGTCTATGGATCTGGAGTTGCAGCTCTGGTACCTCTCGTATTCCTTTGCGTGCATTCTTTGCCACCTTTCCGCCGGAAGATGTACGAGCTATTCGTAGTGATGCATGTCCCAGTTTCCATCGTATTCATAGCCATGTTATTCTGGCACTGCAAGAACTTCCTAACCTCCTGGCATTACCTGTGGGCAACCACAGCGATTTGGTTCATTTCCTATGTTATCCGCCTTTTCTTCTTGAACTGGACAAACTACTTGCGACTATCATGGTTGGTAGGCGAAGAAGCAGCCGTGACATTGATGCCCGAAAACGCCATCAAAGTCACCATACCCACACAGATGAAGTGGAAAGCCGGACAGTACGTTTATCTCAGAATGCCAGGAATCTCGGTCTTCGAAAACCACCCCTTCACCATCGCATCTCTCTGGAGCGACGATTTCCCCTCTCAATATGGCGAAGAATACAGAGACATGGTCCTGGTCTTTCGTCCTTTTGGAGGCTTCACCAAGAAGGTCCTCGACTCCGCACTGGAAAACGGACCTTGGCACACCTATCGCGCCTTCCTCGATGGCCCCTACGGTGGTATGAAACGCGCCCTCCACTCTTTCGACCACGTTGTCCTCTTCGCAGGTGGCAGCGGCATAACAGCACTAGTCTCACAGCTCCTCGACCTCATCAAACGCCTCCGCGACGGCAAAGCAGTGACAAAATCCGTTCAAGTGATCTGGGCACTCAAACGTCCGGAAACATTAGAATGGTTCAAAGAAGAATTGCGTATCTGTAGAGAATTTGCTCCGCCGGATACTGTTCAGTGTCAATTCTATATCACTGCTGCGAAACGCCAGCAACGCACTGGAGAACTGGTCTCTGCACAAACGCCCACGAGACCAATCAGCATGATGTTCCACAGTAAGGTTAACGAGGCTTTCCAAAACATCGCCAATAACAGACTCTCCACCATTTCCGCAAACACGAACAGAAACTCAGCTCTGATCATGGAAGAAGCAGCCGGTGATCCAGAAAGAGAGAAGGTGCTGAGAAGGGAAAACGAAGATCGCCCAAGACCACTGCCACAAGCCCATCTCTTACCTATGAGAAGTGCGTCCCGGAACGGCCGTGTTTCTCCTCCACCTTCAGAACTATCAACTCCTCGCCTCACGTTAGCGGAAAAGAGGAAATCGCAACAAATGTCCATTCCCCTACCCGACCCGGCATCGCCAGCCTACCTCCAACAATGCACACCACCTTCCAACCCCAACGATTTCGACTTCGGCTTCCCCTCCACCCCAACCGAGTTCCAGAAGAACCTCATGCGCTTCGCCTTTCTCCCTGCTGCGGTGAAATCAAGGAAAAGTGGTTGGAGTACAGAGTATGGAAGACCAGATATACCATTCATGCTTAGGGAGATGAGTGCAGAGTGGACGGGCAGAAGAACCTGTGTGTTTGTGTGTGGGCCACCGGGTATGAGGGTGGATGTTAGCAATACTGTTGCCGAGTTGCAGAGGACGGTGTGGAACGTACCTGGGAGGGATGAGGTGTATTTGCATGCCGAGAATTATGCGATTTGAGCGGGAGAAAGATAGAACAATATGGGTGTTGGGTTTGATAGTGTGGATCTGTATATTTGTAATGTTTGATTTTCTACGTAAACGAAACTGTAAAGAGCATCCCGTCTCCATTCCTCACGCGAGGCCTCTGCTATAGCTGCCAAAAGGCAATAGATTCATGAGCTACTGTGGTTGACCAGAGGGAAGAGGTAAGAGCGGCGTGCTTCAGTGATCATGTACCTAATGACAAAACCCATCTTGCCTTGTGATGGATGTTGCGATGGCCATTCTGCTCCTGGGATGCTGGGTTGAAGCTCGATTCGAGTTTAATATCTCGACTTGCATATCGTATCTGGTCCAAACTCTCCCTAAGCAGAGGGAAGAGGTACGTGAGTGAGCTCAATGGACCGGGTGGAGCATCGCATGGTTCTGGTATCGATGTCTTTCGGACGGTGCTGACTTTCTTTGGGCCTTTCTTGGTGACTTTCTTGGTGACCTTCTTGGTGACCTTCCTGGTGACCTTCCTGGTGACCTTCCTTCTGCTGCCAACCTGGCATTCTTCATGTTGAGTACGGCAGCCAAATGGTATTACGCTGGTGTTTGAGCCTCAGTCATGTCAAACATTTGCACGGGAGGCAACCAATGCGCCCACCGATCTCCTAGATAGTCACGGATCCATCCATACATCCTCCGTCCAGCTGTACCTATGAGCCACGAGTTGCGTCTTCTGTGCAAGACGACTGCATAGTAAGCCAGTAACACGAGAGCTTCCGGTCGCCGTTCAGCCAGCAGATCAGTGTATTCCTTCGGTGACGTGACTAGCCATGCAAATACAATGTTGATATCGTCGCGCGGCTCCGAGGACCCATGAAGAGCGAGATCCAATCGACGAAGCGCTTCTTGGTATATACGGAGGCTTGTCTCGCTGATGTCGGCAGTCGCCATCAAGTCGTGTAGATGCGGCACTGTAGTCTCCAAAGATTCTCTCGCGATGCGGTGCGCTTCACCTTCTCGCATCAGATGAATCATGTCGGTTGTAGATAAGACGTGCCACCAAGGTTGAATGACGGAATTGATACCACGAAGAAGGTGGATTGCTTGTAATAAGCGAGTCAGGAAGTTGCTGAACGATTCGTCTTGTGAGATGAAGACTTCGCAGAAGGAATGCACTCCGAGCATGTGCGAGAAAATCAGCAGCGTCAAGCAATTCCTTTCGTTGATCTCTTGCACAGCTTCATTGAATCCGGCAAGTGCCTTAGATTGCAATGATGTCGCAAGATGTTGATAATACATGACTTGATCTGGACTTTGGTTGTTGTTCATCTGCAGACTCATGTGAAGTGCGGCTAGTGACAGGACTTCATGCATGAGGTATTTCTGACCAAATACACATTCTCGCAGATTTTTGAGGTAGATGTCAAGCGAAATATCCGACTTGATGAATGTACGGCTAGTTTCGCTCATGAAGTGGCTGAATAATTGCAGATGAACCATATTGACTTCTCCATCGCAGCAACCGGGTTCGTTAGAAGTAGAGCTAGGAAGTGCGCCTGTAGACGACCTCGATCGAGGCGTGGTAGTAGGACTCGGCCGCGAGGTTGTCGTCACAGGCGATTGGCCAGTGCCGCGTATATTGGGATCCGATAGAAAAGGGCAGTCCAGGCCAGCAACAACACAGCTTGAGCATGCCGGCTGGCTTTCATCGCACTTGCCAAGTCAGAGGTTCATCCACCAAGCCTCTCACATACTATACGCGTACATACCTTTATGTGTCTTCGCTTGCATTGCGAGCAGCCGTTTCTCGATTTCTTGTGCGCACGCCTTTGTCTAGCGCGTGCTTCTGCTCGTTCTTGCTTGTCGTTTTCACTTAACGGCATGATTTGTATAGTCGTGTCAAGAGGTCAGCAAGTCAAAAAGTCGTAAGACTCTACACCAGATATACGTCGTGTTCATCATCGATGAAATCGATATCGGAAAATCTGGGACTTTTTGCATCCGGGCAGATTACCAAACGGCCCTCCGGTTTCTTGCGCGTCCGCCGTCCGGTCAAGGAACAGCCTGCACAAGGTTTGGTAATACAGCAGACACAGCCTCGCGACTGGGCGTGTTTCACCCTTGTGTACGCGTATTCGTATCTGAATACGATCGGATAGTGCTCGTTCCGAAAGCATAATTAAGTCTTTATCAGGCAGTCTGACCTCTGACGTCTCTCAAAATTCCACCACGATCGAGCTCGGTAGATGAGAGTATATAAAACGACACCAGATGAATAATTTGCTGAGCTGCTAGTACACGGTTGAATGGTAGGTTTTGTGCTATATCCAGGGATATATAGGCAACCAAAAAGCGAGTGCGACCAAGTCGCAAGCTGTCGGGTTCACTCCGGCCTGACAAGCAGTCATCAAACATCTCGAACATGTCAACATCGACTTGAGGAAGGCTCGCTTTTATGCACTTATGTAGAGCAATTTCTTGCAATTGCTAATGGCAATCGACACTGCTTACTCTACTCTCATGCAATTGCTTGTACATATTCTAGGACAACTATCGGCACCTTACTAAGATTCAGCCGATGAGGTTATAACGGCATCCACTGCTCGAGAGCGCTTGTTTCTTCGTCGTCTGTCCACTCGACTCAAGGAATTGATTTTCGAATAATCTGGACTGTTCAGAGTATCCGGCTACAGAGTATGCAAGATCTATGGTAAAAACTAGCTTTTTGGCATCCCATCCCGCTTAGGTCATTGTGACACCTTAGAGCTACCATGCAAAGAAGGAGAAAGACAAAGAGAAGGGTTCTAAGCCAGCTATCTCTTCAGAGAGTTTGTGTTACTTTGACTCTAGGAAGCTTCCAGCCTTATCAGCAGTTTCTGTTTGTCCTGTTTCTCATTGTACCTTTCGGACTGCTAATGCTTTCTAGTTGTTGCAAATAACTTGATGTACGATCGTCTTCCGCTAACGTCGATAGTATTCTCCATCACCCTTTTGCAATTGTCGCTCACTTCTACGATGACTACTCATGGCTCCTCTAAACCAACGTTCATCCTCTGTTCTTTCCCCCATCTCATCTTATATGAACACGGAAGCTGGTCTAGATTTCCTCTTTTCTTAACTCTTTACCTATAACTCTTGAGTCACTGTTCTCGCGCTTCCTTAGCATCGTTCTATATAGGAGTTGGACCTCACCAGACTTCGCTCCAAGTCTCTGTTCTTCGCTGAACCTGGACCATCTTGCTGATCGAGCTATATAGCCTGGAAAGGCTCAACATGTCCTCCCAGTAAGTATGTATGCATCTGAATACCGCCAATTCCTGCTAACGGTACCCGTTCCTAGCCACACCTTCTCTCGAGCAGGATTGTACTCGATTTCTCGCTATGTAGTGTGAACATCGCCCGACATGGAAAGGTAAGTCACTCCGGCCCGATCACTCTCATCACTGCTGACCGGACTTCTGCGAAAGCGATCACAGTGACTTCGTCCGCGTCCTGGTCCGCGAAGGAGAACAGTCCGAGGCTTGTTCCTCCAGGTTCAGTCGAGCGAGGCTTGTTCCTCCAGGTTCAGTCGAGCGAGGTTGTGTTCATCCTCCCGTTTCTTCCAGAAAGCTTTCGATGGCCGTTTTCTTGAAGCTACGACAGGTGAGGTCTTCATCAATGACATCTCGGTTGAACACTTCGGCCTGTTCGCAGGCTGGATCATGAAGGGATGTATTGCAATCAATCACACTTTAGGCGACTTGCTACAGCTCTATATCATGGCAGACCAGTTCGACGTCAAAGAACTTCGCACAAGAATAACCGATGAACTTGCCTATGTGTGCTACGAGATAGATTTCAGCCTCCCAGAACGTGGGGTCATCACTCTGATTGTCGACAACATCCCCGAATCAATGCCTCTTCACCGACTGCTTGCCAAGGCAGTCGCTAGATTGTTGTTCCTGCTATTGTCAACAAGCCAAGTTGCAGTTGCTGCTCAGTGTGGTCAATAGAAGCTTCTATGGCTTTGTAATTATTGTTGCTTATTGCGGTGGAAAGCGGCTTCTATTGTCTTCTAGCAATTGTCTTCTAGCTATTGACGACATGTTTGCACTGTGTACTTAAGATTTCTCCAGTCCCGCATTCATCCTCCGTTCTTTCCTCCATATTCTCTCCTCTCTCCACATTCTCGGAGCTGGTCTTCGATATTACCCTCGTACTCAACCTTCCTTTCCCAATATTCTACATCCCGTCCTCGGAGCTGGTCTTCGACAACACTTTTGTACTCTTCCTTACTTCGCCACCCTTTTACTTCCACTACCCAATCATTCTTCCATCTACCCTTTGTTTTACGCCAATCACGCTCTACGAGAAGATTCGTCAGTCTCTGTTGAGCTTGTTATCTTTTCCTCTCCCGGACCCGCCTTATCTTGCCCCTTTGCAAGATCCGTACGCTATATAGCGATACCAATTCTCACCATGGTCAGGTAAGCCTCTACTACTCCAAGCCTCTTATATTTGACGCTGATCACGTCCCTGTCTAGCCAGCAAGTCCAACTCTTCTCGGTCGTTGTCAGAGTTCATGAAGTTACCTCTACTACCTTCATTGTCAGTCGTCAGCGCCTGTGTCGTGTGTCAAAGTTCTTCAGCAAGGCTTTCTTTGGTTCTTTTCTCGAGTCACACACTGGCACGCTCGATTTGTACGAGGTCTCCACTTACTACTCTTGAGGAAGCCATCGCTGCTCGCAAGTAGCATAGACAATCAATCAGGTACACAAGCTTCTTACAAAGAGGCATTACTCCTCATATACATATGATACAGTTCAGGAGGTAAGTCTACAGGTTCTTTCGGCTCGAAGATCAATTCACTAACTCTGATGTGCCAGCTCTCGCTCTTTCCCTGGTTTTGCCTAGTCCACACCTCTGCCTTGACCCGTTAGAGAATCTCCTGAATGCCTACCGCCATTTACGTTCATCTGACGATCAGCACAATCTCTTTTCATCGCCCGACAGTTTCAGAAAGCGTTCAATGGTCTCGCGACCATCTTCCATACTTTGCTTTCCCAACGCCCTCAGTCCATTCCGGCTGACCCTCATGTTGTGCCCGGGACGTCTCATCTCAAGATTGCTTCCGGACCTTATTTGCGACTTAATCAACCATGACAAACATCACTACGGAACAACATAACGACTCATCACGAAAGAGAGAGCTGGTCTCTTACATCGCACACCCCTTTGGCCCCTTTGCTAGGATTCATTGGTGTTTTCTCCTTGTTTCTTTTCGGCCTTTTGCCATGTTCTCAAACAGGATCACGAGAAAGGAGAAAACCGGGCGGGTTTGACGAAGTTTGGGAATTCTCATTACACGGCATGGTGATGCCCCTTTGCTTACTGCACGTTCTCTTTTTCCCTTCCTTTAACTCTTCTTTTGTGCTTCCCATTAGTCTACCAGTTCATACATTGGTTCGCTCTCAATAACACTCATACATTCTTGAGACTGTTGCATCAGTTTAAGTTCTTGTGTCTTTGTTCAAAGCGCTGGTATGTTCTCAGGGCCTGCTCTTCCCAACTCTACGTGTCTCGCTGTTTCCTGCTGTTGGAAGGGTCCTGGTCTTTGGTAACTTCCTCTTCATTATCAACGACAAAAGATGGCGAGGCTCAAGAGAAAGTGCTTGTGAACTTTCTCTGTGTGGCTGGTGCCTTCTCGTGGCCTATAGTTCTTACTGCGATGTATGCCAACTCAAGCTTCTTCGTCGTTATGACGAGCACAATATGGACCACGAGGAAAGTGTTGATGCTCGGAGGGTGTTTCACCCTGGAGCGCCACCAACCGCTCGATAAACAACCTTGGCAGTGTCTCCTCCAACTGTCTTCGTTGCACAATCTCTGTACCAACCGCGAGGTATCTATTGCAGAATCGTTTCCAAAGCTCGTAATCTTTGGTGCCAGATGCGCAAGGCTTTGGGATATAGGGGTCATTTCTTTGCGCTGAGACGGCTGCTTTTTCAACGCCTTCGATGTCCATTGAGATGGAATCACAGCAGTCGAAATCAAGTACCCATACTTGAAGATCTTGAATTTGTGGCTGCAACTTTGTCGTAGGCTCTGGTTCTGTCAGACTGCGCGTATCAGAATTGTATGGTAGTTTGGCGATGTATGACGGAGATAACGGTGTGCAGGTCTGGGTGGGCAGTTGACGGCGTGATCCTAGCACAAACTCGACATCGTTGGCATCGACTTCTGCATCCCAGTGTAAGATAGCTAGAGCTTCCGCAATGTATCCGGCGTATTCGTGGATAGGGAGGCCGAGTTGTTCCATCGAGTCGACCAGGAGTACGTAGTTGTTTAGCGAGAAGAATTTGGACGGGCGTCAGAAGCGCCGTCTGCCAAGGTATATCCGTCCGATGCAGACGGTGTCACGGTCTTTGACACATTGGCGAGCTTCTTCTGGACAGAAGCTATCAATCAACAGATTCCTGAAAGTGGAAGAGAGTGGCGGGATCCGCTCCGAGCACATGATGTTGCAGCCGTTCGTTGACGTGTACCAGAAAGAAGCTGGTATCTGTATGTTGGTAGTTATGGCGGTGGATTTGTCTAGGTGACTGAGGATCCTGTTCTGGAGGTAATATTCTTTCCATAAGCTTCTGTGCTTAGATCCATCAGCTCTTTTGATGACCCAGCTAGCGTCTGCTACGGTCCAAACACTACCGCAATGTCCCGCACCGATACGGAGCGGAGCGGATGGAACCGCAGTGCTCGTCGAATAGTTTGGAATAGCTTGATCACAATCATGGGCTGGAACGACCATGCCGCGGATATCACGGGTTTCGAAGTTGTCTGAGGTTGGTAAGGTTGGTGAGGCTGACATGGCCAATTTGCCATCTGTAGGAGCCATATTTTTGTCAGGGTTAGCGTTAGTTATTTTTGTCGTTGATTCTGCTGATTCCAGTGGGTAGTGTTACTGTGTAAATCGAGATTTGTTGTGATGATAGGACTATGTAGTGAATCGTCGTAAGCAACAACTTTGATGCCGTTGTGAGTCATGAACGTCAAAGAGGTAAAAAAGAACACAAAGAGCAAGTGCGAGCAACATTGTGCTAGATTTCCCACAGGCAGTGATCGGCATGTGACCAATCAAGTCTTGGTGCGGACTTGCTAATGCAAGGACAGGGACAAGTGACTTCGTCATAAAGATTTGATCTAAAGAAATTTTGGAAGTAGCTTCAAGCGATTTTATATTTGCAACATGACTTGGCCACTTTTCTAGCATCCTCTGCTTCACGAAATAGAGGGGCTCTGACAGGAAGCAATTCAACCTGTAGTTCGGGGTTACTGAATGCATCTCCAATCTCACATCACACTTCGAATTGATCATTGCTCGACCAGCGTTGCGAGCGAACATATTCCTGCACCTCTGGTGTCGAGTTCTGCTGCTCATCATCATCATGTTTTTCAGATCTCACAACCTCGCGTGGGATCCTGATCGCCACTACCGTAATGGCAAGTCCTACTGCAGCACTAGCTGCAGCGAATAAGAAGCAGTTGCGATGACCTTGGAGCCGAGCGTCAAGATCAGGCTCATGCCCCTCTGTTCGAGCTTGGATGACCTGAGTGATGGCAAGTGAGAAGGCGATGCCAAGATTAACCGTGGTACTGTTGACTGCGCCAGCAAGCCCCTGCCATTGGAGAGGAGAGACGCTGGAGAGCACGACATTGGCAATGGTGTATGTCATGTCTATGCCTAGTGTCGTGCAGATCATGGCTGGGAATACGAAAGGCCAATAGCCCATCGAAGGATCTCCGAGAGCTAACAACAAGGGTGCTGCTACCCAGGCTATCCCCGAGATAAGCAACACGAAAGTTGGAGATGTGATGTGCAAGATACTACTTCCGACCACTGCGCAGAAGAAGCCACCGACAGCCAGAGGTGCAAACCAAGCTGCAAGTTGTACACCAGTGACACCATAAGCGAGACGGAGATGATTCGTAGCGGTAAAGAGCCAGGTACCGAAGCTACCATAGAAGAAGACACAGGCTATCATCAATGGTTTGACTGACTTTGGCGTAAAGAATTTGCGAGGTAACAGTGGACAGTCTGCTAGCCTGAGCTCGATGAAGATTGCACATGCCAGACAGGCAAGACCTATGAGGAAAGGCGCCAAGATCCCTGCAGTCTGCCAGGCGTGAGGTGCATTCGCGCTGGCAGCTAATGCGTATGCCACGAGGATGAGACCGGAAGTGATGGTGAGGGCTCCCCACCAATCCATAGTCAGGTTGAGCGATGATCGGTCGGCACGGTCTGAAGGTACTGAGAGATAGGCAGCAATGAGAGCCACGAAGCCTATGATCGCGGCAATCCAGAAGTACCAGCTCCAATTGTCCGAAGGAAGTGCAGCAGAGACATAAATACCAACGAAGAACCCGAGCGGTGACGAGGCTCCATATATGCCCAGGACCATGTTCCTACGAGGGCCAGTTGGGTAGATGCAGCCGAACAACGCAAAGCTGCTTGGGGTATAGGCGGCAATGGCCAAGCCTTGCATAGCTCGGCAGATGTCAAGGAGTATGAGAGAAGTGCTGAAGCCAGCAACGACACACCAGATACAGAACCATAGTACAGCAAGCATGAAGATAGGATAGCCACCGTACATGTCGGAGAGCCGAGCTGTTGAGCACAGAGTAGCACATAGTACCAATGACAGGATGGTAGCAGGCCAGAAGTCTGACGTTGTTTCGTTCGAGAAGCGGGCCAGTAATGTTGGAAGCACAACTGCGAAGCCTGAAATCATGTATTCCTGCTCTGGTCAGTACTGGTCGAGATCGTGCGAATGATGATAGACTTACTGCAAGCAATTGGGTCAGTGCCATGGAGAAACAAAAGGCTATCTCAGCTGCGGTGGACCGGAATCGTCGGCGGTGTGAGACATTGGCAGCGACCTCCTCTGACGGAGTGATCTGAGAGGAGGTAACTGAGATGGCACCCTTCTTCTCCTGATCGGCTGCTTCTTTGTACTCCAGGATGCTTTCGAGGCTTGAGAGCCGCCATGTGACAGGTCTGGTGACGAGTAGTGGTCTGGAGGATAGGTTTGGCGAAGAAGGAGGGGTCTCCGGTATGCTGGTGTTAGATGAACTGTGAGTAGTGTCCATGATCTGAATCACTGGGTAATGCCACACTTCGAGAATGCGAGGGAAGAAAGAACAGGTGAAACGCGATCAAATAGAAGACCTCAGTACTCTCTGTCCCAGGGTATGCAGTCCGGATTGAGACAATGGTTAGTCCCGGAGACCTTGCGTGGACGTTGCTTTCAGACACAGCTAGAACAAACAGCCTTTTAAACAAGGTACCTATATGCTCACCTGCCGCAACTTGCAACAGCTGCATGGCACTTGAGACACCACCACGACATCATAGCTATACGCCCATGATCTCGCAGCTGTATCTGTGTTTGCACAACCACACCATGTCTGCAAACACTTGTTGATTGTGAATTGCGACGTCAACAGAGGAAGTCAATGACAATTCCTTTTGATCCTTGATCTGTTTAGGGTATATGTGCATATAACTGTCCGCAAGCTGCACCAATGGCGTAGCTTGGCGATCAATAGGGCTGCACAGATTGTTCGATCTGTTTGCTGTTCAGCCAGCCACCTGCATGACATACTCAGAGTGTCCTGGTAGCCGGTACAGCCATGTTTCGCTTTCAATCTACTGCAATGCTTTATAACATCATCTCTTATGTTGTAAAAGAAGACATGGTGCCGATCAAGCCGGTCAAAGGCATCGGGCCACCACAAGAGATGTGTCGCTGGCAACAGAAAATAATGTTGAAGGTCGGAGGGAGGCTGAGAGCTGTGCGAAAAGAGAAAACGCGGAGATGATCAGCCCCGCGGGCCCTTGCCGCAACCCTATTTCGACAAACATCTCCTTTTACTAAACCAGGACGACACCGACCACGTGGTATCGGTACGTACAAGCATCTTCCAAGCTGAGACTCAGCTCGACAATTCGCACCTATTTTAGACGGTGGGGTTCCGTCCACTACAAACACACTTGTCACCATCCATGGACGTCTTCCAGAAGTGTTTGAGCATTGCCAAGGACCCGTGGCATACCAGATGGATATGTCCACTGCTGCTGCTGGCTGATGCAGGACTTACAGCATTGATCGTGTGGAAGGTCCCATGTATGGAATCCCAGTAGCAAACACTCGAATGTCAGATCTGATGCTATGAAAATAGATACCGAAATCGATTGGACAGCGTATGTGGAACAAGTCACACAATATCTTGCTGGAGAACGCGACTACACCAAGATCCAAGGAGGTACCGGTCCTCTGGTCTATCCCGCGGCCCATGTCTACATCTACCAAGTGCTATATCGGTTCACCGACCAAGGCACCAATATCCCGTTTGCACAGATCATCTTTGGTGTCCTCTACCTCATGACGCTTGCTGTGGTCATGGCATGCTACCGCAACGCAAAGGTTCGTCTTACTGCTGTCAAGCTTTGAGTGTAATTACTGATGGCTGACAGATACCACCCTATGTGTTTCCGATGCTCATCTTGTCCAAGCGTATGCACTCGATCTTCACGCTAAGGCTGTTCAATGACTGCTTTGCCATTTTCTTCTTCTTTTTGGCCATCTATTGCTACCAGAAGCGATGGTGGATCATGGGGTCAGCCATCTACTCAATGGGGTTGGGGGTGAAGATGAGTCTGTTACTTGCATTGCCTGCAGTCGGGACTGTGCTTCTGCAAGCAATCGGTGCAAGTGATGCGATTGGTCATGCATCGTTGATTGTGTTGATACAGGTGCGTTCCCATTGTAGCAATCCGCAGCTTCTCACTGACCAAGCTTAGATTCTACTCTCATTGCCCTTCACACTGCACAACCCGCAGGGCTACCTCTCGCGGGCATTTGAGTTCACAAGGCAATTCTTCTTCAAGTGGACAGTAAATTGGCGGTTTGTGGGAGAGGAGACATTCCTCTCCAAGCAATTTTCATTAACATTGCTTGCTGCTCACGTCTCTCTGCTTGTTCTCTTCGCTACGACTCGATGGCTAAAGCCTTCGAAACAAACCCTTCCTGCGATAATCGGATCAATCTTCAATCCTCCGTCAGAGGCAAAGCAAGCAGAGATATCGGCGAGGGTGACACCCAGGTTTATCTTGACGACAATACTTTCGGCCAATGCGATTGGCATGCTGTGCGCAAGATCGCTCCACTACCAGTTCTACTCTTGGATTGTATGGGCGACTCCTGCTCTTCTCTGGCGCGCGGGCTACCATCCTATCCTGCAATATGCCCTGTGGGGTGCGCAAGAGTATGCCTGGAACGTCTTTCCCAGCACCAACTTCAGCTCGATGGTTGTGGTGCAAGTGCTTGCTGCTACGGTGGCTGGCGTATGGTATGGAACGAGAAAAGAGACGACGGATGCTCCGGTGAAGAAGCATCAGCATGTAGAGTAGCGTCGTAAAAAGTTTCGGCGGTCAACAGGGCGAGTCGATCATTCATCCTCAGAGTCTGAGGGAGGCATCTTGCCGACGTTGGACTCTTCCTCGTCCGAGTCGTCTTCGTCGACGTAGGAGATTCTCTGGACGAACTCCTTAGGCCTGTACATATGTCAGTAACTGTACAGTACCAATGTATATCGAGGATGCGCACCAGTATTTCTGCTTGCGCCATTCCTTTTCGTTCCTGACAACGTTGATGATCTCTCCGTCCAACTTGTTCTCACGCTCATTCGCAGCGCCTGTATCAACCAGGACAAAGCCGCCTCTCTTGATCCAGATGGTGGAGCGGAAACGCGCAGGCAGCTCGACCAGCAGAACCTTGGTGTCGGGCAACTCGACTCGGTAGAGGTTGTTCCCAGCAGCTTGTTGTACGCGAGCGACGAACTGAGTCTCTGTGAGAGTTTGGGGAGGTGTCATGGTCTCCTCGGCCGTAGCCTGGAGGTTGCGTCTGGGCTTGGGCATGCTCGCGATTTGTTGTTTGCTATTGACTTTCGTTGGTTGTTGCGTGGAGAAATATTTTGTCTGGACCGAGGCCGGTCACTTTGATGGTCGCTCGGTTCTCGCTTGCAAAAGTCTTGGGACCACCTGCCTTAGCACTTGACATGCAACCGCCGCCTTCTCTCCTCCCCACCTTCCAATATCATCTCCATGATGCAACATTTGTATGAAGAAACATCTCTTTCAAGGAGAAATATTTGCATCGTCTTCACAGTGTCTCTTGTTCGGTCTGGACGAATCGAAACTTTCAGCACGTCCGATAGAGTCCACGCCAGGCAGATAATCAAAACCGCATCGTACCCTGGAATGCTATTGATTCTTACTCAAAGACTTGTGCTAGACCTCTTGGTTCCTCCAATAACCTTGCGGGTACGCCGTCATGAACTTACGTCGGATCATCCTAGAACGATCATTTACCAATACCAAGGGCTCTAACATGAGAACCTGCTCAATATTTGCTCCTGGTCCTGGACTCGCTCGCTGATTCGACACTGCTTGGGTACATGGCCTGTCTTCCACGCTCGATTAGGAACATTAGGCAACAAGCAAATTTTCATAAACACATGGCATTGCGGCCGACTGCCGGCCCAGAGTATTTCATCATTCTGTACTTCCATATTGACAACCCTAGTCCTATCCCAATCGCTCTCCGTTCGCCCAAAGCAAGGCTTCGAGTCCCTATGAACTTCAGAATCCCTTCAAAATCCCTCGACGTACGGGCTTCATCAACTTGAATCTCCTTCGAAGTACAGGCTTCTGGCTTTCGGCCTTTATTACTCGACCTTGGAGCATGGCATACGGCACTCGATCGAGAGCGGCTGCAAAGTGTTCCCCTGATACTACAGACCAGCATCAGGTAACCGCTCTAGTCGACAATCATTTCATCACACTCTTTGCTGACCTGTACCAGTGCGGCGAGATGAAAAGAGTATTCGACACAGACTCCAACTCGTACGACAGCTTGTCACCAAAACACTGCTTTCGGTTTCTTGATCTGCCTCTCGAACTGAGAATCGAGGTGTACAAGTATGCGTTCACGGATCACTCTGATGATCTGCCATCTACGATTCTTTTCACAACCAAGCCAACCCCTCTGAAGTCAACCAGTCTACTGGCGACTTTTCTGTCCTCGCAGGAAAGACCTGATCTCGGTCTCTTACTTACATGCCTCCAAATACAACAGGAAGCAAGCGCAATTCTCTACGGTCAAAATTGTCTCCTTCTTCAGACTCCGATCCACTTGAACAACTTCCTCTTACGTATCGGAGAAAATCGCCGTTTCATCCGCAAGATCCGCTTCAACATAGCTTCACGCCTTCCATGTGAGATGTTAGAAGTTGAGCGAAACGCTCAACTTTTGTCCGAAGCCAGACTCAAACGCTACTCAGTAGAAATTGGCTACCAGGGCTCCAGCTTCCTCAAGACTGCAGAGGAGATCTTCGCATCTCTGACGCCCATGCTCAAAGTGCTCCATACACAAACCAGAGCGGGAGACGATGCTCTCGATGTTGTGGAAATTCTTCAGAGAGATTTGTGCCCTCGGTTTGTATCCACGGACCCCAATAAGTGGTCAACTTGTCCCAAGATCTTTGATGGTCCTTGCGAACGTTGTCTTACCAAGGAAATTGCTTATCATCAATTGATGAAGGCCATCAAAGAAAAGTGGACTGGATTGAAGGCTACGCTGGAAGAAAGTTGATTTTGCTTGTTAACCAACCATGTAGAACAAGTCTATCATGTGCATTTATCAAATTCTGCCACTTCCAAATACAGAAGCATGTTCAGTAAAAGTGCTTCGAGTGGCCAATCTCTGCGGACGAATGAGCTGGAGTGAAAATGATCGTGCAGCTCTACAGGTTGAAAGTTTCGGTCTTCAGTGATGAGAGAGCGAAAGTGACAGGCGACTAGCTTGGCCGAACGTGCCTGCCTTCTTCGCAACTTCCAGTTCGAAAACACGCACGCGCGCAGATCGTTCGTATCACAATCAATTGCGTCCTTCACCTCACTCCATCCGAACTTCACTCCATCGACATATCGATCTGTCAACTCACTTCTCACACAATCGGCGGCTATACTTCTTCTGCGAACTTCGCATCGGCTCGATCGCTGCTTCATCGACTTCCACCTTCTCGTCTATACTCAAACACATCAAACAGCAAACCTACCTACACCACTACCATGCCTCCCGATCTTGGCTCGAGCGCCACTACGGCCACTCAGCGCGTGAGTTATGAATGCTTATTTGCGCAACCAAATCAATGATGCTGATGCTCTCTAGCAAGGCGCCAACTCTGAAGAAACGCCAACGCCATCCCGCTTCCTTGACCTTCCTACCGAGATCAGACTGATGATCTTGAAGTACGCTCTTACCGATGGTACCCAAGCATCTACAGTCGAACTCATCAGAGGACGTCGATCTCGCATCACCGGCACATATCTTGACGCCGTTCCATTCCACAGCTTCAGTACAAAGCCCAGCGTCCAAATACTTCTAACCAACCGCCAAATCAATGCTGAAGGAACACCTATTCTCTACTCAAAGAACACATTCTCGACATGCCCCTCAGCTCTTGAAAGGTTCACCAAGGCTGTCGGTGCAGCTAACAGGCAATACATCCGTTCTATCCACATCAATGGTGCCACCATGGAACTCTATTTCACAAGCAAATGGCTCAGAAGCTTGAAGGAATACATTGGATTGAAGCGCCTTCGCCTCAACATGCTATCAAGGGTGTACTATTTGAAACAGCGTGCTATCCGGTCTGATTACAGGCCACCTGGTATGTCTGTTCTTCTGACACTGATCCCTGTGATCAAAATGCTCTGTGAGAGAGAAGGCTCGGATGAAGCAGCCCGCAAGATCATTGAGGTTCTGCCCTACGAAATATGTTGCCATCATAATTCGTACCTCTGGACTGCGATCACTTGCTTCAATTGCTGTAACGATGCAAGATTCTTTGAGGAATACAAGGTCGTGGAGGATGACTTCTGGAGCGATATCCCAAAAAGATACGCAGAGGCCAAAGAATCGGCCAGAAGAGAAAAGTGGATGGCTAAGAGATTCGGAAAGTTCATTTAGCAAGGAAGAACAAGCAGTGAAAGCATGACCAGCCAGGCACATACAAGCAGGAAGGGTATATCAGGATTCTTTGCAAACGTCTTCTTCTTCTCTCAATAACGTAATATATCAATGCTCTCAGGGGGCCATTCTCCTGATCTCAATTCAATTGTGCAATTTGACAGCAATAATCAACACCTACACTGAACACGAGATGCCACACCAGGACCCTCTGCCTCCCTTCCAGGGGCTCACAGCCCTACAACAGGTCTCACAGTCTCTCCCTGCCCACGCACCGGGGTCAAAAACACTGTCAAAATGCACGAGTGTCTTCGAAGAGTAGTGTGTTGCCAAAGAGACCTTGTTTATGTGTGGCATCAGGGGACTTGTCCCGATGAACGATGCCTCATCTACAAATATATCTCTGCATTTTGATAACTAGGAAACCACATATGCATGTATGTGCTGCTGGAGAGCGCAATAACCCATTTTCAAAGACGCAAAGAAGCACAAGAGCGGATAGGGGTATTATGAGATCATATAATTCATGCTATAAAAGCAATAGGACTAGCAACCTTTCTTCCATGCCTCATAATTCTCGACATCTGACAATCAAGGGGTCCACTGATTCCTCATGACACACGTTTCTAATCGTACTCGTCATATGAGTAAGACTGCCTCTGTGTCAAACACCACTCTTCACTCGCCAATCCATTCTTCTTCCTCATCTCCAAGCCCTTTTGATCTTTACAGTGATCGCAGGCGTAGTTGCAAGGGACTTCAGTGTTGTCGCCAAAGTAAGTGGCTATCATTTTATGTCTGCATTTGTCGGTTGCTTCGCAGTATTTGGTCAAGAAGAGAAGAGAGTTGGCTCGACCGTTGCTGTCGGGATGTGTGCTGTGGTTGTTGTATTCGGGGTTGTTGCGGCCCCTGGTGGATTCGGTGCGCATTTTTTGCTCTTGGGCTCGAGCGAGCATGTTGGCGCTACGATCGCGGTCTTCGCGTGAGTAGTAGACGATACAGACGGAAGCTTTGCCGTCTCTGCCTGCACGTCCGGCTTCTTGGTAGTAGCCTTCGAATGACTTTGCAATCTGCCAGTGAACGACGAAACGGACGTTTTCTTTGTCGATACCCATTCCGAAGGCCGTGGTTGCGACTATGACATCGTAGCCTTCTCGATTGGCGACCCATCCGGAGAGATGGTCGTCTTTCTGTTCGTTGCTGAGGCCGGCGTGGTAGGGCTTTGCGCCGATGCCGTCTGAGGTTAGTCTTTCGGCAAGGATTTCGCAGTCCCGGCGGTATAGGGTGTAGATGATGCCCGGCACGTTCGTGGGTCGTTCTTTCTTGGCTGCCAGTTCAGCTGCTCTTTCCGGACTTTTGCGTCGATTATGTGCTGCTTTGATCCAGGCAAGGAAGTCGTCGTAGTGGTCTTCTTCATCTGACTTGTACCGCACTTCGTAGTGCAGGTTTGGTCGGCTGGTGTTCATGGTGAAGTGCTTCAACTTACGCTTGTCGAGTTGTAGCGTCGCGATGATATCGTCTCGCACTCGCTGTGTGGCCGTCGCAGTACAGCATATCATCGGTACATCTGGGAACTCCTTTCTGAAGAAGTTAAGCTCTTTGAAGCTGGGCCGGAAGTCGTGGCCCCATTCTGATATACAATGCGCCTCATCGATGGCGATCCGGGCAAGCTCTTTCTGCGCATGGACTATGCGTAAGACATTGCGGAAGTGGTCCATGGCGCAGAACTCTGGGGTGACATATAGAAGTCTGGTCATAGGGTGGCCGGTCTTGAGATCGGCCATAATGCCATCACGGGTGGTCTTAGAGACAGTGCTATTGATAGTAGCCACCGCAATGTTTGCCGCGCGCAGAGCTGCAACCTGGTTGTTCTGATATCGTGTTAGAGATTGGGGCAGTCAGATAAATTCAGCCAGCAGACTCACCATAAGTGCGAGAAGTGGTGAGACGACGATTGTGACTGGAACATGTTAGATGTGAATTCGGTTCCATCCGATCTTGACTTCAACTTACTTCCAAGATCAATACATGCTGGCAATTGAAAGCACAAACTTTTGCCAAATGAGGTGGCGGCTTGGAGAAAAACATCATTGCCCGCTAGAGCAGCTTCAATAACTTCTCGCTGCACAGGTCTGTATAAAACTTTTGGTTAGCACGTTTCGCAATACACATGAAGAAAATGCTGGACTCGCCTGAACGATGGTTTCCCAAAGACCTGACGTAGTGTGAACTCGAGATCCGGCTTGCTACGCGACCTTTGGATGGGCATTTTGTTCGATTGATGTTGAGCAATTTGGCCGGGAATGGTTTGAGAGGCGAGTGATAGTCTTGAGGCTTCAACCAGATGGCAAAACAGGCAACACCGGATGATCAGTCAACCGCAACATCCTCACCGAGATGGTGTTCCAGAAGTTTTGACGCGTCACTAGACTTTTCAAGTCATCAGAAAAATCGGACACTCCAAAAGGAAGGTACAATGCGCAAGATTGAAGAAATGATGAAGAGAGAGCAGCCTGCGGTTCGCGACTGCGCACGGACATCTTTGTCTATACCAGTTTGATGCATGGGAATATCGGGTCAAATGCCAACATTGTCTATCAAAAGCAGATGAAAAATTGCCTGCATGCACAAGTTCGCGAAGTTGATTGAATCAATGAGCTCCTCACAGCTTCCCTGTATCTCACAGGAAAATCTCTTTATCCTTAAAATTCGTTTGTACATGAAGGTTTACATTTATTGTTACAATCCTCGCGGAGGCCTTGTTTCAACCGAGCGCATATTCCAATCCTGTATTTACAGCCTCTTCGTCATGTTCGTCCGGCTTCCAGACTTCCTTGATCTCTTGCCAGACCTTTCTGGTATTCTCTGGGCCCGTGACCTTGTGGTAGGCATTCAGAGTGGCTTTGACCATAGAGATGCTAATGTAGCAGCCCCTGTCTTCTTCTGACCTCCATTCGGTGTGTTTCTGCTCAGCCTCCCGGTCCCTCTCGACAAATTGGCAGAATACATCCCAGAAGCTGTCCAATTTCTTCTTGTTCCAAGAGGAGTAGCGGATACCTCCGTGGATGCTGAAACCGCGAATGATCTGATAGAAAACAGATCCGTGAATGTGAATAGCGCTTTGTTGCATCTCGTCAAGCAGCTCACTGATACGGTCGATATTTCCAGATTCGTGAGCATGGTACTTGATCAACAAGCGATAGGTGTGCAAGTTGGGTTTTATCGGAGTCACGTTCTGCACAACGCTGCGTCTCTCCGGTATCTCACGCAGACTTTTGCCCGCTCGATTCAGAACTCTCCCAAGTTTGCGCTGAGCTCTCCACCCTTCGATCTTTGCAGCGCTGGTGTTCTCTAGGCCCAGTATCTTCATCTTCTCAAAGATGTGCTCGGCGGCAGAAGCCTCACCAGCGTTGACCAAGCTGGCAATGACACAATTGAGGACAAGTGTGTCGACAATCTCTCCAGAATCGACAAAGTCCTGGTATGCTTTCCTAACAGCAGCACCGTCTCGTTTCATGCCATGACAATATATCTGGTTGGTGCGAAAATAGCGGCTGGGCTCGATATTCCGTTGCATCATTTCCTTGACCACCATATCGGCGAGAGCAAATTTGCCGGCTTTTGTGGCGACATCAAACAAGATGCTGAATGTAGCAGCACTACTTGCAATACCGGCCTCTTTCTCCATACGTAACCAGATCTGGGTGGCAGTGTCGACCTGCACATCGCCAACTTTGCGAAGATAGCGACTAGCAAAGCTCATGGCGCTGTTCCATTCGAACCTCGTCATGGGAATATCTGCAGCGAACAAGTCGTCGACAACTGAGAGGTATCGCTGCATGGTATGCTCGTCTTTGTATTCGACGACACTCAAGCGATGCATCAGTAGTCGGATTTGATCGTTTTCGAGGTACTGCGGGCGCGGTTGTGGTATGGCTCTGTAAGCATTGTATAGAAGAGTGTTCGGTACGTCCCTGTCCTCAATAGTAAGACTAAACTGGTCAATGGCTTGCTTGTCTAACAAAGAATTGGCGACAAGTGGATTCCGGTCTGGTATTGTGGCCGAAGAGAAGACGTTGACTTCGGTTGGAGAGCGATGGTCGGTATTCGAATTCGGAGGAGGATCTTCCTGATAGCCAGCAAAGTCATACTGATCGACTATGGAGCGTAGCTGTTCGCGCGGGATTTGGATAGTTGTGGGCTCGGAGGAGTCTTCTGGGGTGAGAGCAATGGCTTCAGATTGGGGAGGCTTGTTTCTCGACGACTGAGTGGTAAAGCGTTGCGGGCGGGATGTGGTACTCGTGTTAGGGGTAGGGCGGTTGTGGTATGATATAGGGCGAGCATGTTTCCGGCACAAGCTCGCGCGAGCAAGAGCGTCGAGAAAAAGGGACTCGGCAGACTCGGGGGTCAGAGGGTGTGGCGCGGGTCGTCTAGAGAGGATGTGGAGGTCTCGTCGATGGCGATGACGGTCGTGGTCGAAGGAATTGGCGGACAGACAGTGGTTGCGGCGTGGACACAGGGCTGTCATAATTGAGGCAGTTGTCGTCTGTGTCTGCAGAGAGATTCCGCTCTGGTTGCGGGAAAAGGAGCCAAAGAGGGACATGAAGCGGCGAGCATTGTGTCAGACGAACAATCGACATTCCCCAGGCATTTCACTCAGTACATCACGCCGTGTGGTGGCCTCTGTCCTGGAGCTGCTTCTCCAAAAAGTCCGACTTTCTGGATTACGGACCGCCCATCCAACGCGCGCTGATTGGCTGCTCAGTCCACCTCCGCCGACGCCAAGCCACATCTCTCCCGCTCCGCTCTCGAATCTCGAATCTCGAATTATTGACGAGAAGCGTCTTGGGCGTTTCTTTATTCGGGCAGCCAGACACGACAGTCGCCATGGGTCGATACAACTTCGCGCCTCAGCGCGTGCACCAGGCTGCTACACGTCTCCTCCAAGTCCGCAGTGCCGCGCGCGGCGGCCCCTCGCAGCCTCCTCCGCCATGGTATACCGTCATTGGCAACCTACCGCCGTCAGAACGTCTCGTGCGTCCGCCATTGCAACCCGCCCGTCGCAAGGGTAGAAAGGCCAGCAAGCTCTTCCAGCCTGTCAACCTCAAGTACGAAGAGGATCAACTCAGACTCGACTTCTTTGGCGACCACCCGTGGGAATTGGCGAGGCCCAGACAAATCGTCGAAGATGACGGCAAGGACTACCAGAAGTTCGACTGGAGCCAGCTGGACCAGCCGACCAAGCAGATTGACGGAGAGAGGTGCATACACCTGCCTACATACTTGACCAGTACTGTCATGCTGACTCTACAACAGCGTTGTCCAAAGACAAGCATGGCTCATGGGCCTTGTCCGTCATGAAATCGATTACCTTGCAACCCCAAACATGCGCGAATATTACAAGTTGCACAAAGACGAAGAAGTAATCAAGGAACTCCAAGAACTTCACCTTCTCTTCAAAAACGACTACGCTGTTGATTTACAAATCAATGAGACAAATGAGGCGGACCACCCGGACCCGAACGCACATTGGCCCATCAGTGTCTACTTGACATACCACCCTCAATATCCCCACCAAATCAAGGACGCCCAAAAGCACTTGAACCAATTCCTTGCCAAACAAGGTCTCGATCTTTCGACCATCAACAAGCGCTCCTTCAGTGCTTCATTCCCACACTCGGACGCTGTCGCTCAGACACTACGAAACTCCGATCTTGCTGCCATCGGCAAGCAATACAACATCGATATTACCCTCGAGCCCGAAGTCACCGTCAAGCCCTTCGCCGAAGAACCTTTCGATGTCCAACCTTTCTCTTTCTCCTTCTACCGCAACGCCACCAAGAACATTCCCGCTCTTCTCAACCACCTCGCAACCCTTCTCGACGTCAAGACCTCCAATATCCTCAGCCCTCCTCTCCCCACAACGGAGCCTGATACTTACCCAGCATACACAAAGCTAGGAGCTTACGACAAGGCCCGTAAGGAGTTTTACGAGGTCCGCCACCAACAGGACATCGAGCGCCGTGTCGCCCGCGAGGAAGCCCTCTGGACTGGTGCCGAGTTCGGTCCATCACCCTTGGACATTGGTATGCAACTCGAGGACCAGAAGTACGAGGAATGGCGCGATTGGGCCACCAAGGAGATTACTGCAATCAGACAACTCTCTGGCTCGTCCGGTAGTGCTCTCGACCAAGATGCTCTATTGGATCCGCAGGCAGATGATATCAACGCTGCTCTGGATGAAGTCGAGCCGAGTGTGCCCGGCAGCAAGAGAGGACAAACCGCTCAAGGAGGTGCTTTGGTCCACCCCTGAGTCTAACTGTAAATCTAAAAGGGAGTTTTCATGTAGCTATATTTTCTTCTTCGACACACCACAAACTGTATCATCAATCTTACGACTATTTCTACATGTTACCGATCATCCATGTCTGGCTTCTTCGGGACGACGAATATGATGCTTGTTGCAAGAACTGATTTTCTGGTTGTCTCATTTTAAACTTCCGGATCAAAACACAAACGCCCTTTGTTTGAGCACCAGACTTTTACCCATATCTACCAGCCAAACGCAATAACCTCCCAACACCATCCCAATTAGCCCAACTGGCTACCCCGCTACCAGAGCTCATTCATTCGATCCTCCTCTTCTCATATCCATTGTTGCTAACCCTCGCACCCCACAGGTCATCTAGGAAGAATAGATCCAGATGCCGACACAACGACATTTCAGCAACAAGTTGACTTGTCAGACCCAGAGGTTGCCAACAAAGCATCCCCTACCCCAAACCATGTACTGGGAGTTTACTAACGATCGTCCTTGCAAAAACAAGCGTTCTTTACTTATCCTTTCCAGTTCATGTTTCTAGGAGGTTTAGTGAGGAGGGATTGAAGTGACCTCGCCAACACGAGCATTTCGCCTTCTGTCACTGGGCTTCCTACCTCGCTCGCGTCATATGCGTTCGAGAAATAAAGTGTCGTAAGTTTATTCTCTCTGACGGAGAGCTCTGGTAGTGTTTTTCTTGCTACTGGTTTGCTGGTCAGGTTTATTGTGTACCTGGGTGCCGGAAGGCAGGGTCATTTTTGACAATTGGACGATGGTATAGCAGAACCGAGATCTTTGCAGTTAACGACAAACATGGATCTGGTTTCCAAAGCTATTGTGTATCATTGTATCATACACTGCTAGCCAAGTGCACTAATCGCGATTAAGATACGATACCCTTTTGGTCCCATCCACAAAGACGATCATGGTACGATGGTTCACCCGATATGGTTGTGTCGAGCACTAGACCAAAGACTACGGTAAGTATACATGACGGAGGCATGTCGAGCGGAGTAGGTTTTTCAAGTGGTAGATTTCGTCACCCTCCGGCACACAGATCTTAGAAACGCAGAAGATGCTTTGGTCAAAAAGAAAAGAGACAATCTAATTTCCATGTCAAAAATAGCTACATTGAAGAGAAGGTGGATGATGATGGTGCGAGCGAGCGAGTGAAAAAAAAAACATGCATGACATAGACGTACAGATGAAACAAAAAGTGCTCTGCTTTGCATGCGAGAAACCATCCTCTTTGTGTCCAGTGTCGATTGACGACCAACCAAAAAGGGGTGTGAAATATGGGAACAAAAACGACAAAAAAAAAGAACAATCAACTCCTTGCACTCCTGCCGGCCCAACGCCTGTCCTAACCCTTGACCCTGACTTGACCTTAACTAGCTCTAGCTCTCCTCGTCATTGCGAGATTGAGAGCTCCTTCTTCTTCTTCCACCAGTATGCTCAATCAAAAGACGGTGGAGGAGATCTCTTATTGACGGATAGGCACAGCCTCACTCTCGGATGAAGGAGAAAGACCGGATGAAGAAGCAGCCTGCGCACGCTTCTCCATTGCACTCTTTACCTCGCCATCCTGGTCGTCCACGCTCATGCCTCTCTGCAAGATACTGCCCTCCTTGACGGGGCTGCCGGAAACGTAGGATTGGTGGCTCTGGGTGGGCTGCAGGTTGAGGCCAGGGTTGCCGTTGGGGTTTCCGGGGGTCTGGGTGTTGGGTGATGACGAGAGGTGGGGGATGGTGTCTGGTGAGGGGTGTTCGACGCCGATGCTGGTGACGCCCACGTCGCCTGCCTTGCCGGCCTTGCTGAGGGCGTAGTCGCCGCTGTCAAAGTATTTGCGCTCTTGGCCCTATTGTTTGCGCGCGATGTGTCAGATTGGTGGAGTGGACGATGATGGGGTGAAGTGGTGGTGGTGTACCTTGAGCTTGTTCTGCAGCAGGTTCTTCTTGTCGGGGAGCTTGCCGTACATGCGGAATAGGCGCTGCTCGTCGGGCGACATGGCCTGTTGGGGATATGGTAAGCCGATTGTTTTACACAGTGTTGGTGGACAGGTGGTCTTACATTGATGTCGACCTTGTTGTTCTGGTGGGGGTTCATGATGGGCAGGCTTGTCGCGATGTCGGTGGACCTTTTTTGGTCTGCGAGTGTAGATGATAGATAGGAGTGTAGTCGATCTTCGCCGGGAAGAATTGGAGATCGGTGACTTGTTGTGCGCGTAAAGCTGGTTTATGGCGAAAGAGAGAAGGGCGGTCGGCGTTCGAGCAAAGAAGACAAAAGTGACGGGCTTTGGTGAGAGCTTTGGGCTTTGTTCACCAGGGTGATGTCGTCGCTTGACTCAGCTCAAAGCTGGGGTTCAGGGTTTGGGGACAAAGACGTGGACGTCTGATAAAGCTGGCTGTGACTGTTCGCAGTGCTGTCGCTTTTTCTCGGATGCTTGCTGTCGATGTCGCTACTGCTGCTGCTGCCCAACGTCAATCGCTCGGTCAAATGGCGGCCGTGTCACGTATGACGAAGCAGTCTAACGCACGTTTGATGTCCTCTTTCTGCCTTGCCTTTGCTGGCTGGAAGCTTCAGAGCTCGTGCTTGGCACGCAATCGATCTGTAGCTTTTGGATCTTTGAGAGTTCGAAAAACACGAGGTTTGGTATATCGATTGGAGTCAAGAGTTTGGCGGAAAGAGGGGTACTTGTACGCACGAGAGATAGCAGAGCTCCAAGCTTGTGTCACCGTCTTCTATCCCTTTCTACAACGCTTGCCCAGCTCTGCTTGCACCTGAGGTTTTTAGACTTTACCTCTGATCTTTTCCTTGTTCGCTCATGGTCATTCCTACATCTTAGCCTTGGCTTGCTTGTTTGACCTTTCAATACTCGTGCAATCTCGTAAGGCCGGAGTGACTGCTCAATGAGGGAAAAGCAGTCTCATGCTATGCTTAGATTACAATCTCTTTGTTCAATGGCCGCAGTTTTGGATTTTGGTACAAAGTGCAAGCTCCCAAGCTCGGAATGCCATCCAGAACGAGAGGCTCGGCTATCGGACGCATCGAGAGCTGTCACATCAAGCGATAACGCATGTCTGTCAGTTGAAGTAGCAGTTGCGTTCGATAGCGCCTTCCCCACGACGACTTGCTGCTCCCCGCAGAATCCATGCGCGAGTCCTCAACTTTTGAGCCTCGCAGACAAAACTTTTGGAAAATCACAAACTTGACCATTTTCCAGACGAACAATAAATCTCCAGAATTGATTGATACCACATTTCGAAGCACGTTCGCATATCTGTTAAATCATACTAAGAATCTAAATACAGAACTTTATCGTTCAACCGTAAGTCATCGTTGGCGATCAAGAAATTTTGTATCAGCGTTCTGACATGGCTACAGAATATGGCTGGCAAGACTTTCATCGTCGAGCATCTTGACCCCGAACTCGGAGAATGGTCGGCTCTCGAGTACAAGTGTATCGCCAGAGAGACAGCTGCCACAGGATCTTCATTTTATCTCACGTCCGTTCCTCATGAGCTTCAACTACCCGAGCCTCTCAAAAACGTCTCGGAGTTGAACGTCGAGCACCGTGGTATTGAGGAAATCTACGCAGACAAGAAGGATCGTGTCTGTCTGCTTGACCCTTCGGCAAAGGAGGAGCTTAGCCCTAAGGATGGTGACAACTTTGACATCTTCCTGTTTGGTGGAATCCTTGGAGATGATCCACCCAGAGGTATGCTGCGGAACTTGAAATTGATGTATTGTTTATCTGACAGATTCATAGACCGTACCTCGGAGCTTCGCAAGAAGGGCTACCAGGGCCGTCGTCTGGGACCCGTACAAATGACTACTGACACAGCAGTACGCACCACCAGAATTGTGGTCCAAGATCGCATTGAATTGGAGAACATCAAATACGTCGATCACCCGACAATCAAAGTCGATGAGCACGAGAGCATTGAGATGCCTTTCCGCTACGTACTCGACAAGGACGGCAAGCCCATCTTCCCCGAAGTATGTGAAATATCCTGTAGTAATCCAGTGTTGATTCTGTACTAACAGTTTCTCAGGGCATGGTTGATCTCATCAAGAAGGACTCTGAGCATGGCATTGACGACTTGTTGTAAAGCACAAGCACAAAACACTATTCCGTTCTTCACTTGTACCTGCTCAGACATCGTGCCGCGTATGCCGGCTGCTTCTGATGTTCAAGCACATAGACCGTGGAGGCGAGCCAGTGACGTCGAAATTTCACATTCGACAGTCCACTCATCCATCGGATCAGGGAAATGCACTAGCTAGATCAAGTCATTCAGATAATCCAGGGGTCTTACTCATGCATCCAAAGTTACCCCCTGATGCCATCAGAAGTCGAACAATCAGATGCTCGTGTTCCGTTCGAGTACAGTTTAACAAATTCTTTAACCTTCTGTACTATCAAACCTTTGCTCTTTAACCTTAGCTGGTTAAAGATATCTTGACAAAGAACTTTGCTTCGCAAATTCCAGACGCCCGGACACGAATGCCGTTACCCGGTCTGGTAGATACCAGATACATATCAAATGTTCAAATGATGTTTGGCTAATCTGTATCCTGGCCGTTGGTCGCAGCTCTTTCCTTCTTGTGTATAAGAATCTTGGCAGCACTTGCCTGCTTTGAGCGAGCCGCCCACTAGTTTCTGTCGTCTGCATCGACGAGTTCGGGCAAGGCGAACCTCACTCCGCAATACGACCGTTCTGAGACTACCTCGAGGTGTGTCATGTTTGCTAATTTCGAGTTGTCCTCCGGTGGTCTGGTTGCGGCGGATGTCAAGCCCAAGCGGACGCGTACGGATTTGGGATGTCTACCCTGTACGTGCCTCTCTTCCCCTTACCCAGCTGCCCAGGTCTACGGGCATGTACGGGCCAGCTCGGACTTTGTGGGGCTCTTTTGAGTATCCTTCGTAACGATAGGTATTGATCATTGACATATTCGATACCAGGTCGCCGCAAGAAGAAGAAATGCGATCTTTCAAGGCCCATCTGTTTGCGATGCCGGAAAAGCCTTGGGGTTGTCGCTTGCGAATGGCCTGCACATGCAGCGCCTGGGAGCTCTGAAGTTGCCAGACCTCACCAACGCGCGGACTTGAATGAAGGGCATGACTCCTCCATTCGTCCGTCCAACATGTCCGGATCTCCATCCGAGACCATCATGGTAGTTCGTGAGAAGCCAGGAAAGAGTACCCACCGCGCTGTCACCTCAAGACCGTCCGGCCAAGTATGGCAACCACCACCCTCACCGCAGAACAGTATAGAAAACTGTATCACTGTCAGCCTTCCTGCCGGAGTCAACAAAGTATCCCCGTAAGTAATCTGAATGAATATGTCTGGCATCAGGGCTGTCGTACTAACAACATAAGAAAACTGACATCAAGTCAATTGATTCAAATCACAACAGCCTTCGATACGGCTATCATATCACCGGATAACGGAAGTCTGGATCAACCTGCATCGCAACTCTGTCTTCCACTATGTCTGCAGAACTCGTCTCTTATGCATGCTTGGTTATCATGCGGTACTGCTTTTGTGACAAGGGCCCAACCAGGAGGTATACAGAAGGCTCTTGTGCATTATCAGCAAGCAGTCAAAGGTCTTGCTACTGCCTTGAGTGTGACCGGTCTTACTTCTCCCGAATGGAAAGTGGCTACAGTACTTCTATTGCACACTTTCGAGGTAAGCCACTTTCCACTTTCATGTACCTGATGTTCAAGGCTAACCTATCGCCATCAGTCTATGAGTCCAAGGACTGATGAACCGGCCAGTATGCGAGTGGCACATCTCAACGGCGCCCATAATCTGGTTCGTGCGAGCATGATGGATAGGCCACCATCATCAATGCACGAACTTTTGCTTCTCGAAGCTTATTCATTCCGTGCGGTGCACAACAGACTATTCCAGCCTTTCCCGACGCTACCATACGATCATCTTGAGAGACTTTTCGCAGCCATGTGTCTCCCAGGAAGTCCGCGACAGGATATGATTATATCATGGCGAAAATGTCCATGGGTGGGCATGTGTGCTCCCTTGTTTGATATGGGCTTCAAATTGGCCTGGCTACGAGACAGGTTGCCATTACAGGGCGAAGATCTGGTCAAGGCCATCTCTCTTTCGAACAATATACACACTTGGAAAGCACCGGTAGAAGCCCCAGAGGACCTGTTCGATGTTGAATCTGGCACTGCGGATACTTTCATGATGAAGAACTTGTTATCAGCCAAGGCCTGGTGGTATGCTTGCCTGCTACTTTCACACAAGCTATTGAATCCGACGAACGGCCCTTTCGATCCGGACATCGTCTCCATATCCCGACAGAGTCACAAAGTCTTCCAGCAGATGGCGCTGTTGCAAGGCGCATCTGCACTTCTCCTATGGCCCATATTCTTGTTGGGCACAGGCGCCGTTACACCTGCCGATCAAACAGCGTTCACCAATGCCATTGTATCATGTGCTCCAAGGGCAGGGCCAGGCACTATCTTGCGCACGACTCAACTATTGAATTGGGCATGGGCATCAGATGACGCGCTCGAAGCAGGGTTCTTGGGCTCTGACATCATTCTTCGGACTGATATCCTCAGACAATTCTTCATGTGAGGTGCTCTCTATGGACTGAAGTGTAAGGGGAAATCGGCATAGCGTCATACACATCAGGCGTAAGATTACTGGATTTCTGTCATCTACATGATTACAGAAGAATTGGCACTAGAACACTTCTCGTCGCAGTCACTCTCATTCACCAGACCGAGTTTCAGAGCCCAATCAGATCTTCCTGAGACATCTATGAGCTCTTTTGCCATAGACAGCCTTCGATCATACGACTTCCGTTCTTTCTGAACTTGCAACACGCGGCCGTGCATATGTAGAGCCTCGGTCTGCTCGTTGGCTATGGCCAGAAATCCAGCAGAGCCTATCAACAGAACCAGGAGCAGAATCTTGCCTAGTTGCGTGGCATTGCTCGTCAATGCCGCGTCCAAGTAGACGAGCATTGTTGCTAAAGCGGAAACAGCGCTTTCAAGTGGCGTCATCTCCGCTAGCCATTGCCCAGACGTAACCGCTTTGAGGTCATCGACGGCGCCTTGTATCCTGATCCAGCGGTCCTGGCTCAGAAGGACAAGCAAGTCTCCTTTGACACCAGGCTCGCTAGCACCTTTCCACTCGCCAGCTCTTTCGACACGCTTCTTGACGACAAACACATTGCATAGTCGTGCGAACATCAAGATGCTCACGGACGTAACCGCCCACCAGTCCCGGAGCAGAGCGAACACGATGAGGGTAGACACAGTAAGGATGCAGCAGAAAGCATAAGGGAAAGTCCTGCAAAAGAGTCTGATGGTCGTCCATTCTTCGCAATGGCTTTTGGCGTATTCGACATTGACGGTAGTCAACTGCCCTGTTCGTGCCACGCTCTGAAGAAATGCCACAGTCGCAGGGTTCTCGACTCGAAAGGCATAGCCTGTGGTCATCGCCGCACATGCTGGAAACTCTCCGCGATTCAATCCGCTTGCCGATTGTTGTGTGTGGAGACCTGGGCAAAGTACGAGGATATCGGCGAAGCGTGAAGTCCCAGACAAGGCAGTACGTCGAGCAATGATGTCCAAGTCGGCAAGCGCGACTATTCCAGCGGCGTCGAGGGTAACGTAGGGCATGTTCCAATGATCCGTGATGATTGACAGTTCTCGCTAGACGATGTCTTCAACGTCGATTATTCCTGATATTGGGTCTGATTGACCAACCTTCTGTGGAATATACATGTTGCTTTTGAACTCTTCAAGCATTCTACACAGCCTTTTGATTTGTGGTGGCGAAGAGCAATTGGCAAATGGCGCAGTCGTGGTCAGACTGCCCGCCTGAGGAGGAAATGGCTTCGATACATATACGATAAGTTCGGGCACTCCGGTTTGCCTGGATGTAATATCATGTGCATTTATTGGCGTGGCGGAGCGTGGCTGTATGCACACCGCCCCCGCAGAACGCCTTGTATGCAGAGTAATATGCACCCACCAATCGACGGGCAGAAACATCTCACCAAAAACTCCGTCTCACCAAATCGATCCTCGGAACAGACGTTGTTCTCGATGCCAAAAAACTGCGCGCACGAGAGCTCCTAACACCGTGGCTCCTTTCAGATAGCCCTGCCCGTGACAAAATCACTGTGCATCTTGACTGTCATGCTCGAGCGCTCTGCAGGAAGAAGGTGCGATTGCAGTGCACATGCTACATTAACCGTGCTCAGCCTCTTCTCAGTCGACGACGCTGGCTGATTCTCCGCACTTGTGCTTATGCTCATCAATATTGCGAACACGGAATGGTGGAAGGATCGGAGTGTCTGAATTACGTCCTTCCGAACCCTATTCCTGCCTTGATAAGAAGCACGATGTCCTCAGGACACCATTTTCATGATGCTGTTGTCACTCTTATTTTATGCTGGTATTGATGCAATTCACAAACAATGCCTCCCCTACCAGAAATTTCGGAAACAACATATCGGTTTGACAACCTTTCACAAGAACCTTACAGAGAACGAGCCTTTCGGTTATTCATCCTCCATCCGGGCTCTCTGGACAGCGAACTCGAGGGCGAAATCGTAACATGCCGACTGAAAGCACCAAATACAAGCTCTGTGGTCATCGAGGCTTCAGATCCTGGCGACTATGAAGCGCTTTCCTATCATTGGGGTACAGTCACCGATCACGATCCTGTGGTCAACATACACAATGCCAAAGTCCGCATCACCAACAATTTGGACTCTGCCTTGAGAGCGCTGCGTCATCGCAGATACAACAAGCGGAAACTATGGATTGACGCCTTGTGTATTGATCAGAAGAATCAAGAGGAGAAAAGCCTGCAGATCTCACACATGTCCATCATCTTCAACTCAGCAACTGCAGTTCGTGTCTGGCTAGGCCCCAATGACGCAGACTCCGAGCTTGCATTTGATTTCGTGCGAAGATGTCTGGCGAGCGACGTCTTCGACAGAGCCATGCGTGATCCGCATGTATCCAAGGACATCAAAGCTTTGGTATCACTCATGAAGAGACCTTGGTTCAGTCGAAGGTGGATCGTCCAAGAGATTGCTGTTGCCAGAAAAGCGACACTACACTGCGGCAGCCATGAACTAGAGTGGCACGAATTCGCAGATGTTATTTCGCAGTTATCGACCACGACAAGATTGTACGAGATGAAGGCACTTTTCAAAAAGTCGCCGGAATTTCACAATCATGCGGATTATCTGGGCGATATCTCTGAACTGGGAGCAATCCGCTTGGTCGAGTTGACGGATGACCTGTTTCATAAAACCGAGGACAACAAGATTCGTGACAAGAACTTTTCGCTCGAGGCGTTGATGTCCACAATGTCTGCATTCGAAGCTTCAGTCGCTCACGATATCGTCTATGCGATCTTGTGGTTGTCAAATGATGCAGTTGGGGTTGCAGGACTCCGAAGAGATCAGAGCTCACCTGCCTCACCCGTAATGACGGCTCATGAGATATCTGATCAGCCTTCCGTCGATGCCCAGCTCAAAAGGTCACTGACTGAAGGTAATCAGAACGGCAATCAGAATGGCGACAACATATCTAAGAGAAGGAAAGGCGAAGACATCCCATCGATCCAGATCAGCGGGGTCGGCGCAAAAATCTCCAATGTGCACACAGAAGGTGCGGACCAACACCATGTTCCTCGAGACAATGCACAAACGATGACGATCATCCAAGATGCTACTTATTGCGCTTCACCGCCAATTGATGGAAGCTCCGCAACATCACCCTTTCCCGACCTTCCCACCAACGGAGTGAGCAATACCTTACAACCAATCAACGCAGCCGCCGCCCTAATGGCCTTTGGCCGCAGAAGAAGCCTCTCAGACGCCAAAAATCCAACCGAAAAACGCCAAATGGTCTTCGCCCAACTCCGCAACAAATTCGAGCAACGCAGAATCTACCTCGACTACAGCAAATCCATCTTCGAAGTCTGCCGCGAGGTTCTTGAATTCGCAATGTCGAGACCGGAAGCCACGTTGGACATCTTGTGTCGACCTTGGGCTCCCGATGATCCTCACGATAAGGCGTTTCCCTCTTGGATCCCTAGGCTGAGCAATAGGATTGCATTCAAACCCAATCGAAGGGGTAAATATCAACGTGTCAATGCAAACCCACTGTTGGGTAAATTCGACTTTAGTGGGCCACTGTATAGGGCTTCTCACAACCTGACCGTGTTCATGAAGTGCCAGTTCCCCCGCGGTGATCCTCTAAGAGAAAGAAGTCTCCTGATCAACGGTCTCATCCTCCACATCATCCAGCCTTCCGAACTCAAGTCCAACGCAACCTCAGGAACCATACCGGCAGATTGGCGTCAAGCGGCACAATGGCAAGAAACACCTCCTCCCTCATCAGACCAAAACCCCCCTCCCGATCCCTTCTGGCGCACCTTGGTCGGAAACAGAAATACGCATGGCAGAAAGCCACCACTGTACTGGCGCAGAGCATGCTCCGAAGCCTTCCAAGAAGCCCCCACCGACGACGATCTGGAAACTTCCTTGGTGCTGTCAGGAAACCCGGCCTCTTCGGTCCGCGAATTTCTCCATCGTGTGCAAGAGGTTGTTTGGAACAGACGGCTGGCGAGGATAACACTCCAACACACGAATACGACGACGTTGTGCTTGGTGCCCAAGAACACGCAATCGGGGGATTTGGTGTGTTTGTTGTATGGGTGCAATGTACCCGTTGTGTTGCATTCGCAGCAGAGAAAAGATAGGGGTGAGGGGGTGAGATTGTATGGGATGGTGGGGGAGTGCTATGTGCATGGTATGATGGATGGGGAGTTGAATAGTTATAGGAAGACCATGCCGAAACCTATGTTGCAGCAGGCGGAGATGATGTTCGAACTTGTATGAATAGGGAGCGAGCAAAAGTGGGATCAAAGCATGTAGAAGGGGCAGAGCACAAGCAAGCAAAGTCGTCAGAGCCAGACTGAAATTCGAAATCAACCTGGGCAGGAAGTTGCAGTACAACCAGAGAGGAATAAGCTTGCACTTTGGATCATTGATCATTTGAGTTTTGTTGCGATATACACATTGGAGAATCCTATGCTTTTGCTTTCACGTGGCTCCTACCCTCATCCGCTTTCCAGACCACGCTCTTCCTGTGCCGATCAAACCGAAACTATTTCCAAGCACCGAGGCCAGCCCAAGGGTCTGCTTGTCCCTGCTGCTGTTGCTGCTGACCATAACTTTGTTGAGGCTGCTGACCATATCCTTGCTGCTGGTGCGGCGGGGGACCAGGAGGAGGGGGCGGCGGAACATATCCATGAGGAAGCATGTTCTGCTGTTGGCCCATCTGACCATGAGATTGACCGTATTGGCCATGACTCTGGTTTTGGTTTGGTGGAGGCGAGAAGTATTGCTGTTGAGCTGCAGGTGGAGAGTTGGGCATGCCGTATGAGGTGGGGTTATAGCTGTAGCCCTGAGATTGTTGGGGTTGTTGTTGGTGTTGCTGGTAACTTTGCTGTTGGGGTTGTTGCTGATGCTGAGGCTGCTGGCCGTAGCTTTGTTGATGCATGTATGGCGACGGTGTAGGTTGCATGCCGTAGCCTGGTGGTACAGGTGGCGAGGCTGCCGGGTTGTAATTGTTGTATGAATGCTGCTGTTGCAACTGCAAAGGTCTCGGAGGAGGCTGCGGTTGCTGCTGCTGGTGTGGTGAGGATGAAGGATTCATAGACATGCGATCCATCATCTCCTTAAGACGTTGTTGCTCGCGGTCGGCACCTCCGGCCCCTGAGGCAGACTTGCCACTCTCAATCTGGTTGAGAAGCTGGCTGCCCTCGGCTTTACGGTTGCCAACAAATCCCTCGACATTCTTGTACAAACTGTCAACTGTATCCTTCATCTCCGAGTAAAAGTTCTTGGCACGCTCAAGACCTGCTTGCAGATCCAGAAGTGCTTGATGTACTTTCTTATACTTGGTCATGACGGTGCTACGTTGGCGTGAAAATGCCTCGTACTTGTTTTGTTCTTGGCGCACACGTTTGTCTGATAGCAAGTCGCTATAAGTACGGGTGAGCTCCTTCATCAAGCTGTGCTGCTTGTGTTGAGCTTGAAGTAGACGCTGCTGGTGCGGTCGGAACTTCTCAAGCTCGGTCTTGAAGAGCTGGTTCTCCTGAGACATGGCCTTCTTGTTCAATATCAACACGCTCGAAATGTCATCGTTGTGAACCTATGATTCATGGTCAGCACACGTTCAAACCAGCGGACCTGCAAGCAGACACACCTTCTCTTTCAGATCTTTGAGCACCTTCTCTCGCTCTCTCTTGATCAAGGTCAACTTCTTCAGCAAATCCTCAACGGCAGCAATCTGCTCAGCTACGCTCGCCTTGTCGTCATCATCGATATCGTCGATCAGGTTTCCTTCCGCTGCGGGACTCTTCACTCCTGTCTTCCTTGCAGCGCCAACCTTGATCATGGCTCTTTGGTAGAGTACGTCGGCCTCGTCAGTCTCGCCTGCCGAGCGCATCTCCTCCATGTCTGACTCATGTTGTCTAAAAGTGCTATACAGCTGTACGTCACTCATACTTGCCTCTTCGACGGCTCCGCGATAGTTGCGAATGTCACTTCGGAGTGTCGATGTAAGTCGTGAGCTAGGTTGCTGAGTCCACTCAGCCCCATACTTGTTTCTCATTTTCTCGCACACACTCTCTTCCATGTCCAAGCTCTTCTGACATTGGTCGAGAATGCCATGAATGCTAGACTTGCTCGAATTGAGTTGTTCGAAGGCTTCAGCAAACGGAGCATGACCAACAAAGTCTTGACACCAGTTACGGAAGTCAGAGTCAACAGCCATATCTTGATCCAGGCCACCCTTGAGAATATTGAGACTATTCGGTAACTTGAGATAATCCAGGGAGGCGGCCATCTCATCATTAGCAATCTCTACACGCTCACTCTCTGCGCGTACGAGTTTAGCCTTTTCCTCATCGTACATGCTGGCAGATTCAGTAACAGCCATAGGTACGATCTTTTGGAAAATATCGGGCCCAACAATGCGGTGGATGTCCTGTCCCTGGTATAGCTCGCTCACAGGAATGGGTTTGGCAGCAGGCAGCTTGGGGATTGCAGGAAGCGCAGCCTCGGGAGGGGTTGTCTGATGGTAGATGAAGTCGTTGTCTTTGTTGAATTGCTGCAACTTCTCATCACATGCAGACAGATGAGTCTTGGCCATGTTGGCCAGAATAGACCCAGTATCTCCGGCCAAGTTGGAAGTGGCAGGGATCGAGGATGGAAACGAGTTGGCAACTTTGGCGGCTTCGCGAGCAAGTGTCATGGCAATCTCCAGTCTCGAGATAGCAATACCATGAGAATTGGCGTCGTCATCAGCCAGAGCCTGGTAGTAGTGGGCTAGCGAGGTCATGTAATGCGTCTTGAACTGGACAACAAGCAGCCAAACACGCTCGAAGATGGCCTTCACGACGTTGTCTTGGACGCCTTCAAGAGCTTGAGTGTACAAGTATGCAGCTTGGCTGGCAAGCTTGGCCATGAGGCCGACCTTCTTTCCGTCGGCAATCTGTTTCTCTAGAAAGACCTCCTGTCCTTGGGCCAACATGATGGCTATAAGGGTCTTGACGGTATCTCTGCTCAGGTCGGTTGAAGGAGCATGTAGGAAGTTCTCATTGATGTAGGTGAACATGCCGGCCGAGGCCTGAAACGAGTGGTAGGCAACCTTGAGGTTGGTTTCCTGGTTGCGGTCCTGATGGGCGGCATGGCAGGAGAGGACGGCCGAGATGTTGAAGATGATGGAAGCCTTTTCGTAGGCAAGCGAGTACTGGGCGGTGGGTTTGTGGGTAAAGGCATCGAACCTAGACAGTGGGTCAGTTTAGCGGCCAAGAGGATGCGGCCATGTCTCGAGACGGACCAGGTGAAGGAGATTTTGATGTGGTTCTCGTCGACGGGGAAGCGCAAATCCAAGAGTTCCAGTTGGCCATAGTAACGGTAGAGTAGGTCTCTTCCCGCAGCGCTGTCCTTGCCAGCACCTCGCATGTCCTGGCGCAGACGGTTGAGGGCGGCGCATTCATCGGCATATCGTTCCGGGTCGTCGCCGTAGGTAGTGCGGATGTACTGCTTGAGCGGAGCTATCCAGTCTATTTCGTTTGTTGCCTTGAGCGGGCATGACAGCATGGGTGTCTGCATCATCTTGTCGTGGTGGTGAGGAGGAGGCTCTCGGTGGCCGCTATAGCATGGCCACGCGGGTGGGGTCGATCGCTGTTGCTGCTGGCTGCCGCTATCGCTGTTGTTGTTGCTGTTACGCAGTATTCGACTCTGTTTCCAAGAACTCTGGGCCTTGGATGCTGTGATGACTTAAGTCGACAAGAATCAATTTGCACAATCGTGGGCTCGAGCAATACAAGATGCAGCTAGATGGCTGGCTAATCACCAAACTCACGCCCTCAATCAATCCGTGCCCAATCGTCATCGTCCCGCATTGAGGCTTCCCGCTTAAACATCAATCTGACACACTGCCTACCAATCACCGACATGTCAACTCACGGCATCTATCATCACAGCTATCACACCTCGAGCGGAGAATCTACCATTTCTTCCTCTAAGCGCCCTACCCTGTTATACAAGCTTCTGATTCCAATCGACTGCAATGTACCAGCCATCCCAAGTACCTTCTCTCTGCTCAGATATTCAACGACATTCGCTATAGTATACATAATGTACAAAGTATTTTGACTCTCATCATCACATTCAACTCGATCCAGACTTCTTCTTGTCCTCTTCCTCTTGCTTGTTTGCTTCGTCCTTTTGCTTCTCATGCTGATGGGTGAGTTTATGCCATGCTGACTTGAGGAATCCCTCATTCTTGTGCGAGTCTTCCTCACTCGTCGTCGCATCCTTCTTAGCATCTTCGGCCATCTTTCCGAGGTTCATGACGCGCTTGGCGTTCTTGTCTCCCATCTCATCCGCGAGCATCTCGACGATCGTCCTCTGGTTGACACTCAGGTACTTGGGCATTTGCACCTTGTACTCGACTTTGAGGTCTCCGTTTACACCACGTCGGCTGTTAAGCTTCTTCATGCCCATTCCAGACAATGTGATGCGGTCGCCGGTTGCTGTGCCTGTCGCGACCTTGACCTTGACTTCTCCGTCCAGTGTAGGGATTGGGATTTCGCCTCCAAGTATGGCTGTCGTGAGCGGTATTGATGCTGTGTAGAGTACGTCTGATCCGTTGCGACTGAACTTCGGGTCAGGTGCGACTCGGATGAAGACATATAGGTCGCCGTTCGCTGTTCGCGCCTTGGGGTTGGCGGCCTGGCCTGTCGGTGGGAAGTCTCCTTCCTGTGAAACGCGCAACCTCATGCCATCCTCAACACCTCCTGGAATGTCGACTGTCACTGTTCTCTTCTCGCGGACTGCACCCTCACCCTTGCAACCGCCACAAGCACCACCCTTGGGGATGGTTTGTCCTTGGCCTCCGCAAGCACCGCAAGTGCTCGCCATCTGGAAGCCTCCCTGCATGAAGTGTACCCGTTGGCCTGTGCCGTCACAGCTCTTGCAAGTAGATCTCGATTGGCCCTTTTTCAAGCCGTTTCCTTCGCAAGTCTTACACTTGACCAAAGGTGTGATACTGATGTCCTTGGTGACACCCTTGGCAGCGTCCAAGAAGGAAATGTTGGTCTGGACCTCGATGTTCTCTCCGACCAGAATCTCTTCCTGGAAGGGTGATGCTCTTCCACGGCCTCTTCTTGCGCCTCCTCCACCGAATGCGCTGAAAAGATCCTCAAAGTTGATGTCTCCAAAGCCCTGAGCACCTCCACCAGCACCAGCACCGCCGCCGAAGCCTCCAAAGCCGCCGAAACCGCCACCGGCGAATGGGTTGCCTCCAGCGCCGGCACCGGGGTTGAAACCACCATTCTGGTCGAAAGCAGCGGAGCCGTAAGTGTCGTATGCCTCCTTCTTCTTAGGGTCGGAGAGAGTCTCGTATGCGGCTTGAGCTTCGGCAAACTTTTCCTTAGCACCGGCGTCCTTGTTGGTGTCGGGATGGTACTTTTTGGCGAGACCGTAGTATGCTTTCTTGATTTCGCCGGTCGAGGAAGATTTGTTCACACCGAGTGTAGCGTACGGGTCCTTGGCCAATGATGGAGCGGTGGCATGGAATGTCTGCGATCGCAATGTGGTTAGTAACGAGCGACCACTAGCATTTCAGAGTAGAACTCACCCTAGCCTGAGATGGTTGACGAGGCGCATGTCGAGCAGATCGGGTCGAGGGAGCAGTATAGAGGCCTCGAGACTGAAGGTTGGACTGCGGTCTTTCGGGGTAGAATTGGCAAGTCGGCCTAGATGCGGCGAGGATGCGGAGCGGAGTGGCCGCCTTGGGAAGCAGGCCTGGAGCGGCCAGACTCATTGCGATTCGATTGTCCTAGGTGAGGAGAGCGGACAGGATAACGCACGTCGATATGCGACAGATGGTGAAGACTTGGAAATCGGATGGATATTACTGCAGTATTGCTGCGCTACAGGACCAGGAAACTTTTGGCACTGGAGCGGGAAACATGTCAAGTCAAAATGGTCTTGGCACATGGTCAGCGAGCCGATGAAACCGAGGGGGAACCTTCTCGATGTTTGAAGAATTTCACCGCTAGCACTGGGGAACCCTGATGGCCTGTGTTTTCTTTTGCAAACATGCCTGTACATTTCTCTGTGTCCTGCTCTTTGTGACTTGAGATGCTTTGCCTGGAAATCAAAACTTGTACGCCGGACGAGTCAGACCGGATCATCAAACCCATCTTCGAGGAACACCAGCATCAAAATGCCTTGTGTTATGGTCAACAGAGAAATCATGATTGGGTATTCGCGCGAAGGCCATCAGAATGCATCCAATGCCTACTGTCTCTAACCTGTCTCGTCCTCGATCTCTATTCCATCTGAGGACAAAGGAAACGCCAAAACTCCGAGTGACGATAATGATGATGATGATGATGATGATGCCGCCTGACCATGTTCCGTTCCATCTGTCTGTATGGTATACCCAAAGAACGCCTGTTATCCCATATGCTGGTTGACCTGCAGGGTCATTACTCATTTATTGCTCTTGTTAGGTGCCGATCGAAGTCGGAACGCCTTGTCTAGAGGAAAAGTGTCAGCATTGGAGCGTGGTATGCAACACATGGCGGGCCAACATACCCTGATTGCGGACTTTGTACAGCAAATCGACCATAACGTCAATCTCATTGACAGCAGCGTCGTTGAAGTTCTTCCTCACTGCCATGGCGAGTTGTTCCTTGGGCACCTTCCTCTTTGACTTGCGACGCGCCATGGTAGGCGATTGTCTGCCGATGCCGGGATTGGTGAGAAGGAATTGATTGCGTATCGAATTAAAGGCTGAGGGTGTTTCCATGCGATGTGCGGCGCGGTATTCTTGGAGCAAAGACAGGTCTTCTTGGGCCCATGTGAACTGCATCCTCCTGTCAGCTTTTATCTTGCGACACGCGGCCATGGAGGCTGACGACAGCACTCACTCCATTGCTTGACGAAGCATTCTGTGTTCCTGTTGCGTCGGTCGCGTTCTTCGTATCCCGGAGGTTGCTTGTGCCATTCGGGCGCTTGTTCTTCGCCGCGTTGTTGTTGGTCTTCGAACTCGAGCCATCTGACCTCGAGTCGTTGTCGTGGTGCACGACGCGTGATCCTTTGGGTGGCATTATTGGGGTGTTGGGATGGAGATTCAAGGCGTCAAGGACAGTGTAAACGTCGTCGGCGAAGTCAGGTGCATGGTTGGACGATCCAGATCACCACTCCACTGCCTCATGAGCGTGTAGATTGGATTCTTTTCTGAACCAGTGACGCAATAAACCGGGGTCAGCGCTTGGACTTTTACGCCTCGGCTCCCACTCTGCCGACCGACTATGTTTTATTCCGCCTGAAAACAAAAAAGATTTATTGGTCTGAAGATTGCTTTGCTTCGCTTCTCTGTCGACAACTAATACTTTGGCAGCTGGTCCTAAGCGGGACTCTGCTCTCTTCTGCCACCACCTTAACACTACATCCAATCTATCCGTTAAGGTAGTTCCTGATGGCACCTGTTGATCGCGTTAGTCTCAGTTACGTCCGATCACAACATAATTCGTGACTTACCTTGCAGTTTGTTGGTTCCTTCACCCAGTAGACTGGTGAGGTTCTCAAGATCGTCTCCCGCAGTAATTCCAAGCTTGCGTACAAAGTCTTTGGCTGCCGTCTCAATGTCTCCATACTCACCCTCGGGCATCTCATCCTCGGGTCTTCCAAAGTAAGCATTGGATGAAATGGATTGTGCGCCTTCGAATCCTTGCAGACGGGATTTGGCTTCTTGTTGAGCGTTCGAGTCGAATGTGCCTCTTCCGAAGAATTCGTCTGACGAGATACCCTTTTGCAATCCGAACTTTTGGCGCGCATATTTCTCCGAATCGTCTGCGGAATACTCGTAAGCTTCGTTCGGCAAGCATGTTGGATAAGTGTGTTCTTACCTTCCGTTGCTCTGGTGGTCGAACCGAAGCCCATCTTCTTCGGTGCTGCAGCGGCTGGAGCACCACCACCGACTTGACCAAATCCAAGCTTGCGAACACCCATGCCCAGCTTCTCCATGTCTCCTTCCTTCTCCTTGGCCTTTCCAGTGGCGCCAAATCCAACACCCGGTCTAGGGCTGACGGGTTGCGGGCTCACAATGCTCGAGGTAGAGTCCGGTTGTGCAGAGCTGATCTGAGCCTCTACAGGGGCGGTCTCGGCCTCTGGATCATAACCCAACTTTGCGATTCTTTCAGCCTCCTCGCGAGCCTTGCGTTCGGCAGCGTCGAAATCGAGAGCTGCCGGATCAACCTTCTTTGCTCCAAGCTTCTTCTTTGCGCCCAGAATGTTGGCCTTGCGAGGTGCGGCACCACCAGTGGCGGTCTTGCGAGCTGCTGAAGCGGGAATTGCACGGGCGGTAGCGGGAGCAGCAGCTGCTGACTCGGCAGTCAGCGGCGACTTTGGTCGTGCAGCTCCATTAGCTGGGGCGTTGAGGAAAGGCGAGTTGGTGCGGTTGATGCCTGGAGTGCCGGTACGGGATGGAGGGTTGCTAGGACGCTTGATGGTGGGCTTGTCCCAAGAAGAGAAGAAATCGTCGTCGTCTCCTGCAGGTGTGCTTGTGCCGCTTGCGCCAGCCTCATCGGCGAGGTCGGTGATAATAACCTCCTCGGGATATCTAAACCTCATTAGTCTGTGTCGCGAACTGCCACTTGTAGCACTCTTACTGCTTGGCATCAGCCTGGCACCTCCGTGTCAGCTCTTCCTTGTATTTGTTGGCAGCATTGGATGTGTATTTCGTCTTGGGGTCCTTGCTAGCTAGAGCGGCAGAACCACCATGGCTCTGGAAGTATTTTGTGGCCGATTCATTGCCGCCAACCTTGAATGTACGAAGCTGCTCCCATTGCCAGACTGGATATGTGGTGTCAGTGGGAGTGAATCATATTGAGTTGTCGAATTACGCACTGTCGAGGTTGGTAGAGCGGACGAAGGAGATATGGACACCGAGGTTTCTGTGGTGGGCGGAACAATCGAGACAGAGGTAGATGCCAAAGGGAACCGAAGACCAAGTGGGGTTTTTGGCGCCGCAGTCGAAGCAGATCTGTATAGCCATCAGCATTGTGGCACACGTGGAGGGAGCCTTGACGGCACTCGACCTACCTTGTTGGCTTGCTTCTGCTTCAACTTCTCGAAGATCTTCTGCGACTGTGTCTTTGTAGCAAGCGCCATCTTGACGTGCAGAATGGTGAACAATCGGGCAGGGGGTTATGTTGTGAGCGAGCGAGTGCCAAAGACAACGACCGAGTATTGGGCCCCTGCGAGAAAGGGTCCAATCCAACGCCGCCGCTAACTTTCTGAACAACTCGCCTCGACCTTTGTTTTATTTTTCTATTGACATCGCATTGCTAACTCCAGTTCAGACACTCGGATACGCAAATCTGAGCAAGTGACCATATCGGTCATGCAATTGTATACATGCTATATCGCATCGCTATCAATGCCCACCGAGGCTCGTTCCATGATAAGCCGGTAATGCCGCCGTAGTAGCCCGACAGCGGCCGTCAGAGTCATCTACCAAATCATCTTTTGATTCTTTTCTGTACACACATCTTTCTTGTTTGATTTCACTATATGCATAATGGCGACTAAGCACCTCGCTGTCTTCTTTGACGATGTTGTACAGGCTTCTGCTTTAGTAAGCCGGTCGTCATATGTTACCTCTTCTTTATCACTGACCATATCCCAAGGTAGCCAAATCATCATGGGAGCGTGCTATGACGGCTTGGCTATATGTGCCCCTAGGTGTTACATGTATCCTCGCAGTATGCTTCGGTGTCCATTCATTGATCTCCTTAAGCTCTGTATCGTTTCCAGCTTCCGTGGCCTGTATGATCGGTTTGTTCCTCATCTTGGTCCTTTTCCAAGGTACACTAGGTGATCGCAAGACTAAACAGATAGTAAATCTGATTGAGATTCCTGTAAGTGTATTCTTATAACAATATACTTCGACGTCAGTTCTCATCTTTCTTCAGTGCGGATTTGCCCTACGATATATCAACATCTTCTTCTGTCCTGCATTCGTTACCTTGCCTCTCAGTCCCTCTATAAGTGGTGTAGAAGTCGCCAAGATCATAGCTGTCTTCAGTGAGTGTCACTTTATCTTCCTGCTGCTCTCTTCTGACCAGCTACAGTCATCGGATATGTTGCCGTTTTTGCTTTCACAGCATACATGGTCCGCGGTCTTCAGCTCGTACTCGGGACGTCCAAACGTGCCATGACAGAGCGGGCTGAAGAGCTTGGTCGTCAAGACGACAACATCCCACTGACACAGACGAGGCACGATTCAAGCGCCAGCGAGGTGCCTACTGTCCAGTCTCTTTCGACTCAAATTGCCGCAGACGAATCTAGTCCTTCTCCCCCAAATGGACTCGCTGATATACAGGCACCCTCCAAGGCTATGAACCCAGACTCCGTGACCGGGACTGGTGGACCACCTGTAGCCAGCAACACCACAGCATCCTCGAGGATCAACGTTCCAATTCGGCATGATGCTGCTCCTTTGACACGTCCTCAACGCTGGGCTGCTTTTGTCAGTGTGAACTTCGATATGTTGACATACGGAGCATTGTTTCTGTTCGTCGGTGTTCCCATATATTACGGAGTTGGATATGCTATGCCGGTACAACTCTCTTTGAACGTTGTTCTCTACTTCGCCGCCCTACGTCTGCCACCCAAATACAGAACATATCTACATCCAGTATTGGTCTCTTCCGCGTTCACAATTCTCGGCATCTGGATTCTTGCACTGATCCGACAAAACAGCCTCAAGGATGGCTTAAGGGCATACACCACGAACACAAAGTATACACAGCTCTGGGATAACGATCAAGGTTTGCAGCCTCCGGGAGCAGGAGATATGTTTGGCAGTGTCCTTGACGTCAGCATCGTTGCACTCAGTCTTCCCATGTACAGATATCGAAACGAGCTCAAAGCTCGCTTCATGACTATCATCGTGCCCAACGTGGTCGTCTCTATCGGGTCATTGTTCGCATATCCGATATTCTGCTACCACATTGGCATTTCGGCTCCGCGAGGTCTCGCATTTGCTTCTCGAAGTCTGACACTTGCTCTTGCAACACCGGCTACTAAAAACTTGGGCGGTGATTCGTTCACTGTCGCACCTCTATGCATCTTCAGTGGCATTGCCGGTGTTGTTGTCGGCCCGCTCGGACTGGACTTACTTAGAATCCCGAAAGGTATGTTCATCCTGAAGTGCGGATTGGGAACCGAGCTGACATGATTTGCAGACGATTACATCACGCGAGGTATCACTCTGGGAGCTAACTCCTCCGCCGTAGCCACAGCCCTGTTGTTGACTACTGATCCCAGAGCAGCTGCATTCTCAAGTCTGAGTATGGGACTGTTAGGCACGATAACCGTCGCACTCACTAGTGTTCCACCGCTCGTGAGTATAATTCGTAATCTGGTAGGCATGGCATAGAAAGGACACTAGCACAGAAAGGACAATTTGCCAAGTCAGTTTGACGAGCCTGTGACCCTGGCAGACTCTATCTTGAGCAACATACAAACTCTCTGAGCCTGTATGGGCGTCCAAAAGATTACTATAACTTTGGAAGAAGCGTAACTATAAGCTATGTTATTTACTTGTTAACATTACACTTCCTGCTCGTCGAGATCGACATGCGCATCACACATGGTCAAGCTAGGAAGAACATCGAGCCACGGCTTCTGCTCCCCAGCAGAATGATCACAACAACGCCAATGTCCACGAGACATATTCATATCGGCCTGTTGCTCACAAACCAAACGCAATCGTCATTCATCAGTGCAAATCGTTGTCACCTGCCCATCTCTTTTGATCCATAAGAGAGATAGATGCATAAACCGGCAGGAATGCACAACGTTCCCACCCCGGCGCAGTCTTTCATAGTGATGGACTCGCTCATCTGCCGTCCACGGCGCCCAATGGACATGACTTTCATCCAAGAAGAATCCTGCTTTCTACAGCCACATGCGCGACAGACTTTATAGACATGGGGATGGTGTATCGAGTTAGAAGGCCTAGGCCCATGTGGAGTCTACTCCGCATATTAAGGCAGAAGCTTCGTACTGTTCGCCTGTGGACGATCATTGTAGTCGCAACTTCGCTCAGATGGGGAGCATGGCATCTCTGCAAGCCCTGGTATGTAGGTAACATGGAATTCAGAGAATTGATACGCCCGTATGCTATTTGAAAGGAGTTTGGCGGTTGGTTCGTGTTATGGAGATCGACTCTCGCCAATACAAGGGGGGTGCAAGAACGGATTACCACCCCCCTTCGCTGAACTCTATTCGCCACCACGCATTGGCATTAACTCGACGACCTCAATTTATCAATACGACCACTCAATTTATCGATACAAGGCCTCTACCACTTGGTATGCATGCCGTTCGCTACGATAACTGCCTCGCAACGTTCGTACATGCTTTATACGTACTTCCGGATGTCGCGTTAGTCCAATTTTAACCATTCTTCTTCTACGTAACGACGTACCTCCTCTACGGTCTTTAGGAACCTCCTACTAACCCTCCACTTTAAGAGCCTCCATAGGTTCTTAATAGGGTTTAGATTAGGTGAGTTTAGAGGCTAATCTATATAAAATACACCGTGTGCTTCGTGTACACTACGCGTAGCGTAGGCCTTATGAATGGAAGCGTTATCTTCTATTAAAACAAGGTCATCTAAAGCTAGATGTTCTTATTTGTACGCTGCTATATACGCGTACGTAGAAGGAAGGACCTTCGTACGATAGACCTCGCCGTTTATCTTGCCCTATTCCTTCTTAAATACTATAAGGGGACCTATTCCATTTAATGTAATATAGCCCTATATCATCTACGCTAAATACTTCCTAAATTTAGTTACTAGACAGTTAGATTTGAACTTCTTATCTACCCTTCTAGTAACATAGACCTAGCCGAAGTATCCGTAGCGAATAGAGGCCTTATCTATCTAAATAACACGAGCCTATTAATTAGGTGTCTACTACCTGTGTTTGTGTGCCTATGCAAGCCTAAGAACTCTTCTTTTTTCATTTATAAGAGGCTTCTTAGTAGCTACACGACGGAAGTAGTTCTCTCGTTCGAAGGCGGCTCGAATTATACGATAGTCGAGGTTAAGATTCTTAAGGAAGGCTATCTCTTTAAAGGATTTGCGTCTATGTTCAGCGTTTAGAGTTACTCGCTAGACTAGACGTTAACGGATAGGTGTTATACATATAGGAGGACGGCCTCTTAGCTTTAGGGGTGTCTCTAGGTAGTTAATAACCTATCGTACAGTTAATCTAGATATCTTTGTCTCTCGTTCGATCTTAGATTTGTTCCATTTAGCGACGTACTAGAGCGCGAGGATCGTATAGCGTTGTTTAAGCGTTAGTCGTGTATTAGGAGGCTTCTTACGCTTAGATTAACGAGCCGCGCGGTTTAGAGTAGTTAGATCCATAGTGTATATAAGAGCGAGGGGAGCGTAAGCGAGCGCGAGAGGTGTGCGAACTAATGCCGAGACTGGTGGCGAACTAGCCAAATTAGAGTTCAGCGAAGGGGGGTGGTAATCCGTTCTTGCACCCCCCTTGTATAAGCTAATCTTTAATCTTAATCTCATGTGATGGCGCAAAACGTCCAGCTCACAGCCTTATGGTCAGAATTTGTGGTGACATGAAGCCAATGGATAATGAAGGGCTCAGGGCAAGATTGAAAATATGTGCGCTACTATCTCTATGTGTGTGCTTGTCTATATGCCGGGCGCACGATAAGCAGTAGTGAGCCGTTCCTGACTGCGACGATCTCGTCGCTGATTCGAGACTGGGATGTTCTTGTGGCTGTTCATGACGCTGAGTTCCCGAGCTTTGACCCACGACATTGGGAAGCTAGCAAGGAATACAAAAACATTCAGCTTTTGTCGCAAACCTGGTCGGGCGCATTTCCTACTTTGCGCATCTCCCATTACTTTGCCGATTTTTCGACAAAATTGCTATCACCATGGCTGGCGGTGAAGCGAACAGCTACTACAACCTGCCGGATGGCGATCGCCAAAAGGACTATCCTATGCAGCCTCCTCAACAGGCATACAACCAGAACGGTCAACAACACTACCAGCAGCAGGATTACCAGCAGCAGAACCACCAGCAGCAAAACTACCAGGAACCCTACCAGCAGAATGGTCAGGGATATTCGCAGCCTCCTCCCAACTATGGTCAGAACTTCAATCCTCGTCCCGAGATGAACGGCTACGACAACAAGCCTACCTTCGAACAGGCCTTCAAGATCGATAAACCCAAATGGAACGATTGGTGGGCTGGTCTTCTCTTTCTGGCTGTCGCCGCTGGCTATGTTGTCGTTTCTGGAATTGCCCTTCAAGGCTACGGTATGTGGACATGTTTGCGCATGCGAAATGCAGGCGACTGGCAGTTTCGACAAGCTGGTGCTAACTGAAAATGTAGCCGCAACCAAGGGTTTCAATGGTGGTGGTATCTACGACAGCAACAACGACTTTGGCCTTGACACCAACACTATCGTCCTCTTCGCATTCGTCCTCGCTATGGCTATGGTGCTCAGTTACGCCTACATCTGGTTAGCCCGTGCTTTTACAAAGGTACGAACTCCGAACTTCGAATCCCTACCCACATTCTTTCGGCAGCGCCATCAAGAGCCCGTTTTGAGCACTCGAGTTTTGTAATATCTATGGTCCTGCTGCGTTAAGTGCGCGCTGTGAAAGAGCTGGCAATGATCGAGCATATCCTCTCAACCCCACACTCGCATTGAAGAGCCATGCGCTTCAAGCCTACTCGATGATTTTAGCCATATGCTGACAAGTTATAGCAATTCATCTGGATAACCGGTATCATCCACATCATCGCAGGTTTCGCGACAGCCATTTACATGTTGTCGAGAAAGTACTGGTCAGGAGGTATCGTCTTCCTCCTCTTCGCAATCTTCACCGTCATCTGCTTCATCTCCTGGATCCCGAGAATCCCTTTCAGCGTTGTTATGCTGCAAACAAGGTATGCCCCGCGAGATAATGCGACCCCAACGCGATTAAACTGATGATTTGTTAGTATTGATGTCTCCAAGAAGTTCGGACACGTTTACATTGTATCTCTCGTCGGCGGCATTCTTGCAACTGCGTTGGGTGCCTGGTTCTCGGTTACCTTCGTCGCCGTGTATGTGAAATACGAGCCAGGCGCAAATCCAGCCTGTTCTACCGGCGCTGGTGGCTGTTCAAGTGCCAAAGTCATTGGTCTTCTCGTCTTCATCACGTTCGCCATGTATTGGATCTCCGAGTTCCTCAAGAACATGATCCATGTCATCATCTCTGGAGTTTACGGCTCGTGGTACTTCTGCTCTCACAACCCTCCCAAGAACATCACCCGAGGAGCTGCCCGTCGCTCCCTGACCTACAGTTTCGGTAGTATTAGTCTTGGAAGTTTGGTCGTTGCAATTATCAACATGCTCAGACAGGCATGCAGTATCGCACGCCAGCAAGAAGCAAATTCTGGAAACTTCGCTGCGGAAATTGCGCTCTGTGTTCTTCAGTGTTTGATCGGAATCTTGGACTGGGCTGTCCAGTTCATTAACGTAAGTGCAAAATTCGCGCAAGATGCAATTATTGGAAAGTTCCAGACAGCTCACGAAACACCGCACAGAGATACGCTTTCAGCTATATCGCACTATACGGAAAGGCCTATGTCCCCGCTGCCAAGGCCACTTGGACGTAAGTATCTCATCTATACGAAGGTGTGCTCGGCTGACAAGAACCACAACCAGTCTAATCAAAGACCGCGGAATCGATGCATTGGTCAACGAGGTAAGACTTTATCCAACCAGTAGTCTTGTAGGCTGTGCGCTGATAAATGTTGCTACTGTAGTGTTTAATTGGTCCCGTCCTGACTCAGGGCGCTACTGCCATCGCTTACCTGTGCGCCCTTTTGGCCTACCTGTACCTGATCTTCACCTCGCCCGCGTACAACAGCAACGGCGAGTACACGCCCGTTGTCGTTGCGTTCGCGTTCTTGATTGGCCTACAAATCGCCAATATCTTCACAACCCCGCTTAGCAGTGGTATCGATACCATCTTCGTTGCCGCGGCCTTCGACCCAGAGGTAACTAACTGCTTTATCCTATCTGTCGTCTTGTAGCCTGTGCGCTAACGAAATTGCTAAGGTCATGATCAAAGAGCACCCGGATCTCTACGCCAGGATGGTGTCGACATATCCTCATGTTCAACAAGCCATCCATGCCTAACAACCTGATCGCAACAATTCGCCGATTCAGACAGTCTTGGCCGCGGACCTTTGACTACAGTCACGAAAAACCCGTCGTCTGTTGTTGGGGAAAACCACGCGCTCCCCTGTCAATTCGCGTATAGTTGCGTCAGATAGGGCTCAGCTGTTAGGCTCGGGCCTCGGGTTTACGGATAATCAGGAACATGCCATCGGGATCGGAGGGAGAACGGAGAAAACAGAGATACCCAAACCACGGAACGTCTTGATAACACAGTCTAATAGTTCTTTCACAGCAGCAGCATAATACGTAATAATAGATCACACTCCTTCGCATTCTCAGTTATCGCATGCTGTGAAACACGTGCGAGAAAAAAAGAGGTACAAGATCTTACCGCAACACATGCCGCGAAATGTGGTGGTCACCCACGATCGGCCTTTAAGCCATAGCGTGATTCGCTCTCGATCTGGTTAGAAGGCAACATGTGATTTACCGCGAGCGCCCGTCCGTCTCGGTGACAGCCCAAAGTCGAATGCACGGGCCTTCCAGCCTCAACGTCAGCCAAACAGGGAGGAGGCTTGAGTGACGGCAGCAACTTCGTCATGGCAGGAAGGTGCGGGGAGCGTTGGATGTTGCGGGTTGGCGCTTGCCAGTCTTTAAGCAACGAGGCATTAATCATTCCCAAAGTGTTAAATAGACTTGGTATCCCTCGACTTCTACTCGGTCATTCACACCTCATACCTCTTCTATATCAAAGAACCTCCTCGTTCTCCTTCATACTACCTTCTACCAGAGTCAACTCTTGGTTAGGTTCGTGCTACCTGCCCCTCACTCCGCAATACCCCACCACATTGCTGACCTTGTTCCTACAGGACAGAAGCCTATCATCACCAACCCTTATACGGCCGAAACTATATAAAGGTAAGTAAAGAGGAGTTGTTTCTGATGCGCTCGAGGGTCACAGTCATCGTCATCTGTGGATACTCTGAACAAAGCTTTGTTTTGCTTCTTTGTCCTCGATCCGCCAGGAACCAATATTTGAGACTGGAATCCCGCTAACATGCATTTTGCAGCTTCTTCAACCCTACCTCTCAAATCAACAAACACAATGTCGAACATGAAGGCAATTCATTTTGGTGGTGGTAACATCGGTCGTGGTAAATGGTTATCAAAATCCGCTAACAAATCAATGCTAACATTTTTACAGGCTTTGTTGCCGAGTTCCTCCACAAATCCGGATACGAAGTCGTCTTTGTTGATGTTATGGATGCCATCATCGATTCACTGCAAAAGAGCAAGTCGTACACGGTCACAGAAGTTGGCACATCAGAGACCAAGTCGAAGACAATTACCAACTACCGCGCCATCAACAGCAAGAAGGAAGAAGACAAGGTCGTCGAGGAGATTGCCACTGCCGACATTGTCACCTGCGCCGTTGGCCCCAACATCTTGAAGTTCATTGCTCCTGTTATCGCCAAGGGCATCGAAAGCCGCAAGAAGGACTCACCGGTCGCTGTTATTGCTTGCGAGAACGCCATTGGAGCCACCGACACTCTCCGCAAGTTCATCGAGGAGAAGCTCTCAGACTCAACAAAGGCCAACATTCAAGACAAGGCTCGTTTCGCCAACAGCGCAATCGACCGTATTGTTCCTATGCAGGATGAGGACGCAGGCCTGAACGTCAAGATCGAGAAGTTCTACGAGTGGTGTGTGGAGAGCAAGCCTTTCCTTCCTGCAGACCCACCAGCAATTGAGGGTGTCCACTTCGTTGAGGATCTCTGCCCATTCATCGAGCGCAAGCTCTTCACTGTCAACACCGGACACGCCACCGCTGCATACTTTGGATACAACCGTGGCAAGGAATACGTTCATGAGGTCTTGCAAGACAAGGAGCTGAACGAGATTGTACGAAACACACTCAAGGAGACCGCTCACTTGATTGTCAACAAGCACGAAATTTCCGAGAAGGACCAGAACGACTATGTCGAGAAGATCATCAAGCGTATCTCGAACCCTGTTCTCAAGGACAACGTTGAGCGTGTCGGTCGTGCTCCTCTCCGCAAGCTGTCGCGCAACGAGCGTTTCATCGGCCCTGCTGCCCACCTTGCCGAGATGGGAGCAAAGTACGATGCCCTCTTGGGAGGTATCGAGATGTGTCTCCGCTTCCAGAACGTCGAAGGTGACGATGAGTCGGTCGAGCTGGCCAAGATCCTCAAGGAGAACTCTTCCAGCGACGCCACCGAGAAGATCACTGGTCTGGAGCGCGACCACGTTCTGTTCTCAGCGGTTGAGGAGGTTGTCAAGAAGGTTCAAGCTTGACTACCCGAACAGCGTCCCAAGCGCAAAGGAAAGGGACTTGAGCGCCTCTGATTGAGATCAGAGAATCAGCCACGAGATACGCAGCATTGGATTACGGCATTGGCGTTTTGTATACGGATCATGGGAGGAATAATTCTGATTTAGCATGTTACCCAATATCAGGCAGCCTGGAGTTAGCAGCAGGTAGCATGGATTCACGAAATTGATATGGCTCCTGGAAACAGTTGAGCCCGTTTCCTTTCATTACTTGAGCTGGTATATCTGTCGTGCAGTCTACCAAACGTGATTGCATGTGAAAAGACGGGTTTCTAACAGTGAATTATGGGATTTGAGCGATTTGCCATGGATTGCTTTTTGTGACCAGATGGTACAGTTTGGTGTTTGCTTCCCTGGCTGAAGTCTGAGCGGTCGCGGCTGTGGAGGTACAGTCTTGCTCTGTGAAGTGGAGTTGTATCCAATGAGAGCACACTGGCAGTTGTGTCTGTGGATAATGCGCGAAGGTGTTTGTTTGTGTATGGCGATGGAAGAATAAAGAAATGGTCAGGTGAAACATGTTTCGAGAAAGAAGGTGAAGGCGTGTTCGCGCGTCATGTCGACTCCCCGCACGTCACTTTCCATTGTCACGGCACCGGAATCGACCAAGTTGCATGGTGCCTAGTTTTGATCCCTACATCCCTCCTTCTCCCCTCTCGACATCGACTTAGTAACAGCATGGCCATCGACAGTATACCGTGAGTGCCTCGATCCCCTAACGCTATCCATGCTGACGAGAGCGTAGATATCCTGATACCGATCGCCTGGCCTTCTCCGACAAGACTTTCTACCCAGTCAAGATCCCCGTCTCGTGAGTCCAAGCAGAGCAAGGATACAAGAGTTGAATCTGATTCGCGTGGCACAGTCACTGGCAATTGCGACACTACATCTCATCGCCGGACAAGGACTCGATATACTACGCAAGCGGAAACGAAGTCTACTATCTCAACACCGTCTCTCGGAAACGCAAATACCTTGCCACTCTGCCCTTCGAGGCACGATGCACCGCTTCGGGCTTTGGCTGGATCTGCATTGGAGGTGAAGAAGATGGACACTTTGCCGCCATAAAGCTTGAGGGCTCGTCTCCAGTCCGCTCGGTCGATGTAGACGCGCCGCTCCCGCTGGACTACTGGCAACCACAAAGAGGCTCCCCCAGGGCTGCCAACGTCAAGCTCGAACGGATAGGCGAAGAGATTGTCAACTCCATCTCTATCCACCAGATCCACGATGAGGAGAACCACTTGTACGACGTTGTCGCCGTCTTGACAAACAACGATAAGACCGTCCGCGTCTACTCACTAACCCAGGCCCTGGAAACTGCCGTCCTGGACCTGCCGTTCCCCATGAATCATGCTTCTATATCTCCTGATGGCACCACCCTTGTTGCCGTTGGCGACTCAAACCAGGCCTTCTTCTTCACACGAACATTGCAACAGTCTCCCCCGCAGATCCCCAAACCTCACAACCGCCTTAACATGAGCAACGTTACCTGGGATCTAGCAAATATCGTCCATCTTCGTGCTGGCGACCCTACAGCCCAGCCTGGTTATTTCACTACTGCATGGTCACCGAATGGTAGCTTGGCCGCTTTGGGCTCGGAAGGCGGATACATCACTGTCTTTGATATGGACCTTTTCGCACAATGCGCTCCTGATGAAGCAGAAGATGCCATCGTTGCCACTGTCCCATCAACCAGACCCAACATTGTTGCCGCACTACATCCTGGCGCTGTCAGAACCATGCTCTTTTCTCCCGAGCCTTGGGATTTGCTCATCTGGGCCGAGGATCAAGGTCGAGTTTGCATCGGGGATCTGCGTACTGGATTAAAGACCAAACAAGTCATCGAGCTCAAGCTAGATGAGGAAGGCTTGAAGAAAATTGAGCTTGAGGACCTCGTATCAGAGGATTTGGCTGAAGGCGATCGTCTGGACGACCTACAGCAAGAAATTCTAAATCGCTATCGTGAGGCGCGAGACCCAGCTGAACAGGGCAATTTTGCCACAGAGTTCCTCCAAGCTCGAGAACACGAACGATATCAACATCTTGATCGAGCCCGTGCAACCTTACCAACTTCGCGCGAGGCAGCATCAACATCCGAAGACGATCCCCGAGGCCTCACTGCACACGAGCAACAAATTCTTGAAGCACTGCGTACCACCAGACAACGCGAGGAGGCCCGTACCTCAGGAAGCACCCCTCGCTCCATCAATTACACGAGAGCCGGCCTTTTCAGCGCGCACACCAGCAACCGTTCTGGAACAACTTTACGATCCTCTGATAGCCCTCGCCCGTTCAGCGATGTCTTGGTGAACCACAATGATCCTTATGCAGCCTTTCCAGAGCTGTCTCGAACATCACAGCGAGAGTCATCCGAGTCTCGACCAAGGGACCGTGCTTCGGGTGATAACACATTGCCACCTCTTCACTCAATCCAGGAATATCTGATGCTTCGGGACAGAGAGCGAGAAGCTTCGTCGACGTCTAACACAAATCGTGGGCCTGCCATCCGCCGATCTGGAGCAGGAGGAGTTCCTACGTTGACGAGCACTGCCACACCTATACCTCCGCACGCAGCGCGGGCGCCTACTACTAGCGCAGAGACAGAAGAGGACAACCCATGGCGTACCATCTCCAATGCAATGAGTTTGGCTAGAGGACCACTTTTCGAGTCTCCTCGGTCAATGGATGCCAGCACTCGACAATCCCGTGAACGAGAAGCAATGGTGCGTACGGAACAGTTCCGCCAGCTTGCTTCGCAGCGCGACCGTCTTCGTGGATTGAGGCGTGAGTTTGAAAGCGGAACAGACGCAGCGGCGAGCTTGTACGATACACTCACCTCGTTGCGAGGCTTTACATCGGCTCGCCCAACAGCATTCCATGATGGGTATGAGATGCTATTGCGCAGATCAGGTCGCGAAGCTACAATAGGAGTGAGAACTTCCGGCCTGGCCATCAGTCATGACGGTCGCAAACTATGGGCGGCTTGCGAGGAGGGCATCTTCGAGATTGACCTGCAGGTCAAGTTGAGAATGATGTTTCCAGCAGTGGAAATGAAATAACGAACATACATGATCAGGTTGTACATTTACGGCGTATTGGGAGGGGGAATGGACACATTAGGCATTGGAGCGCTGATAGCATTGGGGTACTGGGGCATTGCCGGCGCATGGGATGCTGCCACTCGATGGCATGCTTTCTCTGTTTTCTCTTCGATTCTCTTATTCGTGTATACAATAATTAACGGCATCTCTTTCTCAAGCAATACATGAGAAACTGTCGACTCATCAATGCTCGATCTGAACTAGAAGTCGTATACCAACGGTGCATGATTTGCCGAGGTACAGGTATGCATACTATTGCCCGTGCGAAGCTCGACTCAAAGCTCGAAGCGGCAATAGTGAGTTGTGATGCTCGAGAATAGTCTATGCTGGTATGAGTCAAAGGTGAGGCGAACAAGGGAGCACTGGCAGAGGCAAACGGGCTTCACTCGGAGCAAGCAGCGCAAGCAGCCAGTGCAGTCGATTGTCGTTCGTGGCGCTCGATGTCGGACAAGATTCCAGCATGTTCGATGGCCTGTGGAAAGACGGTGGCGGAGGATGCCGGGACCGGGGATTCGACGCTAAGGACAAAATTCCTCGAGCAACGACGCCATGACTTCCTCCTGCTGCTCCATCAGTTATTAACCTCGCCATCCCCATCCCCATCGTCGCCAAAGAGCAAGTTTCGTTTGTTGCTCTTTGATACCCCATTTTCTCTTGTCGCGTTCTGGTTTTTTGCTCTAATACATCCACAATGCTCTCACAAAGACTCGCCAGAGGCGTAAGTGCCATGCGACAGCTTCCATAGCTTATGGAGCTTCTCACTGACGTGTTTCCAGCTTCGCGCCACCCCTTCAGTCCGCTCGTCGGCCTTCAGATCCCCCATCGCTTCCTCGTTCAGAAGAGGATATGCCGAGGGTGGTGAGGAGAAGGTCAAGGGCCAGGTCATTGGTATCGATCTCGGTACCACCAACTCGGCCGTCGCCGTCATGGAGGGCTCCGCTCCCAGAATCATTGAGAACAGTGAGGGTGCCAGAACCACTCCCTCAGTCGTCGGCTTCACCAAGGAGGGTGAGCGTCTCGTTGGTATCGCCGCCAAGCGCCAGGCCGTCGTCAACCCCGAGAACACCCTCTTCGCCACCAAGCGTTTGATCGGTCGCAAGTTCAAGGACGCTGAGGTCCAGCGCGACTTGAACCAGGTCCCCTACAAGATTGTCCAGCACACCAACGGCGATGCCTGGCTCGAGGCCCAGGGCCAGAAGTACTCGCCCTCGCAAATCGGTGGTTTCGTTCTCGGCAAGATGAAGGAGACCGCCGAGGCTTTCCTTGGCAAGAACTGCAAGAACGCCGTCGTTACTGTTCCCGCCTACTTCAACGACCAGCAGAGACAGGCCACCAAGGATGCCGGTCAGATCTCCGGTCTTAACGTCCTCCGTGTCGTCAACGAGCCCACCGCCGCCGCCCTCGCCTACGGTCTTGAGAAGGAGAGCGACCGTGTCATCGCCGTCTACGATCTTGGTGGTGGTACCTTCGATGTTTCCATCCTTGAGATCCAGAGCGGTGTCTTCGAGGTCAAGTCGACCAACGGTGACACTCACCTTGGTGGTGAGGACTTCGATATCACCCTCGTCCGCCACCTCGTCCAGCAGTTCAAGAACGAGCAGGGCATCGACCTTTCCGGTGACCGCATGGCCATCCAGCGTATCCGTGAGGCCGCCGAGAAGGCCAAGATTGAGCTTTCGTCTGCTCCCCAGACCGACATCAACCTTCCCTTCATCACCGCCGACGCCTCGGGCCCTAAGCACATCAACAGCAAGATGACCCGCGCCGAGCTTGAGAAGCTCGTCGGTCCCCTCATCGACCGCACCGTCGAGCCCGTCCGCAAGGCTCTCAAGGATGCCAACATGCAGGCCAAGGACATCCAGGAGGTTATCCTCGTTGGTGGTATGACCCGTATGCCCAAGGTTACCGCCTCGGTCAAGAACATCTTCGGTCGTGACCCCGCCAAGTCCGTCAACCCCGATGAGGCTGTCGCCATTGGTGCCGCCATCCAGGGTGCCGTCCTTTCGGGTGAGGTCACTGACGTCCTCCTCCTCGACGTCACTCCTCTTTCCCTCGGTATCGAGACCCTCGGCGGTGTCTTCACTCGTTTGATCAACCGCAACACCACCATCCCCACCAAGAAGTCCCAGGTCTTCTCCACTGCTGCTGACTTCCAGTCTGCTGTCGAGATCAAGGTCTACCAGGGTGAGCGTGAGCTCGTCCGTGACAACAAGCTCCTCGGAAACTTCCAGCTTGTCGGCATCCCCCCTGCCCACCGTGGTGTTCCCCAGATTGAGGTCACCTTCGACATTGACGCTGATTCAATCGTCCACGTCCACGCCTCCGACAAGTCCACCGGCAAGGACCAGTCCATCACCATTGCCTCTGGCTCTGGTTTGAGCGACTCTGAGATCGAGTCCATGGTTAACGATGCCGAGAAGTACGGTGCCGCTGACAAGGAGCGCAAGTCCGCCATTGAGGCCGCCAACAAGGCCGACAGTGTCCTGAACGACACCGAGAAGGCTCTCAAGGAGTTCGAGGACCGCCTCGACAAGGCCGAGGCCGACCAGATCAAGGAGAAGATCGCCAGCCTCCGTGAGTTCGTTGCCCAGAACCAGACCGGTGAGGGTACCGCTTCCGCCGAGGACCTCAAGCAGAAGACCGATGAGCTCCAGTCCGCCTCCCTCACTCTCTTCGACAAGATGCACCGCGCCCGCTCCGAGCAGAAGGAGTCTTCCGGCGAGGGTGAGCAGAAGCAGGGTGGTGAGGGTGAGCAGAAGCCTTAAATGCGAGGTTTCTGATCTCTCATTTCTCTCTTTTCGCACCTTTGGATCCGAAGTAAAATCCGCTTCGACCTCCTGATACCCCCGACTTCTCTGTATACATATTTCCTCTCTCCCATCCGCCTGATCGATACACGATCAGTTCTTCATGCGGCGTCTCTTCTGGACGACATCCGCGCCTTTTCTTAACATCGCTGTACTTTTGTAAAATTGCTATCGAGAAAAAGGGAAGGCATGTGGAACATCATCAAAAACCCGGAGTTTCTTTGATGTGGTGGGATATGGGACTTGACCATTACGGCCTTATGTGATGTTTGTACTTTTAGATTCTGTTTATTTGAGCGCCTTTTCTTCTTTCTTGTTTCTATCACATCATCTCTCATCCTTCCACATTGTCCAGCGAGGGGTGTTGCACAAAATTCGTCATTGGGTATGAAGACGATTGCCTTTGACTCTGTTGTAACAAAAAGTATATGAACGATCAATCTCCTCTCTTCAATCATCGTTGATACCAAGTTGCGTAGTTTGTGAAATGTACTTGGTCTGGCATGGTAATACTCCAAGCTATCGACGTTGTCCGAGCATATCCCACTGAGCAGTTGCTTCAACCGGACATTCAAGACATCACATCACGACAGCAGCAGTGATCGTTCGCTAACTACCAAATTCCAAAAACTACCCTTGTATGCATCGAGCATATTACTGTCTGATCAAACAATAGTCCAAGAGCCATTAATTCAGATCCCTCGGAAGTCTGTCCCAAAGTCGTGGTTATACCTGCAACCCTGGCCCGTGCATCATGATTTTTCCTTTTTCTGCCTCGAATTCCAGAAGGAGCAATTCAACACCTGATTCAATTGCACCTTCCCCGATACTGTACATACTCCTCATTTGCATATTGAACCTACTGTTTTGTTGAAGACTTCGAATACCTCTTACACTTCATAACACCTTACCTTTGAACACTTTGGTATCATGGAAAATAAAAGATCGGAGGAGAGTGCTGAGAAGTCGTTGCCGTTGACGAGGCATTCTGATATTAGGTTGGTGTTGGATACGCCGAAAGGTACGTGATCGATTTTTTTCTACACTGCTTCATCAGAAACGAAAACACAAACAGCATCGGGTTTATACCACAGCAGAGCACCAGGGGAAAAGAAAAGAAGTAATTGAGCCTCATTGATCGTTATACCCATCTTCTGCTACACTTGTTTTCCTCGTCACGATGTTCGTGGGTTCCTCCTCTCTCTCTGTCGTTTTCCACTTTTTTACTTCTATACTTTTGCTTTTTTTTTTAATAACTCGAATATGATGCTGATTATTCAAATCAGGCAGAGGAGTTTTTGCAGCGGCGCGGATACCAGCACATACTATCGTGGAAACCTGTCCGGTATTAGTCCTCGACCCGACAGAAAACAAAAATCACGTGGAAAAGACGGAGTTGTTTCACTATACATAGTAAGTCTATCTTCTGCAAACATCACTCCCCTCATCCTCCTTTCACTAACACACCACTCCTTCCCAGCAACTGGCCCCTCACAAACCCCCTCACCAACCAAAAAACCACAACCCAAGCAGTAATCCTCGGTCTCGGCAGCATGTTCAACCACTCCTCCGTACACCAAAACATCGGCTGGGAAAGGGATATCAAAAACGGTGTCGTCATATACAAGACTTTACGCGATGTAGAGGAAGGAGAGGAATTGTGTATAAGTTATGGAGATAGACTGTGGTTTGAAGATGCTGATGTGGGGAAAGGGGAGGAGGAGGAGGGGGATGGGATGGACGTGTTGGGTGGGATTTGTGTTGATGTTGATGGTGAGGAGGATGAGAATGAGAATGTATAGAGGGGGTTGGGAAATTCAGACTTGTGTTGGAGGAGAAAGAGTGATCGATTCATATCGTACTTTCTTTGGAAAGGGGACGAAACGGTTCGAGAGAAAGTGAAAGGCCAGCGCAAGCAAGCACGCACGCAAACGAGGCAGGAGTGACCAATCAGATCGACGAGGAAAGAGCGATTGAGCGAACAAAGATACAATGGACGAAGTGGAACAGAACGAAAAGAGCAATTGAAATGAACGAAGCGTCCCCACGTCGATAAGGACTAACATACCTGTAGAGAGAAAGCCATAAGATGAAGATGAATAATTTGCAAAGCGTCTTTCTTATTCGTGTTTCATGGATATCTTTCTCTGCCTGTTTCCTACCCTCCACCGCGAGTTTCCCAAATAGTGACAAAGACCTAGACTCCCCCAAGCCCCTGACGCCTTGCAGGAATATTAATAATAAAAAAGCACAAGAGGAGATGAGATGACCTCTTGAGGTTTCCGCTCATTGCTGTTCCCACACTGCCACCTAAGTTGTACATGAAAGGAATGAATGGTCTGTTGTGTCGCTGATTGAAGTCTGTTTTACTCCTTGGTTTCGGCGGCGTCGGCTGATTCGGCATCGTCTTGACGCTCTTCGGCTTCATTTCTGAGGTCGTAGGCAATGTCAAAGCATTCGGCGAGCAATGATGTGACACTGCCCTGGCCTTCGGGGATGTCATCGCCGACCATGAACTTGCCGTCCTTCTTCATGTTGTCGATTGAGTTGAGCTGTGTTTAGAATTAGCATGGGGTGGGTTTCAAGGTGCAACGGTGGTTTGAACAAACCTTCATGCTGTAAGGATACAATTCGCGAGGAGAGTCAACACCACCTGAGCGCTTGACCTCGAGTAAGCAGCGCTTGAGGGTGAGCAATTGGTTGTAGATGGGCAAGAGTGCTTCTGAGACGGGCTCAGATGAGATGATGTAGTGGTAGATGTATGAGTAACTCTTGCGGAGGAGGTAGAGCAATGTCTGAGCAGATAGAATGTCAGCATCTCATTTGCATATCAGTTTTGTAGCATGCTTACCCTTTGCGAATGGAGATCAGCAGGCTTGCCTTCGGCGTCGAGGAAGTTGCCGTCAACGCGGGACTCATCGATGCGGTCGAGTTGACGTTGGTAGCTATACAAGTCCGTCTCACGCAAAGACCAGGCTTGAGTGAGGTTCATGTTATCAAGCGTGTTGCGGAGCTTGACCAGTTTGTCATAGGTATCGCGGAAGCGCTCGTCAATCTTGCCGTTCCTATGATCATGTCAGTCCAGGCCGTGGGTCAGGTTGACTCGGTACAACTCACTTCTCCTGGATGATCTCGACCCAGAGCAGACATCTGCCCAACAGGAAGGAGACGACCTTGGTGCCCTCCTGAACATTGTTCTCGGCAATGTGTACCTGCGACAGGCGTTCGGCGTATGCCTCCTCGGCCGTTCTGCCCTCGTGTGATACACCGGCGTCTTTCAACTCTGCTTGAATCTGTTTAAGCTGCTCCTCCAATTCCTGAACCTCCTTGACAGGGAACTTCGATCGTGTGTTACAAGCCGAGAGCGAGCGCAGGATCGAAACAAGCTTTTCGTAGTAACCCATAAGTTGAGGGTCAAGCTGGGACAATGAAGCCTGAAGGTCCTTGAGTGTTTGGTAGCAGACATCGATGCGTGCTTCGAGCAGTGTCATGAGAGAGTTGCTGTGTACATCCTTGCCACGCTCGACGGATGAGCGCCATTTTCGGAGGTTGTGTTCAATCGATTCGAGGTCCTGAGGGAGATAAAAGCCAGCTTCCTTGAGGTGATCCAGGAGGCGCTGTTCGGAACAGATAAGCATGGGGTTAGTGTGAGACAGACAGGAAGTAACGGACCTTGACGGTAGATACAGCGGAGTAGACGGCCGGAGCTTCCTGGTTGCGGCCAATGGTCAAGAAGAATAGGGAAACGAGCTGGAAGCAATCGTCCAGCACTGTGTCGACCCTGTTTTGTTCATTGCGCTTGTCGGTACGAAGATCGTTGAGCTTCTCAACCTCTCCGATCAAAGTTGTGTAGAGATCCAGCACATCCTGAGTGCGGATGTACGATGTGCGATCGCTCTTGAGCACCGATAGCTGATCGCGAAGACCGAGCAGGCGGTCGAGGATGGGTTGTTCCTTGGGGTCGAGCGGGGAGCGCGTAAATGGCGAGTCGGTCATTCTGGATTGTGGTGTCTTCTTTGCGGCGTCTCTAATGAGGATACGGCGTTGTAAGGTGATGTGTGAGTGGTTCGAATGTCAATGAAGGCGGGCACTTCGGGCACATCGCTGCGTCGCCGACTACGTCAGCCTGGGCCTTGTGAGCATGACTCAAGCGCGGCGTCCGCTTTGCGTACAGGCCCAGGCAGCATGACTCACGTCTGCTGGACCCAATCGGACACCGCGCCAAGATATAAGCGGCCAGTGCGCCCGCTCGCCAAAATCCATCGCACACTTTTCTCTTGCAAAGACCCGAAATCTGAATCCGTCGTCAACCGCAACGAGAAGAAGTCCGTCTGTTACCCTTTTAGAAAACAGAAAGGCATCTCTTTACATCCAACCATCAAAATGTCCACCGCCGAGCTCGCTTCCTCCTACGCTGCTCTCATCCTGGCCGATGAGGGTATTGAGATCACCGTATGCGACACCACCGATCCTCCAATTCCGCGACCTATACCAGACCACTAACTGAATGTCAATAGGCCGACAAGCTCAGCACCATCATCTCTGCCGCCAAGCTCGAGGTTGAGCCCATCTGGACTCAGCTCTTCGCCAAGGTACGAACACACCTCTCTCGAATCTCCTCAATACATGCGCACTCCCTGCGCATTCATTGAAGAAGCAAATCGCAAGATGGAAAAGAACAGCATCTGACTTGTCGCGAATCTACAGGCTCTCGAGGGCAAGGACGTCAAGGAGCTCCTCCTGAACGTCGGCTCCGGCTCTGGTGCCGCTGCCCCCGCTGCTGGTGGTGCCGCCGCCTCTGGCGCCGCTGCCGAGGACGCTCCCGCCGAGGAGAAGGCCGAGGAGAAGGAGGAGTCCGACGACGACATGGGCTTCGGTCTCTTCGACTAAGCGTCTCGTCCCCTCTTCACCTCGACAAAATCTTCTGGTGTATCTTCAAGTGTGGTGGGATCGATCAGGCTTTGGGAACAGTTTACGGCTCCGGAGGAACATGCACTTCTCTGCTGCTTCTCGTCGGTTCGCCCGCGCGGCTTTTTTCTGCTCGCCATTTCTATAGTCCGAAGGTTCGCCATTCAAAAATGGACCGGCTCAAGCAAAAAAATCTCACGAAACCCATGAGTTCAATGTCCACGCTGAAATGCTGTCTTTTGTATGTGAAGATCAGATGTATGCTGCTCTTGGATGTAAACAGCTATCTGTGTACGAGTATATCTGGAGTTCTCAGCCTCTCAATTCTCTCATGGTTCTGTCATCGTGCCCATCATGCCATGCTATTGTTCCTCTTGGGTATGTTGCAGTAAAAGCCAGAAGGATGTACTCCCCATCTTGATGCCCCTTGCCATATTCGCCATCAAATGCATTTCTATTCCGTCTTTCCCATGGTATCATTCGCTTCATTGCTCCACCTTTCCTTCTCTTTGTAAATGTCTCCTTCATCGAATTTCCTAGACTCCACGTCCTCGAGGGAAGCTGCGCAGACTGGGTGCATCTGACTGTCTCTCAGCCGCGCTCTGTAGGCCAGACACAATGTATTCGGACGGCAACACCGTCGAGCTTGGGGTCGAAGGTACAGTCGCCAGCGCTGCGGGTCCGAGTGCTGCACTCAAAGGGGTTGCCGGGACCGGTGTGACGTACCCAGACACCGAGTTGGATCGCAGTGCAGCCTGGTACAGCTGAGATCCGTTAACGGCGATACTGACTTCTTTGACTGCCTTCTGCACTGGTCGCATCACCACCTTGACAGAGTCGGTGTCATAACCTTGGCCCCCAATGTTCTTAATTTCAAGGGCTAGGTCTAGCCATGTCTGTTGTGTTTATTAGCTGCCATGATTGATATATTGTGGTTGGTTAATATAACTTACGCGGACAAACTTGTCACACAATTGCCAGAAGTCTCGCTGTGTGCGCAGATTAGGGTCCTTCAGTTTGACCTTGGATAATCGGTTCCTCATAGACTCCAAAGCGTTGATTGCCACGTCACACTTCGACAAGGCGATGGTCCAGAGACGTGATATAGTTGCCTGCATCGATCTCTTGGCTGACTCCTTACGACTGTAAAAGTCGACTCTGCAGCTAGGCAGAGTCTGTGCAGCAAGATCGCATGCATGTTGGAGTTTCAAGAAGATTGACTCAAATTGACGCTGCTCTTCGCTCTCCTCGGGGGGAGGTTGTAATGCGTTGGAGCGTGGGATGCCCGAAGCCGATGAGAAGGATTCGCCAGATCTTGGTGTGACGGCGCTCATACTTGTCATGGTGTTGCTTCGACTTGTGCTTAGAGGGACTGGTGGAGGAGCTGTTCCAGGAGTTGTAAGTCGTGAGGGTTGTAGTATTGTTGCCCCTCGCAATCTCTTCTTCGGTGCGATGGGCTTGGGCTGGGTTGGTGTGCTAGCCCGACTGATGGTTGCTACAGAACCGCGAGCACTTCTCGTGGGCGCCTTGACCTCAGTAGCCTGGAAGGTAAGCGTGTTGCGTATCTCAACCAACGCGCCATAGATGTGAAGCATGAGACTTCTAATGTACATGCCTTCGCCACGCAATGCAATTTTGCGGGCATGAAGACGGAGCTCCGCAGCCAGTGCGGCATAGCTCTGGAGAACATGAGCACATTTTCTGCGAATGGCCTGGATCCAGGGATCATTCTCTGATGCTCGACTTTCGCCGGTGCCGGTAGAAACTTGACTAAGCCGTCTGTCAAGCTCCTCGAGACTTGCGCTTGCTTCGAAAAAGACTCTTTCCATGGTTGTCTTTCTGGGTGTGCCGCTTTTGATGATTCGGACCGCGTCGCCGATGGGACCGTTCAGCTGAAAGAGGGCGAAAACAATCCTGGTTGCAAGTTTGACCGTCATGCTTGTTGGTCTAGACACTCTACGATCTTCCGGCAAACTGGACAATCGGCGGCGGGCCACCGGCATACGACTCGAAGGCTCCATTGGGCTCACGGCTCCAGATGACGATTCATTACCGCTGTGGGCAGCAAGGCTCATGCTGGACGCTCCTCTATAATGGTGCGCCTTTAATGTGCCGGTGTCAGTTACGGTCGTGTTCGAGCTTCCAGAAATCTTGCGAGGGACGTAGCCAAGGCGTTTCGAACGCGCGCCGGTAGACGTGACTGTCTCGCTGCGGCTTCTGCCATTCTCGCCTTCACCACTCAGCGGCCCAATGCCAGGACGATCAAAACGGCGACCTAACGGAGGGTTTACAAGAGAATCTCTAGCACGAGACCTTTGCGGAATTGGTGGTGGCGGCTTCAGGCCGAGTCCATCGCCTGATCTCAGATTGTCAAGGCCATCGATACCGCTCATACTCGGCCTCACAGGAAACCTGCCTGATATTGACCTCTTGGGAGGACGCGGCGTCTCCAAGCTGGTCTCGCTGCATCGTTTGTCAGCCCGCTTTCGTATCTAATCACAGGAGGAAATGGTTACCTAAGGTCTGGGGTCTCTCTACCCAGCATTTCCCGTTGTTTGAACTCGCGGAGAAAGAGTTTTACCTGGGAACAAATCTGTCGGGCTTCTTCTACCGGAGGTCCGCCTGGAGACGCGCCGAGAGGATTGGGGACAAACACCTCCGGCGGTGGGAATTCCATCGACTTTGATCCGACTTTCAACTTCTGCAAGCGCGACATCTCGCCCATGCAAGTTGGCAAACGTTTGATCTGATTTGACTCAATGGCCAAAAACATCAACGAGTACATGAGACCGACATCGTCCGGGACCGTAGAGATATTGTTATGGCTGAGATCCAGGATCTGGAGTTTCCTGAGATGAAAGACCTTTGCATTGTTAGACTGGTACACTCCTGCTGACATAGGCTTCTTCATACCGGCTCCGGGAAGGCATTGAGCTTGTTGTGGCGAAGATTCAGGTACAGTAGATTTGAGCAGAATATAAGATCGGCAGGTATCTCAGTAAGTCGATTGTGTCCGAGCGACAGCCTTGTATAATGTCAGCATGATGTTCGGGGTTGAACAAAAGGGGTCCAATCTTTACCTCTCCACACGATCTCTGATCAAATTGATCAACTCGATGGGCAACACACGGACACCCTTGTCACTCAAATCAAGAGTGTCGCCGGGCTGTGTGCCATAGCCAAAAGGCAGTTGCGCACCACCATCTAGGGCGGCGAGTTGCTTCTCCTCCGTCTCCGCAAGCGCTGACTTGGCAAGTGCCATCAGATCTTCAGTATTTGCTGCCTGCTTCATGGACGAAGCCTCGCCGTGGTTAGATGCCATATTGGGTATCAGATCGTGTGTCCACTTTCATGCTGATATGATTGAGATGGCGATAAAGTGCACTGTACCTGCAGGGTGTAGGAGTTAACTCACCTATGGCGTCGTGTATGCAGGAACGCGGCCGTGCTCTCGCGCCGAGATGTGAATAGGGCTACAGATCGTCGGTAATCTCCGCGTGTCAGGGTCGCGTTTAACACCGGCTGATTGTAGGAGGCTTCAAAGTCAACATTCATTGTTTTCAGTCATCACATTTTGATGAAGGTCGCAACCATTGTGACGGCCGGTTGGACAGATACATCGGATCCGCTCATGCCGTTTGAGTCGCTCCCATGCAGACTACACTAGCTCTCTACAGTAGTATAAAACATGTTGTCGAAAGGTATAATGAATCCCGACATCGACTCTTTATGAGCAGATCAAATTCCACAGTATAATTTTTCATCACCACAGTAACGCCACTGTCAGTGACAAAACGTAGAGAGCTTCAATAGAAGTTTAGACATGGAGGTCTCAACTTCCACGCTCGAATCTTGGCTGTAAGTTTCGTCCAGACCCAGCGTGTCTATGAGCTCTCTTTTCAGAGTTCACTTCTCTGTCCGGATGTAGAGGACCTTTCCGAGATGCAAAAAGGACATTTGATATACTATAATAGTATTATGTTAAGAGCAAACTTTTCATGTCTAAGCTCAATATACCGGCCTTCATATCTTCAATCATCACCACGTAACTCTAGAGGCCTGTTATACCTTTTGACCTCTCTCATATCTATTCTTTGACGGGAGCGATCTTTTCGCTCTCATCCTCTCTTCTGATGTGTCTCCACTCCTCTTCATCCGCAGGTGCATCGATGGTGTTGGCAGTCAACTCGGGGATCTCTTCATCTTCCATTTCTTCGGGCAAGATCAAGTTGAGGATCAACGCAATGAAGGCAGCAAGGGCGAAGCCCTCCTCCATCACTAGTACGATGGCGTTGAAGAAGCCGAGTAGTGCTTGATTGCTGCCGGAGTAGGTGAAGACGTAGCTGAACCAACTGCATTTTCATCAGCGATCTGCAACACATCGATGGATGATGCCAAACTTACGTGGGAACAAGAGTAGCACCGAAGCCAGGAGCAAACGCTGCGGCCAGAATGAATCGGTTGCGGCGGGTGAAAGGGATCGTCGAGATGATACGAAGACCACTGGTTGCGACCGAGGCGAAAAGGAAAGTGGTCATGCCACCGAGGACTGATGAAGGTATGGCTACCAATGCGGCGGCAAACTTGCTAAAGATACCCATGATAAGTAGCCAGAAGCAGGCCGCGTAGCCGGCCTTGCGGTTGGCACATCGGGTCAAGGCTAGCTTTTTGTCAGCTCTGTATCTCTGGGCAATCGACAGGGATGTACGAACCAATCACGCCGTTATTCTGAGCGAATACAGACATAGGTCTAATGGTATAGTCAGTATAAGGGTGTCAGATAGGGACGTTGAAGGTGGAAAATGCTGTTCTTTCTATAGGCATACACGAGACATGCATTTGGGTAGAAGGAAATAAGGATGGGTCAGGGTAAACAAGAAGAGAAAAACTCACGTTAATGTGCATAGACCTGCAATGAGTCCGTTCAAACCATCGGCAAGGACGCCACCCTGAATGCGGCTGTTGAACATGGCTCCGTCGACTTGGAGGCGGGACACATCACACGACGCCGTGATGTCGCCGATTGCTTCCATAGCCAAGACGATATAGACTGTTAATAATGGCAAGACCAGTGGTCCATAAACCTGTAGCTTGAAGGTGCGGACCCAGATGAAGTTGGCGACAGGTGCAGCATCAATACCACTGCGATCGAAGTATCCGCACGCAGCAGCCACAATACAGCCGATGAGCAAGCCGACGACAACAGCACATGACTTCATGATTGGGCTACCAAAGCGCTCGGTCAAGATGATGCTGACGAAGACAAGGAATCCGAGTCCTATAAATTCGGCACTTCCCCAAGGAAGCGCGTGAGGAGCCCCTACGTTGGGACATAGACTGTAGAGACCAGTTTCGGGACGAGACGCACAGCTACCACTGCCTCCGGCCCAGTTCTCAAATCCGGAACTGATCAGAGATACACCAATCAACATGACGGTGGGTCCAGTGACGATAGGAGGGAAGATTTTCTTCAGAATTTTCGGTGGTGTAAAAGACATCAGAATCTCGAGAAGGGCACAGACGCATGAGGTCGCAATCAGGGCGCCATATCCATTGGGACATGGAAGAGGGTTGCCATCTGCATCTGAAGGACAGAAACCAGTAGCGTACATCTGCGAGAATGCACCTGTAGCGACAGGGATAGTCGCAAAAGATGTTCCCACGACCGAGATCAAACCAGTACCGACGTAGTACGGAGATTTCCAGATATGAATACGGGAGATCTGGATCATGCTCAAGATGCCGCTCATGATCAGACATGCGGATACCAGATACTGTTGATCTGCCTGGATGAGGTTGGCACTACCCGAGAGGATGATCGGGGGAGTGATGATGCCTGCAAGCATAGCAAGGGCGTGTTGGAAGCCCAATAACAGAGCAAGAAATACGGGCATCTTATCGTTGAGGCCGAAGAAGGGACCTGCTCTACGTGCCCGTTTCAATGGTAGCTGAGGCTTGAATAAGAATGCATAGTCGTAGTCGCCTACCAAGCCTTCTTTTGTTGTGAAGGCTTTGACAATGCGACGACCATTTTCAGAGAAGGATCGCTTCGGTGTGGTCTCAGGACCAATCGTATCCGGACTGTCGTCCTTGAAGTTGCTGGCCATTACGAAAACGGTGTACTTTTGTGGGATAATTTGGAGAAGAACCGATGGCGAATACAGTCAAACTAGAATTGTTGTTGGTCGTGTCTCCAATCTTGGGCGATGTTGAACTGGAATCGCATGAGGTATCAAAACGATTATCTGCGAAATAGAGATGAAGCTTCTTGTGTAATATAGAGAACACTGAATTGGGCTCACAGAGACTGGGAATACTAGATAGATATATGCGAGCTTGAAGATAAGATATGCGATCGAGGTCAAGAGAATATTTCAATGTACTGTGTGGATGTACATGGAGGGCAGGATCAACGGTTCGGTTGTCGGCGAAAACCATTTACGTTGGTCGATTACTCGATCGAATGACCTCGGGCAAATTCAAGCAACGCGACGGTCGTTGAAAACCCTCAAAAGATAGCCTGCACGAGGCTGGTTCTGAGGCCGGAGCCGTGCGCCATTGCAGCTCCTTCGAATAGATACCAAACGCGCTCTATTGCTCGATGTGATTTCGTGAGAGGTTCGGGGCGCTGATAAGCAAAGAATCCTCTCGGATGAAGAAGGAAAAGATCGCGTTGCTCTTTCCACTCCGCATCCGCTTCCTCGACTCCGCAATCGGCCAAGCTTGCCGGCACTATTTTGACAGGTCGGTCGAGTCACGCAGCTGTTCATCCTCTCCACATCATCTGAGGATCTCTGAGGACTCTCTGGGTTACCATCAGATGCCGAACGCATGGAGCTTGACACGTATGGATGCAAAGAAGGTTAGAAGATGTACGATACAGATACTACAGTAGACTCGACAAAAGAAATCCCAAGTGTATCTGTCTAGATTCTTCCCCTGTGTAAGAGTCAACGCCTTTTCGCCATGCTGCTGATGTAGCTGAGCTGTCTTTGGATCCGGACCCGATGCGCGCCTTTATGAAAGATTGACCCCATTGGAAGAAACACTTCCCTGATATAAGACCTTTTCTGACTCCTCAAAACAATACCCAGACGAGAACAAAAGAAATTGCCGGAAGGTGAGCCTTCTTAGGCGCTGATGGAGCCGAGAAGACGAGCATGAGGGCCGCGAGGTGCAGGAATGACACCCATACGCTGGAGGGCGACCTCTGCCGCGTCTTCGCGTGCGTTGTTGACCCAGTCTCCGTCGTACCAGTAGCGAGCTTGGTGCTTGCATCCATTGACCTCAACGACGCTGGACCAGGCGGTGCGGCCACCTGAGAGATGTCAGTACATTTTGATATCAAAACCAGATCGAGGCAAGAACTTACCGCGTCTGTCAGAGCATTCCTGGAAGTTGGGAGCACGAAGGCCACGGCTTCTGCACTCATCTACAAGTTTCATCAGCATCTCATTGGCCCAATTGGAAGATGGTTCGAGCTTACTCATGAGCTTGTTCTGCCAGACGGTAGAGTGGACCGGAGTAGTGGTGGCGGTGTGAAGTCTTGAAGCGGTCATGGAAGCCATTTTGGAAGAAGGTTGGCGAAGATAGAGTAGGATGAACTGCAGTGGAGATCGTGTTGACTTTTACAGGTACTGAGAGGCACAGCTTGAGTGATAGAGTGGAGTATGATCTGACAATCTACAGCTTCGAAGTACCAGTTCTTATACCATGACCCATCGTTCAAGATTGGGTCTTGATCTTGACACGTCAATTTCACGATCCCCATCAAGCTGGGCAGCAAACCGGGATGATGCTTTCTGTTGCACTTGGCATATCTCAGTCCTGGTAAACCGATAGGTAAGATGCATCTTGTGTGCTGGCAAACAAGGCAAGTAGCAGGAGAGTTGTCAAAATGGGCTTTCGAAACAACTGTGTCCTTCCACTAGGCTATGCGCAGGGCCGTCCCGCACGGGTGTAATATCCAGGGATCTTTTAGTCCCATGATCGCCTTCCAGCAGAATGATGGCCCGTATCCAAGATACCGGCTCACAACCCATTCTGTGAACAAAGAAGGCCCGATGAAGTGGCAGCACTGTAAACAACTCCACAAAAGCTCAGTCTTTTGCTACAGCATTGGATTTGGCTTGCATTCGGCACCTCTGCCACGGCTCAAGTCCAGCTGGTCGGGCAGCTAACCTTCAAAAATAAGTTGCCAGCGTATAAGAGTGCTGGTGATTAATAAAGTATGCTGGCATAACTACATAGAGGAAAGCGGGTATCTAACTCAACCAGAAGCCGTCCCTACCCGTTCACTCAGTTACATTGCACGGTTGTGGGGAATTGCCCACGCGTGGGAACAAGAAACAAATTTTGCAATAAATGAGAAGTCACCTTGACGGCATCGGCGTACGTTGCGATTGCCGGATGCCTTCGGGTACCTGCGTGATCAGATGCATTTGGTGGGACAACATCGCATCCCCGGTTACTCTAGATTCCAAAGAGCACTGGGCGGTGAAGAACGCGATTGTACGACGCTTTGGTTCGAGGTGTCTTGATCGTCCATGGTTTATTTGGGATTCTCTTAGGTATATATTTATGTTTGTTATTGACAATGAGCATTATATGATCCGAGCGTAGTGATGTGTATCTCTCAATCTGTGCTGAAAGTGATGGATTATCGAGAGGCGACAGCAAAAGGCAATACATAGGTTTGAGACCATCCGAAAATTCCTCGTGTAGTGCATATTGGAAAAGCAAGTCACCATGGCACACCTGGCAAATGCCCGTACAATTAGTTGACTTGGATCAGAAGGAAAGAGAACACGGAAAATTGACCAGTCTCAGAATGGAGCAGAGATCGGGAGCGAGCATTTGATCAGCCTCGATTTGTCTAAAGCTCCAAGAAAATTTGGCGACAGATGAATGTGGCGTTAACTCTTTCGGTGCAGCCTGTCACACATCGCAACTTGCCTTTCGCAGCGGTGTGGGCCTACGACACGTCGTTGAACCTCTGGTCGATGGTCGACTGGCATTTTCACTGCCTGATCGTTTTGTGCCGATGTACTCCATATCCAGTCGGAACTTTGGAACAGGAATGACAATCCCGCGAGCAGGCCTCGTATGGAATCGACGCTTTATACAGTCGTCCACCAGCGCGATCAGACCAGCAGCCACCACGACACTGATAGCGATCAGTAAACAGACAAGTTTCAGAACAATGTGATAGCGACTTACTCAGAGACCTCGTTGTGGTTCTCAATGATCTCTTCGTCGGCGATTCCCAGAGTACATGGCGGGACCCAGCCTCCTTTGGAAAGCTCTTCGCGTTGTTGCACACCGCTCATGGGAGTGGGTAAGATTCGCGCAAGAGGCTGATCCTCATTGTTGCGAAATAGGCAGAACGATACTTCCTTCGAGCCAATTCGATCTGTAATACGTTTCCAGACATAGTGAACTCCCCAATACTCAAATTCATACCGTTTGCTGCTCTTTGCACCGCGTCGCTTGACCTCCACCTGCGCGTAATTCGAGAACTCAAGCTTGATGGTCTTGGTAGGAATTGACACGTGGCTTCTGCTGAGGAATCCCGATGATACTGCAGCTTGAGGATCAGGTTCGATGCTTTTATGTGACTTCAGTGACTCGTAACCAGAATCAGATCTCCTCAGATTCTCAGACGGAGGAGAAGCTTTGTGTTCTGCTATCGTACGAAGTGATGCGAACGCATTGCTGAGAGATCTCTGGAGGCCCATCCTTCGTTCAGCAGTACTTTTCTGGCATTTTCGTGTTGAGTGGCAAACTTCGCGGCCAGACTCTCTGCAATACCTTCGTAACGAGAATTGCCTATTTTTCAGGTCGTGCATGCGAAGGTGAAACAGAGTGACATCGATGGGGCTGTAACGCGAGTTTTCATATACTGTGTCAACTCGGAGGTTCATGTTGCCGTCGGGTGTGGAATCATCATGTCTTATCGTCAAAAGACGTTCTGATGGGAACAGCTCAGCGAAATCGGACGGAGTCGATGAAATTGCTCTACTTCCATATACGTCGGGGCGTGGTGGAGGACAAGGTCCATCAGATAGAGACTCTCCGTCGATGTCGACTTCTGAAGCTACAGTCGAGGCGTAAGTCTCTGCAGAAGACCTAGGATCCTCGGCTTGGTGACAATATTCATGAAGAGAGCCTTCGAGTCTTCCCTCACATGTCTCGTAATGTACAAATGGAGGTCTTGAAGAAGGTCCAGTATACTGTGTTCCTTGTGTGCTGTGAGATTGACGAGATTGGTTGCTGCTTCCAGAATCACTGTTCGAATAGCTGGAGTTGCGACTCCGCAGGCTTTCCGAATTAGCTTGGTGGTGGTGCATGGTACGAGGAGGGCGGTGTGGTAGATTAGGAAGAGGAAACACTGCAGCGAAGACAGCGGGTAACCTTTATTATCACGGGAGGGTATGCTAGGTAACGTGGACGCAGTGGGGACGGCAAGAATTAGGTGATGTCGCGCCGATGGCAATAGTTGAATTCCAACGAGCGAATGACAATCACGACCACCTAAACGACAACCAAATCAGCAGGCAGCGAAACACTTGTCAATCTAGCGAGACCAGAAAGGACGGTGGCCCTTCTAAGCACATGGGCTCTTGTGGTGACACGATTCATCGAAAGCCCGTCACGCATCGATCACACCTTGACCGCTGCGCCCAACCTCGTCTCGACTGTCGGGCTCGCCATGACCCAATCACCTCCCCTCCACACCGCCACTAACAAGAGTCTTGCAGCTGCGCTTTCTGCATCCGCACACGCTCCGATGCTCGGGCGTGCTGAAAGGCGTCGAAGTGTCTGCGACCACGAGAAGCCGTCGCTTTGGATTGAACCGGCGCGTCGCCATCGCGCGACATCCCGCGACTGCTGCATTTCTTGATGATGGAGAGAACGTCATGTGCTCCTATCACGCCCTTTGAAGCGGAATGCGACGCTCCAAAGCATCATCAGGACCTTCATGCGCCGACTCGAAACTCGTGTGTCACGCTCAAGACTGGGTGTTTCCATCTTGTGTTCTCAAGCTGTCGAGAGAGCACCATTCTTGCGCAGATCATCGACTCCGGCGTTTGCCAGATTGGCAACCTGCCATTGGAACAACGCAGGGTCTGCAACGGCTACGGGTCCTTCCCCGTGTCTCCACACTGCAAGAGAGTGCCTCCGTCCATTCGCATGCACGCGGCTCCTTGTCACTCTGGAAACTAGCAGTTCGACTCTGACGCTCGGTAAAGTATGCACAGTTCCAAAGACAGGTCCTTAGTAACCTGCGTAATATACCCCGGGGACTGCATGTTTCGAGGCTATCGGCGCCGATAAGTTCACCATTCGAGGAGGGGTTTGCATATGCATGTACCACTTAATCAAGCACAACCTCATCATCTTGGAGCAGGGCTGGTCCGTATGGCTGGGCCTCAATCAATCGATCATTTTCGATGCGACTTGTCGGTTTATATCGCTAAAGAGGCCTTGGTACTTGTAGCGGGCCTGTTCGGTTCGAAGCACGATCTCAGCTCAGGCTCGACTGCCTCGTGGACCTGTGATGGGCTCTTCTTCTTCTTTGGTACCAGATCAGATGGTACGTCCTTCAGAGGTGACTTGGCAATAAGAAAGGTCCCCCATACAGATTCTGACTGTACCCAATTACCAAGGCTTCCTCCTACCTGAGCGGCAAATCAGTAGTTCTGGCTAAAGACTCGATACGGGTACCCTTCTTCCCGAGTTGCGCTCACCAGGTACGCTACCAACACAGCAATTGGTGAACATCCCACCATGAAGGTCTGTTCGAGAGTCACATCCTTGTTTGAGTGTTTGGCTGTTTGGCTCTGGTTTCTTTCCGAGGCACAATTCGGACCAGTCGAATTTGCAGCACCTTGACCACCAAGCATGCCAAGCATTTCTTGTCAGTACTATGCTACGCGTATTTCTGCTGAAGGAAGCAATACTTATTGGGAGGCTCCTTGACGACCAGCAGCACACCAAATCCTCACCTTCGGGCACGAATGTGATGAAGAACAACAGGGTGAGATCAGACAAAGGCATGTATGAAAATGGCCGAGATCGTGTCACCAATCAAGTCAATGAAGGATCAACAAACTCACTCTGTGTCACGTCCGGCTTCACTCGTCTTACGTGTTACCAGCCGGGGCGCGAATCACCCAAGTTCACAATTTTGATGGACTTCCTGGAATCTGAGTGTTTGCGACGTGCTGACAACAAGTCATTCGAACGTACAGAGAATGTATCGTCTCGCTGATCGGGCTTTCATTTTCTCGATAATGGTACCAAAGATTCGTTGTATAACTTCAAGATGTTCTATCTGTTCTGTTGAATTATCAAGAACCTTTCGTGTTGATACTTTCTAGGCATAACAACTTCCGCCAGATCCTGAACCCTATGGAGGAAGCCGCTTTTGTTGTCCAATAAGGTCGAACTCTACCGTACTCTGTCGCCTTTTGTACTTTGAACAAATTAATCTGTCGACAGATTAATGGAATTATGTTCACGTGCAGATCTGTATCGCAACTTCTCATTGGCCTTGTGAGTTCCCGTCCTTTGTTGAGTGAGTTTCATGAGAATGTCACCTCGTGTTGTTGAGAGCCACAACAGAAGCAGGTGCGACTTGCAAGGGCCAGTGATGGATGGTCCTTACCTGTCGTCAACGAATCCTGAAGTCTCTCCAACCGTACTGCACCTTACTCATACATTTAGCTACCTTACTCCATTGTACTGTACAGATCATACACAGGATCTTTAGTATCGTTTCGACTATTCGCGATATCCTCGGTCGCGTTTTTGCGCAATTTTCGATGTTCTTCTCATCGCCTGTTCACTCGCCCTCGACGTGTTAGGCCTTCATCGTGTAATGCCAAGTCAGGGCTTGTGCTGAAACACAACTTTTTCGGATTTCTCTTCCAGCTCAAATCTCCGGTGTCAGGGCAGATTATATGGAAATCCATAAAGAGTCCCTATCGGAGAGTGGTTCAATGCTTCTGTGGGGCATTCGCAATGGTTTGAAACGCATCTCATCTGGAAGGCCCGGTACATCTCGCTCTATTATGGTTATCTCGGCACCTACATGGGATTGGCAAGCGGATCCTTCGCCGTGATAGATATAAAGATGTTTTGTGAGTATCTGAATTTGTCTCTGAACAGCAACAATTTCTTCCTTTCTGTTTGTTGCTCAAGCATACACTTCTTTCCTCTTTCTTCCAGAAGCTGGTCTTCTCTCACACTCTTTATACAAAATCCTCGTCATTCATTTACGTCCAGAAAGATGCGTCGCTTTATCGCTACCGTAGGCGCTCTCTTGCCTGTCGCTCTCGCATGTAACAATGCAGATACACACCCTTGTCCTGGTTACTACCACGACAATTTAGCCGAAGTCTCGGACTTCTGTGCCACCTTCACGCAAAGCACCGTCGCTGCTTCTACCGGCCTTCCGTCATGGGCGACTGTCTGTGACAACAGTCCTAAGAAGCTGTCTAGTGCATGCAGCTGTCAGGTCCCCGCTACTGCTGTTGCTGCTTCTGCACCGTCCTCGGGTGTCGTCGCATCCACCACACCTTCATCCTCAGGCTTTGTCACCTCTGTCAAGAATGTCGAGAGCTCCCCTGTTTTCGCTATCACCCGGACCCACTCCTCCAGTGTCACCAGTGCTGCCGCAAAGGTCGCCGTGAGCTCTGAAGTCGTGGTCAGCTCTTCGGTTGCTGCCACTCCTGCTGTTACTAGCTCTGCGGCTGCTGTCCCTACTATTTCTGGAGGTGCATCTGTCTCGCTCGCTTCGGGCGGTGTCACTTGCACTGTGACCGAGTACGCTGGCATCTCGTCAGCTGTGGCCTCGTGCACCAATATCGTCCTCTCCAACATCAAAGCCCCTGCCTCGAGCACTATCGATCTCACCTCTCTGCAGACTGGAACCCATGTCATTTTTGCTGGCAAGACCACTTTTGAGGATACAAACGACAAGAAATTCGACCCGATCGTGATCACGGGAACTGATATCATTGTGGAAGGCGCTGACGGTCACGTCATAGACGGAAATGGACAGTCTTACTGGGACGGAAAGGGTAGCAATGGAGGTGACGCTAAGCCCAACCACTTCATCGTCGCAAAGCATGTCAACAATGGACGCTTCGAGAACTTGAACATACAGAACTGGCCCGTCCACTGTTTCTATGTCTCTTACTGCAACGCCGTCACCTTCTCGAATATCCTTCTGAACAACACTATTGGAAATGAGCCCAACTCTAAAAGTGGCAGTAAGGCAGCCGCCCACAACTCTGACGGATTCGACATCTCTTCCAGCGACAACATCGTCCTGACTGACTCCCATGTCTACAACCAAGATGACTGTGTTGCCGTTACCTCTGGTTCGAAAATATTGGTAGACAGTATGTACTGCTCTGGTGGTCATGGCCTCTCGATCGGATCCATTGGCGGCAAGTCAAACAACACCGTCAGCGATGTCACTTTCCAGAACTCTATCATCGTCGACAGCCAAAACGGTTGCCGCATCAAGTCCAACGAGGGCGAGACTGGCGAGGTTTCCAACATCCACTACAAGAATATCACCATGGAGAACATTGAAAAGTACGGCTTGGTAATCCAGCAGGACTACCTCAATGGTGGTCCGACCGGCGAACCCAGCAACGGTGTTACTATTTCTGGAGTCACTGTTACAGATGTCAAAGGAACTATGTCTAGCAGCAAGGGCATTGACTATTACGTCCTTTGTGGTGACGGCTCTTGCAGCGACTTCTCGTACTCTGGCGTTGAAATCACTGGTGGCAGTGGTGACAAGTGCAACTACCCTTCTTCTGGTTGCCCTGCAATTTAGATTCTATGTGCGATACCTGACTGAGCACGTCTGCTTCTTGCATGCATATCGTCTTCGTATCTTGCGAAAGCAAACTTCTACCTTCTATGTAATTCATACTCAATCTAACTGAATAACATGTAATCTACAGAGACGGATTCTTTTGCTAAATTGCTAGTAGCTACTAATTTCCAAACGACCCTGTTTATTCTTCTGTGCGCTAATTCAAATTGTCATAATGTGATCTCTCGATGAGATGTTTGAGACGTGCTGCCCACTAACCAGATCTACGAACAGCTGCACTGTTACATGTTCTCTGTTGACAAACGTATGAATCCGGATACAAGCCTACATTATGATCGAGGTGATTTATGGGCCCTATCAGGGGGTGACGAGGTCTTGCCAGGGATAAGGATCGAATTCATCATCATAGTCCCAGCCTGCCCGTCGCTGTGTCGATCTGTCTATGAAGATGCAAGATGTTTTTCACAACCACCCACCTTATCCACTGAGAGATGCTATCCTTTGTGCTCTCTCTGGACGATCACACCAACGCAGAAATCACCTTGCATCTTAGAAGCTAATCTTAAGGTTAGGTCGGTACCTGAGATATCGAGATCAATAGAACAGTCAAACATGGTCGATGTTGTCCTGGTCACGAAAGTGGAAGGTTTAGACACCAGCGACTTCCAAAAGTGGACGCGTGCGTCGGCTTTTCAGATTCAAGAATGAAGGCAGACGTATGAAAGTCAAAAAGAAACAGTGAGTAAATTCTACACTCTGTGCTCACTTTCCTTTGTCGTACGGTACATCGTTCTACAGCGCTCTTCGTCCACTTCCTCGCTACTACAGCTGCCACAAGACCACAATACGTAACACCACAACCAGAAATCCTACCACTCATGTCGCAACCTGAACAAGAGATGGTGCTCGAGACACTCTGGAATCAGATGGAGACGCTCGCGACATCTGGCGACAAAGAAAACGGAGTCAAATCTCGTCGGATTGCGCTCCAGCTCATCAGCTACTCCGGCCTTCCACTGCTCTATCGCATTCGCGCTCACATGACACTGGCTTGCGGAGACAGCAACTATCTCTGGCATGCCCAAGAGGCCGTCCGCCTCGCAGAAAAGGGTATCAAGGTGTTCGGTTCGGACACGAAGAAAGACGCAGGTATTTCAGAAACCCAGGCCAAGGAAGAGAAAGAGGCGGAACAGGCTCTGCTCGAATGTGCCAGAGAGACTCTTCGCGAGGCCGAGAAGGACTATGCCGAGCTTCGGAGTATCACCGAAGTCTTCAATGATAGCAATGCGACAAAGTGGGCCGTCACCTCTAGAGGCGATGGAGTCGTAAACGGTTCCTCAAAATCTGTCCCTACAGGATATGCCCAACATGCCAGCGACTGCGAAGAGCCTGTCAGCGCTTCGCTAGAGGACAATTCCATCCATTCTGGTAGCATTGACTACGACTCTGTCGATAGCGCACCTACTGTCAACGTCTCAAGGCCCAGCGATACATTGCATCTCCTGAAATGACACAAAGGACACCGAATCCGATCAGTCGACTCCGATCGATCTAAATACTGTCTGACCTGAAGAAGGTTAATCATATCGCAGTCGCTCACTTCGACGAAGATGGTTGTGTTTTCCTGCACCTAGCACAGATTTTCTTGTCGCTGATGTCGACGCTCGGTCGGTCGTCGCATTGCGGGTGAATTTTCTTACACCTCACGAACTCGATAATAGCTATCACGATCAAATCAGGTTGTCGCAATTTCACAATCTCCTGCATACTGAGAATTCTTGATCGAGTTGAGGATTGCTTGCTTTCTTGCTTTCTTAAGTCGTGATGTGTTCGAATAATACGGACACTGGAAAGGATGTGTGCGGCGGAGTCAAGGGAGCGTTTCACTATCAGGACTGTCCATCATCAATGACCACTCTTCATCCACAACGCAAAGCTCTCACAGCGTGGAAGGTCGACGAGAGCATAACGGTATCATGAGTAGCGCAGAAAACATATTCTAAATCCAGAAAATACAGAATGCGGCGACAAAAACCATGTTTCTTTCGCGGAGAGGTTGTTGCGCTCACGACCCTGGCCGGCATCATGAATTATCAATCAAAGCCTCTGCGAAAACTGCCATCTCCCCCATCCGTCGATTAAAACACCTTGTTCTCGGCGCTCATGTAGTCTATCCTTACGCAACCAGCATACCGGCGCCAAAACCAAACAGTATCATGAAGATAAAGCTGCCCAGACAAGCACCGATGATGATCCTGCGACGCTTGACGTGATCCGTTCGTAGACTGCTTGGTGTAGCACGGTGATCTGTCTTCTTGTCTGTTCTCTCGGATGAGAAGTGTCCGTACTTTTGAAGAAGGTGTTCGTCTTCTTGTCCTTCCTCGACAACCGTGGCGGTTTCCCAGAGGTCCTCGGAGGAGATGGAGGCTGGTGACGATGTTGATGGCATTTTGTGTGATATAGAATGAAATTATTACTCTTGATGTTGAGGAAAGAGCTCTGTGGGGAGTTTTTAGAGACGAAGTGTGCAGAATGGAAGGTTCTTGTTTGATGAAATCTAGCTCGGCATCGCTGTTGCTTCATGCCTCTTACGCTGCTGTCTCATGCCACCTCACATTTCGTACTTGTATGAGCATGTTCTTACCGTTTATGCAGGTTTATGGTTGTATATGAGATCATCTCACCTCGCCAGAGAGTGATTTTGCGCAGTCCCATCTGGTCAATGCCATGGGAATTGGGGTGCACTTTGCTAGAGGAGAGCCGTCGAGAATCGCGAAAAGATAGAAGATCAAGAATCAAACAACCCTTGCCTGGAATTCTCATGTGCATAGGTATGTTGAGCGAAGGAAGCGGTTTGCGCCGATTCTTGTCCGTCGTAGTGGTCTTATCTATGTTGAGCTCTGAGCACATAGAACGGCTCCACTCAGGGCAGGGCGTGGCTACGATGAATGGTGAAGATAAGCGAAGCTCATGAATTACAACAGGAAGAGATACAGCGCGATATCCACGGTTGAGACAATGCGCAACACTATTTGCAAGAGTCAGTGAGATCAATGCCTATGCAAAACCACAACTAGAATAATCGTGGAGCCGTCTGCTTTTTTCAAAACACAAAGCTCGGCTTGTGAGACGAAAGATACTTTTCCCTCTTTGGCCGCGATACATCTCAGCGGTCTTCCCCACCGCTTCTAATCGCATGCTTGTTCGTTGTGTCAATGTGATCAGTGGAGACAAGTGGCATCTAGCGGACCTAGACGGTTTCCAAGTTGTTCCGACGCACGTGGACTCACCGTCACAGCGATTCGACAGACTCGAGCAACAAAGATGAAATGTGGCGCCTTCACGAATTTACAAACCTTCAGTTGATTTGAAAAGAATCTCACTGCCATCGGGCTGGCTGACGCCTCGTGCTCATCGTTACTGATAATGCTTGTGGTGTCCCAGACTCCACAAGGTCGGGCGGAAAGGCAGCACAATACACGCCTCTGCCAAGGTCATCTGATTCGCACATGTGTTAATATATTCTGCTGTCAGTCTGCAAGGAACGATATGCAGCTCCCGAGTGGGGGACATTGGGGAACGCCATGAACGGTGGATATCGGTTAGGATAGTCACAGCTCGCTGGCCAGCGACACCACCACAGAGCCGATTTTTCCGACCTGCGGAATTGGCATTCCTTTTTCGATACTGCTAGGCTGATTATCCCGCCGGAACCGAAGGTAATAGGCAAATGATGACCGCGCAGCTTTTAAACTCGTGATGAATGTGTGCCGAGTGGGAAACATCATCCTCTCCAGATTGCTTCCCGCAGCGTCCCCAGCCGGCCATTTCCTTTTGTGGGGATGCTCGTATCATGCATCAGTCTAGGCATTCTCGTATGGCGTGTTCTCATCATGTTTTGTCGTACTTGCTTGAGCTTACTACGAGCTCCATGGAGCACGCAATCATAGTCGAAAAGACTCAAGGCACCAGCACAAACTTCCCAACACTACCGCAGCCGTAGCTGAGCTGCGAGAGTACGATTCGTGCACATGCTAATGGATTTCGTTGGGCAGGAGCTCAAACTGTTGCGACGCATCTCGGCGAAACTTGACCCGCACTCCTGAACATCACTGTTACAATCACATGAAAGCAGCCTGTCGGCCTCTCGCCAGCGAACAGGACGTTGTGACATGTGTGCACAGTGCGCCATTAACCTGTGGAATATGAGTCTAGACATCAGCACGGCTTGCAATGTTGATTTGGGGACGTGATACGATGTTGAGCTGCCCCGTTGCTTCTTGCTTGGAGGCCGCGGAAGGCGCACCCACGAACCGCTGCTCTGTCATTTTGTGGTGGCTTCGCACGCGTGGGCGAAGGCTTGGTTCTGGTCTTGGAAGCACATGGCAGTGGTGGTCGTGGGGTCTCCACACAAAATCTACGTAACCAGCTGCAGGAACAAGATGGAGACGAAAGATTCCCGCTTCCATAATCTGATGTCGTACTTCGTTCGGTGCTTCGCTGCTTTATCACCAAGCCACCTCTATGATGGTTGGGGCCGGCCAGTAATGATTTCGTTGAGACAAAATGAAGCGAATCGCGTGTGTAATTGCACAAGATATATGGTGGGATCGCGAAGGCTTGCTTCGGCCTTGGATTTCATTCACAGTCGGGCCGGTGGGTTGCTTCACGAGCGAGTCTCTCAGAGAAAACTCCGGGCGTAGGGCTGTCAATGCCGGGCCAAGAGCGGTGAAAGCCAGTGCTCACTGAGCTCGACTCACTCAGCGGGTGTATCAAAACCAGGCTACCGCGTCACTGACTAACAGATGTTTCGATAGGGCCGGGGATAGAACTCGAGGCCTCTTGCGAGATGACGACGATAGAAGCATGGCGTGACGCCGTGAATCCGCCGTGAAAAGAAAACGTAGGAAAGATTTTTCTCTCGAACGCTTTTCTCCATGAAATGTGTTGGGGATGGTTGTGCGGCAATGTTTCGGACGCCATACTCGATCTGGTGGGAGTGAGCAAATTCTACTGCCAAGAAGATAACAGACGACATTTTTTCTACAGTCTCCAAGCGTTGGGGTAGTCGCTGAAGGTGTTGACTAAACGACGTAAAGCAAGCGAGAGTTTTTCAGGTAATGTCTGTCGGTGGCGCTGTGTGTTTGTTTGTGGAGAGGCATAGCATGATACAATTGTTTTCTGGAGACAGGACCTGCATCAACTCTCTGGCGTTTGGCTTTGGGGCTCACGACCACGTGTTGACAGAAGTCTTGTTGTTCGGAGCTGGCTGTAACCAACGCTCAGGGATCGGGACTTGCTTGAACCGCTCCTCCGATGGCAGCGGCGGATCTAGGCGTTGCAACATAATCTCATATCACCGTGTGGAGCCTCGCACGATTTTCATCTGCCGCGCAACGAGCCCGACCGAACCCGATGACAATTCTTCTGTTTCTTGGCTGGCAACAGCACAGTTCACCCTTTGAAGGACATCACAATTGAACCAACTGCCGTCAGGCAGAGCTTGGAGTGAGTCTGGACGAGGGCGTGCGGGGATCGCAATCAGGCGTGAGTCGAATAATGACTCGATGGCATGGTGGGTCTGTAAATCTGGGCCCCCAGTCTCAAGCAAAGATGCCTGCCAAACTGATCAAGAGCATACCAGGGGCACTGATGATACTATTGCAAGACTTGCGCACGTCGGAAATCCATCGCGATGCATGGAAACAAGACGTTTAACGCCTCTGAAATTGTGTGATCTTCTAGAACCTGGGGGAGTGAAGTGCTTCGAACATCCTTTGCCGCAAACTCACGGGAATGCCGCACTGACCCATGGCAGCGGTAGAGAAGTGGAGGATGTGCAAATGTGGCTTGCGACCTCCAGATTATGGCACCCTTGGCGTGGAGAACTGGTCGTTGTGCCCCGGATCTATGAGATGCTATCAAAGTCAGTTCTTGATGAGGGGCATGTGCTGTGCGGATCGTGATGGGCGAAAGGAGACGAGCCTTGCATGATACGTGCGAAAAGCCAACGATGGAGTAGACAACAATGGCGTGATTGGCACTTGTTCGCAAGCTCGGCGATTGTGAAAAGAATTACGTTTTGGTTTTGCCAGGCTGATTGCGCCGCTCGCTACTCGTGTAGATGAGACGATCGTACAGCTGTACGTATGGCGCTCGAGGGTCGTCGAGCAACTGAGCCTAAACAAGTCCTCACCGGGCGCCCCAGGTTCTGTGACTTCTGTCAGGGGGAGATGTTCCCCCACGTCTGCGGGGAGAGCTCCCGCGAATGTGTTCCAGCCATCGAAATGGGCATGAATGAGGATGTTCTTATCGGAAGAAAGGGACAGATGACCGCGCGAATAGCGGGTATGGACAATTGGACGCTCATGGGTGTGGAGCGCAATTACCCGCTTGGTATGAGGCATGTCGTTCGATCCCTCCACTCCGTGTCTGATTTGGAACGAAGACAATAGTCAACGTGCAGTAAATTGCTTGCACGAAGACGGCTGTGCACAGCGGCAGTGCGTATATCGAAAGGAGGCTGAGAAGATACTCATCGTGGGCAGCATGTAGCAACGCAATTCGTTGTTCCCCGGACGGATTCATCTCCAGGTTTGTTTCACATGCCAGGATCTGGAGAGATCAGACTACCTATGCACACTTCTGGCAGAGCGTGAAAGCAGATGTCTGCAGCCATCAGCGGATAAATGTTCGGTTAATGACCAATTAGGATGTAGGTTGTAAGCCCTGCCTGCCATTCCGGGAGTGGAAAGCAGATAGGGCAGAAAGATAAGAAGGAACAACTTATCCGCAGTGAACCTCGTCATGAGACTGTAAAGACGCCAACGGAGAAATAGAGCCCACCGAGATAGAGGAAGGAGCGATCGAACAATGCGCTGCATAGAGGAAGGAGCGAACGATGAACGTATGCGTCGCAAACGAGCACTACTCCATGTTTCACGAGTCCGGCTCCAGACACCTTCCCGTGATGCACGATGGCAAGTGAATTCGGCATCAACACGGCGAAATGCACCCTCACTCGACGAGGCCGGGCCTTGCTCCCGCTTGGCTGTTGTAAAGCACAAACACAACAAGAGCCAGGGGCGTACTGCTATTTCGGGCCTACCTCTGGGGGGCGCTTCTATGAGAATTCGAAAAATCTTGTATGTGGGTCCCCACAATTTCATTTCCGGTGCACGCCCGTGTCAGATGTAGCGCAGAGACAAAAAAGATACAGCCAACGCAAGGAGAGGCAGCGCAAAGGGAAAGCTACTCGGCTGCAAAGAGGCCAACGCTTGGAGGGAGATAACCGTGCAACATCGTCATAACTGCAGCACAGCGAAGGATATGCACCCTCGATCGTGGACAAGCATAGGCATCCCCAACACATGCCACGGGTCGTCACGGGAAAAGGTTAAAAAAGTCTTGTTCTGCGATGGCCGGGTGGGAGCTCCGCAAAAAATAGACGAGGGTTTGCAAGCAAGAAACGACGACAGACTCTGATCTCTGGGGCGCACGACAAGTCGAGGGGATCTGGCGGCGCTGTGCAGTGCACAAAACGGACAGAAGGGGCACAAGCGGGCGAGGTGCTTTTGGATTCGGGCACCGAAGAGAGACCTTGCGCTATCTAGAGCCGTGTCGTTCCGACGGCATGTCCTCGCCAGCTTGTCGGCCCTGGGCCAGCAGCACAGGTGCGCTAGTGACTAACGTCGGGCGCGACGAAGGCTGTGGCTTGGCGGCCGGTGGATCTTTTCGTTGCGCCCATTTTCAGTCAAAGTTGGAGCTCACCCCCACGCCTTTTCCCTTCGTCTGCGTCACGCTCTCGCTATTTAACCACTTCTCCCGCCCTCTCCCCTCCCGCCTATTCTCCAGATTTTTCGTCTTCACGTCGTCAATGCAGCGCACTTCGTCCGGTGTGGATTTCTCCAGCCTCTTGAATCCAGACAACTCCTCGGCCACTCCCCCCTCTCACCCCAGCACTCCCTCGACCTACGTCGACGCCGGTGTCCAATCCCACCCTTCCATGGCTGCTGCTGCCACCGTGCCCGCCATGGCTGCCCAGATGCCCACCCAAGAACAGACTACTCAGACCCCTCCTCAGGGAGAAGTGCGCCCTGACCTGCCGCGTCCTTACAAGTGCCCTCTGTGCGACAAGGCCTTCCACCGCCTCGAGCACCAGACTCGTCACATCCGCACTCACACCGGCGAGAAGCCTCACGCCTGCCAGTTCCCGGGATGCACTAAGCGCTTCAGCCGTTCTGATGAACTGACCCGTCACTCGCGCATCCACAACAACCCCAACTCGAGACGCGGCAACAAGCAACATGCCGCCGCCGCCGCCGCAGCTGCAGCAGCTGCTGCCGCCGCCCAGGCAGGAATCATGGACCAGGCACAGCACCAGGTCATGCAGCAAATGAACCACATGATGCCTCCTCCACCCAAGATGAACACCTTGTCCCACTCGGCACCCAACTCTCAGCTTTCATCGCCCAACGTCTCTCCTCCTCACTCTTACGCCAGCGCCTACACAAGTAACCCTGGCTCCTACCTGACGCGCAATGTGAGCGGCGACCTCAGCCCTGCTGGTCTTAACCACCCCATGGACATCAACCTCCTGGCCACTGCTGCCTCGCAGGTTGAGCGTGAGAACTCCCTTCCCACGCATCACCTAGGTCTTGCCAGCAGACACACATATGGCACCCACCCTTACAGCCACCACCCTTACTCGACCGGTCGCCTTCCCTCGCTTTCGGCTTACCACTACAGCTCGAACCCCACTTCTCAGCCAATGTCGCGCTCGCACTCTCACGAGGATGACGATCCTTACTCTCAACACCGCATGACCAAGAAGTCGCGTCCTGGCTCTCCCCAGTCGACTGCGCCGCCATCTCCTTCGTTCTCACACGAGTCTACCTCGCCAACTCCCGACCACACTCCTTTGGCTACTCCTTCTCATTCTCCTCGGCTTCGTCCGCAGTACTTCCATAACGGTGTGCAACTCCCCACACTCCACCACCTCTCCCTCCAGCACCAACCGCCTCCCGCCCTTGCCCCTGTTGAGCCGTCCGCTGACGGTCAACAGCCGTACATTCCGACGCACCACAGCGGCCTACGTATCAGTGAGATCATGGAACGCGAAGACGGAGCACAACGAAAACTCCCAATCCCCATGGTGCCTTCAGCCGTCAAGGTCAACGATCTCCTCAACAACCCCAACGGCTTCAGCAGCGGTCAGTCCAGCACTACTGGCAGCATAGCCGGCGACAACTCGAATTAAGCAGCTTGCAACTTGTTTGGTTGAAATCATTGTCAAGGAGTTAGGCTTTAATGGCTATGGCACGAAATCATGGCCTGGGCGTTCTGTCATATCATTTTCGGAGTCTCTGTTATTCTTCGTTTCGGCACGGCGTTTTCTCTACCCTATAGACTGGACTGGAGTCGGATTGATCGGAATCATTGAGCGGGAAGCGTGAGGGAAGTTCAAGGAAAGGATCCCTTGCCGGGTTTGTGGTCAAAGAGGATACCTGCGATCGAAAAGATCGCCAACTGTTTTGTTATTGCTTTCGAAAACCCCAATGACTTCGTTTCTGTTCTTTGCGATTTTAGCGGCTTGCCTGTTTCTCTACACTAATGCGGATGAATGGAGCCCGATGGTTCCTTCCTCTAGATAGACGCTTTCTTGCTCTCCCCTTAACTCAACCTTTCGAAACAGACTCATCCTCTGCTTCGAAAAAAATACACACATTTTTACATCTCAATTTCCCAACTCAGATTGGCCGTATAATCGTATTGTTTTGTCGCTCCACATCATCAGCTCCACTGCATCTCCGCAGCGAAGCGTTCTGCGTGTCAGTGCACATGAGTACGTGTTGTTCTCCAGATTTCTACCCACAATCAGTCCACATGTGTGCCCCAGCGTCCTCCAAGCCTCCCCACGGGCCCTTACAGCAGCGCTTGATGATGCAGATACTCGAGTAGAACGTCTCACTTATTGGTAATCGGAGCAATGGGAAGTCTGTTCGGGCTTCTTCCGTACGAGAGGATGCCTGGGCGCTTAGTGGGCTTACGGGATCGTCGCTTTTCATTTCGCAGACTTGCTCTTGCTGTCAACGAATCAACCTCACGAGTTGAGTCATCACCACTGGCACACAAACGTTCTTTCTTGTTGCTGTAAAGTGCGTATCAGACCTGCTGCAGATTACCCCGACATGATCGTCCTTCCTCCGAAGTCACGCCATGGGAACTCGAGATGTCCGCATGAAAGCATGAACATAAACCCCCCCCTGATCGACGGTGGCAGAAGTAGAGTCTGGCCTCTGACTCTCCTCTATTCAACGGAAAGAATGCTTGTCTCGTAAGTCTTGTTCTTCCTCCACACTATCTGCTTTATCGGACGTTGGTGTGTCATGGCATTTGCAACATACCAACGCGGCGACCCATATTTCCTCTTGAGGCCGGGAATTAGGGCAACCGTCTCGTATGGACGTATGTCGCAAGGACTGCCAAAAGTGCGCACAGTCTTCGGCCGAACTCGGAATCGCGTTTGTTGAATTGCACACACAGGAACTTGACTAGATGGTGATCGTCGCACGCCTTTCTCACCGGGCTCTTGCGCACAGGAATGCGACAAGGGAGGATCATTCCTGGCCACCTGTTTTCCACCAGTGTTTCTCTTGCAAGCCGCCAGCCCATTTAGATGGTTGATGTGGCGTGCAGGTACAAGAGCTGCAAGTCCCGAGTCGGGGTAGCCGGCATCCCGAATCGAGGAAGACCCCGTCGTCTCCAGGTTTCCTTTGTTGCGGGGATCGCGGGGAAAACAAACACACCAACAACCTCTTGTCATGCGCACGACAGGATGACTAGACAGAAAAGCTTCATCCTAGGTATTCGCAATGTCAAGAAACTAGGAACCCGCTTTTCCGATGCTGCTCTGTTGCTGGAGGGTAGTCCCGCTCTGGTGTTCTTCACGGCCGTAGTCGCCCGCTCTTTTTACGTTGCTTTGCGCGAGCGATAAGACCAGCATCCTGTGGCAGAAATCGCAGCTGTGCCAGACACACACAGCTACAGCCAACGGCGTAACTGGCGCATCACTACTTTCCACCTTCACCGCAACATCGCAACGTGTGCTCTCTGGGCATTCTCAACGAAACCCGCCTGCCCACTCGGCTCCACTTGGCAACACAGCGGTAGACGAACTCAAAACCTCTCAGAGTTGATCTTCCTTCGAAAGAAGGCTTTGGACCCCCAGATCGATAGCTCCATCCCTGCTTTGCCGTCGAAAAGCGCAACTTACTCGCTACGTCATGGAATCTACTCGACACTTTCCCGATCGATAACCTCATATGAGGTATCATAGGCTCGGAGCACAAACCCTGTCGGGATATGATCAGGCAATCGGATCGAGAGAGAAATCGTGGGGGTCGCCATTTAAGGCCGATAGAGATACACAGCAGCCGCGTACCCGTCACCACTACGTGTTATATTGCCACTATCCGTTCAAGATAGGCGACAAGCACAACGAGCGAATGACCAACGACACGTCGAGAACATCTATTGTCTCATCTCAGATAACCACAGTCAAAGAGAAGGAAAAGAGCAAGAAAGACTTGTGACATGTTCAAAGATACTTACGCAGGTACATGTCTACATCCTCCACTTGACCTCGGCCCTGGGGTCCGGGGCCGCTTCTACCCGCGGTAAGCCTCTCACGCCTCTCCCTCCTCCCCTCGACTTCCCCAGGATGATGGCGTCGAATCACAAAGGTAAAACAGACCTCTTCCTTTCCCCTCAAAAAGAACAAAAGTACTTGTCTACTTCGATTACCCCATCCTTCCATCGTCGCAGCCTTACAGAAGGAAGTGGCACACCGTGATCTTGCTTTGTCTTTGCCCCGCCGGACAGTTTGACTGGGCGACTCCGCGTCGAGGGGGGCCTTCAACAGAGCCTCATTTCTTCGGTGTCATTGTCGGCCGGGGGTTACACCTTGTTTGACCACACGTCATATCCCTCTGTCAACACTCAACAGGAGGAAGAAAGGTTTGCTCGGAAGCTTGAAACTCCTCATTTCCCCCTCTTGCTTGTTACCTAAGTTTATATTCTATCTTGGATCCTGCATAAAGCTTGATCGCTATATCAAAACACGAGTTATTGGCTATGCACTCGGCGATTGTTTTCGTGCACTATGTAGATTGGACTATACTTGCTCATGTACCAAGCATGTTGAGCGTCAAGCGACTGCATCGAGTGCTATGTAAAGCTATACGACATGGCCATGCATCCAGTGAATACATGCTCACCGCCCTGCAACCCACTCAATGACTACTTGCAAGACCATGTAGGTTATGCAGTAATCGCTTGGAAGGCTATGCAGACCATCCAATGCCCGGTGCATGACCAGGCAGCGTATTCGACGACTGCTTAACAGGCTATGCAAAGCCCATTCGATAACCTGATTTCTACTTCGCTATGCGTGGCTATGCAAAGAGACTGCATCAACACTCCGCCTGAAGTCTTGACCGCTTTGCTACACAGCCAATAGATAGCTCGAGAAGCAGATTTTAGACATATGGATATGCGAGAACTGTGAGAGGAGCTGATGTTTCACATGCATCCATGATACGAGTAACAAGCAAAAAGACACGCGTTCCACGGGGCTGTTCAGGGCTTTCGTTTCACTTCAGCTGCTCAGCTGTTGCATTGATTGGAGGCTGCTTGGAGAAACACGACTGTCAAATAGGCACGTACAAAACGATGGACTCGACAGATGTGGAAGGAGACAAGCAGGATGTTCAAGTCATCTGGTCCAATACGACAAAGCACGTGCTTGGAGAAAAGAGTGTGGTTTCCTTATCAGTACAGTATCTGAATTTCTCCGGACACTTTTTGTGGTGGGCTGTGTGTCCAACCAAGCCACCAACACCACCTTATCAAAAGGTACATACATTTTCTGCATCCAACTTTCCCACATTCTTCCATCTCTCCCACACAAGCCATGATCTTGATTTTCCAAAGAAGTTGAGTGATCACCTTGTGGCTTGCACCGGGCCGCTCTGCTGCATTGCATGATTTCCTGTCGCACATGCAGGCAGCCCCTTTCATCATCATATGCTTCCACCACCCCCAAAATGTAAACAATGACCCTTTATCACATGTCAGATCCGTAACCTGGTGACACCCTTCTCTTTCGACAGGGCTTTTGTACTCCTGCAGAGTCTCGATGATGTGATTGTTTGATTGTCTTGATTGTGGAGGTCGGAAATAGAACATGCGTAATCGTGAAGAATGTAGATGCGGAGGGCCAAGGGAACGTAGGACGTCCGACGTGGGGGTGGTTAGTATGCCTTCATAGCCGGAGTTTCTTCCTGTGGAGTAGGAGGGTGGATCTCGAATTTATCCGGTCAGATAAGATTGCTTTTGAGGAGGGTGGATGGATGGATGACTGGCAGGCATGTCGTCTTGCCGCAAGATGACAGGTCATCTAGACATCCAGAGTCATCTGCCGGTTGGGTGTTGGTGGTCCTGTTCAGTCATCGATGACGATAGTTGCGGACGTGTCGTCTTCGGTTGCAGTGGTTGCGGCGGCTTCATCGTCTTCCAGCAAGGCTGCTTCGTCGACCAGGCCCTCTGCATCAGCCTCGTCTCCATTCAACCAGCCGTATTCATCACGACCCTCTGCCGTGTTTGCATCGGCAATGTCTGAGTACGGACGCTTGCGACCTTTGGCAGGAGATGACGCGGCAAGTGTCACAACAGGGGCGCCTGCAGTAGAGTCCTTATTTACGACGCCCTTGAGGCCGTCCTTGTCAACGACGAAAGGAACGACTTGGCCAGTTTCACCTTCGTCGGAAAAGGCGACACCATTGACCTTCTGTAAACCAACGTACCTCGCGCTTTCCGGATCTTGCTGTTGTTGTGCCCAGCTTCCGAGTTTGAAATCTCTGAACATGACCAGTCTGTTTGATACACCAGCCTCCCATTCAGCACCTCCCATGCCAGGTACCAAGACAGCGCCCAGACCGCTGTGAGGACGTACACGCGTGGCACACCCGGTGGTCACCACAATGGCCACGTCATTCAGAGCAGCCAGCTTTTTCAGGGCCGAGATGAGAGTGCCCATGATTCCATAGCGACGGCCAGCAGCCCACCTGGCAGCTTCGGATTTATGGCTTGTAAAAGTGTTTGCACGATTGCGTGGATAGGATACCTCGAAGATGGCGTGTAGGTCGTCTATAACCATCAAGGCAGTCCCCGGCGGCGGAAACGATTGCGGAGGATGTAGGGTTAGGGCTAATAGGTGAGCGACGGTAGGGGTCGAGTACGCGTGGAAGCGGTCGAGCCTGGAGTCCTTCTCGGAATCATGGCCATGTGTGGAGGGGTTCGCGGCGAGGAAATGGTTCAGTCGATTTATGGCGAAAGGCGTTGTCGCGTCTAGTCCATGTCAGCCGGCGCATCCGTAGTGTATACAGCTCGGGCCAAAGAAAGACGCACCTACCCAGACGACTGAGCTCCCATTGTTCAATGCGTGTGTTGCCGTTTGCAATCTACGAGGACGTGTTAGGATACGAGAGCAATACGATGCGTGTACGAGTACAAAGTGAACATACGCAAGAGAAGATTTGGCGGAGCCAGATGGCCCCCAAATCTCGGTGATTTTACCACGGCCGAGTCCAGCATTGGTGGCGCCCAAGAGAGAATTGAGTTGATCAAGACCGGTAGAGATGGATCGGGGTCCGCGCGACTGTAGACTAAGCAGTGCTTCGGAGGCCGAGACGGTGGGCAGGCGGTCTGACAGGAAGTCAGACTTGGTATACAGCCATCGTATAGACACGCGACATACGAGAAGACGGGGGCGGCTGTCTAGCGGTAGTAGTAGACGACGACGGCGGGGCCTGGCGCGGAGGCGACGGAGGGGCCGGTTCGGACATGTTGATGGCAGATGGCAGATGGCAGATGGCAGATGGCAGATGGCACGGTCGACAGCCGCTGGCCACGAGGAGATGAGGCTGTCAGGACATGTAAAAGCTATCGTGAATTGACCCAATCATCTGCAACGAGGAACACAACAGCGAACAGTTTCGGCGCCTTCCCACCACCGTCCCTATCGATTACGGCTCGGCGTCCCCGGCATGGTAACCGCGCGCCCAGTCATGACACTTCCATATCGCGAACAACTGCATGCCGGAGATGCAGAAATCAACGAAAAGCACTTCTCAAAGCCAAGCCTTTCCTCTGCGCATCTTACACACCATTTCACCTTTCTGTGAATCTGTCGTATCGACGAACGTACTGATCTACCTGTATATCTACTGTTTTAGTATAATCCTACGAGATGGGGTGGCCAAACCACCATCGGACTCGCCGAAACTGTCGACGGCCCGCTCCACATGACTTGCTTCAGCTCCTGTCCCCGGTCTTCCAGACTCAAATAGTACACCACTCCTTTCTGTACCTGAAGATCTTGTCCAGTGCTTCATTTTTGCTTCCGTTTCTCGCGTGTCTTGCTCTCTGTACGATGCTGGTGTTTTCAGTCACTTCTCTTTTGCCTCGTCCTTCTTGTTTCACTCATTAAGCCGGTGGTGTTTCTTGCTGCTCTTTTGCATCTTCTGGACGTTTATTCAAACCATACATTCGCTTAAGAACGACAAACATGGACAGTTCATTGCAGGGTGGCGTAATTGCCCTAATCACGATACTGGCTGCCTCAATTGCTTCACTGCTCGCCTTCAGCAACCAATTACGGAAGGATCAAGAATCAGAATCGACTATTCCTGGATGTCGCCGCATTGGCCTTATCGGAAGGAGTAACATGTCTGATCAGTATTCACCAAAGCACAACGGAGAGAACCTCGATTCATCAGCGGCATGCAAGATCAAGGCCCTGTTCATCTACCCGGTCAAGTCTTGCAAGCCCGTGGAACTTGAAGACAGCGATGTTATCCTGACTGGTCTGCGTTATGATCGTCAATTCTGCTTCACCCAGCTCAAGACAGAGCAAGTAGAGAAAGAGGAGGGAGATCTCAGTGTCAACTCTGAATGGGTTCACAACTGGAAGTTCATCACCCAACGAAATGTCCCTCGATTGAGTCAGGTCGACACTCAGATCTGGATCCCGGACCCGTCATCGCCGACCTATTCTCCGAAAGCAGAGTGGGTCAAGTCTCAAGGATGTGTCGTTTGCTCCTTCGCCTTTACTCCTGAGTGGTCCTGGAATATGAATGGCCTGAGAACTGCTTTTTCAATCTTCAAGGCCAAGCTTGCTCAGCGCGACATCGAAGCAGAGCCTCGCATTACCTTCAAACTTCCTATTGCCCCTGACGAGGAGAGATCAAGCAAATACACTCGCGAAGTCATGAAGATCTGGAAGGATTCACCCACAGCCATCAACATCACCTCGGAGATACCACCAGAGACACTAGGAAAGTTGAAATACTTCCTCGGTGTCTCTAACCCTATTGCTCTATTCAAGGCAGACCCCCTAAACCATCGCAAGGTATTTAGGAATGCACCTAGGATAGAAGAGGCTGGCTACCAACCTGGTGTTGGCTTTGCTGATGCTGTAAGCCATGTTACCTCATGATCCGACCAACAAATTCTGACCTCACTTTCCAGTACCCGCTGTCAATCATGGGCGTCGCCTCAGTACAAAAAGTATCCAAGACCATCACAAACCTACCAACACCCCACCTGGACGCGCTCCGCTTCCGCGCAAACATCTACCGTAAGTCTTCGTCAACCCTCCTATCATCAACATACCTCTGACAATCTTCCAGTCACAAACGCCCCTCCCTTCGCCGAAGACGACTGGAAACAAATCCGTTCTCGCAATCTCTCCTACCACGTAAGCTGTCGAACAACTCGCTGCGACCTGCCCAACGTCGACCCAGTAACCGGCATCAAAGACCGCGCCGAACCCTACAAGACCCTCAAACAAACACGAGGCTTTGTAGACAAAGGCGCCGGTGCTCATCCGGTACTAGGTATGCAAATGGTTCCTCTGCTGGAAGATGCAGCAGGTAAAGGAGAAATCAGAGTTGGTGAGGAAATGGAGGTTGTAAAAACAGGAGAACACTTTTATATAAGGTTGTTTCAGGATTAATGTAATTGAAAAGTTTTTGTGGTTTTCTGTTCATGCATTGACCTCGTTGTTGTGGATCCAAAGTATGCGTAAGACTGATATGTATGTTGTCTGGAAAGTTAATGAAGAAAATGTAATCCATTTGGGTCTTGAATTGGCTGCCGAAAGGCAAGAAGTTCATGATGACTCGGCAAGTTTCCACTGAGAGAGATACTCCAACGTGCTATCTCTGGACAGCGAGACACACCCGAAAGCATGTTGCATGCAACAGTCAGATTTGGTGACTGATGAGTGTCCGAGCGTAAAAAGAGTGTAATTCTTGAGCTACTTTCATGTCGTGTAAAAGTGACCACCAAAGATCGTCTCGCTTTCTGATTGAACAACATCCCGGAATGCTCGAACGGAGAGCTCCACCCTAGCAACAGTGATATCGTCAACCGGCCAGGTGCTATACAATTGCAAAAAACGCACACAAGAACTAGCAAGAGCGCCACATTTCGGACCTGGGACTCCTTTGTGCCATTCCATGACTAACCTGTAACAATCCCGTGGCCAAAACACCACCGTCGAACGAATGTTGCAGTCGTGATCTTCGATACAGGTGGCTTTGAAACCGCGAATCTATGGCGATAGCAGAGACTTTTTGAACTCGAGCCAAGACGTCCGAATGTGATGATCTCCAGGTAGGAAGATAGAGGGTTGTATCAACACTTGACGTTCAAAGTAGCGGCTGCGTAGGCATATGGTGAGGAACCTCTCATGCAGAATCATTAGAGTGACTTCGTCGTGCGTGGCTTTGGAAACATGGCGCAGAGGGTGGCGAAGTGACCGTTGTTTTGGGTCTGCGAATACGTATCCGTAGATCCTGTTTCGCAGTTCTGGAGGCAGGGCGAGGAGGGCCAGTGGTGGATCGCTCATTGCTAGCGCGATTGTATGCTGGGATAGATGGATGGTGGCTATGATATTTGTTTATGGATATGGTTGACATCGTATAAATAGGATGTATCGTTGATCAAAAGAAGAGCGATGGCGAGTTGAGAGATCAGAAGCTACAGTGGAACGTCAACAATTCGAAGCTCACAACACGTGGCAGGAACGCGAGATGGACTGTCGCAACTGCCATGAATTTGGATGAATCATTCACTTCGTGGCTACTTGGTACATGAGGTAAGAGCCATCCCAGGATTAAGTGATTTGCCCCAATGGATAAACTACGCTCGATTAACCCTCCCAAGTCCCAAGTCGGAGTATGAATAGAATTCAAAGGTGGTGAGAAAATCTTGTTCTGCTTGGTCGCGCAGATAATGTGAAACAGGTGATGTTTTCCCTAGCCTGGCTTGAGCTTTTTGCTCTTGTGTGTGAGTGCAAACGAAAAGTTGGGGTTACGATTTCCCCATTGTTCCACGAGGGTTGGCGGCTTCCTCACAGGCGCGATCGTTGTGCTTGGGGCACGAGAAGAGGTGAACAGCTGCACGAACATATTTCTAAAAGGCGAGTATACCAGAAAGCGTAGGATTGTTGCAGACCAGTGCTTGAAGGTGCCCCAGATCGGGATGCGACGTGTTACACTACCCCTGACTGGGTTCTCGGAGTCGTCAGTGTCGCTATCAGAATCCGTAGATGATTCTGAGTCGGAAGTTTCTGTAGGCGAATCTTGTACTGGGAGTTCGCGTTCTTTTCGATCTGGTACAGCCTTGATTTGGTTCTGTGACGGGGAGAACACTGTCAGGTCTAGATATTCACAATTTGCCTGGTAGCGGGTATATGTGGCAAGAAATAGGAGGGAAGCTCGATGTACATGGCAGTTTCGACCATATGCATGTTTCTTAGACAAAACCAAGTACTCACATCCGGCTGTAGTGGTGTTGCGGCGCGATGATCAATGTCCTTTTCGCACTCTACGCTCAACTCGTCGTCGACAACCAACCAGCTCGACTCTGCCATGCTTTCGCGTGATGCTTCGTCAAATTCTCGAACAGCTCTCAAGATTTGAGTCAGAAACGATAGTCCTGCCAGATGTAGGAGTGGAAGTCTCAGGTCTGATGTCCCAGATTGTCAGTCCTATGGCAGACCTGCCGACTGTTAGAAGGCAGACCATCATGTCGAGCAGATGCGAGATGGACATAGGATGGAGCAAGGAGACAAGAGACACAAGACACATCCTAAAATTCAATAGGAGAAGAAAATAAACAAAATCGATTCGACACAACAAAAGAAGGCAACGAAACAGCTGACGCGGCACGGTGGCTGATTGGACTCAAACCAGAAAGACGATGAACGATGATACGCACTCTTCCGACTGTCGCAGATTCAAGATCGAGACAGCAAAGACTGGCAGAGTTTTGTGAAGTGAGGATGAACATCCTAGCATGGACGAGCAAGAGAATGAAGGCCGTACTATATACGAGCTTGCGAGGTTGTGATAGTGATAGAGTTCAGGTGGGGCGGCGGTTAGCTGTCGACGGGAGGCGCTTTGTAGCGTGCCAAGGCCGAGGAATGTGGAAAGTCCTGACGATCGCGGATTGAGCCTCCGTAATTCGTATCGTGGAGAGATGGTGGAGGAGGGAGATCTGAACAACTTGAAGACTTCTCAAATACTGATCGTTTTCTTCTGATGACACGCATCTCTACGAAGCGTCTGTTTTACCGCTCGTAGCCAGGCGGATTGGTAACACCGTCTGTCTGCCTGAATGCTTAAAGTGACATACTGAATGTGAAAAATATTGAGAGATCGACCAAATAGATTTTAGATTTGATGAGGGACTGTCCTAGATGATCAACTGAGGATAAATTCCGTACGAAAACCCCCTGCCCGTACATCTACGCAGTGGTGACGCGGAGGGTTTCAACAAAGTTTGACGACGGCATCTCGAAATATTCAATCGATCAGGGTCTTTATATTCAGAAGAGCAGGCACCTCTTGTCAAACCTGTCAATCCCTATTAACACATTCCTATCTTTATTCCTGTTTTTTCTGTGTTCCTACTGTCCCTAGTGTTTCGTGGTACCTTTGCATTGTTTGCGGTCATTCATTCGAATCCGGCATCCTTTGGCAAACAAAAATCCCTTGCATGCAGCCATTGACTGGAACACAATTCCCGATCACGCGACCTGCCGAGCCGACAACCTTAGTCGTCGAATTTGGCGAGACTGATCAGATCGTGCTTTCCAGCGAGTAATTCGCCATGGATCTTTTAGTCAAGAATTCGACGACACCCGAGGAACCGCGATGGAATAGCAAGCCAGCATGGAAGTTACCTGGCTGGGCAGAACCATTGGTATGAACCGCGCCAACGGAGACAAGTTGAAGAACAGCTGACAGCCGTTGTCCACAGATGGTAGTGACAATCCTGTTCGGAGCCATGGTCATGACGCGGAGAAGGGGATACCGGATCTTCGCGGCAAAGCCTGGTGTATACAAGTCAACTCTGAACGGCGACGACTCAGCCCGCTCATCAGATGAGCTTCTGGCCCACGACGAAGGCGGCGAAGACGATGCGCAGGAATACATTGCTGCGACCAAGAATATGCCTAAAACACGGAAGTTGCTAGGCATCACATTGAAGACGCCCAACACTTCCCAGTTCAAGAACAATATACACAGTCGCATCCTGCAGCGGTTCCCCTTCCTGATAGAGATGTTCTACTGGGTCATAAACTACGGCTTCTACCGCATGACAGCGATCTTGTCCAACGAGATCTTTGCTGGCAGAGGTATCTGGACAGTGGCGGAGAGCCATGGACTTGCTGTCCTGGATTTTGAGCAGCACGGATTCCTGAGCCCTTTTTTCCCTGGTGAGCAAGAAATACAGCAATGGTTCATGCATGGGCATCAAGATGCATTGACTGTATTGAACAAAGCATACGCGCTGATACACATACCTGGCACGGTAGGCTTCATCGCATGGTACTATTACATTGCACCATCCCACCCGACGTTCGCGACAGTCCGCCGCACCATGACTTTGACCAACTTCATGGCTTTCACGACGTTCATTTTCTATCCTTGCATGCCTCCTCGTCTTTTGCCGAAGGAATACGGGTTCTTGAACACAGTCAGGCATGATGATGCGCAGTCTGTGTGGATGAGTGGAAAATATGTCAACAGTCTTGCAGCCATGCCGAGTATGCATTTTGGATATGCGTTTTGCATTGGTTGCACCATAATATACCACTCTGGAATATTCCGTCGGAAGTTGGAACGAGGCGAGGCACGCAAGTCATGGGCGTGGAAGGTCTTCTATTTGTCTGTGGGTGTCGGATACCCAGCGATGATCCTGACGACCATTGTGGCCACGGCCAACCACTATTTCCTGGATGCATGGAATGCGACAATGTTCGTATTGCTCGCATTCATGAGTAACAAGGTGTTTTATGTCTTTATTCCCCTAGAGGACTGGTTCCTATGGGTGCTTCGAGTGGAATTGCCTGTACCCAGTACTGGCGAGAGGTTCAGAGAATTGGGCTACCGCTTGTAAATATGTCCTGATAGACCAGTCGATCTGATAGTGGTGAATTGCAAGTCATAGTTTTCGTGGGTGTATTTCTCTTTGGTGGCTGTTGGACAAGTACCGTATCACATTGATGCTCTCGAGCCTTGGAGGACCTGTGCAGTGCTGAGAGCTCGGACGGGCAATTTGGGCCCAAGCTTCACAGCGGACGAGGGAAGACGAGGGAGCGCGAGTCTGCCGGAACTCGTTCTGCTTCGCTCTCCAGCTCGTCGTCGCGAATCCTTCCATTCACTTCTGTTGTCAGCCCAGCCGATCTACCTTCGCTCTTGTCGCCGACTCGTCCTCGTTTGAGCCATCACATGTTTGACGCGTCGTTACCATCTTCTCGCGTACAATTGACGCGACTTCTTCGACTCTCAACCGCACTTTCAGCACTTCACACACTTTAGACCGTCGCAATGGCCGAACCTGAAGTTGTCATTGATGTCAGCGAGAACAACACTCCTGCACCCACTCAAAGCCAGGATGTCGACATGGGCGGCCAAGATGAGAGCACCCAGCCCGAGGGCAGTGCTGCTCCCAGCACCGAGCAGCAAGACGAGCCCACCGGTCTTGAGAACATCGAGGACACCCAGCCCGAGGTTCCTGCCCGCGTCACTTTCCTAGAGTGAATTATCACAGTCAAGACGCGCTTCAAGTTGGTAATCCTGACTGAATGCGACAGCTACCTCAAGTCTCCCATCGTCGAGCTCTCCGTCGGCACCGCTGAGGACATTACCATCCTCCACGCACACCAGCTTCTACTCGAGAAGAGCCCTTACCTCGAGGAGAAGATCTCTGCTCTGGCAGAGGGTGAGAACGTGAGTCGCATCCGATCGTTAACTCACTTAGAGTCCTAACACAATCTCTAGCGCCGCATTGACCTTCCCGACGAGGACCTGCTCGCAACCGCCGCCTTCCTCGAGTTCCTCTACAAGGCCGACTACTTCCCCACTCTCAGCGGCTCATCCCTCGAATCTGACCCCGAGATCCCCGTCCCGGACTCCGAAGGCATGGCCCTCCTCCGTCACGCCCGCGTCTACACCCTCGCCCAACGCTTCGGCGTCCCCGCCCTCTCACAACTCGCCCACAAGAAGATCCACCTCACAAACAGCAACGCAAAGGGCGAGATCCAATACGCACGCTACGTCTACGGCCACACCCAAACATCAGACGAGAGCATCCGCAAGCCCGTCGCTGCATTCTGGGCAACGAGATCGCATGTCCTGCGTCACGAGGCAGAGAAGGAGTTCCGCAGCATGTGTCTCGAGTTCCCTCAATTCGGTTTCGACGTGCTCAGCTTGGTGCTGGATAACCAGGAAAAGAGGACACAGAGATCCGAGACCACGATTGGTGGTGGTCGCAAGAGGCCGCGTGTCAGTGCTGTTTAGAATGCAGCCGCTTCCGACCATACTGCCTCTTCCCCTGAAAAGCGCCTGAGGCTTGAATATAAGCACTGATCTACGACCGTGCACGCCTGCTTATACGCTCGTTAGACTGATCCGAGATTTTTCACTCCCCAATTGCTTCGTTGGCTCGATTTGGATGGCTAAAGTTGCTGGATTCCATGAGGCAGCTGAACGGACAAGGTCATCTTTTCTTGCTGATCAAAAGCGCATTTTCTTGTAGCTTATCAACCCTTCTCGCACACCCTTTCTTCCCCCACTTTATCACATACCATATGCACAAAGGACGGCGACACATATCCGGATATGGATCGCCTGATGTATAAGCTCAAACTACAATTCCAAAATCTGTTCACAAAGTTCCCTCATGCTCAATTAAACATTCACATCATCATCTGTGCTAACTGGAAGTGCCGAAATATCTCTCAATGTGATTATCAAAAGTCTAGTGTTACAGAATATATATATGCAATATGAATAATCTTACAAGAAGGAAAATAAAGCCTATCCTTCTATATACTTTTTGTGGTTCGTGAGATGAGAGTTGGAAAGATCATAGACACTATCGACCCATCAAGCGTCTGAGACGAACGCTCAATGGTTCTTCTTCTGGTGTCTGTTCTTCTTCCTTTTTGGCCTCTGCCTCTGGCTCGGGCGTTTGCTCAAGCGTCTGTTCGGAAGTCTGTTCAGCGGTCTTTGCCTCGATCGCTGGTTCTGATGTGCTCGTGGTGGGCTCTACAGTGTTGGATTTTTCGCCTCCTGCGGGCTTGGAAGTTTGATCTTGCTCTGTTGGACTGTCGGCGATCTCAGACTGAGTCGCTGTTTTTAAGGAACTCTCCTCTGTACGATGTTCAACAGGCTGTAAGTCTTGCGCATCGGGAATGAGTCGATTCTCCGGTTCCCCAATCACGATTGGCTCCTGAGAAGGCTGCTCATTCGACGGTAACCCTTCGGCGTGAGGATCATTGTCGATATCTAGCTTGGAGCCTTGCTCTTGCTGTGCGTTCTTGCCCATCTCCAAGGCCTCGACAGGGTCGGAGACTTGCGATTGCGGAACCTCAACATCAGTGACGTCCTCTGACTGTGCTCCATGTTCCATATTATCCACTTGAATGTTTGACTGGGGCGTAACAGGCGAATGCTCTGACCACGAGCTATTTGTTTGGGCCGATTCAGCTTGCAATCTTCGAGATTCGCGCTTCGTCTTCTTCTCTTGTCGCATTTGATGGCCATCCTTTGCGAGTGCTGACCTGCGTGACGCGCTACCGTGATCACTTCGTTTTTCGATCTTTCCTAGAGAATTGACAAGGTCGACCGATGCGCTCGCGAACCCTTCGAGGTCGGAAAACTGTTGACCGTCGAACATGTCTTTCATAGCACGGTAACTCAACAACATGCTGAGTTCGATACGCCGTCCACCAGTCACACCCGCTTCGACAGTTTGAACTCTCGTTCTGTATTTCGATGCGACACTTTTGGTTTCGAAGTCGCGCGGCTCGCGATACTCGAAACCAGCAAAGAGATATTTGACAGGAATCATCTGGTCCGCAGGCACTCTCTCAGAAAAGGCTTGAGATTTAAGGCTGCGTGCCGCATGCTGCAAGTATTCGGGGTGGCTAGAGTTCATAGGACTAACAATCCATTGCGGGATAGGAATCTCAACAGCCGGAGGAGCACGAAGTGCTGTATCATTGACCATACTTTTGTGCACAGCTTCGATGAATGATTTGATTCGTGCGTCGTTGGCTGCGTGGCGGGACTTTAACGCCTGTGTGCGCTCGAATCGAATGTCAACAGGATGCGACGGGAGGTCTAATTGCACAACATCAGTACGAGCGATGGCCCGAATGTTATTGAACACGATCCGTTTGCCATTTGGGAGCATGGTGAAGATGGCCTTTTCATCTTCAATCGGATCAATAGATTCTTCGATAGTGAAACGAAGCTGGATGCTGGGAAAAGCGCTGGTAGCCAAGATACCTGTCTGCTCGAGAGGAGATGGAATCAGATGGGCTATGAGCTCAGTCCTGTCTACCCAACTTTGATCTTTTCTCCTTGAAACGGGACGGCTATCAGCTAGAAGGCCCTCAAGACCGGGAAACTTGGGACCAAAAACGGGCTTGGCGTAGCTCTCTTGCACTGTTGATCTTGTTGAAGTAATACCATCAACACCAGGGTAAGTATCTTCAAGTCCGGTATCGTGCAATGCTTGACCGAAGCGCGCCACCCAAAAATCGTGTCTAGGAGTATCAGGCCATATACTGGGGCGACGTGGGTTCGCAAGTGCATCCGGGATTAGCGGAGATGTTCTCATGATCTCGATAGCTTGAGTGATGATTGGACTATACTTCGAGAGGGGTTTACGAGATGCAGAGAGGTTGGCGAGGGGTCTGGATCTTGCGTTTCCCTCCTGGAGCCCCAGTAACATCGGATCATCGACAGCAGATGTCTTGGTCTTGACTGTTCTGGGCGAGGAGGTGACCCAGCGAGCAAGCCGTCTATGTCTGGTAGAAGAAGGCAGATTTGCGGTGGTCGATGTGGGTTCTAGATGACAGTCGCCAGACTTGTGAGGATCATGGAGCCGAGTGGTGGTACCGTGCGTATGCATTGGCAAGAGAGCGACAAGCAAGCGATGGGCATCATTAATGCCCACGTCGGCGAAGCTAGCAACCTGAAGGTGTTTGGCTTCGTGGTCGTAACGAATGTAGGTCTTTGTCAAATCCATGATATTGCTCAACTGGGTAGCGTTAAAAACATCAGGCAACCTGTAACCAGGTGGATTATGTTGCAAGACGGAGTGAAAGGTATTGAGGGCGATCTCAGCGCTTCTGGCTGGAGCAAAGGCTTCAGCCAGGACAAAGGCGATAGCTTCAGCCTCAGCTCTCGGACCAATGATGCGGATAACATGGTCGGGTTGGAACAATTGGAAGCGAGAGTTTTTGTAGAACTTGGAGCTCTCAAGTAAAGGCCGCAATGCTTCCGAATTCTTCGTGAGCAGCAAACCAAACTGCATGGGTGATAGTAAAAACTCCATCTCGCCCTTGGCTGCCTGCTCTTCCTCAATGCCGAGAGCCCAAGCCTCACGCAAAATTGACTCTATAACATATTCCTTGTTGTTCATCTTGCGGCCCTTTGCGAATTGACTGTCCATAGCGGAGCGCGTTATGGGCAATCGTTTTGTAGCAGCAGTGATGCCAGGATGCCAAGGAGTCCGCGTGAGGTCCTGTAGTTCGCCTCGGGCACTACTGATTTCGGTGGTGTCCAAATGATCTTGGGCATGACGTGACCTTTTGGCTTTTGACATGGCTAATTTCGCAGGAGCCGTCTGATGGTACATGTAGCCTCTCAGCTGGCTAATGGTATAGCCCTTTGCCAAGGCGGTGAGCCTTGCGTCGAACTCGTTCTTTGTGACAACATGGATACCCCCGTCGGGCCTCAGGGCTTCGATAGATTCGAAGACTTCGCTGGGCGGCGGTCGCACGGCTCTTCTGCCCCCCGACATGGCTTGAATGTCGCTGGCTGTCAAGGCCAGTGGGGTTGGCTCATCGCTGTCGGCTTCCTGTTCCCGTAGCTGCTCATGAAGAGGCTTTCTCGGTGACTTGGGTTCGTGCAAGTCACGCAGGACAATGACTTCGGAGGATTGACCTAAGCTGGCGATGGACAAAGCCTCGGACGACTCGACACGTCTTTGACCACCCTTCTTGCCACGGATCCTGCCATGGTTGGCATGGGTGCGAACGACTCGGAGGCGGCTTGTTTGATCGTTGTGTTGTTCCTCAAGGGCAGGCGTGGGAAATTGTGCATGTCGAAGTGGAAGAGGCAATTCGTCCGAGGATTGGTAACGGCGTTGTTGGATTTGACGAAGCACAAGGCGTAGATTGCATCGCAGACATGTCGATGCGTCCCTGACTGACGAAGTGCGCAACATCAGAGAAAAGGGACAATCTACATGCAAAGAAGGAGCATTCGCCCTGCCAAAGCACAAATCCAGAAAGAGCATCGGACCTACGAGCTTTGCAGCAAAACCTTATCTTATCTCCGGACCCTTGCTCCGGATCATCGTCATGCCGTTCATCTTCACATGCGATGCCGCGCCTTCCGTAGACATAATTTCATAAACTCGCTATCGACGCTGCCGGCATCCCGCAAGCCGTCGTATCGAGCCGCTGCTACTTAAGTCGTCCCTACAGCTGATGCCGATGAGATGCAGACCTTTGGTGAGGCCGGACGAGTGCCATGGCAGCCGCCTTGAAGGCCCAGACGCTGACCTTCACAGTCCCAAAGGCCCGTCGTGTATGTCCAGCATCCCTCTCCAGTACCAATGTGCTTGCCTGTTGATGCAACCTCGTACCTAGCCACGCTTTGATTTCAAGCTCAAGATATACGACTTGAACAACGTGCCCCTGGTTTCCGGCACATGTTTTGTCAAATGGCACCTCCCTTCGTCGAGTGCTGCCGAGCATCGCGGCCGAACAACCAAATGCAACATCAAGGATCACAAGGTCGTCTTCGACTATGAGAAACAGACTCCTGTGCGTCTCGTCATTGGCAAGGATCAGATGTTACAAGAGCTGTGGATTCATCTCGAGATCATACAAGAATACTCCAGCGGCGGCAAGGGGGAGAGGATCACTCTCGGAAACATCAAGCTCAATCTGGCCGAATATGTCGACACCAACGACCATGGCCATGACTCGGATGAAGGTGTCACGAGACGCTACCTCATGCAAGACAGCAAGATCAACAGTACCTTGAAGGTTTCTCTCCACCTGAAGCACTTGGAGGGTGATAGAAGCTACTATGCGTACGTCTGATTAGTCGTCGTCTCTGCCCGTCAACTAATCTTTAGAACAGCCCTCCCTTACGCACCGCCCCTGTCTTTGGTGGTATCGCAGGTATCATGTCTCAGGAGGTTGCAGAGGCTACCGAGGAAGGCAGCAACATGCCCTCACTATCAAACAAAAGCCGTGAGAACGGCGAACTACAAGACATGTACCGCCGAACTCTCGCTGCATCCTGGGTGGCCCAGCCAGGGGTAATATCAATCTTCCTAGCTGTTCATGACCAATAACTGACTCATTTGTAGGAATTACGAGCCGACGACTGTATCAAGGACATCTTTGCTGGCGGAGATGGTTGGGGCTCCCACCTCGACCACGTTCAGCACACTCAGCACCTCAATCCTAGTAGTGACGAGGACAAGTCTCGATCAGCCAACCTAACACCAACAGACAATTTCACCAGATCACCACGCTCCAAGAGCCCTCTCCTGGGCCATCAACGCAATGTCAGCAAAGAAAGTGTACAGTCAGACAGACGCAAAGGATTCGACGGCTGGGCCAAAGATGCTTCTTCTGCCATGGGTGGCAATCTCGGCAAACAAGGCGCCTTTGGAGGTCGAAGTAGTCTGCATCAGCAAGCCATGAAGTTCGAGTTGGAGTCTGCTAAACGCAAACCCAAGGCAGGACAGGGCGAGATTGATGAGTTCGACAACCCTTGGCGTGAGGACTTAAGGTCGTGGAAAATTGGAAACATGATTTGATGATGTTATTTGATACCCCCCAAGATGGATGGCTTTTCTGTATTAATATGTGTATGAGTAATGTTGACATATTTCTCGAGTTCCTACGTGAAAGTTGAGAACGGACCACCGTTCGAAGGGGAGATCGCCTGCTGCTTCCTTCTTGAATTTGAATTTCACGAGATTGGCTAAATCGCACCTTCCGTGTCTCCACCGCTCCTTGTGTCCCGCAATATACATTCTCAGTCCTCATCCGTCTCTCCTTGCCAATCTCACCAACCCTCATACACTATCATCGATCCAGTGGTCCCTGACTCATCGAATCTGATCCAACCAGCTAGTTGTGCTGAGCAGCGACGAATCACGCGGCATCCTTGACTTCCACTTGATGGTGGTACCCTCGACGTTATACAAGACCCTCTGGCGAAAGTCCCATGCCTTTGTTGTCACATGGGGGCGATGTAGATGCGGGTTTGTCGGTTGTGGTGGCTGTCATTTTTGATTCGGGCGTTCTTGTTCTTTTTGCTTGTTGACATTTCGATCCTTCTACTTCTTTGGCGGTGCTATGAGATGGTGCTGTGGTACCGTGGTACCGTGGTGCCTTGGGACCGTGAGGCAAGGTGGCGATGTGAGTCAATGAAGTGAATGGCTGATGGATGTCGCTGGGGGCCCTTTGCAGCATGCTGATGTTGATTGCACAGGTTCTCGCGTCGTCAGACTATCGTCACCGTCGTCGTCGTCGTCCGCAATGACTGTCCGCCTGCCGATATTGGTCAAATCAGTGGCCTATCATGTCGTCTGTCCCTCGTCCATGATTGCATCGGAGTGTCTACTGGGCGAAATTGATGGGTGAAGAAGGCCTGGAAGAACAACGCGAGCACATTGCTGTCTGTATGGTCGGCGAGAGATAGGGGTTGGAAAAAGAAAGAGAGAAGATAGTGTGAGATACGCGAGGAAGCTGAAGAGGCAGCTATAGCGGAGTTGCTGTGGGCGCCTCGTAGTACAATGTTGGCATTACGGCACTCTGTCGGAAATCCCGGAGTGACAGCGTTGGAGTGATCACATCGAGTGATAGCACAAGATATCGAGAGTGCTTTGATAAGGAGTTCATCGCGTCGAAGAGACGGGAGTTAAAGTGAAGCATTTGACAACTTCACTCCTATCTTCATATACCCCCAAACTTTGGCACCCATCAGCATTGCCATCGTCTTGTCAACAGGCGGTGGTGGCCCAGTGGTAGTGAGCGCGAGTCCAACTCGTGCTTGGAATCCCCCGCACTGAAGGTCATCGGTTCGATTCACGTCGAGACAATGTTAGAGTCATGCCACTCCAATTCTAGCTTAGAAACGAAACTGGTACGCTGATTTCTTTCCACCTCCGAAAGGGGGCGTTTGTTTTGCTGATTCTTCAGGCTGCAGTTTCTTTCGGTGGCCGCATGTCTTGATATTGCTCGCTGCTTTTTGATAAGATGTAGCGACCATTCGAGTGCCTACTATGGCGAAACTCTGGAGGAGAGATCTTACGAACACCGACGCCAACGACAAATGCTCCTTGGACTTACGACCTTGCGCGTTTCGACCATTCACAAGGCATTCCAAGCAGCCATACAAAAAGGCGCAGTAGCCATGAGTATTCCTCCCTTACTCAACGTCAATTTCCCCAACCTCTGAACCTGACTCTTGATACCAGGCTTATACACTCTATCCCACATGAGTGCCGGGAAAGGGCCAAGCGATTGTACCACAACACCAGCAGCACCACAAAAAGCCAACGCCTTCCACCTCCAACCAGAACCATCAGCCTCCTCCGACCTTCTTGCCCGAAGCTCAGCAGTTCGATAATCCTTGTATGCGAGATAGAAGAACGCCATTGATGTGGCGCCCCTGAAGTATGATCTTGAGATAGTCTCGACCAGATACGATGACTGTGGTAGTGCAATGGGCACACGTCTTGGAAGTGCTTTTTCGAATGCGGATGGTTTGTCACCTAGCATTTGTGAACCTGCTTTGATGTCCAGAGATGCTAGGGATATTGTTGAGACGACTGCTGTGAAGGCTATCCATTTGTCCTGTTGTGGTGTCGTGAGGGCGATGATATTGTTTAGTAGTCTTGTGGTCTGGTCTGTGTTTGACATGATTGTGTTTGGTTGATGGTATTGAGCGATGTGGTTTAGTTGTCGCAGCTTTCCTTGTCATTTGGAGCTCGAAGATATAGAATTGCAGTAGTTGTTTTCAGCAGAATCTTTTCGGAAGATATGTGATCGATGGTAGGTACGTATGAAGAGATGGTGGAAACAAGGCAACAGTCAAGCCATGTAGTTGAAGTAACACAGCCGAGATATGACGATCATAAATATGCACAAGTATAGCACAAGTTGGACCGGTTGAGAACGATTGTGCAACAAAACTTGAATTGTCTTTGCGATAACTATATAAAAACGAAACCACAAACGCCGCCATCATGAATAAGTAAATGAATCATTTCACCGCGCGCGATAATTGATAGGAGCAGCGCGGATATCTCTCTTCGAAGAGGTGCCCCTGGGCAACGCATTCGTGCAATCAACAAACCCGCTCTGCGACGACGACGGAATACCCAAAACACTCAAGCGGAACATGGCGTCAGCAAACGAGCTGGTCCATTTACCCTGGTTGCCGACAAAGCCCTGGAATTGTTTACCAACAGTGGTGTTCGCTTGGGACAGGTTGATGTCAGATTGGAAGCGGTAGGTGCCAGTAGGTGGGCTGTTGACTTGAGCATAGTAGTCAATATCCCATTTGCCGGGAGTTGAGTCTTGTTGCCCGCCAGAGGGAATACCATTGGCTTGTTGGGTGAAGGCTTTGCTGGTGGAGTGGGCGCCGATGAGGGCTGCAAGATCTCTAGCGCTGAAGCCTTTATCGGCAAAGAGCTGGAACAAGATATCGTGAGAGGAGTTGGGTCCGAAGCCAGCAGGAAGGAAGCCGTCAGGTGCAATGGTGGAGGTGTCTGTTCTGCCAACCACTGTCTTGATCTTGGGGCCACCGGGACATGTGATGACGGCGTGAGAGCCGGCGAATTGGATCAAGTCTGCTGCGCCGACCTTGGCTTTCTGGTTGTACTGAGTGTACTTTCCCATCAGCCATGTTCGGTAGTCGGCGAGACCTCCGTTCTCAGGTCTGTTGATCTCGTCTGAGTTGAGAAGAAGGGAACCATCAGCACCACCTGCAGCAGGAGCGTAGAACACCGTTTTCGAAGAGTATGGGCCTGCGAAAATGTCAGTTTATGAGGTTCGTCACACACGGTCAGTCTACTTACCAGCATCGTGGAACGCGAATCGAATAGCAGCTCGTGCGAGATCGGTGCATTGTCCATCCGATCCCAGGAAAGATGAGGTGAGATCAGATGATATGCTGGTCCAGATGGCTGGACATCCGCCAGAGCCACCGTCCTTACGGATGAGAAGCGTGTTGGGAATAGCGTTGTTCAAAGAGGACGCAAGCAAGGAAGAGAATGAGGAGGCTGCTTCTGGCAATGAAAATGCGTCCACCAAGGCGAGGCTGCTCACCAGCAGCAGAGAAGCAAGGTTCTGGATCATGTTGCCGTTGCCCGTTTGGAGGCGTTGATAGAGTATAGCGAGAGTGTAGGAATGTGGAAGTGTGATGAGATGATGTTAACGACTGACACAAATGCTCCGGCGGGCAACCTTATATAACAGAAAGCCAGGCGTGTTGAGTATACACCTGTGACATGGGTTGACCGAATAGATACAATGCACTCGATGGCCATGTCGTCTGGAGTGCCGCGGCCATGATTGGTATCAAGCCACACGACGGAGGCACCGAGCTGTAAGGAAGATTGCATACATAGTGGCAAGTCAAAGAGCACACGGTCGGCTCGATCATGCTGTGCATCTGGACAGTATTCTGGCCCGTGTGCTGAGTAGAAGGCCCGGCGTATACAACCTTTGGTTTCTCACCAAACTCTGATACAGGTATCATGATAGCAGACTAGTCGCTATTTAGGATCGCATTTCGGGTGCAGTGTGTCGATGGCTCTTTCCCATATCGATTCAATGTTGTATTGAGACAAGCTCTGTTCAGCTTCCAAGTAATGATGCTTGTTATGCATCCTTGTCGAAGCCCAGACTGGTTCTCGAGACTTCGTTCCTCGCGTATCGAGGCTGACGATACATTCACGGCGGAACTGGCTGCTGAGAACCCTCAATGGATACGTGTGTAGTGTGGTCGAGTGAACTTGTCGTCAAGTCTAGGGCTCTGATAAAGACCCGATGTCCGGAAACCTTCTTTTCAAGGCGAGTTGGCACGCATGTGGCTTGCGTGCGAGCCGGGCTTGGAACGCTGTTGCGAATGTTTTCGTGCGGGGGATCTGAACCTTGAAATCTTTACACTTTCGGATATCTAGTCGCTCTATTCAGTCATGTTATGGCCTATTTCAGCTGTTGAATGGCAAGCTTGGCTGAAGGATGCAGACTCATGTACGTCCTTTGTACATTACGAGTGTACACGTGCTGACCATGGCCAGCTCTCGTGAGTGGCCAGTGGCAATCTACCCATTGCCCCGATCTGGCTGCTGACCTGCAGAATACTCATGTACTTGCTTACCTGGTTCTTGGAGAACGACAGCTCGGTCTAGAGCTGTGCCACTCATAGATCTCTGCGGCCAAATCTGGTTTGAAGCGGAGAAAAGCTGAAGCCTGATGAGGCTCTGCGTTCGGGACGTCGCTTCCAGAAGAGACAACAATCACACGAAGTAAAGATCAGGAAGTGACGACCTGAGCTCGCTGATACTCTTATCCAAAAATTGTGAGTGGTTTTGACAGAGTAAAAAACGAATACAATCAAGTAGGTTAGATTGGTTCATAAATTGGAGGTCTATAAATATTTTTGGGCATTATCATAAACATTAAAGAAGCAAGACGAATCTCTATGATCTGCCAAAGAGACCCGGTGTCGATGCTCCAGCGAACGTCTTCTTCGCAGCTGGCATGACTTGTGTACATTCCGTCAGATTGTTGATGTTGTTTACTCCAAGCATGCTCAGTCTGACATAAGCGGAGGCGTAGTCCTGTGAACATTGTTAGCATTTGAAGAACGGCCTGTGACGCGGGAAGACTTACCCCATTCCAATGGCTCTGATCTCCGATGAAAGCATGCCATTCATCGCTTACGCGCGAATCGTTCGCCGTGACAAGGTCGCTTTGGAACTTGAAGACCTTGCTGTTTGTACCTGGCTGCAGAGTCTCGTTGTAGAATGAGACGTCCCATACACCAGGTGTCTATTGAATGTGTCAGCTGTCTTGACTGGGCATGCGAAAGCGAATTCTCAGTGCTTACCGAATCTTGACCGAAGCCAGCCTTTGTCTTGTCGACGTTGAATTGCTGGCTAGTACTGTGTGCACCAAGGAGAGCAGCAAGATCATGAGGCTGAATGGTCTTGTCCTCGAAGAGGCTGATGATTTGGTCTGCGCTCATGGAGACCGAAGGCATCAAGCCTTCAGGAGCAGCCTTCTTACTATCCTTGCGGCCAACGAACACACGGGTGCGTGGACCTAAGGGACAGGTGACAACGGCATGCTTAGCTCCAAACTGGATGATATCGGCTACACCGACATTGAACAGCTTAGACCAGATTAAAGCTTGGTTGGCAATGGCTTGCAGGCCGTTGTTGTCTGTGAGTCTTGTCAGTGCTTGTAACTAAAGCTTGCATAGGATGGCGAGTACAAACCTGCTCTATTGATCTCTGTGCCTGATAAGACAATGCTTCCATCAGCTCCACCAAAGTCTTGACCAGCAGCGGCAAGAGAGCTTGACCATGACCCTGCATCGTGAAAGCCCAAGCGTATGGCTGCACGAGCGAAGCCATTGCATCGACCGGTAGGTCCAGTGAAGGCAACAGTCATCGCCTGAGCTATCCACCACCAGACGCAGCATGTGTCAGCCTTACATGCCTTGGTACCAACTATGCCTGGTGGCTTGTATCCAGCCGCATCCGAATCGCCAGCTTCTGTTCCCATGAGGATGTTGTAGACACTTGTGCCGACGGGTGTGGTGCCGCCGTTCTTGACATCGCCAAGACCTATCCGCACAATGTCATTGTCGACAATAAGGTCTTGAGGCGCGCGACGAGACAGTGCGGCTGCATGTTGCGCCATTGCTGGCCATGCTTGAACATGTGCATTGAGATTCAGCGCAACAAAAGCAAAGAGAGGTGCCACCAGAGAGAGACGCATGACTGTAGAGTGCAGGACAATTGAGAGCTAGAGAAAGATTCGAAAGCTAGAAGGAGAATTAAATGATACTAGGACCCTGCAAGAGTGTGAAGATGCAAATACTATATGTAGCCAAAGCCTTACCTAGGACACCAGGGTTTGCCACAGCCAATCTGTGAATCCCATTCTTAGAACGCAATAGACGACTTCCAGACTCAATAGTGCAGTACCATGGTGAATGCCTTCAGCTTCGACAAGTTTGGCGCAGTGTACCTGCATTCTCGGGTGCTCTATTGGAAACCAAGAGTACGAATTGTCCGGTCCCTCGTATTGGATGGCAAGAAGTCTACCACATTGCTGACCTACGAAGAGACGTCTCAGCTCCAAGTCGAGGATATGCATGGGTTCGATGTCATTTTAAGGTTGAAAGAAGTCCGAAAGGTTGTCTGGGCCTCAAGAGCTCCGATACTTGCATACAGTACTGTCAGCCGCATCTGGATGTGGCTTGGATCCTTCCTTGGCAGACATGTTCTCTCTTTCGGTCGCGCCGGAGAGATCAGAAATGCCCTGGTATTTGGTTGGAGATCTCCCCATGGGGATGTTCAGCTCCCAGATCTTGTTATCGCGTGTTCGGTGGAATGGCTTTTTTGAGGCTGGCCCGCGGCCAACGCAGTGGTAGTGGCCCGAAGCTACCTGCGTGTTCTCGATCCGCACCCTCATCACAGTCGGTCGATGACTGAATCAGAATTGTGTGAGCAATCCGTATACACGAGAACTATGCTGGAAATAGTCGTATATCATCCCTCCTGCGGCCGTCTTTTCCGCTCCTCTCGCTACTGAATTGGTGAATAGTGTCAGCTGATCGAGGCTACAGGACATCGTCTACATCCACGACTCGAGCGGCCGGTTGCCAGATGCCTGTTTATTGTGTCTCGTTGCTCTGAGAATGTATTGTAGTTTGTGCAGCAATTGTGCGTGCTACAAATGGTCACTCGACCGCGCGTCGCGATTGATAAAAGAGCAACATCAAAACGCGTTCGCGCAATGACGTTCCGACCAGCGTCTGACCCATTTACGGCATCAGATGACCATCTCGACAATGGTATAGACTCGACACGAATCAAGATTGGTGTTGTGCGGAGGATGGAAGATGCACTTGCGAAGGGCGGCGAAGTCAAAAGTCACAATTTAAGGTGTGGTTGGGGCAATGGTACTGCAGCCTACAGCATCTCCGGAACCTACAGATCTCAACAACATATCATCGCAATTTGCTTACGATGAGACTCTCGATGCTGGATACCTCATTTAAAGAGAGAAAAGAACCATCTTCACAATTCTCTGCATTGCAGCAACCTATCTTTCGCTTGGAGTTGACTGGAGTGCACGTATCGGAAAGGCCGGGGGCTTTGTTACCGAGCTTTGTGGTAACCCTGCCGCAGCGAAACAGCGAAACAGCTTCCATTGCAGCTCCCAAAGCATGACTTCGCTCACCATTCCGTCAATACGACATCCAAACCGTTGCCTTGACATCTGCTTCGAGGAATCGATATCGAGAGTGCATCGACCGTCAGCACTACAAGATGAGCTTTGACCTCTGTCCCGCGTCACCTCACCCCATCATTGAAGAGACTCGATATGAAACGGGCGGGGTAGATCTATGGCCACAGTTCTCTTCGCAAAACAAGGCATCAACGTTTCTACACTTTGAAAACCCATTCGTTGGAAGACTCGAAGGATTCCGGGAACAATTGGACGACGATGGCTAATCAGGCCGTGTTCTCTCTGGACAGTGATTTGAGAACCAGATCTGGCTCCTAATGCCTCCTTTGCTACCGTATCATCCCAGAACCGAACCCCTCAAGTACCAGATCAAGGTCAACAAAGATTCGCGACTGCCTTCATCGAATCGACCAATCGCTGCTAGGGCCGAGGCTTGCCAATCCATGTGCAAAACCACAAACGGAACCAACCGGCCAACGCACAATCATTTCCATCTCTCCGTCGCATCCACTGGACGGCACTGCCTCCTGCCCACAGGAATAAGACTCGAGGAAAAAAAGGGGGGGTGCCACATGTAAAACCAACCATCGGCATTTCTCGCTCCGGATCTTGTTCGTCAAGGGTGGGAACACATTAACCACGATCGACCTCTCAAAAAGCTCGTAGGACAAATCTGCCAGTAAATGATATAGCCCTCTCTTAAATGCATGTGACCGTAAGTAGCACAAGCATCACCGCCTACGGGCCGAGCAACCGTGAAGAGAAAGAGTTAAAAAGGTATTTAAACCCAGCCTGAGGTAGCGTGCTCTTTTCAGAACAAGTAACGCGTTCTGTGTTCTTTCTTTCTCCTAGAAAACAGATCTTACGACCAGAATCTATATCACTACTAGAAGCGGAAAAACAACATCGACGACTGAACGTCCCGAATCGCAACAGAGAAAGACAAACCATGTGTCGCATCGAAACCTCCATCCACAGATGCGGACACGCGAGCATGCCAATCCACGAATTCTGCCCAAGAAACCCTTCTCGCCTATTACCAAACGAACGAGGCGCTTGTCAAAAAGGCTATGAGAGAACATGTCCTCTACTCTCGAGTATCTGCTCAGGATGTCTGCAACTGCTGGATGGAAAGAGCGCACTTCTGGACGATGACGATTCGGAACATGTTCATGATCATTTTCGTTCAAAGAGACAAGCCCAGAGGATTGGTCATCATTCTTGCGAGTTGGACTTGCGTAGGAGGTCGGATGTTTCTGAAGAGGACGACGCTGACAGGAGGGTCGCGTTGAAGGAACAAGGGCAGAACGGTTACATGGGCGCTCTCGTCCTGCCAGCTGGAGCGAAGGGCGTTCAGATTGCCTGGCAGCAATGACACATGTGATAGGAGTGAAGTTATGGTCTAACGGGTTTTGTGATTGGATTTGAGGAGAGAGTGTATGCTTGTGTACGACCTTAACGAGTCGAGATTGTGAAAAATCAACGGTTTCAATGTATTTTCATTTAGTATGCATCGTTTGACACGACGCTAAAGCATTACTCCAGATTTGACCATGACATGAGTTTCATTCTTTGTCCGTTCCGTTGCTCCATACCAAGCATGAATATCAGACCAGCTTCGAACCAATCTACTCCTCTTGAAGCAAAGGCTGTCTTTCTCTGTCCTCGTCGACAACAGCGCCGCGCTTGAAGGGATCCTGGCCGATCAAGCCGGGGAAGCCAACCAGCACGGAGAGAACGAAGAGGACGCTCATGATAACAAAAGCGAAGATCCATTGGAAGGCGATAACGTGGGTGAGGAACTGAGCAACACCGAGAGCTGTGGAATACGTTAGAGAGGTTTCTTGCTAATCTCAGGACATTGACTTACCAGCGCTGAGAACGCTCAAGTTGAAGCCCATGGTGTAGTCCTTGTATGCGACAAGGAAGAAGAAGCCGTAGCCCATGATGGACCAAATCATGACGTTGGCCAGGATTCTGGCAGGGAGAGAGTGGGCATTGACAGCAGCAGCGCCAACGGTGAACAGGAGAACATAGTTGATTGCCAGAGGGCCAGAGACAACGGGGATGTGGATGAATCTGGGGGTTCTCGAGTGCTTGAAGTAGAGAGCCGAGAGGTTGAAGAAGTTGATGATGATAAGCATCTCAGCAAGCCAGAAGTGGCTGCGGCACCACAAGTGGACGAAGCCGAACATGAGCAAGTTGTTGAAGATGAAGTGGGAGCCGACATCAGCGGCGGCCTTGACGTAGACCTCGTTCTCCGAGTACAAGTGCCAGCAGTATCCGACTTGGAGAATGTACAACACAATCATGTAGATCGAAGTGATGATAGAGTTAAGAGCGAAGGGAGTGTGACGGTGAGAGTTCTGGTGCCAGATAGTGCCTCTGTGGTGCTTGCCCTCAGTGGGCGCATTGAAGGTGTAGTAGATGCTGGTGACAACAAGAAGAAGCCACGAGGCGGCAGTCAAGATCTTGTAGCTTCTGAGGCTTCCGGTAGGGTACGACTCGCGATCCATGAAGGGGTTGACTGCATCTGTTAGAATCAGGTCGCTATATAACAGCACTTATAGGACGCACCACTGTGAACACGCTCGTGTGCAGTTTGAAGAGTCTGTGCAACTCCCTCGGAGGTATTGTTTTCAGACATGGTGAAGTATTGGCAAGCTCAAGAAGGGTTCAGAGGGTTGTCTGTTTTCTGTTTGACGAGAAACAGAGTGGGTGAGAACGAGGGTGAGGAGGCTGCCACGCGAAGAAAGATCGGGCGAGAGTGGGGAAAGCTGCCAGGCAGGGAAGGAACGCGTGAGTGACGTGCAAAGCTGCAGAATTGGAAGCTACAGCCGGCCGCAAGGAAACAGCCGAGGCGCGGGCCGATTTTACACTCCGACGGCGATCACAGCCGAATGTTTCTTCCACAGAGTGCAACCGACAGACGGCCTGATAGACTTAGACGTGCCAGATACTAGCCTACTCGTCTTTGCACTGGTTCCCTTCGCTTTTTAATGCTCACCTGTTCAGCTTTGGGTAGTCGGAGTTTTCTCCGTTGTGCCTGACCGTACCTGAGCTCTGAGGGAACTAGTCGATGCAGGGAAGAACAGCACAAGGTAGAGGTTATTAATACTTTGATATATGCACTTTTGTTTTACATGATCATTCTCGGAGAGAAAGGCTTATCTGTTCTGTGTTGATATGCATCGCCATAATAGACATAATCCCTGCTCCTCAAGCACTTCAACCCGGAGCAGGTCAGAGATGGCTAGCAGCTCAAGGTTTTGAGTAGTGCCATACGCGAGCCATTTACTGGCCCTTCTTGCCATCTCTCTCCAGCTTTCTGAGGGCACGCTTACGGATACCTTCGTGCATAGTCTTGTTCTGATCCAGGACAATCGAGTTCATGGTACCGGTGAAAGCGCCGAGAGCCCAGTGCATGATGCCGTGGGACCAGTAGGGAGTGCTAGTGTAAGCGATACCCTGAGCACCACCAGAGCGTCCAATCTTACCCAACGCAGCTCTGACGAATTGCTTGGGGTTGGGGATGGTAGCGCTGGCACGCTTGATCTTGGACATTGCCGAGGTGACCAGGTAAGATTGAACAAGCTGAACGTGAACTCCGTGAGGCTTCATTTCGGCACCCAGAGCACTGCTCCATTGCTGAAGGAAGGCTTTGCTGCCAGAGTAGGTGGCCAAGAGGGGAGTAGGGAGAATGCCGCCGAAGGAAGCCATGGTGAGAATGAGACCACGGCGACGCTGAACCATACCGGGTGCAACGATCTGAGTGACGCGGAGAGTGCCCATGCAGTTGATGGTGATGATGTCCTTGAGCTCCTTTTCAGGGGTTTGGACGAAAGGAACAGGCATCTCGTGGCTGAGACCGACATTGTTGATGAGAATGGAGACCTCCAGATCCGAAACCAGAGCCTTCAGGGAAGCAAAGTCAGAGTCCTTGTTTTGGGAGAAGTCCATAGCAAGAGTCTTGGTTTGAACAGAGCTGTACTTGGACTGAATTTCAGAGGCCAGAGTCTCGAGCTTCGACTGTGTGCGAGAGACCAAGACGATGTTGAAACCCTTTGCTGCAAGTTGCAAGGCATATTCCTTGCCGATACCATCGGAAGCACCGGTGACAACAGCCCAGCTACCTTTACGACCGAACTTGGAGAGCTTGTAACAGTCAGTATCTTGTTGTCGAAAAAGAACATGGAATGTCTCACAGAGGTACCAGGCAAGATGAACAGACTGGCAATCAATCTCCAGAAGCTAAAGATCTTCAGGGTGATGAAGAGGAGACCAATGGCTGCGAAAACAGCGGTCACTGGCTCCTTGAGAGGATCTTCGATAAGTGCAGTCATATCTGGACTTGAAACTTTTTTTCTTGTCTGTCGATGGCTAAAGCTGTCTTGCTCTCCTTGAGAGATCACACTCTGGAGAAAGTCCCGGCTCGGATGTCGGCGATTCAGGGTCCAATCTCATATGAGCCGACTATCGTTCGACAAGCAACCTCTCCTATTCAGAATATCGCCCTGTTGTCAAATCCCACCCACACAAATCAATCGGCTCAGTATGAACTCGGTGCTCGAATATCTGCCCGCTGGCGAGGGCTTGCTGCCGAAATGGATCTTCTTCGTACGTCTGCAACGGGTCAACAATGGTTCCACACTTTTTCTAACCATGTTTAGATCTCGGTCGTATCGCTCGGTAACAGCATTCAAGCCTATTTGTCCCTCGGTCCCACACAAAAGGTGTACTGTGGTTCTAAATCGATCCCCGCTGGCGTACCTGCCAACACCGTCCCCAGCGCATCACCCGTCACACCTCTGTCAGCTCGCACCTTCGGTACCTGGACCGCAATCACTGCTATCGTCCGTCTATATGCCGCCTACAACATCACAACCAAGCCCATGTTCGAGCTGGCTTTCTGGACATACGTTGTCGCATTCACACATTTCATGTCGGAGTGGCTGATCTTTGGATCCACGAGATGGGGCAAGGGTCTTGCTGGTCCGGCCATCGTCGCAACCACTTCCTTGATCTGGATGTGGACACAATGGGACTACTACGTCAAGGCTTGAGCAACCATACCAGAGAAGAGCTATTAGTGATGAAGAAGCTAGGAAGAGTCGGAACCCATACACCACATCACGCAAGCAGAAGATGTGTAACGAGTATAATGATTATTAGAGCTTTCGCTTTCTATGAGGTTTCCAATATCGTCCCAATAACCAACCGTATCAACATCATTGCAGCTTCTTGCGGTAGAGCTCTCCGCCGCAGTTTCTGAGTCTGGCAGCAGCCTGCTCAGGGGTAATGTCACGCTGAGGCTCTGCCATCATCTCGTAGCCGACCAAGAACTTGCGGACGGTAGCGCTGCGGAGGAGAGGGGGGTAGAAGTGGATGTGGAAGTGACTGGCTTCGATCTCCTCAGGGGTACCTTCGAGGGGTGCTTGGTGAAGACCCATGCCTGTTTGGAGTTAGTGATGGTTCGGCTTTCAAGACCAATGTCTTTGACTTACTGTAAGGGAACTGAGTCTCGAACAGGTTATCATAACGTCTTGTGACTTCGGCAATGGCCTCGGCCAAATCTTCCTTTTCCTTGTCGTTGAAGTCAACCAAGGCACGCTTGTGAGTGCGAGCAATAATCATGATCTCGAACGGCCAGGTGGCCCACCAGGGGCATACGGCAATGAAAGATTCGTTCTCATACACGGTTCTCTCCTTCTTTTCAGATTCGAGGTTGGCATAGTCGACCAGCATGTGCGATCCACCATGTTCCTTGCGGTACTTTTGCAGGCTCTCCAACTCCAGTGCAGGCTCTTCGGGGGTACCGGTTGTGCACCAGACTTGACCGTGGGGGTGAGGGTTTGAGCAGCCCATTGCTGCACCCTTGTTCTCGAAGATCTGCATGTAGCGGTATTGGGCGTTGGGTGCAGCGAGATCTTGGCCATGAGGGGCGATCGTGGTAGGCTTCGCGATATCGGCAAGGATGGACTTGGGGGACAGGTGGGTGGTGTAGATTTGGGTCCAGGTGTTGATGACGGGGAGAATCTGAGAAGGCTGAAGGTCTGCGAGGGTCAAGTTGTGCGTCGGGGCGAAAGTGATGACATAGCATTTGCCAGTGACTGATTCGGCGCGCAAGAGAGTGTTGGCAAGACCTAGCCTGGGTTAACGAGCGGGTCTTCTTGTTGGAGGGTATCGAGGCTTACTGCCATCGTTTGCTGGCTGTTCATATTCGGCTTGCTCTTCCTTGACGGCACTGTAGTCGTTGACGAAGACGTAGGTACTCTCGTACTTTGGGTTTGAGTCTCCAGCAGCACGCTTGTTTCCAGGGCAAAGGTAACACTGTCATTCTCGATTCAGTCCTCGAACGTGAAGGCGGGGTAGGTGTCTGGAGCAATGCGTACAGATGGGTCGTAGTCAGGGAGTGTTGTCTTTGAGGCACCCTCCTGCTGTCCTCTGGGATATCGTCAGCTACCTGAGCCGTCTCTTGTCGCATGGTCCCATCACTCACTGCCACGGTCTCTTGGTACGGTGAGGGGAGACCAGAATCCAGCTTCCCCGGAGTGGGTTGAAGCGACGGTGAGAGATGTCGTCCAGAATCGCGTCAGGCATTGTGAGCTAGAGATGTATGCGCGTGTACTCGAGGAGCAAGAGAGAGCAAATGAGATTGAGAAAAACTGGTATTGGAGATCACTTTTCTCGTGATCAACCCTAACACGCCGTGAAGCCACATTCACCTGCATTTATCCGACTCTCCCGCCATCAAATCCTCCGCAGAGTGATTGCGGGGCCCAATTTCTCCAGCGAGCGTCATGTGGGTCGGCGACTTGACAGACAATACTATTGTAATGGACTGAAGTGTTCACAGAATGTCAATACAGATGGGGAGTCGGGGAGGGTGTACTTAATAAACTTGCCGAAGGAATATTGATCGAGTCAATTCAGCCTATACAGATGAAACAGCACTTTGGGTGCGGAGATGATGCCGGCAGCGATGACGATGGGTGTCGGCTAACAAGCATTTGAGCTCCGTGTCTGTGGCATGACTAGTCTGCCACTGCAAGAGACAAGCAATGCTGCACAAGAGGAACCGCCAAACCAGCAGAAAGTTCTGTTCATCTGGCAGGAATTTCGAGAGAGACAAGGAAAGCATAGTCGTAAATACTGTCCCTCCAGATGGCTCAATTGCTCCGCGACTCTGTGGAGCTGAGAAAGCCTGACTGCTTTACTTGTCGAGGCCTGGGTCGGTTCGAACGCGAATGAATCCCACGAGAACAGAGGTAACAAAGCATCATAGTGCTATGATCGAACATTGGCGCTGAATGGACATTTGCATGTGAAGATGTGGATAGATGGATACCGATGGCTAATTCTCGGCTCCTGCCCCAATCGGTACGCGTTAGCTGGAGAGGGTCGACGAAGCTGAGCTGGCAGCTTCACAATCAGGGGATCGAACATCTAGGCAACAATTCTTCTGTTGATCGACTCTGTCAACCAGCGCGATATACCGGATTAATAGAATCGCGCTCATTCAATCAAACAACATGGCCGCCATGATGCCTAGCGGAACAGCTTCCGCAAACCCCTACGAGCACTACGATCAGGATCCCTTAGAAGATGACCTTATTGACCCAGATGATGGTACTTTAATCTCTAGCCTCTATCGGTGAGCATTCGCGCTGATGTTTAATAGCTGCTTTGGACCTCGAAGACCCTCTTGCATCATCGTCCGATCGAGCACCTTTGACAGGCAACATCCAACAACCGTCAGCTCGCGCGCAAAACACTCAATCCTACCTAAACAACACAATCGGCGGAGAAGATCGTAGAGCACCTCAAAATACCATCGACGAGAGCGTTTGGGATACATTGTCGAGAGACTTGCTTGCTATCTGGGAGAAAATGCGACAAGTACTATACCCCAAGTACCTCCTAGGTGGCCTGTTGCAGCGCGGTGGGGGCATGGGAGGTGCTGAAAGAGCGGAGGGAGACAGTCTTGGTGGAGGTGGCTTGAATGGACTTGTCGGCAGATGGCCAGATGCAGACACTGTTCTGCAGAGTGGCATGAGTGAGGGTTTGAGGGACTGGGATCTCTGGTATGTTTCTTTGACGATGGTGCCATCATGCCAGGAACTAACACAGTTACAGGGGCCCTCTCGTCTTCTGCTTGCTGCTCAGTTTTCTTCTATCTCGCGGCGCCCAGGATGAACAAAAGTCCGTTGTCTTCTCCGGAGTTTTCGCTACCGTCTGGATTGGCGAGGCCGTTGTAACTCTTCAGATCAAGCTTCTCGGAGGCAGCATGTAAGCCGATTTCCTTGACATAAGACACCATCCAATACTGACATGTGCGGCAGCTCGTTCTTCCAGTCAGTGTGCATCATCGGGTACACATTATTCCCACTTGTCATCGCATCACTTCTCAGTGCGTTTGGTCTGCCTATGATTGCTAGAATACCCGTGTACATTGTGCTGGTCGCATGGTCACTGGCTGCAGGCATCAGCATTCTCGGAGGCTCTGGCGTTGTCAAGAATCGTGTTGGAATTGCCGTCTACCCTCTTCTTGTCTTCTACATCGGTTTGGGATGCTTGTGTTTTATCAGTTAAGCATGCTGGTTGGTCAGTCAAGAAAGAAGTGGCAGCAACATCGAAGCCAATGATGTTAGCATGTGTATCAAAATCGTCTCATCAAAATTGCAGTGTGCTGGACACACACAATCTCGTTGTCTCTGAATATCATTTCCAATGAATGAAAATAGCCTTTGTCTCCAATTGTCCCAATTACCAGGATGGGCCAAAGACAAAGATTACCGTTTTGGGACTAGTAGTGTATGCGCGAGCACCGTCGACGGCATTAACACACACGGCGGCTATCGCTGCGAAACTCCAGTAGCATTGTAAATTATTTTATCTTGTTGTTCATTGCCATTCTAGATGAGGATATACGAATCTTGATCTCGTCTGGCTTCACTTCATCTCGCAAAGTCGATTCACAGATCGTCCCCGGACAAGACATTCAGACCCACCGACACAGAGTGCGCTGGGCTGGTTCATCTGATCGAGCCCGCCTCGACCGCTTTCTGAACCTGCTCAGTCAAGCCTGCGCCTGCTTTCTCTTTTTCTTCATCAAATCCATCACTTACAAACACCCAAGTCAGCTCCCGGATTTCCTTTGACGAGCAGCTTCTCGCGACTTCAACCGCGATTTGCACCCAGCAGCTTTCCCCGCCAGCATAGCCGCAACCACAATGTCCACGCCGCCAAAGGATGTCCACACCTCCGACACTGAAGGAGGTGAGAGACCTCTCAGGGAAAGATTGAGAAATGCCAGCATCAAGAGCGCAAAGCAGCCCACCGACACGCTCGCGACCACCGAGCCCGAACCTGAGAAGGCCCGAGCCAAATTGCAAAGAAAGAGAAGCCATGAGGATGTTGAGAGTGTAGAGGACGAGCCTGCACACAAGAGCAGACAGGCTCGTAAGAACAAGAGATCAAGGGAAAACTCGCCCGACGAAAAGGTCGCTGAACAATCCGGCAAGCGCAAGTCGAGCGAGCTCGAAAGAGACGATGAGCCTGTGGCAGTGGAGATCTCTCAACCTTCCGTACCATCCACCTCGACTGTCACTTCAATTGAAACCGACAACTTGACCAAGTCTGACGAGAGCCCGAAATCGAAGCGCAGCAGGGTAGATGACAAGACCACTGCCGACACAGCCTCCTCAGCAACATCCGACGCAAAGGCAACCATCGAGCCCGAAGGAAAGACTGGACAAGAACAGACCAAACCTGCCATCAAGATACCCGCAGGAAGTGGATTTGCAAACACTTCTGCAGCATCCCCATTCGCATCTCTGGCCACTAGTAAATCTCCCTCTGAGCAGCCTCAACCTACGACCAGTGCTTTTGCCTCATCTGCATTCGGCGCGCTTGCGGGCTCTTCCACATCAGCTTTCGGCGCATTGGGTCAGAATAAGACTCTGTCCAGTTTCGCCAGCCCAGGCACTACCCCTGCACCTGGCGAGGACGCCGCAAAGCCTGCCCCGAAACCGAGTGCTTTCGGTGGTCTCGCAGCAGGAGCATCACCTTTCGCTACTGCCGGATCTTCAGGTTTCGGATCTGGCGCCTCCGGCTTTGGAAAGCTTGGTAATGGCTTTGGCGGTGGATTCGGAAGTCTAGGTGGATCGAAATTGACCAACTTCGCGAGCAGTGGTACTCCTGGTGTCATCGGATCAAGCACAAAGACAGGAATTACAGCATTTGGCGCACCTGCTGAGGACGGGGAGGAACAATCTGGTGACGAAGAAGACAACGAGGCTGGAGTTAAGAGCCCCAAGCTCATCGTCGATGAGGACAAGAAGGACGAACGCTTTTTCGAGCAAGAGAGTAAGTCTTGTTTCCTACATCTGTCCCCCAAGATACTAACAGTTACGCAGTCGAAACCGGCGAAGAAGGCGAAACCACTGAATACACATGCCGCGCTAAATTATACAACTTTGTCGACAAAAAGGAGTGGAAGGAGCGCGGACTCGGTGTTCTTCGTCTCAACGTGACCGAACCACAATCTGACGACGGAGATTCCACATTGAAGGCTAGACTTGTCATGCGTGCCGATGGTTCGCACCGCGTCATTCTCAACACGCCCATTCAAAAGGGCTTGAAATTCGGCGATGTACACGGTGCAAGACCTACTGGTGGTTACATGAGTTTCATGGGTTCTCTTGACGGCAAACCGACGCTTGAATTCCTCCAGCTGAAGGTATGATCATATCCGTCCATCTCTCTTGCTTAACCAGCATGCTAACGCGATGAAACAGTTGAGACAACAATTCGCCATGGAACTGTGGGATCACATTGCAGAGTTGCAAAAGCAGATGTAGAGAACGATAGTCAACGACAGGAACGATTTCTTACTGCGTAGAGTCAGGTGCATGCTTTTAGCATTGGTGCGCAGTTCAGCATAGGCTCAGAAAGTTGGATGGTGGGTTGTCTTTAGCAGCGAACACATTACGGCTGCGGCTACCTTGAGCATACGAAATCAAAATTGAGCTATTATGAGAAGACGTTTCAATAGCGGGCTTGTTAGTGATGATGTGTACTGAAGGTTTACTACAGTGTTTTATCTGCTCGGTCAGGGGAAGCAAGCTACTGGGTGTCATTGTGTGGTGGAAAGCAGTGGCGAAGGCGTCGTGAGTTCCACTCTCGTCTTTGTATTCGCGTCCTGACACACACATTCATGCTACAACTTTGACATTTCTTTTTGAAAATCACAATGCTTAGTATTGACATCGACTGAATCATCACTCCATGATCACTATACCGGAATTGATATCTTGGCCTACTTGCATCTTTCACGTTTTCACAACCCTCGGCTACGTCATCAATCTCGCGTCCTGAAGTCGCATCAACAATGCCCAAATTGCAAGCCGCAACAGTGTCCAACAAAGTCGTTCGGAAACGGAAGAGACAGAGCCAGGATGAAACGGAACAAGTAGGAGCCGAAGGCGACGCTTCTCAGGATACGACCATAAGCACGACAACAGTTCCGACCAAGACACAGGATGGAGGCAAGAAACCGAAGCGGACGCCCAAAGGCAAGGGTGCAACACCCAGCCTCTCCAGGAAGGGCTCCTCCATGGTAGAAACCACAATTGCCTGGCCTGAGGAGTTCACAAAACTAGGCCAAGTCCACCGAGCGCTCAATCTTGTCTACACTTTCTGTTGTACGCGCAAACACCTAGCCACCACTTTTGATACAATAAGGACCACAGTGGAGTCGCACATTGGTCGCGAGCTGTCTATACAAGATGTCGCCAAGATCAAAGCCCTGATACCGTGTTCTATCAACTTTGCATACATCGATGAGGATCTGCTCCAGGTCAACCTCATGGGAGAGCAGGAGAACTCGAAGAACAAGAGATTTGAAGGATATGTTCCGCCAGAACCAAAACAGGATGGACAAGATCAAGGGAACAGAGAGGTTCTACTGTTTGAATACATCGACGGAGATTTGAAGCGTCAAGTGCAGCACAACAAGACTGGTGAACCTACGAAGGCAACCCGCAAGTTGAAAGATGAGGACCTCAAAATGCCTGTTTACAGTCAGAAGCAGATGATGAACCTCATCGAGAAGAGAAACAACAAATTCACTTCCGCAGTAAATGCCTGGCTGAATGAGTGCGATGCAGAAGGTGTAAACCCGGTCGAGAAGCTGGATATCGAGCACAACCTGAACATACCAGCGCCCTCGGAGAGTAGAGGAAACACGCCTACCCCTGAGAAGCGAAGGGCCTTACTACCCAAATCCATCCCAGATGAGCGAAAAACTATCCCTGAGATTGTGTCCGAGATCAAAACTCTGGAATGGTATACTGGCCAAATTGTACCGGACGGTCATCGTGTGTTCGATCCTCAGCCGCCCATCTACGGCGAACTAAACTTTGAATTGTCGCAAACCTTGGTCAATGCACTCTACAATACTCGCGGCATCACTCAGCTGTATTCGCATCAGGCCGAAGCCATCAACAATCTATATGACGGTCACAATGTCATCGTCTCAACATCGACAAGTTCTGGAAAGTCTTTGATCTACCAAATCCCCGTGTTACACGAGCTGGAAAAGAACAAACAGGCGAGAGCCATGTACATTTTTCCTACCAAAGCTTTGGCTCAAGATCAGCGACGTAGTCTTAAGGACTTGCTGCAATACATGGATGGTTTGCAAGACTTGGTCGTTGAGACTTTTGATGGTGATACACAAATGTGTGATCGAAACCTTATTCGAGATGAGGGTAGCATTATCTTTACTAATCCGGATATGCTCCACATCACCATCCTGCCACAAGAAGAGGCCTGGAGGACATTCCTGCAAAACTTACGATTTGTCGTAGTCGATGAGTTACACGTCTACAACGGTCTGTTTGGAGCACATGTAGCTTTGATTATGCGACGCCTGCGAAGAATCTGCGCTGCCGTGGGAAACCGTCATATCAAGTTCATCTCATGTTCCGCTACTGTTGCGAACCCAGAAGAGCATATGAAGACAATCTTCGGTGTAGAGCAAGTCAAGCTCACAGACTTTGACGGCTCACCTTCTGGCAGGAAAGAGTTCTTGTGTTGGAACACCCCGTTCAAAGATCCAGCAGATCCGACTTCTGGTAGAGGTGATGCTTTGGCCGAGTCTGCAAAATTGTTCTGCCAGCTCATCTTACGAGGTGTACGTGTAATTGCTTTCTGCAGGGTGCGAAAGCAGTGTGAGGCGTTGATCGGTGCCGTCAAGAACGAACTGGCCTTTTTAGACAAGCAAGAAGTCATGGCCAGGGTGATGTCCTACCGAGGTGGTTACGCTCCTCAAGATCGACGAAAGATTGAAAAGGAAATGTTTGAGGGCAAGCTCGTTGGTATCGTGGCAACCAGTGCCCTGGAATTGGGAATTGATATTGGGTCTCTTGATGCTGTCATGACCTGTGGGTTTCCGTACACCATCGCCAATCTTCGCCAGCAGAGTGGTCGAGCAGGTCGCAGAAACAAAGACTCGATCTCTATATTGGTTGGGGATGCCTTCCCGACCGATCAGCATTACATGCAGAACCCAGATGAGATCTTTACGAAGCCCAACTGTCAGCTTCAAGTCGATCTCGAGAATATGCTCGTGCTTGAAGGACACGTTCAATGTGCGGCTAACGAGATGCCAGTTCAGCCAGCCGGAGACGAAATATACTTCGGAAAACTATTGAAAGACATTGCAGAGAACAGGATGAGGAAGGATGACCTCGGTTTCTTCCACACGGCTGACCGTTTCCTTCCACGTCCCTCTACTTTTGTGGCAATCCGCGATACCGAAGAAGACCACTTCGCTATCGTCGATATCACACATGGTCGCAATGTTGTACTCGAAGAACTGGAGGCCTCGAGAGCATTCTTCACCATCTACGAAGGAGGCATCTACTTACACCAGGGCAACAAATACCTCGTCAAAGAAATGTCTACAGATCGCATGATGGCTCGCGTCGAGTTCGTCCGAGTGGAATGGACAACCCAACAACGCGATTTCACCGACATCGACCCAATCGAAACCGAAGCCATCCGCAAAATTCCCAAATCACTATCGCGAGCCTACTTTGGTACAATCAGAATCACCCAGGTGGTATTCGGTTTCTTCAAAGTCGATCAAAAGCGACGCATTTTGGATGCGGTCGAAGTTGACAATCCACCCATTACGATCTTGAGCAAAGGCATGTGGCTTGATGTTCCACGCCGTGCGTTACAGATTCTGGAGTCGAGGAGGCTTAATATGGCAGGAGCGATTCATGCGGCTGAACACGCTTTACTCTCGCTCATGCCTAATTTCATCATCAGTATGCCTGGCGACGTCAAAACAGAATGCAAAAACGCAATCAAGGAATTCCAAGCCAAAGAAAACAGCCGCAAGCGACCTGCACGTCTCACCTTTTACGATGCCAAAGGGGGTGCTGCTGGTTCAGGAATCAGCACAAAGGCATTCGAATTCGTGGATCGCTTGTTGATTCAAGCCTGTGAACGCGTAGGGGCTTGTCATTGCGAGGAAGGATGTCTTGAATGCTGTTGCTCTGAGCAATGCAAAGAGGCGAATTCTGTAATGAGTAAAGCTGGTGCGGAGGTGATTTTGAAGTCGCTGTTGAACAGGGAAATTGATGTTGACGCGTTACCTTGGGGTCCCGAGGACGAAAAGACGCCTGCGGGTGTGGAAACTGTGGTTTTCGCTAACGAAGTTGCACCTGGAAGGGGTAAAAGGTTCGGAGATATTGTTGTCAAGACTGAAGATGGAGAGGAAGAGATTGTGGTCATTAAGGATGAGCCTATGGATGATGAGTGATCGAGGAAATTCAGAGTATCCTACAGCATCCATCCCCAGCTTTCTTCGTCACAACCCAGTCCAAGACCAGCAATAGCAACGAAAAAGATAGATATTCGCATCAGCCCGAGATAGTGCAATACGAGCGACACAATGTCCAGGAGAGATCACTCCCTCCCCGACCATAGTTCCAAAAAAAAAAAAAAAAAAAGCGAAAGGTCTTGCCAACAGCGGCCAACTGCTGGGAAATTCGAAGAGCTTCTCTGGGTGTATTGTATCAGGATTCTCCAGTGTGAGTTTGGAGTCTCCTGAAAGGTTACATGTTACGATTTTTGTTGCGATTTCCCACTTGCAACGGACATTTTAAAAGTTTGATATCTGCCTTCTTCCTTCGAAGGATCGGGTCATCAAGCCGGGTATGAAGGAAGGAAGGACAGAGGAAGGTGGGAAGGGAGGGAGTTTTATACCGTAGGTTGAGGGTGAGGTGATGGCCATGTGGGTGGTGAGTCACCTTGTAACTCTCTCATCCCTCCGCTCTTTTTGCGTCTCATTCGGGAGGTAGGGAAGTCTGAATTCTCAGGCCGTGTCCTGGTGGCAACTGTGACCTTGAGGTTCTTCTTTGTATGCTGTTCTCGAACTTCAGCTGGACGCCTGTCCGAACGAAGAAGATGTAGCAGACCAAAGCCAGAGTCCGCCACCTAGTATCGCAAATAATACAAAGCACCTCACATGTATCGCCGGGTGTACGCTAGAAGTAAAGGGTATTATGATCCGAGCATGTGGGAGACGATCATGTCCTTGTTAGTCTCTAGATTGCTTGCCAAAGGAGTGACCCTGACTGTCAGTATATCTTTCTGGCAACAGCTCGCATGATCGAAATACCTCTTTGCCGTCAATGACGTAGCAAATACTTGACTATGGCTCTTTTGCCGGTTGCCAGTACACATAAGACATGTATTGCGTCAGTAGCTTCGGTGGTATGGAGGAATTCTTAATTTTGATACAGATTGTACAAGCTCTTTCGCAACCCAGTCGTAGTTTTCCAGTATAAACGCCATCCCAATGAGGTAAAATGTACAAAAGCATGCAGCAAGATAACGCATGAAAGCATCTATCTGGAGGCTTTGGGAACGTGGTAGACTCTCTGCTTGTAGACCTTCTCGAAGCCGTGCTCGCCCTGAGCATCCAGGTTGTCGAATTTGGCGACCATGTCTTCCAGGTCCTTCTCTCCCTCGGGACGGAAACGAGTGACCTTGGCAATGTTACCGGCGGTCATGTCGTTGATGGGCTTGCCCTCGCGACGCAGGCGGGATACTGTGCGGGCGGTCATGGCGAATCTCATGTCCTTGGGTCCGTCGACGAGTTCGAGAATGGCAGAAGGTGCTTGATCTTCCTTGATGGGTTCAATGCGTAGTACACGGGTGTAGCCACCGGGGCGGTTGAGGAAGCGTTCGCGAAGAGGGCCGAAGAGTTTGGGGATGAGAGAGTGGGGTTCCTGTTGTCGAGTCTTGTTAGCAATTGTCTCACGGAGGAGACGATCAATATCCGGGCAGAGTACGGAAGGCGACATACGTAGAAGATGGAGAGAGCCTTTCTCTTGCTGGCGTCGGTGTTTCTCTTTCCCAAGGTGATCAACTTCTCGGCCAATCGCTGGGCTTCCTGGGCCTTGGGCCATGTTGTGGATATCGTCTCGTTCTTGAAGAGGGATGTGACGAGGTTTCTGAGCAGAGCTTGACGATGCGAGCTGCTGCGCGACAAGTGTCTGTACTTCTGGAGTCCGCCTGCCATGTTTTTTCTTTATGCGAGTTTCCTGCCGGGTGGCGCTGTAAGGTTCGGGCAAGTAGTCACTCGAGAGATGATAGTAGTCGCCGAGGAAGAAGTATCCAGAGTCGACAGTTGGTCCGGTATAGTGCGCACGGTTTAAATGTGCAAGACTGGTGAGATGGTGCCTGTCGATTGAAGGTAGAAATGCGCCAAGAGCAAAGGTTGCGGTTTCCCCAGAAAGTTGATCTCGTTCTCTCCTCCGACTTGCCCGCAATCAGTCAACAATTGTATCGTACCTTCCAACCTCGACAATCGCTTTTCGCTGTACTCCCACTCGCTCTAAGACAGCCAAACAACGCCTGTCACTATCATGGGCTTCACAACTGGCTTCGTTCGTACCTTCCTACAAGCTTCACCCCTCCTCTTTCTAACACAACACAGATCGGCGGCATTGCCCTAACATCCTCAATCTTCTACATCTCATTGAACTTGCACGAGCGAAACCGTTTATACCAATCTCACCTCTTGCGCCAGCAATCAAACGTCTTGCGAAACATCACAGATCCCCAGCCCCCAGAGGCACCGCATACTGCCCGTCATCTCGTACCTGGTCTGGCCGATCGTCTGAAGTACCGCTGGAACACTGAGCTGGAAGCTGCCGTGAGAAAGATTCAACATTTCAACTGGGAGCAATGGAGGAGAGATGCCGAGGACAAGGTGTCTGGTGCCTTCAGCAAGGGCCTGGGTGCTGCTGTTGACGAGGCTGAGAAGAAGACGACCTGAAAGACTGAACATGGGAAAGGAGAAACAACAACATAAGGCTGCAGGCAAAGCCTGCCCGTGTACAAAAGAGCCCCAGGAACGACGATCATGGCATCAGGAGCCTGCGTCAGCCGTGGTAATGCTGAAAGGAAGAGACGGATAGATACCCCTATCGTCAAGATATGCGACACACGACATCAACACTACAAAGAAGCACGGCAAAGAAAAGCCAGGCCGGGAAGAGAAGAATTCAAACGACTCACCACTCAAAGCTGTCGACTCACTGTGATCTGCCATCATGCATTTGAACCGGGCTCTAGTGCTACCATACGGCCATCAAACCTCCAATATAGAAGAGTCCTCCATGCCTTCCTTTTCTCTCAACCAAGAAGGCACCGGCTTTGCGTTCGTCTGGTGTCTCCAAGTTCGAATGTCTTATGCGCACTATCGTGAAATCTCCATGGCTGATGCGTCGCTCGACTTGCGCAGATAGTATGTGACGCTCAAGGTATGCATGAGAACAGCCGCACGATTCTTGACCACAAAAACAGGTAGGCTCTATCTGCTTCCGCAACACAGAGCGAAACAACAATTGAGAAAGCTCAACACAAAACAGCAAAAAAACCGCTCGGGGAAACATCTTTGAAACCAAATCTGTCAACGCGACCAACCAAGGTGTGAGTCGAACTCACACCCCCTGGATTCTATTTACGCTCGAGACTTGGAGAGGTTTTTGAAGAAGTTGATGAGGCCAGCCACTTGGGCCAAACCCCCGATCTTCTTGGGAGTGAGTGGATTGGGCCAATTAATAAGGGGGAGGGAGTAAGTGAAGGAAATCAGAGGATCACTTGTTTTGATTCGCAGCAGCATGTCTATGAAATCGACCAGGGACTCCGCTGGTGTCAGTGACGAGTCTTTCCTCTCATCCCTTTTCTCCCTTCCGTCCAGCTATAAGAAATTCTTCCATCTTCACCCTCCGTTCTTTTATGCACTATTCTCACCACCCAGACATTGGGAGCTGTGATGCCCTACTCGACGACGTATGGAAGAACAACCAGGAAGGTCAAGAAGAGAAAGCACCTAGCAAGAGAAAGCACAATGATATCGGAAGAACGAGAACAAGGGCGTACGACTCAGAAACACGCATGATGCAAGGAACAATCTGAACTACTTTATTCCACTACCTAAAGCAATAGTCTTATCCGTGTCTCTTCTCAGCTAACGTATAGCTTATCGGAGAAAAAGCTCACTATCAAATGCCCAAGACAAAAGGTCAAACTCCCCAAGAATGCTGGATAAGGAAAACGCCGTTCCGAAATCCACCACTGTGCACCCAAAAAACTGAATGAGACCCCCTTTTCTTTTTGAAAGCAGAAAACCCCGAGAAAAGTACTTCCTTGCATACATGTGTATCAAATTGGATTATTGCCCGCTTCTGGGTGCCTGCCCACTACGCAAGGCGACCATAGATGGCAAGGCGTGGTATCCCTGTCCTCCAACACCTGGCAATCTTCCTGCAGATCCAGGTGAGTAGGGAGCGCTGTTTTGCTGGGCGTGGGGCATTCTAGACATGTCGAATGAGTTCGTGGCTGCCGGCGGAGGAGGCTTAGCTGGCAAAGAGGCAGGTGTGCCCCATTTGGCAATCGAACTCGGTGCGTTGTTGCTGCTGTCTGCCGCAGAGTTGGTGCCAGGGCGGGATGGCGTAGCGGCTTGTCTTTGAGAACTTTGGAAAGGCATGGGTACATGAGGAGAGAAGACGGGCTGTGGCAGAGGGTGAGGTGGCCTGCTGTTGGTCTGGCTGATACTCTGTCCGTTGTACGACGATGCCTGTGACTGGCTAGAGTTCTGACGCTGTAGTGCATGCGATCCAGGGTAAGCAGAGTTGAACCCCATGTTGTTTTGAGGTGCAATCGGTGCGCCGTAGTGAGGCTGATAACCAGGGATGAACGCCTGGCTCTGGGGATTGAAGTTTCCACGGTTGAAAGCACCAGCCATGACTTGGTTCTGATATCCCATGTAACTTTCGGGCATCTGCATCTGATTCATGGGCATTCCATATGGGTAGCCGTGTGTCGCAGAGCCGTGGCTCGCCGAAGAAGGAGGTCTGCTTGCAAATTGGCCACCGTAGTTGGGACTGCCAGGATAGCCAGGCTGATAAGGCGTCATCTGGGGCCATGAAGGATGTTGCTGCTGTTGACCTTGTGGACCTGCATAGCCATAAGGCCCAGCCGATGCAGGCGGAGAGGTAGGTCCGGATTGTGCCTGGAAAGACATGGCTTGGAAATCCGAGGAGAGATCATTGACGTTATGCTGGGCTTGATTGTTTGGATCGTTGTAACCAGCGTAGCCTTGCTGCAGCCATGGATAGGGGGCGGCTTGAGAAGACGTCGTGGGGCCGTATACAGCGTTATATGAATTCTGCGCAGCCGAAGCTGCAGGAGCACCGGCGTACATGCCAGGGGCACCTTGGGCACCTCCGGGGAATGCGGGGTAGTAAACCATGTTAACGCCGTCGGTGGCACCATTCTGCGGCGTCACAAAAGTACTGTAAGCAGATCTAGCCTCAAAGTCATCGTCACTGTTACTGCGCTGCTTCTTTGGCTTCTTCTTCCCAGCAGCAGAGCTGGATCGGGATTCGTCCCTCTCTTTGACTAGAGACACATCCTCGGTGGGCTTTGCAGATCCCAGGATTCGCAGTCTAGCCAACTCGTACCTCTGCTCACGTTGCTCGCGGGTCAGAGGCTTGTTCTTGTCAGAGTCACCACTATCACCTCCGTCAGAGTTCGACTTGGAGAGGCCATTCAGGGGTGCATCTCCGCCGCGGCGTAGAATCTTCATCTGGGGAGCAGCAGGAGGTGGTGTGTTAGCCGTTGTCGGAGGTGTCGCAATAGCAGTCAGGGGTGGAGCAATTCGACAGTTCGGAGTCTTATAAAGACGGACAGCTGAAATAGAACCATCAACAGCGTGGCCAAGAATGTAGTAGTCAGCCAATTTGTGAGCAAGCATTCTGTAGAAAGAATTGCATTGAGGCAGGTCCAGGGAATGTTCACTGTGAAGAGAGTCAGTCAGATGCACACTTTTTGGGTAATCGTAAAACGTACGATGGATCCTTGACAAAGTCAATGATGTCTTGCTCCAACTTGAGCACCCATATTCTGTCTCGAGGGTTGTTGAGAGCTTCCAAGAGCTTTGCGTCGGGGAGCACGTCTTCAGGCCTGCCGAGGTTTGAAGGTGGCTGGACATAGCCAGGCAAGGTTGCGGGACTGCCTACTGGTGGAGGCACGTAGAGAGTTCCGGCTGGAGCGTTGGTCACAGAGTCGGGTCTTGATGTAAGACCAGACTGGCGTAATGCAGGTCCTCTGGAAGTGATCTCCAACAGCTGATCACGGAAGGCACGAGCACCGGTCTCCGAACCAAGTCGCGATCCGACGGCGGCGGAACCAGGGGGTGAGTACGTATCATCATCTTCGATAGCCAAGACACTGGCACTATCGTCTGGTCTCAACGACTCCTTCTCATCCATCGCAAAAGTGGTGACGGAGGCCACGCTTTTTCCGTCGAGACTGGGGGGTTTGGCCGAGTCGTCGGAGGATGAAAGTTGGGTAGCGCTTTCGTCGGATGTGCCGGACAGAATTTGTGTGGTGAGGACGGGAGTCGTTTCGAGGCCGTCTATGGACGGAGCCTTTGAAGGCTCATTCGAAGGGGATGGGATAAGTTTCCTTGGGATTGCGGGAGAGATCGTATCGTTGCGAGGAGGCTGAACGGTCTGATTGTTGGCGTCCTCGGGATGAGAAGGCTGGAAGTTCCCAGAAGCAGGCAGCTGATGTTCAGCAGCAGACGAGGGCAAGCTGTGGCTTTGAGCCGGAAGGTGTGCGTTGGCAAAGGTTCGCCTCGCCGAGGACTGGTCGGTAGAAAGAGAGGCCATGGTTTCTCCAAATAGTGCGAGCTGTATCGAAGTAATGGAGCAGTGCGAATTGGTCGCTTGATGGTCGACTTTCTTTTCCGACGGGTACAATAGAATGGAAAGAAAGGGCTTTTTTGTTGTGCAGAAATCTCAGGAAACCGGAGGCTCAAGGAAAATGGTCAAGAGTAGAGGCAGGGATGCTGGCATGGTGGTAGGTCGACATGAGGTTGGAAGGTTGTTTGACACGGCTTTTTTTCCTGGACACGACAAAGACGGGCGCTTGAGTTTTTGCACCTGGCAGTTGAGGATGCGCGGATAGCGCAGAAGATCGCGACCGGTCAGAACAGCGCGGACGCAGTACTGAGATAGAGGCGGTCGCTCGTGGTGAGAGTCGTGTTGAACAGGAGCCAAAAAGGGCGCTGGCGGTCGAGCCTGAGGAGAGAGACGCTCGACGGCGCACCAAATCGTCGCGGGCCTTGGCATGCTTGTACCTACTGCCCCGTGCTTAACCGCGACCAAGTCGGCAAGGACGACCCTGCCCTCTGACCCTGGCTTGGCTACATCCATCTGCGCTTCGTAAATTAGTGAATGCGTTTGTTCTCTCACTGTCGCCTTAACAACCCCGCGTGTATTCGTCTGTCGCATCACTTCTGGTACCCTGATACGCCTGCATCAATAGGCATCTATACATTTGCGCACCATGAATCGTTACGGCCGCGCCGGCTTCGTGGGAGGCGCATCGTCGTCCAATCGAGCATCAGCAAACACCGTTTGCCAGAAGTGTTTGAAGAAGGGTAGGCGCATCGTCGCTGTTTGGCGCATTCACTTCACCGATGACTTTCACTCACACTCGTGCAGGTCATTACAGCTATGACTGCAAGGCGCAAGCCCAAGAACGACCTTACATCTCGCGTCCAAGTCGCAGTCAGCAACTCCTAAACCCCAAGCTCAAACCAAAACTCGCCAATATTGCGCCGACTCCATCTGAATCAGAGTACGCTCCAGAACCCTATCGATCTCTGTGTTACCTCTGACTGAATGCAGAAACTTAAGCGCAATCCAAAAGCCCTCCAAAGAAGCCTCACCAAGGCCGCGCAAACGCTCGTTAAACGACATGGATGGCCAAAGATCTTCGCGCAAGCGCTCGCGCTCGCGCTCCGTATCCTCTTTCTCGTCGGATTCTGTTTCTACCATCTCAACTCGCTCGCCCTCCCCGGATAGATCCAGGCCAAACAGACCTGTCGCAAGGCAAGAACGAGATGTATCAGCAAGAGGGGGTGCCGGAGACAAGAGAAGGCGCCCTTCCAGCTCAGCTTCGTCACCAGATCACATGCAAGAGAGCCAGAATCGAAACACTCGTATGCGCAGAAGCTCAAGAAGTCCTTCTGAGCGTGGAAGAAGACGAGGCCGATCAGCAAATTCAGAAAGACGGATGCGGTCCGCCTCCGTCAAGGACACCCGTGGCCTAACACCAGCTAGAAGACCAGACGCCGATGGTAGACCGACGGTGGGCCAGCAGCATACAGATCTAGAGCGTGCCGACCATTCACGAGATCAAGACCGCGAGATGAAGGATGTGCCTAGTGGGGAAAGTCGAACCAGGTCCTTGAGTCCTTTCAGCAAAAGGGTTGCTTTGACACAGTCCATGAACAGATGAACGTCTCCACCTGATGTCGATTCTCCACTGGCCCCCTCAGCATCTCAGCAACAGCGACTATCTGGACGATGAAAATTTTCAATAATCATTGGAAGAGCCTCGTCTCGGAGCACGTCCTACGCTCTCCGAACAACCCCAGTAGCACATGCAACAGTACGCAAACAGATGCCTCGAGACGCGCTACACTAGCGACACCAGCTCCACGCCTTAGGGCGTACGCGAAGCCATGTCGAATCACGTCTCAACAATACCACCAACGTTGATTCGCACGCACCCCGGCCTTTACAGTGCCTCGAGTGTATCGATCAGTGGGGGTTCTCTGTCGGTTGGCAAGCCTTCCGAGTAGGTAAATAGCACATTAATTGCAACGAGACCAATGAGAAAGCAGATGCATGAACTACGCAATTTATCCGCCTACTTCTAGATCAAACAAGCACTTGAGGCCGCCGGCGGCACTTGTGGGGCCGCATAGGACCCTGGTTGCGGTAAGTGAGCACACGACATCTCCACTCCCCGAGTGCTAAACTTTGTCACGCGTGAAGCTGTAGAAATGCACGATGGGTTTTGAAGTCAGTGCTAGGTCCAGAGAGAGGGCTTTAAGGAGTGGCTCTCTGTGGACAGAGCGGTCCTACTCAAAAGTATCGTGCATTCGGACAGGTTTGATGTGACAAGATTCTGCACACGGGGAGGCCGTATCGGTGTACTGTATGTGCCAGCACGTGCGCCCGGTCTGCCTTCTGTATGGTCGACGGCAGTTGTATCCTCACGTCGAGCTTTTCGTCAGCGCGCCAACAAAGCTTTCGCAAGATTCAAGGCAATCGTCGTAGGTCCCGGAGACGGTCTGTAATGCCTGCAAGCCACTCGGGGAGTCGGGCGAGTACGGGGATCATCTTCTGCGCTGCGCTGTGATTGTTGATTGTTGGACCTCTTGTGCCAGAATTTGATCTCCAGGATGCTTGCGAGACACATCCGCACTGTAAGACAACAAGACCCTCACGAATCTCATATCAGGATGCCCACATCTCTTACGTTTTGTAACTTGGGCTGACTCATTCGTGTTGGGGGATGTGTCGGATCCAACCCAGTTCTACTCAGGTACTCCGTATTCTCCACCACAGACAGATTAGCCGAGTCGACCGAGGACAACAAGGGGTCTGTGATTGAACCATGCGGGGAGGGCGTCTTGACATGGGGGATATCGTCGAGCTTTTGTACAGGGTATTTTCACGGCCGTTGGATAGCGCGCACATCAATGCGTCTGCATATTCAAGGATTGCAGCGAATCGCCAGTGTTACCAAGCTCGAAATAAGCAGCATGCAAGCCACGCACTATCCAACGGACGCAGACACACCCTGTATGTCGACTGATTCTTGGCCAGCTCTTCTTTTGATATCGCGAACCTGTCAATATCAGAACCAAGTACCGACAGCAAAATCTCATGCGTTCATGCTGCCGACGATCGTGCCGATGATTCAGACTGCCATGCATGCAAGGTTCAGGGCAGCGCAAGCCACGTTCTTCCTTCGCGAAGACCTACCCAAACACTTGGGTCCTAAGAAAAATTCGACATTGGTTGAGCTTGTTTCTGTCAAAGTCATGAATAGAAGCACGTTCAATTCTCTGACTCTTGAGATAGCTCGATGCAGAGACACGAGGCGCAATTTAGACGATGGGCTGTGTGTATATTGCGAGACATGCGTCCTGGCAACCGCAGTAAAGGTTCCAGGTTAGGTGGCCACCAATGCATAATCCCGCTGCATCATGTACCTATCCGGTTTTCGGATTGACACGATAAATCTGCTGTGACTCGAGAGACACAGTGTGCCAGAAAGCATGCAGGACAGGAACGTTTGTCAACCTTGATCCTGTTACCTTGTTTTGAGTTCTGACCGTACAAAGACAGTAGTTCAACTGTTTAACAGCCTGTTTGGCAGTACGACGGCCCTCGGTCGGCTCGGCGATGCCTAAAAGCTAAGCACGAGCCTGATCGAGAGAGTCCGAGGCGGATGGTGGCAGTGGAGCAGTGACATGCGCGTATAAACAAAAAAACTCTGCCCAATGGCACCCTAGATAGAGTAGGATTGATGATTGATGGTTAGACCAGGGTAGGAAACAGAGCACGCGAGCAGAATCCAGAAGGGAGTGGAAAAGGTGGAGCAGCAGGTTGTGGCGCGGCGCCGGTTTTGCGGGATCGAAACGCTTTGAAGATCGCAGCACCACTGGCAGGCTGGGCAATGTCCAATGAGGTCGCTGCGGCATCATTCAGGAATCAGCAATTCCTCTTCACCTTCGTCCAACAAGACCAAGCTCCCTACTCACATTCATCCGTATTCAAAAGCCATCCATTGTCCCACCCGTTGCGCCACGTCCAGACAACCCTTTCCACCGTGATAGACAAAGTTGCTTTGTTCCGCCCTTGTCGCTGCTTGTTTACTCCGCAGTCTATCGTCAATCTCAGCCATTCTCACCCCGCCGCTTTGGTTCGGTCGTCATCATGAAGTATGGCGCGACTCTTCGCCAGCATTCAATCCCTGCATGGGCGCATCGTGAGTATCACCCAATCCGTTGGCCCGGTGCTCTTACTGACCAGCCAGACAACATTGACTACGACGACGTGAAGCACTACATCAAGGAGAACACAACCGCAGGAAACGGCAACAGCATCTCTATACCAGGAGCCGTCGATGTGCGGGGGAAAGAACTCGAGGACAATCTCTATGGCATCTTGCAACAACAGCATCAGAGAATTAGCCTGTTCATAAGAAGCAAGACGGGTGAAATTGAGAGACGGCTGGGTGAGTCCTTATCTATGCGATCAACCACATCACGGCAGCATCAATTGACTGTCGCAGACCATCTCCGCAAGCAAACCACCTCTCTCACATCAAAGCCTTCCGTCAATGGCCGCATACCTGCTAAGCGCCTCGAACGATATGGTCGACTCGAGGCTGATATCCTCAAGTGAGTCTCCGCCTCCCCCGCTCTTCGCCCAGAGCGATACTGATGTACACAACAGGGCTGGTGACGAGTTGCAATGCCTCTCCCGGTTTTCCAAGGCCCAACAGACTGCTTTCCGCAAACTGTTGAAGAAACACAAGAAGTGGACTGGATCTACAGAACTCGAGACTGAATTCAACAGACACGTCCTCGGCGACCCTTCAAGTTTCACCAATATCGACATGGAACCGCTTTACTCGGAATATGAGGAGACACTCTCGGTGCTCAGGACTCTATATCATGAGCGTATCAGTGGAACGCCCCAGAAAATCCCAGAGAACACTGCTTCCCAAACCGGACTGGCACACCTTGAATCCATCATTAGCTCCAAGTCACCTGTCGAGTTCGACTCCTACATGTCAACATTACCCCTGGGTCGTGATGGTAAGAATGTAGTCTACTGGGTGCATCCTGACAACATCGTCGAACTACAAATCCTGCTTCTTCAACACGCTCGCTCCTTCGCGACTGGACGAACTTCGGCTTCGGCTATGGCTTCTCCGACCATCTCTCGTCAAAACAGTATCACATCCTCATTGGCCAGAAAGAATAGCATTGTTGCCGAGGCCGACACAACTTTGGTCGTTGCTGATGATCTTGAGAGTTTTGTGGCGCATCAAAGCTCGTCAACTTTTGAAGAGCGTGAGGACAAAGTGGGCAGTCTTCTTCAGGAAGCTGCTGTTCATGCAAGATGGGCCAAAGGTGATGATGCAATTGTCATCGCTCGTTCTAATGATAGTGACATTCAAAAGGCTTCGATCAAGAGCAAGCATGTCTCTGCCATTCTCGAGCCTTCGTCCACAATGTCGCTGCACAAATCTTTCTCCTCGAACGACAAGAACAATGAGTCCGCCGAGAAGATGCGTGCCTGGATTGCTCGACAGGAAACAATCGAGCCTTTGACCACCATCGTATCGAACAGAGCTCGCTTCGCTGAAATTGCCTCTGACTCTAGCGGGTTCATTCTTGCCACTCTGGATAAGAACATTCGTATGACCAAAGCCGGGTCTTTGACGAACTCGTTGGAAGATACGTTCACACAGTCTCTGAGTGCAGAATTTCCCTTTGCAGTCCTTCGCGTACGACAAGAAGGTTTCAGGAACAGCACACTTCTCAAAGTCCTGGATCAGAATCATCTTGTCGAGCGTGTTCGTGGCTTCTCGCTGGAGTATCACTCAGTTTGGTATTGCTGTCAACCTGAGAATGTCGTTCCCCCTTTCTGGATGCCTCTGATGAAGAAGGACATCCGCAAGGTACCTACAGCGGCAAGTAGACGTAGAGCGTACAACAACGACTCTAGTTACGGCTCTCAATCAACTACGCCTCAAATGTCGACTTCGACTGGATCTGTCGGCGATCACACTGGCGAATTGACTGCTGTAGAAGAGCAGTCGCCGCCCAGAGTGAAGATTCCTGATCAGTTGGAGACCCCTCCGCTCAGCGCTTTCCGCAAGAAGAGAAAGTCGGCTTACGAAAGGGCTGGTGGTGCTTTGCCAAAGCAGAAATACTGGAACGAGTTCGACAACCCATCTGATTCGGAAGATGAGGGTGCTTATGTATTGTACATTGACCCGAACGAAGTGTCGACTGCTACTAAGACGTGGCGTCGCATTCGTGGCTTCTGGACTTCGAAGAAGGTATCTGATCAGGAGTCCCTCTTGGGTCACGATGGCACTGGCGAACACGGAATGACCGAGGAAACACTTACCTCTTCTGATGAGGAAACGGCGACTCCTAGACGCTCTCAGCGTCGTTCTTACGGAACATTGGGCGGCCCTGCTGGACGTGTGGCTTCATACAATGCTCAGGTACAGGTACAGCAACAACCTGACTGGGTCCCACAGCTTGCAGCCACATGTCTTGTCGCATCTGTTCTACTTCTCTGTATCGGCTACATACTAGTGGCCACAGGCAAGAGAAAATTGGCATCCGAGGTTGATGCTGGTGTTGTGTTGGCGGTGGCCTCAAGTCTGGCCTTCGCCGTATCGGGCGTCGGTGCTGTGTTTGGCAGAGGAACACCGCGATGGCCGATCGCTACCTTGGTTATTGGTATCCTCGTCGTAGATGTCGCAGCGGCAAGCACGCTGCTGGCTTGGGCTTTTGGTTAAGTTGACACCCTACCCTTTCCTGTTCTCCGCCTCCCCGTCTCTCACCATGTTTTCATTTTTTTTCTTATTGTTCTCTTCGTTGTCTATAATGCTTCTACTCCTTTCCTTTCTATTACTGTTTCAAGCGGGCGGATTTGCTTTCTTTGCTCTGATGTTTAGGATACCACTACGTTATTGGAAGTTTTTGGCATGAGGGATATTTTCATGGGATCAAATCGGTTGGACGAGAGTTGAAGGATAACAAGATTGTTCTCTCCTGTAGTTATTCAAGTAACCTTCATTCGTATCAGATAGGCCACTGCCAAAGACGATTGCAGTGCACTAGCCGGGCGCCTGTAAATCTTCTGCCCAAGCCTGCAGACAACTGTGACGTTGTGTGGTAGTAGATGGGAGATCTGTCTACTTAGGTTGTTGCGGCCAAAGACAGCGATGAAGATGAAAGCTGGCGGTGTGATGATGAGACGTCTGCTGAAGGTGTATTCGTTCAGCTGCCGTCCAACAAGTCCGCCTGAGCTTCCTCCTCTCTCCTGGCCTCCTCTTCATCTTCCTTCTCTCTTAGATTGGTAGCCTCGAGCAATTCGGCACCCTCCATACCCACAGCCTCGCCTTCGTTACCCGTCGTCACACCAGTTCCCTTTCTCTTCTCAGCCTGTGCAGCAGCAATTCTCTGCCTGACCAGCTTTGCAATGGCATTATCGGTGCGCACGTTCAAGATGTCCAACTTTCGGTCCAGGTCACGCTTCAGATCCCAATTCGGCTTCTTTGGTTGCAGTTTGAATAAATCCAGAGGTTTGTCTTGTGCAGCAGCTTCTTCCTCTGCTTGCTTTTTGGTCGCAGCAGCTAGCTCTTGTGCTTTTCTTTCTAGCGTATTCTCTTGAGCTGAAGGGTCGTTCTCGAAGCCGAGTTTGGGAGCGCGTGTTGTGGCATCGTAGTTTCTGCCTGAGAGGATGATGGATGACACGTCCGCTGATTGCGCAGGGTCTTCTGATGTGAGGGTGTTGTCGTCTGCTTCTGTGGGATCCGAAGGTTGTTTGCGCTTTAGAGATTTGAGAGCGGCGAGGCGGGCTTTGCGGTCCTCGGCTGCATTTGAGAGGTTTCCAGACATGACAGCTAGGTGTGATAGCGGTCCGAGATAGTAAGATTGGAGATGGTGGGTTGTGATTGAATGCAGATGGATCTGGTCGCAAAGTTGCTTGGGCGTGCATGCGGAGCAAACAGAACAAACACAAAAAGTTGGGGATGTGGAAGTTCGGGGCCTATGGCTTGAGCGACATTTAACTGTTTCTTTCGCAGCACAACTCGATCGCCCTGTCGATGCCCGCCTATGCCACGATGCGCCGCCCGACACGTCAAGCTTGTGGCCGAAGCTGAACAACTCGTCCTGCCCTTCCTTGCCCCGAGGCTCTTCCAGCCATGGCCTCAGTCTCCATTAGACTCATCGGCAACCGCGCCTGCCCTATATCCACGTACTGAGAGAAGGTCTTTCTCAACCACTTCTTGTGAATATGCGAGACAGTCGAGGTCATCTCAACCGCAGAAGTACGAGAGTGCTAGAAGTCTTCTGGTACAACAATGGTACGAGAGTGCCATCGCCCCGGCCGACCAGGAAGACGTTCAGAAAGAGCATGTGAGAGATGGGAAGGATGCGAAGCGGAAGCCAGAAGAGCCCACCAGGACGAAACGTAGTCTCACCCGTGCAGATGTTCAAAAGGCCTATTACCAGCGCTGGTCGACCTCCCAAGCCCTAGTCAAGTCTCGCTGGACTGTCGCCAAGGGCGACCAGAAAGTCAGGACCAAGTGGTCTCCGCTTGGAAGGCCCGTTAGGAGAAAAGCTCGCGAGGAAGGTGCTGAAAACAAGGATGAAATCGTCTTCTCTGCCGACGGCAATGCCTTGTACTGGAACCACCATTTTGCAAAACTAAACGCTCGACACGATACTGCTTTGACCCATGATTTCACTCCTAGGACGACACCCAATCTCATCTTTCTCTCCCGGAAATGGGCTACCCGGATACTCAGTGCCAAGAAGTTTGGAGACCTCGAAGAGATGGCTACACTGCTTGGGAGGGATTGGAGAAGGAAGTGGATGCATGCTTTGCTATGGACAATGGCCAACTCGATCGATGACACTATCCGCCTACTGGAGATCACCCATCTTTCACCATACTTGCCTGCTGCTTACATTACCGATGCCTTGGCCTTTGTTGTTCAACATCACGCCAAACATTCAATCTCCGACGACACTCGTAAACACTTAGTTCACGTCATTTGCACCATAATGGAACGTCCGGGTACTACTCCTCTCCAAATCACTGGCAACACTCTCCGCAGACTGCTACAACTCTGTACTGAGGACGAGATTTCGCGACTGTTTGAGAGTGTCGTTCTTAGCGGCACACTCTTGCACTGGAATACTCGTCTGCACTATTCTACATATTTGGCCCATCATGGCCGATTTGACCAGGCTTTAGACATGCTCCTCGATGCCGTCTCTGATGGGGCCGACGTTGGGTCTAGGCAGTTCGAGAGTTGTTGCGCCACCATTCTTCGAAAAGCCGCTGATCAACCTGATGGCCTCCGTGTCAGTCTTCGTCTGGTTCAAAACTTATCTGACATAGGCGTAACACTCAACGTCCAACTTTGCAATATCGTCATGCTTAATGCAGTCGAGGCCAACGACTTGAAGACGGCTTTCAGCATCTATCATTCGCTGGTGGACAATGACCTACATGCCGATGAGTACACGCATGCTATTCTTCTCAAGGGCTGCAAGACTGTGATTGAGAATTCGGAAACTCTCAATACCACTATTCGTCAGGCTATAGCCGATGTCGAGGTGCGGAATTTGAACGTTGTAGCAACCGAGATTGTACACTGTCTCTGCCTACATCACTTCCAAATTGATCCCGAAAACGCCTTCACTACAGTCTCAGAGGCCTACACTCAACTGTTCGATACAGAAGCTCTCGTCAACCTTGGAATATTGCCTCAGAGGTACGAGAACAAATCTATGAACAGGATGAAGCCCACTATACCCGTCCTTGGTATCATGGTAGCAGCACACCTTCAAAATATCGTCCAATCACAAAGTCGTAATATTGGCCACATTCACGAGTTGTATAGACGATGGCGAAGTCTTGTGGAGCATGATGTCCGTCCTCATGGACATACGGCCAACAAAGATTACATCTTCAACTCCTTCTTGATGGCATTTGTCCAAGACCCGACTGGTCTCTCATACGCCGCCGAGGTCATTCGTGACATGCAAACGCCCTTACCCAACAACCGTTCACAAGCAAAACCGAGTGTGCGGACGTGGTCAATCTTCTTGCACGGATTTGCTAAACATGGCAAGATGGAACTCGCAGAGCAGGTGCTCACATATATGCGCGAGAAGAACATGAAGCCGAATGAGGTCACGTGGAATTCACTGATCGGAGGATATGCTAGACTCGGCAAATCGAACGAGACGGTGGAGACATTTGTCCGTATGCGAGACGAGGGCTTCGAGGCTGATACGGTGACGCAACGTCATTTCGGCAAGATCAAGCTCGACAGTGTCAGAGCTAGTGCTTGGGGCAGTAGCGAGCAGAAGAAAGAGTCAGAGCAACAGGCAGAGAGCAAGGAAGCCCATGGGCAACAACAAATTGTTGATGAACAAAGGGTTGATGATAAGGCTGACAGCACGAACGAGCTTGTTGATGGTGTGTACACGCTGAGCGTATAGAGCTCGAATGTAAGTAGTAAGAATAATCTTTGTACATATAGAAAGAACTTCCCCCACTTTACCTCTTTCCTCACTTTGCACCTGCCATCGTTGTCGCTGTTGTGGAGTCTGTGCTCATGCGCTGTCTGCGTCTCTGAGCAAGACCATTTCTTCTCTTTTCCTTTTTCTTTCCCGGATTCACCACATTGCCGCCTTCCATCTCGCATTACGCCACCAGCAACGCGTACCTTCAGGTGGTCATTATTTCAACGCACAATACAGAGTAACTAGAGGTAAGTGTTTGCGCATCCATCACGTTTTGAGCTGTGACTGACACTGGTCCCAGCACATCGATTACTTCACTATCGAAGACAGGCTGTGTTGAGCACGTCCAGCAGTGACTATGCACCTCACAGCCGGTCAAGGATTTGGGCACTATCCTCAGCCTACGCTTTCAATCATGACCACTGTGTTTGTATTGAATGATCGCCGTCATGGCGGTTGTGCGCAGGTGGGCTTTTCCATCCACCATCCGGTTTGCAAACACTAAGAACATACTCAAGACATCGATCACTCCACTGTTGATCGATGGGCTGTGTCGTGCATCGGGGACGACCTCATGACTCGCCAATTGAAAAACAACTCTTCCAAGCTGTCTACCTATGGGCAGGCCAGAACCTGCTAGACTTCGTAAACAGCACTTCGACAATCCTCTTCCTGACATTGCGCGCCACAAGTAATGCACCCCGACGATCTCCTTTACCGGATCAAACGTCGAACTTCGATACTCGCCCTTCGCTGGGCCAAGTATCGATCAACAGAGCCGGCTCATTGCTGGTGTCCACAACCATATAAACAACACTTCGCCTTCTTCTGCGCTCAAGGAGAAATTTCACGATCGTCCAGATCATTTGCGTCACTTTTAGCATACACTGAGTACGTTTGTCCTTGGCCCGGTTCGATTCTCTTCCTGCTGACCATTTCTAGAATCAAGTCACAACGCAAAAGCACAATCGTTTGCACCAATATGACTGTCCGAACGACACTGTCCATCGATCATGCAGCACTGTCAACGAAAGGCAGCTCAGTCGCACATGGTTTGGTCTATTCACTGTGCCTGAGACCTTTGCCTCTTCATCTACCGCATCGCTGGGTTTTCCTCCGGTGCTACTAACCATATCATGAGCTTCACCTGTGGCGTTTCTTCGAATGAATTTTGCCTATTGGTACGTGATTTGCCATACATATCTTCTTATTCATATTGACGAGCCACCGCAGTGTATAGTCGTATGGCATACAGGCTGTATGTACATTCTGTCTCATTAGGCTCGAGCACCCAGATTGGCCGACGTTACATCAATCCGCAATCATGGTCTCACCTATCTCAAGTACCGTTTCCACGAGCGTGGACCGGGAAGAAACAGAGAAACTATCACGGTCAACACTCAACACAAACGCCGGAGACATCATCACAACTCATTATCCTCGACATCAAACAGAAAAAGAAAGGATTCTGAGCGCTAAACTGCGAGGACGCACCTGAGCCGAGTCACACCCCTGGAACACAAAAGAAGAGGTAGCAGGTTGATGACAAGGACAGCATAGAGCTGCTGAGCATCCACCTTGGAACCACGCCGCGGACGCGCGACATGGCTCGGGCTTCAAGTAAGAAGCACGGCGACATGAATGTTGGCGCGAGAGAGGGACTATGGACTGCAGCTATATTTCCCAATCAAAACTAACGTTCAAACAATGTCCATTCCTCTTGTATGACGCGAATATGGATTTGTGTCATGTGAGTGTAGAAGCCAAGAACTGTAGACATGCACCCAACAACCAGAACTACCTTCCCTTTTCACAACCTTGCCGAAGCCCCCCTTGCAAGGGAAAGAGAAGACTTGGACTTTTGGAAACCTCATTCTTCGACTGCGAATTTGGAGAGAAAGACAGCACATCAAAGATGTTGGAACCCCACCCTTCACTCCCCGGTCCGCAGACCAGAAAAGCAATGGGTAAGTATAACAGATAGCAGTAGTTTGGTGAACACGAGCACCAAGCAAAAGATAGATGAGAAGAGATAAGACAAATGATAAGATAAATGGCAGAAAAACAAGAAAAGATCGAAAAATATGCCGAGTAAACGCGAGAAAGAGAGATCGAGAATATGGTAAGCGGGAAAGCCGAGATGAGAGGTAGAGATGTGAGTAGATAGCAATGAATGGCGAGAAAAAAAGGCAAAGAGATAGTAAAGAGATGAACAGAAACATGAAATGAAAATAGATGAAGAGATGGCGGTGAGATAAAAGGATGTAAGAAAGAGATAAAAGTAGATAGTGATGGAGAGATAGAAAGGTAAGATAATGAGATGATGAGATGATGAGATGATGATGATAGACAAAAAGAAAGATGTCAAGGGAAATAGGAGAAGTCAGAAGTTGGAGATGTGAAAAAATAGGAAACAAGCAAGATATGGGTGGACATGTAAAGAGATACGAGAGATAGATGGCAGCAATAAAAATGCGAAGATAGATAGCAGTATGCCAGGAGATAATAGTAGATTGCCGTAAGAGGATGGTAGTAGATGACCGTCAGAAATCAGTAACAGATGGCAATGAGTAAGAACAGGATAAAAGATAAAGATAGAGATGGAGATAAATAACAAGATGAGAAAACAAGATCGTGAGAAGAGATGTTAGTAAATAGGAAATGAGAAAACGAGAAGATCGAGGAAGAGATATACAAGAAGATAGCGAGAAATAAGAAGGTAACAATAGGTGAAGATGAATGGAAAGATGACAATAGATGAATGAAAAGAGAAAAGAACATGGCGACAAATAAGAGGATAACAATAGATGCAACAGACAAACTTAATAACAAATGGCGACAATTGCAAAGATGACAATAGATAGCTTTGAAGCAGGAGATGAGAGGAGATGGCGGTGTTTAGGAAGATCAGAGGAAATGGCGATAACTAAAGATGTGCGAGCAGATGTGATAGGAGATTATAGGAGATGAGAGTAGATAGCAACGAACTGATAGATGTAAGGAGATGGCAAATTATCAGAGAAGTGAGGAAAATGGCAGTAGATCAGAGGATGTTCAGCAGATGGCAGCTAAAATGATGTAGATAGTAGGTCAGATACAGTAAATGGCAGGTTACATCAAGTAAGTCGCAAGTCATATCCGGAAGATGTTAGAATAGATATCAGGATAATTGGAAGATAGATTGCAAGTCAGACCGAACAGATATCAAAATAAACAGAAGTAGAAAATCAAAGGATTTTGAGAGAAATTGGTGAATGGCAACAAATAAAGAGAAAGATAGGAGGAGAAGATGAAAAATTGAGAGAATGGGATATGTGGAAGATAGGAAAGGATTTGGACAGATGCGACAGATATGACAGATGAGGAAATGCTAGAAAGAAAGAGAGGAGAGATGGCGGATGTTCGTAGATTATATAGTCCTGGGAAACAACGTCTGCTTACATCAGCGACTTGCTCAGTGGCAAAGACACGAGGCCTGAGTCATACGCTGCCATATCGCAGCGAGGATGTGGTGTAGTTGGCCTCAAGAGTGGATGTGGTTGAGCAAGTTTACCTAAAGCTTGGTCACCGGCGCGTCACAAGAACATCAACTTCAAGTGTGCGAACACGAGAAACAGAAACGGACACGACGACAGGGGTAACGAGAATAAGACGTGAGGTGAGGAAGAGACGTGAACATAGATGGTATAAACAAGTGGTCTCCATTACACGAAGTCAAAGGTATCACCACCTTTATCTCTCAACATGGCGCCGACACGCTTGGTTCCCACGACTCGCTCCAGTCTCAAGCCATCCCACTTGGAGAAGATGGTCCTGACGGCTGCTTCGGTAGGATCCAATTTGCCCTCGGCGACCATGGTGCCTAAGAAACCCCTTACAACTTCTGTGTAGAATATGGGGTTCTCCGGTAGAGCGTAGAAGATGACTCTCCGCACGCCCTTCAGTCTCAATCTGTGGAAGTGATGCGCACGGCCTGTGTATAGTAACACACTGTGACGACCGGAAAGGAAATGACTGCGTGCACGCCTTTGATCGGGTACAGGTGTGTATTCGCTTATAGCGCCAAATGAGATGTGTTGTGTTTCATTCGAGTTGGCGAAGTAGTTCCTGACTCGTACGAAGTCGAGATATGACGGGATGAACAATAGGATGCCGGGTCCACCTTCTGAGGGTCTCGGGACCTTGAGAAGCGACGGTAGTACAGCTGTGTTGAAGTACTTGAAGCGGGCGTCTGGGTCAACAGGGGGCGATGCGGAGTCATATCGCGAGAATGTTTGCTTCATGCCCGCAAGATCGATGTCGCCAATCACGCCTGGATAGAAAGGTGTAAGTTTTGCTTTTCCTGCGATATTGAGCATATGAGCGTTGTAGAGTCTGTTGAGCTCAGGGGCTACATATGCCGAGAAGATGATGGTTTGGCGTAAGTGCTTGGCTTGGCCGTCGAGATAGTAGTTTCGTACGCGACTAAAATCACAGCCGTGTGCGTCTTTGGGCTGAAGATTGAGATGTTGGAAGACGAAATCTACGTGATCCCAGTTTTGCATGAGCATGGCATCCGCTTGGTCTACGATGCAGATTTCGATCGAGGAGAGATAATCGCTATCGGCTTTCTTGGGGTCGGTGTGTTCGATGATGCGGCGAAGACCGAGAGGCGATGCGAGAATGATGTCGGAAGCGTAGAATTGGGAGAAGAATTTCATAGTCTTGCGGGTGAACTTGACGCCCAGGCGGAAGTCGTTATCATCGTTGCCCTCGAACAACTCGAGGAAGTCGGCAGGGTGCGTATCATCTTCGGCACCGAATTTCAGCTCATCCAGTACGAAACCGTCTTCGAAACGTTTCTTGTTCTCCTGTTGCTCAGGCTCGCAAAGAGCTATCAAGGCTTCAACGTATTTGGCTGCGGCACTACGAGTCTCGAGCAAGACAAGGACCTTGGGACGGGTAAAGCCTTGGTCACGAAGTTCGAGATCAGCGTCTCCCTCTGCTGCTGCTAGACGAGTGTTGTTCTTGAGTACACGATCACGGCCCTTGTAGACGTGGTTGAGAGCATGCAGAGCAGCCATGTGTCTGAGCTCAGATGCGTTCTCGACAGTTCTGGCACCACACAGCACATCCTGGTAGGCGTATAGTGAGGGCGCAATTGCTTGTCCCAACTCGCTGAAGGTTCCGATATGTTTCGTTGCCGGCTCGGCAATACGTTGCTTGAGGTTGAGTTGTGTAACAGACTTGAGCGGTCTGCGTGATGAGGTGGGAGCGGATTCGGGAAGAGAGATGGCCAGGCTGCCGTCCTTGAGCACCTTCAGTTTCTCGGATCGCCACTGATTGTCGGTGATTGACTTGAGGCGCTTGGTAAGTTCGTTGGCTTCCGGATTGGCAAAGTGTTGATCGAAGGGATCTGTCGGGTCCTCATCCTCATCGTCGTCGGCCTCTTCTTGTTCTACCTCAGCATCGCTGTCTCCGTCTTCTTGTGTTTGGTCGTCGTTCTGAGCACCATCTTCGCTTCCCGAGACATCTGAACCCGCATCTGAAACACCGTCCCCATCCTCGTCGCTTTCTTCTTCTTGAGGAGCTTCCTCGATCTTTCTGCGTTTACGGCGGGGTTCGTCTGATTCTTGTTGGAAGGATTGAAGAAGAGCGTTGTATGCGCGAACCTTCGAAGAAGGTGCGTCTTCATCGTCGCTTCCTACGGATAGGTTGTCCTGGTCGTCCATAGGTTCGTCCTCGTCTTCGCTTTCATCGGGCTCGATCAAGGGCTGGTCCTCGGGTTCGTCGATTCTGCTGGTGCTGAACTCTGATCTTCCAAATCGGTTGCCTCCTCGACCTCCTCTGCCTCCTCTTCCTCCACGACCACCACCTCGGCCGCCGCGATCATTGAAACCTCCTCTGCCACCTCTTGATCCACCTCTCGAGCCACCACGGCCACCAAAGCTGCTGCCACCGCGGTTGTTAAAGCCACCTCTGCTGCCACCTCTACTTCCTCCTCTTGCACCGCCGCGAAAATCGCCTCTTGGGCCTCCTCTTCCTCTGAAAGGTGCCATTGTGATTTGCGATTGATTGATTTTGTCGAAAACCAAAAAAAGTCGAAAGTCGCGTATCTCCAGCGTTAAAGTCCGAGTTGGACTGCGACTTGGCGGTAGAAGTTCGGAGGAAGCCGTCGCCGAAAAGTTCCTTGCGTTTTCCCACAACGACAGGGTGATCGAGATAGACGACGGCAAGCTCACATCGCCAACGCAATCATGGCTCAAGACTCGTTCCTGCACCTTGCCCGCCCTCTGGGCCCCGTTCAAATCGGCACCCAGCCCTCGACCGCTCCTCTGAACGTCAGCGTCCAGCCCCAGGCCGTTTTCGCAATCCTCGACCACTCGCTCCGCAGACCCCAGGACCAAGAGCGCGTTATCGGTACTCTGCTCGGTGTTCGTTCTGAAGATGGCACAGAAGTCGAGATCCGCAACTGCTATGCTGTCCCCCACACCGAGACCCAGGAGCAGGTCGAGGTCGACATGGACTACCAGAAGCAGATGCTGCAGTTGCACCTTCGCGCAAACCCCAAGGAGGTCCTTCTCGGCTGGTACGCCACCTCTTCCGACCTGAACACCTTCTCCGCCCTCATCCAGAACTTCTACGGCCAGCAAGGCGATGGCACCTGGCCCCACCCCGCCATCCACTTGACCGTCTCCACCGTGCCCGGAAAGGACATTGAGGCCAAGACATACATCTCTGCACCCGTTGGTGTCACCGCCGAGCGCGCTGCCGACAGCTGCTTGTTCATCCCCGTTCCTCACGAGATCAAGTACGGCGAGGCCGAGCGCAGTGGTCTCGAGCTGGTTTCGGGAGCCAAGGAAAGAGAGGACCGTTCGCAGATGCTGCAGACCGACATCGAGTCTCTGGAGCGCGCCATTGAGCAGGTCCTCGAGATGATTGAGCGTGTCTCCAACTACGTGAGCAACGTTTTGGATGAGGAGGCCGAGCCCAGCTCTGCTCTGGGCCAGTTCCTGATGAACACCCTGTCTCTGGCTCCCAAGGTCGACCCTCAAGACATTGAGCGTGACTTGTATGTTACTCTGCTGCTCATCTTGTCTACAACACTTGCTAACATTCATGCTCCAGCAACAACCACATCCAGGATGTCCTCCTCGTCTCTTACCTCGCCAACACCATCCGCACACAAATCGACCTCTCAAACCGTCTCGCTACTGCTGCTCTCACCATGGGCGGTGAGGCAAACACCACCCAAGAGTCTGGCCAGAAGGGCAACAACAACAACAACCAAAAACGCGGCAACAACAACAACCAGGACCGCCGTCAACAGAACCGTCCCACCACCGAGGCCTAGACGTTTATACCCACAACGTCTTAGTTTATTCTCTCGAAAACAAAACCACGCACACCCCTTTTCATGTTTACCCTATAACTCTCTTCTTGTTCAATAACTCAAGCGCAAAAAGGGGTTCTCTTTTTTCTCAATCTACTGACAAAAACTGGAGTTGAGTTGTTATGATGATGGCTGTCTTTTTCTTCTTACTGGAAATCAGAGTCACGGTGTGGGCTAGCGGCATCGAAACCGGCATTGCATTCCGTAGAGGCGAAGGATAGAAGAAATGATCCAATTCAAAAAGTAAAAACTTCATGATCGTTTATCCTTTTGACTTGTGAATATGACTGAGTCATTTTGTTTTTGTGCTTGCAACATTGTCTGTAGCTTCAACATCCAGATACTGCCGGATGATGGACACGATCTCCTTCCATTCACGCATAGCGCCTCCTCCTGTGTCACCACAGGCCAGTTCCTTCTCAACCGGTCTGATATGTCTAACCCAGCCGCCAGTCTCAACCCCCCATTCTTGTTCCAACACAGCAGCTTGCTTGTGAGTGACAGGATGTGCCCACATGGCAGTGTTCATGGCAGGAGCAACCAATAGAGGTTTCTTCCCCGTTGATGTACGAAGAGTCGAAGGCAAGTTCGGCCTTCGAGCATCCAGAATGGCAGTCGTATCCCAAGCACGAACCACAGACATGACCAAGCTGTCAGCCATACCAGCAACCATTTTAGCCATGGAATTAGCAGAAAGTGGTGCTATGATCATGATATCGGCCCAACGCCTTAGCTCGATGTGTAAGATATCTGCACCACGAGTCCAAGGCTGAGACCATTCATCCTCATCTGTGTAGACAGCCTCGAGATTTGGTATCTCGAGAAGTGATGATATAGATGGCTGTTCTGCAGATTGACCTTGTAAAAATTGGCTGGCCGAAGAGGATAATATCAGGCGCATGGAAATGTCATGTTTTGACAAGGCTTGGATGATTAGAGGTATCTTGATGGTCGCGACTGAGCCGGTGCATGCGAGCAGAAGGTGCGGACGACCGTCATTTTGATGATCAGAGGCACGCAATGCTGTCGATGGTCTTGACATGTCGATAGTGTTTGGACATGGAGAAGCTTGCTTCACAGTTGATGGTTGCAGATCGGGATTGTTTTTCGAGTCATGTCAAAATGTTGCTTTGAAATGGATCTGCGTCATTGGCTGAGCGTCGCAGACGTCAAGAAGCTGGAGGTTTGTCGCAAAGAAGTTATCCCTCGAAACATAGACATCAACCACGAGAAACAATGGCAGCCAGATCAGTAGCTTCAGCGGTATGTCGCATGCTCTCAGCATCTATTCAAATACTCATAGATCCCTCACAGGCCTTCCGCACGGCATTCCGCCCTCGCCACAACCCTCTGCTTTCATCACGATTCGCTTCCCTGCAGACTCGCCTGCTGTCGCAAGAGACCAGAAAGGCCATTGACCAGGCCGTCGCCTCGGCTCCCGTTGTTCTGTTCATGAAGGGCACCCCCGAGATGCCCCAGTGCGGTTTCTCAAGAGCAAGCATTCAGATCCTCGGTCTCCAGGGCGTCAACCCGGCCAAGTTCACTGCCTTCAACGTTCTTGAGGATGAGGAGCTCAGATCAGGTTGGCTTACACATTCGGCCATTGTATCATGCGCATGCTAACATATGGAAACCAGGAATCAAGGAGTACTCAGAGTGGCCCACCATTCCTCAGCTCTACGTCGACAAGGAGTTTGTTGGTGGAACCGATATTCTGATGTCCATGCACCAGGACGGTTCATTGGCAAAGCTTCTCGAGGAGAAGGACGTTTTGGTTCCTGCCGAGTAAAGTACTTGTCGCAATGTAGATAACCTATTACCTTCGAGGTCTGTATCATCAGCTTGTACACTAATCAGCGTCTTGCTGCTTTGCCTTCCTTGTCTGTGATTTTTTGTGAAACTCAATTTGGTACAGGTCGGGAAGGAGCGACTTCCACTCGTGACTTCTGCCAGGCCCACATCTGACAGGACCGAGCTAACAATCTCGTTTCATCTTCTTGTCTATCGAAACCATCAAAACTACTGCAATCATGACAGCAGCTAAGAATCGCCGTGGTCACACTTCATCTTCGGTCCAGAAAAAGCACTCTCACTTCTCGGAATCCAAAAAGGACAAGAAAGAGAAGAAATACCTTACGACCAATTCCGTCTTCAAGAACCACCCTGATCGAATCCGCAAGCGCGACAAGGCTTCTTCTAAAAGCAAAAGAGATGATCTAGGCAAAAGCGTCCTCGGCTCTCGTCGCAAACGCGAGCGTGAACCTTCCTCTTCACCTCCACCTAGGAGATACACTCTCGCAGACGAGTCGAATGGTACAGCAGCTACTTTACCTGAATCATGCTCCAAGCTGCAGACTAATCTCTCTTCTAGCCGTGTTTGACAACTACAAAAATCATGTCAGCGATGACGCTGAGCAAACCATTGCTCGTGCCTATAAGGATCTGGTTCAGCAACTCGAGCAAACCACTCTCGCGCCCGACTCATTAAGCAACCGAATTGCAGAGGCCATCGAGGCTGCTCAGGCAATATCTACTCCACTTGCCGATGAACCAGTCAGCGTGAACTTCAAGGACGCCAAGGGAAACATCCTCCGTAACGAGCAGATTCCTATCGGCGACACCGTCACACGCTTCGAGCAGATACTCCAAAAGAAGAAGGATGATCTTACGACACTCTGGGAAGAGTGGGAAGACGTTCGTCAAGAAATCGCAGAGACAGGCGCCGATATTCTGCACGACCAGAAATTCCCATCTCAGTTTGGTCTTGAAGCTGCCAACAACCATTACAGCCCATTATCTCACACCAATCCTGAGGTTGAGAGTCTCCGTAGACTGATCCAGAAAGAAAGTGAGAAGGCGTACAAGGAGCTCGACCAGGAAGCCAAGGACAGTGTTGCAGCTCACAGGGAGTACCAGGGGCTCTGGATCAGCTGGCTGCAACAGAACACTTGATCGGTTCTTGATGGCGTTCAGTATTCCTGCAGACTCGATGCCACACATTCGGTTTGCGTTCTATTCTCTACTCTTGTGTTGCTTCTTTACCATCAACAACTTAGCTTTCGCCTCATATCCGTCGCTGTCACTTGCTTTATATATATCTGTTTCAGCAGCACATCTTCCGTAAATAGCTCAACGTTCAAGATTATATACTAAAATCCTATCTCATACAATCCTTCCGGCTCTGTCGGTCTGCCTAAAATCACCGAAGCCTTCCTCGCCTTCAAATCCATGACGATGTTGAACAAAGTCCCAGAATGATTTCCCTGCTCCTCCGCCCTACAAATGGCAAAAGGATAATTCTTCTCATCCTTGAACAACTCTTGCACCTCCTTCACCGTCGGCTCATCCCCCAACCCTTCACATATCTCCTGAATCCGTTTGATCCTAAACTTGCTGTCTTCTATCCACACCGTATCTTCCACCCCCGGATGCTCGACCAGATAATGATTGGAGTGAAATACCTGATTCCTCTCATTCATCTTCAACACTTGCAAGTCTTTATAACTCCATTCCAACCCCACGCTTCCGTTTGCATCTGCAATGAGCATATGACAAGAACTCGCCACACCGAACTTCTTCAATTCGTCCACCGCTTCTGTGAGGGAGTTGCTGTCGAGGATTAGGCGGAGGGCTAGGTGGCAGGGTATACGAGAAGCATCCATTCCTTTTGCTCTTATGGCGTTGAGGCATACTCCTACGCCTGAGGAGTTTAATCCGATTTTACCGATCAGACCTGCTTCTGTCACCATTTTGATTGTGGGTTTGGGACTCTGCTCGATGGTGAGGAGGATGAGGTTGGCTTTTTGCTCGGTCATCCACTGGATAAGCATATCTTGTCAGTAAACGATTCGAGGGAAATGGGTGGGGATGGACGTGTATTCTTACATCCCAGTTTTGAGCCAGGATACTCGAGTCCTCGTGCAACCAAGAAAGCGCAGTACATCCATCACTGAACAAGCCGAAATTGATCTCCGTACGCACGTTTAGTGCTATGATATCGGAGAGTGTTTTTCCTGCTCCATCCGCTATTCCTGATTAACCATCTCTATCAGTATACCCCCATCTCTCTGGATCAACCTCATAATTCTCTGGAGATCGCTTACCTCTCATCTCCTCCAAATACTCTGGCCAATTCTTTCTAATCACAGTCTCGAATTCCAGTGCTGTTTTCTGAACTTCCGGCCAGGAGATTTTTACATTTTGTTGAAACAGGGAAGTGTAGAAGGATATACTGCCTTTTATTTGGGATGCTGCTTGAGAGCCATGTTGGTATCCTATCTGTTTTGGTTTCGTAGTCAGTATTGATCATTTTTATCAGGGAAGGTTAAAAAGGTGTTGGAAATGTCGAAACAAACCTCATAGGGTGTGCCTTTGCAAGTGATTTCCAACATTGTCTTGAAGTTTTGGATTTGGTGTTTTTTAGTAAAAAACGTGATAATTTGGACAAGAAGTTGTTTGATGCTTTATGTTGAGATGTCTTGATATCTCGGGCAAGGATGATGGTCAAAGGGCGGGGTCATACCCAATTAGGAAACTACATCTTGCCCGAAGTAACCGTATATCTCGATATCTGACGATGCTTTCTATATGGACTGGATCTATATTTTCTGGGCAGTGGTATGTCAAGAAGTCTTCCAGTCTGCGATTCGAGATACGATTCATATAGAGGGTATATCTGAAGGTTTCATAAAGCAGAATCAAACGACCGCAGAATCATGGTCAAGAAACGAGTCTTGGTTGGGTATGGTGGTGAGTACATTGAATCTGTTCACCGGGAAAGGTTGGCTGACCGATACATCATAGTCGACGTCGATGCAGTATCAGGATGGTAAGTAGTCTGCCCTCTTCATCCGCAAATGATGAAGCCAATTCCCAAATCTCTAGGATCAACACCAAAGACGGCACTCCCCAAAACGGCACCAACGTATCTCGAGGCATCTTCGGAGCAACAGTAGGTCTCGAAAGACTACTCAAACTATTCAACAAACACAACATCAAAGCCACTTTCTTGTGAGTTTATTAAAATCGGACTCGCTGATGGTATGACCCTGGCTGACATCAATCATCAGCACACCCGCCCACACCATCGAATCATTCCCGAAGCAACTCGCAAAAGTCAAGGATGCAGGACACGAGATAGGTCTTCACGGTTATACTCATGAGCACATCTCCGGTCTTACTGCAACTCAGCAGCGCGATGTGCTCGCCAAATCCATCGATGTGTTGACCTCTTTCACCGGCCTCAAACCGAAGGGCCACACAGCACCAGCATGGGACACGAGTAAAGAGCTTATCCCTCTACTTGAAGAATTCGGCATTATCTACGATCATAGTTTCATGCATCATGATTTGCAACCATATTTCGCTCCTGACGGCAGGCACAGTTGGGTAGAGACTGATGTCAAGAAAGAGGCGAGTAGTTGGATGAAGCCGATGACCAAGATCAAACCGAGTGAAATTGTGGAGATTCCGGCGAATTGGCATGTGGATGATTGTGAGTTACTGCTTTCTGGTTGTAAGGGACGATTGAGCTAATAGTGTTCAAGGGCCGCCTTTGCAACCTATGCCGGGAAGAGCTGGTACAGTGAGTAGTCCCTTCCTTGTCGGTGTTTGACAGAGATCCGAGAAACTGATAGACAGCACAGCACGGATTTATCAGTACACATGAGCTTGAGAAACTGTGGCTTGAGCAGTTCGACTATGCATATGAAGAATATGATACCTTCATCTTTCCCATGTCGATTCATCCACAAGTTAGTGGAAAGCCGCATGTTATCAAGATGCATGAACGGTATGTACTTGTGACCTCGCAGGCAGATACTCGCTAACCTACTTTCAGCATTATCGAATACATCAACAAGCATGAAGGTGTTGAGTGGATGCCGTTGGGTGATATGGCGACAGAGTTCCTCGAAGGCCGGATTGCAGGAGTCGAGATCGAGGGAGGAGCGGACAATTGAGAAAGTGTCACTGGATGAAGAAAGAAAAGACATAATTAGTGCATTCGTCAGTCGTTTAATGAGATCAATGAACCCAGTCATCAAAGCAAAACCTTCGAGGCGACACCAAGCAACCACGCTGCGTCCTGCCAACCACCATCTTCGCCATTGCCTTGCCGATCTGCTCCAGCAACAGCTTGCCTCGGTCGAGGTGGTGACGCGGGCTGTACTACGGGCGTACGCACCACTCTCTCACGCAAAGTCGGAGTCTCATCCTCAGTTTCAGTTTCCACATCAGTAGCCTCTCTATCCTCCGTCACATCAAACAAAGTCCAACCAATCAGACGATCAATCAAAGGCCCAAAGCCAAACGAAGCCTCTCTAGCCAATCTAGCAACCTCTTGTTCAGGATCTTCATCGTCAGAATGATCTCTCGGATCCACAAAATCAGGTCTGACAGACATCTCTGGTTCCATCACGGCATCGCCGAAGTAGTCAGAAGGATCGCGATGGAGGTCCGGCGACTCCAGATTGGCTCTGCTGCCACGACGACTGTTGCGAGCGCTAGCTGCACGGCTGCCGAACCTACTGCCCCATCTGCTGGTTGCCCTTGGTGTTTCCGGACTGAATTCATCATCCGCGAAGTGTAGTCGTTGTAGAGAAATGGCACTCTTGCTGACCAGAGCATCTCCTTCGTCGTCTGAAGATTGTGCGAGTTGTAACGATGTAGATGAATGGCGTGAAGTCAGCCACGATTGTCCCTTAGACTCTCGTAGCATAGACGTTGTGGCCAGACCAGCGCGTGTAATCCAGTCGTCGTCATTCTGTTTGTCCTGCGGCTTGACGGCGTAGATGGTTGAATTGGGGTGGAGCAGAGGCGTGCGAAGTTTAGGTAGAGCAGCACGGGTAGGTCGAGTGTTCAAGGCAGCCTCGCTCTTCGCCTTGGGCATGATGTGATCTCCTGCATCTGGACGTAAGGCACTGCGAGGGAGCCCTTGAGTTGTGACGTGCACAGGGGCATATTCGGCGTCGTAGATGGACAGTTTCCGACTCAGGCCAGCGCCGCCCAATTGGCGTCGACTGGAGCTGCGGCCGAGGATGCTCGGTGTCGTGGGTGCTGATTTGCCTTCGATGTACGATGTATGCGGCGATGTGAGAGAAGCCATACGGCCGTCTACTGGACTGACGTCTCTTGAGAGGGGGGCCAATCTTAGGTTGGAGAGGTTGGTATGCGACCGACGCGACGTGCGTTTCCGATTACTTGCTTGCGACTAAACTGTCATGTCAGACACGTCGAGATTGTCTTCCACCATGGCGAGCCTACCTCCATAGCACTGTTGTGTATCCGAGCGTCTATCTCTTCGTCTGTCTTGCCTCACATCAAGTTCAATGTCAAGTCACAAGTTCGAGAACTCTGTGGGTGAGAGGAGTCTCCCCATCACCCCGCATCACATGTCAAATGTCACATCCGGGGATACCATGTCGATCAAAAATACTAAGGGCTCGTTCGGTTCGCGAGTTTGAGAGGCCTCCAACAAGACTTCAGATCGTTCGGATCGCATAAACTCGCATAATATCGCTAAATATGCTAAACAAAAGGTTAGGAACAACTCAGATGTCGAGGAAGATTGGTGGACTTCAGATTAGCCTTTTTTGGCTCCGGGAGGGCATTAACGGCGATATTTTCCTAATTATCAGCGATACTGGTGGGGGGGCAGCATACTGCTCGATAACAGGCCAAGACCATAGAATTTGGTGTGTTTGAGTGTATAATAACAGTACGAACCGAACGCCTGCGCCAAATCTAGCCGTTTTCGAGAGAGCGGACGCTTGAGTTGGTTACCAGCATACGACAAAGCTACTTCGATATCGAGGACTTTGCGAACCGAACGAGCCCTAAGTTCAAAAACATCCTCGGCGAACTACAATCTGATCTTGGCTCCAATTCCCTGTCCCTCATACCATATCCGTTCTTCCCATTTGCCCAATCGGACCCCGACCGTAGCCTTTGCTTTCATTTTGAGCGTCCCGCCTAATGCTCCTCTGACCACGTCCGACCCGACAGAACCATAGTTTATCGGTAAGCGCGGCGACGTAGACGACCCTGGGGGCACCGCGAATGGTAGATCATAGACAATATGTCCGACCGCATCTTCATGATAGAAAGCTGTCGCATTGATATACGTGACATAGATTGTCGATGTCTTCAATGGTGACAGCAGCACAAAATTCGCTGTGCTTGTGATGAGATGCATCTGGTGACTGTGTTAGTTGCATCCCTCTTTGCTAGTGGCTATGATACTGACTGTCGCATCCTGTATGAAGTGCTTCTCGCCCTCTTCACCTCCACCTCGCAAGTTCGGCGTCGCCAAGTCAACAGCGAACTTCGATAACGCTCGGCCGAGCGAAGGCTGCGCTGGTATGGTACCCTCGTGTGCTCGTAACGTCAACGTTGTGTTGTAGCCTGTAGCATGTTAGTAGACGTAGATAGATGTGTTCCAATTCACAAACCAGAGATGTATTGAGACAAAAACTCGACACCAACGTGATGACCTTCCTCGCCTCCCATTGTCTGCGGATCCCAGACGGCAGTGACAAGAATATTCGTGTTGACGCCAGGGACGACCTTTATATCTTTGGCGGTAGCGTGTCCAAGCAATGTTCCATTTGTCAGAATGTGGATGTCGACAAACGGTACAGTAGCGCTGTACTCTGTGGGGTTGGTGAAGTTGACCGATGCGGTGAGTGTCAGGGAAGTCTTGCCAGTATCGATAATTTGTAGATTGCCGATCTTGGGCGTGAATGAGCCAACGCCGCCTCGCTTGATGGCTACAAGGGGCCGCACATTAGCTACATGATTCTTTGAGCTGCTCGAACGATGTAGGAATCGATCACGAACGTTTGACAGGCACGGAGCCTTCAGCCGGAATCTTCCTGACAGCCAATTGACCAAGCGCTGTCTCCATCTCGACATCAACCTCCGCCTTGATGCCCAACTCAACTCCCTTGCCGCCAAAGAGGAGGGCGTTCAAGACATCGGTGAATACATCGTCGTCCGTCACAATCAAAGGAGCTTTTTCGATTGCTGATTGTACGGCCAGAAGCGGGCCCTCATCCTTGTTGTCCGAATCGATTCGACTTGAGTTTGCTTTCTGCCATTTATTCAAATCAAGGTACCCAAGCTTGGAGCCGTGGTAAAACACATCTGCATCTGCTCTAACGCGGCCGACGCTGATGTTAAAGTTCATTTCCTCGGGTAGAGCGACCAGCGCCTTGATGTTGGCAGAAATTCTGGGGTTCGACTCGGGGCTGTCTGGCTCGGCAAAAGGATCAGGCAATCCGAAGTGTACATCGGCCAGGGTGAAGTTTCTGATGAGGTGTCCGAAAGTGTGGCCGGGGAAGGGGACCGGCACGGTTACGTCGGACATGAGATCAGTGATCCATCGGGGAGTGTCTAACGAGGGCGAGTCCGATCCTCGTACGTATACAGTGGTATTGTTTCCATGAATATAGCCGCCAAGAAGTATGTCCAGCGGCGACTCATGAGATCCAGGGCAAGCTTGAGTAAAGGCCTGGGGCAGACGTCGAACGAATCCAGAGACGCTGACATTAAGGTTCTCCTTCGGCTTGACAGAAAGGCTTGGTGTGGTAGCATCGGCCAATTGAATAAGAGGTTGCGAAGGATGACAGTTATCAACAAGGATGGCGAAGCCGAGAGGGGGAATCGTAAAGTCCAGGGGATAGTCGTTGCCGAGTTCGACAGAAACGTCTGCTACCATAGCACGCTGTAGGTCGGGTAGTTGAACTTCACGAAAGTTGAGCTTATGGATCTTGTACTCTGGTAAAGTAGGGATGTTGTCGTTCCCAAAAGCCATGGCACGGGAGATAGTCTGCCTTCCAAGATTTATGAGGCCTGATTTGACAGGAACTGAAGCTTCGGCGGAAACACGCAACTCTTGCAGCTTTCCATCAATATAATCTTTAGCCAGATGTCTAATAGCATCCGTGTTACCAGGAGCCAGCTCGGTCAGGAAGTCAATGTGTGTGGTATGACCATTGCGAATGTCAGCTACAATAGAGGGTATTTCTGCGGTTCCAAGAAGCGCATCCTTGTAGTCCGGTAGAGTGACTTGGACGGACGACTGGCCAGTCTCAACCTTTCTGGCAATCCAGGTACCAAAACGACCGAAGCGGCGAACGGAATCGTCCTTGACGTTATCGGCACGCATGGAGAAGTCACCCTGTATCCTGGCTGTGACGCCTGTGGTAGTGAAAGAGTGTATGGACAAACTCGTGGGCTCAAAATGGGCGGCTTGAACAGCATACTCTTGAACCTTGGACGGTGCTAGGAAACCCAGTACCATTATGAGGACAGCAATAATGCAGAGAAGGAACAAGGCCAATAGACTGGACCATCTTGGTGGGCTCTTAGACTGGGGTTGGAAGAGGCGTAGCAATCGTGCGACGGCGGGCGAGTGGGATGACCCGGATGATGATTCGGCTTGTTCTTGTGCTTCAACGTTGTGGTCGTTGTTTGAGGATAGTAAGGGAGTGTTCTCGTTGTTGTGATCGTGGGTTGCAGAGTGATGCGACGAATGGACCGATTGCGGCCTGGAGGGCGGTTGGGAATTCGTCTCTGGCATGGTTGAACGGGTGGATGGGTTGGTTGATACGGTAGTTGATTGGAAGTTGGTGTCAGCGCTGTGCGCCAATGTGTAGATAAGCTAACTAAGTGCGCATCGCAATCGCGATCGTGAAGTGGGTGAAGAGGAAGAGGCGGACGCGAGTCAAATTGGAAGTGGAAGTGGAGGTGTGGAGAGTGATCGCGTCAAGCACCGAAACGTAACCGGGCGGGCGAGCCGAGGCCGCCACGCGCGCTATCTGGGGAAGAGAACAAAGCCCTTATCGATAGCTACCCGCTGATATGGATGGGAATATTTGATTCCGAGGTCGGTGACTCAAGCTCTCCATATCACACACCAACAACAATGACTGTCTTACGAGTGTCCAACCGGGCCTGTAGCCTGCGCAAGGCTCTGACAACTCCTGCCCGCGGCTATGCCACTTCGCCAGCTCAACCGGCAACCTCGCCTTTTGCTCCCCGTCATCTGATGTCAATCGCTGACCTGACTCCCGCCGAACTCAGCACTCTTGTCCGCAATGCAGCTTCTCACAAGAATGCTGTCAAGTCTGGTCATGTCCCTGCATCTCTTCAGGGCTCTTTGTTCGGCAAGACTGTTGCCTTGACTTTCAGCAAACGTTCTACCCGCACTCGTGTTTCCACCGAAGGAGCAGTTGCTCTTATGGGAGGCCACCCCATGTTCTTGGGCAAGGATGACATTCAACTCGGTGTCAACGAGTCTTTGTACGATACCTCGGTTGTCATTTCATCTATGGTCTCGTGCATTGTTGCTCGTGTCAATGGCCACGATGATGTTGCCAACTTGGCCAAGCACTCTTCTGTCCCTGTCATCAATGCTCTGAGTGACCTCTACCACCCTCTGCAAACCATTGCCGATTTCTTGACCATCCACGAAGCCTTTCCCTCTTCTCAGACTTCCAATGTTCAGGGGCTCGGTCTCGAGGGCATGAAGATTGCATGGGTCGGCGATGCAAACAACGTGCTGTTTGATTTGGCTATTGGTGCTATGAAGCTCGGTGTTGACATTTCTGTTGCTACTCCCAAAGGCTACGAAATTCCTGCTACCATGCGTCAAATCATCCAAGACGCTGCAAAGACTTCCCCCAAAGCTGGCTCCCTCATCGAGACAACCGTCCCGGAAGAGGCTGTCAAGAACGCAGATATTCTTGTCACAGATACATGGATCTCTATGGGCCAAGAAGCAGAGAAGATTGCTCGTCTGAAGGCTTTCGAGGGCTTCCAAATCACACCTGAGCTGGCTAAGCGTGGTGGTGCCAAAGAGGGATGGCAATTCATGCACTGTCTTCCTCGTCACCCTGAAGAAGTCAGCGATGAGGTCTTCTACAGCCCCAAGAGTCTGGTCTTCCAGGAAGCAGAGAACCGCCTATGGGCTGCCATCTGTAAGTCACCATGTACCCCAAGAGATTGACATGACACTAATTCGCAAAACAGCTGCACTGGAAGCCTTCGTTGTGAACAAGGGCAAGATTGTGTAGAAGGAACAAGAAGGGTCAATAGAAAGCAAGTCTCGTATAAATCGTACATGGCTAAAAGCAAAGATGGTTCTGTTGTAAGCTGCGAGAACTTTGTACACTGCTTTAACCCATCGCTTTAACCGGGAGGAAGGGTGCTGGCGTCAACAACATCTTCGGCTTCCTTCTCCATCTCTTCGCTGGGGCCGTGGAGAGGCGATCTGGGCAGCGCCATGAGACCTGAAATGTTGTTAGTATAGCCACAAGACATGACGATGATCGCGAATTACCTGTTCGGGCACTTTCGAGAATACCGAAAGGCGCAATGAGCTTCATGAATGAGTCAATTCTGTGGGGCTTGGCCGAGACTTCGACAATGCAGTTGTTAGTTGAGATGTCGAGGACCTTGCCGCCGAATTGGTGGGTGAGATAGGTGATGGTCTCAAGATGCTTGTGCTTGTGTCTCAGAGCCTCGCTAGCAGCAAGGCGACTGGGGTGGAAGTCGCGTCTCAGAGCTTCCTGGTGAGCGCGAGCGTTGGCCTCAAGCTCCTCAGGAGTAAGACCAGCGACCTGAGCCTGAGCCTCGGCATCGGTCATCTCTCTATGATGGGCGAGGAGCTCCTCAAAGTACTCGGGACCCAGGATGCTAACCTTGGCCAGGAGCAGTTCGCGCTGGACAAGGGGAGCAGAGGTGTAGTCAAGGACGGCCCAGACAGGGACCAAGTCCTCAAGTTGACGGCGGGCCTGTTCGATGACGCCGTCCTGGCCTTGGAGAACGATGGTCATGCGAGAAAGATCGGCAACTTCAGTGTTGCAGACGACCAGGGAGTCGATGTTGAAGCCACGGGCAGCGAGAATACCGGAGACGCGTGAGAGCACACCAGGCTCGTTCTGGACAAGGCAGTTGAGAACATGACGCTTGGGGGGAGCTTGAGAGGGTAGAGGAGTCTCGTAGAGGATGCTGGAGACGGCAGCGGCGGGCGAGACGGAGGCGGCGGTAGGAACCTGGGGCAGGGGAGAGGTGCGGCGATGCAGGGCCTTATATGCGATGGCCGAGGTCGACGACGACGAGTTGCGGGAGTTGGACAGGGCGAAAGAGCGCTGGGTGGGAGCGCGGCAGCGGGGAGCCAGCGACTCGAGCGACACGGCGGTCCAGATGCGTTTGGACGCCATTGCGAGAGCGACTGACTTGACGAGGCGGATCACAGAGCGACGAGAGCTCTTGTGAAGGTGATGGTCAAGTGAGTCAAGGTCTTGATAATAATAAAATCGGAAGCTCGTTGTGTTGCCGGCGACTTCGGCGGCCAGCCCTGGACCGACGCCGGGTCCGTGCATCGTCATCGGGACTCGGACTTTAATTATTCGCAGTTCGCGTCCTCCAAAAAAGACTCCAGAGTCCAGACGTGCGCTTTAACCCGCGAATACAAGTCCGTCTCGTCGCAAACAATCCTGCGCCCCATTCTTTCGCCATGTCCGAAGAACCTCGCAAGCGCTCGCGTTTCGATCAGACCGAGTCCGATGCGCGCCCTTCTCGTTTCGACCGCCGCTCGCGTTCACCAAAGAACAGAAACTCGGAGCCTCGCCAACGTACTCGTAGTCCCGTATCTGGTACCAACAGTCCCGCTTCGAGAGATCCTGCTGCTGCCGCAGCCGCCGCTGCTGCTAAAATCAATGCGCAAATTCAAGCTCGCAAGGGCATCCAACACGTCGATGTTCCGCCAATCCGTTCCGTACGCACCTCTGCCGCTACACTTTCCATACATCCTCAGACCAAGTGCTGACCTGTCATGCGCAGACCGAAAGCCCTTCGGGTGGTGGAAACCAGTCTCCTGGCGGCGGCCTGAATGCTGACATCTACACCCAAGATGGTGATTTCATCAGAGATATCGAAGTCAACGATCTACGCAATCGCTACACCCTCACCAAGGGCTCTACTCAGAAAATGGTAAATCCTCACCGTTGCACTCCACTGATGTTGCAGTTTCCCACACTTCCTCCCCTGTTTTCAAAGGTTTTTGTTTTGGTTATACCATTTGAAGCTTCAGATTGCTCACTTCTAGCCCAACAGCCACTAGGCTCCACCGTTTTGCAAATGCTGACCTCGAGTGTGTGACATCTAGATCAAAGAAAAGACTGGCGCCGGTATGCACCATCCCTATACATTGACGATTTGAACACAAGGCTTATTTGTCCTAAAGATGTCACCACCAGAGGAAGCTATTATCCCGACAAGGCAATGGCCACTGCTGCCGTAAGTTTTTTTGTCCATCGAACAGTTTTACTTGTATCACTGACAGAACCTAGAACCCACCCCTTTACCTCCACGTCACCAGCACCACCAGAGATGGTCTCGAAAAGGCCGTTGCCGAAATTGACGAATTGATGAAGCAGGATCTGCCTAACCTTGTAGACGAAAGACGGTTCCGTCGCAGAGAACCAGAACAAGTCGAAAGAGATTCCATGGGTCGCGTGAGTTCTTGTCTGTGTTGAAGTTGTGTTTCGATGTTTGTCTAACAAGAACGTTCAGCGCAAATGGCCTGAAGAGAAGATTCCTGTGGATCTCGAGCCCATCCCCGGATTCAACCTTCGTGCTCAAGTTGTCGGTCAAGGTGGTTCTTACGTCAAACACATCCAGCAGGAGACACGATGCCGCGTTCAGATCAAGGGTCGTGGATCCGGTTTCATGGAGCACGACACTGGACATGAGAGCGATGAAAGCATGTACCTGCATGTAGCGTAAGTGTGCATCTACGGATTTGCTTTGCTCAAAGACTAATATATTGCAGCGGCCCTGACCCCAACGAGGTAACCCGTGCTAAGGAGCTCTGCCTCGACCTTCTTGCCAACGTTCGCACCCAGTATGAGCAGTTCAAGGAGCGTGGTCCTCGTGGCGGCAGAGGTGGTGGCGATCGCGGCGGAGACGATTACGGCGATCGTGGACACCGTGGCGGCTACGGAGACCGTGATCGCAACAGCAGCTACGGCGGCGGCGGTTACGGAGGCGGAAGAGACGGCGGTAGAGATGGTGGCTACGGAGGAGGCTATGGCGGTTATGGAGGCGCTGCGTCACCAGCAGCCGCTCACACTGGAGCTGCTGCTGCAGCTATGAGCCCTGGCGCCGCAGCCACTCCCGACTATGCTCAAGCCTATGCACAGTACTACCAGCAGAACGGACAACAGGATCCTTATGCTGCATACGGAGGCTACGAAGCCTACACAAGAATGTACTGGCAGTATTACCAGCAGCAGCAAGGCGGCGTACCTGGAGCGGAACAACCCCCTTCTTACGACAACGGTGCTGCACCTCCACCACCTTCATCCGAGGCTCCACCACCGCCCCCAGCAGACGACCAAGCTCCTCCTCCACCCCCTGGAGCAAGCGGTGGCTACAACTCTGTAAGTCTTGTGATATCGATACATCAAGAATAGATGACTGACAGTTGCGCTAGGTACCTCCTCCTCCCGGAATGTGATGTGATAGCTCTATCGAATCTTTGGACAGATTGAATCCTTCAGTCAGTCATCATTGAGTAGACAAACAAGAAGAGACCGGTCACAGGGCTTGGGCAGACCGTCCCATCAAGAAGCGAAACGGGAGGCGGCTCAACGCACTATTACGAAAGGGCCAACAAGACGCGACTAGTTACTTGGTCGATTACGTTACAAAGTAGAAAAATGTTCAAAGTATTTCTCCGCACTTGTGCCCCCTCGTCTGACTACCCCGCGCTGTGTGGGAACGGTGTGTGGGTTAATATATTGCATAGTGCATCTCCGGGCCGCCACTGAGTACTATTATAGAGCCCGTGCACTCGCTGAGATGGCAGGCTGCACACCATTCGTGCGTGCGGAATCGATCTGTCTAGATACAGCGAGGAGCATCTTCAGCTACGCCAGGCAGAAGCAGTGAATGAGAATGTCCAAAGAGAACAGGACCTCCGTACAGTCATTCGAGATAGCGATAGGTGGAAACTCAGCGTTTTATCTTTGTATCGTTGTAGAAGAAACGCGAGGAGTCACACTCCTCGGCACGACGAAGGTCGTTTTCTCTGACCTTTGATCGCCCGATCAAGTGGTTTGCAAGCCATTGCTAACTTATCGTGAAAGTAGAGACACCAAGGCCCACCAGGACTAAGGTTCGCAAAGTGGACCATTAAAGGCCGCGATGGTCATAATGGCGGCAAGACCATTTCTTGGAGCGTCTGTCCAGATGTACCCTCCTCCCTACATGACTTTCATCAAGCATCTTGCATCCAGGGATTCATAGACTAGCAACTCTTCAACGAAACATGGTCAGATCGGAAGTAGATGTCTTAAACAGGCGAATTGAGGCTCTCTGCAAAATGGTGAGTAAGGCAGGGGTAAGGCGATGGTCAACGGAAGGACGACGAGAAAAAGACAAAGCAAAATTTCAACCGCAGGCAGCTTGCGCCATGCAGCTGTACCTTACGATGTCGATGCAATGATCAGCGTTAAGGGACGGCCCTCTGTCTTCAGCCACAAGCGAGAAGCCAATGAGAACAATGTTGGGCTGCCACCAAAGCCAAATACCAAGTGTTGATGCCAAACTGCTCGTTAAGCTCAGAAGGGGCATACATTGAGCAGAGGATCAAGTGGTAGCGTTCAAGCGACATACGGCATGGTTCAACAATACCTGGGGGATGGTACCGAACCAATGCACGCAAGATTGTGTACTCTACTGCGTACTGTTAAAGCAACGGAGGGCACGAAGGAGCCCTGCAGATTCGGAAGGCACATGCGTGATGTGCTTGGCAAGGACGAGATCAAAGGGTATTTGCGAGTGCGAAACAGGGATAGAGGGACAGAAGGAAGGAACGACGGCTGAGACAAGGACAAGATAGCAGTTCCCGCGAGAACCCAAGAGCGATGATGACAGGCCTTGGATGTGTCCTATGGGTGGAACGGTTCTCAGATGGAGGCGCATGGACGCTGGAGCTAGCGCTGGATTCTGTCGAGGTGAGTGGGCGATTGGATTGGGATTGGGCTGGTGGTTGGAGGCCGGAGCTCAACGGTCAAGCGAGTTCGGACCACCTCTTCATCGTCATTTGCGCGCGCCCACCACCAACTGCTCCTCCCGCCGCATGCCTTCTGAATTCTGCGAACCGAACTTTTGTTATCATGGCCTGAAGCTCACGCACGCGATCACTCTGAATCTTCCGTCCAGCCCTCGAGTCTGCGCCTACCATCGCCTCGCTATATGCTTTTACGCGGCAAAGGCTCGCATGAGCATCTTCACGACTGACTTCGACATGATCCGCCCTCACCTGTGGTAGCCTTTCCTATCTTCAGCGATTCCGATTCATTTGGTCCAGCAAGCGCGCAATCTTGGCTCGCCCGTCGCTCCCCCTCTGCCACGTCGAGCGTAGACATCCAGTCGCTGGCCAAGCGCGTGCGATACAAGGTCATGGACCAGAACACCCCGAGCCCGAACCCGAGCGATCAGGATGACTCCGACAACACCCCTCGATCCGAGCTCCCTTCCCTCGCCGTCACTCCGACTCCCGCCCGTGAGGATGCTCGACACGCTTCCGAGGATGGTTACTTCGCTCTGAAGCCTACCGTCTCCCGTCCGAACTCGTTGCTATCTCCTGCAGTTGCCGCTATCGCTACTCCGGGCATCCGCCGCACTACCACATACCCCGACACCCCCGACAGGCCTGTTGTTCAAAGAGACCTCTCACATGCTTCAGTCGCTAGTGTCGAAAGCAATCTGAGTACCGTCACCGTGAAGGCATCCGACTCTGGTCACGAGTCATCTAGTCAGGCAACCTCCCCTCTCTATACCCGGCCAAAATACCCTAATCAGGCCTTCTCTGCCTTGCAGCAACAACGATACCCCCCACCGCATCTGCCTCCGACACTGCGTACCAAGACGCTTCACCCGGCTCAGCCTGAAAACTTCCGTCAAGCAATACAAGCTCTGCATAAGACTGGTGCTAAGACCGCTGACAACACTCCTGCTGTGACCCCTGGCTTGTTCACCCCCAAAGCACCCGCTGAGCAATCAAACTTGGGTCCTGATGAACATGGATTTTATGCGTCTCCATTCTTGCACTTCACCCACCGTCAGGCACCCAAGGAAACCCACATTGCTGATGTTGATATTGATCCTATCTCTGGACGAAAGCTCATCAACAACTACGAAATCATTGACGAGCTCGGTAGAGGAACGCATGGCAAGGTTAAGCTGGGTCGCAATCTGGCCACAAACGAATATGTAGCCATCAAAATCGTGGAGCGCTACTCCAAGAAGCGTCGACTTGGCAAGCTGGGCAACGCTGAAGATAAGGTCAAAAAGGAAGTTGCTATTTTGAAGAAGGCCCGACATCCAAATATCGTTGCTCTACTCGAGGTCATTGATGACCCCGCCCGCAAGAAAGTCTACATTGTGTTAGAACGTGTCGAGCTTGGTGAAATTGTATGGCGCGCGAGTGCTCCCAAGGAAGTTGCTTTGGTTGAGTGTCGTCGCTACAACAGAGAGTCGCGTGGTATCTTTGACGACGAGGAAGCCGAGGCTGAAGATCGCGCTATCCTCGACGAGGCCAAGACACGTCGGCTCAAACAGCAGAGGCGTACTTTGAGAAAGCTACGCCGTCAGAGACTGGCTGGAGGTACCGGACCTGGAGCCTGGAGTTTCGAATTCGGCGGCGACACCGACGAAGATGATTCGGATGCAGAACATGCGTCAAGAATTTCCACTTCGACGACCGAAAAGAGTGCGGATCAGGTAGGAATTGATAGTCGTCAACTATCAGCCGTGCTTGCACAATTCTCGATCGGAGAGAGCGACGGAGCCGATCCTGGGACCCCCATCAATCCGGTCAACCCTCAGGCCTTCTGGCCAGAAGTCAGCCCAGTGAAACTTTTGGAAGGTACCATGTATGGTTCTTACGAAGAGGAAGTCGCCGACAAAGAAGCAGCTCGGGCGCCAAGCTTGGCTAGCAGTGTGCGCTCCTTTGGTGCTCAAGACCTCCGTCACCCAGAAGAACGTCGATATTGGGATGCTTCAGGGGCAGAAATCCTCGATGCTGACTTCCACCCCGATCTGCAGTTTGTCCCTTGCATGTCCATGAACGCTGCCCGTGTAGCATTCAGAGACACTGTCTTGGGGCTGCAGTATCTGCATTGGCAAGGCATCATTCACAGGGACATCAAGCCTCCTAATCTCCTGCAAACCGCCGATCACCGAACAAAGATCTCAGATTTCGGCGTTTCATATCTTGGTCGTCCGATCAACGACGACCAAGTCCCAGAAAACCTTTCCGAATCAGACATGCAGGACTTTGACGAGGCTAAGGAACTCGCAAAGACTGTCGGCACCGCGGCTTTCTACGCTCCTGAATTATGTTACACTGATGGGACTGGTGATACCCCTCCAGTTGGAGCCGCTATCGATGTGTGGGCATTGGGCATCACTCTGTTTTGTATGTTGTTTGGCCGGACACCGTTTGTCGACAACGAATTTGTTGTCATGCGACGAATTGCAGACGAAGAGATCTACGTGCCTAGGAGGCGTCTGCGGCCTGTTGATCCTCGTCCTAAATCCCGTCCGTCTTCTCACGGCCGTTACTTCCCACCCGCTGCTTCGGGCAAGAGATCAGAGTACGAGTTGGCATATGAGGAGTTGGACGATCTCCTTCTCGACCTGTTCCGCAGGTTGTTACAGAAGGACCCTGCAAAACGCATCACCCTAGAGGAAGTTCGACACCATCCCTGGGTAGTACAAGATATTTCCAATAAGACCCTCTGGCTTGATGAGACGGATCCATTCAGACAATCACACGGTAAGAAGATCCAAGTCTCCAAAGAGGAACTTCAAGATGCCGTTGTGCCAGTCAAGCTGGTAGAGAGGATCCGATCAGGTGTGAAGAAGACCATCGGCGGCTTGATGAGCGGTCTGGGCCGAGCAAGTTCGACAAGGACTAGAACGCCTTCAATGTCCGGATCCAATCCTCTTTCTGCCAGCTCTTCGAGCAGTGCAATCAGCCAAGATGGCCGAAGGAATAGCTTGCGAGGCGACGAGAGTATATTCTCGGCTTTAAAAGCTTCTCGTGAGCATGAGCACCCTTTGGCGCAAAGTGTCACTGTCAGCCCAGAGCAAGCCCCCAATCGCGACGCCTACTTCTCAAGTGCCAGCACACCAACGGGGGCGACTGATTACCCAAGTCAGGGGGATAGGTCAAGATCAATCATGTCTACGACTACTTCTGTTCGGACTATCAAACCATCCGACATGCTCCAACCCCAGATCACTCCAGATTCGCCGCCTACATCTCCAGGACTCGGCTCATCCTCCTTCGACGCCACTGTAACCAACATTGGCGGACTTCTGAGTGGTGCCGGTCGAAGAATACTGAAAAGCGTCAGAGATCGAAGTACCGCAGGCCGAAGCACTGACGGGCTGGAGAGATCGGCTAGCAGGGCACCTTCTGAGTCGAGCGACGCTCACGGCGACCCGAGTATCGCTGTTAGTACTACGCAAGCATCGGGTCATCTAGATCTCCCGGATGCGCTCAAAGACATCACTTTAGGAGCGAGCAATTCCCCGAGTCCCATAGTGTCAAGATCACAATCGAGAGTTCCCCCGGAACGTCGCGACACGGCAATCAGACCGAGCACAACACTTTCTCGCCAAGTTTCCACCTCCTCGATCGAAGCACGCCGGCGCTTGGCGGCTGAATCCACGTGGGATCCAAACAATACCGATCGACTTCCTCACGAGTCAACCGAAGATGATTTCCGTAGAGCAGAGGACGAATGGCTACGACGCAGTACTCGGGAGTCTACGGCAGAGACAAGCATAATCTCAAGCCGAGCGGCAACAGAAGTGCCTGAAACATGTCCGCCGAGTCCGGATGACGAGTTCGAGCACGACTTTCACAATGACCACTACGAAGATGATGAGGACGACGATGACGAAGATGATGATGACGACGAGGATGAGCTGGTAATTGGCGGGTCAAGATCTGATGCACGTCGACGCAGTGCGTACGTGCAGAGATCTCAGGCCACTAGTCCAACAAGCCATGCTTCGGGTGCAGTACCGCTCATGACACCCAGCTCTTCTGAAGATCGCTTCCCTCCCAATACACCCATGTCTTGCTCGAACCCCTCGATTCCTTCCTTTACCACCGTCGACTCGGAAGTTCCTCAAGAAAAGGCCGCAGATGAACAAGGTGAGCCTCTTGATGCCGCAGAATCACTTTTCACACCCTGTGTGCCTGTACTTGAAGAAGATGGATACTCTGGTGACAATGCCATTGAGAGTGATGATGACGATTACGAAGACTCATCTGACGACGATGGCGGTCTGCAAATGGTGCGTAGACGATCTGCACCTTTTACACCTAGCGGTGGCAAGGGACTTGGGGTCAGCTCATCGTACTTTTCACGTCACCCACGACGAGGCACTGGGTCATCTGCTTTTTCCAAAAAGTCATCTCGAAGTGGCAGCAACAATACCATGAAAAAGATACGCAGTCACGACGATAGCGACTGAGCCATACTGTGGCGATAGATTGTAGTTTCCCAGAGATGAGAGGAGACTTTGTCATATTATAATTTCTTTTGCAAGCGATGGCGTTGATAGAGGAGTTCTTTTTATCAGGTTGTTCGAATGGGCTGGGCCTGCGATTACCAATTTCATGTTTACGACGAACGGCATTGGATGAAGGGGACTACTTCTTATCTTTCTGTTACTACTGATTCTGCATGGCGGCTGTGGGCAGGAGAGCAAGTGATGGTGGTGGATGATGCGGGCTGACGGAGAGAGAAGGGGCTCAAGAGCATCACTTTCTCAAGCTGCCGATCTTCTGATATGTTTTCCCAAGATAGAGCAATTATAGACAATGGTGGTATGCAAGCACGAAGAAATTTGTTGTTACAGCTGAATTGAACTGAAGGGAAAAAGCAAAATGTGGTATCTTATCATAACATGTCATCGTCTTGGTCGTCGATTGAGCTTGCAGCGTAGCCGTTCTCAGCGTCTTCGGCGTCTCTCTCTTTGCGTGTCTGTTCTCTCGAAGCACCGATCTTCCTGTCGATCTGTCAGTATGCTTGAGATAGGGATAGGTCTGACATGCGGCAAGATACCTCAAACCATCAACAACTCCCGAGATGAAGGATCTCGATTCGGCAATCTCCAGAGCACCGACACCATTCATCTGAACACCAGCACCAGCGTCCAAGACCTTTACACCTTTCCTTAGCTTCGCCATTCGTACCTCTTTGAGATCGCGCAGCAAGCGTCTGACGGTGTCAGGCTCCTCGAAGTCGTCGGATGCATGAGATAGGAGCATATGGCTCAACTCCAGCCAGTGGTAGGGTAGAGCATCCGGTGCAGCATTCGATGTGCTTGAGGGGAGAAAGGGAGACGACATTTCCAGAGCCGTTTGATCGAGGTATAGATCGGATGGAAGAGTCTTGGGAGGGGGAAGCGTAGGTGGAGGAGAAAAGGTATCCTCGTGATCGACCTCAATGTCGAGGATTGCGGAAAGAGCTTCAGGATTGAGCCATGGCGGAGGTAAGATATTTGCGCGACGTTGACGTTTGAGTAGCAAGGCGAGCCAGAGAGGAAGTGGTGTGGGAAACGGAGGTGTGAGGGCTTTGGTAGGTCCCTGGGACTGATCAGTATAGGCTTCGGACAAGATGGTGGCGCATTTGACCGACTCCTAGCAGCTCGAGCGACTCGAGTCGTTGGCGCGGTATAACCGTCACCATCTCCATCTCACACAGAAAGGCCACCTCAGCCGGCGTCAGGCCTGCCTTCAGCGGTAACGCCATGTCCAATGCATGTATTGGGCGTATGCCCCTCCAAGGAATTAATCCCCAAAAGTGCCCCCCGCCAGACGATTTGACGCGACCGCGTCGTGGTCCAAGCGTCTTCAATTAAACGTCTTGGCACTCTCTTCCATCCTCCACTCGACTCTTTTTATGATTCGGCACCGGTAACAAACTTTGGATAATCCTTGAAAGTCACTCACCTTTGCATTTTCGCACACTGGTCTCGGTACCTTACATCACTGTCTCATTTGGATACTTGAGCCCGAAGGAAACCCCACCCATCAATTTTCTTCTCTGAGTCATCACACCAAGCAAATTCTCTCGCGACAGCGACCTCGTGAACATCTCGAATATGTCGACCGCTATTGCGGCCACCCCTGGCTTGTCATCATTTTTGAAGTCTCTCAAACATGCAGACGTCGAGACTTCTATCGAACATTTCATTTCGTATGTTTCTTGATATCATGCGAGTATTGTAACATCCACTCTAACAATATCAAAGTCTTTTGAAGAGACGTCAAATCAGAAACTCAAGGCCATGTGCTATCGCAACTACTCAACTGCTTCTCCGCATCGTAGCCGCATCCAAGACCAGAGATGCTGCTTCGCTGATTGAGCGTGTGCGCAAAGTTGGCCAGCGTTTGATTGCTGCTCAGCCCCGTGAGATGGCAGTCGGCAACATTGTGCGCCGTGTTCTCGGTCTGATCAGAGAAGTCGAGGAGACCGGTCTGGATGCTGGTGCTTATAGCGATGCCGCACAAAGCGACGAAGCCAACCAATCCCACAACAACTCCATGAACCGATCCGGCTTGAACACCAACGCCTCTGCTTTCAGCTCGCTCAATCACGGTGCCTCTGCTTCTGGAAACGTGAATCTGAGGCAGGATCCATTTACTTCGGCCGACTTCAACGACACCACAGCCGCTCACAGACCCCCACTTCTCACCTCCCACACCTCCTACGCCACTGGTCCTCAGGTCACTTCGCTATTTGGTCTGCTCTCACATCCAGACGAACCTTCTCCAGCAGTAACCCCACCAGCCGGTTCCCAATCCCCCATCACCAAATCCGGCTCCCGCCTCAACAGCATCCTCGAAGCCACCGCTGCAACAAAAATGGACGTCAAAGCCGAAGTAATCGATGGGATTAAGGAACTCGTCGACGAATTAGAAATCGTAGACGACCAGATCGCCGCTTCCGCACTCGAGCACATTCACGCAAACGAAATCATCCTCACGCATACTTCCTCCCAAACGGTGCAGAAATTCCTAATCGCCGCCGCGAGGAAGAGGAAGTTTACGGTCATCCATGCCGAAGCTTATCCTAATGATCACGTGGATACTCATGCTACTATCTTGACTGGAGGTAAGAAGGGAGATGATGATGATGAGGAGGCTGATGAGAGGTGGAAGCCGTTGATCTCGATGGGTATCCAGGTTATCTTGATCCCTGACTCTGCTGTGTTTGCTTTGATGTCGCGCGTCAACAAGGTTATCCTGGCTCCTCACACCGTTCTCGCCAATGGAGGTCTGATCGCGGCAACTGGTGCTCTGACTATTGCGCAAGCTGCCAAGGTGCATCAGACCCCTGTCGTTGTGGTCAGTGGTGTATACAAGCTCAGCCCTGTGTACCCCTTCGACATGGAAGAGTTGGTCGAGTACGGCGACCCGGGCAAAGTCATCGATTTCCAACAGGGCGATCTCGTCGAAAATGTCGATGTCAGCAACCCCATTTACGACTACGTCAGTGCTGATCTGGTGGACTTGTACATCACCAATCTGTAAGTTTGACCATTTTGAATTTCTGATTCGAGTTTTGATTTACTGACTTCTTTTCAGGGGAGGTCATGCGCCCAGCTATCTTTACAGAATTGTCGCCGATCATTATCGTGTGGACGATATCAATCTCTCGTAGAAAGAGGGAAAGCTTAGATAAAGACGATACGAATAATTCACAAAAGCACTTTCCACAAATTCGCGTCCGCTTGTCTACTGTGACAATTACTGTGACGCTGTCATCTATGCGCTTTCACTCAGACACCAGATTATCACGTCTCCGTGCCGTCTCGAGTCATCATGCCAATGCGTGTTGAAGCCCCTCCAACACTCTTTGTACGATGTCTTTGCCAAGAAATCAGTCATGGTAGGTTCCAACTGTTCAAAAAAGACCAGATACTCGGGCCACTGTGCCTTGTCCTGGTGTATGTTGATGTTCCCACTCGATCTTCTCTCTGCAAGAGCAGTTACATCCTCCATGTGCTTGCGCATCCATACGACTGGGTCCGCATAAAACTGATCTGCTTCGTCCATATAGGAAGCTCTTGCTTCGATGGGGATATCGAGAGGGGGCTCGCAGGTCAATGCTCGGGCATCGATGGCGGGGTGGATGAGATGACTTCTCCATGGTGTGCTGTGGCAGGGCATCATGAACATGACTGTGGTAGTCGAAGTTCCTCTGTTTTCATGCTCATGTCGGAGATGATGCAGAACATCAACCACACCTCGCTGATGAACTTGACTGATGTAGAAAGCAAATACCACGTTAACAGTGACGAAGAGAATGAGAAGACCTTTTTTAACCATAGTTCTGGGTCGTAGTAGTGGCGAGAAGAACTGGGAGAACGGGCCTGCCGCTAGTACAAGAAGACCTGGTAGAAGAGGGAAGATGAATCTGACTTCTTTGTGGGCGATAAGACTCATGATGGCGATGAACACAATGACAGATATTGCCAAAGGTCGTGTGAGTTTCTGGCCGTCCGCCGAAGGTATCCTGCTAGAGAGTGCTTGCCAACATCCCCAGGCAGCGAAAGGTAATGATGTGGTTAAGAGCAACGGAAGTCCTTCGGTTAGGTAGTAGTCGGGTCTGTTTCTACCGTAAAATACGGCGAGAGATTGAACGACGTTGAAGTGAATAAAGCGGAGAGGAGGAAAGGTCCACTCTCCATAATAGGAACGGTCGGAGACAAGCGAAACACCAACTACCATGAGACTGAGAGCGATTAGCGAGCAAGAAGACTCGGCGGCCTGAAATGACATACCCTGATATGAGCGCCTCACGACATTCAACAGCCAAAGTCCAGAATGCTCGTGTTGTGTTGATGTCCGCACCAGGTGCCGCAGTATACAGAGCCATAACGATCCAGATGATCGCATTCGTTGGTCTCAAGATTGTGGCTATAGCAGCCAAGGCCAGAGCGGCTCGAAGACTACAGTCTTGTCAGCCATCGAGAGTAGACATAGTCAGATTTACTCACCTTCTAGCATTGGAGCCCGGTTGCTTTGGATCATTCCGCAAAGGCCAAAGCCAAAGAGCAATGGTAGTCAAGGTGGTCTCGACAGAGTTCGAAAGTGTTCTTGTCGAGCAAAACCATTGCCATGGACTGAACACCGTCAAGAATAGCTGTAGCTTGCTGTCAGTTCTTGAACAGATTTCGTAAGAACAGCAAGACCTACCGCAGCGTGTGAGGCCTGGGAGTTTCTGCCATAAGCCTTCTCAGCCAGCTTCCAGATGAAGAAATCGGTCAATGCAGCGAAACATCCTTGCAGCACTTTAGGCGCTGCTAGCAACAGCTCGGCTCTGGTCGTGGTTTCCAGATGTAGGGATTCAGCGAGAAATGATGTTGCTTGATAGACGCCTGCGAAAAGGAAAGGATGCAGAGAAGATCTAAGTCGCTCCCGCCATTCCTGGACATGGGTTCTCAGCATTTTGCTTTCACGTTCCAATTGAACTCATCTTACCCATGTTATCCAAGCACCACTCGATGGTTTAAAGGCTATATCCCAAGCAGGCTCCAGTGACTGGAAATATTCATCCGGTTGGAAGAAAGTGCGAATGAGGAGAGCGTTACAGATGCGGAAAGCTATCAGAAAGTATAGAACGTTGACTGCTGACAAGGCTGATTCGTTGCGTTGCTTCTGAGTTGATGGCATTTTATCTCGGTGATCTCCTTGGAGTTGAAAAGGGGAAAATGCGATATCACGGCTCCCGCATCTGGTCTCGAGTACAAAGGCTGGTTGATTCAATTCACTCTAACGGCATCAAAAATCTCTTGTCCGAGGTTGAGAAATTGTGTTTTTATGTCGAGTCGTGCTAGAGAAATGGTTTGGCACGTTGTCGAGCTTCCGCCATGTGGACACGAAATCGTAATTCAACTTCACGTCGCAGTTATTCTTTTAGAGGGGTTCCAATTCATATGGCCACGAATATTCCATAGGGAGGTATTTTCAAACGTAGTCCCAGTCGTATCAATAAACCCTGAGTTTCACCTCGCACTTGCACTTGCTACTTTCAATCATCGTTTATTATGAAGGTCGAGCGGTTTTCGGAAGAGTGACTGCCAGATCGTGTTTGTGCGACGTCATCACTCGTCGGCGTTTGACATTTTTCTCGAGTTCGAGTCGTTCACTGCACAACTCGCTCGCATGCAGTGCCTGAGGACGTCTAGATTATCTTCAACCCTAAGCAGAGCTCGCCCTATTCCGAAGCTCCACCACTATCGAATTGCCGCCATGTCTATCACCACAGCAGCAGGAAGCGATCCGCTCACCGCAGGGCTGAGTGCAGTCCCCGTACAACATGAAGACAAGACAGTGTCTCCTTTGAAATTTGCCGATGTTGGTTCGCAGGCGCAAGCATTCGACTTTGGCCGACAAATGCTGAGTGGTTGCAGATTGGCATTAACCTGAGCGATCCTATTTTCCAAGGGGTCTATCATGGCAAGAAGGCTCATGATAATGATCTACCACAAATCGTCGAGCGTGCTCTGGGAGCTGGATGCAGAAAGCTCATGGTCACAGGGTCTGACCTTGAAGAGTCCCAGAAGGCCATTGATTTGGCTGAGCAATACCGTATGTCATTGTGAACTTGGTGACATTGGAAAGATGCTTACGCGTTCCAGCCGGTCTCTGCTATGCCACCGTAGGAGTGCACCCTTGCTCCGCCATGACCTTCGAGAAATACGCCGAAGGTCCCGATGCGTTATTGTCCGCCCTTCGCGACCTCGCCATCAAGACCAAGACCGCCGGCACCGCAGCAGCATACGGCGAGTTTGGTCTCGACTATGATCGCTTGCACTACGCCGACAAAGACACACAAATCAAATACTTCCGCAAGCAACTCGATATCGCTGTTGAGGTACAGCTTCCACTGTTCTTGCACTCACGTGCTGCAGCAGAAGACTTCGAGGCTATTCTGAAAGAGAGACTCGACGAGTTACCGAAAAGAGGATGCGTACACAGCTTCACGGGAACATTGGAAGAGATGAAGAGAATTGTGGACATGGGCTTCGACGTCGGTATAAACGGATGCAGTCTCAAGACTGAAGAGAATGTTGAGGTCGTCAGAGAAGTTCCTCTGGAGCGATTGCAAATCGAGACAGACGGGCCTTGGTGTGAGATGCGACCTTCACACGCTTCGGCGAAATATCTAAAGGATGCACCTCAGTTGCCCAAGGCTGTCAAGAAGGAGAAGTGGACATCTGAAAACATGGTAAAGGGCAGAAACGAGCCTTGCACCATCCCAAATGTGGCCTATGCTATCGCCAACATCAAGGGCATTTCGGTCGAAGAAGTTTGCGAAGCCGCCTGGAACAATTCCATCAAGATGTTCGGTCTCGGTGAGAAGTAGATTTGAGATAGACTTGCAGCTAGATTTCCACCATAGATCGGACCATCTTACAATATTAAGAATACATCTCGGAAGTATATGCCGAAAGACATGTAATATCTCGGGGCAAGATGCCCCAGATGGAGGGGTGTGGGGCGAAACGAACCTCATCGGCTTTCTCTGCGTAATTCCAATAGCCGACGGTATCGGCAATGTCCTTCAAGAAAACATGTAAGAAGAATATAAAGACTTCTTGCTTGCTTGTCATCGGCCTTTGTGTCTCTGTTCAAGATTACATCCTTCTCTGATATCGTTTAATACTACATACATCATGTCAGCAAAGACCAATGCAACAGTCCAAGGCGGAGTGGACAGAGGAGACACCTACGAAAAGGCCGTCCCATCCTCCCTCAAACCCTACGAGAAACCGCCCCTCAGCTCCCTGATCAACTGCGACGATTTCGAAGAAGTGGCCAGAAACACGTTGGCCAAGAAGACATGGGCATTCTACTCTTCAGCTGCTACAGATTGCTACACCTACGAGAGAAACCGCAGTTTCTTTAGTCGAATCTGGTTCCGCCCTCGTATCTTGAGGGATGTGAGAAAGATTGATACGCAAACTACGATTTTGGGTCATAAGGTTGGTGTGCCGTTTATGGTGCATCCAGCAGCTTTGGTCAAATTGGTGCATCCGGATGGCGAGAAGGGAATTGCAAGGGGGTTGAGCAAGGAAAATGTGCCATACTGCGTAAGTTCTTGGACGCCAAATAATTTCAGTAGAAGTGGCAATGGTACTAATACAGCATCACAGGTCTCAAGCAACGCCTCCTACCCCATCGACGAGGTCGTCTCCTCGGTCCCAAAAGGCCAACCCTTCTTCTTCCAACTCTACGTAAACAAAGACCGCAAACAATCAGAAGCCCTGCTCAAAAAAGTACGCCAGGCGGGTTGCACGGCCGTCTTCGTCACAGTCGACGCTCCCGTCCCGGGCAAACGCGAAGCCGACGAAAGGGTTTCCGCAGACGCCAGCACCAACGCCCCCATGACAGGCGCTCAAGCCGTAAACGACAAAAAGGGCGGCGGGCTGGGTAGAATCATGGGCAGTTATATCGACAGCAGTTTGAGCTGGGATGACCTGCAGTGGTTGCGAAAGTCGTGGGATGGAAAGATTGTGCTGAAAGGTATTCAGAGTGCTGAGGATGCCAAAATGGCCGCTGAGGCTGGTGTGGACGGTATTGTGTTGAGTAACCATGGTGGTAGAAGTTTGGATACTTCGCCGCCGTCGGTGATGATGCTGCTCGAGTGCCAGCGTCGTTGTCCGGAGATCTTTGATCGTTTGGAGGTTTATGTTGACGGTGGTATCAGGAGAGGTACCGATATCTTGAAGTGTCTTTGCTTGGGTGCAAAGGCAGTTGGTCTTGGAAGGCCCTTCTTGTACTCGGTCAACTACGGCGCCGAGGGAGTGGACCACATGGTTGACAGTAAGTCAAATTCCTTCTTGAATCCTGATCGGCATGACACTGACAAGCATCAACAGTCCTCAAAGATGAGCTTGAAACAAGTATGAAGCTGGTTGGCATCAACGATCTCTCAGAGGTTCATCCTGGCCTCATCAACAGCTTGGACGTGGATCATCTTGTGCCTACAACGGCAGATCACCCCTACGCCAAGTGGTCACCGTCAAGGGGTAGGCTGTCAGCACGCTTGTAGAAGTGAACAAGTAGATACGTTTAGCACTTCGGCATGTATATAATCCAACCAAAATAATAATCCACTCAACTAGACAGACCATGTATAAAGTCAGATGGCATCGTTAAACAAGAACGTCAGGAAACAACAGAACGAATTTTGAATTTGGAGTCGGCGGTGACGTGTCCAGGCATGATCATGATCAAGCTTCAACAGTCTGGTCCGCCTCGTTCTCGGTCCCGACACCCTTCTTGGACGAATCGATTATCGTCTCGGCGGTCTTGGTCTCTGAGGTTTCTGATGCAGCGAGAGGACCCTTGAGGTTCTTCTCGGTAATGAGGCCCTTGAGCCACTTGTTCTCCATCTCGAGCTGGTTGACGCGAGCCTCGAGAAGCTGGACCTTGTCGGACATGTCCTTGGCGGTCTTCTCGAGAGCCTGCTCACGCTGCTTCTTCTTGACACGGAAACGAGCGCTAGCAGCAGTGTTGCGGCGACGCTTGTCCTCCTCGGCGGCATTGCGAGATTCGTCCTCGAGGTCGGCGGGCGATGACATGGCGGCAACGGTCGACTTGCGCTTCTCGCCTACTTGGGGGGATGCGTGGGAAAAGGCAGCCTGGGGCTGGGGCATGCGAGGAGCATGCTGAGCAGGGAAATCCAGGCGGGTTGAGGGCGATGGAGCGATGGCAAGACCGTTAGGCGGCGAGGGCGGCAGGGTCTGAGGGCGCGACTGCTGGAAGGAGAAGTCGGGGAACTGGAAGTTGTTGGCTACGCTGGTGGTCAGTAATGAAGCCTTGATGGAGTGCCAAGAGATTGAATGCTTACCATGAGTTCCGAAATCGAGGGGCTTGTGCATGTCGGGCTGCATGTTGGCGGGGGACTGCTGCTGAGGCATCTCGGAGAAGGCGGGCATATCACCATCAAAGTCGAAGAATTGAGTGTTGGTGAACATGGCCAGGTCATCATCGAAAGTTCCAAGTTCCTGCTGGGCGGCCAGGTCGGCAGCAGAGGGCACCGTGTTCAGGTTGGCGATGTACTGCGACACGTTGGGTGCGCGACGGGCGCTGTAGGTCGACATTGCAAGCGGAAATGGGCGACAGGCGCGCGGCGGCGCTGGATTTTGTTTAAAAGGTCAAGAGCGGCGGGAGCGGGGTTGTATAGGTCGTATTCCAGAGTCGCTAGGTGTAGTAGATTGTCGTGGGATGGTTGCGTGCTTTTGGGGAGTGAGGGCAGGAGCAGAAACAGGCGCCGAATTGGAAGTGCGACTTCCTGACTTGCAATCGTTGGGGGGACTCGGCGTTGCCGGCCCACTTCAGGAACGTGCACTCGACTGCAGCCCTCGATTCGCTCCTTCCACATCTCCGCTTTCTTCCGCCCACACCCAAGACCGTCTCAGCATCATCATTGTGTCAATCGGTCAATCCCCTTTGTCCTTCAACTTTAAGCCGCTTGTGATGAATCAATTCCACATTCCGAGTACTCGCCCTGTTGCTTGTCCTTGACGCTTGTATCATTGTTCTGCATCTTTGTCATAACTATTTCATCTCTCAAACTGTGCTAATATTGTTCTCCTTGACGCATACCACTCTCCACTAGTCCAGATTGAGTTACGGGAACCTTTTTCAAACCCCGCCCTCCCTCGGCTCTCTGCTTTGCTTTTAAATCTGCTTCACCATGCTTAATAATATCTTTGACCAAGCAGGGCAATGTTTTCCGCCGTCATTTGCACCACCTCAGGTCTCGAAAACCTCTGCCCTACTTCGGGTAAATATGTTCGACTTCATCAGTCATTAGTAGGTATATGGGATCTGCTTTCTTTGACCTCTTGATACCCTCTTTTTGATTGTGTTATTATAATTGGTGAGAATCGTGGCTTGCATGCACGTAAGAGTTATATGCCGGTAGCCAAAATTTCTGCAATTGTCAATATGGCGTGCTCAGCCCTATGAGACTCTCGAGGGTGGTAGGTATGCCTTGGAGTCACCTCGAATCGAGGACCCTTGAGACAGGGTTCATGAGCTGCAAAAGCACAACATCCCTCTTGATGACCTGCACGATATCCATGGTATACAGGCATCTATATCTTCCTTTTCTTCCTCTTGTTCTTGTGTTCTCCTGCCTCTCTTTCATCTCCTTCTTTGTCCTCTTGATCGACCTCCTTTCTCTTGATTCCTTCGGTTTGTCTTCGCCCTAGTACGTACGCTACCATTTCCACGTCAACTGACGTGATCGTCTTCTCGCTTTCTTTGGCCAATCTCTCTCGTAAGACCCCCACTCGTCTGTACAGCTCTTGGTATTCCTTCATCGAATACTTGATCTTTCTGTCCCATCCGTTGCCTTTTCCCTCGGAGAACATGACCCATCGGAGCAATTCATCCGAGAAGAACGGTACATTCTCGCCGTCGTAAGTATTGAGCAGGAGCGAGGCCGTCGCGGGCCCTACGCCACGGAGCCCCTTGGCCAACATTGCCACCACCATGGCCCACTGATCGCTGTCCTTTGCGTAAGTCTCGAACGCTTCGCGCGTGCATTGCTCCACCGCCTCGTCTGTGTTCGATTCAACGAGCTTGCGCAAGGACGGTCTGAAGGTGCCATGGCCACTGCGAGATTGCAGGAAGAATAAGTCTCGTGTGTCTCTCTATAGGAAGTGGGACTCTCAACGCTTCAACTTACAGTTTCCACTCTAACAGCTTTTGCAGCTCAATTTTCTTGAGATGAGCATCATCGGTCCTCTCCGACAATGCCTCCGGAATGACCTTGAGTCTTTGCTCCTCTAGTTCATCCAGCTTCTTGGGAACATGTTCTTTGTATGACTCGAGCAAGCGGGAAAATGTGCCGTACGTGATCGTGTTATAGCTGTGATTCGGTTGAGCCATGGTCGTGTGTTTGATTTGAATAAGTGTTGTTTGATTGGTGAGATGGTGGAAGTAATGGAGGAGCTGAACTTGAGCATCTGTGCGCACGGATCAACAACAAGTCTCCAAACAACGAGTCCTCCCTCGAACGAAACTTTCCTCCTTCACCAACACAAAATGGAATGTAGAGAATGCTTGAGTTCGTGTGTATAGACATGCATTCTAAACTGTACAAACTCTTCTCGGGCAATACATGAGATTCCTATGTGTAAAAGTACGTTTCATCCACCATCCATCTTCCTATCGTTCCTCGGAGCATTAAACTTGTAGAGATGCACTGCAGTCTTCTTTCAATCATAGTCACTCATAGAAACGAGCTCTCCGATACGCCCCCATTGGACATGGCTCCGGCTTGAAAACCCATCGTGCATTACAACAGTCATACGCGTGACACGATTTGGCAAACCTGGAGGTAGTCTCGGCTAACAACTTCGAGTTCTAATTTTCATCATATCCATCATGTCATTATTCTCATAGCTCTTCAAAGCTTGGCTCTCTCCTGGATGAGCGAATACACCTTTGGCAGTGACTCAAGTGCCTCGCGGTTGCCTTGAATTTGTCCAACATTCTGGTAGCCGGCAACGTTCAGAAGGATGTCGAAGTCGGCCAACAGGGACTTCATGACATGCCTCACACCGTGCTCACCCATAATCGAAAGACCCCAGACCCAGAGTCTACCAACAAAGACGAATTTGGCTCCGAGAGCAAGAGCCTTGAATACATCCGAGGCACCACGGACGCCAGAGTCGAACATGATGTAGATCTTGTCACCAACAGCTGGGGAGAAAGATGGTCAGTGACCGAGACACACAAGAGTTGTATATTGAACATACCGTCGACGATTTGCTCCAAAGCGTCAAGACTTGCGACAGCTCCATCGACTTGTCTGCCTGTAGATGAACGTGTCAATCAGCTTGTCTCGTGCAATGAAATTCCGCTCCACATACCTGCATGGTTGCTGACAACGATACCATCACAACCAATCTCAACACACTTTCTTGCATCGGCCACGCTCTGAATACCCTTGATGGCGAAAGGCTTGCCGCCGCTCATCTCCTTCCAGGTCTTGATGAGCCAGGGCATCTTTTCCCAGCTGTGAGCTCTACCGTGCCAGACATTGTCAATCCATTTAGCACCTGCTTTGTTGGGCTCCTTGACAGGATCGATGCCGTCTTCGGCCATTCTCTTCTGGAAGACTGGGTCAGAGAGACCTAGATCAGCGCCGATACCGTGGTAGAATGCGTAGTTGGAGTTTGCGACATCATCGTGTCTCCAGCCAAGCTGCCATGTGCTGGGAAACATTCGTTAGTTGAGCCTTTGACAGAGCGGAAGATAGAGGTTCGTACTCGACAGTCAAGATACAAGCAGTGAAGCCAGAGTCAATGGCTCTGCGCAGAAGCGAAACAGTCAACTCATCATCATGCGGCATGTAAAGCTGGAAGAATCGAGGTCCCTCTCCATTAGCAGCACCGACGTCCTCAATGGGTTGCGAGCCAGCAGTACTCAAACAATACGGCAAATTCAATTCTTTTGCAACCTTTGCGACCGGAAGCTCCCCCAATGGGTTGTAGATCTTGTTAATGCCGATGGGAGAGAATCCAATAGGTGCGCTGGTCTTGTGGCCCCAAATCTCCCAAGAAGTGTCGCGCTTGTTGGTATCGACTAGCATGCGAGGAATGATGCGATGACGGTAGAAGGCCTGGCGGTTGGCAAGATGGGTAGTAGAGTAGCCAGCATTTGAAGAGGCGTAGTACCAGCCACCTTCTGAGAGCTTCTCCTTTGCTCGTTCTTCGAGTTTGTCGGGGTCTAAGAGCTAGGTCAACTTCCAACCTGCTTGCCAACGAATCGCACCACTCACGAGTGTTGAAAGGCGGAACCTTGCCCTCATTATCAGCCCAGAAGTTGTCACGCTGATATTCAGCATACTCAGGAGTAGTTCTAAACTCCTTGTTGGGGTTTTTGGCATCCATGATGAAGTTTCTTGTGTTTTGCGATGAACAATTGTTGCAAGAAGCAGGTGCGAGACGAGGTCTGGAGCTTTATCAAACTATTATAACTTGGCGGAAAGTTACGGCAGATGGATGTCAAATGTTTTGTGCGGAATACGTCTCCTACCAGCCGCCCATAACATCACCACATTATTATCAGTGCCGCACCACCCGCCCCTACGTAACGATGATAGGACATCGAGAAGAACGCGTGTGATATCATCCATGTTCCCCATGCTCCGGCTCGCCCTTGTCGGTTAGTTCGGCAGCTGCGGCTTGACTATTTTGGGCTAGATGGGGAAATCAAGCTTCTTCCACCTGTGGGGGTTAATTTATTTGAGTATGTATCTCGCTCTTGAACACTTGCCCATGGCTCTCATCATTTGAGTCACTCGTTCCTGATGACTTGCCTATGGTTTTCATGATAGATCACATGTAGATAGCTTTGCTGGTTCCGATTCGTTGTTCGGCAAAGTGTAGTGGTTCGAGAGCATCCCATGGCGCAGGTCATGTAGAGCGAATTGACCTCGACTACTTCTTGTACAGTGCACACATGCTTATTTGATATTGGGAAGACATCGAGATTGAGAAGAAAACTTGGATGAGAAATAGGTATGTACAAGGATTGAACGCTTTGCTAATAACACCGATCCCTGATCCCGAAAATGCAGCAAGTCCATTCGACTTGAATAACACCGCCGGCGCCTTGCTGAACTGCTTCATGATAATGTAAAAAACAAAAGAGAAAAAGGAAAGGGAAAAGAAAAACACAAGGGGTATCTGCAGTAAGCCACACACACGTTGCGCAAGCCCGAGCAGCAATAATTAACCTGCTCTCCTAGTAGCGGAGGCAAGGGTCGCTGTTGGTCCGGGCTAGCGCTGTGTGGTGGCTGGAAAACAATAATAGACCGAAAAGTAGTTGGATGATGTTGTTACAGGGCCAGGGGCGATTGAAGCATTGGCTCGTTTGTTTGTGGTAGCCGGTTTACTTCTGGGGACGACCGTTGGTGATGGAAGGACCAGTGTGCTTGGCGAAGCCACCGCTCTGGCTCTGCATGTCGGGGCTTGAAGCCAGCGAGCTGGAAGAGGCGGTATCGGGGTTGGTCTGAGGTGAGTCAGGGTTGTTGCCGGGAGAACCGGGAGCGACCATGGGTCCGTCAGCCTGGATGTCGTAAACGATACCCGACCAGACATGCCAGTGAAGGACTGCGAGATGAGTGACACGCTTGAGGATCTCATCGAGGGGTGGCTCAACCATGACTTGCTGAGTGGTGCGCTTGTCGGCGGACTGGACTGGAGGAAGCATGGCATCGTGAAGAGCCAGAAGAGGGAGTCTCGAACTAGAGTTCACGGCATTGCGGAATCTAGGAAGCTGGGCGTTGAGGATTGTCTGGAGCTGGGCGCTAAGAGAAGGGGACGAGGGAGACAGCTCGGCGCGAAGGTGGAGCTCGACGATGGCCATCATGTCGGAGTCGAATGTGGTGGTAGCACCCTCAAGCTGGAGAACAAAACGCACAATCTCGGCAGAGATGTTCTCGAGGTTCTCAAGGTATTGGCGGGGCTCACCGATGATATCAGCGATGTTGGCCTGGAGAGTCTTCTTGCTGGCGACACGAGTGCTTGCGCTGACATTGTTCTTGATAAGAAGATCGAAGGCGTTGACGCACATGTCCATCTGGATGACGTTGTGGAGATCACTGCGAAGAATGCGCAGACGCTCGGCATCGAGGTAGAAGGTGCCCGGGAAGTTGGGAAGGGGGCTCTGCGAGAACAAGGAGCGGAGAGCGGCCGAAGCGAAGGTCTCGAGAGGGGTGCAAGGGACGTTGCAGCTGTTGAGGAAAGCCTCCTCGTCCTTGAACCAAGCGCGAGCATCGCTGACCTTGAAGCGATTGGCGGCGATCTTGTGAACGTGATACTTTTGCTGGAAGTTGACAGTGTCATCGATCAGCAGGCTGCGCAGATGTCTAATCTGGTGATTGGCAACGTCCAACTTCATAGCCTCGAGGATAGCCAACGTCTGTCTGAGTCCAAAGACGACGGCGGTCTGATCGCCCTGTTCAACGCCTGTGGTGATATCGTCGACCATGCGATCGATCCACTCGTCCCTCATAGGGGCGCAGTGTGCCTTGAGGATGGTTGACAGCCATCTAGTCATGTCCATGAGATCGAAAACGCCCTTGGTGATCTGCTGCATGATCATATCAACGTCCAGTCTCTCTGCGACAATGGCCTGGTCGCGTTCGGGCACTAGGGTCTTGAGGATTTCGTAGATGGTGGTGAAGACTCCTGGAAGTCTGAGCTGGTTGGCCTTGATCATGCGGGTGGCTTCCTCCAACTCTTCGGCGCTTGTGCTGTACATGAGGCGGTATCCGATTGCCTTGTAGATCTCCAGCTCGGCACGCAGGGCACTCCAGAACTCGTCAGCCGATCTCAGCTTCTGCTTGCCTCTGTAACCGTCGAGGTTGGGTCTGAAGTGGAGCTCGCGGTCGAAGTTGACATCATGGCGCAGCTTGGGGTTGTTGATGATGCGACCAACGTCCAACTCGCAGAGCGAGTCTTGAGTGACGGGAGGGAGCATGGCGGCTCTCTCGTACGGGGTGATGAGGTCAGTGTTGGCGGTTATGGGCAACTGGTCAAGCAGTTCGAAGATGGCGTTACGGATGTCTTGATCACTCATCATGTCCATGGACTGGTCGGTGTCGGAAGCACCTGAGCTGTCCATGAAAGATGGATCGTGAGAAGCATATTGTGACAGCATGTGGACGGAGGCCTGGTGATCGAGGTCCTGAAGGTGCGTGTTCTCTGCACGTGAAGATCTCTGGTTGGTGGCAGGTGCGTTGTTGTTGTCTGCACCCAACGACATGACACTGCTGATAGAGTCGTTTCTTCTACCGTTTCTGCCTCCGTTGCCTTCCATTGCTGCGTGTGATGTGTGGTGTGATATGAGTAGAGTCGAGGAGGAAGTCAGAGATCTTGGAGTCCAAGAGGGGAGAAGAGGTTGTAGAAAGGGAAGGAGGGGTTGATGAAAAAGATGTTGTCGAATTAGTCAAGCCCTGGCAGTGACGACGCGGCCAGAAGGTGAGATCTTTGGCAGAGTGAAATCAGCTTTGGTTGTCGCAGGACAAGGCTTAAATGGGTTAAGGTTGTCTCGAGGAAAACAGGACTCGATTGCAGTACTCACTTTGACCTGAAGGCGGTGTCCTGGTTCTGCCGGCTGTTGTTGTTGTGAAATTATTGAAGCTTTCCGGTCCAGCCAAAAGTTGAGATATTATTTATGGCTATGTTCAAGTTGTTCGACAGAGGAAAGACGGTCTCGGCAGTGGAATTGAGCGTGCAGCAAAGGACCGCGAGCGGATGATATGGGGGTTGCAAGGTGGTGATGGGAGCGGTAGATACAAAGACGAAGTCGGTACCGGACGGCTGGGTCGAGAAAGGAAAGTCGATCTTTAGCAAGCCCAAAAGGCGGGGTGGTCGAGTGCAGAGGAAGGTGGGATGGGTGGTATAAGAAAAAGCGATCAAGCAAGGCAAGAGGGGAGTGGAATGTTAATGTTTGCGACCCCTTCGATTAAAGAGACGAGGGTGGCCGAAACGTCGATGCAGGAATAGCAGCCTAGCAACTAGATGCAAAGTACCCTTTGATCTGACACAGACACAACGTGCCAGGAGTCATGAGGGAGCATGGCAATAATTAACCCAAAAGCCGGGACCATGGTGAACGCAACAACCGTGCATGTTCAATTGCGGGAAGTCCATCCATCGATACTGTACGCTTTCGGCGTGGCACGAGACGTTTGCATCTGCTGTCTCATGGACAAGTTGCTATCCGTCGGCTTCAAGAGACTCATTATCATGTACATCGTTATTGTTTATCGAACTGTCACGCATACGTTAAAATTGAGAGGGCTGGGTCCTGTAAATTCCAGTGTGGATGTGGCCTCAAGGTTTAACGGCGACCCAATCTCGGAAGGGGCAGCTTGGCGGGGGGCTTCGGTTGTGCTTCTAGAAAGGCGTCTGTGAGCAAAGATTCGCGCCTATATAATTGTCGCCAAACAGTAAGCGATGATCTTTATATGCGCTAGGTGCCCGCCCTTCGTCTGTTACAACTCCGCGACTGATCCACCTACTAGGTTTATTACGTGTGCGCCTTTCTGCTGCGACTAGGGCAGATCTCGACTTCTCTGTCTTGTTTCGGTAGCCCGGCTTCATGATTCAGACCATTGCGCGGGTTTGAAGCAGACGCATGTATTGGCAAAACGTTTGTGAAACTCTGCATTCGCTAGCATGAAAATGTCAGCTAGAACCTTGATTTTGTCACGTCGATACCTCTGACGTGGCTCAGGAGAGATGTTCTCGTCACCCTGTCTCTGGTATTGCAATTGCTAAGACATCCGAGGAAATCCAGCTCGGGCTTCGACCCTCGAGACAAGAGCATGTCTTGGGTCTTGGACATGTACCGAGCTCGCATGCAACGACCGAGCAGCAAGCCATACTACCTTGGCAGAGTCTTGTTATCCTCCTCGACAAAGCATATGACGTCTGAGGGGGCAAGGAGGGCACCCTGCACTGATTGCGAAACCGTAATCAGGCAATCAGCCGTGATCCCGCAAGTACCGTAAAGGAAAGCGACGTCCCTGAAACGGTTGACGAGTGTACCGGCTGTGCATTCTTATTGAAGGAGTACATGGCGCGAAGAGACAGCGTAAGGCCTTGCTGTCTAGGCCATGCTCACTTGCAACAGACACAGCGGTCCACAGCTGTGTCTAATGTGAGAAAGTCTGAAAAGAGATGGAGCATCTGGGTGGTTAAAACTGTAACGCAGTGAGTAAGAAGCGAGATTCGCGACCGGGGGAAGAGACACACCCGTGCCTCATCGGACAGACACGTATACATGTTACAGCATGAATGCAATGTGATGTTGTATCACGCAGCAAAGGAATTGCACAGCTGGTTGAATGGTTTGCGATGTTTAAGCACAGCTATGGTGGAGAGTCGGGCAAGCTTGTCGCCCCGGCATCATCGCAATGCCGAGACGCTCAAGGCACTGGTGATTGTCAAAAAGGACGGGAAAATCCCATACTTATCAGCACAAGCAAACGACGTCGGTAAGCGCATCCTGTACTCCTCTTACATGGCAGGATGCATTCTGCACACAGAGTAGACACTTACTGACTTTGACCATGTAGACGATGGTCACAGATGAGGACAATGCGACGATAGAGCGTATGGTGAGCGAGGGCAAGTCGGCCATGGCGATTCGCGCTGCTGTACCCAACGTGTCGCGTACAAACGTCTATCTCAAGATCGCAAAGTTCAAGAAGCATGGTACCGTGGGTCGCGTGCAGACAAAGACACTGGGCAGGCCGCGTGCCATGAGCGAAGGAGTCGACAAGTTCTTGCAAGGGTTGCTTGCTGCCAAACCAGACATGGAGTTGGATGAGATGCGCCGCCATCTGCAGAAGGAGTTGCAACTGACGGTATCCATGTCGACCATCTCACGCGCCATCGCTCGCGCCGGTATCGCCAGTGGTCAGAGACCTGTTCGTACACGCACCACGACCTCGACCACGACCGCAAATGCCGCTCCTCGTCGTCGCGCTGCCAACAAGGTCATTGCCCAGAGAGAGCCCGATCACTCTCTACCGCAGCAACCTCTTCTGCCTCTTCACATGCCTGAACATGTCTCGATTGACCACCTCACTGAGCTCCCTGCCGATGCCCACCTTCTCGACCCTTGGCAAGACTTGACAATATCCACCTCCCAACATCCGCATACACATCATCAGCTGCATCCACACCATATGCATGCGCTCGATCCTTCCCTTGCCTCGGCTTACCATAACGCTGCTGTATATCACAACCTGTACGCAGACCCAGATCCTCATGTCATGGCTATGACTACCGAGCCTCTGGATGTCTACAGAAGTCCTTATGCTCCTATCTGAGCACAGTACGGACACACGCAGCATACTGCTGTCTGAATGTCGGAATGCAATACGATCACGAAGTCACGACAATACATGAAAAAACCCATCGGCCAAGAACTTTTAATTTGAGCTCTTCCCTTTGCTATGCAGCTAGATCAAAGGCCTGTCAACCGGGCCATAACAATACACTCGATTTCAGCAACTCTCGTCACATGTGTTGGTGCTTGTAAACTTGAAGTGACTCCGACTGCGTTCTTCGCTACGCGAATATCTCCAACAACGATAACCCCCAAATCCGGTGGACAAGTAGGTAACAAAGACTTGCGCGTTTCACATCTTTTTCCTGCATCCATTATCTGTCATATTCCTTAGTACACTTTCAACTCCCATTCATCGGAAAGCCCGACAAGCCCTGGCCCATTGACCAGCCACTCGCAGAGATGTGTTTTCAGCAAAAGGGTCGCCTGAAAAGATCACCGCTAAGCTTGCTTATCTACTTGTATGTACACTACGTATCGCCTAGAAGCATGGTTTCTTTCAGAGCATGACTACTACCATAAACTATCGAGTCGTCAACAACAATGCTAAAATCACACCGAAGTCATCCTGTCGAGCATCAGATTCTGTTACAAGATCCGCCTCGATGACCATTCAACGTCACCCTGCTCCAAGCATTTCTCACGCACCTTTTGCAACAATTCCGTATTAAACATATCACACATCTGAAGAACATCTCTCACATTTAAAATCATCGACATGCTTGACTCTCAGCTCGAAGATTGGCGATCACGATCGAAAATCAACAGTTAAACAATTCAGTGGATTTTGGCCGAGGGTATCACCCTGGTATGTGCAGTTATACGATCATATAACACGCACAACACACTCGGCGTAGCTACAAACTTATTAATAGAGAGTCTCCGAGCACATTTTCTGAATGATATATGAGCGACGTCTCTATATACTATAGCAGAGGCTCGATTGAACAGTATCGATAAATGATCATTCTGCACCAGATTCCGGGCAGGAAACATCACGGCACTCTCTCATTCCAACGAGCAATTCAACTCGAGTCAGAAATGAGGTTATTATGCATCGAATAGACATGGGAGTATCAGCCACACTCACAAAAAAGTATCATAAACTCCTACCCGACCAGGAGGACCACAGAGATCACGGTGGTCCAGTTTCTGCAGCAGCCTCGTCTTTGGACGTGGTATATATACGCCACAGTTTTACTTGCCACCAAGATCCTGAATCTGGCCAACCGGATTCAACCCTTACAAGCTAAGGTGATGTGGTGTAGTGGTAGCATGTGTCGTTGTGGAGGTTAAATTCCAGCAACGCCGACCCGACGGCGGTTCGATTCCGCCCATTGCCAGGATCGTTTCTTTTTGCCCATTCGTGGGTCTCTCTAGTATGCCATGGAGGTGGTAGGTATGCGTACGTGCGTACTCTTTTGATTTTGCTGTCGGGTGCTGTTCAAGTAATGCTGGCACGGGAATTGGTAGATGATCGGGCCTGAGATCCGTTGGTTCGCGAGTTCGCATTACTCAGGCTCGACTGTAGTAATTAATTATGAAGAAATATCGTACATTGAGGGTGCGTATAGACATTGACATCGTAGTATCATACATGTAATGGACAAGAAGACGAAGGAGAGCTCACTGCTCCTCCTGCTTGATGCCTGCACCGACACCTTCAATATCGGGTACGGTACCTGCACCAACAAGTGGAACGTCAAGAGAAGGTGCATCTTCATCAGCTTTCTCCTCCTTGACCACCGCATCAACTTCCGTCTTGATCTCGTCCTCGTTTTTGACCTTCTTGACTCTTTTGGTGACTTCCTTCTTGACAACAGCACTCGGGCAAAGACCCTCGCTGGCCAAAACACAATCACCACACTTGCGTCCCACAGGCAAACATATAGTCTGACCAAAGCCGACCAGTAGGTGATTGATATCATGCCACTTTTCCTTCGGCAGCCAGCTTTCCAGCTCCGCACGAGTCTCCTCAGGATTACGAGTCTTGTGCCAGCCCCAGAGGTTGGTGATGCGATGAACGTGAACATCGACACCAATTCCCTCATCACGACCCCATGCAGCCGACATGGTCAGATACGCCATTTTAGGACCGACACCAGGCAGCGAAACCAGCCCTTCTATCGTATCAGGAATATCGCCATTGAACTTATCTCGCAAAATCTCAGCGGTCGCCTTGATATATTTCGTCTTGTTGTTGTGGAAGCCGACTTTTGCGATCAACTCATTCAGTCGGGTTGGCTCGACTGTGAGCAATGCGGCGAGATTGAAGCCTCCTTCCAAATTCTCTTGTAGTGTCTTCATAGCCACAGCCGTAACCGTGTCTTTTGTTTGCGAACTCAGCATCAGAGCGATCAAGGTTTGTAGTCGTCGGTCGATCGGAGAGCGATTGCGTTCGGCCAAGGACTCGCAGCCCATGGTATCGACCGGAGCGAGAACCTTCTTGCGCATCTCGGCGGTTATGCTGTACATTTGTTCCCAATTGGCAGGAGGTTCGGCATTGGCGAGCTGGCCATGTTCACCCTTGATGCGTTTGGCAGGCTGTCGCTTGACTTTCTTGGGCAGGTTGGTATTGCGATTCGCGGCCGGAGCATTCGGAGAAAGAATTTCTGTTTTGACTGTGCGTTTGCGCTTGCGATTTGAGGGAGGCGGTGTTACAGATAGATCCGAGAGAGGTGACGATGGAGCTGCATTCGAGGCAAGCGACGATAGATCCGAGCTGTCGTCATCCTGAGCGTAATTTACCTCGGCCGTATGCGCAAAGTTGCGTAGAGACCGTCTAGGAGCATCTTCGTTTGATGCCCGCGACGACAAGGCTTTCACCACGTGAGCGGTTTCTCGAGAGACTCTCGAGGTTCGCATTTTGGTATGTATGACGGCGAGATGCTGACCATTGCTCTCGCACTGACACGCCTGGACTTTCCTTATATTATCGGGCTTGCCAAGTCCCGCCCGATGACGTTGATCTTCATGTGAAACTTGAAACATCGACCGTCCCCAAACATCAACAGCATTGCCAAACACACAATAATGGCGCCCATCGATATTCCCACTTTTGCTGACAAGCAATTAAAGCTGCTAGCCGCAGAACTGAATGCTGAACTGGAAGAGACTGCTCTACTGACGGCAACTCATGCTCCGTCCACGCTCGCCCGTGCCGGTCTGGCCGTCTTGAATCTCGCCATCAGCGCTCAACGTACAGGTCTGGGTGGTAAATCGCTGCTTGAGCTTTCTCTGGATCCCGCAATTGCTGGTACCGAAACCGAACTTCCTGAACATGGACTACGTGTCGGCGATATCGTCGGTGTTTCTGAGCAGCCCAAGGGCGCAGAGAAGAAGAAAGAGCGTCAGGACATGGAGAAGAAGCAGGTACAAGGTGTGGTCGTCAAGGTGCTACGAGAGATCATTGTCGTCGCTCTGGACAAGGACGAGGTTGATGTTCCGGGTGGAAAGTTGTGGCTGTGCGTTCATCTTCCGCTTTGCGTTTGGACAAGGCTTTCGTTGGCTGATAGGTTATGCTGTACTATAGTGTTAAACTCGCAAACGATGTTACATACAAGAGGTATCCAATGTTTCTCTGTGATTTCGAACTCCTTATCTGATTCGCAGCCAGGATGAACCAGACCATGAATAAGCTGCAAAAGATGCCCGAGAGCGAGCACTCTACGCTGATGCGTGTTCTCTTCGGCCAATCTTCAGCAGTGACAGTCCAACCTAGAGATATGGCGAAGGATCTCGAGTGGATGGATCCTTCCCTCAACGACTCTCAGAAGGAGGCCATCAAGTTTGCTCTTGCTTCTTCCGAGGTTGCCCTGATTCACGGACCGCCAGGAACAGGCAAGACTCACACGCTGATCGAGTTGATTCGTCAATGTCTGAAACAAGGGCTGCGTCTCTTAGTCTGCGGACCCAGCAATATTTCCGTCGACAACATTGTTGAAAGATTAGCACCACACAAGGTTCCTATGGTCCGCCTAGGTCATCCTGCTCGCCTCTTACCAGGAGTGCTCAACCACAGCCTTGACATCCTGACGCGTACAAGCGATGCAGCAGCATTGGTTAAGGATATTCGTAACGAGATGGACGACAAGCAGGCGAGTATACGCAAGACAAGAAATGGCAGAGAAAGAAAGGCCATCTATGGCGAGATCAAAGAACTGCGCAAGGAATATCGACAGCGAGAAGCCAAATGTGTGGATGGTCTCGTAAGAGAAAGCAAGGTTGTTCTTGCCACTCTACACGGGGCTGGTGGTTTCCACTTGAAAAACCAACACTTCGACGTCGTTGTCGTCGACGAAGCCAGTCAAGCCCTGGAAGCACAGTGCTGGGTGCCATTATTGAGCAGTGGTGCCAGTAAGTTGATTCTGGCAGGAGATCATCTGCAGTTGCCGCCCACCATCAAGAGCTCAAACTCGAAGTCAGTCAAGAACAAGCCCAAGGAAGGACAAGACGATGTGAATCTAGAGACCACGCTCTTCGATCGCATGCTTGAACTATATGGAGACGACATCAAGCGTATGCTGACCATACAGTATCGCATGCATGAGAAGATCAACGCCTTCCCGTCAGCAGCACTTTACGAGTCAAAGCTCATGGCGGCAGAAAGTGTCAAGGCAAGGCTGTTGAAAGACTTGCCTTACGACGTCGAAGAGACCGAAGATACGAACGAGCCAGTTGTCTTCTGGGATACACAAGGCGGTGACTTCGCTGAGAAGACAGAGGATGATGAAGCACCAAAGTCGAAGAGCAGTCTACTGGGAGAGAGCAAGAGTAATGAACTCGAAGCCGCAATTGTCAAAAAGCACGTTCAGAGCTTGGTCGATGCCGGAGTCAAGCCCGAAGATATTGCTGTCGTGACACCCTACAATGGGCAGCTTGCGGTTCTGTCACAATTACTCAAAGAGAGGTTTATCGGTGTTGAACTCGGAAGCATTGATGGGTTCCAAGGCAGAGAGAAGGAGGCTGTGGTGGTTAGCCTTGTCCGCAGCAATGCAGAGCACGAAGTGGGCTTTCTCGCAGAAAAGCGAAGACTCAACGGTATGAGACAAGAATTGCAATTTCGATATGCTTCGCTGACCTCGATCGCTTGCAGTTGCTATGACTCGGCCGAAGAGACATCTTTGCATAGTCGGAGATTCTGAGACCGTAGGCCGGTAAGTCATCCCGCCCTTGCAGGAATCCGTTCCGCGGTGTACCTGCATATGTACCATGCGTGTGCGCGCAGGGTTCCAAGAAAAGCGAATGAAGCTAACAAGTTACCGCTCCTGCGGTTTTCGCAGTGGCAGCAAGTTCCTCAAAAGCTGGATGGACTTCCTAGAGGAGAATGCAGACCTCCGCTACCCAGATCTGGACGACGTACTGCGCGACGAGTAATGCGTGACAGATAGATTGTTTGGTACGGCAAGAGAGTCCGGCTCGTCTTATCTGACAGAGTGTCACAGCCGACGACGAAGACTGGACCGCATGACCTACTGAGCTGATGGTGGTGCTGGTTTCATAACGCGATCGAGATGGTGTGATTGTGCTCGACACGTTGAACACACGACGCATGATACAAGGCAGAAGTATTCTTGTAGATTGCTGACGCGGTGATTGCAAAGCAGGGCTTCATGAGAGGAGGTGGACCGTGAGTTGATGTTCGTCCCCACTGCTCCAAGCAGAGGCCGGAGGTGGGATCTAGGTAGAGGAGACAATCGCTTGGCAGTAAAAAAGCGCGACGGGAGATTAACAGTTGCCGAAAAGAATGGACCACACCCTGTTATAGCAAGCAATTCTTCGATGCCAACGACCCCCGAGGACTCAACGGTCTAGTCGAACGGCCACGTACAGGCAGATAGAAAATGATATTATCGAAGCGACGATGCTGGAAGTTGCGCCATTGCTGATAGACGGTGATTGACCAAAGGCCTCGTAGAGATCCGAGGGCTTTGCGAAGCTGCCAGTGCTTTAAAAATAGGCTTCGGTTAGCGTGGCCGTGGGCTTAGATCGTCTTTGCTCGTTTGATGGAACAAGTACAGAGTCGGTCATGAGATAGACGAGTTGTGCTTGTGTTGGGAGGATAATATCAACAAGGGAGGGAGTGTAGATAGGGAAGCACCAGTCAGATGGCAGCACAGTGGTGATCCGAATCCAGGAAGACGAATCAAAGCGGAAGTCAGCCAGCACCGTTGCCATGTGGTGGTGGTGAAACAGTAACTAATGCAATTGCTAGCTAGACTAGGAGCAAGCAAAGCCACGTCGGTGCGATCCCCGCAAGAATGAGAGCAATCGGGAGACGGTTCCTGATTGATATGTACTGCTGACGGTTGGAAGAGCGGTTTCTTCCCGGCTATATCCCCAGCGCATGTCCATTTTGCAGTCCTGTATGCGGTCGCTTTCCCCTGTCGGACGCAGCACCTCCTTCGCCCTCCCCTAAGTGGCCGTGGCTTCCATTCTTGCTTCTCGCCGTCGTCGTTGTTTTGCAAGCATTTGCATATCTATCTCTTATCGAGTGTCCTGGGCCTGCCGTACAGAGGAAACTAGCCTTGGTCAAGACTAGGTCGACATCCTTCGCTATCACCCCACTCATCCACTCTTTTTGTTCACCTCTGTCGCTCGTTACAATCAACCACGCCTGTCTCTTCATCTCGACCTTATAATCTTGAGCCTCGTCGAATTGCTGGGACAAACGGCACCAGTGCGACAGAAAAGCAGACTGTCTCAAGCTCAGCTGCATGGACCCATGGACGGAGCAGTCACAACACCGCGAACCCGCTCGCCGCCGATTCGGCCAGCGCGACCCGAAGTAGGAGTCGACAATGTCTCGTACGGACGACCTTCGGCGGAGTACTTTACCTCCGTGACAGCGACGGCACAACAGGCAGCGCCAGTGGCAGACGGAAGACGCAGCACCGACACGACTTCCAAACCCCGCAAACGCAAGTCGGCGCGATACTCAATCGGCAACGGAGCTGCAAATGGAGCTGAAGGAGCCGAAAGGAAAGGTTCGATACGCAACGCGGTGCGGCGCTTGTTTGGAAGGAAATCTAGAGGCGACATCCCCGAGGTGCCCGCTGTGCCACGCATTGATGCGCCGCGGCATGGCTACCACAAGAGCGTGAGTAGACAGGAAGCGACGGCGCCGATCACGCACCCGGACTGACAGTGAGACAGGACCCCGGACACTTCAAGCGACCACAGACGATCCAGACGCATCCCTCGGACGCAATCCACCAGCGAATCATTTCTGCGCCTCTCTCGGCGCCCCTCGCGGGCCCGCTATCAGCCCCCTTCCGCTTGCAACCACCGCCATCTGGAAACCGAGACCACTCTGCGCGTTCGTCGCCCAACCATGCTGTTGAGTTTCCCAAGAGTGCTCGTCTGAAGCCGCTCGATCTAGGCAACCCCTTCTACACCCGTGACCATGGCCCGAAGCGGAGGGCAACCCTGCCTAGCCTAATCATGACGGCCAATGAAGCAGCCGATGTGACGGATACGTTACGGCCAGCCACGAACACACGAGCTGCTGGTGCAAGCTTCGACAATGGCGAGCGAACGGAGAAAAAGCCCGGTGGACTGGCCGTCACAAACTCGAGGATGGATAAGAGGAGGTCGCGCAGTGCGAATGACTTGAAGCAGGCCATGGTGACTGCTGAGCCTTTCAGAGATCGCACCGGCGAGATTGAGTACTGGCGCCGGAGCTATGCTAGTGTCCTTCTCAGCCCGACAGGGAAGGCTCCCATTTACGAATACCCGCCCGCCGATTCTGAGTTTGATGTGGAACATGTGCCTGAAGTGCCCGACGTACCACATGTGCCTGAGCACTTTGTCAGAGAGCCGGAGCTCGTTTCAATACCGACTCCTCTCTCAGCACATCCACTTCTGCCACGCTCTGATGCTGTTTCGCTCCCATCGACTCGTGGTCAATCCGTCCCCGCCAAAGACCCATCACCACAGCTGACTGTCCGTTCCTTCAGCCGCCCGTTAACGACACCTGCTATGGATACATCCACCGACCTTGAGTCTCGCGTTGCTAAGCTAGAGTCTCATCTTATTGATTTCCAGCGTTCGCTGTCTAATCTGGCTCTGTCCAGCCCTTCAGCAATAGCTCCGACGGAGCCACCGGGTTCATCGCATCGCCAACGAACTCCAAGTATCCTGGTCGAATCTCTGCATACTTCCAATCGAGGTTATGAAGATGCCGGAGATATCATGGAACGTGAGTGGGGCCCTAGTAGTCATGGCAGCACCAACGGTGACCGCTCCAACCTTGCTCCCCCAACCCTGCGTAGCACTGCCGCTACTGCCAATGGTACTTTCACTGCTCTCTACAACATGCTCTCGGAAGAACGCTCTGCCCGCCGCACCCTCGAGAGTCAGGTCCGCAACTTGCAGCATGAGGTCACACGACTGCAACTCTCACGCGGTAGTTGGGGAAGCTATACAGCTCAAGCACTCCCGCAAGGTCAACGGCCTCGAACTCCGGCAGAATCAGATGGTGGTCGCAGTGCCTCGCGTCAGGAAGCATACAATGCTCTGTCTTCTCCTGCCACTGTTGTCCCGCCCGCCTCGTACCTACGTGCCTTTGACAGACCTGATGCCCGCATCCAAAGTCGTTTCTCCGGCGACTCCGGCGAGGACAGCGAGTACGGGTCACGCCACCGTAGCGCCGGTGTTGAGAGCGGCCCTAGGAGCATCCCTCGCAGTTCGGTGCGCCAGACGCCGCCAAACTTTGAGCATGACCGTGCCGCCCCCCCTACTTCTTATGCCGCATATCACACCCCTGCCGAAGAAAGAGGCGCTTATCGGTTCAGCGAGGACGAAATGTTTTGATCTCTTCTGCTGAAAACTCACATGCTCTACACTGACCCTTCTAATGTCTTCTCCTTCTATTCTTGTTTACTCTGTTTCCTGCATAGCGAAGTTTGGACATATGTTTTCTTGGGCGAATTGTTTGGCCCGCTCTCATTTACAAAGCGATTTCTAGCAGCTCATTTCATCTAGTGTTCTCGATCTCGAAGGAGACCCCTGCTTTCTGTTGCAACATAGACTTTCTTTTTTCGTTTTATGAATTCTCCCTTGCAACTGTACGTACACATAAATGATACCCTATTCATGACGATCTCTAGAACTCCTGCGACCTTCCATGTCGTGTTTCGTTGTGCTGCCTTTTACACGTTCCAAAATTCCAACAGGGAAGCGTGTGTATGTTGGACTGCTAATTAGATGACAACAGGGTTACATACGGGCCACGTGGAAACCGCCATGAGGGAGTTTGTTTGAGGCACTTTAGGCAGGAACGGGGGCAGGGCGTGAGTCAAATGAGCGAAGCCGCCCCTCCCAGAGATCTTCCTGTCTCTACACCATTTGAAGAGTTCTCTTGCTTCATCGCCGCTAGCCATATTTTTCCATCAAGCACGAGGCCCTCCTCCCCTCTCAACCATCTTCTCCGCAGAGCTACCCACTGCGGCAATAAACAACTCTACCAAGCCACATTTATCTGGTCGACACCCACACTAACAATAGTGGGATGACGCATACCTCTCCCGAATACGTCCCAAGCGACATGTCTATTCGGAATCCTTCTATACCCCCTCCTGGCCCTGCGACAGGAAGACCAGCAGCACCTCGGAACGCAGTCCAAATTCGAACACATCCTCCACTATATGCCGGAGACTACAACAATAACCTCTCTCGAGACATGTACTGGTGGGAGAAACTCGACAAGGATGAGCCTGAAGAGAAGCGAGTGCTTGAAGCCATGTACTATGGCCAGGAACGTCAACCTCGATGTAACGTCTGTGAGAAGCAGAATCGCGCCTGCATGTGGTTTCTCGGAGAAGAAGACCAGAGCAACAAGAGCTGCGTCAAGTGCCGTCGGGTGCATGCCACATGCAAGACTATCGGTAGCTTGGAAAATAGCGTTGACGATGTGGAAGATCAGTCGTGTATCGAAGTCCACAAGAGCCCACATGCACGCGCATTCTCGCAGAAACGCAAAGCAAGCGAATACGACGAAAGTGACAAGATCGAGACACAATTCAAGCGTACTCGCTCGTCTCTGCGAGCTAAGTCCGTCAGAGAATTAGCCTATCAAGACTCAGAATCGGATGAGGAGAGACCTCTAAACAAGCAGTACCTTGGGAATCGTAAGAACGAAACTCCTTTGCACGTTGGATCGAGTTGGGTAGACCCCGATTCCAAACTAGAAGAAGAGCCTCAAGCCAATTTCCACACGGAGCAATCATCTACTACAAAACGCAGTGATGGTCGTAGCATGACCATCGGCAGAGACGAAGATCCTCTGCAAGGCATGGTTCATGACCGGAACCAGTATCGACTACCGCAAAACCCCACACCAGACAGAAAGTCATCTGGCCTAAGCCAAATTGAAAGTGGACTTTCGGCGTTGTTGGATGAGCGGTTATCGAAAGAGCTCCAGAAACTCAAAGCAACGTTTCAGACCGAGATGATCGCTCTTCGGACTAGCGTAAGGGATTTCGCTCAGAACAGAGGAGGTAGTGGGCTCGAAGAGCAGATGAAGGAGATGGAAACGCAGATTGAGGACGAGAGAGCCACCAGGCTGAGACTGGAAGACGAGAATATGAGATTAAAGAACAGAATGTCTCGACTTGAAGCCAGGCAAGTGGCTGGGATGAACGATTTGCAAGATCAGATCCGGCAGCTATAAGGAGACATAAATTACCTAGATAGTGGTATCTGATACAGTCACTAGATGCTACTCATTTTGAAAGTTATTGTGCACTTCGATAGTTACACACGTGACAATATTCAGGATACTTGGAGGCCTCGAAAGGATCAGATGTAGACATGCATAGACGCCGGGAAGGGAAGACGTAACTCCCGCACCTATTGCCCATGTGGGAAAAGGACCTTTTTTACTTGCTCCATCCAGTCAAGATACGCTGAAAACACCGCAAATGATAACGAACAAGAGACCCACGAAATTCACGAAGCTTCTAGGCGAAAGGTCAACACCGAGATGATTGGCGGACAGGGCCACTGGGAAGGAGACAGGGACATGAGCCGGTCGGGTAATCTGGTCGCACCTTCCACAATCATCACTTTGCGTTTGTTCATCGCGTGGCCAGGAAGAGTAATTAGGTAAAAATTCTAGCTGATCTCTGGGTGGTTCGTCCTTTCCTTCCTTCCTTCTCAACTCCCTCTCTCAGCTCCCTTTCTCTCATTCGGCCCGCCCCATCCAACTCCCTTCCTTACTTCAAATATCCTTACATCTGATACTCGATTCTTTCTAAGATCATGCCTGACCGAAGAGAAGAGCAGAGACCGAATGCATCGGCAACCCCTCTTCCCGACCCTCTCAGAACCTTCTGGGTGCCGCCATTTCCCGATGATATTCACGGCGCAGTGAATAGAGAGCATCCTCCACTGAGGCTAGGGGACTACAACCCGAGCTCTGGGTTATATATCTGGCAGAAAGAGAGATTCGGGGGAGGCGTCATGAAGGGTTACGAAAGCCGGATAAGATATGTATTGACCTGCATGTGGTATGGTGTGGAGAACAGTCCTCGCTGCGTTTGCTGTGAGAAACGCGATCTATGTTGCACCTCGATGGGGTTGCGATCAAAAGCCACGAGTTGCGCTAGATGTCGACTGGTCTGCGACACATGCTCCTTCTCGTCGGGCAGTAGAAGCAAGCAGAGTCTCTCAGTACGTAAAGGCTTGATATTAATACTCGGTATGCCTTACTGACTGTACCAGACTCCCAGAGAACAACCTTTCCCTACCGCGTCGAGTGATACAGACAGACAGCCAAATGACGGACCACCTGCAAAACGACTTCGAAGCTCTGAACCGAAAGCCTCGAGCCCGGGAGTGGCCTCTCAAGAGCGTTTGAATGTTTGTGAAACCATCGAGGAAGACCATCTCAAGCGTCGGCCCAGAAGTCGTAGTACGCATGACATTATTGTTGTAGCAGGACCTTCTAATGGCAACAAATATCGCCGACACGTGGTCGAGATTCCGGATTCTCCACCCGCCACTCTATCAACAGTATCTGTGGCAGATAAGCAACATCCTGAAAGCGCTACGACCCATACCGAGTGTAGTTCAACGGCTTTCGACAAGTTTCTCTCTGAGATGGAGTATCTCAAAACTCGCATACAGAAATTGGAAGCGGAGATGAAACCAAACAAAGGAATTGTACAGGCTCAAATTCGAAAAGACCAAATGGATACCGAGACTCGACAGCAAGTATATCTAAGAGTTTTGAATGATCAAGAACAAACCGAGCGAAGCATTCTCAATGCTCAGAGGCAAGAAAGCCACGAAGTGCTACATGCTCAGACAAAGAACTTCGGGGACTTTGTGGTACGCAGAAATCGGAACGACTGAAAGACTTTGAGGCTCGAATCCAGCAGTATGGGAGGACTCTTAGGGATCTTATGCAGAATGATCGAGCTCTGATCGAGACTCAGATGCAGGTAAAGAGAGACAGGATCGAGGCTCGCATCAAAGAAGATCAAGGAATATTCGAGGCTCGATTGCACGGGTACAAGGAGGTCACCGAGGCTCAAGATCTCAAGCTGTGCAGCCAACTGGGAGAGATCCGTAACCTCAAGGAGCGGTTGAGATACAGCGTCAACACGATACTTCTGACACAAAAATCTGAAGACCTACATGATGGAGAGACGCAAAGGGGTGCGGTCAAAAGAGGTTCAGACAACCCGACTGAAGAGGAAGCTAGATGAGAACAGAGGCCCAGATGGCAGAAGATATTGATAGCAGTGTTCAATCTTTATAGCTTACTATCGCTTACCAGTACAATCGCCAGGACAAGAACGTTCGCTACTTTTCCATATGGTCTCCTGTTGTTTTGAATACGGTCTTCTGTGCGATCGCGTACATGGGCCTATCTGATAGCACAAACTGGCATCAGAAAGGGCCCGTCGGATGGCTGCACCGACTACAAGCTTCGAGGACATATCATGCAGGACAGCTAGGTTCAAGAAAGACAGGGTGTCAATCCTGGAATGACGTCTAGTGATTAGAAGATACACATATTGTCGTGATATTGAGTTAGATGGGCCCACGCCAAGCGAGATACAACGGAGACCAGCAAACGATTACACTAAAGTACATCACTAGTGTCCTAGAAATCTGCTCACCCATGCTTGGAAGTCATCGGTCTTCCAATGAGAGCCATGGCAGGTATTGGGCCCTCCCCCTCCCTCCTGAGATGTGTGGCCGTCTGCGGTAGTATGCGGGCCCATCTAAAGGCAGATATGACTGAATGTTCTTCGACCTCTAGGTATAAACTCTACCCATCTCCGTTTGAACTCCGTCTTCCCTTTGACGTTACTCACAAACATCACCTTTCACCTTTTCCACTTCTACATCCATCAACTCCAACCCCCTGCTCCAACCCTCTGCTACCCCCTCCCTTTCTACCATAGTCATGGGCCCATCTCCTGAACTTGGCGAACAAAGGCCAAGTCAATATCTTCCCCCTGTCTGATTCTACCGTACTGGGAAAGAGGCAGTACCTCGCGATGCAGCAGTAATTCGATTGCACCCCCCTCTCTACGCTGGAGACTTTGACAACCCCAAGCTAAGAAACGCATACTATTGGGAACAACTTGAACCTAATCACAAGGAAGAACAAAAACTACGTCTAGCTCTACATTATGGAGAAGAACGCAGCCCAAGATGTGAAAACTGCGAGAAAGAAGACAGAGCTTGTATGTCTGGACTAGGCAGAAGGTACCAGAACACTGGTTGCGCTCTCTGTACCCGCAGACACCTCCACTGCTCTCAGGCCAACGGCGCTCGCAAGAAAACCAATGCTCCTGTCCGTCCGACCACCGATCCTCCTGTCCGAAAGAACATCGATCCTCCCGTGCGGGAAAACACTGACAGCCCAGTATGTAACATTCCTCCTTCTACATGGCACACCGCTAACATGCCGCAGTACCAACCAGGCCGCAATCGCAGTCACAAGCGTGTACTAAACGACACTGCCGCCAGAGAGGCCACAGAGCCACCAGCGAAGCGCACGAGGGCGTCGATGAATGGAAGAATGCAGATGTCCACCGCTATTCTTGATGACGAGTTCCACACACCCATGGAGTCTCGATCGAGATCAATTTACTCGATTACCTCTCTTCGTGGCAGCGACACTAGTCTCGGTGATAGCCACAAGACAGACATCGGCATTGTTGTAGACGATTCACACGCCGAGTATGACCTCCCTCTGAGAAACGAGGGGCAAAACGATGCCGACGGATGGCACGATGTTGAGTCTCCCCCTGTGGATGTTCACAGAGACGAGCGACTTACCAGCTTCACGCCGTACCTTCCCTCTGGATCTTGTACGAGTACCAAACCCCAGAACGCAGGCCCAAACTCAACACAGAGTCAGGAAGTAGTAATCCAACAGAACTCGAACGGCGGTACCAGCATCTTCGAGGAGCTGAGCAAATACTTCTCTGCTCTAAACTCCAAACACGATAAGCTTGTCCGCGAACTCCGCTCGGTGAACGCAAGGCTCACCCGACGTGTCGATCAACTCGAGAATCCACAGACAAATTCGTGGCAGAATCTGGAGGCCAGACTCGTGGCCCTCGAAAAGATGCCAACTCCCCAGCAGCATGGACAGGAGTCATGCACCACTGCAACTGCCACTAGAATGCTCGAAGCACGCCTCCTCAAGCTCGAAAAGGCAAATGCAGGTCTGAGTAATGATGGTGGCATGGGCGACGGGCTCAAACGTCTGGAGGGCTTGACAGAACGAGAAAGGGGCGAAAGACGTGCTCAAGCAGGCAGGATCGAGAACAGAGTCACGAACCTGAGAGATGAGCAAGCGGTGCTGCAGAATGAGCATCTCGGACTGAACACTAGGCTCAACGACCTTGCGAAGAAGATGCACCAGGTAAGCAGAGCACAGAATCAGGGATAAAGTGGAGAGGAACGGAGGTATTGAGAGAACACTGGCTTCTTATTTGTCTTGCTGTCATACTTAGTACCATGCTTTATCTAAATACCCAGTTAGCACTCTCGAATTGAAACCGTTGCACGAACACACAATATTTTGTTACCTCAGAGTGGTATAAAGGACAAATGCGATAAAGAACGAAGGCATAGTCCACAACTCATGTGTATCTGATCAGAGAGTCGACGATACCGATGTTGAACGCCGCCTTTGCCGCCGGAGCCTTATCGCAAAGCGAGCCTACACACCAACTCCCATCCTACATCCCTCTTCCTCTCCAAGAGTTCCACACGGAAGTAAGTCATCGTTTCCGCCTTGCGGATAAAGATGAACACCGGGTAGTGTACAGACCCCTCGAAAATCCACCGTAATAATCTCACTCCTCGACCCTTTGCCCCGTCCACCGATCCGCGCCATCTATTCCCCCTTCTACTTCTCCCTTTCTCCCCATCTCCTCCTCCCGCATTATGCGCCCTCACCAAGACTTCCACACGGAAGTAAGTCATCGTTTCCGCCACACGAGCCTAGACGATACATCGATGACTGCACATATTTCCATGTTTCACCAACGTGATGACTTTCCTTCCCTTCCCCTCCCTCCCTCCCCTACGTCTCGCGGTCGCTGTCAACGTAATGAACATTCGCCTCGTTACTCTGTCCTTGCTGTCGCTGCGAGCTTCGCATGCTCTCATCGCTGTGTTGATGAAGATAAGATGCCAGCTACAGCAGAGGTGTTATATATTTCCAATTCTGGTCCGCGCAGGAACCTCAACTACTGGGCGAGATGGTCCACTTGGCTGCCACATGTTCCTTTGTCTCTCGCGGTGATGGACTCTTGGAAGGACGTGGGGCGCCTCTGGAGCGGCGAATGTGGAAGACCGAATGGCCGGGGCAGGCGGGTATGTCGAAAGAGTGGCGAGCATCGGCATGTAGTCATAATTGAGAGGCCATAGTTCCTACGATGTGGGTGTGGGTGTGGATGGGAGAAGCTTAGCCCCGTTGTTGCACCCGTAAGGGTATTTGCGAAGTTACTCGGTGGATAGGCATAGGCGATATGGTAGTCGAACATTGTAAGCGAGAGATTTCCTGGTGCGTGCTCGCGGAGATCCCTTGTAGCTACTATCGAGAACCACACTCTAGCGCTCTCGAATAGCATGTGGCTCATTGAGAGAGGATATGCCACGGAGGGCGGAGATAGAAAGGGACAACACTGCAGAGGAAGGACGACGCGTCAAACATGTCCAATCGCACAGCAAGGAGAAACGAGGACAGAGAAGAAGGAAGCAGATACGCGCAGGTAGAAAGAGCAAGAGCAATCGAACAGATTCATCGTAGTCCTTCTCGTACAGTTGCGCAATCGTTGAGAGACGATCGACGCATGGCAGATAAACGACACTCCATCACTTCCAGCATCATAACATCCAATCTGCGCATCTCGCTGATACAGATTCGAAACCCCATCATCACTTCGTCGAACGAACAAGTGAATGCCATTCTTCTCCTTCACTTGCTCCCTACCCATATAACCTCCCCAAGCTCCCTCCTTCCTGGCCTTCAGCCAATGGACCCCCGGACACGGGAACATGGCCCACTTGGTCGTCGACATCGCCAGCATTTAAGCACATGTCCAAAAGACCTCGGTTCAAACCCCAGCGTCATCAGAAAAAATAAATGAAAAAGGGGAATACAGGGAAAAACAGTAAAAAGACAGAAAGATCAGAAAAAACAAAAAACCAGAAAAAAAAAGGACAAAAACAAGAAGCCACCCCAATAAGAAAGAACGAAAAATAACCACAAGTAAACCGCATTGGCGAGTTTCTTCCGGCTGTAACGGCTGTTTCTTTTGCTCCTCGTAGAGAGTGGAAGGGGTTGAGTTTTACTGTGTTTGCACATACCTTTTGACGAGATGTTGAAACAACTTTGTTCACCCAGTCACAATCGAAGAACTTTATGACTCTGGTTTATCAAGACGCACCAGTTCGAGCGGACAGGTAAGATGTGCAATCAGAACACAGCGGCAGGATTTACAGCACCAGGATTCAACATTCCGGGGTCAAGAGCATTGAGGAGCGTGGGCTTGGGTGGAGCATCAACCATCTACAGGATACCTTTTAGCTTAGCCACGAAGTATGGGTTACAGGACCATCAACAATGTACCTCAATCTTCAGGACTGACCTTGACGATCTTGCGCTCGACAAGACGCACCCACCGCCTCCGTCTCCACTCACCCTTCTTCGACACGGTCGGTCCTTCCTCCCAGCTCTTCGGGGGAGCAAGCGTTGCTGATTTGGCTTTGGAATCTGGTGTCTCGAGATCGTATACCCAGCGTTCGCCTTCGGTCTCGATCTCCACAGCAGAGACACATCGCTCTTCAACCCATTCACGGGATCCCAGATCGAGTGTCCACTTTTTGTCTCGCCAGAGCCATCCGATCGGTGGTTGTACGTCTTCGAAGAACTGTGTGCCGACAGGACGCGCTCCGGCGATCCTGGATGGAGAAGTAGGTGCGTATGGCTGCGGAGTAAACAACCAAGGCTCCCACTCTCCTTCAAGAACTGCACCTTCATCACCACCCAGACTATGCTTTTGTAATCTCTGTAGCTCGAATATCTCGACCTCGCGGACCTCGGCCGGCTCGTCTAGAACGATATCTGATTCGACCCATTCGCTACCAGCCACGCATATGCGCTCGTAGATGAGTTGCACTTGAGCCAGAGACCCCGCATTGATGATGATTTCTTGAGCTCGAGGATGACCTGCAGCTATCGCACTCCAACCCGCAACCAGTAATATTGCACGCCAGGGTACAAGGTGTGCAGCAAGAAAAGCAATGCTCACGAGTGCGGTCAAAACAAGGAAGACAGCCGAAGACAGACGCTCGTTGCTGAAATCAGTATAAGGAGTGATAACAGCGACAGCGCCATCATGGACGCGGCTGAAATCTTCCATGCAGTTCTGTAGGTCGCGCATGTTGCGGAAGAAATCCTTACTCATTTCCGGAGCAGGCTTCACTCGTTGAGGGGGAGCCACCGCTGGGCCCGAGTAGCCGTAAGCTGCGTACTGCTCTGCTGCAGCTGCATCGACAGAGGATGATGGATTAGCGACGGGAGGTGGAGGATGTCGTGTGAGGAAGGAGGGTATCATGACGAAGAACAGAAGTGCTGCTAGTGGGACGACAGGGGCCAGTGCGGGTTGCAGGCACACAAGGGTATAAACAGCCAGGAAAGACATAGTGTGAGTTGGCACACGCCAGGTAAAGAGGCGGATCATTTGGTTCTGGAAGACAAAGACAATTCCGATTCTGATTGCAACATGTCAGATGGTGTGGTCTAGTCTTGAATCATGTAGAATGGTGTACTGACCTCGCATTGAAGCGACGGAAATTCGCCGACATTACAGGCAGACTGAACTGCGGCTTGTCGACATACTGCCTTGAGCGTCGGTCCTTCTTGGGAGTGCCATCATCTTCGGCCTCTGCTGGGAAGACTTGTTCTAGTAACGTGTTGAAAAGCCTCTCCTGCATGCTCCCTTGTGTCGTCTTGTATTGTGTCGAGACATCTTGAAATTTGCCCTTCAACCTCTCGGCCTCTTGCTTTATCCTCTCACGCCTTCCTAGCTTTTGCTGTTCTGTCTCCGGAGGGGTCGTGTCCTCGGTACTAAATGGGATTTGGATGACGGGAATGGGCTCGTCGCGGTTGGCGATGGATGCGCTCGAGTAGTCGTCCATGGTTTATTTCGTCTGCTCGTGTCTCATCATAAGGTCATAAGTGTCATTCTTGGTTCAGTCGCGACGTTGGGCAGGTACATTAATGGAGAGTTGTCGGGCCTGACCGACGTCTTGTATGGCCCGACGTCACTGAAGCCTTCACATGCAAAGTCTTGGCAGAATTTACGCTTCAAGTCCTTCTCGCTCGACGCGAGTAGCACATCAAATGCTAGGTGCCCTTCTATCCTCTTCCAACCTTGAACGACAAGATATCGTTCTTGCCAACTGATACAGGGTCGTCTTCGGCGACTCTCTGTCCTCCCACTGTTTCCACATACGCTAATGGCGCATCACCCATGATCTTACGATACACGTCTCCAACCGTAGAGTTTCTGATAGACGTGTTAGCGGATCATTCTGAATATCCTTCAAAGAAACTCATACTTCTTGACCAGAACGCAATCTCTGAAAACACCACCTTCACGGCCGTCACCAGACGAGAATGTTGCAATGTTTCTGACCGGGAATACAGGTGTAAGTCCAAGGAGCTCTGCTGCACGCGTGAGGACTTGATGTACGCCGGTACTTCCGAATCTGTAGAGTACAAGATCACGCAAATTCTCAATGCGGCTGGAGAATGTTAGCAAGGACTCGAACAAGCCAAAGCTCGGTATACTCACTTTTGCAGTTTTTCATCCAGCTCTTTCAGGCCACCACCATCAGGCTCGCCATTCTCGACGAGATCCTCTCTTGTGTCGACAAACTCACTGCCTTCTGTGTACTTGACGAAGCCTTGTTTAGCGAGACGTCGTAGGAAAACTTCGCTAATCGCCGAGCAGAGGACGAGTGTGTTTGGGTCATTCTGTTTGGCGATCTTTGCGACGTTCTTGTCCGAGTCGGGGTGATCGATCTTGTTCAGCGCGATGACTGTAGGGAACTTCTCGTCCACAAATGCGTTCACGACCTTTTCCACTGTCTCATCACTCCAGTCTTCCAAAGGCTCTTTTAGTTGTAGTTTGTCCAGAGTGCGGGCGATGATCTGTTTTGTGGAACCGTAACCAGAGAACTGGCCTTGTAGCGTGTCGACTGCGTTGCCTTTGATGGCGATATGTCTCCTCTTGACGGAACCCCTATGCTTCAATCAGAACCGCCTGCCATGTCGGATTTGTGTATGTTTGACGCACCATTTTTGCATGAGGTTGCCTTGAATCCAGCGAACAATCTCCGAGCGCAACCATTCGATGTCGACACTTGGATCGTAGCCTCTTGTTGCCTTGCCCTCTGCATCTGTTGTTCCACTGACATCAACGACGTGGATGAGAGCATCGGCGTGTCTCAAGTCGTCCAAGAAGCGGTTTCCAAGACCTTTGCCCATGTGCGCACCTGGCACCAGACCAGCTACGTCGAGAAGCTCAATGGGCACCGAGCGGGTTCCGTCGTTACACACGCCATAGTTTGGTTTGCATCTCTCGACCAGCGGTTTGTCGCCGACGTTGGGTACACCGGGTCTTGAGCATGCGCATGGAATCTGGAGATATCCTACTGCTCTGTTGGGGTCGATGGTAGTGAATCTGAAGCGACATCAGAATTGCGACGGACGAGTTACGGGTAGGAGGATCGCATACGGGAAGTTGCCTGAGCAATGAGGTCAACACGGGATGCACGTAAAAGAGAGAGATTTTGGTAGGAAAAAATTGATTGCGCACCTACTTTGGACGTGGCATCCGTCAAACTGTTCAAGGTGGTACTCTTGCCAGATGACGGTTTGCCGACGAGGGCGATGAGAGGATCGCGAGGCATTACAGTTCACAGAGCGGATAGGAGATTTTGGGCACTATCAACCTTGAAGTGTTGAAGTTGAACTGGAAAAAGAGGCACAATGTCGTCAGTGGGCACGAAGGTTGTGGATGTGGCTGTCACGGACAAGCTCAACTGCTTGTTTGAAGATCGCGCTTCTGCTGCATGCACGAGCCTTCCCGCGCCGGACGATCTGGATGAGTATTCAGGGACACCCGGACATGCATTCTGTGTCCGGACGGCAGCGCTATAACAGAAGGCGCTGAAGGTATTCTTCCTCTGTGAGATGGACAATGGCTATGTATCTGATTTATCCAAACTTTTGATGAGATTAAAATTGTACAAGGCAATAAGCAAGCATGAATCGTTTCTCACAATCTTATTGTGCTGCAAGGCCGCTTTGGCCAATAACAGAGGGGCAACAGTAGCAGGGCAGCGCAGTGACCGCTACCCTCAGTGAAGAAAGACTATTCTGCTTTGGGCCAGCGAGGAGCAACAACAATCTAAGGTCGCAATTCGTATCCCGAGAAGTGCTAGCCAGAGTCTGTAGCCCCTTCGAAGACGCACGCCATCCCGCCGTCAGACTGACAGCCGTCTGTCTCTCCTTTCCCAATCGTTGACGACAAGACAAGCGACGCCCTGGCCATGCTTTTTTGATCGAGTGTCAACAATCAGGAGGACCGGAAAAAGAAGCTTACATTGGCGAGGCGTCTGAAGACGAAAGAAATGCTCGAGGAATTGTCGTGAATTGGAATTGGACGTCATGCAGACTCGAGAGGGATACGGCATGGAAAGCCGTCACAAGGATTCCGAGGAGTCGGGCGCTGAAAGTGAGCCTCTCCAATAACACCATGCAGCTGCAGGCACACGCTGACCCAACCCCTCCAAGCCGAGAGTCGCGCGCGAACCAAATACCAACGAACCTCGCTCGCCGCCGACAATGACTCGCTTTCATTCCGCAAGCCCACCGCCCCTGCTTCGGCCAGTCGTCCACAGCAACAACACGCTCAGCCAGAGTCCAAACAGGGCTCGCTGGCCCATCGCCGCAAGTCGACGCTGAAGGAGAACAGAGCACCCCTGCTGGGACCGCGGCCCTTCGAATCACCCAACAAGAGCAAGAGGTTTGATGTTTGGCCAATGATGAAAGGTTTGGCACTGAAGCAGAACAGGATTGCCAGCGATAGCAACGCGGCCAAGGAAGCTGCCCGTCGCACCTTCCTCCCTAACAGTTCGAGCGAGCCCAACTTCGACAAGCAGTCCCAGTCCTCCACCCAAGCCCAGCTTCAGTCCTCAGCCCGCCAGGCACCGCAACTCCGATCCAAAGACAGCCGCTTCAGCTTTGGTGAGCCCGAAAATGCAAACTCGCCCACGCCGCCCTCGTTCGACTTTCTCCCGCCCATCAATTTCGACGACTTCCAGACTACCATCTCCACGTACGACTCGCCCAAGTCCAAGCACCAACAACCAAGATCGCAACTCAATCCACCCCCGAGCATCAAGGCTTCGATAAATTCAAAGCCCCAACCCATGACCATCACACAGCGAGAATCCTCCGTGCCCAATCTCAGTCACCTCTCAGCCGCTCCTCCCAATCAACTGCAGACCTCAGCTTCGACTTCAGTACTGCCAGTACGTGCCCGGAGGGGAAGCCAGACAGGGCCTGGAGCTCCTGCCATCACCGCCTCTGGAATCACTGCCCGTGTGACACGCAAACCCATGGCTCCCCAGCCCGACAAGAAACAACAGTCTAACCTCTCACGCACTCCCTCGCTCAATGCAAATGCTCGCAAAACACAGGGTTCGACGCCTCAGCCTCCCAACCCGGACACGTCCTTCGCCGCACCCACCCGTTCATCAAAGGCCAAGTCCTTGCAGCCACTGCCTCGCTCTGCCACCTTGACCGATCTCCCACAACCAGAGCAGCGCCGCTCCGTCAATGTCAAAGTAACGACCAGATCAAAGACCCCGAGGACAGACACGCCGTCAGACAAGAGGAAGTCAGGTAGAATGAGTGGCCTCGGGGCCAGGACGATCAGTCCCACCGATGCTCGTAGGCTTCGCAGGATGTCGACCAAACAGGGTCCGCCCTCACCATCCAAGGAATTGACACACCCGCGTTCTCCTTCAGCTACTCCTCGCAGGCCTGCAATGACGCCTTCGTCTAACAGAGCGACACCGGAAACGTCAAACAGGATGGCACCCCCGCCGAATCTCAATTTGTCAAGGACTTCAAGCTACCAGTCTCTCCGGGCCCCTAGTGCTGGCCAGGGCAAGATCGGTCAAAGTGCCTCGACTTCGAAGCTACCAACTCCCAAGAGCCGGAACCTCTATAGCGCTGCAGAGAGGCGTGATGATGAAGAGATGGTACCACCTGTTCCTGCTATACCAAAAGCCTATGAATCGCCTAAAGATCTGGTCGATATACCATTCTTCTCTGGTCTCAAGACTCCCTTGGCCGGAGGCATGGATAACGAGGGTTCTGCTTTGCCAATTCCTACGCGACGTGGAGAAAGCTCGACAACACCCGATTCCAGACAGCATCAGCATCGCAGAGGACTTACAGTAGGTAATGGAGCCAATTCGGAGACTCCTCCGGCCATGCCTGCAGTAAACAAAAAAACGTTACAACCACTACGCCTTCCTCCTCTCAATCTCCTGCCACTCTCGACGCCAACCGCTGCTAGGATCAATTCTTACCCCGCCCCATCTCAGGAAGTTGACGCCAGGGGCACCACGCCTCCATTCAAGCGCAATGCTGCCAAAACACCAAGCACTCCTATGACGGCTTCGAAGGCAACCTTCTATAGGCGACACGACGACGAACCCTCTGTACCGTTTAATGCTCGTAGTAATAGCACTCAGCCTGGTGCCCGCGTTCCTCGTTACGAAGAACCGAACAACGGCGTGCTTCTGCCACCTTCTTCCCCAGGAAAGCGCCAAGCAATCACTCCCTTCACCTCAGGCTCGTTGCCAAAACCCAGCTCAAAGTACAGCAAGCCTCCCAGACTGCCCGACGAATTCACCCTTGGAAACCATGATGTCGAGCCGCATGCTTCGAAGCCAATGGGCCCAAGGCCGCGAACCGTGTCCAAGTCAGTCAAGGAAACCGCTTCCATCAACACAGTATCCTCGACCGAAGATCAGGAACAGCCTCCACCCAGCGCCGCGACAGGCCTTCGTCGTAAGTTGAGCTTAGGATGGCGTAAGACACCGCCCAAAGCGACGACCACTTCGAACGCAGAGCCGCTCAAGCTTCAGACCAAGTACGACGATATGCCACCACCTAAGATTCCTGCCTCTGCGACCTGGAGCACTGACAGTCCCATCTCTGGATCCAGCAGCGGTCGTCCATCTTTCGAGAGTACTAAACTTGAGAGTCATAGGAGCAAGCCTTCTGTTTCTTCCAACAACAAGATGCCTCACCTCGAGTCTGCCCCTGCCGCTAAGCCCCCAATGCCGAGCAACATCGCAGTTCGTCAGCCTCAAGTAAGTACATCTTCAGTGCCACAGGCTTCGGCACCTCCACAGGGTCAACGCTCTACATCGTGGTCGATCCTTGGTAGCATGAATCGCACTCTTGGCTCTAAAAACACACCACCTCAACCCAAGCCTCGAACCATCAATGCCTTACATTTGGACAAGGATGATGTCGCTGCGAACGACGAGATGAGGAGGCTATCCACAAAGAGACGCGACATAGATGTTGCTGCTCGCGAGACAGAAGAATTGCGCAAACGTGCAACTCAAAAAGAAAGAATGACCCCTGCGCAGGCTATCCAATCATCAGCTGGAGTTTTGAACATCTACGAAAAGGGAGAGATTATCGACTACAAAGACGGCGTATGGTTCTGTGGCTCGAAACAAGCCAAGAAACATGTTGGAGATATTTCTGCTGCTGGAACGACAAACTTTGGCTACGACGACGAGAGGGGCGACTACAACATCGTCATGGGCGACCACCTAGGATACCGCTACGAAGTCATCGATGTACTTGGAAAGGGAAGTTTCGGTCAGGTTGTGAGGTGTATTGACCACAAGCTCGGCACTCTTTGCGCTGTAAAGATTATTCGCAATAAGAAGCGATTCCATCAGCAAGCTTTGGTTGAGGTCAACATTTTGCAGAAGCTCAAGGAATGGGTAAGTTACCAAGCTATTGCTCATATGGTCATCTCACTAATGTGGATCAGGATCCTGATGAGGCAAATGCAACACTTACCATCACATCATCCTTTTACTTCCGAAACCATCTTTGCATCACATCTCCCTCTCTCAGCATCAACCTCTACGAATTTATCCGAACACACAACTTCTCTGGCTTCTCGATACAACTCATTCGCCGTTTCGCACGCCAGATACTCGCCTGTCTATGCCTACTTCAATCTAAGCGAATTATCCACTGCGATCTCAAGCCAGAAAACATACTTCTTTGCGACCCACGTCGTGCTGATGTACGAGTCATCGACTTTGGAAGTTCCTGCAAAGCAGACGAGAAAGTGTATACGTACATTCAATCCCGTTTCTACCGTTCACCAGAGGTCATTCTTGGTAGTGACTATGGCCTTGGCATTGATATGTGGAGTTTTGGATGCATTCTTGCTGAACTGTTTACCGGGTATCCCATCTTCCCTGGTGAGAACGAACAAGAACAACTCGCGTGTATCATGGAAATCTTCGGCCCACCTGCTCGGGATATTATCGAAAAGGCATCGAGGAGGAAGCTGTTTTTCGACTCGTCTCTCAAGCCACGAGTCACAGTTTCGAGTAAAGGCAGAAGAAGACGACCTAGTAGCAAGACTCTCAGCGGTGCCATCAAGTGCGATGATGAGGCATTCCTCGACTTCCTCTCCCAGTGTCTTCGCTGGGATCCTGAGAAGCGTCTGCGACCAGATCAGGCGGTGTCGCATCCTTTCATCACCAACGAGCCGCTCAGACGAACGGGTCCGGTCAGTTCGCGTACTAGAAACGCGACTTCAGCCGCTTCGTCTACGACAACAACAGCATCGCAATCTCCAGTCAAGCGTGTTCACCCGACAAACCCGTCTCTCGCAGCAATGCCGCCGCAAGCGACAGCGTCGACTCCCCGCGCACGTCCCTTACCAGATACCCCAACTACAGCCGCGCGTAATGGAATTGCGACGGCGTCTAATGCCAACAATACGATGAAACCACCCTCAGCCATGCCACAGAGTGCAGGCAGGCGACAGAGCCTAGCACCAAGCTTACAGCAACAGCCAGCAAGCGCACCGCCACCTCAAATGCCTCTCAACCAAGCTATGGCTGGGAGCAAACGAGCCAGCAACGGTGCTCTGCTGGCACAGCACTACCAACAACAGATGGCCTCTTATGGTAGCCTTGGTGTCGGCGGCCCATCGACAACCAGCAGTGGTCTGCCTCGCTCTGTGAGCGGGAAACTCGACCTTGCTGGTGCTGCAGCTAGAGAAAGCATGGGAGCCACCGCACGGTGGAGATGACAAGACTAGACATGAAGCCAACAAAAACAACATGTGAATGACCTCATGGAAGAAGCGAAAGGTATTGGCTGTTCATGAACATTTGCATGTGACCCATGAAGACGAGATGAATGAGGCAATTGTATCTACCGCCGTATTACCACTTTAATTATATGATCGCTTTGAGGCGACATGAGAAGCAGATGCTCTCTTGACGATTTTTAACACTAGACTTGCTTGCTCTTAGTTTTCAAAATCTAGCATGAAGCTTCCACAACAGACAGTCATCACCAAAACAGATTTTGCTCCTTACCGTGTCGAGCTTGACCACAACTATGATACCGGTACCGTCTTCTTGAAAATGACATTGATTTCGTCGAATATGAACGTAGTGTGTACTGAGGAGGTATCGAGCAAATGTGATCAGGAAAGCAGATAGAGCACCCCATCAACAGCCACCCCTAAACAGCCTTCCCCTCCTTCTTTTCACCCAAAAACTTCTTCTTCAATTTCGCAATACCTGCAAAACATCACATTAGCACATGTCACATCCACACCACCATCTCCTCTTTCCACCCTTCTCTGCGGGGATATATATATCACTCACCAGGCACCAAACTATCATAATTTTCTTGCTTTCCCATCAACCTATTGGCTTCCTCCGTATCACCATTCCTCAACGCTTCCATGACTTTTTCGGATTTGGCTCTGGCTGCTTGGGCTTGTGGGGAAGTCATTGTTTGGGAGTTTGAGACGTTTGCGTTTGGAGGGGCGGTGAAGGGGTTGGGGTCCCAGGCTTCGATGCGGTTGCCGTTAGATGCCATTGTTGTGCTATTGGTTGCTTTGAGAGTTGGGAAGTGGATGTGGTGGGTTGATGGTGGTGGTGTGTCGAAGTGTGGAGGAGTAGTGGAGTTGGATGCGGAGATTGTAGATCCAAACGTGGAGATGATGTCTGGAGTGATGTTTTTAAAATGAAGCACGAGGGACGTCGGTCGCTATATATACACATCCATGGGCGAGAACGGATCTGTGGCTTATAGGATCATCATCTGACTTGAGCCATTATGCTATTTAGCAAGGCGCAGCCGAGGATCGTTTGTTACTGGTGTTCGTATTTGGATCATGAGGCTGCTCCAATTGAATGCCGGTTTGGGTCAATCCTTCGCGTGGAAGTTAAGCTGTTTTGCTTGCTACGTGCGTATAGTTGTTCTATGGAGCTTCTGCCGAAGCTTGTTCTGGGAAGCTTGCTTTTTTGCCGAGATGCCGGAGGGGTTGCGAACGGGTTGTCTCGTTTGGAACCACGGTTGACTCCTTCCTGCCCGAGCAGAGGAAGGGAAGGAGGAAGGGGAGAATGTGGAAGTTAAGATACGATCTAATATTTGATCTAGACGCTATTTCTTGTTTTTTACGGTATCGCTTCACAGGTCCTTCCTCAACGCAGCACCCTTCAACATATTGCTGAACCTTCTCCTTTCTTCCTGTGTGGGCTCCTTCCACCAACTTTTGTACACAACCTTTTTGAACCCCTGCTTCTCCCACTGCTTCGCATGATCTGGGTTGATTTGATGCCACGGAACGTTCAAATCTTTGGAGATCTGATCTTTGACGTAATCTTTCGCGAGATGAGATGCATTGTCATCAGGACGTTCGCCGTCAACAAAGAATACGTCAAAGATTTGATCTTCCTCACTACGTGCCTTGTCAACTGCTCTGTCCATTCCGCGGATCATGGCTCTCTTGTTGTATGGCTGCGGTCTGTCCCAATCTTGCACCTTCTCGTAGTCCAATTGGAACCCAGCATTGTCGGCAGTGGGCGAGCCATTTGGACCTTTGTCGAGACATTTATGTAGGTCGTGGAAAGCGGCTCTCGGATCGAGTCTTGACTGTTCAACAAACAGTTCGTCTTTCTGGACCCTGTCCAACCGGCCTGGAGGCCTTTCGGGCTTTGGAACGTAGAAGTCATTCTCAAAGTGCTGATTCAGATCTTCTGATAGACTGAATTTGTCGTACCGTGGTCTTGCTATTCTTCCTGGGGTAGGTCTTGAGTCCCGTAGCTGAGATCGATCATACTCGAATTCCAGGTCCGGAGTGGTGAGCCTAGGCTTTTGTGCTCCAGGCTTGTCGTCGCTGGGTTTCTGCTTCTTCGCCGGCCTTGCTGATGTCTGCTCTGGGAGTCTCTTGCTTGGTAGACTTCGGCTGGAATCATCTCGCACATTCTCATCATAAGGTTTCTATCCAAGTCGGTCAGTTCACTTCGGACCTACAGCGCCCTGGATGGCCAATTCACAGCAGTCTACAGCGCGATGACCAGCGCTTTACAGGGGCCTTACAGATACTCGTTTGTCAGCGCTTTTGTCACCTTTGGTGTAGCCCTTCCTTCGTTCATCGTCCTCCTCAAGCTTTTCTATAATCTGCGCCTTCCGTGTGAGACCAGTACTCGGTATACCGCGTTCTTTCAGCTCTTGCCGAAGCACGGCGACAGTCTTCTCCTCGTAGTCGGTGATTGTTTAGAGGTCTTTCTAAGTATGTGCTCGGATTGTCAAGTTCTTCGAAGGATGGGAGAGCACAGAGCAAAGAAGGAGTTGCAAGTGTTTTGATAGGCGGTATGACGTCAATTGCCGATCATCGTTCATTCCCTGTCTTGACTCTTGACTGACCCAAGAAGTTGCGATTGCTATTTTTGAATTCAGAATATAGGGTTGATTACGGATAAGCACTATGTCAATAATTTGAACCTCTCCAAAACTTAAAGAAATAGACGTCTCGAATTGAAAGTTGAAACACCGCGGTTCCCAATAGCAACATACCCAGCTTCATCCTCACTTGCAACATCTCCATACTTCACTAGCAGGTTCTTGCACATCCTCATCCTATCACTGGCGTCGAGAGTGGAGGGTATGGCTGGCTGGTCGACGAATGGGCTATCTTTGATCATGGACGAGATGTTTAGGCCAAGTTCTGGGCCACGACGACAGATGGTTGCCACGAGCCCGAAGATACCGATGAGAGTAGTGACAGCCGTGGATAGTAAGAGAAACATGAGCCATAGGTTATCACACTTTAGTACTTGTATTGAGCGTGTGACGGCTGCTTCCGTGGATTGCTGGTTGGTGCCCTGGATGGGTGCCGTATCAGCTGTAAGGTTTGCGTTGTGGAGCCCCTTGGGAATGGCTGTTGGAGCAAGTAGCGCCATCCAATATGTGTTGAGAAGCTGACCAAGCCGAATGGAGAATGTGGTGTTGGAGACTGTCGACACAGCGGGTCTGTCCCATGACTTGTTGAAGGGATCGTACGGATTCAAGATGAAGTTCTGGTACGGAGATGGCACGGACGCATGTCCTTCCTTGATAGCGCTGACGAACAGAAGAGTATAGGATCCGAAAGATTCTCCACCTGTATAGTCTAAGGCAGTCCAGATGGCCTTCTTGAAGGGATTCAGCGATCTTCTGATCTTCTTCGCAGCGCAAACGCCAGTAGAGCAATGGACGGAAACTTCCACAAACGAAGTCTCGATTGTACAATTCGCGAATGAATGGCCCGGTAGCAAATCCGTATATGTCACATGTCGTGCAGCTTCGTAATCACCGAGTCCGTTGATGGCGCCTTGCTGAGAAGCTAGAAACAGATTCTGAGGCTTGTCAGAATCAGTGCTGTAAACAGAGTCGGGAAGACTTCGGTTGGTGATGTCAATGCTTTCGAGGACTGGACATTTCAAGACCCAATATGATGTCTCTATGTCGAAGTTCGTCGCAGTGTTGCTATCACTAGATATTTCAGATAATGGTAGTCCAAGTAGCGATGCATAATGGTCGGTTGAGAGATTGCTCGGGATTTGGTACCAGCCTTCGCCTGATGCAAGTGTGGTGTCCAGGTATTCAATCATTGGGATCTTGATGTTGCCCCATGAATCCTGACCTAAGGTTTGAGTGGTAGCGAAACTGACCAAAGCAGCTCCAAATAAAGCGTCAACCGGAACGACAGCATGGTGAACACTACTGCCGGAATATTCATCACCCATGATTGAAGAGCTCGTGTTGACGTAATGGATAGTAGCTGTATGGGTAGTGTTCTTGAGTGACTGGCCGAGAACTCTTATGGAAGCTTGGCCGCCGAGAGGCGAAAGAGCCCAAGTAAGGATGAGGGTAACGCTGACTAACCCAGGAGTGCGCATTTGGACTTGAGTGATGATCGTCTGGAAGATTGTCGTACTGCCAAGTAGTTGGTCCAAAACACCCACACGACTACCTCTCTCAAGCTTCCAGAATGCTATTGACTTGAGGGCCTTCCCAACTATAGCAGCAAACAGGATTGGGTAGATGGTCGGAGCCTTTGTGACGAAGTATTAGCTACCATGTAGAATGTGCGTAAGAGGCTGTCTCTTACCAAGTTCGAGGCTCTTTTCAGAAGCTTGGCCTCAGACGTATCCAGTGGCAGTCCATCGTACGTCTTGATTGAAAGGCCATATACCAGAAAGATGCATGAGAACAATATTGTGACGACATCAAGTACAAGACTCAATAGCTTGCTTGCAGTCCATCTGGTAAGATTGGCAGGGTTCATGGTTGAACCGTCCTTGAGGCAGCCTTCATCAGGTTGATCAAGTGCCAGCCTCTCGTCGCTCAATAGTCTTTGCTGAACCTGCACTGGGGTGCTAGGCAGTGGCATGATTATGGGTTGAAGAAGGATAATCAGAACGGGTAGAGGGCTGCAGACGATGTTGTAGTATGAGAAAATCATAGTGGTTGGCCTGAAAATAGATACTGTAGGCTGTATGTACTGTGCTTTTTAGCCCCCAGGTAACACTAAATGGTTGGTCGGCTGCGCATATGTTTAGTCTTGGGTAATTAAGCCAAGGTTGAGAATCTGGCTCTGGGCATCATCTCGGGATTGTGTCCAGGGTACGTCTTTCCCTTTGAGCACTTCTTCTGGACTCCCCGGTTGGCTTCCCTTTGATGGGTGTGGAGGCCAAGCCGAAAGGTCGCTACTAAGATCGAAGTCAAGCGTACATCGACACAAATAGCCCGAGTTTTGTAGGCCTCCAAGTGATGTGCTGACGATGGACACCGCTACAAGGCGCATGATACATCAGCGTAGCTCAGGTATAAGTATCTGCGGACCAAGCTGAATTTTGCCAGCGTATGCAGTGATGGGACGGATTTTTTCCTCCAATTAATGGCAGTCCGATAATCGATGTCCAGCCTTGTGAAGTGCATAGTGGCTTGCATGTTGCTCGCTTGGTCGCTTGATGACGGATTGCCAGATGAGTGGTCGTTCCCGTTCGTATAGCACAGCGGGAGATTCACCAGAATAGTGACAGTTCACTTGATGTTTTTAGCGTCGGCCGTTCAGTGAGGTCGTGGTGATGAAGAAAAAGGCAACGGCAATGCAAAAGGGATGCTGAAGTTGAGTGTCGCTCCTCGGCTCAACATGCTGTTGCGAGGTGTCGGTTGCACTTGCCGTTGGGCCCAAGAAGACTTGCTTCGCGACTTCTGTTTTGCCTACGATTTGTCTATTCTTCCTTTCATGTGTTGAAACCTGGTCAAATCTACAGCTGTGGTGATGCAAAGCTGTTTCCAGATGTGAGTCGTACCACTACGAGTGCAATCAAACAGACGCTTCTCATGAGCGACCGACCAGTTATACAAATTCATAAACAGTCGTCTGAGAAGGGAGTTTTTGCTACAACTGCATTGAAACACTCGCGTCGAGGCAAAATGGACTTTTAGGACAGCTCGAAACTTGTTCTAGGTTAACCGAGGACAAGGACTTTCCTGATCACCTCAACCTCATCACCATCCATCCACCGGCTGAGCCCGGACTATGAGCTTCACAGGCTTGGCTGCTACGCCGAACGAGACTCTCAAGTCTTCAGGTGTCGCATTGCCATCGCGACCACTGGACCGGAACGAGAAGTCGAACCTTCCTACCAAAGCTGCAAGTAAGATCGCCATTTCGTCTCGAGCGAATGTCTCCGCGATGCAACTTCGTGGTCCTCGTCCAAACGGCATGAATGAGCATTGCATTCTCGCGCCTCCCTTCTTGTCCAACAGCCAACGTGTCATATCCCAAGTAGATGGACTTGGGCAAGCAGTATGGGACGTGCTCGAGAATCCAACTGACGATTCTCCACCTCGCCAGTACACCGGTGATCTATGGATCGCCCAAGGTGATATTGCTAATATCGTGCCCTCCGGCACAACTTGATTAGACCCAGATAACAAGATATCAGTGCGCGCTTCTCTGAATGTTAAATGGACCAAGGGGGCGAATCGCAAGGTTTCATTGCAGACAGCTGTCAATACAGGCATGTTTTGAAGCAAGTCCGGTTTGAAGGGAGGAGAGCCAGCTTGACCTGGTGCAGGAAAATGTCTACGGACTTCTGTGCGTAGCAAAGCCTGCACACCTGGTCTAGTCGATAGGTAGTACACAGCCTAGGTGACTGCCACAGAGACGGTCTTGTATCCAGTTGCCAAAAAGGTCGTACACAATTGCAAAATTTCCTCATCACTAAGGTCTTCCGACTTGATCGCAGTGTCAAGGATGTTCTTGTCTGGTAACTTTCGAGATTCTGGAGTGTACTGGAAGAGAACAACAAATCAGCGCTGTTTCAGCAGAGATAAAGTAGTCATCTTTCGGACTTCGCCTGCTGAGTTTGGAATGTAATAGAATCTCGTCAACCTCCAAGTTGACAGCACCTTGCACGTACCTCTAACCTCCTTTTTGCTATCTGCTTCTGACAGTATGCTTTGATCCCCTGCATTGAGCTCTTCGCCTTTCTTACGTCGTCCAGTGGTATCAAACCAAAGAACAAGTGCGACGGAAGGATTGTCTCCCACGCCATCTCTGCTTGAGCATGGAGCCCTGACGATATGGAGAATGCATCTCGAAACTCTGCCAATAGGTCCTCGATGTGGGTCTGGATGTCGGCCGTTGTTGTGCCGAAGACGGCAGTGACTATGACTTGGAACGTGGTTTTCTCAAGCCATTTGAGTATCTCAACAGCGTTATCAGGTCCCGGTGTCTGGCCATCGACACCATTGCTGCAAGCTGTCATCGCTTCAACAAGCGAACACGCATTTTTCCAAAGCATAGGGCACAGGTCGGCAATGTTTTGGGAGTAGAAGTCCGGGTCGATGTCCTTCCTGCAGCGTATATGCTCTGCGCCATCCATCACAACCAAGCTCTTCTTCCCCAACATCGGAGACAACAGACGGCGAATGAGATATGAGCGGCCGAATTCGTAGGCTTCCGAATCCAGAACTTGTTTCAAGTCTTTCGGGTCTGTGAGAAGCAGCCTCTCGGAGTTGAGGACACCGAAGTATCGGATTATCTGACTGGAGGGGCTTTGACGCATGAATCGGAGGAGTTGGTCGCCAGTAGGTTCTTTGAACAATCGTGTCCAGATGGGGTCTTGGCCTGCCGTGGGAAGTTCACGGAGGCTGCTGAACAAGAACGGTTGGACAAAGATGGCATCGATGAGGGAGCAGAAGCTGAAGAATACCGCAAAAGCTTGTGCCAGAAGGATAGTGTGGAGCCAAGAGTAGGGATGACGGAAGGCGATATTGACCAGAATAGGTGTCGAAGTCGCGAAGAGAATGAAGTTGATATAGTCGAACATTTTGAGGTGGTTTTGATAGGTTGTGCAATTGTCGATATATTGATCTGGTGACACAGAGGTATGCGGTACCACGAACTGATTAAGCTGCAAAAAGAGGGTAGACAGGAAGGTGCACGTCATTTGCCCAGAGATGCGCCGCTCGCTCTTTCCTCTTAGAATCTAGAAGTGCATCAGCTGAACGAACAGTGCTCTTTCAAATAAACGTGAATTTGATTGAGAGCGTGAGAGTGAGTGAAATTGGGCCCTTTCTATGGTATTCCTTTCGGATAAAGTCTAGCTTCGTCTACCTTTGCTAATGCACCAACACCTTCTATGATCCGCATGAAATTGTAACTTTTGAAATGATGAATAGAGCCTGATAGCTTATTTTGCCCAGACAAGAGTACCGGGCTTGGTCTCGTGCTCAACGACATAGTGGTGGCTGGTGAAGTTCTTCCAGAGTGCCTTCAAGAATGAAGTGTTGTCGCGAATGTACTTCTTGCCAAGCATGGGCTGGATGGCGCCAGTAGCCTCCTCAGCGTGGTAGAATGGAATTCGACTATATGGCGTCAGCTTTGTTGCCTGCAATAGATTGTGAAGCCTTCTGAACTTACGGGAAAAGATGGTGGACAACGTGGAACTCAATAATACCGTGGAACAGCTCACGGCCAACAAAACCGAAGTCTCTGTCGACAGTGGCCAAGGCACCCTTCTCGAATGTCCAAGTGCCCTGCTCGAAGTGCTCGGCATCGCCGTGGTTGTGGTGAAGGTAAGTGATGGCAACTGCAAAGCATTAGAAAATTGCTCAGATGCAATCCATGCACAATAAAACTCACCGAGCCAGTGGTTAACCCAGAGGTAGGGAAGGCCGTAAAGGAGTGCAACCTGGGTCAATCCCATAACCTGGGTGGCGTAGTAGAGACCATATCCGACTGCGAGAAGACCAAGATCAGAGACCAGGATAGCCAAACGCTGGGACGGCAGGTAGATGGGAGACATGGGAGAGTAGTGGCTGAGGTTAGAGGTAGTGCGAGGGTCCTTGGAAAGTGCCAGACTCTTGTAGCCGGAGGATGCGTAGAAGAGCATGTATGCTTGCCAGCCGATCAGTTGGTGTCCAATGAGGAAGAGCAAGCTAACGATAGGGGCATCCTCAGTCATGTGGAAGATATGCTTGACCTTCTCCTGGACCTTGGTCATGATTTGGTTGTCGTCCTTCTTAGCAGGAACGAATGCAGTGTCCTTCTCCATGTGGTTGGTGTATCTGTGATGTCTGGCATGGCTGTACTTCTGTAGGGGAGTCAGCGTGAATTCAATTGCAATCATAAGAGAACAGTTTATCATGAATTTGCTGTGAAAGATATCACAATTTCAAGGATAATCCGAGAAATTGTGGACCGATCAAACAAACTCATCAAAAACCATTAAAAAGACACATACCCATGAGAAGTAAGGAACACCCAAGAAGCTGTGCAAAATAAGGCCGAAAGTGTCGTTGACTGCGCCATTGTCGAACATGGCTTGGTGGCCACACTCGTGAGCCAAAATCCAGATACCAACAAAGACGAATCCTTGGAGCACGCTGTAGAAAGCATACAAGGCGCATCTCAAAGGGAACGAAGGTACATATTGGATCTGGGTTCCCATGTAGAACACGGCAGAAACGAGGGTGATGTCTCGCACGATGTAGCTCATGGAGGTGGCCGTCGACTTGTGGAAGCAGTGCTTGGGGATGGCGGCTCTCAGAGCGTCAATTGACGTGCTAGAGGCCTTGGTGTCGGAAGCTGCTTGGGCACCCATGTTTGTTGACTTGATTGAGATGCAAATGAGTGACTGATCAAGCAAGGACACGGGGTGAGATCTGTTGATGCAAGAAAGTTCGCGCAGAAAAGAACTTCGAGATGGACCCTTTTTCTTTGACAGATCTCCAAATCCTCCCCTTTCTTATCCAATCTTGTTGAGCGGGCCCAGACATCGAGAACGTGCAAAGCATTGGTATTAAATGTTTGGTCGGACGCTGATTGGCCAGGAATCGGTGAGAAATTCCCCAGGGTCCAGCGGACCCTTCGTTCGGGTAATCCCTTACGACTCAGCCCTCTAGAAAATCCACTTCATCCCGCCTTTCTGGATATGTCGCGCACAACTTCACCTGTTTGCATACTTGTGCTTTTGACGTGTGCATCTATCAAACCGTCAAAGATGCGGTGTCGAAAATGTTGTGACAGGTTGGATATCGCCTGATTCCTGCCTCGTTCTCCAAGCAAGGTGTGTTGTTACTTCCTATGCTTCTTTCATTTTTCCCCAATGAAACAACGTCGCCAATAGAATATTCTTCAAGACATCGTGTCTCCAGTATGCAACCGCAACTAGAAATAGTCAAACAGGAGAGATCGTCATGCATACTGCCGTTTCATCGCCAAGATGTTCCCACCTCCCCGGTTTTCGCCGCACCTGTCAATCTTCTTGAGGACGGGTCGCCAATAAGCTCGCTGCTTTCGTGGCGAATCTGGTGATTCTTCATTGCCAGATAGCAAGGAGTGTGATTGCTTTATGGCTCTGAGTACGTCGATGTGCTCGAACTCATCTAGTGAAGATATCGACAGTTCTTGCGCTGTATCTTAGGTAATGATTCTCCTTGAAAGCACATCAGATGGTACTTTCAGACGTGATTCTACCATGACTCCACTCCGCTCGACCGACCGACCGACCGCAAGAAGACATGGTGTAGTTTGTGCCATCGGGACTTGCAAGACGCTCTTCATACGTGCTCGGCTTGGTAAAGCAACGAGTGGTACTAAAGACGGTGGATTTATGAATCTTTCGAACTCCGAGTTCTCTATGCTTAGCCCAGATGACTCTAACCTTCAGAGACCCAGCTGTAATCTGCTCTAAATCTACCAGGCCATTGTGCAGGCCGTCTATCGAACGTATCTCAGTACACATTGGCTTGTCCTTGCGTGAGTGCAGTCTAAGAGTTGAGCCAACTGCTACGTTGATGTAACGTTGTCGAGAGGCGACATAACATAGGGGTAGTCACTCATGAGCGAATGCAAGATTGCGTTGATGCAGTACTCTAGAGGTGAAGTCAGATTACAGTGCGCTTACATGGAAAGACCGGCCACTAGGGCAAGTGCACCAGCGGTAGGTTAGTAGGCTTGTTTGGCGGGATTCAAATACTAGGATCATGTCCATATTCACATCCTGTTATTTCATCGACTTGTATGCTTGATTGCCTGACATCTTCGACGTCTCGAGTCTCACGACCTTACAGCTGTGATAAAAAGCGATTTGACCTTCCAGCAGAGGCGCATATTGGTCATCTAACATTCGGGACTCGTTGAAAGATATTCAGCAGCTATCGACTTCCAGATCGTGTTTTGGACAGCGTTTCAACCCCACGACTTCGAATGAAAGTACATCTCAAAGGTTATCTCCAAGCTTCACGCCCAGAGATGGGGACGAGAGACGTGACCTCATCTGACAACGTCGCACTGGTGAGGAGAAGCTGGGCGTTTTGTGAAACTTGATTGTACACAAGAGAGGCTCGCTTAGGTTCGCCCAGAGAATGTGATGCAGTCATCTAATGTCAGAGACTTGAGAAAAGCAAAGGAAAAGAACGATTATGGCCGTAGAAGTCAAAATGCGCTGTTGGCAGCAGCAGTAATTTCCGGAGATGTCACCGCCAAGAAGATACTCCGTACCAAGATCGAAGGCATCGGCACCGCCAGTTTGCCTAGAGTGCTTGTCTCGCTCAAGCTGTATGGACGAGCAATGGTCAAGATGCAGCCAATTATTTGCGCTCTTCCCACTTCGACTTCATCATGCAGTTGAGCTCCCCTTCCAAGAGGTGCGGTGGGTGTTGTAGAGTAGGCTTGTAGCACGCACGCACCCGCGGTGGTTGGAACTGATTCCAGATCAACACAGCCACAACAAGCCTTGGCTGATCGTGCATATGCCAGCGAATCATCCCCTAGGGGAAGGCCGGTGATTTAAAGTATTATGCTGGAAACAGGGAAAGTGCGCAAACAAGGAAAGCGCGCGCTGGAAAGTGTCGAGACGTGAGAGGCGCTTTCCCTGAGCTAGACTGACGACCCGCTTCACAACCTGATAATCTAACAACAACCCCTTCGTTCTGACTTCGTCTTCTTCTGCCATTGATTCTCTGGCGTGCGACTGAGTCTTTTGTACCAGCAAAGCTCACTTCCGGAGCCTCACCGTGCTGCTACGCGCGGAGACCAACAAACGCAGCCGTCAGCAAATAACGAGACCTACGAAACATCATGACAACACGACCCAAGCCCCGCCGCGGAAGCCGTCAATCAACGAGCCCATATTCGCACGAGCCAAAGCCTCGTCAAGAGCGTGAAGATGGCAGACTGCCCGAGTACAACCATAACGGACACGCAGTAACTCCTGGTATCAAACCTGCTGGCGAGAGTGGAAGACGCGGTTTCCACCCTCTCCACTTCTTCAAAGTCTGCTGGAACAGTTCGTGCACCGCCTCCAAATATGTGAACGTACTCTGGCCATTCGTTCCCGCTGCCATCGCCCTGGTAAGTACACTCGTCTTCAACTGTATCTCTCTCTTCTCACGCCATCTCCCTAGCACTTCGCAAGACCTCAGGAACACCTCTGGATCTTTATCCTTTCCTACATCGCCATGGTACCATCTGCCAATCTCATCGGCTTTGCTGGTCAGGAGCTTGCTAGGAAACTGCCTACTGTCTTTGGTGTTGTCCTCGAAACCACTCTCGGCTCCTTGGTCGAAATCATTCTCTTCATCGTTCTACTCAAGCTTAACGGAGGAGACGGCTCAGGCGTCCCTATCATCCAAGCTGCAATTCTCGGTAGTATCCTTGCAAACCTGTTGCTTTGTATCGGTCTTTGCTTCTTCTTCGGCGGTCTTCGTAGAGAGGATCAAACCTTCCACGATGTTGTCAGCGATACTGGAAGCAATCTGATGCTAGTTGCCGGCATGGCTCTTGTCATTCCTGTCATATTCAGCAACGCTCTCACTGGTCGTGAGAACCTTACTGTCGAACGTCTCGAGGCCGAGGTCCTTCGAATTTCTCGAGCCACTGCCATCGTGCTTCTCGTGGCATATGCAGTCTACATTTTCTTCCAGATGAAGTCTCATCACGGACTTTACGACGACATTCTCGAGGCCGACGAAGAACAGGACGCTGACCGTCATCGTGATCTGGCCAAGCCAAAATTGACTCTGACTGAGTCTATCATCGCTTTGGCTTTTGCCATTACTTTCGTGTCAATGATGGCCGTCTTTCTGGTTCAGAATATCGAGTGGATGGTTGAGCATCGCCACGTCCCAGATGCCTTCCTTGGTCTCATTCTGATTCCCCTTGTTGAAAAGGCTGCGGAACACATTACTGCAGTCGACGAAGCCTGGGACAACCAAATGAATTTTGCTCTGTCGCACGTTCTGGGCGCATCCATCCAGACAGCATTGCTCAACACGCCTCTAGTAGTTATCGTCGGCTGGGGTCTGGTAAGTCAACACTCTAACTTCTCTGAGAAGATCTTGCTTACTAATTTTATCACAGGGTATCGATATGTCTCTGAACTTTGAGATGTTCCACGCTGTTGTCTTAATCCTCGCAATTCTTGTGGTTGGCGGATTCTTGCGGGATGGCAAGTCCAATTACCTCGAGGGCGCTTTGTGCTTCTTCGTTTATGTGCTCATTGCCGTCGCTGCCTTCTATTACCCTAACCCCATTCCCGGCCAAGAAGGCGAGGGCAGTAGCGAGTCAGCAGGAGAAGCGGCCGCCCGCTTTAGATGATGAGGTTTGAGCCCACATAATTCATGTTTATTGTTTAGCGTTACCATGGCAGTTGACCTTTGTGATCAGAATCGATATTTCCCATAACTTAAGAGCTTGCCCTGACACCTCGTGCACGGAATGTGACGTTAGATCTTTTCGGCATCCCCGCAATAGAGCTGGCCCTATGTGTCGGCGTGATATCGCTACACATTCCTCGCGTTGCCTCGAAGACCGGGAGCTCACTCAGCTTCGAAGAAACAACCGGCCCGAGTCGCAGTGTAAGTACATCTTCCTCAGACTATCCGAGACGCTTGCAAGGTTCAAGACTCGATTTCTTTTTGTGTTCTTTCCCATCTTCTCTGGCTTCGGTCATGGCACACATTCATTTTGACTCCATGTCACATCCAAAAGCCGCTCTGCTCTGCTTAGTCGCTCTTTTATCATGTCTTGCACAAGCACAGAACGCTTGCAACATATATCGGCCTATCAGTCATAATACTGTATATCAACAGGCTGTGTCATTAAACACTTATGTCGATTACAACACCACTTTCTATCCCATTCAGGGAACACAAGCAGCAATTACTGTTACGGATGCGCCAACGTCTCTTGACACAATAACCACACTCTCTTGGACAAAGACTCTTCTTTCCACCGCATTCACCTCTACACTTCCCAGCATTGCTGTGCCAAGAGCGACAGACTCTTCTTTCATCCTTTTCATAATGTCCGACACGAGATTGCATCAGAAGCGTCAATCAGGCTTCTACATGAACGCCAACGGAACAGTCACCAATGACTGCTCAAGCGCGCCTATATATGCCATCAGAAATGGCGTCTTAACTGCGACCATCAATAACGTTGTCTACTACTATTCGACCAGTCCAGGGATAGCGTACTCTCAATTCGTCCCTTCGCTAACACCAGGGTCTATAACAACATCATTTTCGGCAACGAGTAACGGTCAGCTTTCATGGTTCAACTCGCAATTCTATAACGGACAGGCACAATTTTGTTCGCTCAGCAATGGCACGGTTTATGCCGTGTATCAGCAAGATGCAGCGCCTTCTGGTTGCCTGTACATTCAACTTTCCCTATTTTCTGTTTCCTCGTGTGCGGCTTTAGCTATGAGTTCTGGTCCCAGGTAAGTTGTTCCAATCTTGCCGAGAATTGGTTACAGATTGGCTGACATAATTTCAGCGGTCCTTCAGGTAAGCAATATCGTCTCGGATGATGAGATGATTCGTCCATGTCCGCAGAACAATTCTACGAGAATCGTGCTTCCTTTCTGGTGAGGCTTCGATGACGTGGCTGTCAAAAGGCATGATGTTTCTGGGAAGCACCTTCAATAAGAGCGCATGAGGCAGGTGCTCTCAACGAACCTCGACCGAATTCGAAAATCGTCGTGTCTTTTGATAGCCTCTTCGCCAGACTTCACCCTTGCTGGGATGTCAATTCACGCATTGTTCTGCCTGCTATGTTGAGACGTGTCCATGGAATCGAACTTTCGCTAATCACTTCTTTGCCAGGTCCGAGTGTGAGATTGATCATCATCTCCGATTAAGTATCCTTTTCTAATCACAGAGCAGGGACCTTCCGGAATAAGCGGCCAAATTGGAGCTACAGTAAGTTGGACTTCTCGTCGTGGTAAATGTGTACTGGTGTCTGGTTTCTTCTTTCATCTCGGAAACATTTGCTCAAAACAGAAGATGAGTTATGGACTATGCAATTACTGCCTCACTTCTCTGCCTTCTGAGCTAGATCATCTGAGATCATCAAAAATGATGCTTGAAAGTCTGATGCCAGAGCAACCATCCACTATGAGTTATCTTTTACAATATTCCCGTGCCATGCTGACTCGATCGTTCTTCTCAGGGTTCTGTAGGGCCAAGTGGTGAGTGCTGCCTATCCAGCGCGGATTCGGTATAAGCAAAATTCTGCTTATCGATATCCATCTTTCTCGGAGATTGACATGTGTTAATATACAATTGTTCTATATAGGACCTCAAGTAGGTATCCATCAATCTTACTCAGCCTGTGGCAGTATTCTGATCATGAATTACAGGGCATCCAAGGAACTCAAGGACTCCAAGGACCTCAAGGCATCCAAGGAAGTCAAGGAATCCAAGGAACTCAAGGCATTCAAGGAAACAATGGGCAAAACGGGGCCGTCGTAAGTCGAACCATTCGCAGTATACAAGTAGTGCTGGATAAACTGACGATACCAATTGTAGGGCGCAACTGGTAAGTGCCACTCTATCCAGGACAACGCGAGATTCAGAAGCATGCGGCTGTGTAAAAAGCACTCCGGTCTTTCAACGACCTTGGTGATGATGATGGGACAATCCTCGACGTTCTTGCCTGTAGCTGCATGCTTCATCAACCTCCTGCGTGTTTCTGTTCATCGAGCTCGATCACTGACTCATGTCTTTGTCGTGTAGGCCCGCAGGTATGAAGCTTCAACATCTTCCAAAAAAGATTGACCACACTCTAATATCGCACAGGGAAGCCCCGGCTTGCAAGGAAGCGTCGGCCCAACAGGATCAACTGTAATCTATTCCTATTCCCGCCCATAATCTTCCAGACCAAAGCTAACAACAATCCACCACACAGGGCCCATCCGGGTACCCCTCCCCCCTCCTCCCTACTCTCCCAACCCCACTAACCTAACTCCCTCCCAGCCCCCCAGGCCCAGTCGCAACAGGCATCCTCTACGCCTACCTAGGCTGCTACGTGCAAACCGGCTCCAGCACCGTAACCACCGGCCGCGCACTAACCTCCTACCAAGGCACTTTTACCGGTCAAGTAAACTCCCGCTGCAGTAGCACTTGTCTAACTCTGAATTTCGTATACTTTGGAACCGTCAATCAGGGAACGAGCAGTGCGGATTGTTGGTGTGGGAATGCTATCAGTTATGTTACTGTCAATAGTGGGTTGTTGAGTGGGACTACTGGGGAAGCTGGTGAGGTGAGTTTTGTTACCCTCTTCGAGATATGTACGATGGATATCTGCTGACGAGATGTGTGAAACAGAATAATTGTTTCCTTTGTAATGGAGGATCGGTTTCTGGGGGGGTACCTGGAGCTTGTGGGAATTCGTCGAGTAGCACGATTGCGATATTCGCTCGATCGTTCTGAGAGAATTGGATAATTGCCGAATTGGGTGATTCGAGGACGTGCGTTATCATGGCTGATATGCCGGCTTTTCGTATGTTCTTTGCTTTATGGTGCAGATGGTTTGGTGGGTTGCAATCATATTGTTGTTGGCTCGGATGTCATGTTTGTATGAAGGGGTCTTCAATAATTCTTCACCAATAAGATTACGTCGAGAAAAGCCACGGTTGGATATCAGTTTCGGAGACGGACGTTTCACACCTCTCTTCTAGAAACAGCGCCGCAAAGTAGACCATCCTGTGGTTTGACCGCTACACTATCCAAATAAGCTGCATGCTAGATACAGAAGAACAAGCAGATCTGCCTTCCTTCGCAGCTGCGCGTGAGAGTCATCTCGCCAAGAGGGTACCTATCTGGTAAATCAAGTTTATCAAAAGGCACGACGATTTTCAGATCAGTTGCACTGTAAAAATGATGATGTGAGAGAGATGGATGCATGAAGATGCATCATCAAGTAGTATTGGCATTACTGAAGCTTTCGTTAATCATATCTGTCTGTACAGCCATTTTTGTGACCCACTGTCCATCTTCATCAATGTCAATGCGCGATCGCTGCATCGGCATACTCATTAGTAGGATCTGCGCCCTCTTTTGTAGCCTCCTCCATAGCCGCTACCTCTCCTCATGTATCCACTGCTGCTACCATAGCTTTTGCTGTAGCTACTACTTCCACGAGTGTAACTGTTGCTTCCTCCACGACCTCTGGAGCTGCTGGTCTTACCTCCGCTCCATGAAGTCCTCGGCGAGCTCTTAACTTTCATCGGGGTAGGCGCCACATTCAGCGGACCATGGGCAGCTGTTCTACAAGCAGCCTCGAATTCTCGGAGTAGCGTCTGTTGTCATGTTAGTAACGTTCCGTCAGTGACATAAGATCGCTGACTTACGCTAAACTCGTGATCGGCCAGCGACTCAAACACCGCGCTCTTGTCAAGCTTGAGCTGAGTGATTCGCGGACTTTTGATGCCAAAGGCAACCCGCGCCAGAAGTCTAGGATCGTCATGTGGACACACAGCCAAGACCTTCTTGATCCCCTCCACGTTGAGCGGCGGAGGAGGCTTTGCAGGCATCGTCGGCGGCGCCCCCCAAGCGCAGAATGTACAATGGCCGCATGACTTTCTGGAGTCAGGCAACTCCATGCCAAAGTATTGTGCAAGACCAAGCGCGAAGCATGCCTGTCCAGTGACAAGATTGAGCACTTGATCAATTCGTCCCAGAGAATCCTGCTCGCGACGAGCCATATCTGCGTGAAGTTGATCGGCCAAGTCGGCGATATCCTCCTCGGCACTAGGCAAGGGTCTGAGCACCCGATAGCGGTTCATCACTCCTGACGTTTTCAACATGATGACGCCTGTGGCATTCCAGCTGTCCAGTTTTCTGACGAGATCTGCTCGCATGAGACCGGTTCTAGTGGCCGAACTCATGTCGAATGTGAAGTTCTTGACGGCCTTGGTAGACATGGAGTAGATTGCTCTAGCCTCAGGAGAATGGTCGCTGGACGCAGCAGCATGGTATCGTCCTTTGTCTTCGAATTGATAGCTGGTATACTCGGGGGTTATAGCGCGCAAGAGACCAAGCCTGAGTTCGAGTGTGGCCAGGACGACATCGAGCGGACTGAGACGAATGTCATAGAGACCGGACAGCTCACGAAGGGTGAACTTGAGCACCTCCCCCTCATTGTCCGGTATTGGTTTGCGACTAAAGACGTCCTTGAGCAATTGCTGTAGCGAATTGCGAGACGGCAGGTCACCTAGGGCGAAATTCTGCCGTATGTAGATGTCTGCTTGGCAGAGGAACATGATGCAATAACCAGGCTCTCCGTCTCGTCCGGCACGACCGATCTGCTGGCTGTATTCTTCGATAGAGGATGGAAGGTCATGATGAATCACATTCCGTATATCGGATTTGTCCACGCCCATTCCGAATGCAATGGTAGCGACGACGATACGAATCTCGGAAGCCATGAAGCTGTCCTGAACAGCCATCTTTTCCTCGACCTTCATGCCGGCATGATAGTAGGCAGCATCGAAAGACTTCTGGCGCAGTGTTTTGCACAGGGTCTCGGCTTGCTTCTGAAGTGTGACATAGATGATGGTACTGCCAGGGTGCTCTCTAAGCCATTTGAACAACAAGGGAAGTTTGGCTTCGGTCGAGTCTGTGGCGACAGCTTCCAGTCTAAGGTTTGGTCGATACGGACTCGTGCGAAACTCATTACGCTCTAGGATGTCAAATGCCTTTCGTACGTCGTCGGCGACTTTGGGAGTGGCGGTGGCGGTCAAACAGATGACTCTTTCCGCTTTGATGTCTTTTGCAAGTCGAGAGACGCGCATGTACATGGGCCTGAAACTCTCGCCCCATTCAGAAATGCAGTGGGCCTCGTCGACAGCAATCAGACGGATGCCTCCAGCGACATGCTTCATACTTGCAACGAAAGCTTCGTTGTTGAGCTTCTCGGGTGAAACATACAACAAGCGAAGACGGCCAGTATGTATCTCGGAGTGAATGGCCTGGATTTCTTCGTACGTCTTTGTTGAATCCAAGCAATCGGCGGCAATGCCTTTCTTCTTCAAAGCATCGGTCTGGTCTTTCATCAGAGCAATCAGAGGCGAGACGACGAGGGTGATTCCAGCACCATGTGGGCGTATGTTGCCGCTCTGCTTGTCCATTTCTGGGAAAGCAATTGCCGGGATCTGATAACACAGGCTCTTGCCCGCGCCAGTGGGCAGGATGGCTAGCGCGTTTTCACCTCTCAAAATGGCCCGGATGATTTTCTCTTGTTCGCCGCGAAAGGCAGGGTATCCAAACTTTTCTCTTAGCAGTGTGCGGACTAGAGCAATGTCTCTAGGGTTGTCTGGTGGTGGAGGGGCATTACGACTCTCTTGCTGAGACGAAGTCCATATGTCTTCTATCTTCGGATCGTTGAAGATGTCATTGTCGTCGAAGTCGTCGTCGTCGTCATCGTCGATTGGAGCAGGACGCTTGAGAGTGGGAGTCGGTGGGATGGTGAACGAGGACTCTGATTTGACAAAAGCTGATTGAGACTGTTGACTGGCGCTGACTAGAGCATCGGCATCTAGTTCATCGAAGAGGTCATCTGAGCCGTACTCGGAGGGTTCCTGGGGCAGCGGTGGCGCTGGCCGTGGTGCTGGCGGTGATGCTGGTGGTGGAGCAGCTGGCTGGATCGCGTCCGTGTTGGCCTCACTTTCGGCGTCGTCTTGCTGCAGACGAGCTATCAAGTCTTTCTTAAGCTTGATGCCAGAGCTGGAAAGACCGCGACGCGTCTGTTCGGCGCGTAGCTGGACTACGGTGAGCTTGTTGTAGTCCATGTCGACGACGGGCGTGGCTTGCTGGAGCAGTGAGGTGAGGCTTCAAGGCGTCATCGAAGAAGGTGAGGGAGTCGGATGGAGACGAGAGTTTTTGACTAGATCTGAATGCGAGTCGCGACTGCCATGACCAGCTCTGCGACGGAAACCAGCCAACAGGTAGGCAATGCGACAAGTCTGCCATCTCGAGAGTCGCTCTTTCTTCTTTCTGTTCTGGCTTAAGCATGTGATTGTGGGGTAGACGCGGTGCTTGGCATACACTATCCGAAAAAAGGAAGGATGTCTTACGGGAGATAGACCATCTCTTCGCACAGGTTCTCTTAGCTCGAGAGGATTGTAAAATGCTACAGCCACATCTGGTCGATTCAACAGTACATGGGAGTAAGGGAGCCTGAAAATTTGATTGTTTAGTCTGTCCAAAAATGTTCGTTTTGCTCGTTTTTATATACTGCGGCATAATGAGAGGTTGTTCAACACTCGGATGACTTTGCGTCCGACTCCAAATCTCCCAATCTCTGAAACTAGTTTTGATCCTTCCAAAAGCACCCGCTGTGGACCGCCCGCGCCTCGGATACTTCCCACTCCTCTTAGAGTAGGTGCCATATCCCTGCCATCTCTTACGAATGATCTTACCAGGTCCGGCTCAAGTGGTTGGTCCAAGGCGATGCTGATCGGGTGGCCTTGGGTATCCGAGAATCGTCGCTGTAGTGGTGGTCTGTTTGCTATAGCTGTAGTTGTGAATGCTCCATATGCCCAGAGGGTAAGTGTGGCCAGTAAGACTGCTGACGGCTCATAGAAGCTGTTTGTGTGGAAACTTCGAATATGCTTTAACAATATTCCCGCATGTAAGGCTGCGAGTCGAGCTTTGCTTTCGTCTTCGATCACCCACTTGCGTATCGATGTACGCAGGTTCGCCATCTGTGCTGTGCCAATACTTGTGTCTTCCTTCGTCATTCCGTACGCCAGGTCGCAGATGTTTTGGAAAGGTGCGAATAACACGATTCTCGCCAGATGTAGGTGTAGTATGGTTGGATGTTCCATGCCAGATGCTGCATTGACGACATTGTTGGCACTCCATTGGAGCACTTCTAGCGAATCGCAGACTGAGTCCCTCCAGAGGGCGAATGTCGACATTTGGTGAGGTCGCGGTTGAGACCGAATCTCAGCTCTTTCCATCTCCCAGCTTTGATGGTAGAAGCCGTGGAGAAGGATTATGCGGCTGAATTCACCCATTGTGCTTTGTAAGTCTTTGTGGTCTTGTAGAGTTTGCAAAGCCGACAGAAGTGTTAAGTTGGCTATCTCTTCCATCAGCAATGTTCGGCGTGGAGAAAGCTTCTGACAACTTACGCGGCGAAAATTGGAAAATGTGGTGCCATTGTAAGGCTGACTTTGTTTCCCATAATACCTCTTGACATGGTAAAGGTATTCTCCCGTCTTCTAGCGTAAGTCTCGGCTGCACCTGAAAATGATATGCCCACATCGTGTCAAGCATCTGTTGCGTATTAGCATTGATGCGATTGACCATTCTCCATGACACTCACCCATATCGCATATCCTGTCCGTCGACAAGACTCTAGTTGAACCCATCGTTCCCAAAATTCGGCCTCGTGGCCTTCAGGTGCGAAGGTCGTGAACCCTGCTTCGGACATTTTCCACTCGAGCTGACAGAATGCAACCAGGTCTGTCAAAAATTCATTGTAAGCGGATTCTTGCCAGCTTTCCTCGCCGCTGTAAATCTGGTTGATACATGCTAGTAGCTTTGTCTGACAAAGAGTGATGCGGTCAATCGTTTCGTGGGGATCCTGAGTTTGTTAGTACAATCAATTGTAGAGTCACCATGGGCCGAATTATTACCAAGGCTGAGATGGCACGGCGCAAGAACTCGTCCAGACACAGAGAATACTCTTCTGCTTGTTCGAAGTCCGACATATGGCTTCCAATCGTTACGATTACTAAACTGAGAATCCAATGAGATGTGTTGAGGTTCAATGTCGGATGGTGAAGTATAGGCATCACAGGATGAAAGCGCTCAAAGTATAGTTTGACCAGAGCGTTCAAGGTCTTCCGTGATGGGAAGCAGCTTGATCCATATACTGGTTGGTGTGCAGTCAAACCTGTACAGACAGCGATGAAAGACCTGTGGATGGCTGAATATGTCTGCTCAGATAACATGTCGAAGCTGGTGTAGTCATCACTCTGGAAGGCTGGCAAAACATCACCCGACAATGGAAAGTTGTATCGACGTCTTCGACTCAGGTAGCTGGTTGATGGATTGAAAGACCTGTGGAAAGTGCCTCGTAGATCCGATTGGTCATGAGCAGACTCTCCTTGATGGCTTGCAAGCGTGAGCTGTGACGTCGGACTGTTGGAGTCCATGACAGCTGTTCTGGACCTCAAGTTGGGCACAAGCCTTGGCCTCCGTGACAACTGGTCCAGGCTCGCATGCCGATCTCTTGACAGTGATGAGGTGTATGTTATCTCGAACGAGGCTTCAGTGCCAGAATAGGATCCTGCGAATGGCGACAAGGCTGTTTGCTGTCCATTGGAATCTTGTAGTGATAGGCCATGGATATATGTCGGAAGCGAGCCTGGGGGAAGATGGTTGGATTGGGATGCTGTCTCTGGATGCGGGTTGTAATTCCATGTATCTGAAACGTTCAGGGCATGATGTTCCGGAAATGGCACGGCATGGCCGACATATGGTAGTGACTGCTCCAGCTGTCGAGGGAATGACGCAGACTCGAGCATTGAAGACGAAGCATTTTCCGACGTTCCGGGCGTTGATGGGAAGTCCGATATAGCAGATGAAGGTGAGTCCTGTGCTTGGGCTGGGCTTGCGGCGCTTGGATACACGCAATCAGTCTGTTTCACTGTGCACCTCTCGCATGGCATGGTACCATTACAGCGGACCTTACTACCGGCACATTCCTTGCAGGCTCTTGCTCCCTTGAGTTTAGATACACCAGGGTCTTTCTGGTGTATCAACTCATGCCGTTGAAGCGTATCTCTGTTCAAAAGACGAGTCAGCGGCTCTGATGGTTTGGTGAGGGCGAACAAATCGTTCTCGGAAATGACGTACAATCGATTGAACCCCTTTCCACAAGCTACGCACTTGAAAGAACGAGCCTCGCCGTGACTGTTGGCATGGCGTCTCAAGTGCTCTATTCGGCCAAAAATGCGGTGGCATACTTGACATTCAAAATTGGTATCATCTCGTCGTCTTCTTTTCCTGTTGCTGACAGAAGCCGAGGACTCTTCCGGGGCTTCCAGAAGTTCTTCTTTGGTGAGTTCGTTGTTCTCGAACATGTTCAAGCATCTGCAGTTCGCTGCAGCTACAGGAAGCCACGATTTTGAGACGTGCGCCGCAGTGACACCTCTTGCATGGCAGTGGCGGATAGAGGAACCTGGGGCAGGAACCGGGGTAGATGTTGTTTCGAAGATGCATTATTACTCGATTAATTAACCGCCGTCACTGACGAACGACGAGCGATGATGGATGAAGCCTTCGTGGAGACGCGTGGGGAACGTAATTAACCGTTGGATGAGGACGATCTCATAATCAACCGGACTTGCAAACCATCAGTCTTGCGACCACGAAGGTACCCGGTCTAGAAGCGAGTCTAGAAAACATCCGCAGGATGAGAGATCGGCCGAAATTAGAACTCAATTCTCAAAGACTGTTTTGTCAACGGAGAGAAAAGACTCGGGGAGCGAAATCTCAACAGCGCCGAACTCAATACGAGGGCGGTCAAAAGGCACAATACCTCGAGGCCGGCTGAGTCGAGTTGAAAGTGCTGCAACACATACACGTCCTCTTTCTCGCGTATGGCCCCATCTCTGAAAAAAAGGTTAGATGTCCTCAGTGTGGCCCTTGCTGGCTGGGGAAGCTTGGACCAAATGCGACTCATACCGCTTTCTCTGAAATATCAGGTCTGACCAAATCCGCCGTGTTCATCGTTCTGGCATTTATCTATATGTTACTGACTAGCTTTCTCTTCGTCTTCGAGAGCTACTTCGTCGGGTTTACCCGCTGACTGCCCGTCATGCTCCATCATTTCTCTCGCCCAAGGACTCCTCTGGCGCAACCTTAAACCATATCTGCTCAAAACGAATGGAATCGGCATCAGCAAAAGAGCCAAACAAGCCAATATCAGACTCGCGTATTGATATCCACCGACTTGGGTATACAACTGCCTGCCAAAAAGAGGGAATCCAGCACCCATGAGATTTCTCGACAGACCCACCGCTGCAAGAGCAGATGCACTATACATGCCATAGCTATCCTCAACATAATCGTACGTCATGAGGATCAAAGTATAGAAGCTCCAACCCCATAGTCCGCTGGCAACCACAGGACCAACCCAGCTGAGCCGGACATATGAGGTGAATGCGAAGATGAACAAGCTGATAGGAAATGTAACTCCGGCGAGTTGGCCAAGCTGTACACGTGCTTCTGGGATGTTGGTACCTCCCGCACGACCGACTCGTTTCTGGTAGTACCTCTCTTGCCAGATGTTTGTCAAGGGGCCCAGAGAGATGCCAACACAGATGCCGAGAAATGTAAGTCCAACCTGGTACGTCTCGAACCCTTTGCCAGAGGGTCCAAAGATGATATTAAAAGCACCGTTGAACAAGAAGCTCAAGCCGTAGAGGTAGCCGTTGTATACCGCTGCGAAGACGACGATTGCTTCCGTGAACAAAAATCGAAAGGGTCGCGTCAAGGCAGTACGGAAGAGCTGTCGGACGCCGCGTTGCCTCATATGCTCAGGCACATTGATGTTTTCCCGACCCGTGCGACGTCTCTCGGCTTTAGCACGACGAAGGAGGATGATGCTGTGCCTTGTCTCACCAGCCCATAGTAACGTGACAGACATGATGATCCAGAAACCGCCGCAGATGCCCAGCAATGCCCAAAAGACATCTCTCCAGCCGCGATATTGAGCCACCCAGGACATTAAAAAGTAACCAGATGGTGATCCACAGGTCGCTGCCCATAGAAAGATAGACATGGGAATACCAGTGTGCCGAACATCCCACAGATCTGCGATTGTTCCTCCGAAGTTGGCAACAGTGACAGACGAGAAGAAGCCTGATAAGAAGCGGAGAGGTAAGAAACCACCAAGATTTTCTACCAAGGCAGTACCCATGAGGAAGAGAAGGAAACATCCGTATGGAATGATGTAAAGTGGTGTTCTTCCGAAGTACTATAAAGCGTTAGTCTCCATGGCAAGGTATAATGAGCCTTAAGATGGTGCAAGAATACGTACTTCCGACAGTGGTGCGATAGACATAGGCCCTAAAGCCAACCCCAGAACATATAGACTCAATCCCAGAGTTCCTACTTCACTAGAAACTCCAAAGTCTTTCTCGAACTTGGCTGTTGCGGGACTGTATCCTGAAGCTCCCCAAGATACCGATAGATCAACCAGCGTTATAGCACCGACAACAGTCCATTTCTTCCATGTCGGCCAATTCCTGGGGTTCTCCGTGGGGTTCAAAGTTATTATCTCGACCTTCGAATGCTCGAGGGAGCTTCGAGTCTGCAAATGTTGGTCGATCATGTCGGCTGAGATGTTTCGGTTGACAAGAGACACTGAGCACGAGGCAATGTTGGCGGCTCTTCATGTTGATAAATAAGTATTCTGTTTGTTCTGTTGAATGTAGATCTGGTATGACGTCCGGCAGACGTCGATCGGATGCGCAATGGAGGCAGAGGCTTAACTTGATATAGGCAAAGCTGTAAAGCGCTTTGCTTCTTTTCAGGATCAACGGCGCCGCGCGATCCCGCAGTTACCCCATGTGGTTGTTGCACCGTATCTTTATGAAGTCACGCTTACTCCTGGCGGTCTTACGTGCGGGAGCTCATAAACAAACCTCTTCTCGTATTCATTGTATCAAAAAGTCGCATCTGAAATCTGGAGAGATTGCTTGTCCAAAACATGATCGTGGCACTTGAGTGTGGGAGAAGAAGCGGATTGTGGTTTCATTTTCTACTAACTGTAGTGACTGTCGAGATTTGGTCTAGCTGAGCTACCATGACTGAAGTAGAGTAGACTCAATCGTCGCATTGGTTACAGAAACAGCATCGTTGGCAGTCTCGAGAATTCACTCGGACTGTGTAGAACTCGAAATCGCAATCAAAATTGGACCGCTTCAGAAGCTGAGTGGACTCGGTCTTCATATCGCAATTCAACGAACGGCGTAGAGCTGGGATTGCCAGCTTGGGTCTCTGTCGATTTGAGCTAAAGGAGAGCTCGAGAGTGTAGTAGTCCAAGCTAGTAGTGATCATTGGCGTTAACACAAACTTCATTGCAATCCTTGCTTTAATACTCCAAAGAAGCATGTCCAGGGCTGAGAGCTTGTCTTTGGCCGGTTCACCAGAGATCAGAAGCGTGCCGTCGTACAAGATGACCTGAGCGAAGTAATCGACCTTGCCATTGCCGGGCAGCCAATCCGGTTGCGGCATGGCTGTTACTCGTATCCTAAGGTCGTGCACTGTCAAATCGTGCAAAAGACGGTAAGTCAATTCGGAGAGGCCATGTTCTGGCAACGGGATTGTAGAAAGCAGAATCCAGGCGTCGACTGGAATGGCTGGTTAGTGCTGTTCAATCATCGAGTCCCATATAGCATACCAGCGATCTTGGACAGTACTCGGTTGTTGGCTTGTGCCATTTCCCGACTAGCCGGCGGAGCAGGCAACCGTACTTTCTCCTAGAAGTCGAACATTGATGAATGGAGCAATAAGTTGCGGGTGTGTACGATAGCCCGGTTTCGGTCGGTCTCATTTGGCTGCTTCAGACCGCGGCGGAGGGTACGGAAGCCGACGCAGTCGCATTCTGTGGTGCCATACTGATCGAGTCCAGACATTGTACTGTGATGGTCGACCATAGCTGTGATAATATAGGAATATGACGATGCTAGAGTGATGAATGATTTGGAAGGTTGCGCCATGACATAAGGTATCTCGGACAGCTTCGGTTGTTCGGATTCAAGCTTCTGATGCCGTCATACCTGGGTAATAATTCAGCGGCGGCAGGAGCATTCCATTATTTGAGGGCCAACACTTCGGGCGTATGAACATTTCACAACTTGCAAACAACTCAGCAATCACTTTCGATACCCTATAAAATCCGGACAACCATGTCGCCTCGATCGCTAGATTTTCAGTGTGCTCTCGTCACAGGCGGTGCAGGAGGCATTGGACGAGCAATTGCCGAATACTTCATCTCTGAGGGAAAGAAGGTTATTATCTGTGGAAGAACTGAAAGCAAGCTACAGTCGACGTGCAAGGAGATCGGCGCCGACTACTATGTCCTGGACACAGGAGACATCAAGGCCATCCCAGGCTTTATCAAGAAGATTACTCAGGAACACCCGGAGCTGGACTGTCTAGTCAACAACGCTGGAGTCCAAAGACCTCTCAATGTCAACGACATGTCAGCTGAGGAGTTTCTTGAAAAGGCCGATGCTGAAGTGAACATCAATGTTCGGGGACCTATGCATCTGGCTGTGGGCTTCTTGCCCCATTTCAAGAGCAAGAAGTCGGCCGTCATCATGAATGTGTCCTCAGTACTTGGCTATATTCCATTTAGCATCATCAACCCCGTGTACAATGGCACTAAAGCGTTTGTGCACTTCAACACTATGAACCTGAGGTCTCAATTGGAGCAAGGCGGAGCTTCCATCAAGGTGGTTGAGATTGCTCCGCCAAGCGTTGGAACGGATCTGCACAGAGAAAGAGAAGACCCGGACGACAACAAGAAGCACAAGAACTCAAGTGCTCTGTCCGTCGAAGAGTTCATGGAAGAGGTCAAGAAGGGTTGGCAAGAAGACCGTGACACTATCGGAGCTGGCATGAGCCAAAAGGTGGTCGACAGGTGAGCATTGTGTTGAAAAGGGTCAAGAAGCAGCGCTAACTCAAACCCTGCAGGTGGTACGGTGAGTTTGGCCAAGAATACGCAAAGGCTGAAGGCAAGGCATGAATCAACAATGTTGTTGACAATTGAATTGTTTTGCCGCGTGGAATCGCTCGGGTATCGGATCTGCCTGGGATGCCGAAGCGCCAAGGAGGCTGTTTCCCCGGTAACTTCGGTCTTCTCCACGAAACACAAACAACATGAGTTCGTCTTTCGAGCGCCATCAAGAAAGACGGTAGGCCTAAGCAATTGTTAATTTTAATCCAAGCATCTTCTGCTTCGTCATTTTGAGCTTTCTCTGACCGCCGTTTTGACTCTCTGACCTTTGTACTCACAAGCGCCTCTTTGTAGCATGCTCATGGCTTGATTGGAAGCAGATACAGCTCTACATTCCTCGCCTATCGCGCCGTCACTCATTACACCTGCCGCCAACATGGCATCTCGCTATGGCGACTCGTCTGTCTACAGCGACAACGAGGGTACGCCCGGGTCGCGCAATGCATCGACCATGAGACTACTTACCCACATCGACGAAAGTCCATTCGAAGAGTATGTTCAGCATTCTTCTCAGCCCCGAAAGTCGGTCCCAGTCGACTCCAGACCAGAGCAAAACAGCCGCTCGAGATTCAGCGTGCCTAGAAAGCAACCGAAAGAGCGTGATGCCATAAAAGACCTTCTTGAGGAGGCCCAGACGTCGCTGTCGCAAAACAAGAAAGACTTGAAGAACCCAAACTTAACAAACAACTCTAGAGAAGCCGCAGAGGAGATTCCACCCATGCCCGCTACCTTCGTCCCATACCATCCCTCGCGCCCACCCTCACGAGCCGTCTCGATCGTCGACGCAGCTCCCAATCTCCCACCTCCCTCAGATGCGCCGCCCTTCTACTACGACAGACCCGAGTCCCGCACCTCCCACTCTCCTTCGCGCTCATGGTCCCCTACCCGTACCTCGCTCGATTACACTGTCCCGCCCTCCTACAACGCTCCCTACGAACCCGCCGACATCAACGGAAGTCCGAGACCTGGCTCACCTTCTAGCAAATATGGTGGCAGCTCGAAGCGTCCTCTTCCCCCAGCACCACTCTTTGCGGGCGTACGACCGAACTCTTCTGATGGCGACAAGGACCTCTCTGACATGACCGCCATACCGATCGATGGTGATGACGACCCCTTCACCGACGACGAGCGACCAGACCTTCTCAAAACCGACTCCTTCATGTCCGAATCGAGCTTTAACGAAGATGATTACGATGAAAAAGGCAACTACGAGCCAGCACCAAATGGAAAGCAAGAACGTCGCGGCGCAAGACCAGCCGTTATGTCGAGGAAAGAAGTCAAACTGATCAATGGAGAGCTCATTCTGGAGTGCAAGATTCCTACCATCCTCTACTCTTTCTTACCACGTCGCGATGATATCGAATTCACGCACATGCGTTACACGGCTGTCACGTGCGATCCTAACGAGTTCGTCGAGCGTGGCTACAAGCTCCGTCAGCAGATCGGCAATACCACTCGCGAGACCGAGCTGCTCATCTGTGTTACCATGTACAACGAGAACGAGCTCGACTTCACCCGTACCATGCACGGTGTTATGCGCAATGTCGCCCACTTCTGCAGTCGTCAAAAGTCTAGAACTTGGGGCAAGGATGGCTGGAAGAAGATTGTCATCTGTATCATTGCAGACGGTCGCAAAAAGGTCCATCCCCGAACTCTGGATGCTCTCGCTGCCATGGGTGTGTACCAGGATGGTATTGCAAAGAACTCGGTCAATCAGCGCGAAGTCATTGGCCACGTCTACGAGTACACCACTCAAGTATCTCTCGATCCGGATCTCAAATTCAAGGGAGCCGAGAAAGGTATTGTACCTTGCCAGATGATCTTCTGCATGAAAGAGAAAAACGCAAAGAAGCTCAACAGTCATCGTTGGTTCTTCAATGCTTTCGGACAAGCGCTGAAGCCCAATGTCTGTATCTTGCTCGATGTTGGTACGAGACCTGGAGATACTTCATTGTATCACCTATGGAAAGCTTTCGACAACGACTCAAATGTTGCAGGCGCTGCTGGTGAGATCAAGGCTGGCAAGGGAAAGAATTGGCTCGGCTTATTCAACCCGCTCGTTGCATCCCAAAATTTCGAGTACAAGATGTCAAATATTCTTGACAAGCCTCTCGAATCTGTCTTTGGTTACATCACCGTCTTGCCTGGCGCTCTGAGTGCTTACCGCTTCCACGCTCTTCAGAACGACGAAACCGGACATGGACCGCTCAGTCAGTACTTCAAGGGCGAGACCCTACACGGTCAAAATGCCGATGTGTTCACCGCAAACATGTACCTTGCTGAGGATCGTATCCTCTGTTGGGAGCTGGTAGCCAAGCGCAACGAATCTTGGGTGCTAAAGTACGTCAGACAAGCCACCGGTGAAACCGACGTGCCTGGTAAGTGATTGTGCAAAATCAAGAACAACAGGACCCTGCTAACAACCTCCCAGACGCTGTTCCAGAGTTCATCTCTCAACGCCGAAGATGGCTGAACGGTGCCTTTTTCGCCGCTGTCTACTCTCTCCTGCACTTCAAACAAATCTGGAGCACGTCCCATTCTCCTATCCGCAAAGCTCTTCTGCACGTTGAATTCGTCTATCAGTTCATCCAACTCACTTTTACTTGGTTCTCTCTTGGAAACTTCTACCTGACATTTTACTTTGTTGCTGGCTCGCTCTCGGACCCCAAAATTGATCCTACTGGAAGCAAGGTCAATCTCTGCAAATATGTTTTTACAATCCTACGATATGCCTGCGTCTTGACGATCGCTATGAACTTCATCCTGAGTATGGGCAATCGACCTCAAGGATCGAAGAAGATGTTCCTTGGATCAATGGTCATTTACGGTGTCGTCATGGCTTACACGACTTTCGCATCAATATGGATTGTGGTGAAGGAGTTTGAAGCGGGCACAATGGAGTTGGGCAACAACCTCTTCACAAACTTCATTGTCAGTACGCTCAGCACTATCGGTCTCTACTTCTTGATGTCCTTCCTCTACCTGGATCCTTGGCACATGTTCACTAGCTCTGCTCAGTATTTCGGAATGCTGCCCAGCTACATCTGCACACTCCAAATCTTCGCGTTCTGCAATGCCCATGATATCTCCTGGGGCACAAAGGGTGACAACACCGTCAGCACAGATTTAGGCGCTGCAAAGGCTTCAAAGGGCGGCACCGTCGAGCTTGAAATGCCGAGTGAGCAGCTTGACATTGACAGCGGTTACGACACCGCTCTTCGCAATCTTCGTGACCGCATCGAGGTCGTGGAGCCACCCCCGAGTGCAGCACAGCAACAAGAGGACTATTACCGCGGTGTCCGAACGTACATGGTCACGATCTGGATGTCAACAAATGCCATTCTTGCAATGGCTGTCAGTGGAGCATACGGCGAGACAGGCATCTCCAACAACGTCTACCTCAAGTTTATCCTCTGGGCTGTCGCTATCCTGGCTCTGTTCCGTGCCATTGGTTCCTCGACTTTCCTGTTCATCAACGGTCTTCATTCCATCATGGAAGGCAAGCTTAAATTCAGCGATCGCAGCTCCACAGGTAGTAAGACTACCTCGAGAAGACGATACGGCTGGCGCAGCAAGCTACCTAGCTTCAGCTTCCTCGATGGAAGCGGTACCTGGATCAGTGACAGGGCTGGAGACGCAACTGCTGGAATCAAGAGAGTGTTCCGCAAATGATTTGAACGACTTGTACCTTTTGTTTCAATGTCCGGAATAGATGGACGATAAATTGGCGTTGAAGATTGGTTTCGTTTCTCGGCGATGGAAAGAATTGGTGGTTTTACGTTGTAACGCATGTATCATAATGACCCTTTACTTGAGTACTTTTCTCCGAATTAATTTGTTCGCAGAGTTGAGCGATTTCTCCTCTGGCCAGTCTCTCAGCTCGGTCCGTCGTCAATGAGCCTGACCTGTGCGATGTTCTTTCTGTTGGCCAAGCCGGATCTTGAGCGCAACATGTTCCCAGGTCGATCGATGAGGAGGTCAACTCAGATGGTGCAACAATGATCTTGCCGATTTTGACGCGCCAATATTCCCACAGATCGCCTTGGGAGAAAGAACGGCGGCTGCGTAGCAACCGCTTGAGCGAGCCTGCCATTTTATCTAGCCACCTCGGAAATGATGTCACGCAAATCTCTCGACTCGACCCCAGCTCTTGCCTTCCAACTTCATGCCTTTTTCACTTTGCAGAAGAATCGCCAACCCAACTTGTGACTCATCAAACACCCAAGATCAGAAGCAAAAATACTTTCTGTCGGAATTCAAGACGAGATCACCACTAGCCGCATGCCCGGTGGCCTTGGGCGCTTGGAGTGTAGGTCGTTTTCCCCTCGTTTTCGCGCGGGGTCGTCTCCCAAGACACGTCCAATCGTATCGCGGTGCCTTGCCTATGGCCGAGAGTCTCTTGCTTTGTACCTCAGGTAGCGATGATCTTGATACAGAACAGCTCTGGTCTGGTTCATCGAGTCCACGATGCCGAGAAAGGCATGCTGTGTACAATTCACCTGCATTCTACGCGTGGGGGTCGACACAAGAGGAGGTCAAGACATGCTGCTGAGAAACTGACACTCCAACTGATTAGCAAGACCGACATCACATCTATCGTTTCTCACGACAGCGACTGCTGTGAGAGCTTGGTTCGATGGATCTCCATGCGAGCACAGAGGTCCACCCCCGGATCTACTCCCCATACTCACCCCAGACTTGATTGCGGGGAAGCTCCTAAACGCTAACCTTGTTATAGCTGGACTATCTCCAAGTTTCCGCATGCCCGGACTACTACTATTAATGTCATGAATCGTTTCGGGCTTATCTTGTACTACACGCTTTTCATAGGCTGAGATATGAGCAAAGACATGTACAGCACGTAGTAATCGTCAAGTCAGCCATCTCGCATGGCCATCTGTCCGAGCTCTTCTAGACATAACGTGGCTTCCATTGCAAGGTATGAGCTATGCAACGACCAAGCCAACCGCTCAACCGGGAGGAGGCGTCTGGGGTAGCTTCGAGCGGCGTGCGGCTGGTCGATCAGATCAAGCCCTTTCCACAAAGTCAGGAGATCATGGGCCGTTCGTGACCAGACCAATGCGGCGGGGTATGGATTATCTACGCACGCTGCTGTCGAGTTTAGTGAGTGTTGTGCTATCCGAGACGGGGCCATCGGATGTGGTGCAGCCGCGCGTTGAAGCCGCATTTGCAGAAGGTATATATGCAGGTATCCTCTGTTGTGGCATCAGTCATTCCCCTCCCCTATCACATATCCATTCCTATCATTCTTCCTTAGCATATTCATAATACCATCAAGATGGCAAACGAGGCAAACTACAACGGGGCCAACGACCATCTGAACCACCTTGCTAGCCCTCCATTGGAGAAGGACTTCAGTCATGGTAAGCATTTACATTTCAGCTGTATTGGATAGGGCTGACAAAGTACTAGACTACCACAACAACAACATCGGAAACGACATGGATAGCGAGACTGCGTTGCAGAGAATCCGTACAGCTGGTAGCATCTCGATCTCTCCTGAGCTCTTCGAGAAAATCTATCTCTCTCCTCAGAACAAGGTCGCTGGTGAATTGAGAAAGACATTTGGTAACCCTACACCACTGTAAGTGTGCTCTCACTTTCTTTCGTGACATCACTAACACCTCATACAGCGCTCTGGTCGGCTTCCTTCTCAGCTTGACACCCCTGAGTTGCATGTTGATGGGCTGGAGAGGTGCATCCAACACTGGCGCTGCTGATATTGGTGCCTACTTCTTCTTCGGTGGTTTGTTGATGATTCTCGGTTCTATTGGCGAGGTAAGCCCTTGACCCTACAAGAGACTCCTCCTTGCCTTTAACGAATTTCCATAGTGGCTGATCGGCAACACATTCCCATTCGTCGTCTTTGGCTCATTCGGTGCCTTTTGGTTGACCTTCGCTGCTACTCTCCAACCATTCTACAATGCATACGGCGCCTTCTCTTCAGATGCCACCGCTCCAGGAGAAGGTCTTGCAACTGTCGAATTCAACGCCAGTTTCGGTCCGTACTTAGACATTAGCAAGCTCTTTTCGACAGCTATACTGACCGTGTACCAGGGTTTTTCCTCGTCTTCATGGGCATGTTGTGTCTCTTGTACTTCATCTGCTCGCTCCGAACCAACGTTGTCTTCGCCATGATCTTCTTCACCCTCGTCCTCGCCTTCGGCTGTCTGACCGGTGCTTACTGGAACCTCGCCATCGCCTATGGTAACCCCGCCACCTCAGCCGCTAGGGCTGCTCATGCTGCAACTGCCACAAGGTGTCTTGTCGCTGCCGGAGCACTCACATTCGTTACCGACATGTGTGGGTGGTGGATCTTCTTCGCCATTATGCTCGCCGCTCTCGACTTCCCCTTCCAGCTTCCCGTCGGTGATCTCAGCACCTTCATCAAGGGCGCCAGTGACAGGAAGAAGGCAAAGGAGGAGAAGGAGAGATACAACGCATAAGCTTGAAGAGATGCTTCAACGACAGTATGGGATATGTGTCGGTGTAATCTACCGACTCGGATTTGGTATTGATGTTACGTTAGTCATGAATAATTTGTTGTAATGCCATGTACACTAGGACTTGACGGATACATGGGATAAGTGTATCTATCCGGCCGATGATCATTTTTTCGATTCATTCTTTCCAGAATCTTGTAGCTTCTATCAACGTTAAGCCTTCTCGGCTACTGCTTGGTACCTTAGCATCGTTGTTGTATCGGAAGACACCTTGCTCCTGACAGAAAGCATCTTGCCATTTGGGTGGTCACACGGTGGCATTGCATGATAGAAGAAACAACGGCACTACCCAGAGAACAGATCAATCATATGTGGATCGCACCTATGGAACAACTGTCTGCACGACATTTATATCGAATATCACGTATAATGAATAAGTACATTAGGGAACATAAGAGTCAGAAGAGAAAAAGCGTTTTTCATATTTCGATATCCAATAGCATCCAAGCAAGAAGCTTCTATCAAAGAAGCAAAAACATGACAATCCCAAATCCATATCAAATTTGAATCAGTTCTTGTAAAAATGAAAAAAGACATTTGCAGAGCAACACCGTTGAGTCGAGTCAATCATAGCAACAATCAAGTATCTCGCAAAATCAACACCACTAGCAGCCCTCAGGCAAGCCAAAACAACTCTTCTCAGCAATCTCCAACATAGCAGCAGCAGAGCTAGTGATATCAGAGTTAGTCGTGTCAGTAGGTAAAAGAGAGGACTTGTGGATGGTCAAGGTTGAGCATGATCTACACATTGAGTGGGAGCAGGATCTGCAGGTTGATGTGTAGGAGCCGTGGGTGGTTGAGCATTTGCAACAGCGCCACATGATTACCGATTTGGTGGGGGGGATTGTGGTTGGTTGAGGTGGTGGTTAGTTGTGGAGGTGGATGTGGATGTGGTGATGCTTGGGATGCTTGGGGTTGTGGTGGATATGGGTGGTTTTAGGGAGGATGTTGGGTGTGTTATATAGTCTCAAACAACATGTGTGGGTTTCTTTGATCGTGTCTCGAAGACAAAGATACTTTGAGCACGACAAACGTTGTCAAGGAGGGCTTTTTTTTTATGAATGCAGAACAAAGCGGGAAAGATGTCCGACAAAGAATTGATACAGGGAGAAGAGTGACGATCAACAAAAAACTATATCCTTGTTCGGATCAATCAATTTTGGAGGATTCGAAGAAGCAACAGTACTTTGATGAATCCAGCGTCATGATACATAGATTCGCTGCTTGTTGTAAGCACATTGGATACTTTCGGAGCAGGAATATGTTCTTGTTGGTAGAAGACAGGGTCATACCATCAGCCAAACACTAGAGCAGTTTTCGAAAAGTATTTGTGTTGTTCCAAGGATTCTGCCACAGTATTGTTGTATTCAACCAGAAGGCGCAATCGAGACTTGGAAATACTGTTTGTCTCGAGTAGTTTGTGTTGGATGGGTGGCCATTGGAGGCAGCCGCGAAGATGGCTTGCGGGATGCACCTGCCGATAACTATGTGATTCAGACTTTTTAGCTCAAGAAGAGGAAACACGACTCATGATTTCGACGAGATGAGATTCGGAAGACCTGATCGAGAAAAATAAATAGACGGCAGATGGTCCAGACTCCCACTTTCCGACTTCGCCGTTGAGATTCGGGTATTCTGCGTTGTAAACCAACGACTTTAACCAACGGCTTCACTACTGCCGACCAGCATTTACCTTGAGCCAGCGTCAGTCAAGTCGATAAGAATATATAGAAGGTCGTTTGTCGAGCGAGAAGTTGGGTATCTTCAACCTTCTTCTCCGAAAGCAAATCAGTGTGGATGTTAAATGGCATGGAATAAGTAGAATGTTGGCATATTCCAACCATTTTGAGTAGAATATTCTACCTAATTTGCGTGGAATAGAATCAGCAATTCGAATAGAATATTCCAAATTCTGACCGGTCAGGGTAGCTACGACAGCAAGAGTTAGTAATCAGACATGCAAAGCTTGTCATTGGCTGATCTCATCTTATCTGATCGATCAGATAAGATAAAATGTCTTGGCATATACTTACTAAGCTCATAAGGACAGGGTCGCTTGCCTTACAACAATGTTTGGAATTGGAATGATTCCACAAAAAAGTTGGCATAGAATAGAATAATTAGTCAGCTAGGTGGAATGGCATGGAATAGAGGCCAGATTCCAAAGATTCCATGTAACATCCACACTGAAGCAAATCCATGATGTTTGCTTCCAAATCCACACTCTTCGTTTGTCTCCTAGCGTTATGCATGGCCTTTGTGTCTGCTAAGCCAATCTCTTCCGCAACAGTCAAGACAGCATCGAGCAAGCTGAGCTTGAGTGCTGCCAAGCTCACTGTACTTCCCAAGTCGTCGTCATTGTTCAAGACCATCAAGTCGTCATCTTCGAAATCCAGCTCGAGCGCTCCTAAATCGACAGTGCTTCAAATCAAATCAAAGTCATCCGCGGTAGCCAAGTCTACACCAGCAAAGATTAGCTCTGTTGTATCCAAGTTGACGAGTCTCTCGATCAAGTCGACATTAAACAAAGCAACCAAGTCTTCATCAGCAAAGCCGAGCTCGAGCGTCTTAAAGTCGACACTCCATGCAACCAAGTCGTTATCATCCACAACAGTCAAGTCCACGACAGTAAAGACCAGCGCTTTAAAACCGACATCTCATTCCACCAAGCCAACACAGAGCACTAAGACACCTTCCTTCTCGGTCGTTATTCACCCCTCTGCCGTTCCTCAATCTGCTTCTGTTGTTCGTCCATCTCTCTCTTCTGTGTCTCTCCCATCTCCAACATTGCAGCCTTTCAACACGACTCGGAATAGATACGGCCAGTCAACTGGAGGAGATTCGCAATCCTTATTACTCCACATTAGCGATCCTTCCACTTTGACAGAGAGTACGTGTGGATATACCTGGGCCGGCTACAGCACTTATCCTCCAGGCTACTGGGTAAGTCTCTTTTAAAAGTCTTTCAGTGCGTGGAAAGCTCACCCATTTTCTCCCTAGGAACACACCGCGCCATGGATCTCATGCGATGACAAGACCTTCTCCTTCAAAATCACCCAGGTGACACCTTCGGGCTTGGTAGCTTGGAGCTACAAGATCAAGCATCAGTACATGGGTAACGGCACTGAGTGTGTCTCGCCCACTGATTCTGGGTGCATCACCACTATTGGTCATGCCGATATCAGACTCATTGGCAATGCCATGAATAATGCTATCGGCGACAGTTACTGGTGCGGCGCAAGCGGTACCTGCAATTCATCGAAGTATGGATGGGTCGCCGGGCCTATCGATTCGACTTGTAAGGGTGCTGCTTGTGAGGGTATGGATTTGTAGATAGATTAGTAACTGAGTCCACTATACAGTTGGTCAGATGAGCATAATCATGATTGTCTCTTGATTTAAAAGCAGCAAAGACACCTTCAATATTGTGCTGCGGTGACACGCGATATTCGCAAATGTCTCTCGGCGGTAAAGGTGGGAGTTGAGGTCATTGTTGTCGGAGTTTAGCTGTCGGGATAGAGATCACCAAAGAGAGCTTAGCCGCTTGTCTGTAAGGACAATCAAGCATCGATCTGCGAGTCGGGGCATTGATTGTCCCGAGCCATGTACAATCTTAATCCCGGCCAATCTCCGTCTTACATTTCTCGCACTCTTGCCCAATTAGTATTGCAGGAATATGTTTGAATGACCCTATGACTTGTGATGAGCTCGCACATGTAATTCGCATTGGGATAGGGACCGGTGTAACTATAGGTACATCGCAGGCACCAACGAGTAACTCAGAAAATGGATAAATAGTTGGAGATATCCCGCAATCAATTCAATCAAATCACACTACAAAACAACAATTACCAAAGAATCATGCCTACCAACCGAGCTGCTTGGGTAGTTACTCAAGGGAAACCTCTCGAGGTCAAAGAAGCGCCTTACACTTCACCCGGACCCAACGAAATCGTCGTCAAAAATGCTGCCGTAGCTATCAATCCCGTCGACTGGCTACTTCCAAATGTTGTTAGCATGTTTACACCGCAAGTGAAGTTGCCCTTTATCTTTGGCGACGACTGTGCTGGTACAGTTGTTGAAGTTGGTCAAGGTGTGACTACACTCAAGCCTGGCGACCGCGTACTCGGACTGGCAGTCAGCTTTGACAAGCGCTCCAACAAGGCTAGTGAAGGCGCCTTCCAGCAATATACGGTCTTGAGAACGAGCCTTACGACTAAGATCCCGGATTGGATGTCATTCGAGTCTGCTTCGGTCTTACCTCTTGGTCTGGCCACAGCTGCATGTGGACTCTTCTTGAAAGACTTCCTGAGTCTTCAGCTACCAACGGCACTGAAACCGCAGAAGCCTACCGGAGAGACTGTGATCATCTGGGGAGGTAGTACAAGTGTTGGGTACTGTCAATCCTCTTCTTCAAGCCTCTGAACTCTACTGACATTCGCATAGATGCAATGCAATCCAACTCGCAGTCGCGGCCGGTTACGAGGTCATCTCCACCGCCTCGCCCAAGAACCACAAATACTTGAAGAGCCTAGGTGCATCCGAAGTATTCGACTACAACAGCCCCACAGTAATCAAGGACATTGTGGCAACCATGAACAACAAACACAGAATATCCGCCGGCGCATACGCAATCGGCGTCGGATCTCTGAGCGCCTGCATCGACATCCTCAGCCAGACCAAAGGCAAGAAATTCGTCGCTCAAGCTAGCCACGATATCCCGATGAAAGAGTTTCCGACTAACATGCTCGCTATCATGTGGAAGATGGGATCTAGCTTCGTGGGCTGGAAGCTCAAGGGATTGAGGAAAGGTATTGGATATAAGTTTGTCTGGTCGACAGAAGTCATGGCGAATGAGCTTGGCTCGGAGATCTACGAGAAGTTCCTGCCCATCGCGCTGGCTGAAAGAACATTTGTTGCAGCTCCTGAACCGCAGGTAGCTGGAAAGGGTCTCGAGGGAATCGAGACAGCGTTTGCGGTTGCTAAGAAGGGTGTTAGTGCGAAGAAGATTGTTGTTAGTCTCTAGTAATTGTTTGGATGTACTGTAGAAGGGTGTGTAATTACATCGGGGCCAATGTCGCCAATTAATAATATTGCTCGAATAAGAAATCAATTGTAATGCCTGTAATCAGTCTCCTCGTAGCGGCATTGCGAAGGCATCTTCTGTTGCGAGCTCTCAGGTGATGGGCCCTCAGTCGTTGAGAGCTTTGTGTAGCCTGATCATACCCTTGCTCTTACAATGTCTGCTCAATCTAATTTTTGATTTTAGGGTCGACAAGAAGATTAAAAATGTTGGAATGGTTGGTGACAGAAAGGTTGAGATGCATCGGAGTTCGATGCGGGACCCCACGCGTTACGTCAGAGGTGACATGAAGGTCGAGATCTTGGTTTATCAGTCAAGTACGAACTCTCCTTGTCACTTGTTTCTGGTATACGGCACTGGACCAGTTGATCGTCAACTGAGCCCGTTGGATTTGTTTGTATCGATCGCGACCGACAAGTCTTCCAACACAGACAATGGAGAGAGGGGACACCCAGCAAGAGCTACCTTCCTGGTACCAGGACACCCGTAAGAAGGGCATCAGCGTAGCAGGCAATGCGCTTTTCACCATCTTGCGACTCGCAGACCTGCCCCTCCAGTACTATCTACTCTCGTCTGGACTAGGGCTAAGAGCAGTGCGTAAGCTGGGAGGTACAACCATCTCGAGTCCAGTCACATCGCCAGCGACTGCGATCGGCCTCTCACCATACCACACCCTTGTGTTTGGACTTGCAGTAGGTTCTGCCACGAAACAAATCTACTGGTGTTTGGGCGTAGCAGACAACAAATTCGATCCGGGTTTCTCGACTATGGTTGCTGTTTATAACACAGTCTTGAACACGCTCAACACACTCTTGTCACTCTGGGCTATTAGCTCAAATCGACCAGCTTTTGCTGATACCTGGGGTGAGCTCTTCACATCCAATTCGACCGTGGTGTTTGGTGCTGCATTATATGGACTTGGACTTTGGACCGAGTGGTGGTGCGAAGTACAGCGCAAGCGATTCAAGCAGAACCCAGCCAACAAAGGCAAGCTCTGTACTGAGGGACTGTTCGGGCTAGCGCGTAATATCAATTATGGCGGCTACACTCTGTGGAGAGCAGGCTATAGCATTGTATGCGCGGGACTGCCTTGGGGCGTCGGCATGTTCGCGTTTCTGGCTGGAGACTTCGCTGGACGAGCCATACCATATCTGGAGACGTACCTCGCCAAAAAGGTAAGCTTTTGTCATGGTCAGGCCGAGAGGCAACTGCTGATACCATTTCACAGTATGGAGAGCATTGGCGCCAGGTTAAGAAGGAGGTACCATACAAGCTGTTTCCCTATGTTTATTGAATAATCTCGGGATGTGGAGGAGGACAAACCATTGAGGGACGGCCGTTGGGCAGCGAGATGAATGATAAACTGATACCAGCTATATTATTCGAATGTGATAATTAGCTGGATCGAAGCTGCACGGTTAAACTGTTCCGCGACCAATCACAGGCTGTCGGGCGGGAAAGCTATCGCGCTGTAGGCTGCCAGGAACCTGTGGGTTGCCGAGCACAAGGACTTGTTACAATGACGATGGACTGCTTTGTCGCTGTCCAGGAATGGAAGAAATGATGATTGACTATGGGAAACAACGAACAAAAAGAAATCAAGACGAAACGGGTCTGGTGATGATAACATGTCTAGCAGAAATCTGAAACAAAGAGGCGGAGGGGTCGGAGGAAAGAGGACCATCTCCACGACGTTTAGGCGCAAATCATCGCGTGTGATGCGCCAGCGTTGCGTGGGAAGACTCATAAACATGAGGACCCCGCTATCTCTTCCCAATACCCTTTATGCGTTATTATTGCTCTGTCCCCAGCAGAAATATTGACTGAAGTTGCTACATACTTGCTACTTATGTGCGCGCATTGGCTCATCTTCTCACCGTGATCAGACCGAGTCAGTCGCAAGTACGGGAAATTGTTTATACCCGTGTCGGCGGTTCTACGCTCTATTGCATTTTTCCATCCTTATCTGAGTCCACACCCAGGTCGCCCCTTCCTTGTTCTCTATCATACACAGACATGGAAGTTGCTCCGCCCAAGCCCAATCCCGAAAGCGGGCGCCTTCTGCCTCACGAATATCACGCCGGCATGGAGCAAACCAACGAGCCGCTGATGCTCAAGGACGAGAACTGGGACCTCTACTCAGTGTCCCCTGTCGCAGCTGTACAGATGCTGGCGCAGGCACTGCAGTCACTGTCCAACATTACCGGAGATGTCGCATGCACAACGCCTGTCTACCAAAGACAGCAGATGTTCAAGACGCCGGCGACCATCCCAGAGGGCTCAAATCCGCCGTCACCCGACTCGATAACACCGCCTGCTCATACGCCAGAGCTAGAAGGCTCACCAACACTCGCCCCTCACCACTGCGTACCCGTTCCTCACATCGGCGCCCCCGAGGCCCAACGCGACGAGCCTATTGCCCCACCAGCCAACCATTCGCCTGAGCCAGATATTGCAGAAGCCAACGCCCTCCAACTCGCTGCTGTCTCGCGACGCTTCTTCCTCAAAGCTGCCCCTCCATTCTCCATTACCGATTACCTCCTTCGTATCCACAAGTTCAGCCCGCACTCGCCTGGTGTCTACCTGGCTGCAGCATCATACATACACCGCCTCTGTGTCGTCGAGACCATGGTACCTGCTACGCCACGCACCGTACATCGTCTAGCACTCGCTGCAATCCGCATTGCCAGCAAGTCCCTGGAAGATAACAAATGGACACAAGAGCGTATCGCTCGCCTCGGTGGGATCAGCACAAACGAGCTTAGAAAGCTCGAAATCAGTTTCTGCTATTTGCTCAACTTTGATTTGTTTTTGAGACCTGAAGACTTGCAGAGGTCTATGTGGTTACTTCAAAGCACAGGCCGTCAAGGTCTTTCCGTGAGAAGACGCCTCAGTGAAGGCTTCATAATGCGACTACCGTCCAGGTTTTTACCCGAGGCTACCATTGGAGCATGATCATGATTTGAGGAAGAATGAATTACGCCTTATTACGACTGTATCGACATGATGAGAAAACGGAACAAAAGAGCATTTGGCGTTGTTAATGGATGGGATAATTCTTGTCGTGGAGCGGCCTGGCGTTTGGCACGAGGTGTATATATTGGCTGGGCAGAGCCTTTGGCATCTATTTCGAGATGCTTTCCTTTCAACTCTGTCCATAATCAGGTCTCTCAGTACCTTTTCTCGCAAGGGAGAAACCAACAATTCTACGGACTCCTTCGTCCTGTTTTCCACTCACTCGAGATCATTCCTTTTCCAATTCATTCATGGTCAGCAGCCACAAGTGGCTTGTTCGAAAGCCTTCTTCTTGTAAGCTGATGTTGTTCAGCCACACATTTGCATACCAGCACATGCAACATGCATCATGCCCGACGGACGCCGACTCGGGGATCTCGCTTGGCTGCTTGTCCCTGCTTGCTTCGCTTGCAGGAAGGAAACTGGCCGACCATCAGCCTGACGTGTCTACAAGGCCACAAGGCCGCAGCAACTCTAAAATATTTCGTATCATGCAATAGCCAGCTGAAAATAAGAGGCTGTGTTGGTGTTTCGGAGGTTTGTGTAAATCCTTCGTCCCATCATCTGCTTATTACCCATCCTTGTTTTTATCATAGTGGAGGAGGAAAAAGCCCAGCACAGCCTCAGGCTTCGGACATGGAGATTAATTCGCTCGCGAGCGTTGCGTGCGCGTTGTTTGACACATGTGCAGTTTCTCTGCATGTTGCATGTGGGCAGAAGCAAGACGATCAAGAAGAACCACAGGCAGGAAAATAAATATTCATCTGGTTGGCCGAGCAAGAAGGGAAGCCATCCGAAAACCAAACAGCAAATGGTTGGACAAGAGGGGCTTGCGAAACGGACCGCTGCCGCAGCCAGCTTGGTGCAAGAAGAAGAAGCATCTTCGGGATGGGATCATCATCTTTCTCCACACAAGCCACGCGCGCTACAGCGGCTAACCCGACTTCCACACCACAGGTCCGCATCAGCATCATTCTTGTTCCTGTCATCATTCTTCGCACGCGCAAAAGCTCAGCCCGCATTGTCAAATGACCGGATTTCTCAGTGACTTTCTGCCTGGGTCCGATTGCCTGGCGTGCTGCACGGTACATGGGGACATGACAGGTCGTTTTATATTCACAACGGTGTTGAGCGGTCATGGTGGTAGGGGTGGATGGCTGCCTGAGTAAAACACAAGTGCAGACGACAGTGGCAGCCCAGCATGTCAACAGATCGTCATGGCAAGGGTTAGTTGCGCGTCTCTCTTTGCATGCTGTCTGGCGCATGCGCGTGCGTGTGTGGTCGTGCGGACCAATGTGTCGGGAACGAAGGAGATCCAAGAAAGACCATGATCACTCATCCTCAAAAGTGATCTAGACAACCAGCCACCCGTCTTGATGGAGAACTGGCAGATGGACGGGTAAAATGAGCTGCTGTCTGCACTTTCCCCACCCCAGACGACACGAACAGCGAACAGGACAAACATCGTGTATGGAGAATGGGTAGTGGTAGGCAGACACCAACACCCAGTGCAGCTGTGTCTACCAGATTTACCACTCGGCACGTAGTCACGTTCACCACCTGCTCCCTCATCATTCTCTCCAATTCTCAAGAAAAACCCAAAAGTTAAAACTTTTCGGGACTTCTGAAACTCTGTTCGCGATATATGACTGAAAACGAGTCACCGCGAAGGAAGCGTTGCTGCGCATTTGGGGGTGTGTGGATGCGGCGAAGTCATGTACTGTTGGTGGAGGCTTGTGCTTGTGTGCCAGCCAGCTGCTCTGCGCGAGAAAAAGTGGCTGCCCTTCCCGCTGCAGCCTTACCACCGAATCAACCACATCCACTAGAATAGTATATGTTATGTCATATTCGAGCAAGTGGTTCCTTTCCCACAAGCAGGGCGGATCATTGCATTAGTTTAACATCTACCGTCAAAGCTCTTTCTGTTTGTCTCTCTCTTCTCTCTTACAGTCTCACTTCCTTCTTTGATCTTCTTTGCTCCTACTACATCTTGGGTGAAACATCTTCCGCGTGGGCATTTTATATTGCTGAGACATAGTTATTCACACCCCCCCTATACAGCACGAGACCTTTCCACTTTGTCTCGGATCTTTGAACTCGACATCTTCTCGACTGCCATTTGGACTTTTTGCCCTTTTTGACTCACTGTCGGATACCATCTTGGACATTAAACACTTGGGCCTCGTTGACGCCCCTTGGTTCTCCGCCATCTTGATTTGGTCTGGACATCTTTGATACCCTTAGGATAGCATCTGGCCTCTACCACGGTGCCACTGGGCCCTTCCATCCCCATTCCCGCCGGTCAAACCGGACTCTGCCTAAATAGCACCACCGTGACTTCTGAGGAAGGCAGCCATGTGTTACGTCAAGGAGGTGACAATCACCCATCGCAGCGGGCCAACCAGCAAAGAGTACGAGGTCGTCAGCCTCTGCGCACATTCCGTCAACGGTCAGACTTGCGAGGACACCCAGTACGGCACGGGAACACGACGTGCTTCTCCCTCCGACTCTCAACCGGCGGCGCTTCCGTCCTCCTCGAGGAATGACACGTTGGTTTTACATCAGGAAATCCTGCCGGTAAGAGAGATACCTCGCAAGGAACGTCGATACTCCAGTGACATCGGCATCAAGTTTAAAGGATGGTTCAAGTCGCCGGAGTATTACATCAAGAGATTGGATAGCGGTAGCTCACGCCCAAGACGTGATGATTATGATCCACGGAGACCAGGAGAGATGATGCCAGAAGCCGCTATGCCGCCTCCTGCCATCTCGTATCGACCATCGTCGAACAGAAGGTCGCCTCCTCCATCCATACTTCCTATGCACGGTGGAGGTCCGAATCGTCCCACGCCTCCACCATCCACACTTCCTGTCCTTGTCGGCCCGAGTCGTCCTACACCTCCTCAAGGTCCTGGTGCTGCTGCGGCTTTTACGACCAGAGAAACCGCTCCGTCGTCTTCGAGAACCCCAAGCAGAGCTTCATCGTCCAGAAGCAGAGATGTCAACAGGGCGGTTCAGGGGTTGCCACACTTGACCGTTCCTGTCACTTCCTCACCCGCCCCAAGCCATACTTCGCGTCGTACCACACCAGGTCTGAGTAGAATAAGTTTCGCTCCCGACACCAGGTTCCGCGATTCGGCCTATGGTTCCAGCAACATCTCTCCCATCAGTGCACCGAAAGCAGAGAGTGTATCCTCTGAGACGCATAGCACCACTACATCAGTACACAGTGCGAACGACAGATACAACTACACGAACAACCACGTCGCCGTACGCAGAGGAAAGGAGGTCTACAGAGATGAAGATGAGGTATCGAATTCGTCAGAAGGTCGTAAGAATTATCGTATAGTGAGGCGTGTGCCTGGCGAGCAGAATGATGAAGAGAACGATCGCAGGATACAAGAGGACATGAGAGCGGCGATAGAGTACCAGAGCCAGACGAGCGAGCATGGAGAAGGGTCGGTAAGATCGGGGTCGGGATCGGGGTCAGGGCGAAGGCGTCGCCGTCATCGGCGACATGGATCAGACGAGTGATTTCTTCTTGATGCCGAGTCTTGCGCCAAAGTCTGTCTTCTTCTTTGGTTTGCGGGCGAAGGTTGGCACGGGTGGCGGTCCCATGGGTATGCTTGTACTTGTAGCAGTAGTAGATGCAGAAGCGGTACCAGTCCCTTCCTCTTCTTCAGGATCTTCCACCAGTCTTCGCACCTTCTCTCCTGTGCCTGCCAAGAATGCCAGTCTTGCTGCTTCTGCATCTTCTGCCTCCTGTCTTTCTCTTTCGTCATCGACCTTGTCCACCACAGTCACCTCTGCTCCTTCCTTGGCTGTGCGTTCGTTCCTGGCGTTGCGGGTACGGATCTCGTCCAGAGCATCGGCGATTTGCATTTCGGTCTTGGCGTCCAGAGTCTTGGTTTCCAGTTCTTTCATGGCGTCGCGCTCGGCCTCTTCGCGCTCCAGTCTGTCCAGTCTTTCTTCCTCGGTCTCCTCTGCAAGCTTAGCTTCCCTCCAAGGTTCGAAGTTACGTTTGGCGCCCTTTTCAGCTTCGTAGTCCATATTCTTGGGATCAGTCTTGAATGTGATTTCCTGAGAACATCTGGTGCACTTGATGTAGAAGCGGTAAATCGTGATGGCGTAGTATTTCTCGTCGGTGGTCTCTTTGCGCGCGTTGAACTTTCTGCCCTTGTAGCTGTGAGGATATCTAGTCAGCACATGATTCCTTGAATGAGAGTCGATCTGGATTAGACTTACATGAACTCGCCACATGCGGTACACTTCATACTGTAAGGGGCCATAAGGCGGACGGTTTGCAAGAGGGGGCCCGTCTTCTTCGGCCCCCTCTGCCTGACCATCTTGGACGGGTCAAAGTCCGGAGGGTAGTATTTGGTAAGCACCTTACGTTCCGACATGGCTGCGGTTGTTGTGGTGAAGAAATTGTGATGGTAAGAAAGATCAAGAAGTTGGTATGCGACAACTGATGCTTCGCCAGGCGGATCTTGGAGAGGCGTCAATCACGTGGTCTGTGCGTTAAATTTCCGGCATGCGGTTACTTGCATGTGAAGACACTCCTCCAACACTGCTTCTCTCTTCGCGATCTTGATTCTTCAAAGCACCTTGTACTATGACTAGTCGCTCGTGCGCTTGTGAAGTTGCTCAATGGCTTTGTATCTCGGACTGAGTCCAGGAACAGAAAGCCCAGTAGCCACTCTGCCTGATCGATGGTAGCTGTCTCTCGTGCATCTTGAAACACGATGAGACGGGTATCTTTTTCGCCTTCACTCTCAGACTGTATCAAATCCTGCTTGCAACACTCCAAAACACATTCGACTATCTACGCCAAGAGCGCAGTAGAGCCAACGATCTAAAAGTCGAAGATATATGGAAACGCCGTCTTCAAGAGCATTGCCCACAACCCAGAGCTTAGGGGTCTAAATTAAAGATGCTGTTGTGCTAAGAGACATGAAATAGGACTAGTACACGAGTATCTCTGAAATGTGCCTGGAAGCTGTTAGGTTCTGGCATGTGTTTCGGTCAAACCACAGTTGTTCGAATCTGTCAGTGCGTTTTGCCATCGTTGCCGGTCTTCACATCATCAACCACAGGCGTTGCCTTGTCGCTAAAGGCATCTTCGCGTACATTCGATCTTATCGCAGTCTTGTTTTTGCGCTTCCTGGGTCGTAGCCTCCACATGTCAGAGTTGCAATACCCTACACTAATCGTATATTAGGTAGACGTTACCAGAAAATCAACAACCCGACAACCACAGCAGCTCCGAGCGCACAACCAATCTTTCCGCCTGTACTGAAGCCTAAGCGGTTGTCAGAGTCAGAAAGGCTGCAAGCGCGATGGTAATGCCTAGGGAGAAAACACTGGGAGAATTAAGATTGCTAACCTCCGACGGGCCTGCTGCCAGAAGACCCATTTGTTTGGGTAGGAGTAGAAGATTGAGTAGTGGTAAATGTCCTGTTCCCTGTGGAGTATGTCGATGTGATATGGTCAGAGATAGCAGTGGATAGAGTTGTGTTGGACAGAGACATGTCAAACTGATAATTGATAGTAGCAAGATGGAAATTTTCGGGCCCCGGCGCAAGGGGTCGTTTTTACAAGCGGACGACATTTTCTACTTACGATGAATACTCAAATTGAAGGAACAGGCGCCTATCATTTACTTGCATGCGTGAGATACAGGCGCGGCTTAATATGCATGCTTATGCGCCACCGGGCTCAGTCTGTGGACTTCTATTGGATGTTGTAAGTTGGTCAGCCTCGAGCAGATAACACCGCCCTGGGGCATTGGAAGACAAAATGCCATCTCTTCGTCAAGCAATATTCGTCAGGCCATTCTATGATGGCTTTGAATTGCACCGGCCTTGATGACCGACAGGGCAGCTTTGCATCGTACATCGACAAACTCAGGAATGCAAGCGACGGAGACTTTACACTAGCTCAACAGTGCAAGTCACAGATCTGTACAGCACTATGGGGTGGCGGTAATCCAGACATATCTGGAGTGGGCGTAGGTCAGGTTCGAGCGCTGTTCATGAGTGCATGCTTCTAACGCGATCTTACAGATGTCAGTCGGATACATCTGCTCGAGCATACTGGGTGCTGGGCTAGCAATGCTCTACCTGCTCTCAAAGAGATCCACTCGGATCAAAGAGACCCTTGTGCTCAAACTCTTATCTGTCTTCGACGACTGTGCAACCTTCTTTGCCTTTTCTATCCAAATTGCTTGTATAGTCGTCCTAGCAAGGGTCGATTACGGCATCACAGCTGTTTCTATGGGCGATGTGACCGTTAGAGTCACCTGGACTGTGTCGGTGCTGACACTCCTACCATTGATGTACACCCTGATTCTTCCCGGGATGACACAACCTCAAGTCGGTGGATGTCCTACGAAGTCCGCCCGCAAAGCGTCTTCGTCATCTAGCAATCGCCGCGATTTGCTCTTCAGTATCTGTTGGGCATGTTCTGTGTACTCATTCATGAGTCGCATGATCGAGAGCTTTGGAAAGAATCCGATCGGAGCTGATCCAGACGACGATCTTACAGTTGCCGAGTGGAAGACACTTCAGGACATCTGCCTCGCAGGAACTTCACGAATCAGTTCCGCAGAGGACCGACTGATCAACGCCTTCGGCATCATGGCGTTTCTGATACTTTCTGGCGTGGCGATGAGCAAGATTTTGATGGCAGGAATTCGCAGGCATTATGATCATAAGATGCAGCAGTACCAAGGTCTTATCTCCAAGTCTCGAGAGCTCGTCAGCACTCTCAAGCTAGTACTAGTTGCCGCCATCCCCTTGCTTTCTGTCGTTCTCTTTTGGTCCTATTTCAGGTTACAGAGTTTCCAAGCGACTATGATCCATACGCTTGGAACTCAAGACTCGGACGGTCAATGGGGCTTTGGGCAGGTCGTGTCAGTAGTGGTATTTCTCCCAGTACTCGTTGAAGCCTGCTTCAGCTGGTACGAGCAAGAGAAGGAACACACCGAGGAGCTGGACGATCTGGGAAAATCAATCACGATGCCAGAGCCACATTCGCGCATTTCAAACTCGGATGACGCGGACGATGATGTGTCTCAAAGAATTGTCGAAATGAGTCCTTCGGGGAGTACAGCAAAGATTCTGAGGAACAGACAGACGATGTGAAGGTAATGGGGTTTTTTCTTGCGTTAGTCGTGATCTCTAACCTATTAACTCCGGCGATGTATCTATGTACATTATTTTACAAATATGTTCCCTGATCGTGTCTGTCGTTATGCATTTTGGACCTCACATTCCGCTTTGCTGTCCTTGCGCGCCAGCATAACGGTCCATGAGGTCAAAGACCATTGAGTTGTTGACGCGACAGTCTCTAGTACCATCACGGCACCCTAGTGCTGTTTCGACCTCAGGGCCGGCATCAACGTGTAAGGTGCGTATAGCGTCTGCTGCTGTAAAACATGATGATGTGTTGTCCTGGGTGTTGTAACCTGTAGAAACAGTTGGTGTGGGGGAGGCGAAGGAGGCTGCCGTCGGATAGCCTGCTGTAGGCGAAGCATAAGTCCCGGGAGTCGTGTAGGTTCCAGACTGCGGCATAGCTTCAGCAGCAGCCATGTCCCAGTCAAGCAGCTGTGATTGAACAGCATAGCCAAACGGTTGTGGCGCGTAAAGAGGGTAATCTTGTACGAAGGCTCCAGGAGAAGTGTGTGCGTTCTGAAGCGGCAACGGAGGAGCAGAGGCATGCGAAGGAGGCGTCATGAAAAACTGCTGATGTTGCTGAGGTGGCATCTGCTGTTGAGCTTGTACCTGTTGATGCTGAACAGGCTGGCCTTGAAACTGCATAGACTGCTGAATTTGAGGAGGAAGCTGATGCTGGAGTTGCTGAGGCTGCTGTTGAGGCTGAGGCTGCAAATGATGGTGCTGCTGTAAAACCGGGTCATGAGATTGAGGCCTTGATCGCGGTTGATTGGCAGGAGCGGGCGCAAGAGCAATTGGGCGGTGCTGCTGAGGTTGCGGTGCAAGCGGTACGGGAGCGGCAGATGCGGATGTGGATGCGCAACTCTGTCGCCTTGAATCGAGATCATCCTCGTCTTCGGTCTTGAAGGCCGAACTATCTCCGCAGCCTCCAACTGAAGATGGGCGGCATGGCTTGCGTGTGACTAGCATGACATCCAGCATCTCGACAGCGGATGGAGACGAAGCATACTCGTCGTGGTCCGGACCGTCGATATCGGCATCACTGAAGCCTTGCTGTCGTAACAGCCGACGCAGTCTCTTGTTTTCGTCGAGCACCTTGCGCGCTGCCGCTTGTATCTCTGCCGACGCCTCTGCTCCAACGGCCTCGCAAGAGCGGTATTTCGTCTCAAGCTCTTGTAAGTACTCCTTGCGTCTTGCTCTGCTTCTTCTTTGATTGTCGCGGATGCGCGCAAGATTGGCCTTCTGTTGGGGAGTCGTGTCACTCATGTTGAGGTCGAGGATCGAGGGTCGAGGCTATGGGGCCTGGCGGTGAAGTCTTCAGGTCGTGTTATTCGTCCAGTCCAGGGAATTTGAGAGCGGCGAAGAGGAGAAGTGCACACTCTGTGCGCATGTTGTCATGGGTTGGAAGTTGGAAAGTCTTGTGGCTCGAACGTTCCAGCCTCTGATGCAAAACCCTGTCGACCTGTGGTTCCGACGAAGTACGGAATATGGGGTAAACCTTCAGCCTCCATCACTGACGCCTACTCGACTGTTTGCAAATGTTTCAAGCTTTGATCTTGCTGTTGTTCCAGACTTTGCAACGCCTACCTCGAGAGGAACATCTGTCTACTCCTGCAAGATCTCAGGGCAATATAGCGGCAGCCTGTGTACTTGTCTAACTTAACCTATCACGATACGACAATCTCGAGTGACCATTTAGATGCTGTCTTCGGCTCTCGGTCATCGCCGACACGTGCTCGTCAGTGCCAAGTGTACTCCGCCTCCACGACGGCACATGCACGTGATTTGTGACATCCTTGAGTTTATTCCAAACGCATGGTGTTTTGTTAAACAGCGTTGCCTCGAGTGGCTTCAACCTCCATCGCGACGAGGAGCTGCAAGAAGCCATTTGCATCCTGATGCTTTGGAGAACGCTCGTCGATGGCTTGAACCAATTGCTCTCTTGATGGGGACTTTGGTATCTACAAAAGGATTGCGCATTTTCTTGGCCAATTCAGGAGCATTGTTTGTGCTGCCAAAAGACGTGCTGGATATCAATTCCATGTGCTCTATATCATCTCTTGACTTCTCCCGAACCCATGTCTTGTAGACATCACTTCTTCCTTGGCCTTACCAAACTTTAGACCAGCATCATTGACTGCCACAATCCTGCTTCTCGGACTTCCCAGCGGCATGTGTGTACACTCAGTAGCAACTGTCTTACGAGTCAACGCTGGTCGTTCCTCGAAAAAACAAGTGTTCAAAATCACCCTTTCAGACTCTTGTCGTCGGTACAGTCAATACTGGGCACAACCGCCGAAGCCACATCAACCGCCCGGTGCGAAGACCGCACCACCAAGTCACGTATAACAGAGCTTAAGATTCCAAGAAATCAGCCTCACGACAATGTCCGACCTGGGCAACGAAAACTTGTCGGGTTTCAATTTGCCATAATAACGTTCTTTCAACACTCGAGGTACAATCCAAGAGGCCAAGTTCTTGGTTTCGTTTGTTTTTGCCTATTCACCGCAACACTCCTTGATTTCCCCTCATGGTAAGGACCAGGTAGGTTTCACTATTCCAACGACACTTCGTTCTCTCGACCGCAATATCGACTTTGTGCCGCCTGTGCATACCTTCGCCCTCCCCCTTGGCTGGCTTGGACACTCTTGACATCGGAAACATACGGACGATCTTGCAAGATCCCCCGCATCGTCCGTTGTGATTGTGGAGCAATATGGAGGGCAGCATGGGGTATGCATGGGGAAGTCTGGGGCTGAAGGCCAGATCGTAGGTAAGCTCTTGGATAAGGACTGTGCTCTCTACGAGTTCATTGAGATATATAAGTTCTTGCGTGAGGCCCATGTTTTTCTTGGATCAGTTCGAATCCATTCCTCATTCGTTTCTATCCATTCATACCTTGAAAGCATTCTTCCATTATGTCGAAGGTCACGGCTGTCGAGAAACCGGCCATCATGATGGTCGAGGACATCACCAACGATCTCCTTAAGCCTCAGGTCAAGAAAGACTACTCAGGTGTAGCAGAAAAGATCAATCCCGAAGAAATCAGATTGGTCAAGAAACTAGACCGCTGGATTATGCCCATGCTGTGAGTGGACACACTGGAAGAGATGGCCAACATTCTGGTTCCCAAAACATTGAATGGATCTGACTGACCATTCCATTCAGTTGGTCTATGTACTGGTTGAATTACCTTGACCGCAATGCCATCGCTCTGGCTCGTCTCAACAGTCTCGAGGAAGACCTCAAGTTGACTGCAACGCGTAAGCCACAGGCTTCAATTAATACTGTTACAAACACGTCTAACCTCAAACAGAGTACCTTACCTGCGTCAGCATCCTCTTCGTTGGTTACTTGTTGGGACAGATCCCCTCAAATATGCTCCTGACTCGCATTCGACCCTCTCACTACATGGGAATCTGCATGGCATTGTGGGCCATCGTGTCTGCCCTTACTGCTGTCTGCCACAACTTCGTGGGTCTTTTGCTCGTCCGCTTCTTCCTCGGTGTGACAGAAGCCCCTTACTACCCTGGAGCTGTGTACCTTCTCACTATCTTCTACACTCGCAAGGAGATTGCAACGCGTATCGCCATTCTCTATACCGGTAACATTCTCGCAACTGCTTTCGCGGGTCTCATCGCCGCTGGTGTGTTCCATGGTATGGATGGTAAGTACATAGTCTCATTTATCATAAAGCGTCTGAAATTAACAAATTTCCGAATTAGGCTCCGCTGGACTTGCAGGCTGGCAGTGGCTTTTCATCCTCCAGGGTGTCGTTACCTTTGTTATCGCAATCATCGGTTACTTCTGTCTCCCGGACACACCTCTCACCACCAGGTGGCTCACTCCTGAAGAGCGACAACTTGCCCACAGCCGTGTCCAGATTGACACTGTGCAGAACTCGGGAGATACCAGCGTCCTCAATGGCCTCAAGCAGGCTGCTTCTGATCCTGTTGTCTGGCTCTTCGCTCTTATGGCTCATCTCCATTTGGCTGCGAATGGTTTCAAGAACTTCGTAAGCGTCTCCGCTTATTCATGCTTCAGTCATATCTAACAGCGCATCTAGTTCCCCACTGTCGTCAAGTCGCTGAACTTTAACACCACAATCACCCTCGTCCTGACCTGCCCACCCTACCTTATCGCCGGTGCATCAACCCTCTTGGTCTCGTGGTCCTCTGGCAAAATGAACGAACGTACATGGCACATCACCGCCTCCAAATCCGTCGCAATCATCGGCTTCGTCGTCGGCGCCGTCACCTACAACACCGGCGTCCGCTACTTCGCCATGATCGTCTTCACCATCGGCACTTACGCCGTAAACTCGCTCATCCTCGGCTGGGTCGGCAGCACCTGCGGCCAATCCCCTGAGAAAAAGGCCGCCGCCATTTCCATCGTCACCACCATTATGAATGCCTCTTTCATCTGGACACCTTATCTTTGGGACCCTAGCGATGCTCCCAAGTATGGTATTGCTATGTTTTCCAGTGCGGGCTTTTCGGCTGGAACGGCGCTTGTGGCTTGGGTTGTCAAGTTTATTATGAAGAGGAGGAATCAGAAGTTGATGCAGTCGGATGATGAGGTGCAGACTTTCTATGTCTACTAGGAGCTTCTTGGTCACGGGGATGTCGAAAGTATGATGGAGGAACAATGTACATATGGGAAGAGAACGGTTTTTATGATGGAATCTTGTTTTGGTTCTTGGTACACAGTACTACACGCACACGAATATGATGGGTTTATCTGGATTGAACACACACATATTCGACTATCCAAGTACTATGTCAGCTTCGATGACGAACCCATGAATAGGATACATATGGCCGGTACTGACTTTCCATGCAGCAAGAAAGAATGAACTTCGCGTGCTCTCCTTAAACACTCACGGTAAGCTCAAAACTATCATGCCTTTTAACAGCCAATGTGGTGGACGCCTCGCTATCTGAGAGGTTAAAACGCGCCATCTCCTTGCTTGCCCTTCTTCTGACGTGGGAGAACCATTTACGATTATTCTTCCAAACCCACAATGTCTTTCTCAATCATTGTTCTTTTCAGATGTCTTAGGGAGCAGAGGACCAAGGGTGAAGTTGTGGGTACGACCCTGCCCACGCTTACTGTATGTTTGTTGCCTTAGTGCACCTAGACTGGCAGCACGTGACCGGAATTCGGGAATTCTGCTACGCAGTCTAGGCCAAAACCTAGGGTCTTTGCGTAGCAAACTAGACGATTTGTTAGTAGCAACATTATCTACTATCTCCTACCTGCGCTATTAATAGCAGCGACTCGTTACTTTAGTAAGGAAATACTGTGCTTCTACGCTTCTATACGATACTAATTTAAGGCTAGCGACGCGTCCTTATAAATACTACTATGTCGTCGACGGTAGGGCCTACTTTACTACCCTCCTCCGTCTAATCGCCTATTTAGATCGAGCAAAGAAGGCTAGACTTAAGCCCGCGTTAGAAAGCGGACGACATTACCCGCTATATTCGTGAACGGTATAACCTTAGTCCTAGGGACTTCGTCGTACTTCGCATAACTGCTAAACCGGAAGAGCTAGGGCCTAGGGTGTTAAGCGTACGGCAGTGGAACAAACGCGTCTATATACGGCTATTAGAGTCTCTTAATATCTAAGAGTCCTTTGCCTAGGCCGGCATTCCTCTAGATAGTATTACCATTAAGTAAGCTCGTAGCGAGATGAAGGCCTTAATAGCCGATTCTCCTTTCTTTAGGAAGTAGGACTATACGATCTGGCCGGATATTTGTACCGCTATCTAACACGTTAAAAGTATATACTATACGCTATTCGACTTCTTGTCCGCTATTATAGCACCCTTCTATAGCAAGTCCACAAAAACGAGCTAGGAAAGGCGTGTTATAATTCTAATTAGCAACCTATGTAATATAGCCGCTCGTAATACTTCGAATTACTTTATACACCTTGTAGGCAACAACATAGCGCACTATAGACTTATTAAGCGAGGCTAGGAATTTCTCTGCTCGATTAGATATGCTGCCTCCTACTAGACCCTTCTCGAGGACCGTAATAAGATTGTAGCGGAGTCTAAGGCGAGCGATTAGTGTTAGTCCGAGCTTTAGTTTTACGAGTTAACTAGTTAGAAGACAATCCTCCGCCGTCTTAGACAACATCCCTAGGCGTAGATCTAGTACGACAACATTAACTATTCCGAAGGTCGGCGGCACTAGACAATGTCTACGAAACTAGAGTAGAAAGCAGCTACTATAGGGCGCGTCTATATTAACCTATTCGTTCCTAACTAAGGCTTAAAGTAGGATTAGATAGATTACTCGGCGAGGCTTACGTATAAGGATGTTCTTTATACACTAGGGGTTAAAAACGATAGAGAATAGGAGGCATCATATCGGTTCTAGATAACCTACGCACTTAAAGAAACATTTAGTATATCTAGATACGTAAGCTAGAAAGGCCCTATCCCTTAAGGAGCGAATTAGGACTTCCCATTTATCGAACGCCTTCTAGTAGCAAAGATAGAGTACTACGCTCTTTCCCCTCTCTATTTTAACGAGGGCACGATTAAAGGCACTAATGCAATCTATAGTGCCATATTTCGTAACTAGTTTGCTATACCCGAAGACGATGCACGATATAGCGAACGTCTATAGTTACTTTACGGCGACTAGAAGACTGTCAAATTATCTACCTCTATCTAATTAGATAGAGAGGATAATAAGTCCGACTTCGAGCGTCGGAAGTAGTTATAGCTAATCGTTTCTATCTTCCATTAGGCGTAGAACCGGCTTTAGGCCATTTAGAAATTATATATAGGTCCTGTTAACAATCCTGTTACCGCTAGCCTTACCTATAACATGTAGTATCGGAAGATTAAAAAAGTGCCGTTAGAATAAGCACCTTTTTACGAACTTAAAGAGGTAGTGTTCTAGGCCTAGGAAGCTCGTATTATAGCCCTTCTATTCGTCTAGCTTAAAGAAGAAGGTATAGATATAACTAACCTTTCTTAAGTCGAAGCCTACCTAAAGAGTCGTTAGCCTTACGATGTTACAAGGTATATTACATTAATCTATAATACTGCATTTGCTTTATAGGCCTACGGTAACAATTGTGTAGCAGTAAACCCTAACTTAGACGAACCTCCTTAGGATGAAGAATTTCTCCTACTTGTACGTTTTCTCTAGGACGTTATGCTAATTAAAAACATGCTCTATGCTTACAAGTATAGCGACATCGGCTAGGTTAAGCGCTATTACAACCGGTCGATCGTACAGTGCCTTAGTACTAGAGGTACTAACTATGCTCGAGAAATGCTCTTTATGCTATAGCTTTCGCATAAAGGCGTAAGATTTAATCCTATTGTCNNTAAGGCAATCCTTNTAGGCGGGCTTATTAATACCCGTAGCNACGAGGACTTATAGNAAGCGATTAACNATTACGGTNAACTNTTAAATCTCGTAGTTAAGACCTAGATNAAAGAATAGGNAAACTCGAGCTTCGATTTTCGAACATGCCTTTCTCGCTNCTTACCTCTANTTAACTAGTAGGATAATTNGCATCGTGCATTAGAGGACTCTATAAACATCCGTNTNAACTTAGCGNACTTAACTCGAAGTCGATCTTTAGACAACCTTTCTCTTAGTCTAGAGATTACGGCTTACTTAGGGGCGTTATAAAGCGGAGGCCGACGCCTTACTTCGTTTAAGTTNCCTAACATTAATTAAGCAGGTGCTAAAGTTCTAAGGGCAGCTATTACGCGCTTTAATGAACAAATGGATTAAGACCTCTTAAGCATCTATATAGCACCCCGCGATCTAGTCGCAGATCTTAAGGAAGGCGATTCTACGCTTAATAATGACGATGNAGGACGGCCTACCGGCCCCGAATTCGCTCCCGGAGATCTAGAAGATTATATATATNTAGGAGCTAAGAGGGACNAATAACTAGAGTTCATTTTGTAATTTGGCCTACGCATTATTTAGGCCTATACATTATTGCATGACTTCCTCCGCTATGTAACTACTTTTCCTCCTATAACTTCCATTAATAAGCAAGCCCCATTCGGCCTCTTCTATATAAAACTCTCTCTTAGTGCAAGGCCGATTATCTTACTAACTTATAGGTGTCTATATACTCGTCAGTGTTTTAGCAATTATTCCAATGTTGATTAAAACTTACTTATAGCTACTTCTTTCCCTGTCCGCCCTTCTTGCTTCTATTTGACTACTTAGCTAGGAAGGTTTAACGAGATTAATCGCTAGGGAACACGAAGCCGTACTCATTTCTAAGCTCGTCTATCTATCTAATTCTATCCTCGTATAGGTGTACCTAGCTAGCATCGAGACAGTATATGTAAGCCGCCTCATACTCGCTAAAGTCCGCCTTAGTCACCTAGTAGAGCGTCTTGTCATCTATTCTTAGTTTCTAGATAGGGTATGCGGCCTTATTAGCACGAGCTTTATCTTTCTTAGGGTAGACGGTGTCGATGCTAAGGCCTTCTACGATAACCTTCGTGTCGTGTCCTACAATTCTATAGCGCCTACTACGGCCTATATATGCTACCTAAGCGTTAATCGAGCTTTAATTAACTAGGGTAGGGTAGAGTATAGTAGGACCTCTATTATCGGTGCTCTCGCTAACGGCCTTTACGCTTACACCGACGAAGAGAGAGCAGAAAGCTTAACGACTATGCTCGAGCTTTATATTACCGAATTCTATAGTACCTCTTCCGCTCGTAAGGTCTAGGTAGTTATCCTCGCCGTGTTCGTTTAAGATGCCGGGTCGGAAGCGAGATNAACAATGCTACGGATCTAGATGTCTTAGCCGTCTATGTTAATCTTCTAGTAGAGGTCGTAAAATAGCTCGATAAAGTCGTCGGCGTCGGTACGGCGGATTCTAAGGTTAGGATAGGCTACTAAATATGCTTAGTTAGCGACGTTAACACACACAAATTCTATTAACTTACCGATAGCCTTAATTACGTCTCTAGTCTCGCGCGGATCGTTACCGTTAGTAAGGTCTACGAGTTTGTTATATAGCTCGCGGGGGCTAAGATCTTAAGCGGCAAAGTAATCGGTAGAGTAATTAGCGCGTAATGACATTTTAAAGGATAGTAATGTAGGATTCGCTTCGGCGGCAGTAACACGTTATATACGTTAGCGAAGAAGGAAGGAAGGAAGGAAGGGAGGAAGGGTAATAGAGCTTAAGGTTAGTAAAGTTTAGGCAAAAGTGAAGATCTTTAAGTAAGAGAGCGAAGGCGTCGCGTAAGTTAATAAGATGCGCGCCGCTTATAGATAATGTAAAGAGAATAAGAGCAAGTCAGTGTCTTATAATGTAGGAGTATTAAGTAAGGTGCAAGTATAAGGGAAGGCTAGTTGTAGATTAGAGAAGTTCTGCAATTAATGTTAATGTTAATGTTAATGTAATAGGGAAGGACCTAAACCATTAAAAGCTCGGGTTTTTATGACTTAGTCTTAAGTTGACTAACAGTAATAATTGCCTTATGAAAGATATGTTCACATGCAGTGAACCTTCTCGACGATTATTAATGAAGACGGTTAAGGCGGCCATAGAAGGCATATTACCCTCTACTACATTAAACCTAGCAGAAACGACAACTAGATCCGGATCGAAGTCCTATGCAATTAGCATCATAATCTTCTAGAAAGCGAGCATATAATCTGCGTCCGTTATGCCTACTGTTCTCTAGGGAATGTTAATGTTCTTGCCTAGGCTAGGCCCTTTACTATAGTGAAGATGGTTACCCTTTAGTCTAGTAGGGTAGAATTTGCCCCCTTAGTAGACATAAAGGGAGATATATAGCACGTTAGGGTCGTTATAGAATGCCTGTTGTACGCCGTTGCTATAATGTACATCCTAGTCGAGAATAAGGACTTTACGACATGTGTCTTTAAACTCGTTCTAGTAGGCTTTAACGGCGATAGGTACATTATTAAATAGATAGAAGCCTATCGGTTCGTTATGTTTGGCATAGTGACCGGGAGGTCGGATTACTATAATCGCGTTCTTAACATAACTATTAAGAATACCCCGACAAGCCTCGATCGCACCTCTAGCTAATAGCCTTACGCACATTAGGGAGTTCTTAGATAGATAGATACTATCCATTTAAGAACCGCCGTTATAAAGATCTTCGTTGTCCTAAAGTTCTAGACTAATGACGAACTCCTAATGTCGCTCCGAGTGCACCGCGTAGACCTCCTATTTAGTAACGAATCTCGTTAGGATTCTTATAAGTACCGAGGGCGCTAGACTAACTATGCTTAGATTATCGACTAAGCCCGTATTAACTAGTTCTTTATATATCGCGTAGATCCGCCGTAGGTCTTCTAGATGCACGCCCTAGTTAACTTCTAGGCGGACCTCTATATAGAACCGTATATGGACATCGTACATAAGGCTAGTCTAAGAGGTTAAATAAGGCAGCTGCTCTAAAGCTAGCTTTGCTCTAGTCGTCATTATTTCTTAACGAAGCGAAGGTGTAACCTCTAGTGTTAGTGCCGGTCTATCTCGAGATAACACCGTTTTCTAGCGTTAGGGCGCCTAGNATACGCGCCTAATTCAGCTATTCACTCTAACTATGTGATTCACCTCCTACGCGCGCTATCCTTCGCTATTACCGTCGCTTTAGGCGCCTTACGCATAACTAGACTTTACGCACGGCCTTTTTCTTTACTTTAAATCTTCGCGCTTCGCTTTACGCGCGCCGAACTTAACTATTATAAGGCTATTACACTCCTCTTAACACTAGCACTTCTCTATAAGCCTTATAACATTATACGCGTGCCGAGATCTTAGACGCGCCGTTTTATACCTGCCGAACAGATTTCCTTACTTCTACGCTCTCTTCCTTTCTTCTCTTCTATCTCTATACGCTGTTTACGACTATTATAAGGACTATTATACCTCCCTAGTCTCGTTAACGCTATGCCTCCTAAACGTAAATAGGAAGGAGAGTACTCCGACAATGCTAACACTAGAAAGGAACGCGCCCGTAAGGAAAAAGCTGCTCGCATTCCTAGCTAGGAGAAATTCGAAAAGTTGCGTACCAAGTTTTATACTAGTATTAGCCGCAAGCGAGCTGCTCTCTAAAAGACTAATAAGTATAAGGTAATGAGCGAGGATGCTAAAAAGAAGAGGCTTATAGACGTAAAAACCGAAGAGATGCAAAGATTATAAGCTTATTACTATAATAGTCCTATAGTCGTCTTATAATAGTCTAACATTTTATAGGCGCGCATTAGACTAATATTTCGAGGATTATAGGCTATCTTCGTCTAAAGCTATGCTATCTTTACCTATACCGTCCTCGCCTACGCTACTATTACCTACTCTAGCCGCTACTACTAGAGTCGATAGCTACACTCTCGCGAATGCCTTATAGCAACTCTCTATAACTAAAACCACATCTAAGGGCATCCGCGTTAGCAACTACCTTATCCCCTTTAGCCTTCTATAACACCGCGATGTCTAGGTCGATAACAATAATCCTAAATAGGAAGACTTATACGACAACGTTGCTTTAGATCTTCCTATAGATGCCGCTATCGACGAAGACGAGTACGACGACCCGAACGCTAGTGCTCTTATAACTGAACTCTTAAACTAGAGCCGAAAAATGTCTTAAGGCCGCTTACTATACCTAGGCATCTAGACCGCCTTCTACTACGTCTACAAGGATTTTAAGTATAAACTTAAACTCCTCGACATAAGCTAGGACCCCGAAGTAGGAACACTTAACTATTACTCTATGGTCAAAAATCTAAGAAAGTCCTGCTATAATAGATAGACATTAAGGGTAAGCTCGACACTATAATAGTCTTATAATAGTCTAATATCTCTAGCTTTTGTACATTAAATATGGCTTTTTCGACCCTAACGAGTATTTCGGCCCGATTAATAGCGCAATCATTCGCAACCTTATAACATAGTTAAAGTAAGCACCTATTTAGGCCGATAAGAATAGCTAGTACAACCTTCCTAGCCTAGCCGCTTAGTAGGATAGTGTTTTAACAAACCGTTTTCGTGCATTCCCTAGCTCGCTTGCTATAGAAGCTAAGAAGACTTTCATGTAAGTGTGTAATAGTCTTGTAATAGTTAAAGCTAACATGAATAGAACACTATAGTCCTTAGACAAGAAGGGAGTCATTTCTCTAAGGGCTCTTATAATGATGCTAGAGAAGGGAAAGTTTCTTCTCCTAAAGAGAAAGTACTATAAGCTACTACGTGTTATCGGCAGTGCTATAGTAGCGTTCGGAGTTACACCTCTATAGTACGTGTCGGGTAAGCTAGGTAGAAGAGAAAGGGTGCTAGGAAAGCATAAGGCTCTTTATATAACCTTAAGCCGTCGTCGTAAGGTGAAGTTTCTTAATTACACGCTTTAGCTAGAGGCACTAAAGGCTAAGGATAGACAAGACAAGGACGGGGACACGATTATGGAGTAGTTAGTAGGACTATTACTAGACTATTACCTACCGAGTATTTGCCGGGCTAGCGTTAAAGGTCCTAGCTCTATAGAACGCCTACCGATATCAATTTTCACTTCCCCTCATTCTTTCTTTGATTTTTGTTATGCTTAGAAACAATGCTGCGTACACTAGTAACCCCTCGACGATTACTAAGACTTGTAAGACAGGCATTACTATCCTGTCTTTCTACATCTCGATCCTCTATTAGGAAGTCCTCCTAGGCAACACTAACATTAGCGTCTCGACGATCGAATCGTCTTAATAATAACACCCTTCTTTCTTAACTTAATTCGTAGAGCAGTATCGGCTCCTTCGCCCCCCTCCTTAGCTCTAGTAGACTAGCCTCTCTATCGACAGGGTTTTTAGTGCCCCGAAATGCTCTACATTATCTATTAGAACACGAGGGGCGGTAGTATGCTACACGACTCGGTCTTAAAGTCATTAACGGAAAGCGATACTATTCCTACTCGACTGTAACATATGACTCTTTTGTCCTATAGTAGAAGATAACGCCATAGTATCGGGACTATAGTAAGGCTAATACGGAATCGACAACTTTCTAGGGACTATTAAGCAAAACTGCCGATACATGGAAATTTTTTAGAGAAGCTGCATATACTAACGGCGGAGCGCTAATAGTCATCTATAACCTATGCTTAAAACGCATTACATACCCCTAAAAGAATGGTACATTAGGAATAGGAAAGCATCTTTTATCGCGCTCCTACTAGAAGGCTACGATAGGAGCTAGCAAAGAAGCATATGTTCTAAAAGAAAAGGTAAGTCCGAGCGAGGTCTATAAGACTATTATAAGACTATTATAAGACTACTACGCAAGTACACTAACATACTCTATAGTCATCTATAGAGGAGCTTCCGCCTATCGAGGAAGAATTCGACCGCCTGCTAATGGAAGTAATGCTATCGACGGGCGTTTCTTTCGAGTTCTTTAAGAATGCTGCTATTTAGAGGAGCTACTAGAAGCTTAAGCCTAATGTTAAATTTCCCTCTACATCGACATTTGCTCGCAAGTGTAAGAGTTATGTAGTAGAAGCTAAAGCAGATATTAAGCGCTAGCTTAACGTACATAAAGGCCGAGTAGCTATTACAATTAACGCCTAGAGTGCGCTAAACACACGACAATCATTCCTTACAGTTATGTGTTTTTAGATTACCGACAAGTTTAAGCATTGCTACGAGCTTCTTACCTTCGAACTATTATATAGCAAACACTCTAGAAAAAGAATGGCTAATACGCTTAGTGCTATCCTTTATAAATATGGGATAGCGACACGCCTCTAAGCAATTATAGCTAACAATGCAAGTAACAACAAAACCCTCTACTAGGAGCTTAAGGAATGCATTAAGTCCGTCCGCGAACAACATATGCTAAGTAGAAGCAGTATTAAATTGCTAACGGTTCGAGTCTTTAATCTAGACGATTAAGAGGACGACCTAGAGATGCTAGACATTGCTGCTGCAGAATTTGAGATTAACTATAAGCTTGTGCCATGCCTAGCTTACGTAATCTAGCTCGGACAACGAGGTATGCTAGTAAAGCTTAAGGTTACCCTAACAAACGACGACATCGAACGGAACTAGGACGACGACATAGAAAATGATCTTTATAAAGCTATGCGTGGTACAGGACTTACAATGCTGTTATTTAAGGTATAGATTAATCCCTAGCGGTATAATAGTCTTGTAATAGTCTAATAATCCTAGGCGCGAAAGTCTACCGTATAGATAAACTATAGTAGTAGCCGGCGGGAAAGGTTCGAAGCTATTTAGCTTAGGGTGTTCTAGGAAAACTAAGCAAAGGAGGAAGCCGAACATAATCGCTATACGGTAGAGAACAATTCTTATGCTTCGTTTGTTCATAGACCGCCTAAGTCTCGGTTCTATCTAAGGCGTCTAAAACAGGACGTTAAGACTCGATTTAACTCGACCTTCTAGATGTTATAGCGACTCTTTAGTCTTATAGACGAATTTAACGAAGCATCGCACACGATGTAAGGCTTTCTGCTACGACTTCGAATTAGTAAAGAAGAGTAGGAGCAGCTACGCTTTATTCTACATATACTGCAGCCTTTTGCCCTTTAGACAAAACAACTATCTTACTAGAAAACGGTAACAATCTATCTTCCCTTCTTAGTATATAACTAACTTCTCGAGACCATAGAAAAGGTAGTAAAGATTGTTAAGAAAAGAAGTAACCTCGAGTAGTAGTAGGAAATTTTATAAGGCATCGACGCAGCCTCGGCAAAGCTTAGAAAGTACTATTTATAGACTACCGGACATCTTAGTCATTTGTTTAGTCATGCTGTCCTATTAGAGCTAACTTTAAAGAATGAATTTTTTAGATCGCGCTATTAGACATCTGTAGATGCCGAATTAGAAGAGACTACCTCCTACGAGGATCTATACTAGAACTCCTTAAGAGCGCTTTAGAAGGAAAAGTATGTAGACGACATTACGACCTAGCTAAAGCCGAATCTTTTAAGAGGAAGAACTAGAACATTCTTTAGTCCACCTCGACTAAAGGCCTTTAAGGAATCTAGATAGGACTATAATAAATTCGAGGAGTACCGGAAATTCGGTATGTAATAGTCTTATAATAGTCTTATAATAGTTAGCGTTTGCTAATTACACTAGACATTAATACCGTAGCCGATTAGTTNGGAGCTCCACTACGCTATATAAACCTCTCTTATCTCCTCCATAACAACTCTTAACACCTTAGCAATTTAATGCTTTATCCTAG